GTCGGTTTTGCCTTCCCGGCAAGGTTTAGGCGAGAGGGGTTCGATCACGATCTCCGCCTCCCCCTGATGGTCTTCTGTAGCCGTACCGACCCTTGTGTGCCAGGTAGGTATATGTCGATATACCCTGGGAATCGCCTGTCCCGATTCCCTGGCCGGGAAGTGGTTGTAAAGCCATTTTGGCGAAAGATGTGTCCGGCAAGTATCGTGAACGCAACTCGCCCAGTCTACTTCCTGGTGCTCAGGATGCGTGGGGTGTAGCTGATGTGCGTCTCCTGGTTCTTCGTCTTCTTCGGCTTCCTCGATCTCAACAAGGTCCAGGAATGCTTCCCCGATTCTAGTATCCTCGAGGGTCCTCTGGGTACGCCAGATCTCTTCCCGCTCTTCTGGGCCGATCCAGCTTTCAGGCGGTGCTGGCTCGTCCTCAAACTCTTCAGTCTCGATATTGAGCTGTTCCAAGAGCTTGGTCCTCTGAAGGGTGACTCTAGCTAGCTCATCGAAGGCGAGCTGTCGTCCCTGGGACGACTGAGTGCCGCTGTTGATCAGCGCAATCATCTGGTCCTGTCTTTCCTTCAGTTTTCCGAGAAAGTGCCTGATGTTCTTGATCTCTTGTCGAGTAGCTGCTTGACCCGCCAGTCTTTCTTCGGCGGCTGGGCCGAAAGGCCAATGGTCAGGGCCTTCGTCGTCTTCCGTTTCGTCTTCCGGTTCGCCTTCCGGTCTGGCTTCGCGGTCGCTCCTTCCTTCGGGCGACTCCGGGATCTACGAGACTTCCAGTCCCCAGGCTTCCGCGAGTTCGTAGGCAAGTGCCGCGGTTCCGTAGTCCGGTGGACTCTCTTCCTCGTCGATATCTTCCAGCACCATTCCAATGGTCTAAGAATCGTCGACGTCTTCCAGTACCATTCCAATAGCCTGGGAATCGTTGAAGCATGCTCTCCTATCGTTCGGAGGTCTTCCTTGTCCCTGCTTCTTGGGCCGTCGGCAGTCTCTAGCCCAGTGGCCTATCTTGCCACAGTTGTTGCAAGTGTCGTTCTTCTTGTCGCGTGGTGGGCGCTGTCCCTGGTCCTGGTTCCTGGGCTGTGCCTGAGAGAGTGCGCCGACGCTCTCATCCATCGGTCCTGGGTGAGTGCCGTACGAGGTACTCGGAGTGTGCCTCTTTTTCTTGTCGTTGGCTTTGTTGCCCTGACTGGCGTAATAGCCTCTTGCCGAGCGTCCCTCCTTTTTCTCCCTACGCTTCTCATTTTCGCGCTGGAACCACCTGTCGTCAATGTGGATTGCCGCGTCGATGTATTCCCTCAGTGTCTCCGGGCGAGGCGTTTTGTAAAGCTCATCCTTGAAGTGGTCCTTGAGACCATCGTAGAACGCAAGCAGTTGCCCTTGAACCGACCAGTCGAGGTGCAACATGCAGGTTTTGAAGTCCACTGCATATTCCGCCACTGAACGGGTCTGCCTCAACTACTTGACCTGTTCCTCCGTCTTCCGTTGGATGTGACGGTCCGCGAAGAATTCTCCCATTCGTGCAAGAACCTCCCAGACTCCCTTCTGGATGACGGCGTGGACTTCCGGGTTTCTGTCCGCAATCTGTAGCGCTAGCGCCTTCTGGTAGGGTTCGAACCAAGTGGCCGCCTTTCTAACAAGTCTAGTGCCGAGGTACGTCACCCCATCCTTGTGTTACGGCAACTCGTCGACGTTGTACGACGTGTAGGAAAGCACCGAATCTTTCCATGTCTCGAACTTGTCTTTGTCCCCGTCGTAGAGTTCGGGGTGAGGGATCTTCAGTTTCTTTTTGGGAGGTGCTTTGGCCGCTTCTAAATTCCGAATCTTTCCTCCGGCCTCCGCTAACTCCGTTCTCAGCTGGGTGACTTCCGCCATCAGCTGCTCGTTGGTCGCCATGTTGTCGTTCAGCGAGAGGGGTCCGAGTTGCTGCGCAAGGTCCGTGACTTCTCCGTCACTGGCGTTGTCCTGGGCTGAATCCGCGTCTGCGTCTCTGATCTCCGTATCCTCAGGCTGGATGGATCCAGCGATGCTGCTATCGTCAGACTCGTCACTGCTTGACGAACCCGGTTCTCCTTCTGGCTGGGCGTCTGGCAGGACCGTGTCCTCTCCAGGCGTAGCCAGGATGTCGGTGTGCAATGAGCACTTTGTTCAATCAGTACCAAAGAAGCAAGCAACGTATTACAAACCACTTGACTGTTAGGGTCGTCTGTCTGTAAGGGAGCACGGGCTCCACTAGATGCTGGGGTTAGTAATTATGAAGATAGAACAAAGGGCAAGCTCCTATCGCACGGGTAATACAGTCAAATCGGAATGCCACTCAAAGTATATGAGTGCAGTGAATGTGTATTGCTTGCTTGAAGAACCAAGCAAGAACTATCTAAGACCGTGGCTACGGCCGTCGTATATATCTATCTAATGTGGGCCAATTAGAGCGTTGCTCTGTTGCTCTCATTGTGGGACACAGAGCACATCGCTCTGTTCTCCACACGACAGAGCAACTGTGGGCCCACCTGCTCTGTTCTCCACACGACAGAGCAACTGTGGGTCCATCTGCTCTTCATCGACGGGATTGGCCGGGGCGGGTCCCGCCGCCCCTGCCCCGCCTTCAAACCAGTACGAATAGGGATTCGTGACAGGAGGCTGAGGGCCAAGATGAAGAGATATTTCATAAGCAAAATGTTACGAATCCTTGTCGAAATGCGCAATAGTGGGGCACGCTTAGTTTGGTGTGGACCAATCAGGAGCGTCCTATGGAAGGAACTAATTAGGAGTGTTCCTGGGTCCTGAGGTTCGGGACCACTTAAGGTCGGGGACGCGGGACAGTGTCCCGCGCGCCCGGCGTCCCGAGACCGCAAGTGAAGGGTGATCGTCACCTGGATCACGGAATGCGGTAGGCTATTCGTGAAAAGGTAGGTAAATTGATGATGCTAGAAAAGAAGGTCGGCTCGAGAGAGCCGCCTGGGCGCAGGCACCTAAGTGCCCTGCGGGGTGGCTGACTAACTAGCTGACTAATCTATGACTAACACAGGGGGGTCCTAGGACCGGCCGGTCCGGCCGTTCAGGCATCAGCAAGTCTCGGGACCACGGGCCAGTGGGACCATTTTTATTGGTTACACAGTTAGATATATACGATGACCGTACCCACGGTCTTGGATAGTTTTTGCTTGGTTCTTCAAGCAAGCAATACACATTCACTGCACTCGTACACTTTGAGTGGCATTCCAATTTGACTGTATTACCCGTGAGATAGGAGCTTGCCCTTTGTCCTATCTTCATGATTACCAACCCCAGCATCCTGTGGAGCCCGTGCTCCCTTACAGACAGACGATCCTAACAGTCGAGTGGTTTGTAATACCTAGCTCCGTAGACCCTGCTGTCCAGATTGTAATATTAGGCGTACCTGCCTTTACTTACACCGGGAATTAGTTACAAACGAGTTTAGAACTAGTTAAGGATATGAACTTCGTGTAATTGTTGTCACGACCAGGGCAAGGCATTGAGGTGAACTCAGTCCATTGGGTGCTATCGACGAAGATTCTAAACTGAGGAGGGAAAGAAGGAAAAGTCCAACAACGCGTCGCGTGCTCGCGAATAAGTTTTCATCTATCAGTGGGGTAGGTGGGGCCTCGAGGCGGCTTCTGATAGGCCCGGGGTTCTGGGCGGCTCTGGCTGCTTGAGGGCCAGTTTGGTGGACGGGTCCTCACAATTGTCACCGCACAGTCAACTGTTATGAGGCAAAGCTGTAATGTAGTCGCTGTATTCGTAGAATCTAAAGCTAAAGAAGGAAAAAAGGAAAGAAGCTTCCGGGTAGGGCGCGGGGGAAGTAGGTTGTGTTGTGGGTCGCGTGGTTGTGGTGTGCACAGACCACCGCTTAAATCCAGTGTGGCCAGGGGGCAAGGGCGGGACCCACCAATCCAGCCAGTTGTCTGCACTTGCCGTGACAGTAATATTCACATTGCTAATTTCACCAAGAGTACTTAATAGATGCTGCAAAATTGCTCTGGGTCCAAGGAAGAGACTGTGGCTTCACCCAAGAGAGGGTGAGGTAGAAATGGACGGGGCGAATAGCGCCTGTACCCTCCGGATGTCAACCCGCAGCACACTCTCCCCAAGCGTAAAGACTGTACCTTGCTACTGACCCGGGCCGCCGCAGGGTAAAGTGGGGAAACATACGGCAGTTCGCACCACCCAGCCTAGCTAGCATATGACGGCTGAGCCCCGACAACAGCCTTACGTTCTGCTGGTCCTCTAACCAAAGGTAGCCCCGAGACAAATTGGCCCGTGATGGGGCAGGTTGTCAGCTCGAGAAACGAGGCTCCCTGCGGGATAACCAGGCGATGGGTGGTTTTTAGCACAACGGTTGAGGCACGAGGCGTTTCGAAACCCTGAGTGTGCGGTTCGGCGGTGGGAAATACCCCTAATATCAACTTGGTCTCGACTCACGGCGACGTAAAGCAGCACATGTGGCGCTCGCAGAGTTGAGGCGGACTGACCCAACTAAAGATAGCAGATTATATAGTACGCGTTGGGAGAGCTTAGTTGGGATTGCAGCACCTACGACAGTCATATTCATTAGAGTCGGGAGCAGCACCCTCGTCCCGCCGCTAGCTAGCTACGTGATTAGGAGCCTGGCAAGCGACCTTTGCTAGATCCTAAGTATCCTTTCTACGCGTTTTCCACACCCTCTCCAATAGTCCCGCCTTTATCTTTCCTTAAACGGCAAAGGTCCAGACCATTCTTCCCAGGCTCCAGCGCGGTAAATTCGTCAGATAGCTCCGTCCCATTCGCCATCATATTGGACCCGGTCAGCCAGCCGCTTAATGACGAAGACATCAGGCGACATATCCGGTTGAGGCGAGGCAAGAGCAGTTGGCAGTGTGTGGGCCTCGTTCGTGGAGTTGTCGGGATCCTCAAGGTTCCCGGTGAGCGTCCATTCGAAAACCATCCTACGCCACAAGTCAATACAGTTCGCAAAACCCAATAGGACCCTACATACCCGTCGAGGATACCCGCAGCTACTAGCAACGGGCCAGCACTCGCTATCTGGCTTGCAGCGAAGAAGACTCGGCGCGCCTTGGCCGCAGCATCCTTGTTCCCTGCCGACGGGTCGCGTTCCTCGGCGAGCTTCGCGGTCTCCTAGGCTTGCTTAGCTTTCAACATGATGGGCGGCGACGGCCGGCAGGATTGACGATGCGCATAATGGCACTGGGCGCAGGGGGAGGCGCGCCCGCCGGCCTGCGAGCGGCACTTCTTGCCCAACGCCAGACAGCGCAAGCAAGGGGGCTCGCAAGCTTCGCCCTCTTCGCCGTACTGTAATGAGCCGGTTAGCAGACTAGCGGGGCGAGGGAAAGAAGATACTTACGCGCTCGGTGTCGAAAGCCACGGTGTCTTCAATCATGCCAGCCGTACGCATGGCCGGCGGTCGCTTCAGTACGGGTCAGCGAGAGTAGGCGCGGATTGATAGGAAAGGGGGACTTACGCAAAATGAGCCGGAGGTAGCGCTGATAGATTTGAGCCGCTTGCGCTTGCCGTCAATGGCTGGCTGGCTATCTGTACACTCCGAGTCGCTAGAGGTTGTCGCCACGGGAGGCGAGTCCCCCGAGTTATCGTACTCCGAGGTGTGAATCATTTGCTTGCGGGCCGCTGATCGGGACTGGTACATAACTAATGAATTAAGAGTTGTGAGTAGATTACGCGACGATTGGGGGGGAGGATTGGATTTCACTTACCGAAGTGCGGACTCGCGTCCCCCGAGGTATCGTACTCCGAAGTGCAAATTATTTGCTTGCAGGTCGCAGATGGGGACTGGTATAACTAATGAATCAAGAGTTGTGAGTGGATTGCGTGACGATTGGGGAGGTTTGGATTTCACTTACCGAAGTGCGGACTCGCGCCCCCGAGGTATCGTACTCCGAAGTGCGAATTATTTGCTTGCGGGTCGCCGATGGGGACTGGTATAACTAATGAAGCAAGAGTTGTGAGTGGATTGCGCGATGATTGGGGGGGAGGTTTGGATTTCACTTACCGAAGTGCGGACTCGCGTCCCCCGAGGTATCGTACTCCGAAGTGCGAATTATTTGCTTGCGGGTCGCCGATCGAGATTGGTACAAAACTAATGAATCTAGAGTAGTGAGTGGATTGCGCGACGATTGGGGGGGAGGTTTGGATTTCACTTACCGAAGTGCGGACTTTGTTGCTTGAGGAAAGGAAGTTATTCGCGGTTCGGCCTGCGCGCCTTTATAAAGACAGCGCCCTGCACTAGGCCCAGAGCGGCCTAGCGTGGGGTGGGGCGGGGTTAACCCCTCACCTTACGGCTCTGCCCCCACCGCCGTCGTGGTGTGTCAGAAGCACTGCACACTGCACTGCACACTGGATTCGGTGGAAAAGATGGAGTTCAAAGTGATTTTCATTGAGATCTCTCCTCCTCCCGTACTCTGCTGGGCAACCATCGCCTGGGAAGAATGGTCTGAACCTCTGCCGTCCAAGGGTAAAAGGCAAGGCCGCTGGGAAAATGCGTGGAGAAGGACATCTAGGACCCGCCAAAGGAGACCAGCACGTACAAGACGGCTGGTCGCGGTCGCACTGGCACATGTATATTTATTAACTCCAACACGTGCTAATCTACTATCTTACTTAGATCGAGACCAAGTCGACGTTGGCGGTGTCGCCAATTGCCGAACCGCACATCGCGTTCGCGAAACCCCTCGTGCCTGAACCTTTGTCCCAAAACCCCCTGCCGCCTGGTTATACCACTGGAAGGCTCATCCCTCCCTCGAGCTGGCAGCCTGCCGTATTGCAGGCTAGTCCGTCTCGGGGCTACCGTTTGTGAGAGAGCCGGCACGACGTAAAGCCGCCGTCGGAACTCGGCCGTCACACGCTACCTAGGCTGGATACGAACTGCGGCATGTTTCCCCCGTGTCGCCCTGCGGCGGGCCAGAAGGGTAGAAAGGTGCCGTCTCTGCCCATGGGGAGAGCGTGTAGTTCGACATCTGGAGGAGGCGGATCCTATCTACCCCATCCCGCTCCACCCGTCTCTTTCTCCCATCCTACGTAATACCTAAGACCTGGCTGAGATTTAATAGTATACACGATGCGTCTAGCTCCGCCTTGCCCCCTTCATTCTTACTACCCCGTGATGCTAGGAGTACGGCGCCGGTGCCGTTGTTTGCCATATATTCGTAGACGGCCATAGAGGTGCCTAGACTAGCAGTTAGCTGGGTTAATTAGTTCTCGTGGTCGCCTCCGTCGACCTTACCCAAGTTGGACGAGGTCTTTTGGCTGGGTGTACTCGGCAAGCCGTGCGAGATGGAATCAAGCCAACGCTCTATATAGTCGACCTTAACGCTGTACGGGCGGAAGAGGATAGTCGGTCTGTTGTCGGCGCAGGTGTGTGGAGCGGGGAGGTTGCTGAGCTGCCGCATCGCCTCGATGACATCGTCGCAATCTCGGACCAGAACCGTCGTAGAAGGGCCGTACCCAAGCTGACCGTGCGGTAGCAGTACCGCCTCGACCAGGACTTGTTGTTCGGTGCCTGTATTTTTTGCGAGGCCCAGCGCCCTTTTGGTGTTTTCGAGGAGCTTTCGTGCATCGATATGTTCTGGGTATATCCGGTCGACCCTTCGACTCGACGGCCAGAGGTAGTATACCAGTGAGGTGATCGGGAGTCTTCTGATTTGTAGGATGGGTCTGGGGAGCGTGGTGAACGCGGCAAACGTGTCGCGGAGGTTAGTAGTCTGGCAGGATAATGGTGGTCGGGTTTCGTTACTGTTGCGAGGGAGAGCACTCTCCTCGAGGTGGCTCGGTTTCCCGTCGGACTTGGTCGACAATACGGGCACACGTGCCGTGCATCCACAAGTCATCTATTCATCTTTAGCTTCGATATCTTGGGCGAGAGTCAGGTGTAATCCAGTACCTTTTGATGGTCGCGCGTCTCTGATTTTACCTGTCCATCCATTCGTTCGGCGAGAGCGGAGACTGATCCCAACGATAAGCATACCGGAGTGGGCGCCAGCTTGACCAATTCGTTCATCCTTGAATAACCTCTTCTTCTTCTTTTTCTTTTTCCGTCCGTGTTTGGGATAACGATGTGGTCTACCGACCCGGTTGCTGTCGTGGGGTTTGAAGTCGCGTGAAAGTGGGGCTTGACTAAGTTGGGACTGATGGAGTAATTGACTCTCCTTGGTTTCAGTCCTCACTTACTCGTGACTTAGCAAAATGCCGGGACGGGAAACCTCCTCTTTCTTCTGCCAGCCATTTATAATCTCTCGTGTTGGTTACCAGTCAACCCTGCTCATGTCGCCTTCCTCTGCTACTTTATTTAGCTACTGCGTCAAGTCCCGGCGCTGGTTGCTTTCTTTTTCCTCGCCGCCCGCCTTTTGTACTCGCACCGATATCCTGTCGCTTAGTACTTGGATTTCCCTGACCTTATTTGTGGCCTAATTCCTAGCCCGCAACCTCGTCTTTCTACCTTCGTCGGATCTTCCCGCGACCGGTAAGCCAAATTCCGTTCTGCTCATCGTTATATTATTACACCTGTTGCGTGCCCTTGAGACTTGATCTACTCCTTCCCCACCAGCCCGCCCAGTGGCTACACCACCCGCGTTCCACTTGTCGTAATTCCTCCTCTCTCTCTCTCTCTCTCTTTTACACCTCCTTCGCCCAGCATCTGACATCGAATACCCGGTCCAGTCATTTTCTTCCAAGTAAACGGATATCGGCTCCGGTCGAATCACTCTGCTAGAGAATCCGAGTCGCGGCCAAGGCGACATACCCAGTGGCCAGGGTTTGGCGTTCATCGATCTTCTATCCACGGTAAGTACTCCCGTGGTACCAGCTCGCAGTCAGTCCTATATCGGCGATTTTCGCTGACATGAAACCAAGGCCCTGTAATATAGTCGAGATGGCGAAACAAGGTCCTGTAGGTATATTCGAAATGGATTCTCCGTCTTCACCAGCCTCAACATCAGGCGGGGTGCCCGGTCGTGTGAGTGAGGGGTCGGCGTCGGCGTGTGGGGGTACTATCGGAGAGCTGGGATCTTCCCGGAAAGGTAATGTTTCCTCAGAGCTGGCCAGCTTCTATACCTACCATGAACTTTCTACTAACGGCAAGTTAGACTCCCACTCACCACCAGCCTTCCACGGCGGACCGAGCCAAGTATCAGGCACGGCTTACGACAGCGATTCCGTCGCCCAATCTACAACACAGACGCGGCGGGTACGTTGTGCCAGTCAGGCGTTAGGGTCAGATTGGAGTTTTGATGGTACGGTTTATTTAGGTGATAGCAAGATTCCGTGAAAGCCTCTACGTACGTTAGTTAGAACTTTTTGCTAATTTCCTCCCAGTATCCGACAAGCGGTCTTCGGAATATGACGGCGACCAGGATTTCGGTGGTAAAGCACCTGCTCACACCCCGCTCCGGCGGGCCGACCTTGTGCGCCCCAACCTTCGCGACTTCTTTGTATCGATACCGGGCCCTTCCGACGACCCATGGGGCGCAGATGCCAGGATATGGGGACTCATCCATTGGGCGAGAAAAGGAGTTCTGGAACGATTGTATCCGGAAGATATCAGGCACACCGAAATGTTCCGCCACATATTATCGGAGGCGATTGGAATAAGCACGGCTCCACCTGTCGGCGCGCCTGACGCCTGCTGATTGATTGCTTCCCTGCATCCAGATGGGGCTGAACACGATATCAACGAGCTTCAAGGCTTCTCCAAGATCAGATCAGGGAGAGACCTCTCCTGCTTGCTTGTAGACACCTATCGCGAGTAACATCCCATCCAGTACACGGGACCGCGTCCACCCGCACCCATGATGAAATTGCGGCTTGTACACGGCGATAAGGTTGACGACAATACACTGGAGATGCCCCGGGAAGAGAGGGGAGAAGAGGATGGAAAAGAAGGGGGGGTTGGGGACGCTCTCTTGTCTTTCCACTCTAGCCACTCTTCGCAATACTTCGATCCCGATATATTGGACGCCGCCTCCGCCCAGGGCTCGTCTTTACTAGAGGACGTTACGCCTACAGGTGAAGCGGGGAAGGGTGATATTGAGGTCATTGATATCAGCAGCGACGACGACGACGACGACGACGGCGAAACACAGCCCACAGCCGACGTCGACGACGACGAAACACAGCCCACAGCCGGCGTCGACGACGACGAAACACAGCCCATAGCCGACGTCGACGACCCAGTGCCCGTGAATGAAGAAGAGCGGGCTCTGATGAGCTTGCTTGTAGGGCATGCGGACCCGAACTTCAAGGTGAACTTTGTTAGGTTCTTCAATTACGAAGGAGACGTGGGGTTGATCCTCCCAGGAACCAAGTTGCACCTCGCCGAATCCCAACTTGAAGACATCTACGATATCCTATACGCTCTATTCATCGGTTTCCAGATGGATATGGCGCATCCTCATCTACAGAATTTAGTGAGGCTTGCGCACGCGTTCAAAGGTCACCTCCTCGGCAATTAGGCGGGTGGCGGCAAGACAAGGATGATCTTGGGTCTCACTCAGTGTCTACACCTGATGGATTTGGCCTAGAGGGTCTTTACCGATGACCGTAGACGTGGGGATCTGGGGGACCACAGCCACCGGCACAACTCCAGTGCTGCCCCGTATCGGACGTGCTGCCCCTCTGGAGGACTGGTGCAGATCCAATGCCCCTGCGAGACAGGATCGCTATCGTGGTACATAGCAAAGGGTATGGATCGCGTCCCAGGACCCGTGTTGTGGCTATCGCCGCCAAGTGTTATCGAGACTACTGCGCGAGAGGCCAGGGAGTACTTCGACGACTCGGAGGATGCGATCAACTTGCCAGATATCGGAACTTTCGCGGGAATGAAGACATTAGTTCATTACGACAAACAAAAGCTGAGTGTTCGGGAACTCGATCGCATGAAGGCAAACGTGATATCGCTAGACCGCGAAGGCTTCGTGCTGCCTGAGCCTGCAAAGTCTCTCAAGATCGAGGGAATGAAGAAAACGGCCAAACTAAACCTCGGTTTTATTCCGGCTGGGACTGGGAATATCAAGGACGCCCAAGCGTTTGATCTTGGCCCATTCAAGCTTTCATACGCTGCTGAGGAGCCAGCCCAGTTCTACAACCATTTTATAATCATCAGCAACAAACAGACTGGCTCGTAGTACCGCTTTCGGTTGCGCCGAGGTTTGTTTGCGCCGACGAGTACCACGCCGCCAGGTCAAACCATACGAATCTGACAGCCACGCTTCGGTCGTATGCCGAGCACTCGAATGCCAAGATTGTGGGCGTAAGCGCGAATACCCTCACGAGAGACATGAGAGCCAGTATTGAGGGACCGATCAGTTGGGTCGCTCCGAGTGCTTGGAGCGATCCAGATAGCGCCATGTACCGGTATTCGGCAGATTACGTTGTAGGTAATCTCCTAAACCTAAGGGATGGCGACCCTCGGTTGGCGGAGATTCAGTTCTTTTTCAGTAGGATCATTACGGCTCACCCCCCAGGGGCTGACGATGTGAACGGCAACCGGCCTGCGACAGTCCTGCAACTGATTCCAGTCAAATCGAAAATCACCAACCAGAAGGCATATGAGTGCTTCATCAACGGGCAGGTAAAGACGCTGCGCGACGAGTGGGTAAAGCCGCTGCAAGAGAGGTACGAGAATCAGCAGCGGGAGCTCAACCCGGCCGATCTCCCGAAGGCTCAAAAGGATTTCGAAAACAAACTCGAAGAGGAGGAGTTTGGGACGGTGCACTTCCTGGTCAAGTTATATGCGGCAACCTACCCGCATATAATGGAGTTTCCTTTTGACTTCATATCCAACCATCTCCACGCGAATGCCTTGAAGAAGATCAAAACGGCCGAAGAGCGCTCGATGCATACGGAAATCCTCGGGATTGTCGACAAGATGTGCCGGAGCAGCGGCAAGGTCAAATTGGTGCATGATATACTTCAGTTTGCGCTCGCCGATAAAGACCTACCACTAGATGGCGCGAAGCACCCTGGCGGGCCGTTCAAGAAGAACGTCGTAGTGTTCTACACACGGCTAGGGATCCTATTCCCGCTGGCGAGGTATGCTGACGTCTGTTGGGCAAGTGATTGGAAAATCGTCACCATCGACAGCGAAGTCAAACCCGCGGATCGCTCGGCAATTATTCTAGCCAATCTCGACAACAAAATCCTATTCGGCTCGGACAAGAAGCCATGTCTCGTCATCGCGACGATCGAAGCTGCCGGCACGGGGATAAACGGCTTCGAGGCCGCCAGCTATGCGATTCTGTTCGGCGCGCCCTTCAAAGAGGCCTTGCCCCAGCAGGCCGTTGGGAGGGTCGCGCGGCCGGCGCAGATCCACGAGACACAGTGCTACTTCTTGGTATCTGAGGATATTGACGGGGTAGAAGGGCGAATCATCGCCCGTCACCAGGCTCGCAGAGAATCAATCGACGTCAACACTGGCGAGGGGAGGAATAAGCCCGAGGAAGGAAAGGGTAAGAGGTACGGGTGCAAATGGGAGGTGAAGAAGCTAGGCTGGATGCCTAGAGATAAAGAGTGAGAGATCGACGACGGGGTACCGCTCTGAGCGCTACTAACGGGTCTAGGGAGAGGGCCAGAACGTTGCTGGGCTGCGAGATTGATGGCAGCGGCATGTGTAAGTAGGCGAATATCGGCGCGGGAAGATGTGGTGGTTGCTGGGTACCTGGCTCGGGTTTTACGGGTGCTGATGGCGGCTGCTGAGCCGGTGGCTGCGAGGCAATCGCAGGCCGCGCGGAGGAGGCGCTTGCTGAGCGACACGTGTTTCGTTGTAAGGACTAGTCGAGAGTGTGTCGAGTCTAAGGGAGTAAATAAGAAGGCGTACTGGTAGTTGTCTGCCCGCCGTTTATCTGTGTATACTTGTGTGGCTCTTATCCTTCCGCGACAACGACAATACGGGGTGAGCCCCCCGCCAGCGCGAGGGGCTTCACTTAGGAGGCTTTCCTCCAGGACTCCGCCCCGCCGAGAGACGACTATTTGACAATCAACTCGTAAGACGACACGAAGACGCAAGCCCAACACGCTTGTCGAAGCTGTCCCGACTTTAAGGTGCGCGAACGCCAAGCTGATGGACGTTAACCAGGGCGGGGAGACCGTTCCTGTCAGATGGAACATGCTGGAATGTGGGCTGTGAAGGAGCTAGGCAAAGGATTCGCGGCCTACTTCGCCACTCATTTTGCCACCTATTTTGCCACCACAATAGTAGTATAAGAAGGAGGCTTTCTGGCACTGCCAGAAAGCCAGGAAGAAAGAGAAGACAATCAATTGAAGCCAGTAAAAAATCCTGAAGTGTAGTAATCTAACAGTTCCTGATACTGACACGTGCGGCATCGGCAACGGCGGTGGCGGCTTCAAGTACTATTCACCAGAAAAAAAGAGAGAAAGAAAAAAATAAGGCAGGCCGGAATGACTCCAGGAGTCCAGTCATATAACACGCGATCGCCACACTGTTATTGCCTCTTACAAGCAACTAACCGTTCAAAAAAATCTGGTTTACTAGACATAAGAGTATCTGCAACTCCCTCTTCTTCTCTCCTTCCTACCCTGGTCATAGTCTCTCTTTTGCCTTCCAGGTACGAGACGTGTGTAAGCCAAAATATAATTATCGGCCGGGCTGGACGCGAGCTCGTATAATGGAGCGGATAACGCTCCTGACAGGCGCCGACAAGAAAGGAGCATAGTTCACCTGCCGATCCGATTCCAAATGGGTGTAGACGCTCATGGGGACCGTGTTTAAACCTATCTGGATGTGCGGAAGCAACCAACTCGTAGTTCGTAAGTGCGCCCACAGGCCGAGCCATAGCTTTTCTCTCGCCTCCAACAACACCTCATCGAACATATTGTCATTATTAATATCCTCTGGAGGCACATTATCCAGACCTCTTTCTCTCGCCCAGCCGACGAGCCCTCTTATCGTGGCATCTTCGCCCCATGGTTCGCCGGACGGGCCCAATATCGACACAAAGAAGTCGCGGAGGTTCGGCCGCACCAGGTCACACGTGCGGAGCTTGGTTTTGGGAGGATGTCGGCCGTCGTCAAAGGCCTCGAACTTTCGCTCTTGTCCTGTTACCGGCTGTCTCACAGGGCCGCCGGCACCAGGAATGCTCAATCTCTCGCCGAGGTTATTTGCCGAGTGCCGCTCACTGGATCCTGGCAGGATATTAGCGAAACAACCCTTGAGTCGCACGTTCAGTCTTTCTAGAGCCCACGAGATATTACTTGTTCTTGAAGTAGCCGTATCTTCAACACTATACTGGCCCTTCGACGCCCGTCTAGCACGACCGGTCAGCCGGGTTGGGGTTGCGCGTTGAGCCACGGAGGCGCCGCATCGAGAACTCGTCGACACCTTGCTCGGTGTTTGTTAAGGAGATTAAAAGTGGGAGTCTAACGGGCTATCAGTGATTACCCGTGGAAGGGATAGAAGCTGGCCGGCTCCGAGGAAACCTTACCCGTCTGCGTAGACCCCTAAGCTCCCAGACTGTCGTCCGACATCGGCATCTTACTCATAGCACCGGGCAGCTCGCCTGTTGTTGAGGGTGGTGACAAGGGAGAAACCCGTCTTGACTGTATCTGTACGACCTTGCCTGAAGTTAGTAAAAACCGCGGACGTGGGACGTAGCTGCAAGCCGGCACCGGAGCACTCACCCTAGGCAGAAGACCGAGGAAGCCTTGATAAGCTACACGGTACAGGCTGGAATTCTAGCTACCGGGATAAGACTCCATATATAGGATCCACGTGCCTTCGTGGCGCGGAGCCCCAGTGAATACAGTTCGAAACAGAGTGAGGCGATGTGGACGTAGAGAAGTGACTGTAGGCCAAAATAATTGGACGATAGATATAAAGACAAGTCCTGTTTGAAAGGGAGGGGAGAGTGCGTCAGCAGATGAAGAGGGCAATGCAACGACCAAAGTGAATGTTTGTAGATGGTTAGCCCGCGATGGAGGGTGCAAGGCGTACTAGACAAAATTACGTGGAGGGAGTAGATGCGGCGAAAGACAGGCAGACCACTAGGGTACCTTGTCGCACGTCGCTAGCATCACCGTTGTTCCGGCGCCAGAAAGGCATGGAATATGACGATGCTGGCCATGAACGACACAGCGGGCGACGGCTGGAAGAGGGAAGCCGTACAAGAAAAACCGAATCACGAAAGAGGGGGGAAGGCAGGAGGCAAGAAACCCACGGAAGGTACAGCACAATACGAGACGGAGTTAGCTTACCAGGTCGCGCGTCGTCGCCAGTCGTACGCGCCTGACAGGGTAGAAAGGTACGGAAAGTGAGGCTGCTGTCCAGAAGAGAGGCGGAGAGATTGAAGTAAGGTGGGTAGGCTGGTCCAAGGTAGAGGCGCGGTTGGAAGAGGAAGGCCATATACAAAAGAGAGCAAGAAGCCGTAGCCACGAAAGCGACAAACGGCGAAGCAAAATACAAGACGCTGGAGTTTACCATGCCGCGCGTCGCTAGCAGTAAAATCTAACCGTTCCTGCTGAGCAGAGGTGTGCGGGTGCTGGCCGTGAGTTGAGATGCGGGGTTCGCTCTTCCTCGGGCAGACCAACCTGGGCAACGTGCCACGCAGAAGGCGTGCAGGTAAAGTCCGTGGAAGGGAGGGGCGCGGCGAGAAGAGATGAAAATACGTGCAAATCGCAGGCAGAAGCGGCTTCGCATTTTCCTCTCGAGTCAGCGGCTGCAGGGCCGGTCCTTTGATTGTGAGCCTGTTTGGTCGGCACGTTAGCCTCTTCAGGGCGTGGCTTGGCAAGGCAAGGTCAGAGGAGTAGGGTGGCCAGCGCGCCGTCGAAATAGCCAACGCGCCTGGCACCACGAGCTCGGTTGCACGAGAGACTCTTGGCTGCGGACGCCAGTGCCTACCTCAGCACTCGGCCAGGGCGAGTACTGCAACCCGCACCAAAATTTATGTGGGAACTGGCTATTCCTATCAAGGCATTAACTAGTATAGTTGAATGATGATATTTATTATCGACGTAGCCAGTACCTAAATGCCGCAGCCACAAAGTAACGAGCCGCAACTACACCATAGCGACGTACGCATCGCTCGGGTATTGTCCCAGCCAGCCAGAAAATAAAAGGAAAAGATAAAACAGCCCCCCCCCCCCCCCCCCCTCCCCCCCCCTCAGACTTGATTCGCCGGGATGACGCTCTACCGCCAGAGAAGCGGAACCCAAGGCGCCCGCTCTCGTCCCTAAGAACACAGACCAGACGTCATCTTGTTTACCGAGGGGGTGTTGTAGATAGCACGTCGTAGGTTAGCCGACGTGCGACCACTCAGAGCCGGACAGGGACTCGGATATTAAGCTCGAAGCTACTGAGTGATCGAGTGGAATGGCTTGATATGCCATCGTCTCCCCAGACTCTGTACCTAGAGCCATACCCTATGCCGTGACTGCGCCCCTAATTTACGAATCAAGCCCAGTAACGGCTTGAAACTATGTCAAAGTTGAGTCCGTCTCGGCCTCGTTTCCTGGCTGAATACGTCGAAGGACACCATTGACTTTGCGAAAGGTTTCTACGTTAGAATGGATCCGTCCTTCCATATTCGTTTGGCGCGGAGAAAGATCATTCCTGAGGGAATCGATCTCCGCTTGTAGCTGCTGTTGGAGCAGACCGACGGATTGTGCGATGGAACGCACCTGTGCTTCCAGGCTCTCCTGGCGCTGACCCAGCTCGTTTTGGCGCTGATGTAGAGGTTCGTTATCCCCCTCTGTGGAAGGAGCCCGGCTTGCGAACAGGTCAGAATTGCCAATACAGCCGATAGCAAGATCGCCGGCTCTCGCGGTACCGGGTTTCTGCTGTGGGTCATTCTGCTGTGGGTTGTCAAGTAGTGCGCCGGTTGTTGCCGGAGTGGCGGGCGCCGTATCGACGCGACCGATCGCTTTTTCACGAACATGGTTGAGGAGCTCTGGTTGCATATGGAGTATTACGTCCATAACCCAGCTAATAAAAGAGTTAGCGAGATTCGTAGCCAAAACTGCCGTTGACGTACACCAAAGGAATCGTGCTCGATTTCAGGATACGCAATCCGTTATATACTTGGCGGCAAGCCCGGAGAGACTGCCGTCCTTATCGGGATTCATTGTTTTTGTCGGCCTTATCATATCCCTCTACCTCGCCGGCAATACTGGAAGCTTTCTTAGCGTCGCGGCAAGCCTCAATCACGGATGGATGGGCAAGGCGGCAAGAAGAACCGCTACTCTTGCACTCTGAGCAAGAGGTCGCATCCGAGGTCGTCTCGAACTCGCAGTGATAACCCTTTATCAGGCAAAGATCGCAACCGCCGTCGTCAAGAGCTCTCGTCTCGTTGACCTACACACGATTTGTCCGTCATTAAAACGTAAGGGACGCCTGGGTCACATGAGAAAGAGAGCACTTACGTCTTTTCTAGCACTAGGAGCGACGCCGTGGACTCGCTTCTGTACATGGTTATATTAGCAGCCGGCTACGGAGTTAAGTAGGCAATCTATAAGGTCAAGGAAGTGCTTACATGACGCGGGCCGTGAAAATCGGCATCTCGCCGGTGGCGGCTCGCTTTAGTGACTGAGGCGGAATAGACGAGGCAGCACGGGGGAGAGTAGGCAGTACAGGCGACGAACGCTTTCCGTTTTCGCCGCTCGCGCTACCAAGGCGGCCTAGCGGGCCGTCATCGTCGCCGCTGATGAAATCATTGAATTCGGAGGGTACGTTCGCACGCGTGCCATAGTTGCCGGGGTTGGACATTTGTGGTCTTCTGGCAGGATGGCAAACAGGAAGCGCGGTCGTTAAATAATCCGAAAGTACTGGCTACCTGCGTCAAAAGAGAATGTAGAGGGCTAGGAGACAGACGACTTACGAGAATGCGGACTGCGCGAAGGTAGGGAAGAAGGAACGAAGCGGAGTAGCCGGCGCGCGGTCAAAAAGCGTGAGTGCCGCCCGCTAACGTGCTCTGGGTATCACTGATGGTCAAAGTTATTCAGGGCTATGGCCTCTTTTTTTTTTTTTTGCGGTTCTAGTTGCGCTGGTAGTGTGGTGAGATGGATGCCGTCGATAATAAAAAGCTGGTGCTGTTGGAATGACAAGGTCATTCGTTCCATAGTCACTGCAGTAACCGATGCGAATGGGGTGGTTGTGGTGGTTGTATTCTGGTCTTGCTCTATCTCAAAAAGGTCACGAACTACGGACAGGATGCGCGTTGGAATTGGCGATGCCAGAGGTCACGTCAGCGGTGCGCCTCGCGCACGTGCCGCATAGCGGCCCGCGTGCTAGTCAGCCACTGAGGCTGTGCAGCCTGTTGACCAATCACGTGCGACTGCATCCTCTGATTGACTGGTAGTTCCCACAGGTGCCCTGCAAGACGACCACGAAAAGGCTACGTACGGGGCCGGCCACCCCCAAGTAGAATTATTTCGGATACGAAGTCCACCCCCACAGGCGCAGACGAACAGTTCAAAGTTTCACAAGGCATTGAGATCAAGAGCGTAATGATAAAGTGTGTGAGTTGTACGATCAGCCTAGCTAGTTCCGTGCTGCTTCCTACTCGAGAGTAAGTGCCATCTGCCTAGCCACGACGCGGCTTGTATACCTTGGTCAGAAAAATCGTGCCCAACCGGAAAAAGAAAAAGAAAAAAAACTACCCCAAGCGCAACATGCCGATAACGAGCACCAGGACCAAGTTTAGACGCAGTCGGGAGCATCTGACAGCGGCGAGCCCTCCTTAGCAACGTCGTTCTTCATGTCGACGTCGCCGTCCTCACGTAGCCTCCGCATCCCCGGCTGGCGGCGCAGCGCCACCAGAATCAAAACTCCTGTCTGTCCACCTGTGTGGTGACCGGTCCCAGCGCCGCGATAACGGAGCGTGCCAAACTCCCGAGCTGGGTGTCTCTATCGTTCACGCGCGACTCCAGCGAACCAAGATGGGCAGGCAGATCCTCTAGCCTCGCCTTAATCGCAACCAAATCTTCCCACTGGGCGTCCCTATCGACCACGCGCGACTCCAGCCCGTGAATACGGCCGAGCAGCTCACGTAGCGCCTCGATAGTGGGGCCTCCAGTTACCAATTCGTTCCCCAACCCTCCAACGTCTTGACAAACTCCACGCCGTGATGTATGTCGTCCATCCGCGCCAGCATGTCGTTCACGGCCTTTTGAGTAACGACTACCAGGGGCGGTTCGCCCGACTTGAGCTGGGCGGGAGCAATTGGGAGCGCATCGAAATCGCGCTTGATAGCCCCCACCTGGCCGGCAAGGGTTGCCAGCTTCGCTGTGAGCTCGGCGTCCGTGTTTCGGTCCCGACAGTCGGCCGAGACCGCCGCGGCAGTAATACGTTCAAGGGCAGCACTGCGCAAGAGAAGTCAGTAATCTCGGCAGACCTAGTCACGCGGGGGAAGATTACATATCGGTAAAGTTCTCCTTCGCCAGTAGAGTACCCGAACTCCAAAAATCACAAGCGGCTCTCAAGACGTCGAGAGCATTACTTTCTGCGATTTCGTTCTCTTCTGACCTGTTTTCCTTCAAAACCTGGTTCGCCGCTTTCTAGGCGCGAAGAGCGTTTCGAACAATACCAGGGCTTTTATTGCAGGTGAGACCGGCTTCGTGGTAGCGAACATAACTGGGAGGGCCCGTATTTTGTTGCACCATGCATCGCTGGCGTCATGCATCGCTGGCGTTCTCTTGCAGAGTGAATGCAGGGGTACAAGCGCTCATTATCGCAGTCGGACTGAATGGAGCAAGTCAGTATACGGTAGCAGCGAGAAAGGGGTGGAGGTGTGCTCACAGTTTCCGAGTCCGCAACGGTAGCAACCTACTTGCCGCCATTTAATCCCCTCTGTAACGTACAGTTTAGTAGTAGCAAACGCAGTTGATCGGGGAGAGCACTTGCGTATATCGAGCCACGATACAAATTATCATCAACGTACCGCTTCCGTTTTGACCCGAGACGTAAGGACGGCGACTTGGAAGGAGTGGACGTAGTTTTCGCCACAGGAAGTGAGCCCGCGGCAGCAGTCGATCTCGACGGTCCGGCGCCCGTGTCCTCAATGTCAGAGGCTTCGCCATCAGATCCCGTGAGCATTGTTGAAGTTGAGGTGTCGATCTGTCTAGTGAGTGAGGTTATAAAACGAATGACAGATGCTTCACGTTGGTCAGCCTGGCCCTGCAGGCGACATGGTTGTTAGTTACGAGGTGGCGGGGAAGACTTACGACAGCAGGTGGGCGGTGAATGGAAGCGCGCCGTTGGCGTGGGTCGCGTAGGGGGAGCAGAGAAACTGCCAGCCCGACAGACAATAGATAATATGATCGATGGTAGAATACGCGATATACGTGCGGGTGAGGAAGTGATTGAAGAAGCGAACGGCGTATTCCCGGAAAAGGCTCGCGGCGAATGAAAGGTTCGGGCAACAAGGACGAAGGCGGGGCCAGGCAGAGTGAAGACTGGAGCCTGCTGACGTAAGCGAGAGGCTGCTTCTGTAAGGTGCGGTTACCCACTGGCTCCCACTAGGCGCACAGGTCTGTGCGCTTACATAAGCCTGAAATTCGCTTACATAAATCTAAAAATGCATCTAACGCAGCATTTACCCCGCGCAAAAAAAGGAGCTCTCAACACCAACGCCAGTCCATCACAATGTGTGCGCCTACATAAGCCTTACCCACTCCGGCTTCTTCTACCGCAGTACTGGCATTTTTTACGGTCGGCTACAACCTGCAACACCTCAACCAGTTCTGTTCGACACTCAGTGCACGATGTCAACACCCACGGTTCTGGTCGACACTCAGTGCACCATGCCAACACCCCCAGTTCTAGTCGATACTCAGTGCACCATATCAGCACCCCCAGTTCTGGTCGACACTCAGTGTACTATGTCAGCATCCCCACCACTCCTCGAGGCCCAACCGCCGCCCCAAAAGGCCAGACACGGAATTGCCTCTTCGGCAACAAATTCTGTTTTTACACCCAGGCTACGATAGCCTGAACGCGCTGCTCATTCTCCCTTGCGTTGATCCTGTAACATCGAATACGGTCATTGTCGACTACGGTGTACACCACAATACGGCGCTGTTGGCTTGCCAGATTATTGCTGGCAACGCTTTCAAGGGCACCTATCTCGCTCTCGATGAGGCAGGGAAGAAGCGAGTCCAGGTACCTCGAGAGGGCACCTTGCCAGACCCAGAGTACTACTTCATTGTGCCGGGCGAAGGTATTCTCAAACTCCTACCTCATAACGACCTAATCCTTTACTAATTCTCCTTAGACCCTCACCCAATTGTTCCCAGCTTCCAGGATTGGAAGTTTCCCCACGGATCCATCCCCGAATCGTGGCCTTCGGTTATCCCTTCCCAAAACTGGAACAAGGATTGTTCTCTCACGAACTCCAGATACTCGGTTGAAACTGCCCATCTTATCCCGAAATCAGAACGAGATTGGTATATCCGGAATGAGATGCACAGATACGATGGGGCCTATGACGATATCGACGACGCAGGAAACCTTATTCCCCTCAGAGAAAATCTACATACTACGTTTGACACTCGTCGATCGTTCGTCATTGTCCCAAAGGAGGTCGCCATACGCTCTGAGACTTCTGTCGACTCGGGCCGGGAATACGTCGTACACCACTTCTCAATGGACGATGAAGAAGTATGGCGCTTGCACCATACGGTAATTATTGAGACCCTCCACCATCGAGCTCGCCCTTATATCTTCGCCCGTTTCGCTTGGGCGGTATTCTCCAAACTCAAATTCTTCGTTATTGCAGGATTGAGACGTCGAACCATCCGCCTTGTTAAAGATACAGGAAGTGGAAGTATTGCATATCGGACAGATTGGACTAGTAGGGACGACCTCTAGTCGCTGTACAGTGCTAGGAGATCACAAAGTGTAAGCTCGAAGAGGAAGAAGACCCACGGGGAGAGTTCCGTCAATCAGGCGGGAAGTACCGTCAGTCAGCCGGAAATCGCTCGCCAATACCCATCTGATGATAACTTCAATAATTCGGTTTTTGCATCTTAGGTCGCGGGAATCAAAACACCGGATGCGGGGGATAAAGCTGTCTTCGACTCGGGCACCCAGGTAGCCTCGGCCCCCGCTCCCAAGGCAGAGAAGCACTTGCCCCTGGCTCTCAATGCAGAGGAGGACTTGGCCGCAGCTCTCGAGGCAGAGCAGGACTAGGCAGTGATGGAACAGAGCAGGGACTGTAACTTATATGGACAGCCAGAACATGATCCCGACAATAACACCGTAGCTGATATTACACTCCGTATTACTACATGAAGCCGAGCTGGCACGCAACGGTGACAAACTCGCCGACCTGAACTTCATCGACGTCAGTACACTGATGGCTTGCCAGTCCTGCATTCTCAACGCGGCCCAAGATGAGAGGTACATCGCCGGATAGATGGAAGAGGGAGCGCAGTTTCACTAAGTCAGGTGGTCTGCTTATGGAACACCCCTGGATTTGGAACAAGGTTTGTCATCAAGGACTTGCCGCTCGCCACCCAACTCACCTATTTCAATCGCTTGCAACTCGACCAATTCTGCTTCAATACTTATCTTCTTTTCTCCATTCAATTGAGAAATGAAAGATGAAGCGATATATTTAGTTGGATTTGCAGAATGCGCTGGCAGAGTATGCAGAAACCGGCTTACTCCGTAGCTCTGCTGAAAATCACGGCATCCCCCCTACTACTCTCTTTAATCGGGTTCGTGGTTCCGAGCCAGCCTCCAAGGCCCAAATTCTTAATCAAAAGCTTTCTCCGGCTATGGAAGAACGCTTAACCGAATGGATTCTATTCCAAGGGTCGCTCGGTCACCCTCCAACCCACGCCCAAATTCGGAAACTAGCTAGAAGAATGCTCGAAGATAACGAGACCCTCGGAAAACGCTGGACTAGCCGGTTTTTGGCTAGAAATCCATCTATTTCTACAATTAGGCCTCGGAGAATCCATGCAAACCGTGCTGATCGAGCCTGTGAGGCCGTTATCCGGCCTTGGTTTGACTATTTGAAGCCTCCAGGCGTGGAGGCTATTCCAGCCAAGCATAGGTATAATATGGATGAAACTGGCATTGCTTCTGGCATTGGAGATGACGGCCTGGTTGTTGGATCTAAGGAAAGAAAGAAATTCCAGAAAAAGAAGAAAGGAGACCGAATTTGGAACTCGATTATCGAATGTATTTCCGCTGACGGCCGGTATTTGAACCCAGTCGTCATTTTCAAAGGTGGAAGCCTTCAACAACAATGGTATCCACGCGATTTACAGCCATTTAAGGGCTGGAAGTGGAAACCCACTGAAAACGGCTGGTCTGACGATGATACTGCTGTCGCATGGCTCCGCAATATCTTTCTTCCAGAGACTCGGCCAGCTACCCCCTCGGAGAAGCGCCTCCTTATTTTAGATGGCCACGGTAGTCATACCACCGAAGAATTCATGTGGCTAGCCTTTTCTAATAACGTACAACTGTTATTTCTACTAGCCCACACCTCCCACGTTCTCCAGCCCCTGGATTTATCGGTTTTCGGCCCTCTAAAAGCCCGGTACAGAGCCAAGCATAACGAGGTTGTTTCCGGCTTCGACGAAGGCACTGTTGCTGAAAAGAGGGCCTTACTAGAATGCTACCGGCAAGCCAGGGTCTATGGAATGACTGAATCTAATATCAAAGCCGGCTGGAAAGCTACAGGCCTCTGGCCGGTCAGCCTCAGGAAGCCCCTAAGCAACGGCCTTGTTATTAAGAATTCTAACGGCGACGTTGGTCAACTGACCTCTACGGTTTCTATAGACCTTCAAGAGGTTCATAACCCCATTCTAAATAAGAATTCGGAGGGCCGGCCTATATGGTTTACCCCTAAAAAGCCGAAGGATTTCCGTATTCAGGAGCAGGTTTTTCTAGCCGGCCAGAAACGGACTACCAACGACCGACTTTTCATACGCAAGGCCGCAAAAGCCTTCGATTACGTGGTTTTCCAACTAGCCAATACGGCGCATCAATTGGAGGCTGCAGAAAAAAGCCTAGAACGCACAAGAGGCCGAAAGAGAAGGAAGGTCCAAGTCGACCCTAATACGCAGTTCGCTGGAATTGAGGAGGTTCGTGCCTCACAGAGAGAGGCTGGCAGAGAGGACCTTAGTTATTCTGAAAGAGAAGAATCAGGAGAATCCGATACTGAAGACTTCATCATTGTAGCTAATTAATTGACAAAGTTGTTGGCAATTGAAGTTTGTGGTGTTGTGCGGGGTCCGATTCAGGGGCTGTTCCATAGGCAGGGGTGTTCCAAAAGTCCCCCACCTGACTTAATTCTAGGAGCAACGGTGGTTGTACGTTCGGGTTATTCGCTTCCTCACCATCTTCAAACCCCTACATGCATACACATTTTTCCATGCCCAGTAGGCCCTCAGAGACGCCCACAGGCCAATCCTTTCTTGAAGATACGGATACCCCTAGCTTCGTGGATGTACGAGTTCCCAACGAGATAGATGTTTGTTGCAATTTGTAAGTGAAGGCAGGTACGCCTGATCAAGGTGGTCACAATGAAGGTACTGAAGTGAGAGAGCAATGACTGGTATTGATAAGTGTCGTCTAGAATTGACCCACTTTTCATAGAATTAGACAGGCCCTAGTTGACATGCCTCTGAGCTTCCTTCATTGTTTGTTATTTCCTTCATTCTTGACTCGGAATGTCCTCATTTCATTCGGAATGCCCTCTTTCGGGCTGATTACAACGCCTCCCTTGCCCTCTCTCCATGAGTATAAGGAAGCGTTCTTTTCTGTACTTTTAGACCTATTGAGCAGACAATTCAATGCGCTGTCAACTTCGATCGCGTGCAACAATAAGAGACTTCAATATGGCCCTCGCAAAGGAGAGGGGCGACGGCCTCTGCGTATATACATGACCAAGTGCAGGGCGGGCCATTGACAAAGGGGTGAAGTCGGGGCCCGCTTCAAAGGAGTGGGTTGGTCGCGTGCGCGTGGTGTGTGTAGAATAAGAGATACGAAAGACAACCAACTACTTGAAGTGGGCGAGGCTTTGCCCGTGGGTGATCCAAGCCTTCGCGGTATCGGCGCTGGTAACCCTGCCTAAACAACTTGGTACTGCTGCAGGAGCCCTTACAATAGCGTACTCATCCTTCACCCTGATGACTACTCCCGCAATGGTTGTCAATGGTATTCCCCACGGTACGGCATCGACAGCCTGCAAAGGATGAAAGATGAGCAACATCCGTACACCAGCTTTACTGACTTCTTGCAACGAGCCGTTGCTGTCTGGGTATGGTAGCGCGCTGTGCTGCTCAAAGAAATGGTATACGAGTTATCTCTTTCAATCGTTCGGCCGTCGCAAAAGTACCACCGTTCCTGCTGAGAGTATCAGCGGCCGCGTGGTAGAGCGTCCGGAACGACAGTTTGTCAGTATGTGCCCGTTTAAACCCGATCTCTCCCTTATCCCATGTCCAGCTGAAGAAGTTTTCCATTCTTTTGAAGAAGGACTTGTTACCCTTCACTATGGCGACCTCCCTACCGATTTTCCTAGCCTCGAGTTGTAGTGCCTCGAGACAGAAAGAACGGCCACTGACGGGCGTTGGGGGCTGTTTTACTTTCTCGCCAAGCAACTTGAGGAACGCCACTTGGCGATAGTTCTAGAGTATCAGGTGGACGCATTTCTCGAGAACAAATTCGGAAACTTCTCTGGGCGTCTGGTCGTTAATGATCTCTAGAAGCTCGTCGAGGAAGGACCGGGTCTCCTGGTACTCGACGACAGGCAGATACCTTGTGACGACTTGGAAGCCCGGAAGAGTCACACTGTCGATGTACTCTTTGGAGATCTTGAACTCTCTCCAGTCGACTGCGCCATGGTGGAAGAACCCGAAGCCAAACCGGTCCATCGTTTCTCGCAACCCGAAGCCGGGCTTCCTGGTTTCAATGTTGGAACGGCGTAGCGGGGTATTGAGCATCCAGGCTTCATTTGGCCAGAGGTGCGAGATGAAGTGGCGTAGACTAAGGACAAGCAACCCATGTAGTCTTGCAACCTCCAACGGTGTGACCTGTCTAGCACCATATAGAGCTCTGATGGTGTCGACCACTATAAGATGCTTGTAGATGTTACCCCGCAAGAAGTCCCTGAACTCGTTAGTCCTGTAGATGTAGAAGGCATCTGAAGGGAATGTGATGTTGTTCACGTCAGCCTGCACTTGCCCTGAGGAGACGACCTTGGTAGAAAGTCCGGAGTTCTGGATTCGCGTCTCCTAGGTAAATTCGCCGAGAAACCTGGCCCAACATTCGTCTTCTTCCCAAATGATGTGCGCGAAACCGACGGTTACCCGGAATTCAGGGCGCCATCCAAAGTTCTCGGTCCTGTTGTGTTTTAAAACCTCCCTAAGACGCTTTCTGGACCGGATTTCCGCGCTCTTAGCGTGCGACCGGTCCTTGCTTGTCTTTTGGAGGATGTTGATGCTGTGGCGTTAAGCTATTTCTCAGCTCCTCCTAGCGCCGCCATGAAATTTTAAATCCAAGGACGAGACCTCGCATTTCCTGGACTCCGCTAGATGGAATGGCCGTGATCCCAGTCTCACATAATGCCCAATCCTCCAGCCTTGGAATGTCTCACGGTCGGATAAGGCCCAGTACTTGGTTTCGCGTCGGAATTGAACGTCCCGGAAAGTCACCGATAAGCGCTACGGAAATGAATAAATAAAACCGCTATTGTAAAATTTACATGTGATGTCCCTTTCGGCATACTCCGGGCGGGCTCTAGTCTGAATCGGAGAAGAAGCTTTCCTCCCCAACCCCGTCTCCATTATTAGCCTCTGATCCATCCTCGTCTTGCAACTCGAAGACCCTTGGTTTAGGGCTCGTATTGGCTCCATTTATCACCATCTCCCATACGCTCTTGGACTGGAACGTTGAAATTTCCTCTGCGCTTAGAAGTGTGAGGCCCAAAGTTGGTGGTAGGTCCTTCTCTTCAAGGATAGGCTCCACCATGTTGCGTAGTGTCTCAGAGCAGAGGTCGGAGATACCAGGAAACTCCTGCGTCATCCTTGTAATGATTGTGGAAAGTATTTGCTCTTCTTCTTTTGCTGTTACGTTACGTACCCGACGGAAGAGTACAAGCAGCCTACTCCGAGGTATGAACGCCAATACTCCTCCAAAATGCCGAACCAAGGTGAGAAGGGGTTTGTAGCGAGAGGCAGTGATGGTGAATTTCTTGTTGGTAATACCCAATTGGTGTGCAACGAACGATGTTAGTTGTGACTTATGCGTACTGACCCGTTTACCAACGAGTTTCTTGTCGGTGAGGAATTTTTGGAAGGTCTCAGAACGGCGAAGGATTTTGAGTTCGTCCAACCGGGTCGCGTCCTGTAAGTTGATGGATTCCCAAATCCGGACCAGCTCGAGGTGGGCCTTGAGGTGCCGCAAGTCTCTACACCTTGGACCTTCAGTCTCTTCCAGTTTTATGAAGCCCCATAATGATACAAACCGGAATAGTGTCGTACAGCCCAACTCCTTGAGCTCAGAAGAAATGGTTGTCGATATCGTCGACACGGTCTCCAACTCTTTACGCCTTATATAGTACTCTTTGAACAGCGACTGGCAGTTGTCCAATCCTTTCCCGATAAATATGTGGCTGAGTAGTAGGAGGACTGCCAAAATTTCATTTTCTCGGTCGGCCATCTCGGGCTGCTCCAGAACCTTATTGCTAACGGTCTGGACGACGGAGCAGGGCTGATAGCACTCCTGGTTAATAATTAGGGGAGCCCGGGCTTGAAGAGTCTCGACAAGCTGGCTAAGTGTGGACACCTCGACTTTCTTCTGCCGTTTGGCTTTCGGCTCGATACTGGATGTAGCAATTCTCTTGCGACCGCTGCTTGTACCAAGTTCATCCTCGTCATCATCACTATCGTTGGTATTGATGTCGTCCTCTGATCCTGCGACGCTGCCGTGTTGAGATCTTGCGACGCTGCCGAGTCGAGATCCTGCGACGCTGCCGGGTTGAGATCCTGCGACGTTGCCGGGTTGAGATCCTGCGACGTTGCCGGGTTGAGGTCCTGCGACGTTGCCGGGTTGAGATCCGGCGACACTACCGTGTTGAGATCCGGCGACGCTGCCGTGTCGAAAGGGTTCGTTATGCTGGGTACCGTCCCCACGATCGTCGTGCTGGGTACCGTCCCCACGATCGTCGTGCTGGGTACCGTCCTGGGATCCTGGAAAAGATCTGTTATTTTGTAATAGCAGCAAAGTAATTTAGAATATACATACCGCCATAAGATTCTCCGATTCCCGATTTCCGCGCGCTTCGTAAGAATGTATCAATTTCGCGGAGTGCGACGGAACGATGTTCGGGCTCTAGCGATTTGCAAACGTGGGCGAAAAGACGCTTCAACTCTGAGTTGAACTGTTTGAGAGTATATTTGGGTGTTTCTTCGCCTCCACTACTCGTTTGCGTCGTTTGGATTGCTGGATTCAAAGTGGGAGTGGTGAAAATAATAGGTGGTATTATGGGTGGTACGGTAGCATTATGGGTAGTACGGAATAAAAATAAGGAAGAGGAAAAGAATACGTTTGGTAGTTTATGGCGTCGCTCTGAAAATGGTTAAGGAATGAGCCAAAACATTTAGTGGGTTTAGTGGCTTCCATCCACTATTTAGCGGCTTCATTACTCCTGCTATCTCTTGAGAAAATTGTCGCTTTCCTTCGCGCGCGAAGCCAGAACCTAGAAGAAAGGGCATCATCCCCAACACGGGCGCCCGACCCCGCGATAAAACGCGTTGTCCGTACCTAGGTGTAATTCTCGTAAATGCCACAATAATGACTACATGCGTATAGCTAAAATTTAGAGCGTAGAAGGATTAAGGCTTTCTAATGTAAAATAGTACGTTCAATTTGACGAAGAACTCGTAGAATTGTAATTAGATAAATATGAAAATTGGGTGTATTCCTTAGGTCGGGAATAATAACGTCAAAGACTACATTAACGTATTTAATTATATATAATTTGATAAGCACCGCATACGCGTAGCTATAACTTTAAACTAATATAGAAGCTTTGAAGGCCTATTTAAATCCATAGAGCGTATGTTAACCGACTAAGAATTTGTTAAGATCTACAGATAGATAGTAAGACCACGCTTTTCCTTCTGTAAGGAAACCACCTTCGTAGCCACCATGGCCACCGCCACCAGGGCCACCCTCGCCACCATCGCCACTATCGCCACCCCTACCAGGGCCACGCACTATCGCCACTACCACCCTGGCCACGCAAGGATGGCTCGTAACCCCTTTCACGTGTATATAGACCATGGCCTTCGCACACCTCTTTAGCTCAGGCCAGGTTGAAGTCTTACGCCAATACCAGTCATTGCTCGCCTTGCTTGTTGCTCCTATTGTGACCACCTTGATCAGGCGTACCTGCCTTCTCTTACAGATTCGTAACACTTCACTTACACCTAGGACTAGCCCAGGGCACCCCGTCCCTACAGTCCGCCCAGTAGAATCAAGGGGTTCGTCACACCCTACTAAGACTAGTTTTTTATTACTATAGCTCTCTTTATATAAAGTCCTTCGATAGCGACCTTAATTAAGAATCCTGCTACTTGACCGATGTGAATGCTATCGCTTATTCGCATCCCGAACCCTACGCTATCTAGGATCTTAATATCGGTAGTCTTCATCGTCATCGAGGTCTCGTCCTGCTCCTCAAAGCGCAGCCTCGAAGCCCTTACAAGAGTCCAATCCATCTTGGTCTTGCGAATCTCACTATCAACGATGTTGTGGTCCTCGAGCGCGTACTTGATGTTGGTTGAGCCCATGAAAACCCTTGATAGCCACGGCAGATTGGGCCATGAATCCCCGGCGCCTGCGGTGGACATGACGACAATGCGAAGCACGCCGGCGTCCTCCAGGACCTCACAGACGTTTGCGCACGAGTCGGCTAGGAAGCGAGGGGCCGAGACCTGAGGCGCGAAAGGGCTGTCGGACTTGCGGACTGTGTTCAATGTGATGATGGCTGCAAAAGGCGTCAGAGATGGTGCCGCGGACAGTGCGCTTTGTATATCGGTTTTTGACAGCGGGGAGCCGGTGACGACGGTGAGTCCAGAGCGAGGGGCGAGGCTGCCGGAGACGCGAACCAAGGCCACCGCTGTATGACCTTGGGCGAGCAGTTGAGATACGACGTGCCGGCCGGTCCGTCCAGTTGCGCCGAGGAGGAGGAAATGCATAATCACCGATGAGTCAAGTGCCTTTCTGCAATCGTCTTCTGAGTTTGCAGATGGATGATGGATGCTTCAGTATCAAAGGACGGGGTTGCGGGCTTATTTATGGACTCGCCCACCATTTTCCCTCTTCAATGTCAGGAGTCGGGTCATAGACGGGCAGCCGCTAATTGGTTTGCTCGGTCCGCATTCCAGAAGCGGAAGCCCGGCGTAATCTTCTTATCTATGGACACCGCAGTCTAGCTTCTTCCCTAGCTGCCGGAAATGCGCTAAGTGCCTGGTTGGGTGCGACAGGCTGAGAGTGCGATGCGCAAGTGATGGACAGGAACTGGGCCATCACCTTGCAAAGATTGCGCGCCACCTTGCAAAGAATAATTGGCTACCTCAACCACAACGGATCCTATCTATGGACGTTCTATAAACCCCAACTCCTTCGCCTACGGCTGTAGCTATTCTCCTCAACCGGTCGTTCTCGGTCCGCAGCTCGGCTTCCAGGTCAGATGAAGAGTCAAGTGCCAGCAGGATGACAATTTTCAGTATCTGATGGAAAAGGCGCATGAAAGACACGGAAAGTAACTCAGAAGATGCCATCTCTGCCTGGGCCAGTTCAAGCTCAGTAAGCCACGATTCTAGCGAGTCCATCAAAGCTCCTTTCTCAGATTGCAGCCCAAGGGCATTTCCCGCGGATTCGAGACTCGACACTTTGTCGAGGAATTCAATCGCCGAGGCAGCGATCCTCGTAAGCCCCGGCCGCATGTTAGGTGCAATTGGCCGAAGACTGCTACCTTCCACATGCTGCTGATGCGACGCTGTCGGACAAAGAGCCGCCGCTGCGTTTGTGTCGGCCGTTGCGGGAAGATCCACAAACTTACAAGGTGCAGCGAACAGCTTGATGATGAAGACATCTAGGAAAGGTAGCGGACGTTTGCGTGCTGGCACCAGGTTATCCGCGGCAATAAGATTCGGCCTGGCCCGATATTCCTGCATGATCCCGAGTCCTTGAATGATGTGTTGGGCCATGGCAGCGTAGTTCCCCCGTACTTGCTCAATGCTGATGAAGATCTGACAGCAGAGCAATGCCGATTTCACCCCGTCGGAGCCAAGGGAAGACAGGTTTGAAGCGAGACCTCTTAAAGCTATGCAGTATTGCTCGGTGCCATATTCATAGCCCGGCGTCTGCTGTGTGACAGACGCTGCAACGTCGCCGGACGACTCGACATGTCCCCGTAGAGCTTTTAGAGATAAGACTGCATGTCGTATTGCCGGATGAGTCAGGCTGGCTTGAAGAACTTGCTTGGCTTCTTCGCTACAGCCCAGGTTCACGTCGAACATGGTCTTGGTTGAGAAGTAGCGATTGAGAAGTTCGACATCCTGGAGTGCTATCTCGGTCAAGTTGGTAGGCTGGCGGGGTTGCAGAGCGCCGGCAGCATTTGACTTGATGGCGCCAGCGTGGCCGTTGTTATTTAGTGGACTTGTGAAGAATCTAAAGGGAGACTTGTACCCCTCGCAGGTACGACCAGTGCTGATACACTTTTGGCAAAATGGCTTCTTCTCGTCACATTTGATCTTCCTTATCCTATTACTCGTGAGTGAGAATGATCGCAGGCTAGGGATAGGATTTGAGGCGGACCTGCAGGTTGCACAGCCCGTTTTCACCTTAGTCGTGGATTGCTTGTTCTGTTTGCGGGCGACAAGCTGGCCTCCGGCCATGTTGAGGCGGGGTGTGGGGCCCAACAGGGTAATCTGTATGTAGGGAAGAGATAAAGATGCGGAACGGGCAAGAAATCCGAGTTAACGAACCAAGTAATAGATGGATTTCGCTTTGTCGCCGCGAGGAAGACGCGAGCCGGTAGCGCGAGCAAGTCGCGAGCAAGTCGCGAGCAAGACGCGAGCCAGTGCCACTTCCTACCAAGGGCCATTGGGGGCCATTTATGACTGCCACCTGAGCCGAGATGGTCTGTTGGTCGAGGCTTCCAATCCCTGTTGCAGAAGAAATCAAGCCGACAATCTCTTGGGGTGGAGAGCGATCGGGACTCTATTGGATGGCGGAAAAGACAAACCCCACACATCCCGTAAGACCCCTGTGAGCAGCACTAGCTTGGTTGGGTAGCGAAAGCGAACTCACCAACCATAATACTCCGTAGTTATGCGTGGGGTTGAACTCCTCAGCCTTACGCAGTTCTCGAACATTTGTGCAACCTGCGCGATTGCCGAAGCTCCATTCCGAGCCGAGGCCGCCTCCCTGCCTCGATTGCATTGAGTATTTACATACATGCTGGCCCAGTCTCTTCTCTATTCAGTTGGCGGTCGTGCATGCAATGCCAAGGCTCGTCAACATCGCCAACAACGCTGGACTCGTGTCGAAACTCGTTAACCCTCGCCTCTCCAAAATGCCGGCCTTTACTCTCTTTGGCGCTCGCGGTTCCACCAACACCGATCGCGTCCGCCTAACTCTTGCCGAAGGCAGCTTTACGGATTACGAAATCGTGCTTCTCGACCTGCAAAAGGGGGAACAGAAGGTGGGTGAACGGGATCCCCGAAGACGATGAAAAGCGATTAATTGGGTAATTATTCCATTGCTAACGCCGCCACCCACAGTCAGACCAACATATGAAGCGCCACCCGTGGGGCAAAGTGCCAGTCATCGTTTTCCCCGAGGGCTTCACCCTCTACGAGAGTCGCGCAATCTGCAAATACCTCGCGAGGAAGTACTCGTTTCCACTCCTGCCCCCGGACTCTGACGTCGAAGCCGTCGCCCTGTTTGACCAGGCGCAGTCCGCAGAAATACTCTACTTCGCCGACTCTGCAGGCAAAATCGCATTTGAGAAATTTGCCAAGAGGTTCATGGGGCTGCCCCCCAATGAAGCCGTTGTCGCAGATGCGCTACGGTCGATCAACGCGTTTTTCGACGTGGCAGAAGGCCTCTTGCAACACAACGACTACATGGCTGGAAAAGACTTCACACTCGCAGACATCTACTACATCCCCCTAATCCAGAGGCTCTTTGCGTGTGGGTATGGAGACGTCATCCTCGGTCGCAAAGCTGTCGGCGCTTGGTGGGACCGCTGCATCAATAGGCCCGGCATACAGATAGTGTTGGCGGCGGACAGAGAGGCTTTGGCTGCTGCTCGCAGATAGGTTGGGATCAATCAGAGTTGCTTCAATTTGTGATGCATGGCTGCAAGATGATAGATCATGCCAGAAAATAAGAGGGCATCTCCCTCGTTTATAAATGATTCTCTATTCTGCTGTCGCCCCTGTACTGTCCCATAGACCGCCATCAAGAGCCGTCGTCAAGCGCTGTACCCATCTAAGGAATAACCTTCACATTCCCCATGCCAAATAAGCCAACTTCCTTGATCTTAGACGTTTCGAGCGTCTCAGCTAGCTGTGCTATACCATCCCCCACCCCCCACCCGATCACCCCTTTTACACCAAAACACTACATCTTTGAACAACGACTACGTAGTCAATTATGAAGCTATTCACAAGCCAATGACGGATTTGGTTAGCTGCATGCATATATTTTAAGCTTAATATAGATTTGTCAGCCCATGGGCCCTACAAATCTCTTTGGCGCCTCGCAAATAAAGCGTAATTTAAGTTCCTTGTGTTCTCTTGTCCCTACCTATGAGTGTGTATTATATTGTACTGCCACAATGCCTACCTACACCGAAGACGACATGGCGAATGCCTACCTAGATGTAACGGATAACAAGCTTTCTATTCGTCAGGCTGCTCAAAAGCACGGCGTACCGTACACAACACTGAACAACCGGCTCAACGGCATCCCGGCCAAAGAAGAGAGCGTTCAAACACCCCCTAGGCTTACAGAGCCTCAAGAAAAGCGGCTCGTGGAGTGGATCATCAAGCAAGAGAGCCTCGGCTATGCGCCTTCCTATTCACAGGTTTCTAGCATGGCTGAAAGGCTCTGCAAATCAGTAGGCGATTTAGAGCCTATTGGAAAGAACTGGATTACTGGCTTTAAAGCCCGGAATCCCGCTATTCAAAGCAAAGTAGGCAAAAGAATGGAAGCAGCTCGCTTCAACGGCTTTACTCCTAAGGCTGTCAACTGGTATTTTGACATCAGGGAGAAAGAATACGGCTGGATCAGTCCTCGGCTTACCTTCAATATCGATAAGGCCGGTATTATGGCGGGCTTTGGTAAGAAAACAACGCCTATTGTCTCTTCCTATGTTAATGCTATATAGGGCTTGATTCATTGGTCCTAGGGACCTCAGAGACGAAGAAACCCTTCCTAAAAAGCGACCAAGGCCGCGGCTGGTCCACTATGATTAAATGCATCGGTGCTACGGGTACTCTACTTAATCCGGGCATTATTTTTAAAGGAAAAGACCTTCAGACCTCTTGGTTTGAGCAGGAGATGGAGAAAATTGCGCCCTGGCGCTTCGTTACCACTGAAAAGGGGTGGTCTGACAACCAAATAGCGATCAGGTGGCTTGAGGACATATTTCTTCCACAAACTGACGCCCTACTGGAATACCCCTTTGAAGCCCGGCTTATTATTCTCGATGGCCACGGTAACCAGACAACTGTAAGAGACAAGTCCCGTACCCTCTTTGGCCCAGTTATCTCATAGTATATATATAGGATGAGTTTATGACGATGTGCTTCCTGAACAACGTATATCTATGCTTTCTTCCGGCCCACAGCTCTCACGGCATACAGGCGCTTGACAACGGACCGTTCAAGGCGGCCAAGGCTTACTATAGACGTGGGCTGGCTAAATTGGCGAGTCTAACGGACTCAGCACCAGTGGACAAGATCAACTTTATTCGCTGCTATAAAGTTGCTAGGGAGGAAGCATTCACGGAAAAGACCATCAAATCATCATTCCGAACGACTGGTAACTGGCCTATTAGTAGGCAAAAAGCCCTGAGGCACCCAGAAATACAGCAAGACAAAGAAAAGACCCCCGATCCCCCGGTACTTACCGGGACCCCTAACGCCCCGACTACAGGGCGTCAGGTCAAGGATTTGGGCAAAGGAAGCGGTCCAGGTACAAGATGGAAATTTGAGAAAGCGGCTCGGGCCGTTGAAAAGCTTCAAATGGAGCTTATTATCAAGCAGACTCGCATAGAGGTGCTTGAGGCTGAGCTGGAAAGGCTGAAGCCAAAAAAACGACGCAAAATTCCCAATCCAAATAAGCGATTTATGGATTCGGGTACTATTTTACAAGGCGGTGAGCTTCCCGCAGAGCCCCAAATTGAGGCTGAAGCAGAGCCGCAACCTGAAGAGATTGAAGATGAAGAGGATGACGAAGATGAAGAAGATGAAGAGGTTTTGCCGGTAAGAGTGACCCGATCTGGCCGTGTAACGCAGCTTCCTGCTCGCTATTATGATTGAGCATGTAATTAGCTATATTTTGATATATTTGGTATACGGATAGCTTCAAAATTGACTGCGTAGTCGTTTTTCAAAGATATAGTGTTTTGGTGTAAAAGGGGTGATCGGGTGGGGGGTGGGGGATGGTATTAGTTTATTAGTCATGGCAAGAAACTTCGCGGGCCACGCTTTCATAAAAACCCAGCCTAACCTCTGTTGCTCGTGATCTAAATATCATTTTCACGCTCGCACAGATAGCGCGATTGGTGGAATCGTCGATGGGCATTTGCATGTGGACCCCGAGATCCCTATTATCGCCCGCACAGCGGGCGGTGCATTTGTTGAGAAATGACCTTCTTTGGAGACGGAAAAATTCCGCCATCAAGTTGATCCAGCACGTCCAGTCTACGGAGTATTGCTAAGAGACGAACAGACTACGCCAACCTTCATTCGGGAGCACCCAGGTTCGAGCTGAGACATTGAGACACACCTATTCACGTCGCAGAAAGCTTAAAATAAACAGGCATTGCCCAAACCCAATGGACCAAGTTGCACCGTGGCCGCTTTGGGATCGTCCTAGACGGCGGGTTCCGGATTGATTATTGGACGTCCGGATGCACATAAATGTACCTACCTAAGGATGTAGATAATGATTCTTCATCTTAGCTAAGATCTTAATTGTTTCGTACATGTGATGGTGTCACTCTTTGCACATATTTGGGCTGCTCCAGGTGACGTAAGCTCGGGCGGAGGGTGTTCTCTAATCTTCGCCCTCGAGTTAGGGCCAGATAATATTGACAAAGCAGCGAGATAATTAGGTGCTCGCCTGATTTACTCGTGATATGTCTTGAGCTCGGTGATTTCCTTGCACGTTTGTGCGACGAAGCCGTAAAACCAGCCTCCCCAATGACCGGGAAGTTGGAACTGGCCCGGCCCGGAGTGAGTCGGGCAACCAAGCTGGAAACTCGAACTTTCGGTGGGTTTATTAGCGCTCGTGGAGCACCATTCTGATGACATAACGGGGTAGTCAGCGAAACTCTGCCTCTTTACTGAGGATGCGGGCCGCTGTCGGCAACACACTCGACCCCACAAACAAGGGTTACGGGGATTTAACAGAAAAATACAGATAACTCCAAGTGCACACTTGATCTCAGCCGGGCCCGAACTGCGGGAAGGTGTAAAATGGGCAAGATATAAACTACCGCCGACCTGGAAATTGGAATTCTCACTCTGGCTTGAATTCTTCTGCATTGTCATTCAAACTTCAAACATTCCGGATCCCAAAACAGACGCTCCAACTCGCCCAATCGTCCACAACTAATTAGAATCAAGATAGAAACTATGAAGAAGACCAGTAAAACGGCGCTCATGGTCATGGACGTGCAGGCTGGGTTCGTGTCCGGCCTCGTGCTGCCGTCCGTCTTTCTGCCTCTTCTGGCCAAGACAATTGACACGGCGCGCCCCCTGGTTGACCTCGTAATTTACACCACCGTCGCCTTCCGCTCAGGCTATCCCGAGATAGCGCCCAACAATCCTACTTTCAATGTCGCCATCAAAACCGGCACCTTTCTAGAAGGCTCCCCAGAAACAAAAATAGTCCCAGCTGTCGCGCCCAAGCAGGGCGATATTCAGCTCGAGAAGAAGCGCGTCAGCGCTTTCAGCGGTAGTGGATTGGACGTCATTCTGAGGGGTTCGGGCATCGACACTCTGGTCTTGGCCGGCATCACCACCAGTGGCGTGGTCCTGTCCACGCTTGCTGAAGCATTCGATAGCGATTTCAACCTTGTGGCCCTCAAGGACCTGTGTGCTGATAGCAACGTGGCGCTGCACAATGCTCTAACTGCTGGCCTGTTTCCGAGCAGGGCCCAAGTTGTGGGTGCCGAGGATTGGTTGGCGTCGCTGAAAGCTTGAGGCAGGAACAGTACTGTTGGAATCACCAGGTACCGGTACTGGAATCAACAGGGCGCGCTGCGCGCCGTATACTGGTGGTTCAAGTGTTGGATTTCGTTGATGTCTATGTAGATCTAAGAAGGAAGGTGGAAGTGGCCTACGGCCACTTATTTAGGTTCGGTGACCCTGCGCCCCTGCGCCTCCACCGCCACATCTGTGGCTGACTAGCGCGTTGTTCCAACAAGTACCCATGATACTAAGCTCCATGTAGTTGGGTCACGGGTGGAGGGAAGGTTATTACTCGTGTACTGAAGTATTGACGATCGAGATTGCGCATGACCCCAATTAATGCATCAAACTCCGCCCCCGATTATTATCTTCTTTGGCCCTTTGAGACGGAATCCGAATGGCATATGTCATTCAGTGCTGACAACTAGGTGCTTCTCACAGCTTACCGTAGCCCTACAAACAACTCTCAGGGCGTCTGACCGCCACGCACGCATATTAATTGATCAAATAATTACTGATTAAAGAGAGAAATGGTTCTGGTCCGGGTGAGGTACCCTCCATGCCGAACAACACCCAGTCTATTATTCTATAAATTGAGTAGTAGAGTAACTCTTTAATTAGCTAAGGCTTATAAATATATTCGACGATCACACGTACGGTCTTAGATAGGGTCATGGTTTGGCGCTGGGTGATACAGAACGTGCAGTGTTGTAGTACAGTACCTACGTCCCTATCTACCTTACAAGTAGTTGTCGGCCTGCGGTTGAAAATTGAGGGCTTGGGATCGGCACCGCTTAGGCTGGCAGATGTCAGATATTATGCAGTGCACATATGTACACTACGCAATGAGGTAGGACTACTACTACTAACACAGTACGGAGTATGCAGGGTTCTTGGTGCCGGACTTAAAGATGGCTTAGCTCCTGGCTCGGCACCGGTCCGCTCAGTCCTGCTCGCCTCATCGGCCAAAATGGCTTGGCGGCCTTGGCTCAGCACAAGCAACAACCGGGGGTGCTTCCGTTGAACAAATTTGGGTCCGTGGCTGTTGTGTTTGCTACCGCGACATGACTTCCCTTTTGACTGCTTCCAACTCTCGGCGCCAACAGCAGAATTCATCACGCGCTCAAATGAATCACCCAAGGCCATGAACGCGCACCGTCGTTATGGATCATGCTGATAACGATTCTGGGCACACGCCCGCTTGTGCGACAGAGGCAGACACGTCATGGCCGATAACGAGGCAGCGGCTACCGACAGCCCGAGAGCCAAGCCGGCCGAGACGCGAAGAGCTCATGAGACACCCCCTCAACACTCACGGGACAGAAGCGATGGATCCGGCATCGTTGCAATGGCCTATTTCGCTAGTCTCTTCTCCTATCTGGCAATCTAGGTCTTGGCACACAGAACCGCTTGGGACCCAAGGGGCACTGCTGAGTTTGAGAAACTTACAGAGCGCGGGCTGCAGCGGCATTGTATCTCTCACAACCCGTGTTCTCAGAACGTCAGCGACCCTGTGACGGCCTGTGGGATAAATTACATCGCCATGGCCACGGCCGCTGTTAACCTAGTCAGGTTTTATGTCCTGGAGTTGCCCCAGTCCTTGGCGAGCTCTTGACGCAACGCCACCTCAACCGGCATTGGCTATTTTCATTTGTCCTTGTTTTGGCCAGCGTATTCGCAAACCCCTTTCAGCCCCTCTGCCCGGAATTCGCCGTTGAATCTCTAGCGACGACGGTATACTGCGCTATTAACTTTGCACAATTGATTCAAGTTACGTACCTACCTTACCTAAAGCTCTCAAGGTAATTACTGTACTTGGCCCTCGACAATTATCCAATCTCTTCCACCCACCCCCCAAAATCCCCCTGAGCAAACACGCATAACACAAACCGTTGTGTAGATACCTACCTACCTAATTAAGGAGTCATCAGTTGCCAAGCTAGCTGCCGCAGCGTGAGACGCAACCTACCCAGCCGGCCCTGAACCAGCAGCTTCAGAAAGTCGATTTTCTCGTGCCCCACAACTTCCTGTTCGCCGACCAGCAGCTTGCAACTCTACGGCGCCACCCCCAGGCTGCCGACAAGTGCCCCTCCTCTTTGTCCATGGCTGCCGGGTTTCGCGCGCGGGGATAGTGTCCTGTCGCCGTTGCCGTCATCCTTGTTGTGGTTGCTGTTCCGGTCGCAAGTCACTTCTCGCTGCGGCGACGGTGGCACTGGCCTCGCGCTGCTCGAAATCTTGCCCAGCACACGCACAACATGATCGATGACCATTACCAGGAGCAACAAGAGACCGGAGCGGTTTCCAGTACACATCTCGCACGAGAAAACCTTCGTGGCATGTTGTTGAACGCCCGGCTTGACTCGCAGAACCGTGTCGATGGTCGAAACCTGGCCGTCCGTCTTGTTTTTGTCCAGCTGGGAAAGCTCGGCCAAGATGGATGCATAGCAAGTGAATGTCCGGTTCTCGGGCCGAGGCTCTGACTCTATAGACGCGCCCGGCTCGGTCGCGTCGGGCTCGGTGAACCGACGGCCCTTCAGCGGCTGTTGTTCTTGGTGCTGGTGCGGGGGGCCGCTTTGAGGCGAGTGGAAATCAAGCGTGGGGTCGATAACGCCCAATGCAAATATCCGGTCGGTTCCATGCTCGGCCGTCAAGTCCCCCGGGAAGATGGAGTGTGCACTGGCGAGCACCAGGCTGGTCGGGTAGGCAAATGCCACTCTCTCGTCCAAAGGCTCAGTCTGGTCCCACATGGACAAGCCGGCGAAACTGAAGCTGGAGTCGGATCTCACCCTTGACCCAGAACTGCTGCTGCCGAAGTCGACACACTCGGGCGAGCCAAAGTCTATGTCGAAGGAGTCCAGGTCTGTGATAGGTCTTGGCTTGTCCTAGCTCAGAGCCAGCATTGAACCGTGGAATAACTTCGGCTGCATGGTATCGACGACAGGGAAGGGGATCAGGGATGGCACGACATCTAGATCCATTGCACTGCTAGCATCCCCCCCGTTGTATTACGGGTTAGAATCTGTGTTTCTTCTCCTGCTCTTTTGTTGTTTCGACCCGTTCCCTCCTGTCTGGAGCCGTCGAGGCTGGCCCATGCGCCGCGAGAGACTGTAGACATATTGAATCTTAATGTGACTGACAACGGCGGCACTGTCGGCTCTCGTGGCTACACCGCACTTTGGCGTCTTGGCAGGAATCACAGGTGGAACAAAGCTTTGGCTGCTTGCCCCCGTTTGCGTCCTTCGGCGCCGAGCCAGATGTAGCTGATGCTGATGCTGATGTTGGTACTCTTGGTGCTGGTATCGGTGTTGCTGTTATTATTGTTATTGGTGCAAGCTATTTTGCTCGCCCCTTGGTCTTTGCACGCGGATCGTGCACTTGTGCATGATACGCGTCCTAAGTATCCAGCGTAGCTATCTACCTTAGGTGCCTCAGGTAGGTATCGACCACTACCCAACCATGGCCTGTCCCCCAGGCGGGCCATGTTTGTCAAAATGTTTCCTCCCGAAGACTGTCCCCATTTACCGTGTTACCAGAATTTCTCAGTACCAGATCCACATTAGTGGTTTACCTTGGCAATTCCTACTTTAAATGGCCGAGTCGTTGCTTGACTGTACATCTAGTGCTTATAATATCATTCATATACAGGCATCTTATTAGCCAATACTAATGTGCCGAGGCAATGGGCATCAACCGGTCCACGGACTAAGGACACTCGAGACGCGTGGTCTCCGAAACAACACTAGACTTCGGCGGTTAGGGCCATAGTACTTGCCGCTGCGTACGTGCGAACGCGCGGGATCCTCTGGCCGATGTGAAGCCCACCTCCACTATCCGGCCTTCGATATCTTGCCTTCCGCTTACCCTTAGCCATTCTACGACTCCCCTTCCATCTAGTATTATCCCACAGCTCCACCTGTGTGTGGTTAGTCGTTATTCTCGGCCACTGCACCTGGAAAGCGAGAATGTCCCTGCTGAAAACAGCAAAATCTAAATACACTAACCTAGTACGAACCAGCGTTGTTGCAATGGAATAAACCTACCTACCCAATGACTAATTAACCTGTATATCGTTCTAGTATTTTATTCGCGACTTTGCCGAGTCTCTTCACTCAAGCCTCCTTTCATTGTCTGCCCCCCTAACTCCACTGGCTCCTTTTCGCAACATATCTGCGTCTCCTCTCCTATATTTCAGTTACCTCTTGAAATGTCTCTCCTTTCGCGGCCTCAATCCCTAAGCTCAGCCGGTGAATTGGCCATGGAAGCTCCCTCCAGTCTCCCTTCATCCTCGTCCAATCGGCTACTGGCAAACGATGCCCCCCGTGAAACTCTGCATTCGGTAAGAACCCCCAACTTCTCGTCCGTGATCAACCTCTTCGCTCGCCCCTACACCACATGGGCCGCTGTAACATCATGTCCCCACTGCCGCTTCGACCGCCACGCTCTGCTTCTGATGCCTACTCTCGCCAAGCAGATTATTGGCGTCTATGAGGCTGTAGGGTTGGCCTATGGAGTTATTTCCTGTTCACTGCCACCTACCCAGGACAATGATACCATGTGGTTGGATATGATCATATGGGTGCGGCTCCTAGGAACGTGTTTGAGGGTGTGACGTGCGAAAAGTCGGGGATGAGGCTGGGCAATCTGGAGCTTGAGGAAGATGAGGCTACACTCTTATCGCGGGACCTCCTGAGACAAGGAGTCATGAATTTGGGAAGGCTATTGGGGGAGTTGCACGTTGCCGTCAGTGAACTTTCTGGGGAAGGTGGGTTCAAAGAACTGGCACGCTAAAGGTGGTCGAGAACAGAGTGGAGGGTGTCAGGACTCCGACTCGTTTGACGCCACGGCACGCTGAGGAGAAGCTAGTCAGCTTGTTGGGCATGCTACGCTGATCCCACATTGAAGGGGTGAAAAGGCACCACAACAAAACAAACCAGAAACAACACCAAGGCGAGCCGCAGGCAAGCCTTACAGAGTACGTGTACAGGATTCAATAGCCAGGTAGTCAAAACAACAAAGAAAAGGCACTACTATGTGGCCTGTGGATCTCAATTCAGGGTAAAAGGACGTGGTTTCTAAAGAGTGGCTGGAAAAGAAGGAAAGAGCGTAACCGGCCCTCTGATCTGAGGGAGGGCAGGCCAAGAAAAAAAGGAAAAAAAGTACACTAGATTACATTGGGTAAGGGTGTAAACAGCCCCCTTCTTACCCGGCCCTTGAACCCCTGGTCAACATCCATACATAGGTATATAGATCTAAAGCGACTTGAATGAAAGGTAAAGAACTGGCATCGAAAACTCCATCCGAATAAGACATTATTAACACAAGTATCTTAACGAGACAGGCAACATGAGATGATCGCATCTTATTCTCACCACCGGCTAAGCTCATAAATATTCCGCCATGGCCTAGATATCTAGACTTTCTTCCTACAAGCCCTACAGCCATGCATTTCCCACCCAAAGAAAGAGAAGGTTCTGCTTCCGTGTTCTTCTCACATGCTTGCCGCCACCCAATCCCGCTCCCCAATCACACCAACACGACCGAGTTCTTCATTGCTGCCGGACCTCATCTAGGTGTAGGTCTAGTCCGTGTTGCAGCCCGGCACATACGACTCGGGAGGCGGAGGCCAATAGGGACAGGCAAACTTGTAGCCGGCAATGCCGCCCTCTGGGGACCAGCAGCCGACGCCCGACTGGATGCCTGGGTCGGAGCAGTTGGGGGTTTGGAAGACGGTCAATGTGCAATATTGGTTAATGCTGTAGGCCTCAATCGACTTGTAGACGATGCCTGTGTAGAACGTGCGGCAGTCGCCGCAGCCGTCGCCTTCGGCGAACTGGACGATGAGCTTCTCCCCGGCCGGGCAACCGTCCTGTTCGGAAACGCCAAACGAGCCGATTAACGGGACGCGTTCTTGAACAACAGCCGCGAGAGTGCTGGCGTAAAGCGCCCCAAGGGTAGTGAGGACGAGGCGAAGCTGCATCCTTGAGGCTTGAAACGTTGTGTAACTTGTGTTTGGCGATTGTTGCTTGGCGATTGTTGTTTGACGATTGTTGTTTGGCGATTGTTGACTGGCTGCTGTAAGAGGGGTCGCTGGAACTCTGCAAAAATGCTTTGTTTTCTCTGTTCAGTATGGGTTTTCGCCGGGACGATAATTCCTTGCAAAAGATCCTAGGTAGGAAGGTAGTTAGGGAGGTGCCCTTCATTTTGTACTGCATTGTAGTTACCCTCTCCGAAATCCCCTCTCCGAAATCCCCTCTCCGAAATCCGTATCTATCTAAATGGGGCCCATCACGGTGATGGGCTGGCCGTCAAGCGTGACAGGTTTGGCCTCCCGCCATAGATCAGGCAGCAGCAGCTATCGCAAGCGTTGCCAACAGCTGCCAGACGGCCATCGGGCCAAGAGCCCGTTTTGGTGAGGATACGAGAAAAGGGCACATTATCATGTGATGACAAGGGGTTTTGCATGCAGCTGAAGTTCTAAAGTTCAATATTTACACCTAATTTGGCCTTCTGTGCGGGGTGCAGTGCATCAACCCTGGGCTAGGCAGGCCACTGCGGCACAATACGAACAGCAAAGTAGGGTGTGACCACTAGCAGGCATGAAGTCGAAATGAGAAGGAAAGAAAAAGAAAGATAAGAATAACGAAAGTGATTTGGAGAAGAGCTCCCGGGCAAGAGTCGGCGACGATATTTAATTAAGGGGTATCCAAGTAAAATATCAGGTGAATAATACATAGTTAGTACCTGGTAGTTCCGGGGGGCGGGGGGCGATAGAGGGGCCCATCAGTCTACCTACAGCGCTAGCTAAACGAGGGAAGGCCCATCAGTCTACCTACAGCGCTAGCCAAACGAAGGAGAGACCAACAGAACGATTGAAGATGAACACGGTCGACGAAAGCATCCGTAACACAACAAAGGTCAGTTAATAAATTGGTGGGTGTAACGCTGATCCGGTGTAGAAGCAGGCCCTGTTCCAGACAGTTTTACCCCGCATCTTCTTCATTCATGGGTCGAATCATCAATAATGGGATCCAAGCCACCGCATCATGAGGCGTATGTTTCCCAGCGAACCTAGAGAGCAGGGCGGCTCATTACCAACTTTCCTATCGATCAATGCGTATCGGCGCGTATCGGTGCGCATAGCTTAAAGGAATGCCCACGGATCAAGGCAGTGTTGCAACCTTTCAAGGAACTAATAATAGGAGAATTCATCGGGGCACCCGCAATAATAATTAGCCTGTCGATCGACCCCGTATCGGCATTCCGAATCCCGCGCACAAGGGGGTATAATTGGCCTCGAGAGTTCTGTTTGGTGGTCTCACCTCAATACGGTGTCGAAGAGCTATCGTCTTTGATTGAGGTAGGTACCTATCCACGTTGAATCAGTAATTAATAATTATCATCGCCATCACCATCACCATCATCATCACCATCACCATCACTATCACCATCACCATCACCATCACCATCATCATCATCATTATCATCATCATTATCATCATCATCATCATCATCATCATCATCATCATCATCATCATCACCATCACCATCATCATTTCCTTTGTTCAGCCATGGCCTCTTGGTACAACGCCGACACAACAGCCTCTACGCTGGTCGATGACCTGGCCAGCGAGATCAAGGACAAGGTTATTCTGGTGACTGGAGTGTCGTCTGGCGGGCTGGGCGCCACATTTGCTCTGGCGGTTGCCAAGGCGTAGCCGGCGTTGCTTATTCTCGCAAGCCGCAACCCGGGCAAAACCAAGGAGACAGCCAACGCCATTGCCCAATCCTCTCCACACGTCCGCACTCGGGCCCTGGAGCTAGATCTCGGCTCACTTGCCAAGGTCCGCGAAGCCGCGAACCAGGTCAACTCGTGGGACCATGTCCCCGCCATCGACGTCCTGGTCAACAATGCTGGCATCATGGCAGTCCCCTATTCCGTGTCTCCCGACGGATTCGAGAGCCAACTAGCCACCAACCATTTGGGCCCTTTCCTTTTCACTAACCTGATAATGGAAAAGATTCTTGCCTCCAAATCGCCGCGCGTCGTCAATGTCAGCAGCGATGGCCACCGTCTGGGCCCATTCCGGTTCGATGACTACAATTTCCACGTGCGTAGTACTCCCTGGCGTCCACCTCACATTGGGCAGGTCACATGGCTTGCATGATTGGATGCTGATAACAAGCCTTTTGCCTTGCAGGGCGGCGACTCTTACAACAAATGGCGGGCCTATGGCCAATCCAAGACGGCGAACATGCTATTCGCCCTTTCCCTGGCCGAGAAGCTGGGACCAAAGAGTGGCCCACATGCCTTGGCCGAGAAGCTAAAGCCAAAGAGCGGGTTGTTGCTTGCCTTTAGCCTGCATCCGGGGGTGATCACGCAGACTAGTCTGAGTGGCAGCTTGGATTGGGCAACAGACCTCCCGGGTTTACGTGAGTCCAGTCACATGCATCCGCAGTTTCGGTGCTTCAAAGTCATGCCACCGGTGCTAACATTCGCTTCAGGTGATGCCGACAAAGCGATCGGGAATCGGGAAGCATGGGAAGAATTTAAGGCGAAAACACCGGAACAAGGCGTCGCAACTCACGTCTATGCCGCCTTTCACCCCGAATTGAAGAGTAAGGCATGTCCTCCTGCTCATTGCCCACAAACTTGCTAATAATACTGTTCATCAAAGCACACAGCGGAGCGTACCTCCAGGATTCTCATATCGCCGATCCATGGGTAGATACAGTCAAGCCGTGGGGGACCAGTCTGGTGGAGGCCGAGAAGTTATGGAAGTTGAGCGAGAAACTGGTGGGACAAGAGTTCGTGTACTGATCCGCTGGGCCGCTAGCACATTTCAATTTCGTACACCCCTTCAGAAATAGCAGAGCACAATTTGCGCTCAACTTGGGGCCCGAGAAGTCACCAACTCATGGGGTGTAAACGAGAACGGATACTCAATAATTGCCTTGTATATTGCCCAATGGAGTGCCTGTTCCGTGTTCAACTACCTGCCTCCCTTGGTACCTACCTACCTAGGTACCTACCTACCTAGGTACCTACCTACCTAGGTACCTACCTACCTAGGTACCTACCACAGCTCGCAAGTGGGGTCCCTGGTCGGGCAGCTGAAAGCATCTCGGAACTGTCGCGAGTTCATCAAGGTGCCCTTGATCCGCACTGACCCGGGCGAGTGCACACCAGTCAACACCTGGTTTTGCAGAGAACCAGGTGTTGCTTTCATGCACCACAGATTCCCAAAAGCGACGAAGAAAAGCTGCTCGTGCGAGAAGTTATTCAACCCAGGCAGATCCAAGTCTTGCTGGCCGTTGCGGACCCGCTGCCATGCGGCGAAGGCTGCGTCAAGGCCAGCCGCGTCGGCTATGTTCTCCCCCTGTGTCTGCTTGCCGTTAATGTGCGCTGTCTTGTTCTTCCCTACCGGGACGGTGAAGTTGCTATACTGGTCCACAAAGCAGCCGGCGCGTCGGTTGTACTCTTCTGAGGTAGCATTTGTCCACCAGTCCAAGTTGCGGCCCCGCGAGTCGAACATTCGGCCGTGCACGTCAAATCCGTGAGATATCTCGTGCCCGGCGATGGCGCCAAAGCCTCCGTAGTTCACGTAGCTCGGCAGGTCGCCGTGAAAGATAGGCGGCTGCATAATGCCCGCCGGGAACACGATCTCGTTGAGGCCTAGGTCGTAGTAGGCGTTCACGGTTGAAGCTGTCATGGCCCATCTTTTGCGATCCGTCGGCTTGCTGAGCTGTAGCCAGCGCTGTTTTACACCCCATTTCACCACGGCAATCATGTTGACGAAATAAGAATCCGAGATGGTTATGTCGGCGTAGTAGTCACGCAAAGAGACAGGGTCTGTGATATTGGGAGCCTAAGCCAGGAGTCAGTTGTGGTACTTGATTAGGCATATTGAGGTTGACTGGATCGGGAGGGTGTCTCTGAGTGGGAGGGTGTCTCTGTGTGCTCACTTCGGATGGGTATCCAATCTTTTGTTCCATTTCTCGGACCTTTTCCGCTGCCGCCTTTTTTACGACCTTTTCCATCCAAGCCACTGCTGAAAACTTGTCAAAGTAGACATTCCTAATATTGGCAATGATCTGGTTTCCCAGGTTGCGGTCTCTAGCCGAGAACGTGTTGTCGATGAAGAAACGGCTCAAGATCCAGCCGAGGTCACCATCCACTTGCGATAGACACCGACGCCACCGTTCGGCCGCGGAATCCGGCTCTCGTCCTCGCAGTTTGTTTTTTAACCGCTGATACGGCTTTAGAGCCTCGGGGGCTATGATGTAATTTTCGAAGGCTTGGATAACCTTCCACAGAAGGTATACCTGTAAAGTCTCGAGCGGTGTCTCGGAGAGGATCGCCGAGACATCTCGCAAGAAAGTGGGAAATTGGACAATAACGTCAGCAGTAGCGTGATTGGCAGGGGCCAGTGATGAGATCGTTCGGTCCACGCTGAGCTGTGGGATCATTCGGGAGGCTTCCTGGACTGTCATACGGTCGATTGAGTGCTAAGGATGAGCAAGGGTTGTCAGTCAAGTGCAGATAGTGTGCAGTGCTGGTTAAGGTCGGCGAAGATCTCACCTCAACATCCCTGAGGTCAACAAGGTCGGGAGTGACGTTTGCAATGCGAGTCTCGAGTTGGACGACGGTTACTGCCTCTTCGGCCCAGTCGCCCGAGCTCATATTCATGGGATGTATCGTCTTGAGAACATGTGCCATCGTATGCTGATACTCGGCCAAGAGGCTTGCTTTTTTGTAGTAATCCTTGGAGCCCAGCCCGATGCCTGTGCTGGGGCTTATGTGAACAATTTGGACGTCGGGGTCTTTCGGATCGCTGTCAACGTGGACGATAACTATGGGCGAGATTCCTAGTTGCCCCAGATAGGCGAACGAGTCGGACAGGTTGTGTGAGGCGAAGGTTTCGGAGAGATGGTCCAGCAGATCGACTATGGGCTTGGCACCGAGATTGGAGATGGCTGTCACGTCCATGCAGGCATTGTAGGCACGCTGCATGTCCTCAAAGTTGGCCTGGTCGATGGAGACAGCCGTGGCATCAAGGCTCCGGGGCAAGAAGTGCGAGTGGCTTGACTCGCCGGGATAAGGGCCTTCGAGGATAGCTCGAAGCGTGTCGTCTCCAGCGTCGCTCACGACGGAGAACCTACTTACTTGGCCCTGGTCTGGCCGAAGGTCATGGCTCTGTTTCCACCCACCGCAGACAATCTCTTCGAAGTCGGTGCAAGCGTCGAGCTGCGCGTGGTTCGGCGAGAGGTTGCTCGCAAAGTCAGACGCGAGGCGAAGACATGCCGGCGTCAGGCACAGCGCCCGGGTGATGTCCATGACGGGCCTGACACGGTTTCTAGGTCTCTTGTGGCACGATGAAGATGGATTCGAGTCCCTGAAACCCATCTACATGATGTGGACAGTTGCGCGGGAATTTTACTGCGCCCTCGGCTATCGAACCTCTGCCACTTTCGGCTCCCGCTCGGCTGCCGTTGAGTCTAAACTCAAGCAGCAGGAGAATTAACTTAGTTTGTATCAAGTTATTATCCGGGGCTTTTGCAGGCCTCATCTTCCCCCGGTTTGAAGTTCAAAGTTCGATGCGAATCGGATTAATTACGAGTATACGGAATTCAACCCTTCAAAGGCGAGATGCAGAGGTAGGAGCTTAAGCGGAGCAATAAATTAGGCATGCACTACATTAAGATAGTCAAGCGTAGCGCCTGAAAATACTTGCTGGTACATGGCGAATCGTCCAAAGTTGGGTGGCTGAATTGACTACGACTGGCGTGCGATCCACAAAGCATCACAAGTACCGTATCCTGTAACAAGCTTCGTAACTTCCACTCATGAAGCAACATCACAATGCCTTTAATTGTGGACAGTCCTAGCCTAGTAGTCAGTTGCGGGTTTTGTGGGTGGATATGAGACCCATCACATCCTTTGCCAAAGTGAAGAAGCGTTTATTCTCAATCAAACCTCGATCATTTAAACCTTTCCCATCAACGAGTTTCAACCGGAGCGTAGTTGAGTTTAAATCCACCGTTGCAAACACAAGTTCTTACAAAATGCCAAGATATTAACTTGGCAATATATCAGAAATTAATTGATGGGCCAGCAAGGACTACTTACATAGCTAATAATACAAACATAGATTTGGAAACAGCCTTTCAAGTCCAACCTATCGTCAATTGATATTTCCAGCCCCACCCCTCATTGAACAAGAAAAAATCTGACGTTGAGAGATGAATATCAAACAACACATGATCGGAAAACACATGATCGGGTGATGGGCGGGATCGGGCGTGTTAAGTTCGTCCACGTCACTTCATCTTATCATCTCGAACGTGCTCTTGGCGCTCGTCACCGCTCTTCTACTTGTCTAGCCGAATTACCGTCGAGACTCGAAAATATCTTGCGTAGTGCAACTCGACGAGCAAAGCACCCGTAGCCATGTCTCCCCCCCAAGATATGAGCAGAATATTATCTCATGGCCACTACACGGCAGCATGCCTCTGTCCGTCTCCGTTGGCGCCAATAGGCAAACCCGCACGCTCAGCTGCCGACGTCAGTGGTCGGTCCTTTTCTACATCACCGCCCAAGGGTTGGCTCCCTCGGTGACGAGCCCACATTAGGCCCTCGGTAATGCTGTTTCCGAGAAGAGCAACACTAAGCGACACGGATTCAATCAGCATGTTGTACCGTTGTTGGCCGCTGCGGAACGCGGATGTACATACAAGCCAATGATGTTGAATGCTTGCACAGTATGCTTCAGACCGCACCGGTTCACTAGTGGCGGCGAGTTGTAGTAGCACCGGTGCCCGCTGTAGTCCTGGGACGAGAAGATGAGAGACGTGAGCCAAAGGTATGATAGCGCCAAGTTTAGCGGAAGAAGGTAACCACGGTAGGACTTGAGGGCTGGCAAAAACATGGCGAACAGGTAGATGAAGAGCGTGACAACGGCCTATGCATGATTAGCTGCTGGGCCTGATCAGCCTTCCGGTATCTCGGTGCCCGGGACGTACAATGACCTCCTGGTAGACCAGGTGAGTTCCGCGGGCTCGGTAATGGTGGATGAAGTGGGATAGAATGCCCGTGGTAATGGCCGACGATGCCAGAACAATGAAATTGTTGCCCCCGAGGATGGCGCGGGGGATGATACTGCTGGCGCGCTTGGCGCTGTCCATGGTTGCGGTTGGATTTCGTGTCTGTTGAGGCTGGCGTGGACTCGTAGAGTGGGTGGTCGCGGGCAGCAGGTTGGAGTGGATCTCGTACGACAAAAAGGTCAACAGCAGAACATGGCTCTGACTCTAAGACTTATGGGGACTGGCCAGAGATCTGATTATATATGCTTGCATTCTGGTTAGCAACGACAGGTGACTGAGGGGCCAAAGGGATGTCCCGCAACCTCCATTCGCGGCAGTTTTGGCCGGTGTCCATGACGTGCGGACGTCAACAGCGCCATGACGTGCCTATCACGGTGCAAGCTCAGTCCTGGTGGGCTACCAAAGTCATTTTCGTCATAAGAACATCAATGCGCGTATGCGACACTTGATTGCGCTAGACCTGCGGCGGAGTAGGCTCCGGTGCACTTACACCTGGCCCTGGATGAGTCGAGCGAAGCCGTACAGGCATCATGAAGCAACCGCCGCATCATGAGCCGGAATACTGTGATGACAGTCTTGCGTAAAACACGGATAAAAAAGTCAAATAGCAAATTAGTCTTTCAGGTGGGGTAGCGCGTGGTAGGCTCCCCGGGACATGACTTCGGACAGGGGAGTTATACTTTTCTTTAGCACTGGGGTAGTGAAGGGAAACCATCATTTCGTCCAAAACTAGAATTGCATGCCATGAATCGGCTTCTCCTCGCATTGCACTGTCTGGATGCCTACTGGAAAGAAGAAGCCTTGAACGTTGCGTCACTTCATGTCTGATCTGTCTGTGGTCACGCCATGAACCAGACGAACCTGTTGCAACCAGTAATCCAAGGCCAAATTCCTCCTCCTACATGCAGTTGAGCAAGTCATGCATTACACGGGAAAGCGGAGAAGGGTTGTAAAGGGCTGGAGAGTCAAATGATGCCAAGAGGGCTTCATGCAAACGAATGGCAGGCGCGATGGATGGGGTCTGGTGCTGACTTCCGCGGCTACACTTGCATAGCGGGGAAAGATGTGAGTTGACGATAACGATCTCGCTTCAAGGAGACGGCTACCCACTCATCACCACTGCAGGTAAACCAAGAGTTCGTGGGAGCGCTACGGCGGGAGTCGCAAAGGTGGCCCTGGGGATCGGTGCAATCGAGACGAACAAACTCTCTACCAAATCGAGACATCGCCCGAAACATCGCCGGAGTTGAAGACCACATGTCGACGACTTGAGACAAATTGGAGCGAGCAAATATCGGCGGATTTCCATATCCCGCCTACCATGACCAATCAGGCTCCATGTTATGTTAGACTCTCACTTGGTCTTCTTCTGGCGGCCCTGGGTACCCGGGTCGGGCCAGGTGCCCATTGGCGAGCATCGATGTATAAGGTTGTCCGTCGCCTGCAACAAAAATCGCCAATATTTCCATCTTGGGTGGGATATGTTAATTCGACTGCTGCACGGGACGGGTCAAGCAGTGGGCTTCTCTTCAGGGAATGCCGGGATAATCCAGACACGGTTGCATCTCGAACTATGCGAATTGGGAACTCGGAAGTCGGTAGGCCCGATGGCAAACAAGGGATGACGAGACGGGTGGTGGCTATTGTCGATGTGTGTACCTAGCATCGTGGCTACCGGGTCCATACGCCAGGACAACTAAACAGGCACCATGTAGTGGTAACTGGGAAACACGCAAGTCAGAATAGGGTATGCCAGGTGTCAAACCAGAGATGATGGGATTGGACCTGTGGATGGATGGTACGACCACCATTGTTGAGAAGAGGCGGGCGAGAACTAAGGTAGGGCGTACGGTAGAAGGAGGACTTCGAAGAGACATCGGGGAGTGGTTGCAGCCGACCGAGACAAGGTACGAATACCCAGCTCGTCGCCAGTCAATTAAACCCGAGCGAAAAAGATCGACGACTGAGATTGGATCTGCCTGATGCTGCTCGTGACAGTTGGAGGATGCCAAGTTAATAAAGTACAGAGGACAGACCTGACCTCTCGCGCGAAGACGCGCCCGCTGAGCTAGCCAGTGGCACCCGACGACGGTTCTGGCGGGCAGGGATTAAACCCCGCCAAAGCTTGGGCCCGTTCGTTGGGGAACGGTCGGGGCTGGAATATTTTCGCTACCAGCCTAGGTACCACTGAGGTGGCCAGGTGGCTTGGGACCCATGTCCGACCCACATTTATTCCGACTGTGCTGGGCCGCGCTGCCGGTGAAACAAGAAGACGCGGAAACGCTAGAGTCCGCCGAGCTCTTGTCATTTCTCGAAAACCCAAGCAAGCAGATCGCTGATAGAGCACGGAATCTGCAACAATCTTGCAGCTTCTTCCTTCTGTTGGATCGAGGATTACGTTCCCCACCTACCAATGTACCAATGTTGGCAGACGCAGCTACCTAGCAGAAATGTGGGGGACCAGAATCCTCCGTCAACCAACTGTTCCGTTAGTAATGTCCACGGGTACGGAATACTCCATAGGGGCTAGGGAGTTGCTTCCCCTGCCATCGCGTCGCGACTCGCGACTTCCGTTATTTGGTTCCCAACTCCTTGCTTCACAACACATTCCATTGTCGGCTGCATAGTGCACGGTACCTGCTCCCGTCTGTAGGTTTAACCGCAAAATTTGGCCGTCGCTGCTCAATAGGTTGAGCCTTGATTCTGGCCGAGCAACACTGCAGCATGGGGTCATTTGTGTCAAGAAACGACTTTGTCGTTGACGGGCGGGTATGGATTTGATGTTCTTCTTGATGTTCTTCTTACCTAGCGCACCGACGTTTCTGTAGCTATGGAAGGGAGGTGGGCGCTAACGAAACACGCAGACAGTTCTGATTACCGGCGGCTCCAGTGGACTCGGGCTCAGCGCTGCGCGACAGCTTGCAGGAAAGGGGGCCAACGTTATTATCGTCGCGCGCAACCTGGACAGACTTGAAGCAGCCGTGGACAAGATACGGGTAAGAGAGCTCGAGTGCTGTTCAGCTCGAGTGCTGTTCAGCTCAGCGGCTGACGAGTCCTGTAATTCCCTAGCAAGCTGCACGCTCTCCCGACGCCCAGCGCTTCCATCACGTCTGCGCCGACGTGACGACGGCGGATACCTGTGCACGCGTCGTCGCCGATGCCACGGCATGGAACGGCGGTAGCCCGCCCGACGTGGTGTGGTGCTGTAGCGGTAGCGCTCATCCTTCATTGTTCATCGACACTCCGCTCGACCAGTTCCAGGCCATGATGGACAGCAACTATTTTTCTTGCGTCTACATGGCCCACTCTGTTCTCAACGCCTGGTTCCGCCCTGCCAGCAGCAGCCACGATGCTGGTAAACAAACCGAACACCCGTCTGCTTTGCCTGCCCGCCCTCCCGCCCGCCACATCGTCTTCACCGGCTCCTTCGTCTCGTTCTTCAGCTTTGCCGGCTTCACGCCCTACTGCCCATCCAAGGCTGCCATCCGCTCCCTCTCCGACTCGCTCTCCCAGGAGATGAACCTGTATGCGGCTGCCTATCCCCAGCTGCCCCGTGTGCGCATCCACACCGTCTTCCCGGCTACCATGCCCACGCAGTCGCTCGACGACGAGAACAAGGTCAAAACGGACCTGACCAAAGCACTTGAAGAGGGCGACCAGATCCTGGAGCCTGAAGAGTGTGCCCGCCGCGCCATCGCCGGCCTCGAGCGTGGCGAGGAACTAGTTGCCACATCAACTATCATCCGCCTCGTCATGACCTCGGTTCTCGGCGGGAGTATCAGGGGCGGCTTCCTCAAAGGCCTCGTCGACACTATCGTCGGATGGCTTGTCTTGGTGGTCATGGTCTTCATCCGCTGGGACATGGACTCCAAGGTCTCCAAATGGGGTCGCCAGTATGGCGCAACCGGCATGCTTCCAGATCAAGGGGCAAGCCGCCAAGTCCTTTCCCCAAATTGACCCTGCAGCAATGATATTGACACCCATAGCCTCATTCTACGGAATGTTCCGGGAGAAAAATGCAATAATGCCATTTCCCTAGGTCTAGTGACTTCAGTCCAAGCCATGCGAACCCCCAAACACTGATCGGGCCTAGCTCAGCTCTTTTGACAACCAAGTTTCTCTTTGTGTCAGCCTCTTTTTGGACACCAAACGACCCATGATGCATCCATCCTATCTGCTCTGGCATGCTTGATAATCACCAGTTAAGCCAAATCCATAACACGTGTCTTGCGTTTTCCGACCCCGACTCTGTTCCGACTTCCGATCCTGATACCAACGTCGAGGGGGGTAATTGGCTCCCCAGTGCCTCCCTCCCCTATAATTGTGGATTCGGTGTCATCCTACTTCCTGCATAAGGCCTTGATGGATTGGTAATCCTCCGAATGTCTGCATGCGAAGAGATGCCAAGCGTAGATGCCCAATGCAGTTATTGTCATGGATTCTCTTAGGACTAGTGTGATCCATCTCTGTATCGTGCCCGCAGCTCGCGCCAGTTATCCGGGGCAGTTATATAAGAGACTCTCTTCTGACCTGTTATCGCAAGGTATCAGTAACCTCTGTATTTGGTAGACTTGTACACCTTTCACCGGGACCTTTCACCAGGGCCTTTCACCGGGGCCTTGTCCCCTCAGCGAACCGTTAAGGACGAAAGAAATGGCTACGCGAACTGCCTTCGTTTGTGGCGTGACTGGCACGCAGGGCGGCGCCGTGGCCAGCCAACTTAGAGCGCTTGGATGGGGCGTACACGCTGCAACGCGAGATGACAAGTCGATTGAAGCCAAGTCTCTGGTTTCTATCGGGGTCAAGCTTACGGACGGCTCGTGGGAAGGCGAGTCGGTCCTCAAGGAGGCTCTTGCGGGCTGACAGGTGCTGTTTATCAACCTCGTTTCGGAAATGACCCCCAACACCCTTCTGTCCAGGTCGAACTCGCCCGTCGCATTCTGCGCATCGCCAAATATTTTGGTATTAAACACGCCATCTTCTCGGGGTCCCTAGACCTCCTAGCGATTCTAGGCTTTGATCAAACCTCATTCGTCGTTCCATTCTTCCAAGCTAAACTAGACATTGAGAAGGAACTCCAACGCTCGGGTCTCGATTTCTGGACCATCCTTCGCCCGGCATTCTCCATGGCCAACTTCCTGCCGCCCAAAGTAAACTTCCAATACGGAAACGCCACAGACACTGGCGTCTTTCCCTCGGGATACAACGCAGACACACCAATCCCAGTCGTCGACCACCAAGACATGGCCGCATTTGCGGCTGCCGCTTTCCAGAACCCCGAGACTTTCTAGAACCCTGAAACTTTCCACCCCAAGACGATTGACTTGGCTGGCCATGTCATTCCATTCGGCCAAGTCCTGGAGTTGCTCTCGTCTACAGCGGGACGCCGCCTTGTCGGAAAGTACTTTTCGGATGCAGCTTAACCAGGCTCTCGCCGAAGGCAAACCTTTCCCCAAGATGCAGGCCTACGGTCGTAGTGTAGCACAACTAGTTGATCTAGGTCAGGCAAAGGTCTGGGGAGTTCCGCTCCACACATTCCACGACCTTTTGACGAGAGAGGCCGATGCAGTCAAAACAACATACCAGAGTGTGAAAGCCTAAATGCTTTGTTGTCTCATTACCTATACTAGCGCTAGATGTCGGCAGGCGTGACAGGGGCGAGGCGCCCTTTCGTTGGCATCGAAGGTCAAACCAGAGTCAAAATTTGGACGAGCCCAACGGTGCCCCTCCCTGAATGAATCGATGATTCATGTCTCCATCACCCGAGGGCGTGCAGCATAATGCATATATACTTATCATCTTGAAGAATGCTTTTTCGACTATATACAGCCACCGACTACCCCGTTTGCGACGGCCAGTCTACTACTTTACCCCCAATTCAACCTAGTAACTGCACCGAGCGACGGATGTCTTGCGTGGCAAATGTGTAATTATGTGAGTGCCTCCCGTACATCTACTCAACCCACACAACAGCGCTGAGGCCGTCCTCCTCGCCAGCTCTGCCCTTGGGGCCGATTTGAATGCTCGCTACCAACTTGCCGAGCCTGCCAGTAGTAGTATCCCGTGCAACGATGGCAACGCTGGAAGAAGTCTGGCCTCCGACAGCAACCAGGGTGCCGTCATTGTTGAACTGGAATGTTCTAGGGTAGTAGGTGTATGAATTGGCGGCTTCGAGCCAGGCAATGGCACCACTGGTGGCATCGATGGTGTAGGTGGCAATTGAGTCTTGCTGCGAGCCGAAAGTCTGGTCTGCGCGGTTTGTTGCGTACAGAAAGTTGCCCACAACACGCACCTCGGCGGCTTTTGTAGTCGAGCCGCCCTTCTTCCCCGGAGCATATGTCGAGAGAGTCTGCGTCCTAGCAAGTCCCAGGCACCCAGACGGGTCGCTGGGGTACGACACGTCCCACGACGAGACCGAGTTGCCCAGCTCGTTCACCGTGTAGGCTTTCTGGACGCCAGCTGCAGATTTCCAGAAGACGATGTGGCGGGGTCCGTCTCCCGGCGAGGCCTGGCCGGCTGGGCAAGTCGTGAGCTTGCCCGAAGTGGCGTCGATCTTGAAAATTCGGACAACATCGGCGCCCAGGTCGGGCACCAACATGAACTTCCCGGTGGGGTCAGTGCGCGTCTCGTGGGGATGGCTAACATCCTGCCTCGAGTTGGGTCCGCGGGCGGCCAGGGCGAACTTGGTTTGCTCCAGCACCTTGCTGCTCGACAAGGGCATCTTGTATGTCGTGATGGTCGAGGGAGAGCTATTGCTTCATTAGCTTTCGTGGCGTTCTAGAGCCTTGGCTGACAGAATTGGCACGGCTTACTACTGGGCCGAGGCAATAAAGCCCCGTCCGTCGGACCCGCCGTACAAGGAGCCGTGGACAGTATTTCCCGAGGTCTTGACCTGCCCTGATGAGGTCAGGCGGCCGTCGCTGGCGACCGAGTACTCGGTAATGACGCCGGCCCCGTTCCAGTTCTCGTCGAAGCAGTACAGCTTGCGCGTGTCCGAGTACAGCTCCAGCCAAGCCGGCGTGTTGCCGCATCCCGTGGCCTGCGAGGTTTGAGTGAGCTTGCCGCTTGAGTCAGTCACGGTCAGGGACAACGTGTACACGGGTCCGCTGAAGTGCGAGGCAATCAGGGTTGCGCCAAGCACGGAGGGCACCAGCCCAATGCCGGCCAGCAAGCTCTTTCCCAGTTGCAGCATGGTGAAAACGTTGAAAACAAAGCTTCGTCGTTTCAAACTGCACATACGACCACAGCACTCTCGCAGCACTCTCGACCACATTTCGGTGCCCAATCCCGGGATATATAAAGAAAGCCATCGCCCTGGGCTAGATCGGCACGGAGGGAGCGTGCCTTGTTTTGTTTACCCCTTTAGCCGGAATTGACGAGTTTGCGGAGGTGCTGTGCGCCAGGCGGGCCCTGGTAATTGCTGGACATTGACGAGGAATTAAACCAAAGCAATCCATCCCGCTCCCCAGTTCCCCAGCTCCGACTCTTGCCAGAGCCGCCATGCAGGGTAATAGCCGGAGTGCGGTTCGGCTGCCTCTTGACCCCTGCTAGGCCAGCTTGTTCTCTAACTTGGTCCAGCAGGGCAGCTGCGCCGAATTAGCTGCCCAGGCTGCGGTACCTGGGGTCGGGACTGCGACTACCTTACCCCACACAGAGGTGTGCACGGGAATTAAGTCGATCGCCCGTCCAATATAGCTGTGGCGTGCCAGTCATCTTGCTCTTCTCCACCGAGTCGCCAAGCTCTTTTGTGCTCGGGTATACGGCCCAGACCCGCAGCCCTCAGTTTCGCGTCACTATCATGTCCAATCTTGGTTCTAAATAGGTAGCCAAATAGAAATAGGTCTAGGGAGGGTGTCACTAGCCAGAGAACTAACTAGGTCAGGTTGGCCTGGATGTCTAAGCTGACGCACGCCCGTCTTGAAAGTCGCGGATGGGGCTAGGACTGTTGGTCTCGCCGTGATAATTGTAGACGAGCTAGTAGTTCAAGTTTCAAACCTCTTCCCTCCATGGCAGTATTTTTACGAGCGACCCAACACTATTTCTTTAGGGTCGATATTACTTGAGCAACGTCTGGGTCAAAAATAGGAAGGGGCGTATTTCAAATTTGAAGCTCAGTAACTTGTACCTAGCTACTTTAGGCAACGTAGTTAGGCTGCAAACTTCAATATGACGGGAGCTTATCAGGAGTGGCAGTATAATTTCAGGATCTCACGAAATGAAAGGCGAACTGGGTCAAGGTTGCAGTGCAGGATCTACCCTGGGGGTTATTGCTTGTAGGCAACAACCCCTACGAGCAACAACCCCTACGAGCAACAACCCCCACCCACTACCTCGAAAAGAAAAAGAAGAAAAAAGATATAGTCTACGCCGCAGTTCAGGAGGCTTGTTAGTTGACTGTCGGGTTTGTTCAACCACCCCCTTCTGGCCTGAAATAAAAAATCGTTCCGAAAATGGAAGGTGTTTTGGAGGCGTGAGGACATTCTGATGGTTATTTTCTTTTGTTTAGTAATTGAGCTAGTGGGTATTGGTTCACACGTCCTTTCTCTTTCGCTCTCTATTGGCGCCGTGTTTCTCTGCAATCGGGATTGGTCGGCCCTACTTTTCGTAATCTGGGTGAGAGCCTTCCAGGCCAGTGAAAACGAAAACCAGAAGGAAAATGTGGGCCGAGGTCCGGGCACCCCAGCTAGTTCAGCTGCCAAACGAACGAGAAAAGAGGTAATGTCACTAATGGGTCAGTCAGGGGACCAAGGGCAAGACCTTGATGACCAGTTTCTTTGCCGCTAACAGGACCCCTCGTAAACTCTGAGATAATCACTGTAGCGTATGAGCGATTTGAATCTCCCCCAAACCTCAAAGCGGCCCAGCCCTCTTCGTCCACTCTGAAACAATACCAGGACTATCAAAAAGGTCGTCAAATTTAGTAGTTCGTCCATTTTGGTCCATATCCTCAGCATCTTCAAAGTCGTACCATTACCTCGCAGGCAGCTGGTTGTGAATCCAGAGGCCAGTCATCGAGACTCCCATAAGCAATGCCATGTTTCGGTTGGTTCTGGTATGTTTTGACACTTTCGGCGGCGATCACGATGACAGGGTGGAGCTGAGGGACCGCCCGTTTCCTGGAGGTAAACAGGAGTGTTTTCAGTCTTGACACTTGACATACTGGATATATAAACTTATCGAGTTCCCGGCAACATCTGAAGATAAATTACTGGACAGAAAACAGCAACAGAATCACCATGGCTTTCACTATCCAGCTTTACAGATCCGCTAGCACTCTTTGCATCATTACAAGCTCAAACCCGATAACAACCCAAACTGTCCAACAGCATTCCCCTTGTGCAACGGGCCAATGTCCAGCTTCTCACTGCCATCCGGGCCCACCCGACCTTTAGCTCGTTCCAAACGCCAGTGGCAGGCACTAAATACGTCTTCGTCCAGTACGAAGTTCCGTACAATTCCAGCGACGTTGACAAGAATCTCCTTGTTTCCGACCCCGGCGTATGGGTGTATCGTATCGGGGCTATAGGCAGTGGATATCTCCATGTGCGCTGCACCGTACTCCACGTCCAAACCAGTTCCGACGGGCAGCACGCCCGGACCGGCACCTGCTATGATTTTGCCGACGCACAAGGCACGGTGAAGAAGTCAGAGGCCAAAGTATCGCCCTGGACCTTCAATGACCACATGCGCGCCGACGGAAGCGGGTCTGGCTACGTCTTTTACTGCACCACCTCCGAGATAGTCGCTGCCATTGCGGCATTAGGTTAGTTTTGTTTTCTCTCCCTCCCATTTGTCCCTCTGGGCCAGGGTAGGTCCGTTGCAAGCTAACAACCACCGTCTTGGGCCGCAGGATATGTTAATAGTAACCCCATATACACGCTAGACAATAACAACTGCTCCAAGTTTGCGCACTACCTCGCAAATGCAATTAACGATACCCTAAATTCGCGGCTCGGCAGGAGAATCTAGAATTATTATGCTGGCCAGAACTGTCTCAGAAAGAGAAACTCGGTACCTCCAAACCCCCTAGCGTATCGCCTGGACGAAAAGGAGAGATGGAACTGCGAACTCATTCGTTTGAAGTGCTTAGGGTACCTGGTAATGGTGAAGATGATCATGTTGAGGTAATCAAACAAAGCCAAACAAGCGACCTGCGCTTCTACCACCAGGATTCCAAACTACCTATTGCTAGATTTGTACCTAGGTACCTTTTGCATTTGCCTTGCTGGACATGGAATGGCCAATCCAATACCTGCTGCGTTCTTTGTGCGTTTCTCTGCTTCGGGCATGCTCTGCCAACGTGAGTAGGTAGGTAGTTACTGGCGGCCATGCATACCTACTTTGTTGTGCCTGCACTATCTGGATTTCACCACGTAGTTGCCCGTTTGTCCAATGATATGAAAAGGGACCCATTTAGTCAAACGAACCCCCTTGCGGAGCATCAAGGTTCAGTCTCCATGGCACCGCCCGATAGGCCCGTTCTTGAGACAACCGATGCCGTGTGGCCAATCATGTCATTTTTGTGATTCCGCGACAACCTGTCTCGTAAAGTGAGCTGAACCTCCCTGTATGGTGGCGTCTGCCAGCAACAGATAACATCGCCAATCAGCGAACCCCGAGATCATCGTACTGCCGACGCGGAAACCGCCAATGGCTGCCAAACTTGCCATGTCAGCAAGCATTCTTGCCTTAGCCAAATAAGACTTGCAGGGCCGCTTTTCTCTGATCGGGTACCCATTGCCGATCAGCTGTAGCTAAATCAGAATTCCAGCACAGCGTCTACTTCCCTACGTGTTTGTGACAAGATAAAACCGGATTACTTGACCAAACTCGACGGAAGAAGCCCATCGCCGAGTTTCTGTGCCTTGGACGAGGCAGGCTTTTTGACCACTTCGTCTTGCCTGCCCATTGCATACTTGGCGTCTCGAGTAACAAAATGCAAACTAACAGGTCGGGGCCGGACCGAGAGATCCAAATCACGCCAGCTCCGGCCGCGATGGATCACCCAATCACATCCGCCACTGCTCCTGACATCCGTGGCAGCATAATCGCAAGAGGCATTTCTCGAGCCAAGAACCTTGGCATTGAAAGCTCCGCGCAATCGTCCGAGACGACCAAGAGACCTTCAGACGGAACGCAGATCCATGCGGCCAAGACAGGCAAGACAGGCAGCCAGCCTATTGGTGCATTGGTACGTCGTATCAATCACGGGGCAAAAACCTCTCTCAGACGCGGAAATTTGACAGAGAACCACAGGGACCGGATGGCCATTTTAGGCTAGAAGTTCTCACGCCGCCAGAGCCAGGCCCTCCGTATACGCATTTCATGGACGTCGTGGCCGTGCATGACTACGACGAAACATCGGTGAATTGGGCCTACCGGGATACAAACACAGTGTTGCAGCAAAAGATAAACAATATCAAGACAGAAAGGATGAGACTTCAAGACGAGCCTGAAAAGGCCATTGGAGCCGACGACCATGAGCGCCAGGGCAGGCGGCCCTCGGTAGCAGACCCTACCAAACTCGACCCCGGCAGGCTCGCGCCTGCTCCAGTCAGTAATCAGGTGACAGGAGGCCGAGATGCAGCCAGCAGTCAAAACAACGACGCAGGGTCCTCACGAACCCCCAGCCCGTCCGGCCCCGCTTCTGGGCCGAGTTGGCTCCAGGATGCACATATGTTGCCAAAGGCTCTCCCCGGAGTACGTGTCTTGGGCTTCTCGTATCCGACTGGCGACTTGAAGAGCTTACTCGACGAAGGCTCCGATCAGAGCGGGCAAGCTGATTTCATTACCAAGGCGGCTTCGGAGCTCGGGCGCCATCTAAAAGATGCTCGCAAGCCCACCCCCTCTATCCCGGTGCCAATCGTCCTGATTGGAGCAGGGTTCGGGGGACTTATTGTGCAAAAGACAATCAGCTTACTGGTGATAGAAAATGGGAGCTCTGGCGGAAAGGACTCCGAGCCGTCACCACTGGCCCTCGACCACCTCGCCGATGTCATGTTTGTGGACACCCCCTTTCCGACCAGAGTGGAGAAAAGCTTGGATAGCTTCTTCCCACCCAGCGCCGCCAATGTGAGAATGACTGCGATTGTCAAAGTCGTTAGGAGAATGGAGGCGGAATGGGATTCGCCGGGTGTCGATAACATCTTCAGCGAGTTTTGGACATCGTCGTGTCGTCATGGGCAGCCGTCTCGAGTGGCCTGGTTGTATTCCAACCCAGCCACGTCGGCCAGCGTTGGTCAGGTTCATGTACAGAACCAAAAGGTTAGTCTCCCCCGCCACAGTCACTACCCTCACGGTGAGAATTCCGATGCTAACCCAAGTGTCACTCTTAGTCGCCTTCTCCTGGCCCCGACACAACCACTCCGGTGATCACATTAAGCCAAATTTCTTTGAATCGCCTTCATCGCCTGACAAATTTCGGCGCTCCCGATGACCCCGGTTACAGGTTAGCTGCATCCCGGCTGCAGAACAGCTTGATGATCCTGGCTGTGCGAGACAGCAAGTTGGAGGACCTTCAATTCAGCCTCATGAAAGCCGGATCTGCGGTAAACACCAAAGACGACTGGGGTGTCCCTCTGCTTCATCTGGCAGCAACAGCGCCTAACCCCAGCGGAGTCGACATTCTCCTGAGAAACGGTGCTAGTTCCCAGATTCGAGACCCAGACGGGCAAACGCCTCTGCACAGTGCCATCGCAAAGTTCTGCGAGCTGGAGGATGGTGGCCGCGGCGGAAATATGGTGCGCGACGATCTCAGGACAATCATCAAGCTCCTGCTTAACTTTACTAAGAAGTCGGAACTGTACAACAGCAGGAACAAGAGGGGGCAGACACCAAGAGACATGGTTCCTGACTGCGACTGTGTCCAAGAGTCATGCAAACACGACGAGATTCGAGAGCTTCTCAATAGACATTTACCTATTGTCAGACGGAGACTGGATGGCCAACAGCAAGAAGGACCTTGGAAGGGATGGAGCCTGCCACGTGAAGGAAGCCTACAGCGCAAGGCATGCGAGCGGTCTGAAGCAATTATCGCCGAGTTTTATGCCGGAGAAGACGGCCCGATAGCCGACTACGAGCAACCTACCGTCTTTGACCTCATCTACCAAAAAGGGGAGGGGCCAGTCAAGATTGTATCAAAGTTGGCAAAATACAAGGTTGGTAGACAAGTCAGCCAGCCTGTATATTGCCGCTGGATACATGTTCCGGCCAACAATGTGAGTTCCGTCTCATTCCGCATCATTGCCGCCCCTCTCAAGTTGAGACACAACCAGCTGACGCCCCTCCAACAGGAGCAATGGATCCATGTGAGTAAATCAACACGGTACCTTGATAACCATTGTTCCGAGACTGATACTCGTCTGACTGATACTCGTCTGACTGTGCTGCCGCCAGGACCTCTTTCTCAGACTCAGGCTCAGGGATAGCTCCATCAATGGCCAACGGCATAAAGGTTTGTAGTCAATCTTTTCTCTCAACTATCGGCGACTTCGTGTTTGTCCGACGCTAACAGCTTGACGATGTACCAGGTTATACTGCCTTCAACCGACACATGGTCACAGAGACAAAGAGGTTCAAAAAGGTGCGTTGTTGTCGCAAAGTCCAGCAAATATCTTCTGACTTGGTACGGTGTTAGGTCACCTTTCCAATACCACCGGCAATTCAAATTCAGAACCATGATCTCAGCAGAGATGTCAAGGCCGTCGCCAGTAGCTCCAGAGGCGTGGAGCCACCTGAAGGCTTGGAATTCGAGGAGATGCTCAGGGTCGACGGCGATGGGTGGCATGGGCTTGACATTCCGGAAAAGCTCAAGAACATGTCGGAGGACATCTTTGTGCTTTTTGTAAGTACATCACTACATCGGCCTCTACGCCTTGATGGTGGCTAGGCGAGCTAACGGGGCAACGAAGATGCCTGTGCTGGCATTCGAGGAGCACAGGCCCCGGAAAAGGATGACTGAAGCCATCCAGCGGACTTTGAAACCGTTGAGCTCACCAGGAAAACTACGACGACCCAGCACCGTCGCTTCTCAGCAGTCAGAAACAAAAAGAGGGAAGAGCAGGGAACCCGAAACTGACACTACGGTAGTCGAGGCCTATCTGAAGTCCGAGCGGCCCGTTCATTGCCGTCGAACTTTGGATCAATACTGCTACTACATGCTGGACACAACCGAGACAAGGGATCGTGATCAGGTGGTATACAAGTGGGCACGCAAACAGCACCAGCGGGCTTCCCGAGATATCGACACAGGATCGAGCGATGCCCGCGAAACACACCACTGGCCGCTTAAGTCAGAAGTCCTTGATGGAACAACGATACCTGGTGGTATGGAAGACGACCATGAGCATTTCAAGGCCAAACTCCGGCCCATTATCATGGTGGACCAGCTCTGGCTGTGGATTCTTCCCGATGGTTTGTCTCACTTCGTCACCATGGCTGGTACCTGCCTTGGCTATGCGTGTACTTATGTGCTGACCCGAATGTCTAGGGACTGTAGTATCTAGCCTGCCTAACACCGCAGACCCGAGCAAGCCCTTTAATCTCCAACGGAGCCTCGTTGCAGCCCTTTTCGAGGACCCTGACGTCGCCATCAAATCTGTTGACGACCTAACCGCCACGATCCTCAAAAACTGCGTTGACTTTTTCAGGCGCGATGGGCCCTGCGGAGTCAAGTTTCACGACTGCTTCCAGTCTTCCATCAACGATATTGCCGAGGAACAGGCGCGGACGTATGCTAAATACGAAAACGCGGTGCGCTCCTTGGAAAAGCTCAAAGATAACAAGGCCCTACAAGAGTCCAGGGTCCGAGAGCACACCGAAATCTTCTCCCGAATCACAGAGGAGACGAACCGCCTGGTGGAGATAATGGATATCCAAGACGAGTTGAACATTGTCGACTCGGTGCTAATGACACAGAAAATAGTCCTCCAGCAGCTCGTTCAGATGGTGACCAAGCGATCCCAGGTTCAGAGTGAAGAAATCCCCGACCAACCCAGGGAGATAACGCTACGCGACTCCTCGCATCTTCGGCAGGCGGTTCACATCGTGGAAGAAAATCGAAGCAGTATTGTCGAAATGACCACCTCCGCGAAACGAGTCCAAGAAAATGTACAGTTTCTATCATCCCACTTCCCTGATGTCTAATTAGATCCCTTTGTTAACGCACACTGTGCAGCTCAAGCAACTCCTTGACTTCAAGCAGCAACAGTCCAACGCGTGGGAAATGTGGTACTCGACAAAGCTGGCCCAGCAGGGTCGGAGGCAGAATAATGTACGTTTCTAGTTTCTACTGGGGTCTAACAAGTCCGCCGAAACGCCATGCCGCTGTTCGCAAATGTGTCGCTAATTGCAACTGCTCTCAGATAATACTGGTCTTCACACTCGTCACCATCGTTTTTGTAAGCATCATTACCCTTTCTTCCCTTGGCATGCTAACCACTCCTTTCGGTGGCCATTGAGCTAACAATCCTCCAAAATAGCTCCCGTTGTCCTTCATGTCTAGCTTCTTTGCCATTAACGTGCAAGAGTTTCCTAAGGATGAGTCAGGAGACATATCCTGGCCACTAGGCCAGCTTTCTGCCTACTTATGTGAGAAGCATTGCCAACATCCTGGATCGCCCAGAAGCAGCCGCTAACCCGCAGACAAAAAGTCGGCATATCGGTAGCTGTGTCCGTTCCGCTAATCCTTGCCGCCTTCTACGTCAATGACATCTCCCGGATGGCGCGTGACCGACGTGATAACAAGAAAAGCTTTCTACACCTTACCGGAACGTCACCTAGCGGCAGCCGACTTGACCACGACAGCGACGACAGCGACTCAGAGACTGGGCAAGAACAAAAGAGAGAGCCCAAGCGCAAGACTGGCCCTGACGATGACAAGGAATATGCCCAGCTGCTTGGCAGGTTCGAGTTCCATGCTGCGGTCCCCTTCGTGCGGCGTCTGTGGAAGTACTATCCTTACCACCTGCCCGAGCTCGAGGGCCTTGATGCGGGCCTCGAAGATCTCGAATGGGACTACCCGCTAAGCCGGATCCGGAAAAAGATTGCAGGGCCCGTCGAGGAAGCGCTTCTATGGATGGGGCTGAGAAAGCTGGGAATGGCCTACTTTGGCCACGAAACCGAGTACATGCTCCAGCGGCAGCCAGACGCGCTGATCAAGGCACTTCTGAAGGAGAAAATGGAGCTCAGAGAACAGGAGAGGAGCGCCAAGAAGAGGTGGGAAAGTCGGGCCGATGAGGATAGCAATAGTGCGTCGTCGCGGCGTGACGGATCAGAGCCGGGATCTAGGCGCCGTTTAGGGTTTCGGGACGCGTTTTCTGCCCGGAGACTGAGGCGAGAGGTGGCGGACGAGGAAGCAAAGTAATGCCGTGGTTCAGAAACGAACGCACACAGATGGACTCAAACAATGGCGCAGTACACACGAGGCAAACAATACAGAATACAGAACAGAAAAACGCTTGACATGAGACGATTAAATGTTAGCGAGACAGAATAAAAAAGAGAAAGATCCCCACCCCCAACTCCGTTGAGTCCAGTCGCACATTTGGTATCATAGTCCCTCCCGTGGTATCATAGGTAACCAATTGAGTCCCGCGTTCAGTTTTGTGTCGGCATCGCTCTGTCTATCGGCATCGCTCTGTCTGTCGCCTGCCCCCGCTACTAGGCCTGTGCTGTGGCGGCAGGACGTAGGGAGAAAGATGTATATCGTTTGCTATGCCTTTATCCCAACTCCGATGCTTCCGTACAATGGTAGAAAAAAAGTACAGGCGGCTAAAAGACACCAGATTCGAGGTGAAAGCCACAAGAAATGAGCAAAGAAAGAAAGCGCCGATGGTGGACATTAGTCATAAAAAGGTCGAGGTGGCTGGACTTATGGCAGCCTTTTTCTGCGAGTAGCAAATTGGCCGTCGTGGCTGTCGCGAGCGTCGCGGACATATTGGGTATCGCGGTGTTCGTTGTGAAATATTTCTTTCTGGACTTGTTGCATGTCGATATGGGCGATGGCGCCGTCGCCGTCAAAGATGCGCGCAACTTCCTCGAGCGTCGGGCCATTGGTCTCGACATAGAAGAGCCAAACAAAGACGAGCTCGCACAAGTCCCAGAGGGTGTAGAACAGCATAAAGTTCCAGTGGTGCGGCAGACGCTCCCAGGCGAGCTTGTTAGTTTGGCTGGACAAGCAGTATTAGTTAGCACAATCACAATACTGTAATAGGTAGGTAGGTAGGTAGGTAGGTAGGTAGGTAGGTAGGCAGGCAGGCAGGCAGGCAGGCAGGCAGATCCGGGTCAAAGATAGGAAAGCGGTAACACTTACTTGCCGATGGCCAGGCATGCTTGCACCGTGATGTTCATAATCATCATTCCCTTGGCGCGGAGGTGGAAGGGCAGAACCTCCAGAGCATAGGCCACAAGCAGACCCGAGAAGCCGATGTCGTAGAAGATGCCAAACACCCAGATGAACACAAGCTGAGCGTATCCCGATCCTTTGTTACCTTCGAAAGAATTCTCGTAGATGGCTCCAGCAATGGTCCAGCAGACAAAAGAGCCGACCATGCCAAAGGTTGATATGAGAAACAAGGGGCGACGGCCGAAGCGGTTGACGTTGAGGGCGGCCGCGATGGTCACGATGACATCTAGTATCGTCTTGCCGGTCGACATGGCGAGCTTCTGGTTTTGGTCCCTGATGCCGGCGCCCTGGTATATGGTGTTCATGTAGTTGGAGAAGAGGGCGTTGCCGCTGTACTGAGAAATAATTCCGAGGGACACGATGATGGCCAGGCGCCAGCGGTTGCCCTTTGTACGCAAAAAGTCGAGGTACCTCGTCGACTGGTCCGTGGCCTTCTGGATGCGAATGGTCTCCTTGATCTCACGGAACTCGAACTGCACCGTGGCATTGTTGACGTCGCCACCAGCATGCCACTTGGCTAGGATGTGTAGCGCCTCGTCGTGGCGGTCCTTGTTGGCGAGGAAGCGAGGGGATTCGGGTATCCACCATATGCCGGCAAGCTGGATGAGCGAAGGGACGACCTGGAGGAACGTAATGGACCTCCACGACCAGTCGGTTGTGATATTTGCGGTGCCCCAGGCAATACACGAGACGAGGAGGGCACCCGCGTTCCATAAGCAGTTGTAGATGGCCGTGACGGGGCCGCGGTGCTGCGGGTGACATATCTCGGTCAGGAGCAGAGGCGAGGCCATCTGCGAGAGCGAGTTGCCGAAGCCGAGCATGAAGCGGCCGCCCATGTACACTAATTAGGTGCGAGGCCCAAAGTCAGCCACAGGGTTGGAGTCTACGAGAGGGGTTGTTTGTAGCTCGCTCACTTCCGTAACCCGTGCAAAAAGCAGTCAGGAGGCCACCCATAACCATAAAGATGCATCCAGCGACGATGGCTGGTCTCCGGCCGTAGTGATCGGCCACGTAGGGGGTGAAGAAGAAGGAGACGATGGAGCCAATGTTGAACATGTTGACGAGAATGGCAAGCCTGCTGTCGGCCACGGCATCACTGGGCCTGTCGACCAGCTCGGGGAAGAAGAAGCTGTTCCACGAGTCTATCTGTTGGGAGGTGTTGACTAGCATCCCGTCGTATCCCGTCGTGGCCGAGGCCACCATGAGGATAATGGCCAGGCCGTACAGCTTTCTCAAGTGAGGTTCCCTTGTCCAATAGACCCTCTGGAAAAGACGAGAGGGCTGTGGAGCCTGGAATTCGGCCGAAGCCGAATCGGCAATGAGGCTCGGTGCCATCGCCTTGCGTACATGGACGGCCGCTTCGTAAAGCCCCCGGCTTTGGCCGGCGCCGCCCGTCTGTCGTAGCGGTTGACGGCGCGAAACGCCCCCCCAGGTATTGATGCGGATTCGGGTGGCTGGCTCGAGCCGACGTTGGGAATGTTGACAGGAGTCTGTGAAAGCTGGCGAGAACAAGTGCGTAGCAAGACTACGATAGTCCCTGCACTCGGGTGCGTGCTGGGTATGAGGTGCCAGATATGATGGGAGCTTCGAGTTATTAGCTTTAATAACCAGGGGTGCAACACATGGCCGATCGTCTGCACATCTTTCCACTTGGCGCGCCGGGGCGGACAGTACCCCGGAGCGAGTGTCTTCTACCGAGTAGTGGAGCAAGTCTCTTCTACTGAGTAGTGGAGCAAGTCTCTTCTACTGAGTACTGGAGCAAGTCTCTTCTACCGAGTACTGGAGCAAGTCTCTTCTACCGAGTACTGGAGCAAGTCTCTTCTACTGAGTACTGTATGTTGTACGTAGGTAGTCTCTGCCAGAGCAGTCGAACAGGGGGTCTGCCCCGCGACACCTATCGATCGCATTTTGCACTAAACTGGGCATCTGCTCAAGACAGGGGTCGGACACCGGAAAGCGACGATGTTAGGGCCAGGAGGGTCAAGCCTGGTCGACACTTGACGACAGCAGCACAGATGGAGGGGTCCATCGGCCATGCGGACCAACCTAGAAGTGCAGGCTGGGTCGCCGTAGAGAGCCTGGGCGGCGGCGCCCAGGCTCGATGCGTTCCGGGCAATCCAGTCAGAGCGCGTCCCATCCAAAGCATCGGACGGTGCAAGGACTTGGCAAGAGGCCCAAACGGCGCAGCGGACGTGCTTCCCCGAACCACCCTCTTTTGTATGTCGGAGCATCCGTCGTAGTCGCTTCTGTTCTTGCGACATCCATGAATGGTCTGTTCTTGCGACATCCATGAATGGCGCCACCACTGCGTACCAACCAGTACCACCCCGCCGCCGTCGTATCCTTTTCCTTGCCTTCAATTGTCAGTGCGCCAATTTTTAAAAAGAGAGAAATGCGATGGGTTCCCCAGAGGATGCGGGCTGCTGGATGCGCGTGCCATGCCCACGCCGTCTAGTGTTGTTCTGTTGCAATTTCTAGAACCATCAGAAAGGTAAAGTTATCTGCCAGCCATGTGCAAGGAACACTCGGTAAATACTGTATTTATTCGTACATATACGGTACGGTAGTGCACAGGACAAAGGGAGCCCCGGGAAGACCATTCCTATTGCTCGATGCTCGCCAGACGGCAGCCATGGAGGCTTTTTTTCTCCGTGTTGTGGATATTCTAGGGTTGGGAGGAGATGTAGGCCGTCGGGTCGGTCCCGTTCCATTGTTAGGGAGGACAGATGTACCCTGAATACGGAGTACGGAGCCGATTTTCCGGCTTCATGGCCCAGCCTTTCCAGGTTAGCCCACTGGGCATCATTTGCACCCGGACCAGTTTCGATGTGTGCTGTTCCCCCCACTGTTCAATATTCAATTCCCCCTCCCCCCCCCCCCCCCCCCCGGCGCCACAATTGAGGTGTCCGGGAATGAGGATTCCGTTCCGCCACCAATTCCAGTCTATTCTTTAGTGCTATGCTTCGGATTCCTTTAGATGTAGCGAAATTGTGCAAAAAGAGTATTAAAGTGGATTGCGAGCCTGAGAAGTCCCGGCCAAATGATAGAAGCGGGGTACCGGGGTTCAAGGTTGGCCTCCGCCCGTTAGCATCGGCCGCCAATCGCCTTCGCTACAGCGCTGTAACGTCTCAAGTCACTACGCGCAGTGCGATGCCCTCGTACGCATGGAGTGGCAACGACACTCTTGGTAAAGGGGCTCTACTATGTATAGATGGCTGATCTGTCTTCTATAGGCCCAGACTTGGCAGACCTCAATCGTGTCCCTAATTTTAGAGACCTAATACACGCGGGCAGAGCAGTGCAAGGCACCAGCATCAAATCGAGTCACGCCGGGCAGAAAAACGACGCGTCGGGTGGCCATCAATCGTGAAATGCCTAGGCTGCCTCTGGTCGCCGACCTCCCTGCCCGAGTCTGGATTCGATTGAATGAAGTGTACCGAACTATGGCGACCGCTGGTCCGTCACATCCTAGGATGCACCCCTCCGGCGCGGCATCAGCTCGTCCATTGAGGAGGGGCCACAATTGACCGATAAACTTTGGGTCAAAGTCAGCAGGGTGCTCTGTTGCTCTGCCAAAGAGCAGCGTAATAGACAGCGCACTCGGCCCCTGGAAATTGTGTCGAATTAGAACGCCGTGGAATTTGATCGCGCGTGCAAGATGGTCGCAGTCAGGTCTGCAACAGAGCCAAGAGAGAATTGCAGAGAGCTTCCAGGGAGGCGCCATACCTATCCGTCAACCATCAGTTCCTTTGATGATCACCAGCCCGACCTGGAAACCGGGCCCAGGCTTTGATGCACCCTAGGTAGCACGGGTGTTGGTGGTCCAGACCGCCTCGTCCCGTGTCGGGATACCACCTGGCCCACGTCAACGCAGGCGGTTCAACCACAACTTTGGGACCTCCAAATATTTCTCAATCTCAGTAACACCTTGGTGGAGCCTCAATGGATGTAGTTTTGACTTTGTTCTTTTCTTTATTTTTATCCCCTTATCGGAAAATATCAACTTATCGGGAAATATCAACTTGTTGATCGTTCGTTAGAACACCTGTAGATAGGTTCAAGCTACCCAACTCGCAGGTAACCTCTGTCCCCCCGAGTTTGATGCCAAATTGTGACTAGAATATGGTGGTCAAGACGAATTGACGAATTGCCTACTTGGCCTGTCAAGTATTCCCATGTCAAGGTGTGTCACGCTTGGTTGTCTTTAATTGCATATTAATATTTGAACCCCGCGTTAGCGAGTCTAGGCTCTCGGACTCCAGGTTTGGAAGCCTGAACGGAGGCTCTCGGTTTTGTACCAATCTTTTAGACTTGGATTACTTTGGTGTCATCATGCAGAGAGATGCAGTTGATCTTATCTATCTGCACTCTCCAGTGAGTTTAAAAGTGCGGGGACGTCGTAAGGAAGCGCGAATGTAGGTCGCTTGACTAAGTCAATAGGCTCTCTTGCAAACTTGGACTTATATCTGCTAGATTTGGGGCCAACATGCAGGAATAATGCGCTCTGCAAAACCGTCTACGATAGAAAATGAGGTGTCTAGGCTGTTATCATCAGCGAGTTGAGACACCTGAACTACAAAGCTCAGGTCGGTATTCCAAGGTGCCTTGTTATCGAGATAATCAATAGTCTCAAGCCAAGGCCTAATATCCCAATCTTAATGTTTTGCATCAGAAGTGAATTTGTGTGCTAACGTGGCTCAGCATGTCTGAGAAGCCGAGGGCCAGCTTTAGTAGTTTACAACGGGGCGATTCCTCTCACCCGTGCCTCAAACGTCGAACTCTTTCCTGGACCCAAATCGATAGCGGCGCATAATCATGCAATCTTCTACCCCGGAACTTGTGGTGGTAGCGTTTCGTATCAAGAGACCAGCTGCTGGCTCAGTCCCCCCCGCCCTCGGCAGCTTTTTCAGGCTCGCCTATTTGCGGCTGGTCACTCCTGAGGTGTTAGAATGGCAAAACCCCAGCCTACTGTGGCTTTGTGGTTCTTGTTAAGGTTCGTCTTCATCCAGCAAGGCTGTATGGAGGAGTTGGTGCCGGTCATGATGCCCCAACCGGCACCAGTGCAGTTGGTCTTGGCGGCGCAGGCGTCAATACAGTCGTTCAGGCTGGTTGTGTTGACGCTCCCAATGTCTTCAGCCTGCCCCGGGCCACTGAAATCAAGGCCGCACAGGCGCTGAAACCTCTTGCTGCCACTGGCCACGGATGACGTGTAAAATGTGCCATTGGTGCCTGGGCAGACGCCCGAGGATGCCGAGGCAACAGAGGAGCCCGTGGAGGATGCGGCGGCTGGGGTGGTCGACCTCGTTGGCGTGACCTGTGTGGTTGGTGACGGAGTGTGGGTGACATGAACTGTCGACGCAGGTGGGCTTGAAGGGACTCAGCAAGCCGCAAAGCAACTACAGTAGGGTGGCAGAGAGACATGCACAGTGGAACATACGTTGTAATAACGAGTACAGCAGAAGCAACAGCTTCAGCGACCTTCAGGTCGGACTTTGCTTGGCTCAGGTCACGTTGGCTGACCCCCAGGCCTGCGCCGAGGCCAATGACGGCCAGGAACAAAAAAGCGATGAGTGCAAGGACTCCTAAAACGACGCTGCGCTTCAGGCCCTCGGGCTGGGCAGGCGGGAAGGCCGCTGGGAGCTTTTCCGGGAACGGCTGGTGGGTGTTGTAGGGCTGTTGGAGCTGCTGTGGCGGTCGGCGGGGGGTTTGCTGAACCGGGGACTGGTGCTGGTAGTGCACTGGGCCCTTCCCGGGAGGAACTGGTGGGGCGTCTTGCAGATTGTAAAAGGGTTGTGACGGCGGTGACTGTGACTGGTTGGACGCCATGGCGGCTCGAGGTTTGTGGGGTCACGAGGTGGAGGGGCACCTTCAATGCGAACCAAAGAAATAAAGATGGAGAAAATGAGACAGGCCCGGAACCGAGGACAGTAGAGACAGAGAAAAGATTTGGTTCGTTGCTGGCTCGAAGCCGAGGGCAGCTGTCAGCAATATAAGATCAGGAATCCCTTAGGTTCCTATGGATTCATAAACATGGATGGAAAGCAGTGCTCTGGTGGTGCTGAACATTGAGCCCTGCAAGGCGCCGCCGAGAGCCCTGTGCCGTGGCGGCCCGGGGCGAGGCGTGGAAAGGGGCCCCAGGGCCCCAGGGGCCCATCAGCTGTGCCCGAGTGACTGGCTATGAGAGTGGGGTCCGTCCCGTCAGTGTAAATCCGTAAATCTTCCGCCACAGGGGAAATCTCAGCCAATCTCACGTCATCAACCAAGATGCGACCTCTGAGACGACAGACACTCGCCAAGACCAGCTCACGGCAGCGGGTTTTGCGAGTCAGGAGTCGGGTTGCTTGGCTTGGTGAACCCCCAGGTCTGCGATGACTAAGTGCGAGCAGGCCCCCAGTTCGGTCCGTATTTAGAAGCGAGCTAGTCGTAAATCCCGCCGAAGACCAAATCCACCTGGCGCGGAAGAGCGGCGGGTGCCCTGCTGCATCGCGGGAAGGCTTACCTACCTCGTTGCAGCGGGCGTCCCACTGAAACCGTCAGCTTTAGGGGACCCACAGGCTCAGGTCGATCTCCAAGATGGGGTAGATCAGAGCATGGCCCGGATCAGAGCATGGCCCGGATCAGAGCACGGCCCGACCTCGAGACTACAGCTCCCAGCACTTTCCATCTCAGGTTGTTCCTTTTCGTGGTGCGTGCACTCATTCCATATTTGTTAGATTGTATTGCGCAAGCCGAGAAACCCCAGGCTGGAGCAATCAATCGCCAGCCGCCGTTTCTGGTTTTCGGGAGCCAGGCAACCTCGTAACCCAGCTCCAGCCCATCGGCACGCAGCGATCCGCTGACAAGCTACCTAATAACCCCGCCGCGCGCCAGCGGTTTCCAGTACAGTACAGTAGATTAGGATGCTTACCACCCACCTCAAGTGGCGCGCCGGTCGCAGCATGGCGCGCTGGTCGCGACATTGCCGGCCGGTAGCCGAACACGAGGAGCGATTAACCTACCAGACTAGACACCGGGCCATCCGGGAAGCTAGACAGAAAGGCCATTGATAGGAAAGAACCTGAGAATCATCAGCTGACGCAATTTACATACAGATGGCTGGAGCGGTTTGCTGTTTCTCATTACAGGCCCTGGTCACGAATGGATCGACCGCAGGCGAAGATGCACTGCACGTGGTTGCAGTGTAGACGAGACGAGCTGGATCGTGCATGCCGCTCTCCTGCCTGACCTGTCGGCCTTTCGGGCGGCACAGAAGCCTTCCTGTTTCATGTTCGACTACCACCCTGTCATCATGACATTCAAAAGGTAGGTGTCAAGCTCTGAACCTGGTTTGAGTGGGCTGGTTCTCGGTCGCATTCGAACGGCGCACGCTGCTGTCAACCATGATGTCAGTGCACTGTGCCTATGCTCGAGTCCTCGCGTCGCTTGTGCGAGACCGCCACCGTGGGTGCTTTGCAGGGGAGCTTGTTGATTGAAGCTTCCAAGTCCAGACCCGACCGCTAAGATATTTTACATTCTCGGCCCAATAGCGAACATGCAACAGAACCATTGCTGCAAGCCACTGGCGCAGCCCCGCCCCGCTACTGACTGCTCGTGAGGGAGACACAAAGAAGAGTCTCCGTCGCCAATTCCGTTTCGGGAGTCAGCCAGATCGAGCTGGGCCTGGATAATGGCTAATGGCCGTTAATATGCTATACATATAGTAGAGTACATACCTAGGTGCATACGCGTATTGAAGGACGGGCTGGGCTGGCCATATTAAGTCGTCGAGAGCCGTCGCTTTGGGCGTCTTTAGCTTTGTCCTAAGTCCTCTCGACTTTTAGTCCATAATGAGATGTAGACTATTCTGTCCGCAATCAACAACTAGGTCTAAGCCAGGATTCACAGCCACTCGTGCTGGTAATTAACACATCATAGATCTCATAATTGACACATCACAGATCTCACTTGACAATTATGGCATCCGCAGGCGAAAGTGCAGGCTCTGACGGCCATTCAGTCCCAGCGCCGACATCAACAACAGAAGCCCAACCGAGAAAGGCAAAGGTGGCCTTGAGAGGCGTCGCAGAGACGACGCTCATCACCCTCCGCAGCCGCGCGCATGACGCTGCCAAGCCCCTCGGCGATAGCACCAGGGTTCTAGGAGACACCTAGGCACAAGAAACCCTCGACAAACTCGACTATGTTGTTCCACCCACAGCAACGAGCGTGGCCACGTTTAGCGTGGTTGTGATTCGAGCCCGGCAGTTCGACGTCTGGGCGACTGAGTTCCTCGACGCACACCCGGACGGAGCCACGGTGCTGCACCTTGCCTGTGGCCTCGACAGCCGTGCTCTCCGGCTCAACTGGAACAAGAGCACGCGGTGGATCGATGTCGACTTGCCCGACGTCGCGGCTCTCCGCAGACAGGTCGTCCCAGTCCCAGAGCAGCGCGACTACCAGCTGCTTGCCACCAGCGTCACCGAGCCCCGCTAGCTCGACGAGATTCCAGCCGACCGCCCCACGCTCGTCATCATGGAAGGCTTGGCGCTGTATCTTGATCCTGCCGACGTCGAGTCCCTATTGAAGCGCGTCTGCGACCGGTTCCCAACCGGCCAGATTGTGCTTGACTCTGTAGGCGCGTGGTACAAACGCTCCCAGAGTCTCATCAGGGACGTCAGCAGAACTGGGGCTTTGGTGAAGTTCACCATAGACCAGGCCGGGGAAATCGAAAGGCTCCACGACAAGTTGAAGGTCAGAGACCAGATGCGCGTCTGGCAAATTCCTAGCTGTGAAATCCTCCCTCTGCCAGTGAGAATATTCTTCTGGGTTCAAAGCTGGATTCCCGGATTGACCAGCTTTTCCACCGAGTTCAGGTGCGACTTTTGACACTGGATGAACACGACTGCCTCTCCTTGATGTTTTAGACCCAAAGAGGCATTTCCGTGGATGGATAATGGCGCAATATATGTATCACGGTCATGATGTCATTATACGTCTGGCACGGCGTCGTTTCCTATCGGCCCGTAATTGTTTTTGGGCCCAGTTATTTCAACATGTGGAACTGCGGCTGGCTAGGACGTGATCATACCCTCCGAATTGCCTGTTTGAAATATTGCGTCAACATTGCACCCCAGGGACAAGCTTCCGGTCTTCGGCTGCGTGACTCCTTCTGTCTTTAGCTGGCCAAAATGTTAGCCAATACCATGGCCTCATCTCAATCTCATCGCGCCATGATCGAGCGAATGTATAATTAGTGGCCTTGCTTTTCGGGGCAGAGAAAAAATGAAGAAAGAAAAGCTAAGCCTCTCGATAAAGAGACAAGCGTGACCGACCACAGAGCACGATAGAGTTCCAGGTTGTCAACTTCAAATCTTAACCAGATAACCTAGCAATCGCTTGCCTGCAGGTGTATGATTGCAGGTGTCTACCTGGGTATACTAGACCAGATATAGCAGACCACCTTTTGTTTGGCGCTCAATGATGATAGCCCAACTGCCGCTCTGCCTAATCGCGCAGCAATCTACTCCCACGCGGGTCGGACCACCCCATACCACCCGCCAAGCCCACAAACGCCCAATAGTCCAGAATTTTATATCGGACTACACGAATCCCTGCTGTTCTCTTCCCGTATACACAACCATCATAAAGATATCATCAACCATGCCGACAATGACGGTATGAAAAAGGTCAGGAAGCCTTCATCCCGCAGATGGGACCCAGTGTTTTCGCGCGGAACGAGAATGGATCGATTGTTCGTGTCCCGTCCTGCTCCCATGTGCGGTACCGGTACGCACTTGGCCCCCATGCAGTCTCCTGATAGCATATATGACCCGGTTTCTGGAGGCTGATATTGGTTTTGCGACAGGGAACCCAAAAGACCCGGGAATTTGCATGCAAGCACGTTCTGCGTTTCTCGGAAGAAGCTCGATACCAAGCAACCCGCCCAGCATAACACGGCCTTGGCAAACAAGATAAACATGCAGCGCAATATCAACCGTATCCTGGTGGCCAAAGGGAGGAGATCTCTACAAATATACCCTCGCCTACTTCCGTGCAATTGTTTTCCTTCCTTGGCCGTAATTGCTTGAAGTTGTGATATAGGCCTGGCGGTTTGATAATCTCGGGCTTTTACTGAAGGCGCACGATGCTATTCCCGGGCTTTCCGACCTTCGCTGCTTTTGCTTGGGGCGGGTTTGTTTCGCTGGCTTTTGCCGCCGACCTTGTTGGCGCCAGCAATGAAGTCGACCCCGATGCTGTCAACGCCTGCCAATGCACGGGACTTGACTATAGCGACTCGGGCTCATATCTGGTTGACTCTAGCACCAGCGGCAACTTCAGCTTTGCCTCTCAGTTTCAAGGTGAGCAAAATGCCGCATGGACGCTCTCACTGCGCCGTCGCTTACTCGCGGACAGGAAATTGCACCGACGGCGTGGCCAGCCCGATCCTCCGTGATCCGGACAACAACGAGTACCACTGCACCAATATCCGCCCAACACCACTCGGTTCTGTGCAGATATCAACATGGCAAGTCAAAGGAGCTCTGCATGTGATGGAGGTCATGTGCTAATAGCTCCCGTTCTTTCATGCAGCGATATTCCGTACTCTGACCTAAAGACGGGATTATGGGCGATTACGATATACATGTCTCCAAGTAACCTGACCGTCACGAGGACATTTAGACTCACAGTTGGTGTCCCATCAACGGTAGTAACGACTGTAAGCTTTGACCTTCGATGTATATGACATGTACATGACATGCGAGACGTCGAGCTCACGCGTTATTACTCGAAAGATCACGCCGACAGTGGTGATAGGGACAACCAGCGTCGCACCCCCGGAGAGTATGCCAATCGTTATTTGTTTCTACTTTAAAGGCTGCAAACTGCGAGCTTGGCTTGGCTGACCTTGTCGCAGCCATTACCTCGACAGCCCTCGAGACTCGCAGTACCACGCTGTCAATTTCGACATTCACTACGCCGTGTAGCGCCCTCCAGACATCGACCACCACGGTGCGTTTGCCGAATACTATCATCACAGTGACATCGACGATTATCGATTACACGACGGACGACAGGATCACCAGCTCAGCCACGACGACAAGCACGGTCACCGCATCATGCGTATACAAGACTACAGCCCGGAGCACAGCAAAGACCAGTTCGGCCAAGTCCAGCTCTGTGAAGAGCACCGTAAAGAGTAGCACTACCAAGTCCACGAGCGTAACGGTTGCGCCGCCAGTGACAAAGGCTCCGACTGTACCTACAGGTCTCTTCACCTTCACCGTTTCCAACTCGGTCTGTGCGGGCAACCCCCCATTCGCAGGAGCGGGAGGTGGGTGGAGAGGCGGTGGATGGGGTGGTGGAAGTCGCAGCGGATGGGGGCCGCCTGCATGGGTCACGTCCATGTGGGCATCAGGCGCCGCTTCGGGAGCTCTGCCGCCTTGGATCTCGTGTGTCAAGGTGGCAAAACGCACCGAGGGGCCAAAGCCGAGGATTGCAGCATGGACATCGACCTACGTGCAGACAACATTCACGGCTACCGAGACATCGACAGTCTACTTGCCACCCGCGACGGTGACGCGGTACAGTGAGTTTCAGATTCATCTTTCGGCTGGTGACGTTGGGCCTGGAATTCTATGCTAACCCACCGGAAACAGTTCTTGGAACGGTGACTGAGACCATGTAAGTCTGGCTACCTGACCAGTAGCTGCCAAACGGTGCCATCTTTCCACAGTCCGCTGATTCAAACATAACAGAACGCCACCGCCCAGTATCGTGTGCTCAAATGCCCCCGACGAAACGAGTACCGTCGTATCGCCAGGCGCAACACTCACGCACATCACGCTCGTAACATCGGCCAGCCATGTCGTCGAGACCATATTTGTAACGTGAGTTGTCTAAGACGTCCCGGTGGACTGCTGGCGACACTGACAGCCCAAACTCGCTTCCATGTCCCCCAATTACTGACGACTGTTGCATTTGGCAGACAAACCTTCATAACAATACAGAACGAACCAGCTTCAGAAACGGCCTGCTGGAGCGCCGGGGGCACATACGGACTCTAAGGATATCGTTAATATGCTCTCAATAGGACAGTGAATGGACTTGGTCAAGTTCGTATTTTCTAGGCAGATACCTCTTTGCCGCAAATACCAGACCAAACTTAATCAGCTTAGAATTGCGATTAACCGGTTCCAACCAAGCTCGTTTTGCTATATGTTTGGCCCAGCAACTCCAATTACTTCAGACTTGGCGCCCATTTAGCCTATGGGTATTGGGTTTACCGCACCCAACCCAAAGTGCAACTAGAGTCCCGGATTAGCCAGCTCCTCGTCTCCGGTGCGATGCTACGCTATCTTGTGGCTCGAACTCTGGGGGAGTCCTTATTGGTCCCTTGCAGAATGTTGTTCGCCTCGCCCTCAAACACAGCACCGGGCAAGGTAACTCACTCTTGAACCATCTACATTTTATGTTGAGACGATTTTATTTGTCACAATGCACGTGTTAAAAGCTCTCATCGTCACCTCTACGCTCACCTTCCCAGCCCTAGGCCAGCTGGACAGTTGGGCCAAGGCTGCCGGGCTCAAGTATTTTGGGACGGCGGTGGATAACCCATCTCTCAACAACCAAGCGTACATGAAGATTGTGCGTGATGCCGACGAGTTTGGACAGATCACGCCTGCCAATGGACAAAAATGGTCCAACACCGAGTCCGGTCAGGGTCGCTTCTCGTATGGCACTGGAGACGCAATCGCCAACGTCCCAAAACAGACTGGGCAGCTTCTCCGTTGTCATACCTTGGTATGGTATAATCAGTTGCCGAGCTGGGGTACGCATGGTGCCAGGTTTCTGTTTGTCAGCCTCCGTTCAGAACACTTCTTTGAACTTACAATTCGTGAACTATGAACAGTCAGCAGCTCCTTCAGCCGAGACCAAATGCAGCGCATCATTACCTCGCATATCCAAAACGTAGCAGGTCACTACAAAGGGCAGTGCTACGCGTGGGATGTGGTCAACGAGGCCATGGAAGACGACGGGAAGTTTCGGCAGAGCCCAAGTACGTCTTGATCCGATCAAAGCTAAAGCCACCGTCCTCAAGACCTGAATAGCTTAGACTTGTACTGTGCCTAGTGTATAAAGCGATGGGCGTGGACTACATCACGCACTCGTTCAAGACAGCTGCGCAGACAGACCCCGGCGCCAAGCTCTATTACAACGACTTTAACATCGAACGCTGCTGCAACGCCAAGATCAACGCGACCTTGGTCATGCTCAAAACTGTGATAGCAGCGGGAGCACGGGTCGACGGAGTCGGCATGCAGGGCCACTCGCGGGTGGGCAAATCACCCTCCAAGCGCGAGCTCAAAGACACAATGGCCGCCTTCTCGCAGCTTGTCGACGAGCTCGCTTACACCGAGATCGACATCCGCCACACCAAGCTACCCACCACTGCAGCAGACCGCGAGCAGCAGGCCAAGGACTACCTCGAGGTCGTCGGGGCCTGTCTCGAAACCCCAAAGTGCGTGGGCATCACGGTTTGGGATTTCACCGACCAGGTACGTTTGACCTGAACCCTCTTCCCTGGTTCTTTTTAAACCCCACACTAGGGCTACTGACACTCTGCGGTAACTTCCTAGTACTCATGGATTCCGGGGCAGTATTCAGGCGAGGGGGAGGCATGTCTTTGGGACAAAAGCCTGAACAAGAAGCCTGCCTACACCAGCGTGATCAGCCTGCTCCAAAGTGCGGCATCGGCGGGTTTGCGGAAGACTCCGGCTCCAACAGCTCCAGTATCGACTGTGGTGACGGCTACTGCTGCTACTGCAGGACGCAGCCTCTTTGCTGCGGCCAAGGTGCCGACAATCACGACACTATCGACCTCATCTCAGAACAGCCAAGGAAACTAAAATAGGCCGAGAGCGTTGGTAAGCTGAGGTCATGATGCGGATTTTTCGGAACCTGTAGGTGATTGTCCTAATTTCTGAGTCGCAGTGGTCAGAAGACGCTATGAGCACGCCAACATGCAGGCTAAGTTTGGAGGAACGGCTTCAATAGGATAGACCAACAACCAACCTGTTTCGTCTGCATTTCGGTTGGTTGTTACGGTGCTCTGCATTTGCCATCCCCTGGCTATCAACTGGCGGTGTTGCCATCCCCTGGCTATCAACTGGTGATGTTGCCATCCCCTGGCTATCAACTGGCGGTGTTGCGGTGCGGATATACATGACTTAGGTGGCCAGTGTGGCTGTTCTCGTAGTTCCCGATCTCCGCCGACACCTTTTACCAGGCTCGACCGATAGATAATGGTGACCTCGCCTTGACTCTTGGTGCCGTGTAACAGCCTAGGTCTAGTGTGTGTAACAACCTATCAGCTGTTGGTGCGGCACTCTTGACTTGCTTGGCATTCAGGATTAGACTTGAAAGTGTGAGATACGCGGTCAGACGGCGCGACGCCGTGATGCACGAAATGCCTGGCTCTAGCCCTGGTTGGAATTCCTCGGAGAATGGCTCTCAAAACGGTATCAAAATGCATCGCGTGGTAGTTGGAAGAAGGTGAGGTGTAGGACACGGGCTGGCTGATACAAGCAGAGACATTCCTGTAGGATGAGGTGGTTCAAGCTGAGGGCCACACGCAACCTCTTACCAAGAATCTCAAGCAACAACATGGCAGCAACTACCACGGATCGACTCACGGAGGAACTCCAGGGCCAAACAATACGGGTTCCCGAATTGCGGCCCTTCTTTTCTCGGTGGCCCACTAAAATAAGTCCTTATTATGAGCAGCTGAAGGGCATCATCGAAAGCAAGATCGAGAAGTGGATTCCTAACGAGCATGTGAGAAGGCTTGAAAGATTGACCTGCCCCTATTCTGTGCCACTTACGTATCCGCCTTTTCTGTCTTTGATTACGCTCGTTCACCATTAGGTCAACACTAGGTGACCATGTAGTGAGTGATTTTAGACAGTGGACTAACTAAAAGCCCCAGATGGTATCCCCGGTCGTCACTCGGCCGTCTCGAGACCATGTCTTGGTTTTCATTGTGGGTCTTCCTCTGGGACGATGTGATCGAGGCAACTGGGACAAGCACCGACTCGACGCTAACCACCGACGTCGCATGGCTCCACGACGAGGCTCTCTCAAGTACGTCGAGTTTCAGCTCGGGCCCAGCTCGGACCCAGCTCGTCGCTGGTGAAGCCCCCATCCCCGACCGTCTCTTTCAAACCGCCGAGCTCAAGACGCTGTGATTTGAGCTCAACCGCCACATATCCACGTAAGGCTGCAGGCTTTCTTTTCTGCTTCTTTCTAGTCCTGGGCATCTAACGTCGCAATTGTAGAATGAACGACATTTTCCTTCAAGAAGGAAATCATAAGTCTCTGAGCCATGCCTGTTGCCATTACTTACTCACTAGCTCCGCAGTGAAAGAGCCTCCAGAGCCTGATACCGGTCATTGTCATGAGACGGTTGCAGACGTGGATGCCGCCGTCGCCTCCATGGTGGAGACGGTCCGGATCTCGGCGCAGCGAGCCAACGAGAGCGGAGAAGCGCTACTTGCAATGACGGCGCACGATGCAGCGGCTCATGCAAGCGTCGAGAACTATCTTTTCGGTTTTTGGACAAACATGACTGGGAGCTACTGGTAGTCGTAAGTTTACCCTTTGACCCTTTTCGTCCAATTAGTATTAACAGAAGTCACAAGGCTTGTGTGCGAGCGATACGGGTTGCCAGATACGTGTAACAAGACGAAAACGTGACCATTCCGTCTGAGGGTGAAAGCGGTTTGGCTGACAATACGATTGTTTTTGTTGCTCACTGCCGTGCGCTTACATGCGTGGGCTGAATGGCAGGGAAGGTCCACGCAGCCTCACAAAAGAACACGAGCCCATGAGTTCAGCATTTTATCATTAGTTTGTACGCATGATTGCCATAAACGGCATGGCCGAGGCCGTGTGTGTGTGTGTGTGTGTGTGTGTGTGAGAAATGATACCTTTGCCTAGATTTCTTGGATATGGCGTCGCTTTCCAGGCCGATGGTCAACTCGTATGAATTGAGCCACTATGCCACCTTGTCCTCACGTCGTTATGCCACCCAGAACCAGAATCTCTCAAATATGTTCCGCGGCTTTTGATCGGGCCAGTGGTCATCCTCGGCGTCGAGCGCGGCCTTGCCAGTGAAAATGTCGGCCTCAGTGGGCGACAACCACTTCGTGCGCTTGAAGAGCTTCCAGAACGCAAAAAGAAAGAAAAAGATGGGAATCCCAATATACGAAGCAAGGAATTCTATGGCGTTGTCGCATGGTTAGTCGAAATTACTCACGGATGTAGAAAAGATAGTGTGGGGGTTGGGTTTGGGTGGGGGGGGGCGGGAACGCACCAGAGACATCCCAGTTGCCGTCAATGAAAACGGCGAAGCCGTTGAAGATGATGATGAGGGTAAAGAAGGCGAGGCAGAACCATGCCGTGTAGGGCTGAAAGGGGCTCTTGAAGACGAGCGTGTCGCGGTCGATGCCCTGGGCGTGGAGGGCCTTGTAGAATCGAAGGTACGCGACGCAGATGGAGCACCAGGTAAACAAGCTGGCAATGGTTGTGATGTTCTGGAACCACTCGAACGCCTTAGCAGCACCGCCATCGCTCTGGACAGAGAGATAGGTCAGCAGGCCAATGATTGCCGTGCCACCGACTGCATAGTAGGGAACGCCACGCTCGCTGCACGTGAGGAAGAAGCGGGGTGCCTGGCGGTTCTGGGCGAGGGCGTACAGGTAGCGGGATCCCGTGTAGAGGAAGGCGTTGGCGGATGACGTGGCCGAGGTCAGGATGACGGCGTTGATGATGGAGGGGAGAACGGTAATGCCGGCGTTCTGGATGCCAATGACCCACGGGGACCGGGCTGCACCAGCGCCCTCAGCACTCAGCAGATGCGGGTCCGACGACGAGACGAGAACGCCGATGGCTAGCGAGCCGAGGACGTAGAAGAACAGGATGCGCCAGAAGACGCGGCGGACGGCCTTGGGGATGTTCTTGCGCGGGTTCTCGGCCTCGCCGGCGGCCACAGCCACGAGCTCGACGCCGCCGTACGAGAAGGCGGCGTTGATGAGGGTGGAGAAGAGACCGAGGAAGCGGCCGAGGTCGCCCGTGGACTGGTACTCGAGCATGGCGTTGCCATCCTTCCAGTAGACGAACCCGAGTCTCACGCCGTGGGGGTTGCCGCCGAGATCGACGATGAAGGCCATGATCAGGAGGCCGACAATGGTGATGATCTTGACAGATGCGAAGATGAACTCGGCCTCTCCGTAGATGGCGACGGCGATGATGTTGAGGGCGATGACCAGGATCAGCAAGATGCTGATCCAGACGGCCACGTTGATGTCGGCAGCGCCCTCCCAGTAGCCAATGACAACAGCGGCGGCCGAGATTTCGGCGCAGATGGTGATGGCGCTAGCGTACCAGTTGTTCCAGCCAACAGCAAAACCCAGAGCGTCGTCAACGTAGCGAGCACAGAACTGGGGGATAGCGCCGGGCAAGGGAAGCCAGGTGGCCATCTCGCCGAGGGACTGCATCATGGCGAAGATAGCAAGGCCAGTGAAGGCGTAGCCAAGAAGCACCGACAGCGGGCCGGCTTTCGTGAATGCGCTGCCTATACCCAGGAACAGGCCCGTGCCAATGGTGCCCCCGAGGGCGATGAACTGGACGTGCCGAGACTTGAGGCTGTCCCGGGGAGGTTGTCTTGGTCAGTCGAGTCCTTGGCCAACAAATACCCTAGGGCAGGAAAGGAGATGATGGCAGACTCACCCACGCTTCACGTAGCCGTACTGCTCGACGTCGCTTTCGCTGCCGAGGATGGCGCCGCCCTCGACAAGTCTGTCTTGCTTGCGCTCCTCGATGCCGTCAAAGGGCGGCGACGAGCCCTCCTCGGCCTCGGCAAAGTTCTTTTCCGCCATGCTCGGACACCAGTTTTTGCTTCTGTGCCAGGCGACTTGAGGTATCGAGATGCTGTGTAGCTATGCGAAGCTCCGGTGCTGCTGGCCAGTACCTATATGCCGCCACCCAGCTGTGAGAGACAGGTAGGAATGAGCCAGATAAGTAGGTACGGTGGCTTATCAGCATCTAGGGACAGCCGAGGCGATTTATGCGAAAATGCAACTGCCCTACCTTGCGCTGTCCTTCCCACAAGCCCACAGCCCACAGCACAGCTCTCCTATTCGCACCCCCGTTCCCGGTCTGTTCCATCCCAGCCCTCGAGCAAGCAGCAGCTCATGTGTGGCGTGCCTGCCGTGCTTGCACACCACAGCCATGCGAGAACTCAATGCGTGACTGGCTGCCTCTGTTGGCAGAGCAGGCACAGCACAGCGGCCGCAGAGAGCAAGAGAGAGACACAGAGCCAGAGAGAGACACAGAGCCAGGGGAGGGGGCGGTACAGGGAGAGAGAGGGGGTGGATGTCCTCCCGTTGCCGTCGGTCCTACCCCAAGTGTCACATATTGCAGCTCATCAATTTCAGCCGGGTCGCGAGTTGCGGCAGCGAACCGAGTACTTCCATTCTTACATACCTTCTCAGTACAGCGAACAGAGGCACGAACAGAACAGCAGCACTATGTGCAGTGTTTTCTCTCCCAATTCCCACACACCACCACGAACCAGTCGGCCTAGTCGCTGCTCGACCAATGGCATGGGTCCGTGGCTGACCGTGCAGTCTCACAACGGCCAATTTTTGGACATGGATCCATCCACCACCCCTGCTGTGGTGTGTTATCGTCAGGCGAGGCAGCGAAGAGCGGTGCAGTGGCTCGGAATGAGGGGGACGGGGAGGCGTTGTGAATGCGACCGGCCACCCTGACGCCATGAAGCTATTGTGTGATGAATCTCGCCCACCCTACCCAGATTGGGGGACCACACCAACGCGCTTCGGGCAGTTCCAAAAATTTCTTGGCAGCCGCTGTTTGCCGTCGTGCAGAATCATGGATGTCTGCGGCGCTTATTAGTGGAGACGATAATGATGCTTCCAGCTAAATTCGAGGAATCGCGACAAAATTGTCGGGGACACCCAAGGTAGGTAATCAACACGAGAGTTAGTGACCTAGAGCAAAATCGAGACGCACGTGCAGCACGTACATACTACGGAGCCCGCAGGAGCGATCTTCAATCTAGGCCCGGCCGCGCGTTGGAAGCTTAAAATCATGCTCGGTCGGGCCTCAGGTGGCCCGGGCCACCTAGTTTTCGGTACCGAAAACGGGTCTAGTACAAGCAGCTGAGTTAACACCTAGATGTGTGGATGAATGTACAGTACATACAAACAGTGCCCAGCAAGCCGTGTAGGACCTGTCTCTGCATTTTCCCTCCATATATTGAAAATATGAATTCCTCAGAATCGGGTAGGTAAGTCAGACCAACACGGCCAATATTCCGCATTGGATCCTTATCCTGGTACTGTACATGTACTGTACCCGCAGCAGAGGCAAGGCACAGTGAGCAGTTAGGTCTAGCCCACCTGCTGATTAGTTGGAGGCTGGGCCGTGGGGTTCCTGGCTCGGACTCGGTCCCTCGGATTGCCCGCTGGATGGGATGGGATAGGATGCAAAAAAACAGTAATTTTAACATTCTGGCTCAAGGTCCACGTTTTGTCACGTTTTACAATTGACGATTACCTCGCAGCAAGCAAATTCACATGCCTGGGGATAATAGAGGGCTGCGGGGCGGAGAATGGGGTGGTCAGTTGATGTTCTTTCGTTGTCCATGATCGAGGTTCCCTCATTCGGGCCGCAGCCCGCCCTGGACCCCCGCGAAACCCCACAACAGTCCCCATTTTCCTGAGCAAGCAATGACAAGGCGCTAGCGACCCCGGCACAATTGCTTATCTCTACCTCATCTGGCCCTTGATTGGGCCGTTGCAGGAAGCCAACAGCCTTTCTCGTCCAAGAGCCATGGCACAACGGCCACCGGGCTGAGTTCAAGCTTTCGGCCAAGCCGATCGACCATTCTGTTCGCGCTTCTTGCCGCCTTGGTACTGTGCTGCACCGGGCTCTTTTGCACCAAAGCAAGCACCTGTCCCCCCATTCTCAACCCAAGATCTAAGAAATACTAAAAGACCCCTGCTAGCTCCGGCGCCTTGACATGCGACACCATTGCACGCGACGGTGGTGCCATCGAGATACCTACCCAGCCTGGATACTTCGTCCAGATAATATGGCAGGGTGGTGGGCAAGTCCAGGGTGCCACTGCATCTTTTTTCCATGCAGCGTCGTGCTTCCAACCTGTCATAATCCGCCGCTATCCCTCCCGTACATAATACACTCTACGACTAAAGTAGACCAACGTAATTACCCAAGGTAGGTACCTCCCTAGCTCGGTAATAGTACCTCTCCTGCCAGCTTGTAGGGCCCAACGGGCTAGTTTCGACTTTTTCTCGCCAAGAGACCGAGTTAGGTAGGTATCATGACAATCGCATGGACGTTCATCTTATTGGACGCACCATTCAGCTTTCCGTATACCTGTAGCAGACCTCGCTTTGCTCGTTTGCCCTTCCTGATATTCTACACAATGTAGACGCGTTACTTCTTTCCGGCCTCCATTGGCTTTTAATCTTAGATCAGCCTCCGAGTTGAAACAACGTTAATTCCGACAACCAGCCGACATTAGAAGTAGTTCTTAACTAGGTAGGCTCCTGCCAATTACTGTTGAAGTGGCGATTTAATGGACTTTTCTATCTTCCTCTCAGACTCGCAGTTTTATCGATTCCAACTAATACATTTGGTTGCCGACATTTTGACACATAATTATTTCCAATCACTCTTCAACACATGACAAAACACCTCTATTACCCCACAGGCCAGGTACAAGGAGGTAATGATCAATCGAAGGAAGGCTTGGGTCATTGTCATGTTTGATCACGGAGACTTGGAAATAAAACTATCGGCCTAGATAGACCTAGAATAGACTAAACTGCTGATGGGACTAGGACCGGGGCATGGGCTGACGCGGTATCTCCAATAACGTCAGGGCAGGCGTGTTTTATGTCAAGTCGTGCGTTGGACAAAAGCTTTGATCAGGGCACCCTACTGGGAGTCCTTGGCACCTACCAACGTAGGGGCCAATGTTTGTATGGTAAAATGCCGTATTGCATGGCAACCACCCAACGGGTAACCGGGCACCAAGGAAGCCCGGAGAAGTCAAAATGACACAATTTACACTTTTAAATGCAAGTGTTCCTAGGCCTGAAATGAAATAACACATCGTTAACGTAGCTACCTAATTAGGTTTCACGCCAACAAATCATGATTCAAACTTCATGACCAACTAGCCGTATGCCATAACTTTTGGCCAACTTGCGTACAAATCTAAGCCTCAAGGTTGCTTAAAGGCATGACTAGCAACGAAGAAATCGTCAAAATGGAAAACACCCCGGACTTTTTGTGACTTTGACTATTTTTACGGCTTCAACGTTGTTGACCTGGGCGCCCGGGCTGCATGGTAAGCGCATGGGCGGTGAGATGGTAATTCGGGATTTTATGGGCCTAAATTAGGCCCTGAGTATCACAACTGCCAACAGGTGCCAGGAATGCAAAGTAGGGTGCCCTGATCAAGCTCTTGGACAAAGGAAAGAAGGAAGAATCCTGGTTTCAAGGGCTGAATCAAGCAATTCCAGGACATTCAAAACACTTTGGAACGCCATTATATCTAGCCTAGACGAATAAATACAAGAATGAGATAACCAAGACGACGGCTATCGTGAAAAGGCTAACCGTATTAAAAGACATCTAACGTGCGAGACAGTGGAAGTCAGCGGGCATGACTGAAAGTCTATTATGAGTTGATTAATCGTACGAGTTCATATAGCCACTTGTTGCCCCAACGGATATTAAAGAGTCTCATGTTACCTTGTTATGGTAAAGTGTTAGGGATCTCAAATTTGAAAATTGTTATATACACTCTTTCTAATTTTTTAAGTTTCTCTCTTATTCCCCAATACCATATTAACACAGGAGACCTAATATAACTAAAAATATTGGGGTTGGTCTAAAGCGTACCTGAATCTAGTTAGGCGTTTTAACTCAACCACCAACCGAATTGTATCATGTAGGGGTAGAACAATCTGAGTGAAAATGATATCGGAATACGGAAGACGAAAAAATAGCCAACTCCTCCCAAATTCAAAAGCTTAGTAATAACGAGAATACAGAAATTCCCCTGAGATTGAATGTGTCGGCCACGCCCGTCTCTTTGTTATAATTGGTGTTTAATTTTAGCGACTCAAGAGTCTTAGCTACTCGTTATTAAGATCTTAGAGGTGGCTCAGGTAATATGCTAGGCCCGCTAACCAAGTCACACGGATGTTGTAAAGTCGACGAAAATTAGAGCCGAGAGATGAAAATAAACAAGTCGTCAACAGGCTCCGGCTTGCCATCTTTTTCCTACACCAGATGATCTCTCAAAGCTGCATACATTGTACATGAAACGCAATGGAAAAAGTTCATAACGACATTACGTAACCTCCCGGAGAAGAGTCCTCACAGGGAAGTCGACACCAAAGGCTTCGAGAGAGTTGCCACATCTCCGCAACATGTATTCATTCCTGTCATAAGCTAGGTCTCTCTACTCCTTGTAGTCATAGCAGGTACTCGTCAAACCAAGCAACAGCTTGCAGGAAAGCCTGTTCCTTGGCAAACTTTTCCTGTTTCTTCGAAGGATCGCCACGGATTGAGAAACCGTGTACAACACCAGAGTAGAGGTTAATCTGGTATGGCTGGCCAACATTTTGGAGTATCTCCTCGGAGCGATGACGCTTGTCGGCTGGGAAAATGCTGTCCGTCTCGGCGGCTGCGATGGAGAGCGGGCCGGTAATACCCTCTAGCTCGTCCTCATCAACAAACGAAGGGTGAGCCAGATAGCCGACATCGATGCCGTCCTTGTAATGGCGGACGACGTACTGCATCGTGGACTAAGTTAGCGGGCGGCGGGAGGGAATAGAAACCATGGCATAATGAGACTAGGACACGCACCTTTGCACCGAAACAGTATCCAGCAGCTCCAAGCTTCTTGACCCCATATTGCTCCTTCAATGTTTTGATGCCATCCAAGACAATGGGGTCGACGGCCTCCTTGGTGTGCGGGTTGTCACCGGTCGAGCCACTGGCAAGCCAGCCCATGAAGTCGAAGTTGGCGGGGCGGTTGAGCGAGAGGGCATCCCCATTGAAGATGTCTAGGATAAGCGTCAAGTAGCCATTGGCGGCGAATTGGTCGGCAACCAGCTTGCTGTTCTCAAAAATGCTGATAACGTCGGGTAGGATAAGGATGCCGACACCGTCGTGCACTTTCTCAGCTAGCGGCGTCGCAAGGTAGCCGTCGTATTTACCGGCGATCTTTATAATCTTGCCTGTCGATTCGCCTCTATATGGTGGAGGGGAAGATGTTGTTAGCCTCGGCTTAAGATTGGCTAGCGGGGACGGGCTGGGGAGTCTGTCCTGTGCCAGACTATAAAGCAGAGAACTTGCTGAAAAGGTCGGGTGCTTACGCATGCTTGACACCAATGGTGCAGCACTGCCTTGGCGGGTTTGAGGCCATGTTCAGCGTTGGAAATTGGGGGTTGGGAGGTGGTAAGGTATTGATCGGGTGTCGGGGTGGACGCCGATGTCTGTTGGGGGGGGGGAGATTGTAAACTGCGAGCGATAGAGAAGCGTTCGCGGCGAACGAAGTTGACGATGCGCAAGGACAACGGAAGGTCGGGAAGACAGCAAACTCGTTCGAGTTGTTATATGCGATTCAATTTCTCCCCAAGCGCGATGCACACAATTCGAGCACAGTTTCCAGGCTGGACTTGGAGAACCTGGAAGACGTAATCTGACCCCTCAACCCCGCCATGCCCCACATTGCCCCTGAGCATCCCGATCGGCAGTGTCGAACGCCGGCGAACCCCACTGATGGGTCGTAGCAAAACTAGGTACAAAGTCCGTACACCTTCGAATATGGATGCGCGGTCTGTTTGTTGGGGGCTTGAATATCGGCATGGCTTCCTTGAATTATTCGGCATGTCGCATGCCGTTTTTGTTGCACTTGGAAGTCCCCATATAACTCATATCGGGAGAAAGCTAGACTTCGGGCTTACTGTGATCGGGAGCTGGCTAGCTCCGCCGAATTAGAGAACCGCTGCAATACTCCGTAACATACATGGATGATTGCGGTCGTGGCCAGAGCTCGCGTCGTTCAAATCTTCAGGATTTCTCCGAGCTCGCTTAGATCCGGCAAGCTTCGAAATGTCTCTGTTAATCGACTTGAGCGGCGACACAGGCGTGCAGGGCGGCATCCAGGAGAGCCTTCTCCAAGACCCTGACAAGACAAAATCCGACAACTCAGTCAGCGTGCTGCCACTGCCCCGCACCAGCGAGGCCGACATCGTATTGGCACCAGCGGGTCTCGCAGAAAACATCGCCCTGCTCGCCTACCTCACGGCCCTCATTAACACGGTTTATACGCAAGAAGAAGGTGAATTTTGGCAAGAGGGGCAATTTGCGCGATGCACCCTAGAGGAAGTAGGCAGATACATCGTGGCTGGCGAGCTTGCAATTGCCTGGCGACACGGCTCCGCACAGACGGACACGAAAGACTTGATGGGCTGTGTGCGCGTACAGATGATCGACAGCCGGACTGGCGAGTTTGGGGTCTTGATGTGCGATCCTGCCTCTCGCGGCTTGGGTCTCGGCCGCGACCTACTCAAGTTTGCAGAGACCTGGGCCAGGAAGCAAGGTGCCGAGGTGATGCAGTTGGAGTTGTTGATCCCGGACGGCTGGCATCATGCTTCCAAGGCGAGGTTGGCCATCTGGTACGAGAGAGCTGGGTTCGGGCTCATCCGCGTGGGAGATGTGGTCGACGAGTTCCCCCATCTAACCCCTATTCTCGTGCGGCCTGCCAAAGTTTGTGTCTATCACAAGGCCTTGTCTGAGCCGGCGCACCACTGATGTCCCATCTGTTGTCGGTGCCCTGGCGAGGGAATGACATCTAGAAGTGTACATAATGACGGGTGTGAATACATTGGTACAATCAAGGATTCATGTACGTAGTATCCTAATAAGGCGTGCTATTCTAGTGCGCGGTGCGTTCACGTATATCTGTGGTATTTCGATACATGCGCAGTACGGTATTACGCATTTCTCGTGCAATTACGAGCTATGTGTGGTGGTTGTGTGGTGGGTCATGAAAAACGTAGACCCACTTTATTCCTCTCTCCCGTCATTCACTGGAAAGCTGCAAGGCTGTCGCAACGCAAAGTTTCCACCGCCAGATACTCGCCGTCGCGAACGCCTTCCAGCATGCTGAAATCGACATACACGCTATCGCCAGGCATCCTGCAGCCACTGCCGCCTGGATGGACCGAGCACAAGGCGCCGACCGGGCACGCGTACTACTACAATGCCGAGACGAAAGAGTCGACGTACAAGAGGCCGGGCGTCGGCCCCTCCAGCGCGCCCTTGACTGGCCCTCAACAGCCAGCCTTCCCTCAAATCAACCTCTCCGACCCTGCCGTCGCAAATGCCTTCTTGGCTCAGCAGCGCGCCCAGGAGCACCAGCAACAACATGGCCAGCGCGGAGGCTCTAATGGCGGTGGCAGAGGCGGGTTCCAGTCTCGGCCACGCCCGCAACCGCACGACAGACCTCGTTCCAAGATCGCCATACCTGGTCACGAGCCTTGGATTCTCGTCTACACAAAGTACGGCCGTCGCTTTGCCTACAACCCCACGAAGAATGCCAGCTACTGGCGCATCCCCGAAAAGTTTATGCCCGCCATCCTTGAGCTCGATCAGGCCCGGATTTTGCAGAAGGCGACCGGCAAATCAACTGAAGACCAAATCAAGAATACCAGCGATGCGGCAACTGCTATAGGCCCGACACAGGCTCCAGCTCGAGACGAGCAAGAGCAAGAAGCCTCGCATGACTACGACAGCTCAGAATACGAAGAGGTGGAAGTCACAGATGATGAGGGTGGCGATGACGAAGACCCCGACGGCAACCGGTCGAAGCGGCAGCGGACAGCAGACCCCCGTGGCGCCGACGGACCTGTCGAGTTTACTGAAGACGATATTGCCGCCCAGCTGGCTGCCATGGCCGCCGACTACGACGAGGAAATGAGCGACGGTGGTGGTGACGGTGGCTGGGAAGGAGACGAGGGCTTGACGCTCTCCGACGAGGACGCTCGGGAGCTGTTCAAGGACCTCCTCAATGACTTCAACATCAACCCCTACAGCCCATGGGAGAAGTTAATTGAGGAGGGAAAGATCTTCGACGACGCCCGATACCCAATACTCGGCACGACGAAGGCCCGCAAGGACGTCTGGGAGGAGTGGTCACGCGTCAAGATTCAGGAGCTGAAAGAGAGGCGCGCTAAGGAGGAGAAGAAGGACCCGCGAATACCGTACATTGCGTTCCTGCAAGAGAAGGCCACACCCAAGCTTTATTGGCCAGAATTCCGGCGGAAATACAAAAAAGAAGACGAAATGAAGGACGCGAAGCTTGCAGACAAGGACCGGGAGAAGATGTATCGCGAGCACATCAACCGGCTTAAGCTGCCACAGGCGACACTAAAGGCCGACCTCAAGAAGCTACTCGAGTCGCTGCCCCTATCGGTGCTAAACAACCGTACCATGGTCTCGCACCTACCGCCCCAAGTCCTCAGCGACATCCGCTTTATCTCTCTGGACCCCAAGACCCGCGACGCGTTTATTGAAGGGTATTTGCAGGGCCTGGGCTCACCTCCCGAAGGGGCCGACGTGGCAGAGGAGGAGGAGGCCGGAGGGGCTAAAAAGGCCCGCGAAGAACGACAAAAGCGCGAGAAGGCTCTACACGACCGCGAGCGTGCCGTCGCCGAGGAAAAGCAGCGCCAGGAGAAGAGGCTTCAATATGAGCGGGCACGGCTGCGTGACGAGGAGCGTGAGCTGGAACGGGCCATGCAAGTTGGGAAGAAAGGGCTCCAGAGCCAGCTAGCAACGGATCAGCCAGCTCCTCCATTGGCAGCTCCTCCGCCAGGAGAGTGAAAGGATGGTATTCACTGGAGAAAGCCGCCCGGAATTAGACTGCCAAAAATGAGTAAGATTGGAGCCACATTTTTTTGTCAAAACAAGATGAGCCGTGATCATACACAATGATGGAGTTTCTTGATGGAGTTCTTCGATCTGTAGCTGCCATCCTTAGTTTGCTTCTGACCCTCTCAGATTTAGGGCTGACAAAAGACATCTAACGACGATTCAACCGATTATGTATTTAAAAATTACAATACTTCTCTTTTATCCCGCTACTAACGCCAAAGCTATGCTTCAAACTCCAATCCCAAGTATGTAACTACAATACTCCTGTAAAGAGGGAAGAGAAAAAAACACGACGCCTACCAAATACGCCGAGCAACCATTTCGTACCTCGTGATATGGCTAAAGTCCTTTTCTTTCTCCTTTTCCGCCCCTTGGTCCGCTCGTCGCTCCTTTTCGCGGACTTTCTGGAGGCCCTTAGGATCATCCGCAAAGATCCAGCGTCGTCGGTCGTCCCCGACTTCTACCTGCCCGTAGCCGCCAAGGCGTCTGCCCTTGGCATCGTACGACTCCCTTTCCGCCTTCCCTGTGGCAATGGCATGCTCTTTTGCCTTCATGCGAGCGTACCGGTCGCGTGAGTAACGCAGGAGCACCATGCCAAGGAGAAGCTTGACGACGAGCAGCACCAGGAAGACGATCAGAAAAACAACCACCATGGTGAGCGCAGCAATCACATCATCGCTGGTCCAGCGAAGCCAGAGACGCGTCGCCATCCCCTCCTCGCTCGAGTTTTCGCCGAGTCCTTCTGCGTAGGGATACCCGTAGACTGCACGGCCCAACGCATTGCGAAGGATGTTATCAAGCCGGCCGAGAGCCGCTACCATGGCGGGCGATGGCGTGGCAGACTCAACCGAGAGTGACGTTTGCGTTGAAGGTGGCAATGGCGTTGGCAGATGCGCAGCAAGAAACATGTTGTAGATCTGGACCGAGGCTCGGATGAAAAGACACGACAGCGGTAATAGGGGCAAACCAAGCCGACGAGTTAACGACGGGGTCGCAAAGGCCTGTATCCATTAGCAAAGGCTGTAAAGGGCCGTGCAAAGCGACAAGGACGGGAACACGGGACACCAGGTGCTAACGTTTGCATAGTAGTCCTTGCACAGGATATCCAATATTCTGCCATAGAAATTTGGTTTGATATTGTTGAACTTGTTGACGTAGGCGTGCTTGATCCAGTCGACAATCATCTCACTACCCAGCACGACGATGAAGGGGGACAGCACCTCCCCCGACCACAGCCACGATGGCAAAATCGTGAAACTTGCGGGGAGTATGGAAGCCGAATGCAGAGGAAAACTGCTGGGCCCGTTGTCCTCACTCCCGGCCCCGGGAACGGACAAGCCACCAACTTCAACCACGTTGCGCATGCCAATGATGAGCAGCATGATCCAGAGCTGGAAGCGCTCCACGATATCGGCGCAGGCCAGCTGAAAGGTGTTCTCCTTCTCAAACCTCTTAAACACGGTGCTCTTGATCTCGACAAACTGACTACTAAGCAGAAGGGTCAAGAGAGCGTTCGAGTAGGAATTGACGGCAACGTTGAGTGCAATTACTTGGTAGAACAGGACGATGGCGTGCATGACGTTGTAGACGAGCGTCAGCAGGAACATTCCAAATGGCAGCATGACCTTTGAGCGGCCCGAGCTGTTTCTGGAGAGCGTCTCGGCACTGAACAGGCACTCGACAATGTCCTGGCCCAGGGCGGAGAGAAGCCTGTCTCCGACTTCGAGCAAGTTGAATATGGCGTAAAGTTTCAGAGCCGATTGCGCTCGAATGAAGTGATACATGCGGCTCGCATCAAGGTACATGAGAGCGACGGAGCTGAAAATTATGATGGCGCCTTGGAGAAGATCGGCCTTGTGGTAAGATGTCAGGTTTGAGGGACTCGACTTGGTCCGGCGGTGGCGGAGCGTCCCTGTAGGCTTGGCGCCCGGCTTCTTGGACGAGGCAGCACCAACGTTGCTCAGGTGTGAACTCTCAACACGACGCGTTGCTGGCCGGTCGCTAGGGGCACTGATATTGGCCGTATTGCCATTGGCTGTCTCCCGCACCCTGCTCCGGCTTCGCGATTCCTCGGTCCGGGACGAGCCCTGGCTGCTCGCAGTCGATGATCTGGGGCGGCCACGGTGGCCACGGCGGCCACGGCGCCACACGCGTCCCACGCCGTTCCACACAAATCCCACCAGCCAAAGAGCCTCCTTGCCGATCAAATACATCCACCACCGCACCAGGACGGAGACAGCAATGCAAAACCTCATCGGCAAAACAGTAAACGTCCACAGCCAGGCGTCCAAGCAGGCCAGCGCACCGAAGATCATTGTCCTCTCGAGAAATCCCGGAAGTAGCAAGACGTTCTTGAGGCGCTCAAGTTTGACGGCGCTTGATTCGTAAGGAAGATCGCTAGTGTAGGAGTGGTGGATGTACAGAGGACTTGGCCGTTGCCCCGCAAGCTCCAGCTGCAGCAAGGTCGGTATGGACATGGGCGGGAGCGGGATCGACGGCGGTATGGGGGAGGGTGGCCGCGAGTCGGGGGCGTCCTTATCCTTTCGGGGAGGTACTGGAGCATTTGCCATGGGGGGCGAGGGGAAGTTAGACTGGCCTTCGAGGTCGAGAGGGGTGGGCCGAGGGAGTGGTTGGAAGGAATTGCGTCGGGCTGACGACCCCGGAGCGGTGGTAGACTTGCGCCTAGTCGTAGGCGGCGTGGACAACGTCCTCGTCGATATGATAGGTCTCCCCTCCTGCATCGGACGCGTGCCATTGAAGCTCAACAGGTCGGGCCCAAAGACCGAAAGGCCCAGGCTTCCCGTCTTGCTTGTCTCGACGAGGCCAGCGCTTAGCGGATAATCTGATACATGGCGACCAGGGATGGAGGCTACAGGTAGTGATTCGGGAGCCGCCGTCAACTCTTGTATCTTGGACGCCGACAATCGCCTCACGGTCGGATCAAGGCCGCCAGTCTTCGTCCCCGGGCGGCCCTGTGTAGTAGCCCGCGCTGGCTCGGGCTCAAGGCTGGGGTATGGACTGGCGCTGGCGCTGCGGTCGAGGGTGGGGGAGCGGGCGGGGTCGAGATCGGGATCGGAAGAAGAGTCTCTCGGCCGCTCGTTGTCGCTGTTGCTTTCGCTAGACGGGTCCGGCGTAGGAACTCCGTTGGTCGGACTTGACACAGTCTTGTCATGGGACGACCGCGGTTCCGGCCGTCGCAGTGGCGGGTCGTTTGCCGTCAGCATGGGGGAGGGGAGATGGGAGGCCAGTGGCTGGGGTGCTTCTCTTCTCTGTACCGCCGCGGCCTCAGGTTTATCGGCACTCGATTCAGCGCCGGTCGCAATGGCAGAGGCATTCTCGATGGCGGCATGGGAAGCCATCCCGACGTCGCTGTCACCGCCTCGGGCAGTGCTGGTCATGGTTCGCCGTGCGGATGGGAGGCACCTATTTTTGAACCATCGCAAATCGTATCGCTAGCTATCACGTCGTTCGACTGGGAAGTAGATTATCCGTAGATACGGAACTATTACCAAGTCGGCCTTCAAGAATTGTGGCTAGTGCTCAAAGGACACTTTCCAGTGAAGCAACGAGTCGGAGTCTTGATCAGCCTCGCAGCTACCCGCCCCTAGCAGTCCCGGCTTGGCAAAGTAACCGTTTTGGGCCCAGTCATCCGTAATACCAAAATGTAACGTACAGCTAGTGTATTGTAACGTAAGACAACTGCCAAGTTGCTGCCCACAGGCGTAGGACCTCAGTAATGACCTACCAGGTAGCTGCCGAGCTCGTAATTCACCAAGTTATACATACGGTAATACAGAAGGCGTCTCTCAAAAGATGACGTCTCTTCCAATGCACTCCCGAGCATCACCTATAGCGCAGTATCACCGAAACTTTATTCCGTATCCATGAACTAGACGGCATCAAACACGGACATCGCCAATCTTGTCAGGGCATGCGACTACCGTTCATCCCCGAATCATTTGTACCTCCAGGCTCAAGGGTGTCGCGTTGTGTGTCGCTGACTAAACCCCATGTCCATTGCGAGCGCTCGACAAAGCTGAATCCTTGAAGGCAACTTTTTGCGAGCAAACTACCCCACCCTTTTAGTTGCCGGAATGGTCCATCCATCAATTGGGCTTCGTTGTTCACACTTTTGGTGTAGAGCACCACTGGATTGATGTAGATGGACATCGCAGTTTCTTGCACTGAACTGGATGGCATGGTAAGCTGACGTCTGAGAAGTGGGATCGAAGCACGAAAGACTCAGAGTTCTCGACAGTTCAAAAAGGGCCCTAAACGCTAAGATAATGGATGCCCTAATTATAACCGTTGCTCTCTTGTCGCCCATGGACATTCCGATCAGAAAAAGACTGCAAATATCTCAGACTCCATTATTTGATCTTACACCATGGTTGATGTTATAGCAGCAGATCAAGCGAAACAATAGGCAGCCAGCAGCTACAGCCACCGAATCGCCCCAACGAGTCCCCAAAAGACGCGCACCAAGCACTGAAGGGAAGATCACCGCAAGCCCCCGCGGCATTTGCATGCCCGCCAGCCACCGGACGCCACGGACGCCACGGACGCCACGGACGTGAGACGAACGGGTTAAAGTGTTTAAGAAGAAAAGAAAAAGATGGCAAAAAAGACACTACATATTCAGATTCGGACGAAAATGGACAACGATTGCCTAAAGAATTTGCCGCTGGGAGACGGAAATGCAAACCTCGTCGGTTGGGCATGCCTGTTCGAACCAGCACATCTCATATCCCGTCCACGCCTGAATAATCAGTTGCGTCTTGGTGGGTAGGTAGTTCTGACCAACAGTGAATGATCAGTCAGCCCCTAGTTGGATGAAGGCACCCGAGACCTATTAATAAGCCGGGAACCCACGATCTGAAGCTATGGATCAGGGCCAACTTTCTCATCTAAACCGACCAAAGACCACCAGCATAAAAGAAATACCAATTGATCTTTTCCCCGGGTTCCGTCTCTTAGCCTTTCGTCGAAGCCAGCCACTCCACTGCAATACCACCCCAAAAATGGCGGACCCAGATGGCGGGGTGGCCCAGAAACGGTGCTGGAACTGCCGATGTAAGTCGTTTCTATCACCAAAACGAAAGAAAAAAAACGCTTCGCTCACCATTCTCCAGCTCGGAAGGTAGCATGCGACAGAGCAGTTCCTGCCTGCTTAAACTGTCAGCGACGTGGGCAAGATTGTCTAGGCTACGGCATCAAGCTCTCCTGGCCACGCGCCAACGACGAAAAGCGTGCGACTCGCGGCGACAAGCACCACGTCCTGCCTATCCTCCCTAGAAACGCCGTCTTCATCAATGCGTCGAACCAAGACATCGAGGTCTGGAACAGTAGCCTGCAGACTCGGGGCGACGCTGCCAAAGAACCATTAGCTATGACGTTTTCAGTTTCAGATATCCAAAGCACCAACAGACTAGCCGGTCAAGAGTTGATCAAAGCAATCCCTCGTGGAATCCATACCGTGGGCCTGGCCGAGTTGGACCCCTTTCTTGACACACACAGTGGGTTTTCGCTTCCATCTGGCAAAGGGCAAGCCAAAGCCACTGACCCACTGTCACAGAGTATAGTGCGCTCTCGCAAATTATCTCGACGTCATGCGAAGACATGAGCGATCTGTACAATCTCCTTATCAGAATGTCTCTCACCAGTGAAGCGCCGCCTGCGGTGGCTACACGCCACGCCATTGCCGCGCTATCCTATCAACATCTCGAAAGACGACAAGAAGCTTTAGCTCACCACGGCAAGGCACTCAGGGCTCTGCAGGTTTCGATAGACAGCCTAAGCCAGCTCGTGCCGCGAACTGATCCCGTGCAGGCATTCCAGGCGATGGCAGCAAGCATGCTACTAAACATCTACGAGGTAGTTATTGCCGCTCGCGACCTCGGTAGGACTTGACCCAGACTGACGGCTTTCTCTAAAAGTCACTGAATTTCGATGCCTCCTCACTGAGCTGGGCCATCTTCTTCTGCGGCGTTAAAAAGATTGCCAATCTCGTGCATCGTCCGCACACCACGTATGAGGGCGACCCTGCGCTGATTTTAGACTGGGTCTTTTACCACGACACCTTCTACAAGTTCAGCATTCGTCATTGGCCAAAAAAACAAGATCAGCAGGTGCAACTGGCCGCCGAGGAAAAGATTATCTCCAAGGCGGTGTTCTCGCCCATGAGACAAACTGTACGTGTTCCTTTGTCCACAGCAGCCGCTTGGGACTGTTTTTAATCTTGTGAACTTTGTCTGATGTTTGTAGATTTTGAAATCATCCGGCTGTTCGCTGGAGATGCTCGACATTATCTGCCATGTCATTGATGCCGTGCGAGACCGTGACGGCCCGAACCATCTCAGCGCTGAGCACTTGGGCATCATCAGAACTCTCCAACTTCGCTTGGACCGAGTCAAACAGGTTCTTCGCATTTCTAGCACTGATGCAAGGAGTCTGACTTCGGGAGAAGATAACGAGGAAGAAATCGGGGCAGAGATTCAAAAACCCCCGGCCCACCCCTGGGAACAACGCGCCGATCTATATCGCCTGGCTGCATACATCTACCTAGAGCGCATGGCACTCTGCCGCCCACGTGGCGATCCTAAAGTGGCCTCGCTCATTGATCAAGCAATGAGTTTGTTGAGTACTCTTGGCATCTGCGAGCGCCCTTGGCCAGTCTTTGTCATTGCTCTCGAGGCACGCACGGATGAAGAGCGCCGCGGTATCGTCGATCTTTTGGGGACAGCATCCGACTTGAAGCCGCTTGGCAGTATCCCTCTGTTAAAGCGCATGATCCATGCTGCATGGGTGCAACAAGATCTTGGCCTGGGTGGGGATGGTGGCCTCGATGCATTGCCCGTGTACAATGCTGTCATCAGCGGGAACCGTGTTCCGCCTGCATTTACCTGAACGGAACAAACCGTGGCATACCTAGGCACCTACCTATTAGGTGTGCCGAAACGTAAGCAGGCTAGTGCGTTGGTGGTTAAAAAATTTAGAATTTTGGCCAGGCTACTTTCTGATCTTTAAATCGAAAGACACATTCAAATCAAAAACCATGTTTCTTACAAACAGAGCTGTCTAGTTGTCTCTTATTCACGCCTAGCCTGGGGCACCTTAACTGAGGCTATGAATCCGCGTGTATGGCATTATCAAACAATGATACGTTCAAACATCATTTTTTGTTGTGCCGTTCAATTGTTTAACCTTTTGCTGCACCGCGGCAAATGCTTTCGTTAACCTTTCGTGTGTACGTGGTGATGGGTATGAGCCATTTCAATTTTGTGATAAATCTAACTCTTGAAGTCCCTCCTCAAGGCAAGTCTTATTGAAGCAGACGGAATATTATATATCATTTTTTGTTTGAGTTTCCCAAAAGAGATTCCTTTCAGGGTTTAGACTGGACATAAACTTGTACCTGACTAAACTAACAACCATGTTCCTTGTTGATTTAATTTTATTGTGATGACTTCGCAAACTCGTAATATCTCCACTTTCGTTTCATTCCAGTTGAACCTTGCTGTTAAAGGGTTACAAATAAGGAAACAAAATAAGCATGATCATCTAATGCTAGCTGAGCCTGAAGCTAAGGGGAATTAATAGTAAAGAAATAATGTTGTTACAAGCCATCTTTGCCTCTCACAACTCAGGAGCTGGGTATCTGAGCTACATCAGCCCGTTCTTAATGAACTGGCATGTTGTTGATAGCCACCTGCCGCTAGTGACATGTTTGGTTAGCCTCTGGGTCGCCATTGCCGCACCAGATGTATATCCGAGGAAACGCGCCAGATGCGTGACTCCTATAGCGTGGTTTGCACCACCACCCAACGGCCGTCGTTTTGTTTGCACAAAACGTTACGCAACAGGTTGTGCTATCAGGAAGCCACACATAGCTAGTACAGTTCATCCCTAGATCGTGAAATCCCTCGTCACGAATAATCGGAGTGAATTTGCCCTCATAATCTGTCTCTGAAAACCCCTGGAAGGCGAGGCCAGCCGAGATTGTTTGGTTGTTGAGAAAGGTAGCCGTCGGAACATGCGCCGACGTTGGTGTTGAGGCTGGGCTTTGTGTTGTAGTCACCGTGTGTGTGGCGCTACAGATTACAAGATTCTCGGCATTAATACCACGTCATGTAATTATCTAGCAAAATGCTACCACATACCTCGTGACGCTGACGGTCGCCGAACCGCTTGTTCCTGTGTTGTCCCGTGCTTTGGCGGCACCAACAACTCCACCCCCGACTGCCGCAGCAATCACGACGACGGCAAGAACCACTGCTAGAATAACACAAAAGGTTCGATGGCGAATACCGCATATGTCCTGTTTTATGCCCCCAATGGGATTCGATATGTCTCCTTGGCCAGCAGGCAGAGAGTCCCATGGCATCGAGCTCACCGGATTGGGGGTGTTCTCAGTGTTTCTCCATCTCTGCGACTCGCGGAACCCATAGCTCTGCTCGTTGGGGATTTTGGGAGCATCGTCGTAAAATACTGCGTATTTGTCTCGGTCAGAAACATATTGGTCCCGGGCTCCAACCTCCTCAGGTGAAAGGGCTAGCGGCGAGAAATCAAGGAAGGCGCCCAAAGGAAGTACGCCTGGGCTGGGGACGACCTCTGGGAGGTTCTCGTCGGCAGCGAAGCCCATAACAAGAGTGGCACGAGCAAGGGTTAGGGGAGTGAGGAGCCTGCGTTTGACAATCCTGGGTGCGGGATCAGAGTTATCGCGTCATCTTGGCGCCGATTGTAGAGCACATGGATAAGATGTAAGTGGCGTTTGGCCCAGGCTGATCTCGAAACGTAGGGATGCCCACAATGTTGTCGGCAAAAGGTGAGAATGAAATTCTGGGGTTGGACCAGGATTCTAGCAGCTATACTTTTTGAGTGTCCGCGGTTTGGTACTTACGCGAGGCACTGGGACTGACTACACCTTACGATATCGCTGCCATCCGTGCATCGCTGCGTTACTCTGGTTTTGGGACCGAACGGTCGAGTAAGACGGGGCAATGTTTGGCGGCCAGCCTCAGGCAAAATCGGGCTTGTTTCCCCATTTTAGCAACACTGCCCCAGAACTGGCCGGCAAGTAAATTGCAGCGCGCATTGTGTTTCATGGCACAAGGACTCCCATTCGTCCTTCTGACCGAGCTGAATAAGGCGGGCGTCACCACATGGCTCGTTCATGCGAGGGCAAATGCCGAATTATCTCGACTGGTTTCTGGGCCGGCCCGGGTCTGTGGGCATGCATAGGGGCTGGCCACCAGCGAACACAACCGGCACGGCGAAATCAAGATGCAGCTAATGTCATGTTCTTGCCGCCTTGTTTCGGGCAGCTACCACTGGTCGGAGTTGCACACATTGCGTCTCACGGATGTTTATAAATTGCGATTGCGTGCGTGGTGAGGAGATGAAAGTGCCCCAAGCTGTTCAAAGAGTATTACAAATGGGTGGACAAGCAATGAACTGTAGGCTTTGGATGCCTTGGGTATCTCATTCATGTCCTAGATGGTGGCGGCGGCGACGGAGAACGACCAAAGGACAGACCACAAAAAAAAAGCCGGCTCCGAGAATCTCATCCCGGATGTTCACTGTTGGCGGTCCCAAATTCGGCGTCTCTTAATCCCGGCCATAGCACGGGAGACAAGACGGCGGTTCAAGTGCAAATTGAACCCATCCACGGGGCTAAGCGACAAACAAGGCCGAGCCCGATGGGAAGGGGCGAAGCTGCGAAGGGCACCGATCCGAGCCAAGCAAATTTTGGCCGAGGTTCGTATTCTGGTCTGGCAGCAGGTGCACTCTTACTGTGGGGCGCTGCTTGGCTTGTGGGGCGAACCACCAAGCACAGCTGCACGGGGCAGGTAAAAGAACAGTCCCGACTGCAATTCCATTCACTCATTCGGCTCGCTCCCAGATCTGGAATGAAACTGAACCTAATCCTCTTTCTCCAACATGGAACCCTTTGTAGTCCCGGTTGCATTGAACTTCTGCTGAATTCTTGATGGGCTCAGCGGCACATTTTAAGGTCTGTAATTACCTTACCTAGGTAGATAATCCACCACACACAACACAGCTGAGGCTCCCATCCCCGAGGACCGTGGAATCTGAATCTGGCAGGGTCATGGATATTCCAACCTGTCGTGCTGCAAACTTGGAGCGGCCGAAGTCGGCTCGAAATGCATCTCATGTGTCGCCATCCTCGCCAAAAGCCAGCAATTTCGATGGTCCTGTGATGGGGGGAATGCACGCACATACAGTAGTGCTGGCCCTGGGGTCTAGTCGTCCGATATTTCTTCTGCCAAGTCTCCAGCGATGCGACTTGATCTTATCAGATCATCAGATAATAGGCCGCGAGGTGCCCATCTCCCCACAAAATGCGCGGTGTGGGCACGCTAGTGCTAACCCGGTGGATATACCGGAAGGGATGCAACTGAGACCTTTTCTTGTCTTTCCCCTTTCTCTTCTTTCTCCCGCTCATGGCAATGCCAAGTTGGAAAAACTAGCTACTGCATAATGCCCCGCAGCAAGCGAGCAGGCGAGACAAATAGCGGGATTTGATGGATGTTTGCTGGAGCCAGATGGGTTCAAGTTTGACGTGCTGGCCCGGGACACAGATTTTGCAATTACCTACCAAGGAGGTGGCCTGGCTAGGGCTGAGACAGCTCGTTGAGAAGCGGTTCTGCGCATGCCCTGGGCCGTGCCGTGATACTCATTGCCCACTCCTTGGGATAACATGGACTGCAGGCGTTCAGGAGGAACAGCAATTAGACGCTTGTCTCGAATGCCCGTCTGGGAAGGGCGTCTTTGGAGAGTGCTGCGAGCGAGGCAGGTCAGGGGGAGCCTGCAGGGGTGTTGTCATACGATCTGATAAACAATTTCTGCCTCCCCGCTTCAAGAACCCTTGCCAGCCGAGCACGACGCCGGAAGCGTCCGCTCATCGGAGCCAGAGGGAAACGGGCCGCCGAGGGAGGTGAGTGGGCACAACGGGCGGTCCACCATGCGTTTGTGCTGGCGTTGCCGGGGAAGGCCCCACTGATCCATCTTATCAGATCCTGAGATAAGGCCGATGCCGCTGGGGGCCCCCACCGCGCTGTGGAAAAAATCGTCACGGATGCACATCACTGGACCATCACTCGTCCTAACTGCCCCACCACGGCACCTTGCCTGGCATGTTGACCGTCGAGATGCTGGTTCCGACGGCATATGGCGAACGTGTTTCAACGAAAATTCTGCTCCGTCCCCCACTGGCGACAATTAAGTCGTGTCACCGGTTGCCAAAAGCAGAATGAGCTCCGCACGGGCACCACAACTCCCACACGACGGTAGGCAGATTGGAAAAGAAAGACTCAGGTTCCAATGTGCCAAGTGGATAAGCCTTAATTTTATCCCCTGGCTCAAACCCCCCAGGGCAACCGTCCGTGGTGGACGAGACGGAGGAAAACGGGACTCCGCATCGATCCGAGCGCCAGGAACTGCCACTTTCGCCAGCAAGTCCCTCCGATATGTTCGATGCTGGACCGCCTGGTAGACTTGGACTTGCCTGAGCTCGTCCGAAGCCCACTCTCCCTGAATGGCGCCTGCAGTTGTTATCTAACGCACCTTCCCTCCTCGCGTCCTCCTTTTCCGCCCAGGAAATTTGCCTTCCATTCTCTCACACACACTTTCCCGCTCCTTCTTTCCGGATCATCCCACCACGGCAAACCGCAAACTTACGTCAACCATTGGCGGTAGTGCAGTGTGGGGAGACCACCATTAGGTACCCTACCCGCTTCGACGCTTGCCCTGTACATAGTATTTGTACCTCGACTTGCAATAATTAAACCTTCTCTTGCTTATTTTCCCCTGAAAAAGGATAAAACAAGAAAAGCAACACGTCGCCCTTGTTTGACGCGCTGCGGACCGCACTAGCCCCATTTCATCCAACCATTACCGCCCATTCCGGCCTCTTCTCTCCCGGCTTCCCGCGCGGCTTGACAGGTCAGGTCCTGGACACCACCCGTCTGCAAATACCGGATCAGAGTCCGGCGCCTGAAGACCGACATGTCGCCACACAGCACCACGATGAACGAGGCGGCCCCTCGAGCCTCCAACGGGTCTGTGTCTGCTTTCCACCGCTTTGTTGACGAAGCCAATGGCATCTCTGCCGCCGACAACGTTTCCGTCGTCAGCGATGCAGTCCCTGAGCTTGTGAATGGGTCCTCATCCGGCCTGGACCGCAGTGCCGCAGATAATGGCAGCGGCAGCCGCAATGATCTCGACGAGACAACGACCGAGCCTCAACAATCGACTGATGGTTTTAATGGTGTTGATGGCCTCAAGAGCCCATATCTCAAGCCTACAGATGCCGACTCGGTTCACGACCTAGTCTGCATTGGCTTTGGCCCGGCAAGTCTCGCTATCGCCGTTGCACTTCACGACGCCATGGATGGCAGTAAGTTGGCCAACCCGCCAAAGGTTCTGTTTCTCGAAAAGCAGGCCCAGTTCGCGTGGCATGCTGGCATGCTGCTACCGGGTGCCAAGATGCAAATCTCGTTCATCAAGGATCTCGCCTCGCTCCGGGACCCTCGGTCTCACTTCACGTTCCTCAACTATCTGCACCAAAATGGCCGCCTGGTTGAGTTCACGAACCTGGGTACTTTCTTACCAGCGCGTGTCGAGTACGAGGACTATCTCCGTTGGTGCGCACGACATTTCGACGACGTCGTTCTGTACCAAAGCGAAGTTGTCTCTGTCTCACCCGTGCAACAGTCTGGCCCTCACAGGCTGTTCAATGTGGCATCTCGCAACGCCAAGACTGGCGTGACAACCACTTTCCAAACTCGCAACGTTATCTTGGCCGTTGGTGGCCAGCCTTCGATTCCCCAAATCATTCCAGCACAGAGCCCTCGTGTCATTCACTCGTCCCAATACGCGCAACTGGTGCCCAAGATACTGAGTGACGCGTCTCGATCATACCGTGTGGCCGTGGTAGGCGCTGGTCAGAGCGCAGCTGAGATTTTCAACAATGTTCAGAGTCTCTACCCAAACAGTAAGACTTGGATGATTATGAGATCCGATTTTCTCAAGCCAAGTGACGACTCGCCATTGTAAGTATCTCATGTGATTATTTGATTGGCAAACAAAAACTGACTACTGGACAGCGTCAATTCCATTTTCAATCCAGAGTTCATCGACACTGTATATCCCTTGTCGTCGGCTCACCGCGCAAGCCTTCTTGCCGACGCTCGAGCAACTAACTACGGCGTTGTCCGCCTCGAGCTGATTGAACATTTGTACGAGAAGATGTACCACCAACGGCGAACTCTTGGCACAGACGAAAAGAAGTGGCCACACCGCATAATGGGAGGGCGGAGAATTGTGACGGTTGGCGAGAAGGACGACCAGCTCAGTGTCAAAGTTGCCCTCTGCACATCGGACGAAGAGACTCAGGATGGTCCTCTATTGGGAGAAGAGGTTTTGGACGTGGATCTCATCATCTGTGCGACTGGGTACCAGAGGAAAGCTCACCTGGAAATGCTCAAGGATACGTGGTCTCTGTTGCCTGAAGTGGCGAGCGAAAAGAGCGGACCGCCGGCGACGACTAGAGACCATTGGTTCGTAGACACGGAAACTGCCGACACGACTTCAACCCGTGTTCTTGAGGTTGGCCGAGACTACGGAGTGCGCTTTTCGCCTGGCACTGTAGCTTCAGGTTCTGGCGTATGGTTGCAAGGTTGCTGCGAAGCCACTCACGGCGTACGTTTGTCCCCTCTCACCCACCCCAGCCGAAACTTGCAGAACCTGAGCTAACTAAACTACAGTTGAGTGATACCCTCCTTTCTGTTTTAGGAACACGGTCAGGGGAGATCGTGGAGTCGATATTTGGGAATGCCGCTGAACCAAAGTGGCGGTGATGGGTGTTTTGGTCTTGTACATTCTTGTTAATAACTTATAGATGAATCTGCCGCGCTGTATTTTGTCTCACTACTACCGCAGGCTTCTATTCCATGTCTGGACGTGTCATTTTGATGGGGCTTGAAAGAAAACCTAGGTTGGCATTGCCATTGCATACCTCGACGTTTAGGTGCAACTTCAATGGAGCGCCTCATCACCGCAGTTCATACAGCGCTTAACGGCACCGCGGTGGGAATGTTTGTGGATTTCTAGATTCCAGTAGTAAATGTGCTCGGGAACCGCACTGTGGGTCTTTTGAAGGGCTGGATCCCGGCATCCGCAGGGCAGCCTGCAGCAGCTTGCAGCAACACACCCACAGGCCACGCTCGTCGGCCGAATATCGGAATCAAGTTGCAGCCCGATTATTGATGAACGTGGCAGTACATGTCTGCGCGGGACTGAGTCCACGCGCGCTCAAGGATCCGGAACGGCGGTCCTCTTTCGGCCAATATCCCGAGCTTAGCCCCTCAGCATGGCAGTCAACCTTGGAGATGGGGGGTTCGCAGACATGATGACGCAATAAGAACGCGTACTAGGAAAGTCTTGAACCCAAACAACCTGAAGGCCGGCAAGGGACCCCTGGAATCCACCACGGACGGGATTCATTGGGAATGGTACCCAACAAGGCGGGAGCCATGCACCTGGCATCGACAATCCGGGGACCAGAAACCGGATGTAGGTAAGGTACTAGTACTACCTAATCCCATTGTGTGTTTGCCAGATTGTGGAGACTAAAACATGCAGCGAACCCAGGGACAGCGAAAATGGAAATTCGGGTATCCGCAGCTGCTACCTGGAAGCTGAAGACCGGAAGTCAGTTGGTCATGAAGAAAAAGCATTTCCGGAAGCCACCCCCAAGGTGGCCCGCTCTTCGCACCTCCACTCCTCCATGCAAAGCCATCGCGCCTTCCCAAAACCTAGCTCCCACTGTCGTTGGGGTAAATACCGCACCTTCCCGACTAGATTTCGACAAGGTTTTGATCACACTGTACCCTCCTAGCCTTGCTAGGCTCTCGGCAGGTGCGCTTCTCGACGCCTCCATCGGTCCATCGCTGCACTGTATCTAGGTTGCCAACGGCATTGCGTCCCGTCCTCGTGAGAAAACAAGCCGGGCTTGCACCACCCCGACCAATGAGCCATCGCCCAAAACAAATCAACCTCCTCCAACTCGTGCAATTCTGTGGGGTGCTGGCCAATCACCAGCACCCAATTTGGAGGACAATCCAGTCGTCCTGTTCCCGCGAGGCCACTTACACATGCTTGCGACATCTGGGAGCGAGTAAGAGTGTCCCGATTAGGAAACCCCGAGGGAATCAGAAGGGGTCAGAAGCGTTTGCCTGGTGCCCGGCGCCTTGAGGCACGGCTGTCTACCTAGGTATCTCGTTGCCCGACGGAAAGTCTTGTGTGACCAGAGCCGTCACAGGGACCCAACTCAACAACTCCAAGAGGGCTAAGACCGGTGGACCTAGATCTAGCAAAGACGACAGGAAACAGGCCCCCGAAGACGCCGCCTAGGATCATTTGGCCAACATGGACGGGACTTTCTCCGAGTCTGAGGACGCTTTGTCAATCATCAATCACCCAGCTGTGACGCTCCCCGGCCCAAGCTTACTTCATCTTCTTGTGCAAAGGGAAGGCCAGAGCAATGCGCCTGCCATCGACTTCCTCGCAGCCGATGGTACTCGAAAGTCCTTGTCATATAGCGAGTTGCACCATGCCTCAGACTCTCTGGCGGAAAGGATTTCATGCTTGGCTGAGGGCCGGGTAGGCTCTGCTCGACACATCGTCCCAGTACTCATGCCACAGAGCCCCGAACTCTACGTTGCGCTTTTGGCCGTCTTGAAATCGGGTGGGGCCTTCTGCCCACTCAACCTCGACGTTCCCCTTGAGCGTGCGAAATTCATCCTGGATGATGTCTCGGCGACCATTATCGTCACCACAACTGAGCTGGCTGCAAGAATTCCCAGCGGTGATGGCAGTAGGACTTTGTTGATTCTAGATGATGCGAGATCAATGCCTGAACCGCAGCCTGTACGAATCTCCAGGCAGCCGGAGCCAGAGGATTTGGCCTATGTCATGTATACATCTGGTTCAACTGGGACTCCTAAGGGGGTCGGGATTTCCCACAGGGCAGCTACTCAGAGTCTTCACGCCCATCACCGCCACATTCCTCCCTTCTTGAGATTTCTTCAGTTCGCTGCCCCGACATTTGATGTCTCCGTCTTTGAAATATTTTTCCCACTCTACCGAGGGAACACTCTCGTGTGCTGTGCACGATCTTCAATGCTGAACGACTTGCCCGCCGTCATCAGAGACATGAGGGTGGACGCATGTGAATTGACGCCAACGGTGGCTGGCAGCCTGCTTCGCAAACGAGATAATGCGCCCAACCTTCGCCTGCTGCTCACGATAGGCGAGATGCTCACAGAGCCTGTCGTGAAAGAGTTTGGTGGGAGTGAAGAGCGTGCCAGCATACTGTGGGCTATGTACGGGCCTACAGAGGCTGCCATACACTGCACACTTCAGCCTGCATTTGCCTGCGATTCTTCAATTAACAACATTGGTATTCCCTTGGACTCTGTGTCATCATTCATTCTCGAAATTCTGGAGGACAGCAACAGCTCCGAGTTCCAGTTCCGTGTGCTTCCTCTTGGTGAAATTGGAGAGTTGGCCGTCGGGGGGCACCAACTGGCTGACGGGTACCTCAATCGACCTGAGCAAACAGCAGGTGCCTTCATAGACACAACTTATGGACGCCTCTACAGAACCGGCGATAAAGCGAGAATCAGCCGGGACGGCTCTTTAGAGTGTTTCGGGAGAATAACCGACGGGCAGGTAAAGCTTCGGGGCCAACGAATCGAGCTTGGCGAAGTTGAGCACGCTGCACTGAGGGCCCCTGGCTGCCACAGCGCATTTGCTGCTGTTATCAGCTCAATACTGGTTCTCTTTTGCGCTCTGGATGGAGACGATGGAGCTTTGCTCACGATTCAGCAATCATGCAAGGCTTGGCTCCCCGGCTTTATGGTCCCCGGGGATATCGTTCTTTCGAGCGAGTTTCCGCGTCTTGCGTCTGGCAAGATTGACCGCAAAAAACTTGTTTCGGATTACTCCGACATACGAGAGACCAAGAAGCCAAGCACAATCTGTTTCAAGGACGAGCTCGAGCAGCGTATTTGCAGTCTTGCCGCCGAGGTGTTGGAGACTGATCTGGACCCGAACCAGAGTCTGTCAAGCGCAGGCATGGATTCGATTGTTTCCATCAAGTTTGCATCTGTGCTTCGTACAGCCGGCTTCGAAGTGGGCGCCATTGATATCATGAGTTCCAGGACATTATCGGCATTGCATTCTCGCATTCTGGGCATACAGAAACTCATCGGAACGGCTGCAATAGGGCTGTCGTCATGGCACAATACGACAGTCAGCTTCTCGGACATTCTCGCCGAAAAGCCGGAACTTCAAACGCACTTCGATTTGGACGACGTTGTATCCGTTTTTTCCTGCTCACCACTTCAGGCGGCGATGTTGGGACAAACTGCGGCCGATTCTCGCGCCTACTGCAATTGGATCGAACTCAACTTTCCCGATACCCACTCAGAAGAATCTATCCGATCCTGGGTGTTTGGGCTTGCACAAAGGAATGAGATCCTGCGGACAGGTTTTGTGTTCTATCACGGACGATTTCTTCAAGTCGTTTCCAGGGAACTTAAACAATCGCAGGTTTCGGTAGTACACGGCCCACTACCCAGGGAGTTTGAGATGCAGAAAGAAGATGACTTCCTTCAACCATTTAGAGTTCAAATTTCGAAATGCCCCAACGCGGCCGGCAGGTCAACCGTGCTTCAACTCCACCACGCAGTCTATGACGGCTGGTCCATGGACATGATGCTCTCCGATTTCGAGACTCTATCACGAGGGGAACAACCCAAACCACGTTTCCAGTTCCAGCAAGTTCTAGCGTACCACGAGTCAGAGCTGTTCCAAAAACATTGCAACGAGGCTAGGGAATTTTGGGCTGAAAACCTTTTAGGTTTCCAGCCGGCTACGTTGCCAAATCTTCGGCCGGATACCGCACTGACTTCTGCCGTTCGCTCAGCCGCGATCTGCCTGGACATCAGCCCCGATTCTTTGAAGACGCGTCTGAGACAGATTGGTTGCAGCCCGCAGACGGTGTTTCAGGCTGCACTAACCTGGATCTGGAGCCTGATGATCGGTAGCGAAGACGTCGTCCTGGGCTCTGTCACCTCCGGCAGGACAATGCCAATCTCGGGACTAGAAGATATCATCGGCCCGTGCATCGCCACAGTACCTTTGCGAACCAACGTCTCTCAAATACGAACAATCAAGGATTTGCTGTGCAGCATTCAGGCCGCCAATAGATCGGCTCTCTTTCATGCCATGCTGCCACTTTCCGAGGTCAGAAAAGCGGCTGGAATTCGGTCCTGGCAGCCATTATTTGACGCCATGTTTGTTTATCAGGAATCACTTCACAGCAAAAGTCGGGATGTGAGCACGATCCGAGAAGTCAACCACCAGGATTATCTAGAGACGAAGCTATTGGTTGAAGTCGAACCTGGTCGAGATTTGTTCCTCTGTCGCCTCACATTTCACGCTGACACATTCCCTGACGACCAAATGGCCCTTTTAAACCAGTCAATTCGCGCCCTCGTACCATATATGCTGGAAAACTTGGGCTCTGAATTGTCCGTGCTCCAAAGAGCACTTCCAGAGAAACTGCTCTCAATTTACAACCCAAACCCCACAACGTATTCCGGCATACCGGACCTTGCGAAGGGCGTTGAAAACATTGCCGCAAGCTTCCCTACCAAAGATGCATTGTGCTTCGCGGATTTGCTCTCCAATGGGGCCTCCAAGACAAGAACCATATCGTTCCACGAGCTAAACACAACTGCGAACAAGATCGCCTGGCATCTACAGCAGTGTGGACTCCGGGAAGGAGATGTTGTTGCAGTCATTCTGGAGAAGTCGATCTTGCTTTATGCCGGGATTCTTGCGACCCTGAAAGTTGGCTGCGCGTACCTGCCCCTTTTACCAACCACGCCAATTGCTCGTGTCGACGAGATTGTTCGGCATGCTGGGGTTCGGCTTTGTCTCGTCGATACAGCTGCAATGCAAAAGCTCCAGGAGAAGGTACCCTGTAATATTTTGGATCTCCAATCAGTGGGGATGGAAGAATACCGCAGAGATGAAAACCTCAACGTTTCAGCAGAGCCATCACGGCCAGCTTACATCATTTATACCTCTGGAAGCACAGGGGTGCCAAAGGGAGTATGCATCACGCAGCTCAACATTATGAGCAACCTCGATGTCCTGTCAAAAATCTATCCAGTGAAAGCTAATTCGAGACTGCTTCAGTCGTGCTCGCAAGCCTTTGACGTTTCCGTTTTTGAGATATTCTTTGCTTGGACGCAGGGGATGTGTCTTTGCTCAGCAACCAATGACACGCTCTTCGAAGACCTTGGAACATCAATCTCGGAGCTAAATATCACACATCTCAGCATGACACCGACGGTGGCATCTCTTGTGGATCCAGCAGATGTTCCTGGGGTCGAATTTCTGGTCACTGCGGGCGAGGCCATGACCGAGGCTGTTGCACGCAAGTGGGCCAAACATCTTTATCAGGGCTACGGTCCTTCGGAAACAACAAATATTTGCAGCGCGAAGAAGATGGGCCCTTCCCAGAACATTCGGCATCTTGGTTGGAGTTTTGGTAACACGTCAACCTTCGTGCTCTTTAGAGACAGCATAAATGTGGTTCCATTTGGCTGTCTTGGCGAGTTTTGTTTCGGCGGAGACCAGATTGCGCAAGGGTACGTCAATATGTCCGACTTGACAGCAGCAAAGTTCATCAACCATCCGACGTTCGGTCGTCTGTACAGGTCTGGCGATATTGGGAGGATGTTGCCGGACGGGTCGATGGTTATCGTTGGTCGGGTCGACGACCAGATCAAACTTCGAGGCCAGCGAATCGAACTTGGCGAAATAAACACAGCGTTCAAAGAGTCAGATGCAGTTGCGGACAGCACCACACTATTTCTGCGCCAAGCGGGCTTAGAGTCTGCCGGGCAGATTGTCACATTTTATGTCCCCAAGTCCAGGCAAGGAGCGCAGTTCCGGCTCTTGGACTCGGATGACCAGCTCGCGAAAGAAATCCAGTCCCTTTTTCAGCTTCTCGTTTCAAGGCTCCCGGCATATATGATACCATCGTACATCATCCCGATTTCAGCTTTCCCCATCACAGCTTCAGGAAAGCTCAATAACACGCAACTCAAACAAGCTGTCAATGAGACTGAGCGGGAGTACCTTGCGTTCGCAAGTGCCGCAGTTAGCTACGATGAAGGCGAGACGCAACCATCGATCATTGAGGCACAAATTATCGAAATCATCTCGGCTTTGTTTGGCGTCAACAAGAGCACTATTCAAAGATGGACACCACTCACTACTGTTGGTCTCGACTCAATTTCTGCGATTGAGGTGGCGAGGCAGGTCCGAAAGACACTTGACAAGCGACTCCCTATATCCGCCATACTCCAAAACCCAAGCGTCGCCAGGCTTGCACAAGCGCTGTCAAAGACCGCCGTCTCGAATGGTCCCCAAGCCACGATCCCGGACTCTGTAACCAACGAGCAGGCCAGGGCCATCACTTCGAGGTTCAGGGACTGTGGGAAAAAGGTCGAGCAAATCCTGCCTTGCACGCCGCTACAAGAAGCTACACTAGCATCTTCATCCAGCCAAAGGGCATATTCTAATCGGATGCTATTCCGCGTCAACGAAGACGTGGAAAAGCTGAAGGAGGCGTGGGTGCGTGCTTGTTCCAGACACGGAATCCTTCGCACCTGCTTCGTAACGACAGATGACATCCAACGCCCTTTCATGCAAGTTGTGCTGGATTTCTGGCAGCCACCATGGCATCATTTGGAGTGTGCGGGCAATACAGTCAAGGAGCTCATTTCAAAGCATGGCGATACCGTGTCTGACCCGTTAGATTCCATGGAGCCCGCAGTATCATTTGCCACCGTTGCGGATGGTGAGGTTATGTATCTTTCATTTATCTGCCATCACGCCATGTATGACGGCGTTGCCATCGAGCGCCTGCTTTATGAGGTCGAGCTGCTTTTGTCAAATTTCTCACTTCCGCCAGCCCCGTCGTACGAGCCATTCTTGCGGGAATCGCTGTTCTTACCACCTTCAACGGACAGCTTCTGGACCGATCATCTTACCGACTTCGATCCGAAACTCATTGCCCAACTCAGTGAAGAGAATGTTAATCCATCCTCGATCGCAGCCACATACACGGCACATATTTCGCTGTCACAGGTCAATGAAACTGCCAAGCAGCTGAGCGTGTCTCTCTTATCTGTCGTGCAGTCAGCCTGGGCCATCGTTCTTGGCTGCTTGCTTGAGACTAATGATGTTTGTTTCGGGAACGTTGTTAGCGGCCGGTCTGTATCTATTGACAACATCCAAGAACTTGTAGCACCGTGCTTCAACACAATCCCCATTCGGATGGTGCTCTCCAACAGCCTACGAAATTTTGACCTCATGAAGGCCTTTCAAAATCTCAACCCAACTCTGTTGCAATATCAATTTACTCCTCTCAGACGTATTCAGTCTCTTAATCCTCTCAGGCAAAGTCGTCGTTTGTTTGATACCCTTTTGCTTTTGCAGCAACCTTCTCGGCCTCTTGACGAATCAATTTGGACTTTGGAGCGAGATGAAGGATCAATGGATGTAATTATTCCACATCCTCCCAACAGTCCTCGGTCTCCAAGCTTATAGTGTCTAGATTCCCCTTGTTTGCGAAGTCTTACCAGATCCTCGACTAGACATTTTCACTGTCAAGATCCATGCAGAATCGTGAGTTTCTAACAGTCACAGAATGGACTAGATGCAACCTAACTATTCTAATGTCGAATTCCAGACATCGGTTTTCCAAGGAGAGCGTTGCGTTGATTTGGGACCTGTTTTCCTACGCTTTACGATCTTGTCTTGACTTTCCGGGCTCCTCTACTCTGGTATTCGGGGCCATTCCTCCGGCTTTGAGAGAAAAATTGGCGACTCTGCACCTGAACTTTGTAGACACCAAGCCCCAATCCCCACAGCCGGATGCACCGGAAAGTGAGTGGACGGTTACAGAAGCTTCGGTTCGATCGGTGCTCTCAGATCTCTCCACGCATGGTTTCCAGACAATACAACGTCAGACGACTATTTACCAGCTTGGATTGGACAGCATCAGCGCTGTTCAAGTGGCCTGGCTCCTCCGGAACCGGGGCCACAAAGTTTTGGCCACCGATGTCCTCGCCAACCCGACTTGCGAGAGTCTGGCTCACTTTTTAGAAAGCCAGGTTGGAACCTTACCCCATGAGACGATATCGGCATACGATATTTCCAGATTTACACGACGAGTTCAAAGTCAAGTCGAGGCCCACGTTCAGCTTGAATCAATCGAGGCAGTTTTGCCCTGCACGCCACTCCAAGAAGCCATGATGGCGCAATTCACCAAATCTGGAGGCCGGGATTATTTCAACCATATCGACTTCCGCGTCCTCGATACTATCAACGTCACTAGCCTTGCTGGGGCATGGCGAGCCATGAGCCTTGTGCACCCAATTCTTCGCACCGGGTTCATTCCGGTTGAGCATGAAGAATGCGCGTTTGCCATGGTTCAGTATCGCCCCGACTCTCTTTCCGAACCCGTGACAGTTGTTCCGCGGCAGCTGAGCAAATCTTTTCATGTCAATAAGTGGCGTCTAGACGCGTCTCATAGCGTGTATCAGACGCCGCACAAGCAGCCATGGCGTGTTGCAATTGTTGACACCGAGGTCGCTGTCATGATGCACCTTGCAATCCACCATTCGCTCTATGATGCGCATTCCCTTCAGCAATTGCTCGGAGATTTCGCCAGTCTGGTCAAGGGGGGCCAAACACCCAAGCCGAACAGTACGGACGTTGCTGTGATGGATGTTCTTGGTCAAGTTTCAGCCTCGATTGAGAGCTCGGAGGCTTTCTGGAGGGGCCAGGCCGGCAACGTGGTTATCAACTCGTTTCCGGTCATGACTCCACTTTGTGTGACACCAGGCAACATTCTGGTCGAGTCACTCTACAGCAGCATCCCGTTCACGGTTATTGACCAGGCCGTTGCAAAAGCTGGGTACAGTTTCCAGGTGGTTCTACAGGCTGCATGGACTCGGGTTCTGTCCTCGTACCTCGGGGAAGCCTCGGTCGTGTTCGGGGTTGTCTTTTCAGGCCGGACCACAGAAGCAACTCGGGATGCAGTATTTCCCTGCATCACAACACTGCCAGTCGTATCGAAGAACACGCGCTCCAACCGCAATCTTTTGGACCAGATGCTGCAACACAACACCGGGCTTCACACGCAGCACCACAAACCGCTCGCCCGCATACAACAGTGGCTCGGATGCTCTGATGCCAGGCTATTTGACACTTTGCTAGTCTACCAAAAGCTTGACATTGATGGGGGAGACACCAGGCCCTGGAGTATTGTGAACGAACAGGCAACAGTCGATTACCCTGTCTCAATTGAAGTTGAGCCCCAGATTGGAGACAGACTGAAGTACCAAATAACGGTATCTGACGATGTACTCCCGAAGGAACAAGCCCGCATGCTACTGGAGCAATTCGATGCAACCGTCCGACAACTTTCCCTCAAGCCAGACGCGAGTGAGGAAGACTTGATTGATGTCTCTCCTTCCTTGTTCTCGATTACTCCCGCCGAAATACCAAAACTCCCGTCAGCGGTGAAGCTACTTCACCACTTTGTGGAGGCTCAAGCACTCGTGACCCCACACAAGACGGCCCTTCATTTCGTGGACGGGTTCGATGAGAGTGCACCAGTTGGCCGTGAATGGACGTACGACGAGTTAAATCTCAACGGGAACCGAGTCGCGCAGATGCTTCGCCCCCATGTCAAGGTTGGCGATATTGTGGCGATTCACTTTGACAAATGCCCTGAAGCCTTCTTCTCAATTTTAGGCATTCTCAAAAGCGGTTGTGCCTTTGTCGCTCTTGACCCGGGTGCACCGCCAGCTCGGAAAGAATTCATTGTCAAGGATTCGGGTGCCTCAATTCTCTTGATGTCCAGTTTTGGGCTTGACGGGCTCGGATTTTGTGGCTCGGTACCGGTAGTGAGCATTAATCACGACTCTTTATCGGAACAAAGCTGCGACTCGCCTCTCACAATCAGGGGCATTGAGCCGAGCGACGTGTGCTATTGCCTTTATACATCTGGGACAACCGGGACACCAAAGGGGTGTGAGATTACGCACGACAATGCAGTGCAGTGCATGCTAGCGTTCCAGGAGATTTTCAAAGGCCGCTGGGATCAGGATTCTAGATGGCTACAGTTTGCATCTTTGCATTTCGATGTTTCGGTCCTGGAGCAATACTGGAGCTGGTCTGTGGGCATCACCGTGGTTTCAGCCCCTCGCGATCTGATCTTGGAGGATCTCGCGGGCACTATCTCTCGACTCAATATTACGCACATCGATCTTACACCAAGCCTTGCGCGCCTCGTCCATCCTGATGACGTGCCAAGTCTTTGCAGGGGTGTCTTTATCACGGGTGGTGAGTCGCTCAAGCAGGAGATCCTTGAATTTTGGGGCTCGAAAGCCATCATTTACAACTTCTATGGTCCGACGGAGGCGACAATCGGCGTTACTGTTTATCCGAGGGTTCCAGAGAACGGCCGACCGTCAAATATTGGAAAGCAGTTCATCAATGTTGGCACTTATGTTATGAAGCCGGGCACCGAGCAGCCCGTGATGAGGGGGGCAGTAGGCGAACTTTGCGTCTCCGGGAGACTGGTGGGCAAGGGCTATCTCAATCGTGACCATCTGACAGCGGAGAGATTCCCAACCCTGGAAAGGTTTGGCGAGCGTATCTACCGCACCGGCGACCTTGTTCGTGTTCTCCACGACAACTGCTTTGACTTCCTTGGCAGGGTAGACGACCAGGTCAAACTGCGTGGCCAGCGCTTGGAAATCGGCGAGATCAACCACGTGATAAGGTCTGGAGTGAAAGAAGCCAAGGACGTGGTCACGATGGTCATGCGAAATGAGAAGCACCAGAAAGACCTGCTTGTGTCGTTCATTGTCGCAGAAGGCAAGAATAAGCATCAAAGCTCCGTTTCACTCCATGTCATCCAGGGACCCAGCGCATCAGATCTCTGCCAGCGAACGCTATACGCTTGCCGCTCTGCTCTCCCCGGATACATGGTTCCCACTTATGTCCTCCAAGTGCCATTCATCCCCCTGTCTGCAAACAACAAAGCGGAGCTGAAGGAACTTCGGGTTTTGTTTAACGGCCTTGACCAATCGCAGCTCGTGCTGCCGTCCTCATCCGCTGGAGAGATTCCCAAGAAACTAAGCGAGACTGGAGCAAAAGTTGCTAAGGCCCTTGCCTCTATGCAGTCCATTGATATCGGAAGAGTCAGTCCCACGTCTAGTATCTTCGAGCTGGGAGTCGATTCGATCTCGGTCCTCCGCTTTTCCCGATTGTTAAAGAAAGAGGGGCTTTCCGAAGCGCGGCCGTCTGTGATTCTGAGACACCCCGTGGTTGGAGATTTGGCTTACGCACTCGATGTGCAAGAGACAACCCCAAGAACCCCTGCATGGGTGGCGTCTGCGCAGCAGCTAATCCAAGCTTGCGACCACAAACATCGAATGCAGATTTGCGTTGAACTCGGTATTATGCCGAGTCAGATCGAGTACATGGCCCCTTGCTCCCCGCTTCAGCAGGGCATGATCTCTAGATCCATTACGAAGGGCGCGTATTATAACTCTTTCCAGTTTCAGCTTTCCCGAGACATGTCAATGCTGCGGCTCCGCGAGGCCTGGCAGAAGACTGTCGACGACTTTACTATCATGAGGACTAGTTTTGTGGGTACAGCAGACGGTTATGTCCAGGTAGCGTTGAAGTATATTGCACTTCCATGGGTTGAACTCGACATATCATCGACTTTAGAGCGATCACCGGGGGATCTGCTTGATCAATGCCGAGAGTCGTGGATTGAGCGGAACCGCGAGAGGCTAACACGGCCATGGGAAATACTCTCTTTTCGGCTCCAAGACACTGGCGAGAATCTGCTTGTCTTGCATATGTTTCACGGTCTTTACGATGCAAACAGCCTCAAACTCCTACTTGACCATGTTGCCACCGAGTATCGAGCACTCGATGATGTCCTGTCGGAGGGAACGCGGCGTATTTCCAACAAGCCATCGTTCTTGGAAGCTCTCTGCCACGGCCCGCTGCAAAACTTCAACAGCTGCCAGGACTTTTGGATGGAACATCTCGGGCCAGCATCGTTGCGACCCATCACATTATCACCCTCGGATTCAAGTGCACGCCCTTCAATCTGCGAACGCACTGTGCCGTTCGAAGGCCTAAAAGCTCTGCGTGTAGCCCTCGGCGTCTCTCACCAATCACTTCTCCAAGCTGCGTGGGTCGGCGTCCTCGCCAGAAGACTGCGCACTAGTCCACCCATTGGCATAGTTACCTCGGGGCGTGCTATAGAACTGGATGGCGCTGAAAGAGTCATGGGGCCGCTTTTCAACACACTGCCTTTCTACGCCCGAATCAACCCCGAAACAAGAGCCAGGTCCACGTGGCTATCTCTGATCAAAGAGTGCCACGCCTTCAATATGGCCGTGCTGTGTTTTCAGCATGTTCCCCTGCGCGATATTCAGAAATGGTGCTCTAATGGAAAGCCTCTGTTCGACACGCTCTTCTCCTTCCAGATAGAAGACCATACGGCAGCCTTGGACTGTGAGCTCTGGAAAGAAGTTCAAACTGATTCCAATGCTGATTACTCGCTTGCATTGGAGGCGACTTTGGTTTCTGGCGAGCATCTGCGGCTACTTCTTGTTGCCCAAACTGGCACAGATATCTCGGAAAACCTTTCGTCATTGATGGATGAGCTCGACTATGTTTTGTCTGCCATTGCTCAGAGCCCGGAGAGTGCCATTTGGCCTGAGGAGTTTGAAGTCACCGCCGTGGAAACCGAAGACACCATTCTGAATAAACAGGCGTCCAACACTAACAATTCCACAGACCTGGCCGAGGCTGCTCAAGACTTTATCTGGAGTGAGGAAGCTACTATTATTCGCAATGAGATCGCTCTTCTTGCGGAGACAGCAGCCGAATCAGTTACGGAGACTACATCAGTCTTTGAACTAGGGTTGGACAGCATTGACGTCATCAGACTGTCGTCGAGATTAAAACAACATGGGGTGCACGTCAAACCAAGCCAGCTGATGAAGGCTCAAACCATTGTAGCAATCTTGCAAGTGTTGCAATACGGTGTCGGGGACGGCCATTCAGCAGTCGGAGGCACGGGTTCCTACTACGACTTACTCGCAGTCTCAGAATATATCTTTGGTCTTGGCCATGATCTCGGAAATGTCGACGCTTTACTTCCCGCAACTCCTCTACAGGACTCAATGGTTGCCGACATGATTCACTCCAACTTTCAGTTGTACTTCAACCACGACATCCTGGAAATTGGCCCACTCGTCGATACGAGCAAGCTGAAGAGCGCGTGGGTTACAGTTATCGAGGGATCTCCCATTCTCAGGACCACCTTCCTTGCAGTAAACAGCCCCGTCATTGACTTCGCATACTGCCAAGTCGTGAACAAGAGGCCAATGTCGTATATAGCCGAAATCGAGCTAGACAGTCTGAGCGACCTCACAAAACTCATGGACTCAGCAACCCAGAGAGCGCGCAAGAGCGGAGCAGGGTCGGATCTATTGCAGGTTGTCTTGGCGAGTGTTTCTGGCAGAAAGTTCCTCGTTCTTTCGATCGCCCATGCGCTGTACGACGGTTGGTCCTTGAGTCTCATCCACCAAGACGTCCAGGCTGCTTATCGTGGCCGATATGTACCCCGACCATCCTACCTGTCATATCTGGAAGAGATTGTCTCGCCCGCAAACACGGAGTCGTCCAACTTTTGGTCTGGGTTTTTGGATGGGGCAACTTCGACTATGCTTCCTGAGAAGAGTAACGCACCTGGCCAAGAGGAGACGGTTCACAGAGCTGAAGCGTCTTCGTTGCTCCAGATATCAGATGTCAAGTCATTCTGCAAACGCCATTCTGTGACGTTGCAGACCATAGGTCAAGCCTGCTGGGCCGCTCTCCTCGCTACTCGAACAGGGTTACTCGATGTTGCGTTTGGCGTTGTGCTGTCTGGCCGAGAATCCGAGTTATCCGAGACGCTCAACTTCCCGACCATGAACACGGTTACGGTTCGGACAGTGCTGCATGGCACAATCTCTTCATGGCTTCGGTACATGCAGGACAACATGTCCGGCATCGGCCAGTTTCAGCATTTTCCTCTCCGGAAGGCACAAAGGTTGGCAAGACACGTGAATGGGCCGCTCTTCAATTCGCTCTTCGTCTACCAGAAACAGTCTCCGAATTCTAGGACTGGAACGGAGGAGGATTTTATGAAGTCTATCAACGGGTATTCTTCCGTGGAATATCCAGTCTGTGTTGAGATGGAAGCATCCGATTCAAATCTCTTCTGGAGAGTTGCCTGCGATGGGAAATATGTCTCAGAAGCGGACGTGTCTCGCCTTCTTCACCAGCTGGATGCAGTTCTCGGCCACATCTTGAACTCCCCGGAGGCAGATGTTCTGGGTTTCTTTGACCAAAGGGTTTCTGTTTGTGGATTGCCTGCGGTCGTGCGTCTGACAAACGAACCCTCACCCGAGATCAAAGACGACTTGACTTCCGAGCAGGAAGACGAGTGGTCCCCTGTTGAAGATACAATCAGGTCTGTCCTAGCCGAGGTTTCCGGAGTGTCTGCTGCATCGATTCTCAAGACGCATACCATCTACCATCTTGGCCTGGACTCAATCAGTGCTATCAAGGCAAGTTCCAGTCTGCGGAATGCTGGAATCGCTATTGGGTTCCGGGACATGTTGAAAGCAAATTCAATTCTCGACATGGCGAAACATGTATTAGCTCTAACACTGGTATCCATTGACACCCCGAGTGACGAGGAAGTCATCCCCATCGAACCCGACGGCCTTTCGCAGCTTTCAAACAGCACTAGTGTCTCACTGGCCCTCAGACGGAGCCTACTTGACAAGTCTCTGATCGAGGAAGTACTTCCGACAACACCGATGCAGGTACACATGCTCTCTGCTTGGCAGAACTCGAAGGGATCAGTCTTCTTTCCGGAATTTACCTACAGCTTAGCGGGAGCACTTGGCATTGCCACCATAGCATCGGCATGGGATAGGCTAGTTGCAGAATCGCCTATTCTGAGAACAACATTTGTTTCAACCATTTCATCGGAATTTCCAATCTTGCAGATCGTCGTTCGGCCCGAGTCGGTTCAGCAGAACGCACCTGCACCTAGCCTTCCAATGTGGACTAGCGCCCCATTGCCCACACCGTGTCAATCATACTGTTTGATGACGGTAAAGCAGCAGGCTGGAGGCGAGTGGTTGTTGCATCTTAAGATCCATCACGCTTTATATGACGCTGTCAGCTTGCCCGCCCTTATGAACCGTTTCATCGTTCTTTGCAACGGCGAAGTCACGAATTCCAAAGCCCAGAATTTCAACTCAACTTGGAGAAAGATGTTGTCGAACCAGCTGTCCCCCTCGAACCAAGTTTCCCGGGAGCAGTTCTGGACAGCTTATCTTTCAGGGGCTCAGCCAGCAATTCTTCCGCTCGGGTTAACACTATCAGACCCACAAATCCCCGAGTCACGAGTGTCGATTTTGGAACGTACAGCCATCGAAAACATCTCGCGCTTGAAAGGCGTGTGCGGAAATAATGGCATCAGTATACAGGCACTGTTCTTTGCTGCGTATGCAGTGTCGTTGAGTTCTTGGGTGACCGAGGCAGGGGAGCCGAAACCAGAAGAAGTCGTCTTCGGAATCTACATTGCCAACAGGGCAGAGATCGACGAACAAAACGAGCTGCCCTACCCGACCCTGTGCCTCATTCCGCTCCGGGTGCGCATTCCAAGCGACGCCGGTCTCGTGAAATTGGCCTCCAGCATCCAAGAAGATCTCCATTCCATTTCATCGCCAAATATCGCTGCGGTCGGGCTCTGGGAGGTCAAGGAGTGGACCGGAGTCATGGTTCATTCTTTCGTCAACTTTCTCAGCCTGCCTGCTGGGCACCATGCGCCTAATACGATCCAGCTGACGGCACTGGAGCCTGGTGGGGCCGGTGCTGCAGCGCGTGAGCAGCTTAAATATGCCGAACCCCCAGAGTTGACTGGCAACACGGCAAAATATTCATACCCGGTACGGATTTTGCGGACTATTGTCTTGCGCTTTAGCCCAATGGGGTATCTTACTGACATTCTACACAGGATGCCGTTGATGTGGAGGCCTCGGTCACGGGAGACTCAATGGCCATTGGTGTCTTTGGGCCTAATCGAATGCTGAGTGACGGTCGCGCGCAGCATGTGGTCAAGTCCATTGCGGAGCTACTATCTTCCATTTGAGTCTGTATTGCGTTTCTGTTTTTTTTTTGTTTTCTTTTATTTTTCTTTTATTTTTCTTTCTTGCGTTAATTACCTATGTTCTGTGATTCTATTAAGACGGCGAGTAGCAAGGCAGTCAAAGACAGTATCAGTTAATCGTATTCGCCAGTTTGTTAATGTTTCGTACGAACTACAACACTCCTAGTATTAAATGACTTGAACCTGCGCTATTCTACAGTCTTTTACAAATCCAATGTATAATGTCAACCGAGGACACATAATTAACCAGGAAAGCAATTATAGTGCATATCTTCATCGTAGCCACACCGTGTTGTTTCCTAATTGCTTCTTCCATGTTTGATCGGCATCTGGTTAGACAGGGGGGGAGGACGTCAGCACAGCACAGCATAATAGAGCCGAATTGTGGTGGGAGAACATACCCTGGTTAATCTCGGGCTCGGGAATATCTTTTCGCAGTTCCTTTTTCCGTCGCCAATCAGTGCCCGGAAACCGGCTGTCCCGCTTATCGAGTATCTCGTCGAGGCCGGGGACTTGGTCGGCCGAGGTGATGCTGGTCATGAGCTGAGGCTGGCCGAGCGGAATCTTGTCGCCGCGGTCGACCTGCCACGTGTGGAAGACCTTACCGTACAGGCGAACGACTTCCTCCATCTCGGCGCCCTCAGCCTTCTCCCACGCCGCCATGGGCACCAGTGCCGACGGCTGCGGCATTACAAGCATGCCCGACTTGACTTCGAAGACGTGGCTGTGCCACAGCTTACGCTCGTCGCTGTCCAGCGTCTCGTACAGCTTGGGCGAGATCATGTACTCGATGCCAACGAGCCGTGCGCCGGGTTCGGGGCTGTCGTACAAGAGACATTGCCGGACGTCTGTGTCTCGTTAGTACCTGTAGGCACATGAGAGCAGCCCAAGCAGTGCAGCTAGGTATCAATTACCTTCGGTCAGGTGGCCGCAGTAGTGGTTGGTCTCGACAATGCGATTCGGATCCGAGGCGTATACGTGGAAGGCATTGAGGTGGGCGCAGATGTTCTTGACGGGCGTGAAGTCCTGGTGTTGGGATTATTTTGTTATTTGTTGGCCGTTTACACAGCTGAGGACCCGGCTTGCCTGTGTCAATGCTGCGCCGGTCTCAAGGATGGTGCTCTTGGCGCTGCGCTCGTCGCCGGCCACTTTGGACGCGGCGTACCGGTCCTTTGTATGCATGGCGGCTTCCATTTTCCATTGTTCTTACACGGGACTGGAAGTGCAAGCCAAGGAGAAATATAACGATTAAATGTCCAACTGAGAGTTGCGACAGTTGTGTTTTCGCCATCTGTGTCCGTAATTCAGCAGTCACATCGTAACAATGACGTCACCGTCTGGGCGTTGTAGATCTCCCGTCAGTCGCAAAAGTGCGTGCTGTATGCAATTGCTCCTGGAAGATGCTAAGAGCTCACTATATTGATCAACCTTCTGGGCTTTAGGTACACTACGGTCTACCGGACACCAGAAAGGCACGGCGTCGGGTCTTAAAGGGTATATGAAACTAATTTCGTGAATTCTACAATTATTCCAGGAGCAGTGGTTGGTCTCTAGGCAGCATCTGAGGTAGCATCTGGTGGAGGGCGACCCGGTTTGCTCCAGACCCTGCCAGAAACAATACACGTGCTGTAGAAACAAAATTGACCAGAGGCGATGCGGATCCTCGAGTGGAGAACGGAGTAAACTTGTGGAGCTCCCCACGAAACGCGCTAGCCGCTTTAATTCCAACATTCTGTGTCCGTATCCACTCTGTCATCGCAACTTCTACGGATACAGATACAATATCATCGGTCATCAAACCATCTCCATGTCGAGGGTGTCTTGCTACAGCCCATAAGGACGGCCGACTTTGTTTGTCCCTTCGACAGCCCAGGTTCGCGGCTCGTGGCGGAGCGAGGCGGCCTTGCTAAGCCGACCGCAATGCGTTTTCTCGCCACGAATGCAACTAAGCGCAGCACGAACGGGAAGCCAGGGTCTGCAGGCATTTCCGTGCATTTGATTCTGCCGACAAACCCGAATGACCAGTCCCGTTGCATCACGCCAGCTGCATTTTACAACGGACATATAACAGCGGCCACGAACAAAATGGAGAAAGGCGATAGAAAAGTGAAAGAGAAAGCTCCAGGGATTCAGCGTCTCAGGTTGCGGCTGCAGCTTGCGATTCTGGCTGCTCAGGCCCCGGATTGCCGCTGTCTGGCGGCTCTCCTTGCGCACTAGACCCGATCCGACCCACGATGTAACCTGGCCACTTCGAATGGCTCACGAGCGCCGGGATTTTTCTGACAAGCCTGCACGACCTGTAGTCGGGCCCGGAAGCCTCCATTTGCGCAACCCCCCTACTTTGCGCCATGGCGCGAAACCTCCAGAGCCTCGCAGGGCTTGGCGCTAGAGCTCGACCTTCGACGCCGAAGCTCCAGTTTCATCGCCTCGGGTTAGAAGGGGTTTCCGTGGGGAGCCATCCTCTCCTATGGTGTTGCTACCTATCTCCTAATATATAATACCTGACGTCGCGTTCTTGCAGCTGCATAGCATTGGCGCCTCTCGATCTCGTTATTTTGCATGCCTCTCGACCGCTGCTGCTCCCACCGACACCGGCCTCGCCTCCGTCCCTCCCCGCTCGGGTCCAATGAACAACAGCACCAACCCCAACTCGGACGGCGACGATGGAAACAACGGGGATGTTCTCAACTGGGTTGCCCTCGTGGTGTCGCTAGTCGCTCTTCTCGGCACAGTCGCCCAAGTCCTCCAACAATACTATGCTTCCGCGGCCGGCTACTCCAACTGCGGCGAGTCCGTCATGGGAGAATGGCACAAGACCAAGCACCGCAAGTTCCGCCTATACGAGCTGCGATTCGAGGTGCAATTCGAGACGCCCGTGATCTTCGTGTGCCCCCCGACTAACAAGAAGGGCCCGGTCCTAAAAGAGCCTATACAATACATCGACGGGACAAAGGAGAGTCTCGACAGGACGAGGGCCCTGTTGCCGCAGCAGGAACACGAAAGGCTTTCAATGCAAGATAATGCGGTACACACGGCGGATAATGAGAGGGCGACATGGGTCCTGCTGCTGTCCGAGCTTCAGTCGATGGAGAAGGAGAGCGGTGACTGGCAAGCGATGCATTACAACTCGGCCCCTCCGCGAGGTTCGCGCCCCGACCTGGCAGGCTTCATGAACCATACGCTTGCCGTTGCTGTCCAAGCCAAGAAGCGCAGCTGGGACAACATGCCCCAGGACGTCAAGAAACCCTACGCCACTACGGCCATGTGCCACCTGCTCGAGATCGCCGCCATGATGGGAATTTACTGGCAGGAGTTTGACCGGTCCAAAGACAGGTACCGCGGCGAGGGCAACGGTTACATGCTCACGGGCTCGCACGTGTCGGACCTGGGCATCATGTTTACCTTCCAGATCTCCGGCAAGCACAAGTTCAACGAGAACAGAGTCATCCCCGTCGACGAGGTTAAGGAGCTGTGCTGTGGAGTCGTGTCGACCCTATTCCAGGAGGCAGAGAGTAAAGACAACCGCAGGGTCTTCCCAAACGAAGACCCCAAGGACCTCAGCACGCTTCAGCTTGGCAGCATGGACGAAATTGCCGAGACCATGGTGCTCATAGATTGCAACACCAACACGGCCAACTACTTCCGTTCAGACCGCGACGAGTTCAAGCACGAACATCTGTTCCCGGGTAAGTCCATACGAACTTCTAGGCTCAATCGCCATCTCGGCTAACCACCTTTCCCAGTCCCCTTCGAGCTCATCGGAATGCTTGGCAAGACGCTGCACATCAGGAACACGGCTTTCCGCATGCTTCCCAACCCTACGCCCCTCGTCTGGGACAAAAACGCGTTTAATCTCCGCCGCCTCGTCAAAGAATACCGAACACGGGTCAAGGACAGTGACGTTATTGACCAGACAACGCAGATCCGGGATCTGTTAGAGCAATCTACCAACGTACTGAACGAACTCGAGAGGGACAAAATCTCCAAAGTCCCCGGATATTCCATGCGCCTTCTCGACACGTTGCACAACGCCGTCGACAGATGCGATGTCTACTTGAAGGATTGTCAGCGAGAACTTGTTCAGATGGTCATACGCGAGCACTTCCAAGAGATTCTCAAAATGATAAACAACCCCGAACAGGAGGACGACGAAGACGATGACGAAGACGAGCGACAGGGCGGAGATCAGCAAGATCGAACCGAAAAGTCAAAGCGAGAAAAGACTCGGCATTTTGACGAGCTTAGAGCCACCAGTCCGGAGGAGAGACAGGAAAAGTTCATGGAGATATACTTTTACGTGGTGCTGCATCAAGTTAAGAACCGAGCGGTCCAGTCGTTCAACCGGCGCAAGTCAACCCACTACGCGCCATCAACCCACCATCGCGACCCTTCGGTCGAGAGCACTCACTCGACCGAGTACCTGAAAACCTCGTCAGCGCCAGCCACTCCGTCTTCGATGACGGCCAGACCCGTTTCCCCGCAGATGCCCCCGCTAATGCTGCACGAGACCAGCAGCCAGTCAGTACCGCTGTTACACATCCAGAAGCCCGAAGACAACACCACGCCCCGGTTTTTGGGGAGGATGCTCTTGACCGACAACCTAGACACATTGGCAACCGAAATCTGGTGCACGCTCATCTTTCGCATGCTTTGTTGGCTACTGTTGCATGATTTCCATAGGAAGGACGTGCAACTGCCCAAGAGTGAGCTCCTAGGCAGCCGACTACCCGTTTATATCGCTTGACACAAATGGAAGAACCAGGGCCTAAGCGAGATACCAAACGACATCACCTCTAAATAACCCATTCCTACCGACATATATATATATATATATATAGACAAGATCGAAATTAAAAGGGGCATATTGGGCATACTGGCATGTACAGGAAGAAAAAAAAACCTTACGAATTTATGACAGAGCTTGGGGGGGAGGATACCTAAGTTGTAACTTGATATGGGTTTAGTTTGTATATTTGAACCGAGTAATTACACGTTGGCTTCTTCATAGCACATTTCTTGATGACGCACCTGGATTTCTACTCGATGGGGTTCCTGTCCCATCGTAAGTACGTCGGAGGATGTAGCAAGAACCGTTCGGATATAAAGCATAGCTAGCTAGAGCAAAACCGATAGTAACAAGTTTGCCACTTCCCAGCTTAAGTCAATATTTGGGTTGTTCTTGAGCCCAATTCAAGCCTGACAAGCCAAGCCAGACAAGCCAAGCCAGACAAGCCAAGCCAAAAGATCCTGGAGACAGGAGCCGATCAATGCGGTTCATCACGTCGGCTTGGAGTGCCAGATGGCGGTGGGGCACGCGAGCTGAGTTTTGGTGGCTGGGCCACTTGAGCCCTGATGGCGCATTGGCCCCTCTGGCGGGGTAAGGTACGTACAGTACATTCAGTTGCGCGCGGCCAGCGTGGCAGCCGCCCCTGTAATCGGACGCTTCCGCGGGGCTAGCCTGCCCCACTCCCTCTCGTCTTCGCTGAAGCACTGGACGACTCCCTCCTGCAAGGAAGCCCGACGACAGAACCACCTCCGTCCAATCATGCGGCCAATCTCGAAGGCCAGACGGCTGGCTGCTGGCGGCAGCCCCCCGAACCATTTTGTCTCTGGTATTTCCCGCTCCGAGATGGAATTTGACAGCAAACTCTCGACACCGCCGTGATTCCAGCCTCGTTCTCGCTCGCCGCAACTGTTGGACGAGTCCCATCTGAGCGAGATCCGGATTTGCGATTGCGAAGTCCCACGTCCAACAGAAACGCTACACCGCCTCTTCCGACGCCGATTTCCCGCCTCGGACCAGACACGAACTAACGAACCAAGTTACGACGGGCGGGTTGAAGTTGAACATCTGCGGGCTTCAAGACAGGCGGTTGCCTTAACACCGAGCCGCCAAAATGCCAACCACTGAAATCATCACCATCATCAACAACTCGGGGAAGGTCCTTAGCACGGTAAGCACGCCCCGCATCTCTAGTTCCGTCCGGCCTGCTCCCCACCCCCGCCTACCATTGGTCGGTGGCGGCTTCGCGACGGCTGACAGAGAATCTAGGGCAAGCAACTTGTCGGCATCTTCAAGGAAGCCAAGGCTGCCTACCGAGACAGGCGGGAGGCAATCAAGGCGGAACGCGCCGGCATCCAGCGAGCAAGGACCTTCAACGTGTCACAGCGTGCCCCCACCGATCTGTACGACGACTACTACGAGGAAGAACTCGACCCTGTCTACAACGACCGCCGCCTTCTTCACGACGCCTCCGGCCGCCGAAGGTCGCAGGATGACGACCGCTCCCATGCCTCATCCCACCACAGCCAGCGCTCCCGGCGCTCACATCGCCGGCGCTCCTCCTCCCGCACTCGCCCTGCCCTGACCATTTCGAACCTCCGAACCCACTCGGAAGTGTCGGCCACGCCGCCGTCTGCTGCCCTGAAACAATACCAATCGCCGTATGCCGAGACATCCCCGCGGGACCTGCAGATATCCCGCCTGACACTTCACCGGGCCGCGACCATGCCCCAGCCAGCTGCATCCGAATTCGCGCATGCATCACCCCCGCTGTTGACCAGCGGTGATACAACGCCCGTCTCGACCCCGCGCCAGAGCATGATGGTCCACCGGCCGCGGTCCGAGGCGTCGCTGAAAAAGAAGAAGGAAATTGATATGCACCTCGCATACGGGGATATTCCGCCAGATCTGGCAAGCCGCACAGATCTGGACCCTGTCGACAACGGGCCTGAGACCGAGTCGCAGGAGTCGCAGGCGCTTAATCTGATGGACCGCATTGAAGGCTTCTTGGACGAGGCCCATTGTGTGCAGCACACAGCTAGCGACATGATAGCAAATCTCCAGCAGAACCCCGAGGCGGCGGCGGCTGTCGCACTGACGCTGGCCGAGCTCAGTGCCCTCATCGGCAAGCTGAGTCCAGCATTCCTGGGTATTGTCAAAGGCGGGAGCCCAGCCATCTTTGCGCTGCTGGCTAGCCCGCAGTTCCTGATCGGCACGAGCATTGCTCTCGGAGTCACGGTCGTAATGTTTGGCGGCTGGAAGATTGTGAAGCGGATCCGTGACGCCAACAAGGAGAAGGAGGCAGCGTTCGAAATGCAATCAGGCCTCCCACAACCGGTGCCCGCCGCGCAAGCTCCCACCTCCCCGCCAGAACCATCTGCTGGCAGCTCGGCCAGCTACGAGGAAGCGCTTGTGCTGGAGGAGGAGCTGAGCACAATCGAGACGTGGCGGAGAGGAATCACGCCGTTTGGCGCAGGCGAAGCTGCCGATGTCGAACTGATGAGCGCAGAGGCCGACCGCGCCCTACAGGACAAGTACCGTGATGACGAGGTCGATCCCGACGACTCGGTCTCGCGTAGCGGTAGAAGCACCCGCACACACCGCACGAGAAGACCACACCGCAGCCACCGCAGTAGCCGGCGGCACGACGAGGGCGGGGATGATGTTGAAGTCCCGGAGAGGAAGAGCAGCAAGAACTACACCAAGGGAGATGGTGCCGTGAGCGAGGTTGCCGCCAGCGAGCGCAGCCATCGCAGCCACGGGAGCCACCGCAGCCACGGGAGCTCGGGGTCGCGGTCGTCCAAGCACACGGCCAAGATTGGGCTCAAGGCAATCGAGGACAGCAGCAAGGACGACGAGGAGGCCTCTCCTGACAAGCCCAAGGAGAAGAAGAACAACATGCTTAAACAGCTCTTCAAGAAGATGAAGGACAAGGATGATAAGGAAAAGGAAAGAAGCACCGCCGTGTCTGTCCTGGTATGACAGGGCAAGTGAGGGGGGACAGACAGCTTCTGATCACCCTGTCAGGAATTTAAATCCACCAGTTCTAGGTCGGTTTGGGGTTGGGGGTACTTTGTGTGGCGCGGGGATAAATGAGACGGCCGGGATGATTTTGGATGCATTGAACATAAGCAAATACTGGTGGGGCGTATCCAAGGAACGCAACACGTTAGAACTAGACGGCTGTATATAGCCACAGGCCGGTCATTATCTAGATGACATTGAGAGACGAATTCTTCATGAAAATTGGGATTCGCTGTGATCCCTTGTACCTTGGTAGAAAAGCTCATCTCATCCAGACTCGGCCTGGCCCCCATCCCTGCCACTTCTGGATGACCAACCGGCCTGTGCCTCCTTGTTTTCCCTTTGCTGATGTCATGATTGATCTGGTGAGATGTTCGGCTGGACTTCCATTTTAAGCTTCTGATTTACTAGATCAGGTTTCACAAGCGGCCGCTTGAGGGTTCCGAGGGCATGGAAGAACTCCACGAAGCACGATCTATTGGTTCGTATCTGGTTTCTAATCAACATCACTGTTCCAGCCTACCAGTCGACGGAACGTGCGACGAGACGCCATTTTCAGTCAAGTTTCCTCTTTCATAAGGCCAGGCAAGGAATCGTGCCCCTGCCCCTTGAAACGGTCAGACACTAGCCACAGAGTGACACGGGCACGATCTGGCGCCGGGGTGGATCAATTACTATCATACGTCGAGATTCTGTCTCTGTGACTTGTCCTCGGCTGACCGGTCTGGTTAATAATTGGGTATTCGAGGAGGCCCATTTTTATCAGTACAAATCAAGTAGGGGAACAACAGGGCTAATTTTAACAGTAACACTCGGTTAATGACTACCTTTGCTTACACTCCCGAAATGACTGGGTAACTGGGGGCCGTCACCGTGGTACTGACTCGGCTTAGCTCACACAAGCGGCATCAGTCCGATGGGATCCTCCGATCCTCCGAGTGCTGGTGGTTCGGTTCAGTAATTCTGCCGGCGGCAGCGTGAAGACTGGACGGGGCTGAAATGATAATCACAACAGATGGAGGAGGGGGGGAGGGAAAAAAGGAAAAAAGAAAAAAAAAAGGGAAAAAAGGAGAAAAAGGAGAGAAAAAACAGAAAACAACGCACACAAGCCAGGGTTCCCGGCACAAACTACTTTATCTCGAGGTACTAGGAAAGAAGTGAACATGTACGGCACATTCTGTTGATTTCTGATTTTTATAATGTTGGGCTTACGTGAGGTCCACCTCAAATCCCTCATCTTCCACCCTCCGCCTTCGACCCTCCGCCTTCGACCCTCCACCTTCCAACCTCTACTCTCGGACAGGGAGTATATGGAGATGCTCGGCGAAGAGAAGTTTCATCCCTTCGATCACGACACCAAGAACAAGTTCCGGAAGGCACTGCCGCTGATCAAAGTCTGCCGCTGTAAGTCACGCATTATTACTTTATGCGTGCCTTGTCCGAAGTTTTGATTCAAGGACACCCTAACACGGTCTCGTGTAGAGGTCTCCGCAGAGGTTTCATCCCTCCTCTAAAGCCATGTGTTCTGCCTAGAGGGTGCCAAGCGGAGCTTGGACTGGATTCGTAGCCGCTGGCCGTCTCGTTCGCGTCCATCTTCTGATCGACACTGAGAAGATCAAGGTGTGGGAAAGTGCTTTACGATCCCTTATCAAAAGAGCCGCCAACCTCGAAGAGCTCGAGATTGTCGTATGTCCTTTTTTTACATGGTCAGGTTTCCGGGAGCAGATCTCTTGGGCCGATGACAACCAACCCACACTGCTCAATGCCTCTCTTATTGATCGTAACCGGAACTTCCTCCTCCTCTTCCGTGCACTCTCACAGGCTATTATCGATGGTACTGTTCACTTGCCTTCGCTAGATGCGCACATTCGCACAGAGCCACTCCTTTCAATCATTGGCAGTACATTCCAAGAGTGGGGTGAACTCCGGTACAGCTTCCCAGATCCCGCAATGGTTCTGAGGGCCATGATGGCTCGTGCCAGAGAATGAAATTGTATCACCATACCCTTCCCAAACTCTTAAAACGGTTCTCATGGTTGCCACTCTTGCAGCTTGTTGGCCGCAGCGACCGAAAATGGATGGAGGAGGCTTGCAAAACTTCAGGGATTAAAGTCGTGGCATGTCGTTGTCGCTGTATTATTCATATTGGGGGTTGAGATCACGACAGAGCACTTACATCCTTCAAGATGAGTGGGCTACGTTGAGTAGGCCGTGGGAAACTGTTGAGTTGGTCCACGGGGAGGTTTTATGGCATTAGCTTCCGAAACTCCCCGGCTTGGCTTGCCAGAATATAGGCTCACATCTTGTCAGAAAGAAAGGAGGTTCAGGGACCCTGGCCACCTGACCGTGGCCACTGGCCAGAGCCTACTGTTCTGATACAAGAGCAGTGCTGAGGGAAGTAATGGAGGGCCAACAAGGTAGTTGCAGTGGGCTCTGCACTGTAAACAGAGCCACAACAGCGTTACTAACGCTGGAAAATGAGAATACAGTGGTATTCTGAAGAGTGAAATGGTTTGTTTATTCGCAAACCAGAACCCCAAGGGCATTACAATTAAGCATTTGCGACTAATTCTAGAGTGCCAGTGGAAGTTTACCTAATATAGTCCGCGATCCAACCAAGTTAAATAGAAATATCCCGCTAATACGTCTAAAAAGTGTGATTACACCCTTCACAGTACAGCCTTTCCGAAGTGCCTACTTAAATCGTATAGGTTTCAAGTGGCGGTTGGGGGTGTGGAAAGACCCGTTCTTCCAACGTCTTCGCGACGATACAGAGGAGCTAAATTCCTCCTGCACTAACGTTTAGTGGGCTGCAGTGGGTGAGGTGGGGTGTGCCTAAAGTATCGGGTCTTTGGCGGACGCCTTCAAACGCTCCTGCCTTTCAATGTGGGCTACGGCCGAAGAAAAGGCACCTGTGCCGAGGAGAGTGGATAAGGGGCTAGCCAGCAAAACCTTGCCTGTACAAAATCAGGAAGGTATTTATACGAGGCAGGTGCGGGTTCCATTCCAGTCTTTCCCATTTTTGGTCCCCACGAAAGTGACGAAACCAACCACGACCAACCCTGACAAAATGTCCCACTGGCTTCGACATAAAGGTCGACACAAAGGTCGATAGAAAGGTCGATAGAAAGGTCGATAGAAAGATCGACAGAAAGATCGACAGAAAGGTCGACAGAAAGATCGACAGAAAGGTTGACAGAAAGCTCGACAAGAAGACAGGGAAAGACCGTTATATACCCGAAGGAACCCCCATTGGAGTTGCCTCTTGCTCCCAGGACAGACCTGCCGCCGTATCACAAACATCTGGACCTTGCCGACCCTCTTGCATGCATCAACGCCATCATGACAGCCATCTGCACCGCCGCTGCCGGCTCGCCTACCTCTCAGGTGCCCGCTGTTACCAACGCAGTCGTTACCGTCATTAAAGACGGTGCCTTCTTTGTGGCCGACCGATCAATTGGGGTGGCCCCAACCGCTGTCGCTGCTCCCATTGCCACGGCAATCGACAAAGCTGCCAACAGCTCTGCGACGGCGGCCTTTACCACCACTCAGGAAGAGGCGAGCCACCAGCGTTTTACCATGGGCATTGCCGCCAGTTGCGCTTATCTCGCAACTCATCTCCCGACAAGCACCTACCGACCAGCGCTGTGCGTGGTGGACGTAGTCGCGTCCACGTACAAAGTCCTTGACGGAGAGGTAATGGCAGTCGTGTCGGCCGCATCGGCACCTGCTGTCGCTTCCGCTATCGACAGCGCCGTCACGAGTGTCACCATGGCTGTTGCTGCCGCCGCCGATAGGCCCGGAGGTTGCATGCGGGCCACTGCCAACGCGTACGCTGAGCATGCCTCTCGCATTGCTCGTGTCTTCGTCGATGCCGTCAACGATCTGACCGTCAACGATCTGACCGTCAAATCCTGTTAAGCCCACCTCAACACGATCGCAACACCTTTGTCGCAAATCCCGTCTTGGGCTGAACCAGGGCATCTTCGCTACCCCATACGTCGCCTTTCTCCCAACCATGTTTCACTCCCCCGAAGAAGACTCGACGTCCCCAATCATTCAGCGGCACTCGAGCTAAGGGCTCCAGCCATACTGGGCAAATCGGCATATCGTCCATGAAGCTGTACTTCCCCGTTCTGCATGCTCGAATTCCTGTTCCCTCTAATACCTTCGAGGTTAAGGGTAACACTTCGCTGGAAATTTTACATGAAGTTGACATCATGGCCATGAAAGCTCGGCCTCAGCTGTTCGACGTAATCTCTGGGTCAACGGGACGTGGCACCACTGAGGACGTAGAATCACGCACGTCCAGCCCGAGACCGATGTACCGCCGCCTCCTCACAGCCAGGTCGACATCCGTAGGGGCATACCACCGATGTCAAGCTCAGGCCGACCTTCGACCAGAGCTCTCCCCTTCATATAGCCGTCAAACAAGCACTGTGTTCGAAAACGGACAGTGCCCTGGAGCTGCCACAGGAGCGTAACCGCCACGTTAGCGTCGACTTCACATTTCTCAAGAGTGGTAACATGTCAAACTACGGGCTTGGGTTGCTACCCACAACCACCCCCTCGCAGCGTCTCTCTTCTGGGGTTAACTGCCCTCTACTTGGTCAACCAAATCACGCTGCGGACGGAGCTTAGTAAACAAGTTCTAAGTCGCTATGGCCCGGACATAATTTGAGTTTTAGCTCAACGTCTCAACCCGCCCGCTATCTCCGATTTCCACTAGAGTAGTTGCGAAAGGATACATTATAACGTCGATTATTATCCTATATTCCATCGTTCGTTCGTGGCTTAAAGGTCCTGCGCAGCGTAGCTACTAAGTCAAGTATATCAAGCAAGTAACAAGTAACAAGTCAAGTAAGCAAGTCAAGTTTGAGGGCCCGAATACTTGTTCCACTTGATAAGTAACAAGTATTTGAGGCTGTTCAGACCCCGGAAAAATAAGTTAATCCGGTTCCGTTGGTGGTTTGGTTGACCCTGGCTCGTGTCCACAGCCCCGGTCACCAACCTTGACAACAACCCTATTTAGGGTTAGTGTCGGCGCGCATGGCAGTTACTGTAGGAAAACAAGCCCGCAAGCCCACGCGTCTTGACTGTGGATCCGATGCATGCTGCCGTGCGATCCAGAGCATCAACCGGCCGACCAAGCTACTCGACGCCCTCCTCCCCGAGCCCCCGATATAATCCTCGACAATGCCCTCAACCCAAGACCGTTCCCGACGCTCAACATCTTCGGCTTTTAGTGCCCTCTCCGGCCGACGTAAAAGCCTCGCTACACAAGTCGAAGAAGCCCTCGCGAGTGCCTCCCCAAACGATGACGATGTTAAGGATCTCTACAAGATTTCCTGGGACAACCGCCGATTTGTCCTTGAATCTTTAATCTACAAAAAGACATCGCGAGGTCGAAGGAGCTGGATTAAACATCATGGATGGTTTCTGGTCGAGCTGGGCCCACGAGATACCCCCAAGCCAGCCGTTGTCTGGGCATGCAGCCGTTGCGATGCATTCAGAAAGGGTCGGTTCTTCCTGGTCCAAGCCACCACATCAGTCACCGACCATTTGGTGAAGATTCATAATCTCGAGCCGGGTCAGGATGACCAGGAAGAACCGGCTTCGGTCATGGATCTTCAGGTTGCTGCTGCCAGCAAACGGAAGGCATCTGATCCAATCCCTGCCGCCAGGATCAACAAGATACGCCAACTGGCGGTTGGTTTCATGGTCAACGCCGATCTTCCTTTTACCATCTTTACCGACCCGTTCTTCCAAGCGATACTGGCAAATCTGAATGCTCCTGTAGCTGCAGATGTGCCGTGGAGCAAGGGCACGATGGTCCACGACCTCAAGGACATCTTTGGCCTCAACAAGGGCATCATCACGAAAGAGATCCGGGCTGCTAGATCCTCCATCAACTTCAGTTTTGACCTCTGGACCTCTCCAAACAACCTAGCATTCATTGCCATCTTCGTTCACTTTCTGAACCTCCAGCATCAACGCTGCCATCGGCTGGTTGCGTTCAGGCATCACTCTGGCCGGCACAGCGACAAGGCTCTTGCCATGACCATCGAGGAGGTTATACGGGACTGGGGCTTTCAAGAGCAAATTGGGATGGCAATCTGTGACAATGCATCAAATAACGATGCTTGTTTGCAAGCCCTCTATCCGAAGCTCTTGGGCCCACGATCTGAGAATGCCATCAAGGCCCGAAGGATGCGATGCTGGGGACATATCTTGAATCTGACAGCCAAGGCTTTCTTATTCGAGACTGAGGCTGATGCCTTTGAGCTGCAGTCGGAAAGGTTCCATCTGCTGGGGCAACAAGAGGAAGATTTACAACATTGGCGACGCAAGGGCCCTGTTGGCAAGCTTCACAATATCGTGAAATTTATCCGGGCATCGCCACAACGCATAGAGGCATTCAGCAAGATACTGAATGGTCGTCCGGCTGAGGAGAGTGATCTTGACGATCTGGAGATCTTCACATCGCCGGAGGCCTCATCCAAGGACCTGAAGCTCGTCCAGAACAACGCCACACGTTGGAATTCGACCCATCTAATGATCCGACGGGCTTGGAGACTCCATGGGCAGATCCAGGCCTATCTAACAGCAGTCGACATCCATCCAGAGGCTCACGGAAATGCGAGGCTTTCAGCAGAGGATCGATTGACCCCTGACGATTGGCGTTTGCTCGGGGAGCTTCAGCAAGTGCTTGAGCCGATCCATTGCTTCACATTATAGGCCGAGGGTAACAACGGAGCCCTCTGGATGGTATTGATGCAAATGGAATGGCTCCTGGATCATTTCGAAATGCTGAAGACTCGGTATGACACAGTCACTGCCGAGATAGTACGGGATTCAGTCGATGCCGGTCACAATATCCCTCTTGACCCAGCTCTGTTCCCAGCTGCCGATTCTCTTGAGCCGAGATATGCCCAACGGCATCGCGATCGGTCAAACCGACGCCGCACCAGGGCTGCTGTTGCTGCCGAAACCGCTGCTGCTGCCGTCCCAACAAGCCGATTCGACGAACATGCTTTGCCCGGGCATGTGAGGGATGACTACATTACCCTCTCTGACCAAGATGCTCGGGTCATGGGCGTTAATCACCAAGCTTACATGCGCATCTCCATCAACAGCGCATGGGTCAAGCTCAACGAGTACTATACGGTTATCGGAGAGTCACCTCTTTTTGCAGCAGCTGTGATATTGAACCCTAGATACGGGCTCAAGTGGCTGCAACGAAAATGGACCCTTGCTGAGCAGCTATTGTGGTTGAGTGATGCCACGGAAGGGCTCACATCGTTCTTGGATCGCGACTATCCAGGCCACGGACACGATGATTTCCGGGCTTCTCCCATGAGGGCATCACAGCGGCATCAGCAACCAAATTCAGATCTGTATCGGGACTGGGCAGATGCAGATGATGATCCCTGTACAGAAACAGCAAACGAGCTTGGGCAGTATCTTGAGATACAGCCTGACAAGAACATCAAGGATCCAATAGATTGGTGGGTGGCTAGGAAACAGAGCTTTCCACGGCTTAGCCGGTTGGCCTTGGATCTTCTAGCTATGCCAGCCATGGCAGATCACTGCGAGCGGCAGTTCAGTCAAGCCAAATTGTCAGTATCTACACAGCGGTGCCGTCTCCAGCCTCAAACGCTTGAGATATTGCAGCTGCTACGAAATTGGGTCAAGCAGGGTGGCATCACGCTAGGAGGCGTTGAATTAGGGAAATCGTGAATTGAGCAGATCTGGGCTTGTTTGGGGAATGAGGGATTGAGGGGCTAGATTGAGGTTGTGTAGGTTTTGATGTAGGGCCAGTATAGCATTTTGCGGGTTTTTGTAGTGTGTGGGTAAAAATGAGGCTGTTCACAACACCAAAAAATTGCGTCGTGATAATTTTTGGGTGGGGTGCCAAGCCTCAGCCACCGATGCCAAGCACTTGATAACCACTTGCAAGTGTCAAGTATGGGATGGGTCCTATCAAGCAAGTCAAGTATGGCCCTTCACTTGACTTGCTTGACTTATTAGCTTCGCTGGTCCTGCGCCGTACGCCCAACCGTTACATCTCCCCAATCACAGGACTTAATCGTCGTCCCCGCTATGTGTCTGACCACCTTTGCGCGACTTGATTGGCCAGTCCGGCGATTATAAAGCAGAGAATAGGAAGGCTAAGATAGTGTGATAAAGAAAGCGATTTGGTTGGATGGGAGGTGATGGCCCAAAAGCTCTGTTTTCTGGGATGCGGGTGCGATGGCCGGAAATCTGATATAGCAAAAGAAGAGTAAGAATACTCTCCAGACCAGACCCCTTTCTAGTTCTTTAGACTTATTTAGAGGCAGTTATAGCAATCGCAGGTAGAGACTTGAAAGATTAGTCCCTACTTTAGTATGCCCATATCCGCCCCACATTACTCACATCAAACACATCCTTTGTCCTATTTCCTTTGAAGTCCTTTGTCGGCGGAAGTCGGAGTGTTTGCAGGGGGCAAAGGCGCGAGACCTGGAGGGCAGAGGCTAACTTAAGCCCCTAGCGGACAGGTGAGCAACACGAGAAACAAAAAGAGGTAGAGATGAAACTGTTCGCCCCCATAAGAATGGGGACCTATTTTGGCCATCTTGATATAAGGGCCTAATTCTGGGCCCACTCTGCTAGAGTTAAAGGAACCCCAGCATGCTTTGGAGCAGCCTGCCGGAAATAGTAATTAAGGTAAATAAAGCTGAGCAAGCCTGAGTAAACCCTGAGCAAAGACTGAGCCAGGCCTGAGCCAGAGTGAGCAATGTCACGTGGGCGAGGTACGAAAATGGAAATTTCGTGTGCCCAGATTCGTCTCACAACAGGCAGTTGACGGGAAAATAGGCGCACGAAGAGGCACCTTCCCACATACCGGAGTATGGGATTAGAACTCGGCACGATAGCGGGTCATAGGCCCATAGTTACAGAAGCCAAGCCCCCGCGCGTTGCTCTACATTGAAGACCTTGAATCCGTGCGACTTGGCGCATGTTGGAAATGCTGACTCGGTGACTTTGCTACCGAGTCAATGATTCGCCAGTTTCCAAAACGCGGGAAACGGGGCTTTTTCTGAGCGTCTGACAGAAAAGGGTTACGCCGAGTCGTTCTGCAACCATACCGGCTAATATCATGAACCTCCTCCTAGGTAGTTGCACACATATACCCGGCGCATTACATGACGTGGCGTCGACCGCTTTGCTTTCGTCATCGAGAATGCTTCACATTACGCACCCCGCACGCGGCTCGAGAAGACCCTAGACCTGCCGCCAACGAAATACCAACATCTTTCCAATACCATGAGCCAATTCGTCCCACCCTCTGCTGGGGACGCAGGCAGGCCTCGACAGCCGTTCTATCCGCACCGCAGGTGGTGGAAACAGGCCGTTGCGCTGCTTTTCCTGTGTCTCGTGCTGAACTATCTGCTCCTCGCCCCAAACTTTGGCTTCGTGCTTCCTCACGTTGACCAAAGGGGCTATCGAGTGCCGGGGTTTTCAGCAAACCATGACAGCCACGTCTTGCCTCCCCCTCGTGTTCTGAACTCACCCGGCCTCAGTGAGAATGAGTGCAAAGCCGCGTTCCCGGGCCTCACAAAAGACATTGATAATCACGTCAAGCTCGGTCCATTTGTGATGACTGATCGCTCGGCCGGGTTGATTGAGGTCAGGGTGAAAGACAGACAGGTGAGTCTTCCGCTTCGACTGGGTGGGTCACCAGCAATTCCAAACAGGCAAGAATTTGACACCTCGGTGGGACACAGTTGTTTGTCCTTCGTTCCGGCAGCGATCTCACCCCAGAGTTGCTCGATGTAAGTCCGCGATCCACATTACGGGATCCATTATTGATAGGCCGATGCATTCCAGGCCCGGTCTGCCACGTTACAGCAAATCTACCGCGCCATCATCACCTCGCCCAGCCCCCTGCCCGAGACTGTCGTCACCATCAACGTGCATGACCAGCCGTTCGGGGCCGCCTGGTCATACTCTCGCCCAGCATACGCCGTGCCCAGCGCCGGCGCGGCGCCCATAACGCGCGCCTTCTTAATGCCGCACTTCTCCTTCTGGGCCTGGCCACAGCCCTTCATCGGGTCCCTACCCCGCGCAGCCGCAGCCATCGACGCCATCGAGGCATCACTGCCGTTCTCCCAGAAGGACGCTCGCCTCGTGTGGCGCGGCACCGTTGGATTCAACAGCGCGCACCACCCGACCCTGCGCGAGGACTTGACCAAGGCGGCTCATGGCAAGCCGTGGGCCGACGTCGAGGCTCTGCGCTGGGACCAAGGGGAAGGCGGCGCCAACGGGACGGCCATGCCGTCCAACGCCCTCATGGTCGAGGACTTTTGCCGCCACAAGTACGTGCTGCACACCGAGGGCGTCACGTACAGCGGCCGTCTGCCGTTCTTGCAGATGTGCCGGTCCGTGCTGCTCACGCCGCCGCTCGCCTGGCTGCAGCACACGACCCACCTAGTGCGCCCCCTGTTTTCGGCAGATCTCGGCTTGGAGGGTGGTGCTGGTGGATCGAAGTCGTCGGAAACGCCTGCGCCACGGTGGACGCCATCTGGGGGCGAGAGCACGGCGTGGCCGAAGCACTTCACGCCGGGCGAGGCGAATGCGGTGTTTGTGTCGCCCGACTGGTCGGATCTGGAGGCGACAGTGGCATGGCTGGAGCGGCATCCAGATGTTGCCGAGGGGATCGCTGAGAGGCAGAGGGACCTGTTTGTCGGTGGCGGATATTTCAGTCTCGCGGCCGAGACGTGCTACTGGCGGGCACTGGTCAGGGGCTGGAGCACGGTGGTGGGGGCCAGGACGCTCGGGGAAGGTGGCGGCATGGAGGAACGCGCAGTGAGGTGGGAGGAATTCGTGTTGCGTCCTAGGTGATTGATCGTCTAATTAGACGGAAGGTGTGATATCCCGCCAAGTTCAAGGCGATGGACACAATATATTACTACTCAGAATATACTAGGTGCTAGAGAAGTGGTAGGACATTTAACATGTTAGATACTACTTGGTCTTCTCCTCGGCCCACTTGCTCTTCACAAAGTCGGCGCAGCGTTCTGCAACCATGACGGTCGGTGCCATGGTATGCGCGCTGGGAATCTGAGGGAAGACGCTCGCGTCAGCCACGCGCAAATTCTCAAAGCCGTGGACCATCAACCGCTGGTCGACAACGCCATCTGTGGCATCAAGCGACATGCGGCACGTGCAGCTGAAGTGGAAGCTCGACACGCACACGCGCTTCGCATATTCGTCTATCTCTGTGTCGGACACTGTCTGCCAGCTCCGCCTTTGCTGCTGCTCGTGTTCTCGAGACTTCTCGCGTGTAACGGCAGCCTTCTGCAGCGGCGCCTGCCCGACAGCCAGAGGCGGCACTGGGACACCCGGGGCGGGCGATATGTCGGGCTTGGCCTTACCCCCGCCCGACCACCAACTTTTACCCTTGTTTGGCTGACAGATGGAGTCGAACCAGTCCAAGTCCATACCAGGGGCAAAGATCAGTGGTGCTGGGTGTGGATAATCACAATTGTTGGCGAACTCGTCGGCGAGACGCATGGAGAAGCGTGTCGCTTTGCGCATGGGCACGAGGTCGCGCTGGTCAGTCAACATGGGGTAGTTCGTCTTTGGGTGATCCTGCGGGTCGGTTGATGCCAGCTCGACGCGGCCACGGGAGAAGGGCTGAACAAGGGTCGAGTACCATCCAAAGAGGACCCTTCCAGGAACAGACTCGGCGAGACAGTTAACGGGGATGACCATGACCTCCACGTCCGGTACGTTGCGGGGCATGGAAGGATCTAATGTGCTATTCCCTTCGTCGTCCGTGCTCCGCACAGTCATCGTCTGTTCGTCCAACGCCGTGGTGCGAACGAAGATGCTCCGTGCAGTTGTGCCGATTGCGAGCAGGCCGGTTCCAAAAAGAATATAGAGGATCAAGTTCCAGAAGAAGACCAGTCCGTTTTCCAGCGTGTGTAGCGTGTGCTTCCGTGGAAGCTGCATCAAGACTGGAAAGGAGGCGTGGTCGGACAGGTTTCTCCCCACCGCATCGAGTTCGCGCACGGCGGGGATATTAAACTGTTCGAGTTGATCCCTTGGTCCAATGCCGCTGGTTTAATACGTCAGGAACAAAATATCCAACAGGTCCAATATGAAAAGAAAAAGAAAAAGAAAAAGAGAAAGAAAAAGGCCCGAGACTTTCTCACCTCAGCATGAGCAGCTGCGGGGTGCAGACAGAGCCGCTGCAAACAATGACCTCCCGCCGAGCGTTGACCACAAAATCGCGGGACCCATTTCCTGGCCCAACATTTCTGATCTTGACAGCCCCAACCCGGGTGCCGTCTTGGTTAGCCACAAGTTTTGAGGCGACGACGCCCGTGCAAACTGTCAGGTGAGACTTCCTCTCGGTAGCGACGCGACGGTTGAGCCAAGCTTCGTAGGCAGAGACGCGGACGCCCTTTGCATTGACCGTCTGGTCCAGATGGAAGTAGCCCTGGGCGCTGGCGCTGGGGTCGTTCATGTCTTGGTGGACGGGCAGGTCCACAGCGCGGGCAGCTCGCTCGACGTATGGGATGCAGCCGAGCAGGGTGTCGGCTTGCTTGTTCTCGATGGGCCCGTCATGGCCGCGGTGGGCCGCGTGCGGGTGGGCAACGGCGCGCTCGCTTTTGCGGAAGTAAGGCTCCACCTTGTCCCAGCTCCAGTCGGCCAGGCCAAAGTCGTGGGCCCAGTGGTTGTATCCGCCGGGGAGGCCGCGGGTTAGGAGCATGGCGTTGATGCGCGAGGCGCCGCCGACGGCTTCGGCGGTCCACATACGGGCTCTCCGGCCGCCAACCTCACTGATCGGCTCCGAGAGGCGCGCGACGACCTGCAGTAGGGGGAACTCGAAGTTTTGAGAGAGCAGTGGCATGCGGCTGAGGAAGTTGTCCTTGACGTGGCCCTTCTCGAGCACCAGTACAGACACGGACGCGTCTTCGGACAGACGCGACGCGACAACACATCCAGCGGTGCCGCCTGATTGCCGCCAATCGGGTTAGAGGATTGCCAATGATAGATTCCAATATAAAGAAAAGGAATGGCATTAGTCACCTCCAACGATGATGTAGTCAAACGTCTGGCCATCGACCTCGGCGGCGCGCACCTCTGGATACGACGACGAAAAGGGCCACATTGTCGAATTGTCGAATTGTTTCGTCGCTACTCCGTAATGTTGATTGACAAAATCACAGCCGGAAGGCCTTGTTGAGAGGAAAAGATAAGCAGCACCTCTCGGCACGGCGCTGAGTCATCTCTATCACCAGCCCTTGTCGTCGTCCGATTTATATCCACAGGCTGTGATAATTTCCCGTGCACCCCGAAACGGCAACAACAGACCGAGGTGAAAGCAAGCTGGGTACTCGCGTGGCTCGTAAAAATTAAAGTCGCATGCAGGGTTAGGGTTTCCAGGGCCCGCACGCTTACGTGAGTAGCCCGCGAATCGATTCTCGTCCCAATCCCTGCAAGCGAGCAAAGTCAAGTTTTTGTCTTCCCACATTTGAGAAGAATGCATCTCGAAAAAGCAACTTTCCACCAAATCACTTTTTAATAGCTACTCTGGTTGATATGCAAGCAACAATCTTCATACGAGGTCCGCTAGTGCAACGGTAGCGCGTCTGACTACGATATTCAGTAATCAAAAGGCTCCAGGTTCGAGACGGGCGGATCGCTCTGTGCCATTGCCATGCGGCTCTTGTCTTGACTCTTAGGTCGTGATTCCACTCTCCCTTTTCACCGTTTTCCACCCCAATTAGACCTCATTAGTTCTAATGTTGGCTCAACACGTGTCTGCTTCTTGAATCACTAATAATTATCGCTAATACGACCTTGACCGCCTTGGTAACCTGCAGATTGAGCCCTGAGGCTCACACATAATCAGCACTGTGTCAAGAGAGCCATGTCTTGAATGTATTGCAAATAAATACAGCAGACACAGAGCCCAATTGCTATAAGCATATCTCTTTTGGGACACTCGTCTCTGGACATTTTGCAGGCTCAGACTCTTGGCCGCTGAGTCCGGCGGAGCTGCCCTCTCCCCTCTCCCCTCGCCATGACCACATTAATATTCTCTTCCTCTGCTCCCTTTTTCATCTCCCTACAGCCTGCCGTTACTATCTACGACTTCAGTTGAAAATGGATAGTGGGCTAACAAGCAGCTGACGATACCATTGTGGCCTGATGATCTCAATCCCAAACTACTCCTGTGTGTTGTCCCCTCTGCGGCCTCTTTCCAGCCCGCCCCGGCGCCCAGCCAGACTGCAGACCGCGCACGGGCCAGCTGTCTCGGCACTTTAAGTAGGACCACCTTCTACCACTTCCTTTGTTCTTCTTCTTATTACTACTACTAGCATGAAATCTCTTTAATATACTTCCGTCGCTTTGTTTGGTGCTTTGGCATTCTTACCCCTGCCCCCCCCTCTACCCCCGTCGCTCCCATACTTGCCAGTGACAGGCCCTCAAACTTAAACTCTCAGTTCTGTTTACTTTCCATTATGGGCAGCCAACATGACTCTGCCAGCATCGACGTCTCGGTAGCCCTGGCACCGTGTGATCTTGAGGCTGTCCTAGGTCTGGTGGGCAACATTGCGTCCCTCTCAAAGGACCTGACCGCTACAGACCATGAGACGCGCCTCAAGGTTCTCGCCGACGCGCGCGCCCTCGTCCAGGCCCTTGAGACGCCCCGAGAGACGATGCTTCGACACCTTTGGACTAATGTGAGTGGTCCACTGGCCAGCCGGTTCCCTCACCTTTCCTTGTGTGAAGAAAGCCAGCTCTGACACGCATCAACAGGGCACCAGCACGGCCGCTCTGGCCATCGGGGTGGAAACTGGACTGTTCGTCCACATGCTCCAGAACAACGGGGCCCCGAAAAAGGTCCCTGAAATCGCAGAGGCCCTAGGAGCGGAGTCCGACCTCCTCGGTACGTCTTGGTCATGTGGGCGCAGTGCGGCTCGGGTCCGTCTGGGGGCCGTCGGTGCCGAGTTGCCGACGCCGAGCGATATGGTGCACCACGAGAGGACAAACTTGCTGACAAAACGTAACATCACGCCCAGCCCGCATCATGCGCTATCTTGCTAGCATGGGTTACATTGCCGAAACTGGAATAAACGAGTTTGCCCCGACCAATTTCTCCAAGGCCATGGCTATCCCCCTTATCGGGAACGGCTATCCGAGCGGGTATGCTCTTACCCCTTTTCTGCTTGTTTTGGTGGTTCCGCACGGATAGGAGCGTCTTACCCCTACAGCAAACAAGTCGTGAGAATTGATCAGATAAGCGAGTCTTGGCTGACTTGGCTATCTAACTGCGTCATGTCGGTACGTGTAGGTGTCGCCTAGTGATCCCGGGCACCTTGAAGCTGCCAGAACACATGCGGGAATGCGGCTACCGCCCGTCGACCGACACGTCGGGGCTGTCCGCCTTCCAGCGCGCGAACGGCACCACGCTCGACTGCTTCTCGTACATCTACTCGCTCCCGGGCGAGGCCGAGTACTTTAGCCAGCACATGGCTGCCTCGCGGCTGGGCACGCCGCGGTGGATGGACGTCGGCTTCTACCCGGTGGCACGCCGCCTCATCCACGGCGCCGATGACGACAAGGACTCTGGTGTTGCGTTTCTCGTCGACGTCGCCGGCAGTACGGGGCACGACATTAAAGCTTTTCGCCAAGAGTATCCAGACGCTCCAGGTAGGCTGGTGCTGCAGGACCTGCCCAAAGTGATCGCCACTGCTGCCACCCTGGGACTAGATCCCAAGATTGAACTCATGGAGCACGACTTCTTCACTGAGCAGCCCCTCAAAGGTGCGTTTGCCCCAGCCATATCGCGTCCTCTGGCAAGAGACAACTATTGAATAGCATTCTCTATCCAGGCGCAAGGACGTATTACATGCACAGAGTGCTGCACGACTGGAGCGACGAGGAGGCGCTGCGGATCCTGAAGCACATTAAGGACGCCATGCGGCCTGGCTACAGCCGACTTCTGATCATCGAGAACGTGATCCCAGCGAAGGGCGCGCGGTGGGAGATGACGGCCACCGACCTGATCATGCTAATGTTTACCGGCGCAAAGGAGCGCACCGAGACCGACTGGCGTGCGTTGCTCGAGAAGAGCGCGGGCCTACGGGTTACGGGCATCTGGACGGGCACCAACAGCCTCGAGAGCCTCATCGAGTGCGAGCGGGTGTCATGAGATGCGCTGCCTTTTCTGGAACTTGCCAGTGTTTGCCTTTTGCGTTTCTAAAGGCGTGCGGTACATTGTCACAGCTAGAGCTTTCCTTCTTACGTCCCTTTCTGGTTTGATGGGGAGCTTTGCTCATCTTCAAACTACCTTCTTTATAGGTCCAGTGATGATTAATTAAATGCAACTAGAGGTTGGTTCAATATAGCCATTGAGCAGAGGTTTGCGGAGGTCCAGGCACGAATGCGGAGGTCCAGACACGAATGCGGTTGTCTCAGTGGGCACATTATCTTGCCATCATTTTTGGCTCTTGAGCCTCGTGTTTTCACCAGCTCGACTCTCACCTACTGATTCAAGCATTCGTAAAAACTTATACGCTCTGACAAATCATGTCACCAAAACCCCCACTGTAGCTCGCCTCATGTCGTGCTCTCTCTAGTCTAGTGAGTCAGCACCATGCATTCTGATCTTCATATATACCCCTTCGGCATTGTTTGACATAGTTACCAAGCCAAGAGTTTAGATCCTTGAATACATACGAGATGGGCGTGGCCCGAAGTCAAAAGGGGGATATTTACCGAGTGGCATGCGGCAATTTCTTGTTGTAACAGTGAAACTCGAAGCATCTACTTCGCTGATAGGCTCGCGTGGGAGGGATGACAAATGCGGTTGCATCATGTAAGTCTGTTGTCACCGCGCCCTAATTTTGATATCATGCGTGCTACCGGCCGCCACGTTGTAGAACTGACGTTATTTTCCCAAAATGGCATCCATAATTCCTCATAGTGGCAACTGCTCATGGTGATGGTCACACTTTGGTCATCGCATCGTCTAATCCGGGACTCGAGATCGGCGGCTTGGCGTGGGAGCAGAATATCCATAAAGAAGGCCAACGAGCCATGGCAGAAAATGGAGACACATTCAACAGAGACCAGCAAGCCAAACATATCCTGAAATCAACAACCATCCAGGCGCCTGCGACGGGCCATATCGATTCCATCCCCTTCCTGCATTACTCCCTACCCAAAACACTATCACATGAAATCACTGTCACGCTAAAAAAAAGACAACATGTCAGACACTATGGATGCCATTGTCATATCGCGGTTCGGCGGGCCCGAGGTGCTCGAGCACCGACGGGTACCCAAACCCACACCCGTCGCCGGCGAGGTGCTGATCCACGTCAAGGCGTTTGGGGTGAACCACGCCGAGATGCACATGCGGCGGGGCGAGTGGGACGAGTGGAACGCCATCAGCGGGCTCGAGTGCGCGGGCACGGTGGCGGCGTGTCCGTGTGGCTCAGTGGCCGTAGGCAGCACGGTCGTCGGCGTCATGGGCGGCATGGGCCGCAGCCGGCCAGGCGGATACGGCGAGTACGCCAGCGTGCCGGCGTCCAACGTTGTCGCCATCACCGCGGGCACGCTGCCGTGGGAGCAGCTAGCGGCGCTGCCCGAGACGTACAGCACCGCGTACTCGTGCGTGTTAACCGTGCTCGACGTGCGGGCGGGCGAGCGCGTGCTGATCCGCGGCGCCACGTCGACGCTCGGCCAGGCCGCGCTCAACCTGGCCGTCAACGCGGGGGCCACCGTCACGGCCACGACGCGGCAGGAGGCGCGCTTCGCCGTGCTCGGGCAGATGGGCGCGGCAGACGTCAAGCGCGAGCAGGACGATCTGGGCGCGCAGTTCGCGGAGCCGCCTCGGTTCGACAAGACGCTGAACCTGATCGGCAACCGCGCGCTGCTGGAGAGCATCCGGCTGACACGGCCGGGCGGGCGCATGCTGCAGGCCGGCTGGCTGGGCGGGCTCGAGCCCGTGCCCGACTTCAACCCCATGCTGCAGATGGAGAGCGGCGTGCACTTCAGCCTGTTCCACAGCAAGGTGCTGGGCTCGCGCGACTTCCCCCTCTCGGGAATCCCGCTGCAGGAGACCGTCGACAAGCTGGCGCGGGGGGAGTGGGATGCGCGGCCCGCCCACGTCTTTGACTATTCCGAGATTCGCGAGGCCCATAAGCTGCTGGATAGCGGCAAGGCCGGGGGCAAGATTGTTGTGACGCGCGGCTAGGTGGTGAGATGTGATGTAATTAGCTCGAAATAGGGGGGTGGTCCTACAGTTGCCAGCGTTATGCGCGTACATGGTGTTGGTGTGGCATGCAGGCGGGAGGGATGTTTGGTTTGACAAAAAGAAGTGTTTTGCACGCGAATTTGAAGCCAGTGGTATATAACAAAGTAAACTGCCAACTCCATGGGCGCTTCCACCACTCTAGGTATTCCCCTGCGTGTCGTCCGTCTGTCATCCATAACTAGAGACCATCACATCAGCATCACATCAGCGTCTGTACATCAACAGTTCATGAGCCTGCCTGACCCTGCCAACAAGCCCCTTTATCGGAAGATGGCAGGAATAAGTAGACGCTGCAAGACTACCATGTCCCCTTCCGATCCACACGTGTTAATTATTATTATTCTGGTGAACTGCGGTTTGGCCTTGGCTGCACCACTTCAACCCTGTTGTCTCATTTCTCAGATGGAGCCGGCATCGAGTCTGCGGCCGGCGACGGGGCGACGACCGGGGCTACTGACGGGGCGGGAGCGGCGCCAGACGCATTGGCGGCGGGGTACTGCGAGGGAACTAGTGTCTGAGGGCCGGCGGCGGGGTACTGCGAGGGCACCAGTGTCTGCGGGCCGAAGACCTGGATGGCGCCCGAGTCGGGCCTCATAGCGACCCTCTGTTTGCATGACATGCAGAAATAGTGCGTCTCCTCGAACCACCCCGCCATGCAGGGCACGCACGCCAGACAGACACAGAAGAGGCAGCAGAGCACGCCGGCGACCCTACAGAAAAAAGAGTCAGTACTGCTAGCCATAGTGTGCGAGCCTCCAAGACTTACATCTGCATGGGTGTTCCAACTTTCTCGACACGCGTCTGGGTGCGCTGATGGCAAAACGGGCAGTCGATTGATTGCGGGTAGTCCCCTAGAAGATGCAGTGGTGTTACGGCGGCGACAGCTGCGTTTCCGGGCGCCATGGGCGAGTTTGGCAACGGCTTTGACTGGGCATTGACATCGGCCGGCAGGTGCGTCGCGGGGCTCACGTCAGGCCCTGGGGATGCGACCTGCGCCGGAGAGTAGGCAGGAGGAAGCTCCTCGGCCACGCCTTCGCTTTGCTTCGCGGGTTGTTGCATGTTGCCGTCGTTGGACTGGCCAAAAATGAGGAAAGTAGTATAGATTAAAAGAAGAAAGGGCGAAAGCTTGGATAACACTGGGATGCAAAAGAGTTTGCGAGACGCAGTTCTCTGAGTTCCTGCTTCTTTATTAATAAGTGGGCTGACCCTTCTTCCGGCAGGATCAAACGGCCCCTGGGACTCCTCCTGCCCACGTTCTGGTTTACCTTGGCGGCCCCCAGCTTCTAGTGTATGCTGTCTTGCATCCACCGAGGCACCCAGGATCCTTGGATAAGAAAAATCCTTGCCGAAAGGACCTGGTTGAACTGGGCTGGGTTGACGGGGAGTCTTCACCACGCCTCGCGGACACAGCATAGAACCTGTCGCGATGCTACCTACCGAATATGGGACCGTCGTCAATCATGGGTCTGCCTTGTTTGCCGGCCGCGACAAACAGGGCTCGCCACTGGCCAGGCCTTTATTTCGGTCGCAAAAATCTCATGTGTAACAGTGCGAGTCGGTCTGATAGGTGCTCATTCCGGGAGCCCGGGCCGCCAAGCTCTTGTGCCGGATGGATCCATATTGGGCGCAGCCTCACTCCGTGTCGTCTTTGACTTGGATCCTGTGGCTGAGGCCCCCCCTTGGTGTATTTACGGTGTGGACTGTCTGCGTGCCGGTAAGCCGAGGGGGAGATCAGCGTAATGGGCAGTTAGGCAGACGCCCAGGGACACGTCTTGGCAACTGTGCTGCTCAATGCGGTCAATGATGGGGTCAATGACGGGGTCAATGATGGGGTCAATGATGGGGTCAATGGTGGGGTCAATGATGGTTTCAAAGAGCTGGTGCTTACCGTTCGTTCTCCATCCCAAAAACCATCGGGACCGGTGAATGCGCGAAAACGGGCCATGTCGAGCATAGCGTTTAAGCGTTGAATACGCCGTGCATAGTTCCCTTCAGTGGGAAGATCTAGAGATTGGATTCCTCGTCGCAGGGCTGAGGGGACGAGCCGCTGGGGATAGCCCTGTGACATCATCTGCAGGCCTGAAGGAAACCCCTGCCAGGCGTTTGGCAATGAGCGGGCGCAGTGTTCGCGCGACAAGGGGTGCCTTCCCAGTGGGTGCATCGCGACACAATGACATCATGCCGTCAGTCCAGATGTCTTAAGTGTACGAATTCGCACGTCTTAACCAGCCAGGAATAAACGAGCGTAAATCGCAACCAGAGACCAGACATTGATATTAATACACCTAAACTCGGGCCAATTTTTGGATTCTCCAAATCCAAGATCTGACACGCATCAAATCTGCGACCATGTCCGACATCATCGACGCCATCAGAGACGCCGTCAACCCGAGCCGGCGGGAGGAAGCGACGGCACCGACCTACGACCCGCACAAGCGCGGACCCTACCCGGACCAAGCACCGCCGCCAGCCTCGGGCGAGCCTGGCGACGACGCGCGCAGCAAGCGCGAAGCGAAGGCGCAGGCCAAGGCCGTGGAGCAAGCTGCTGCAGCTGACGACATTACCACGGGCACTACCACGGGCACTACCACAAGCACTACGGATACCGCTGCAGCGGCGGACCCCTCACCCAAGGCGGCCAGCGGCACGGGCTTCGATGCCCCGGAGGGCACATATGGTCCGCACAGCTCGCGCCTTGCCAACGCGCTCGATCCCCGCGTCGACTCGGACCGCGACGGCCATCCGCACCACGGGCGCAGCGAACTGGGCAGCGCAGCGACGAAGCCGGCACATATTGGTACATCAACAGGCGGAATGAGTATGGTGTGAGGGCTGAAAGAGCACTCGCTGCACGCTGGACAGCTGGATAGGGTGGGCAAGTCAGGAAGGAGGGCCTGCCCTGTGAATTTGCAAGCGCTGAAGCGCTAAATGTGCTGCTGCCGCAGCGTGGAAATGCCCTGGACGGCGGTAGGAACAGGGCCAATGATACCAATTTGATTAGGGCAGCGATGGGATTTTTGGGTCGGCGGATTAGGATTAGGGCAATACAATCGCTGAATTGACCACTCCCGCAGTGTGCAGGTCAACTGTCCTAGTCCCCTGCAGCTCACCTGTCCCACCCCACTCTTTTGGTGTCTAGCCAATAAAATTGCGCAAACTAAAAAGGTGGGGTGGGACAGGTGAGCTGCAGGGGACTGGGACAGTTGACTTACGGTCTCACCACTCCCGTAACGCCGCAAACAACAGCACCATGGAAATTGCACTTTCTGCCTTCGCAGTTCTGTTTAATTTTTTTTCCAATTGCGTCCTCTAATTTTCTTCCAACTGCGTCCTCTAACTCCGCCAACCACTGAATCTAGGCATCTCAAATACCAGATATGCACAGTCGCTAGGCTAGCCCGTGCATGGCCCGTCATGCAGGACCGTGTGTTCGGGTGCCGCGTCGCGGGCAAAGGGGATCTGCACCAGCACCGTGGGCTCGTCGCTGGGGAACTCGGTGAAGTGCCCGGCGAGGGTGCTGGCGGCCTTGAGGTCGGCCGCGATCACCACCGACGACCGCAGCGTGCCGGGCATAATGTACGCGACGTGCGTATCCGGACGCGCGCTGCTGGCCACCTCTACCTCCCTGGGCAGCACCGAGGCTATCGACCCTGACGCGTTGGCTGTTGTTGACGTGTCTGCTGCCGGCGCTGGCGACGTGATTCGGATGAGCCCGTTGAGGATGATGGACAGTCTTTTTTTTTCCGTCTTTAGCGCTCGGTCTTGGGGATCAAGTCGGCATGTTTGCCTAGGTCGCCACACAAGGAAGAGGGATTGGGACAAACTCACTGGACGTGCGGCGCCCACGCCTCCCCGACGCGCGTGCGAGGCTCGATGTGCGACCACGTCGCCGCTGTCGCGTTCCCGCCGACGGCGTAGTTGGCTGCCGACATGGCGTCGACCGGCACCGATGCAAGCTGCCAGCACTCGAGTACGGAATAGCCGTCACGCGACGAAATGGCCGTCATGTTGAGCGGCGTCGCGAGACCCCCGCCAAGCGACACCGCCACGACGGTTGTGATGTGGTGTTTTGACCGCATTTCCTTCTTTCTTTCCCTTCTTTTTTCTTTTTTTTGCCCTTGGGGGGACAGAGGAGATGCGACAAAGGTGCTTTAATATGACATGGACAGGGGAGGAGGTAACGGAGCCGTTATGCTTTGTTGTGGCGTGCCGGACTGCTGCTCTGGGCATGTCGGAGGTCCGACATCGTCTTCACCTGCATGTCCTACCCGTTGTTCCCTGTGCAACACAGTCCATCAGCCACCGCGAATACTCCGGGGCCATGCACGCGATAACCAGCGCTTGGCGTTGTTTGGCGTTGTTTAGCAAGGCAGCTATTACATACCTAGGTATGCTTCGTATCGCTGGGCTTGCATGTTTTTGACAGAATATCACCTGCAGGGACTCTACTTCCGACGATCAAGCGCGGCAAATTGTGGCAGAACCATGAAAGACCCAACGCCTAGCAGAGAAGCACACGAGCGACACCGCTGAAAGAGTGGCTTTTAGGGCATGCTTCCCGGTCCGTCTGCACCAGCGTCGTCCCAGCGGCTTGGACGGTTTGCCCCCCTCCCGCGCATCGACAACACTGGCTCGGGATCGCCGCCATGTGCTTCGCTACGCTCGCAACCGGGGTTCAAGGTGGCACAGTCCGACTTGCTAGTTGTCCGCGGCTTGCCGATCCTCGCGGTTGTTTACTTTGGGCTTAATCCCGATCGTTTTTGTGGCGACTACGACAGATAGGAGCATCGCTCTTGGCGGGGCAATCATATCCGACCTGTACTGACTATACTAGTCTCGAAACAAAGACATAAGTGTGACCGAAAGGCCGCCCAAGTGTCATGGCAAGCCTCAGATACATACATTGAACCACACCAGCCGCCGACAGTCAAACAATGGTAACCCACACCCAGGGATCGTCCTTAGTGACAGGCCCCCACGAGCCGTCGCCCGAGACGTGGAGGATCTTGTCCAGCGTGAGCTTCCCGTCGCGCTCTTCGTCCCACTTTCTCGGCTCTTTCTCGTCCTCGTCCTCGCCATCCTGCGGCCCATCCTTGTTCACATCGGGCGGGTTCTTGACAAACACCGCCAAGCCGACGCGCACCACATCGGCCAGCGCCTTGAAGCCCATGCCCTTGAGCGCCGGGTTCTCGCGGACGTTGCGGTTGACGTCGGGAGTGGTGAGGAGGTGCTCCGAGACGTCCTTGCCGAGCGGGTCGACGTACGTCTGCAGCTCGGCCTTGTTGGGCCGCACCACTAGCGCGTGCGCCGCGTCGAGGAACACGGCGTAGCACGGGAACAGCGACGCCTGGTCCTCGTCTGGTAGGTCGGCGTGCAGCTCCCCGACCGACACCCCGCGCCCGTCCTCCAGGTCGATGCTCACCGGGATCCCGTGGCGGTCCCATGCCTTCTTGGGCGTGTGCCGCTTGATCTCGTATATGGGGGCCTGGGGGAGACAGGTGAGAAGCCGGGCTTAAAGATGGAAAGATGAGAGAAGACGAGACGAAGAGAAAAAAGAAAGAACGGGAACAAAGTTATGCTCACGCGTATGTCTATCCTCCCGTATTTGAGCCTCCCAACTCTCCGCAGATCGTCGGCCCTTTTCGGCGTGGTGCCAATCCCGGTCACCGTGGCGACGAGGTTGCTGTAGCTCAGGGGTATGTACTTGATGGGCGCGTCGAGGCTGGCCCACGACCAAGTCGGGGCGCGGTAGTCTTTGGGCCTCGTCGCCGCGCCGACCCTCGCGCCCCTCTTCGGTACCGTCTGCATGCCCTTGGCGTCGCGGTCAAAGTACTCGTTGTAGCAGCAGACCCTCCAGCACAAGTCCTCGTGGATGTGGGCGGCCCACAGGCCGGCAAAGTACGAGTCGCCCGTCTCGGTAGCGATGACGGTGGCCACGCCGGCGATGGCCGGCAGCTTGTCGTCGGCTACGGTGAGGCGCATGCGCGAGTACGTCTCGACGAGCGAGATCCAGCCACCCTCCCAGCGTCGGCCGCTGGTGGCCGTGTGCCGCCCGACAATGAAGCTGATGCCGCTAGCGCGCGGGATGCCGTGGTCCTCGCGCGCGATCAGCTGCGTGCGCAGCAGGTGCTGCAGGCTGAAGTAGATGTCGCTGAACACGAAGCCGTCCTCGGACCACATGCCCGTCTCGCACTCGTAGTACAGCTGGTCTCCCGCGTAATGTACGATGCGAGGTGATAGCATACGCTCCTGCAGCGTCCACCCGCGCGACGACAGCGGCTCGCCGGCGATGGGATCGAAGCGCCGCCCGAAGCTGCCGATGGCCGTGCGCTGCGGCGTGTGGAACGAAGACCCTGGCAGCCACTCGTCCTCCAGGAAGTGCACCGACGACGGCTTCTTGGCCCCGTCGGTCGAGTACGTAAAGGCCATAGTATAGCGCCGTTCGCCCGAGGCCTCGCGCGGCGTGGCGTAGCCCAGCGAGCGCGTGCCCGGCGACACGTAGCTGTCCTTGGCGCGCTTGGGGAAGCAGCCGTAGTAGCTGTCGGTCGACGCGGCGGCGGCGACGGTGACGTAGGCGTTGCGATAGATGTATGCCATGTTGGCGGCCTCGACGTCCCAGTCGGCCAGGTCGTCCTGCACGATGCAGAGGCAGTCGATCCACAGGTACTTGAGCCCGAGGCGGCGCGTGATCTTGATGGCGTCCTGGAAGGTCTTGGGCAGGAAGGAAGTGGCGATGCCCTCCTTGAGGTCGTCGATGGACTCGCGCGTCGCCATCAGCCGCGACGACGTGCCCCAGCAGTGGCTCAGCGCCACGTACCGGCCCCGCTGGCCCGCCGTCTCGAGCAGACACACGCCGCGGTCGTAGGCCGTCACGTCGATGACGCGCCGCGGGAGGTCGGGGTTGAGCTTTGGCGCACCACAAAAGGCGTGTTTGGAGCTGCAGTCGCTGATCCATTTCTCCACCCGCCGAAAGGCCGTGTCCGAGTCTGAGTGCAGCTCCCTCAGCCGGCCTGGGATGAAGCTGGCAAAGCTAGTGTCTAAGTCAAGGTCAGCCAAGGCGGCTGCCACCACAGTTGTGGCGAGTTGGGTCGTCTGGTACTAACCGTCGTCGGTGCAGAGGCCAATGGAGCTTCCACACAGCTTGACCTGGTCAGGTCTCACCCCGTAGACATCAAACAGGCTCGCAGACTTTGCAAACCGGGCACCGACGCCCACGAGACGCAGATGTGACACGTCGTTGGGCTGGTTGACCTCCTTCTCACGCTCGGCCCAGAAGTTTCCAAACACACACACGGGCATGTCGTCGGGCGGGTCGTCGATACGCAGCCCCTCGAGCTTCAGCTCCTTGTCCTCGACATGCTCGCCGTCGGGGTTGGGCGCGCCCGTGGCCGCGATGACGGCGCGGCCGCCCGGGTTGGGGCCCTTGAATTCAGTGGCCGTGACGGGCATGCACGCGCCGAGCTCCTTCTGGTACGAGATGTCGCGGGCTGTCAGGTTCGTGTCGACGAGGCGTACTGCATCGAATTGCCGCCAGTACCCCCGCCCGTTGCGCACCCCGCGCGTGTCTCTGAAGCTCGAGAGGGCCGCCTTCAGCACCATGCGGCACATTGGGCACCGCTGGGCCGACGCCTCGAGCGCCTTCCGCGTCCTGTGGTGCGGCGTGGCCGCCCGCGCCACGTCCTCGGGCTGGAGCTCAACCCACGGGATCGCCCTGCACACGCTGCACAAACCGGCCGCCATAGCCACGGCCGCAGATGATGAGGGTGAAGACTTGCGTAGACCGAGGATAGTTAAGGAAAGGGGCCAGGGCTGCCCCAACTTAGGGTTGCAGTTGTGTCCTGGGAAATATGAGGATTTATCAACCGGTGAACTTATGAGAGTCTGGGCAGTAGTCAGCTTGCGGAGGAACATCCCCCCGGCGCCGCCAAGCTTCCCGCATAGAAGCTACCGTCCCGGGACCCACGAAGTCGGCAACAAGCTAAAACAGCCATCTTCACCATCGACCCTATCACCGAAGGGCTAAGAACGCCACCAGAACCAGCTACGGGAGCCACTCCCGCACGGGAGGCGCTCATCCGCGCATCGACGACCTACCCGGACATGACCTCAGCCCTTTCTACGTGCCCTGCAAGGTCTTGATGCCCGGAACCCTGTGTTGTGCATGCATCGCATGCCCAAACGTTTTGAAGGTGGCTGCAAGCCTCTTCTATGCCTTGGAGACTTGATGTGCCTAGGAAATAAACGGAGACATCGCTTTTATTTTCCTGTTCAGGAAACATTTTTGCAGGCTCTCTGACCGCTTACCATAGTGGCGTTTTGCCGAGCGTCGTTGGTTTCTACACGAGAGGAATCCCTGGCCCTATCGTCATGTGGCTCTATGACGAATTCCAGGAGTAGGTACTTGGAGCGGAGACTTTCCGTCATTTCCGTCGAGAGATCGGACAGCAGCCCTGTGTTCGGTACATACAATTGTCCTGTGCATTAATGTCTTGGTCAGCAAGGATGGTCTCTGTGCTAAACAACTGCCCTTCTTCAAAATCCCTGCCTGCCCTCAGGCAGGCTGTGCAATAGCTTCCTGATGAGATCTTCCTCCGTGAGATCACAATAACAATTCCCGTGAGCTTCTTGTTGCCAGGTATCCCTTTATGGGAATTGTTTCAAAATGATCTCGTCCTCAATAGTCCTCTTATCTCGGACTATCTGTTGCTCAATTCCTCCTCGTCTAGTTCCTTGAAATTTCTCGTCAATTCTCTTTTCTTATCCTCGATCTCCTCCAATTTCCTCTTCTTATTCACCTCGGAGGTAACTTTCTCCAGTGTCTTATCAACTTCCTTCATATATCGCTTGAGGTTGTCGAACTCCGGCATTTGGTTCTTGAGATTTTCCACTTGCTGACCGAGGTCCTCTACCTGCTTCTCTGCCTTCTCTATGCGTGCGATGAGCTGGGGGTCGTCCTGTCTGCGTGACCGTGTTTCCTCGGTTCCTCGTCAAGGGTCTTTAGCAGCATGATGTATTTTTTTCAGGTCCTTCTCCTGTGCCTTGATGCTGGCTTTTATTACCGCTACTACTAGTTTGTCGTCTTTGCTTATATTGAGTATTCCAATATTGCGGTCAATGCTTTCCTTAATGCCGTATGTAGGTCCCTAAATGGTTACACCGGTTTGAAATGGAAGGTACGCGCTAATAATAACGTGATAGGTACGGTGGGCTAAGAATGCACCGCATACTTGGTAAAATTTGCGTCATGGTTGGCGAAAACTATATTGCTGATGAATTATGTCGATGTTGCTGGTGAACTGTGTCGATGTTGCTGGTGAACTGTCTCGATTTTGCTGGTGAACTATCTCGATTTTGCTAGTGAGCTGTCTTGGATTCCAATCAGGTTGGCGATGCTGCTGTGGTTGGTGTTGTGGGTGCTATACCCAAAATTTTAACCAGGCCCCACACCACCTTCTGTAGGTAGGGCTCAGCACCTATTCGGGTATTCTGCTAGTTGTTAACGAGGTCGATCCGCATGTATTCATCCTCGTTCATATTGATAGTGCCTATTCTGTCCTAGTATCTATGTTTCTCGACTAGTATCTTTAACCTACGTACTAGGTCGTGATTGATGTTGGCGATCTATATACCGTTACCTGCCGTAATTAGCGGCACGTCGTTGGGACGGGTCTAGTGATCTTCCAAATTCTGGGCGCCAAAAGGGTCCAATTGATAGTTCGGAGTACTGGGTCCTCGCAGCGGTAGGCAGAGAGTCGCAGTGAGCGAGGGTGATGATTTGCTGATTGCAGAGTTGTGCAGGGATGTAGTACAGTGATTAACGAATGTGGGAGATGTTGTCAGGGAAATTGGACACGTTTCTGTTGTGCTGTTGCGCGCGGAAGTCTTGACGATGAGCTTGCTGTTAGGCCATCAAGCGTAATCTCGGCGCCGCAGCGAGCTTAATTGTATAGTATGTAGGTCCCTGCGATTCGAAAAGAATCGCAGCTACCATTATTGAGGCCATCGGGCATCGAAAAGTAAAAAAGAAAAGAGGATGATTTCTGCTAAAGGAAGCTATCTACAGTGGGCTAAATGTGGCCTAGAAGGTCTCTGCTCTACTGACGTAACACGAGAGGCCAGTATTGGTGAGCCTAAAGGGCGAGGGCCGAGTCCTTTCCGTAGACCTTCTTAAGCCTAACGCGTCGAGGAAGGCTACGGGAGCTGGCGTAATAACACTTCCGTCGGGGTTCCTAGGCGACGAGTTCTATTATAATATAAAATAATCGTTAGAGAACTTAATAATCTCGTACTAAGGCCTCTAGAAGGCCTTAGGGTCTTTGTCGTAGATTAAGGGCATATTAACGTCGAAGATATCCGGCATATAGTGGGCTACATCTTTGATCTTGGACGTAGTTCTCCGCCCGAGCCACGACATCCTTATTGCGATACTGGTATCGTAAAGAGGAAGCCCGGGGTTGAACTACTACGGCGCTCCGAAATTAATATATTCCGGATAGATACCTACGATACTAGATATCTCGTCGCCGAGAGAGACCTTAGATCCGATAAAGGACTAGTCTGCGGCATAAAAGCTGACTTCGGATGGGGCCAGGAGCCCCTGGAGCGTCAAGCCCCTCGTGAACAATCGGCCCTTGGCCAGAGCCTCCTCGGTAGCACCAAGACATCCACAGGGTAGACGTAGTAGATGGTAGCATTTCGATACCACCTGAACATGGAATTGATGGCCTCGGAGAGTTCGCTGTAGTTAGTCTTGTCGATGCAGTTTGTGTCGACCTAGAGAAAGTCGTGGCCATCTTAGCGCGCCTGACGACAGGCTCCCTCGATCTTGCTGTAGCCCTTCTTTTGCGATGCCACGCTCTAATCCGCCCAGTCCTGGCAGGTAACTGGCAGGTAACCTCGCCGTGAAAGGATGGCGTAGTTGCCCGCGGGAACGTCGCCCATGTACTCCACGAGGGCAAGAGTTGACGTGTCGATGACGCGCATGGTGCCTAAATGAAAGAGGCTTTGATTCACGCACCCGCCTACTTTTTCATTGCACCTACATGTAGGTCCTTCAAGGGACTACCGAGGTAAGGGCCGCTCTTTGTATTGTAAAATGGTGTATTCCGTGGCGGCTACCCAAAGACCTACCGGGCACCAAGGAAGCCTGTTAAAGCTAAAATGATACTATTTGGACTTTCATATGCCGGGCTTCTTACGCGCAGTTAGTGATTTAAAGTCTATAGCAGCCAGGTAGACTTTAATCTCCTTACCTAAACTCAACATTACGGAAATACATCACCATGCTAACAAAACCTTATTCAATAGACTACATAGCCCGTTGGCGGTCTACCATGATCTTTGGCAATTTTACGTACAAATCTAGGCCCCAGAGTTGCCCTTTGCAGGTGCCCAAAGAGCTGGTTATTTTGACAGCTTCAACCTTGTTGACCTGGGCGGGGGGCTAGATGGTAAGCACATGGGCCGCTGGAGGGTAATTCAGGATTTTACCGGCCTAAATTAGGGTTTGGGTATCTCAACTGCCAGCAGTTGCCAGGGACCCACATGTAGGTGCGATGAAAAAGAGCTGGGTGCGTAGATCAAAGCTCAAATGAAATAAACTTGAGCCTCTGGGTCGGAATAGAATAGGAATCTAAAGATGATGGAAGATGAACCGAAATGTTCCAAAATGGTGTTGGGCGCTTGCTTAGCTTTATCCGGGCCCCAAGGCTGCAGCATCTGCAATGCTAGACCTTGAATGAGCTGACAGCTGCAGAGATATTAGGGCAGCTCTCTAGATTATCATACCAGCATTGTCAAATGCTGGATATTTCCAAGACTATATAAAGCCCACTAGTTGGCCACACGTTGAATTTAGTGGTAAGCGATAAGAAAAGAGGGAGCACGGCACTTAGGAAGCCAGGCCCCAAAAGGTTGAGTAGTTACCCCTATTAATGTTTCACATCACATCAAACAATGAATTATGTACTTGTCAACTTCGCCACGACCCAAAGTCAAATCAACATCCCCGAACAGAGCGTCGCCTTCCTCGGCTCTAGAATTCTCTCCATCTTGACCATTGTTCTGATCAGCTAAGTTCACATCCCCCTTCCCAAATGGCACCGACTACCTTGCCCACTTCGCTCTCCCGCAACCAGCACACAAGACTATAAACAGGGAAAACCGCAACCATTGTCAGACGAGTGTTGCCCCTTCCAGATATCTGAATAACTCCAATTTTTCCCTGCCCCTTAGCCGAACGCACAAACAATGCAAGTTTCTTTCTGACAGACAGCCAACAAAACAGAACAGACACGCGAAACACAGCCCGCCGTTGGCAAGATAAGATGAAAAGAAAACGAAACACCAGGGGTGAAGGAAGAAAGCCCCTCGCTTTGCTGGCTAATTCACTAGCATCAAACAACAAAACAAGCCCCCGCGAAGAGGTGCCACTTAAGTACGTGCACACAAGGTGTTAGAAAAAAAGAGAGTACGCCAACAAAATACAAACCAGCCCAACCCAGCGGTTTAGCCGCATTGCTACAGACACTGCGAGTAGTAGTCGTTCTGGAACTTGCACGTGGTGCCGGCGGCGCACGTGCTGCAGCCGTTCCAGTTCTTGCCGGCGCACTGCGCGTACCTGGCGGCGGCGCAGGCGCCGGGCTGGGCGGGCGCGGGCGGCGGCGGGACTTGCTGACCTGTTTCGCGAGCGAAGCGATGGCCGTTAGCCGAGGGTTCCGGGGGTTGTGGGGGGGTGTGGTTCATAACGACGAGAAAGAAGAGGGGACGAGCAAAAGAAAGGTGACAAGGAGGAAGAGGAGGAATGGGTGCGGGGGCTGGAGGGTCTTTCTCGTACCGCCGGTGATGAGCACGGGCTGGCCAATCTTTGTGGTCTCGTCGATGCTGCACACGTTGATGCATTTGCCCGTCTTGACGGCGCCGGGGTCCGTGTTGTTGTATACCATCTCGATCCACTGCATCTGCAGGTAGGCCTCGGAGTTGAGGGGCATGTGGCCGGACCACGAGCCACCGTCGCTCCACGAGTTGAACATGACCTGGGCCGGGTCGCGCGGGGCCTGGAACGAGATGGTGCTGGCCAGCTGCCCGTTGACGTACCACGTGCTGCTGCCGGGCGTCCAGTCCATGCGGTAGTAGGCCCAGTCGCTCCAGCGGCGGCCGCCCGGCAGCGACACGTTGCGCGTCGCGTCGGGGATGTCGCTGGTGCTGTTCCACGACGGCTGGTTCGTGTACTGCACGTACACGGGCGGGTCCTGCGTGCGGATCTCGAGGTCGGCCTCCTGCACGAGCGAGATATTGGTCGGCGTCGGCGGCGGCCGGTACGTGAACATGGCCGTCACGGCGCCCTTGGCGCCCTTGGTGCGCGCATACATGCGTATCGACACAAACTGGTACCCTGTGCTGTGCGACTCGATCTCGCTCGAGCTCTGGAACGTCGAGTGCCGCACCGTACGCATCGTCATCCACGTCGACTGCCCGTTGTTGCCCGGGTCCGTGTTGCGCTCAATGTAGATGTTGTTGGGGCTGTTGACCATCTTGACCGTCGCGTCGCTGATGTCCGACTTGTTCATGGCCAGCTGCGCCGTATTGTTCCAGTTCTGGATGTCCCACGCGCCCGCCCATTGCGCCGACGTGAAGAAGGCCGCTACTGGCGGCGCCGCCGCATTGGCCTCGAAGCTGTCGAGCGGCTTCGGCACCCTGGCATACTGGGCGAGCGAGCGGAAGTCAAAGAAGTTGTGGTGGGCAAAGTAGTTAGCCGATGTTGCGTTGGTCTTGTAGCAGTGGCAGTTGGAGTCGGTCGTCAAGGGGTAGGCCCCCCGGGCGACGGCGACAAGCGAGGCCGCTGCCACCAGCAGCGCAAGTGGCCGCAGAGTCCGGTCGATCATCATGGCCTTAGCTATCTTGCCCACTGCTGGACTGCTGCAGGACTAGTCGGGGAGACAGACAGCAAAAGGGCAACCCAAACGGAACCGAACCAGAGTCAGAAAAGAGAGTAGACCTGGCGTCTTTGAGGCCTTCACGATGTGAAAGACGGCGTGGCTGCGCAGACGAGGACCCTTGTTGGTTCTGCACGACTACATATTTCTAAACACCCCTCTCACCACCCTGCTCAGCACTGGGGAGAGCGGAAGACGGGGAATAATATCTGGGGGAGGCGTGCGGTGGACAGGAATGTGGGGAGGAGGCAATATCAAGCCTTTCATTTCCTTCCAAAATCCAGGGCCACGACGAACAACAATAGGGGCGGGTCTGCTCTGGACCACTATGGCTGCCACCACGCCCAGAGGGCACGAGTGCTGGAAAGGATAAGCAGAATGCTCATACGAGACGAAAATTAGCAACAGAAACGGCGTTGGCTATAGCGGGCGTAATTAACAGGGGCTCGTCGTCATCAGGGCCGCGGCAAAAAGGACGACTAGAGAATTGCTGATGGAGCGGGTCCTCCGCTGGCCTCGTCGGCAGTCACCTGGTGGGACGGGCTGCTGGGGCGAGAGGTCGAACCGGCCGCTTCTGGTTTGCTCGGAAGTTCTGGCAGCAGAGTCTTTCGCCCAGAGCACCCCAGCCCAGATTTACCCGCCGATATGTCACGATCCATATCGACTGGGGTGCATAAGCGGGGAACCGAAGCGAGCGGCCGTTGAAACGGATAGGAACAGGAAAAAGAGTGGTGCGTGACTATAACGGGAGCTGGCTAGTCTACAGACGAGCAGCGCCCGCTATGGCTATTGGACGGAAATGGCATCAATCGAGAAGCTTCTTGAGCCAGCCTGCCCTGTCCCTGCTCCACCTTCTCAGCCGACACGGGATTTAATTATCTCGGCCGCACGACCTAGACCGAACCTGCTGCCCAGGAACGAAACGTGTCTGCCGGAACGGGTAGCCAAGAGCTAAATTGGGCCGAATGATCCCCAACTTTGCGGCCTCATTTGCGACATAGAATCCCGTCCTATGTCGTCTCGACGTCGAAGCACGACGGCTTGCCAGCCAGGCAAGGATGGTATAAGTCAAAAAATCAGGTAACACCCGAGAGTGCAACCATTGATTCACCGTTGCATCGCTGTGAGGTGCCGAAAAGGATCAAAGGTCGGCATGTTTTCCCAATTCGCCCTTGAATCGACTCGCTGCGTAATCAACCTTTTATTCTCACGCCATCGGACAACGTCTCAGGGGCATGGTGCAGCTTCTTCTGGGTCCTGCCAAGCTCCAAACTTTTCCTGATCAACGGCCGAATGCGATTTAATCTCCGAATGGCGATATGGCTCCCGCAGATGATCCTAAAAGGGCATTAACGACCACGGCAAGGTGGCGATATGGGATCGAATAGATATTCGGTAGGCTTTGGGTTGTCAAAATCCGTCTTTGATTAATCAAACCCTGTCCCTGGCAGCCTAACATTCCACTATGAGTGCGGCCACACCTAGTGAAGATGACATAGAAGCTACCCTCGGGTTTGTTGGAACAGAGACCCATCTTGTTGAGCCCGATGCAGCTGCCTCTACCTTCGGCACTTATGAGATTGGAGGCGTCTCGAGAATGATATTGAGCATAACTTGCGATGAGAAGGAGCTGGAACGTGGACAACGTGACACAAAGCTGAAGCACGGGTCGGAGACCGGCACAGTCGAGCCTCTGGTTTTCGTCCTTACTTTGAGACTGTACCTCTGAGGAAGCCTCCAAGCTCATCTATCTGCAGCTCACCGGCTACCGCTCGCCCCCCTCCCCCCAAATTGCATGCGAGTCTGCGTATAGGTGGTGGAGATATAGCCAAGGGATTAAAATCAGGACTAAGTTAAAAGTCAGCTGATTCCAGTCACTCAGTGGCAAGACCTCGACCACCACGACTCGCTGACACTCTGGCAAAATTCAAGAGACGAGCGCCGCCAAGGGTCAAGCAGCAACTGACGAGGACGACAAGGGCGGGTTGCCACACTTATTGACACCTTGCCAGCGTCCTGCCAGAGTCCTGCCAGCGTCCTGCAAGAGTCCTGCCAGCGTCCTGCCAGCATCCTGCTAGCGTTCTGCCAGCGTCCTGCCAGCGTCCTGCTCAGAAGAGATACTCGTCCCACCTGTCTTCGTGGTAGGCATAGAAGAGCTCGTCCAGGCTGTGGCCGTGGTCCTCGCCAAGACGCTCGAGGAACACGTCGAACGTGGGAGGCCGCCGTGCTTCCCTCTCGGGATCCGACTCCTCGTCGCCCGAGAAGTAGTACTCGGACGCCTCGTCTTCTTCTTCGAGCTCAATCTCGTCCTCGTCAGCCACGTCATCAAACTCATCCTCGGCGCCCCCTTCCTCATCTTCAAGATCACCCTCCTCGGCAGGCTCCATTTCGTCCTCGTCCTGGTAGCATGGCAACAGGTCAAAGGTCCTGAACCGGGTTCCTGCCCTCGCACAGCGTTGTCTCGCTTCCAGGACCTCCCTCTCGAAGCGCCTGTGAAACCTGCTTTTCGCAGGCCAAGAGTGAATGGCAAGAGAGATGCTGGATAGCCGCGGGGACTGGGTGGCACAGAGACACTCAACTCCGTACAGCACCATGGTCAAGTTGGCCAGGTAGCTCTGCTTCCAGTCCTTGGCAGTGCCCCACTCGCACACAAGGGTGAAGTGCCGGAGAGAGGAGGGCAGGAGATGGCACAACCTCTCGCCGTCGTCCTCTTCAAGGATGCCAAGTGTGCCAAAGATGCCCCGGTAATCTAGCGTCAGGTTCTCGAGACACCTAAGCTCGGGAATACATGTGAGGCGGTGGTTTTCCGGCTTGCGCGGTCGCTCCCTACCACGGGTCAAGTAGTGCCCTTCAGAGAGGGCAACCAGCTCTAGCGTCCGCAACGAGCCAGCCAGGCCAACAAGTGCATCGTTCAATGTCTTGCCGTCAGGAAGAGCATCTCTCTCCTCGTCAGTAGAGCTTGCTTCGAAGTGCACGAGGAGGCTCTGAAGATTAACGCAAGCGAGACACAGGGCTACCAGTCTCGGTTCGTGGATGTGGCTACCGTAGAGCCGAAGATTCTCTATTCCTGGGAGAGGCGGTATTTGGTCGTTTCCGGCGATGAGGTTCCCGGCTGAGGAACAACACAGCTCGAGCGTTTTAAGGTTCGTCAGCAGAGGCAAAGCAGAAATGGCGTAGTCTGCGAGCAGGCGTGAGAAGGACAGATCACGATCCCCCTCCTCTCTGTGGCAGTAGATGCGCAACGATTTCAAGTTCTTCATGAACTCAAAGGGGAAGAAGCGCGCAACGGCGTCGGTGAAGGCAGCCGGATATGCCTCTGTTATGTAGCGGAGCAGGGCATATCGGAACGTGGGCATCAAGAAGTCGGTGCCCGCCGATGACGGGTCGATTTCAGCAAGCTCGTGGTCGGGAAAGGCAATGAGAAGGTCCTCCAAATTGGGGGCGTTAAGGAGGATGGCCCTGAGCAGATCGAGGGCGATGGTAGCATCGGTGCCGCCAGGCATGGGCTGCCATTTCACTGAGCGGCCGTGGCCTGGGTTAACAGAAGGTCGCCTTAAGTCGGTGGGCTACCGATGGGTCCTACCTCCAGTCTGCCTCTCCCACTCGCGATGCACCTCTTCGAGGGTCAGAACGCCAGCTACATTGACGAGACATGTGATTTCGCGAATCCACGGCTTGATCTCTGGGCGGCGGCTTAGGCGCAGAAAGAGGGTGACGAGGGTATGCTCGTTGTGTATGACGATAGTGCGGTACAGCAGAGGCTTGGCGATGGCGGCCATGCGCTGCGATGTCTGGGCAAATGCAAGCAGTTCGTTGTGGCCGGCGAGCCAGTCAGCCCATTGGTGGTGTGCATCCCGGAACTCCCATGTTCCCGTAGGACGGAGCGCGAAGCGCGTCGTCAGCGGAGAAGCGGGGACCAGCCCGGCAGCGATGGGCTCTAGCAGCTCGTTCGGCAGACGCTCGAGCGAGGGACGGACCGAGGCAGCATGGGCGGGCGTTGGCGTTGGCGCTGGCGCTGACAAGGATTGCGGAGCCGGGACGACCTCTAGCAACGGGCCGGGGGTGTCGGCCACGGGCAACGAGGCCATTCAGGCTCAACCCGACGATAGGGGAATAACGGCGCGGGGTATGGACGACGGGCACAGCGCAGGACAGGCATGGACACCAGCGACGAATCGGCAGACGAACACGGCAATGCAAGGGCGCGCGCTCGATAGTACGGGCGTGCGTGCGTGCGTGGATGTGTTGTGTGTGCGCAGGCACTTTGGACCTCGTCTCGTCTAATCTCTATCGTCTGGGCTTGGCTGGATCACGGAGCACGTCGTCCGTTCTAGCGTGTCGAGTCTGTTGGGCGGGCGGCGGGGGAGTGCAGGGCTGGGCTGGGCAGGGCAGCGAAGGGCAGAGCCAGCTCGGTTTGGGTGTCGTCGGCGTCGCAACTCGTGCAAACTCGAACAACGCCGACTAGTCGTGTCTCCAGAGCTTGCTCCTCCTCTCGGGTCCCGTGGCGTTTTCGATGCTATGCGATGTGATATAAGAAAGGCCCGGGGGGTGGTTTGCGGCAGATGCAGATGCAGATGCCAGAGCGTGCGCCGTCCCCGCCGTAGGAGCCGCATCGCATCACCTTGGCAGAGGATGGAACATGGGTGCCCTGAGGTAGCCAGGTTGGCACAGCGCTCAGACCAGCACCTAACTGCCCGAGGCGCAGGCGGGCTGCGACGACCAGGTGACGTGGGTGGTGCGCAGGTCCAGTCCAGTGCAGCCCGGTGGTGCCTTCCAGTCTGCGAGTCTGCCCAGAACCCACCAGCCTCTCAGTGCTTGCAGTGCTGTTGTTGAGGAAGGCACGCCTGCTTACGGCCAATCGGGCAAATCCAAAACCCATCCATTGATCCCTCGGCAGCTTCCGATCTCGGCGGGGTTCAGTGCTTGGTCCAGTGGAGGCGCCCCCGTCGCCCCCGTGGAGTGCTGAGCGCCTGCCTGCTCGCAACCATCGACGATTCGGGAAGCTGCGAAACAATGCGGATCATCGCCCATAAGCAGAAGCTCGGAACCCGCAGACACGTTACCTTACAGTCCGGGAAACGGCCAGGAAGAGAAGTTCAAGCTTGTCCTGGCGGGGACACGCAGCCTGTAGCCTGAAAGTTTTTTTTTTCCCTTTCCATCTTTTGCGGGGTGACCCACGCTAGCCACGTTCTAGGCGATGCTGGGCGCGCTGTGACAGGCCTCGGCGGCCCTGAACGCTACTGCCGACATTCGTATAAATTCGCCTAGCACGCTGTAATTTGCCGCTGCTAGCACTATGGGCCAAATGACGGGTTAATGCGGAAGGCGCATCCGGATCTTGGTGAGATCTGGACTGCTACCGTTGACATGCGACCCGCACTGCCTTTTATACTCTGGAGCGCGGGCCTCGCTCATCTTACAGGGAGATGGGTGGAGAGGCCAGGGCACAGCACATAACAGAAGGTGGTGCTTCGGATACTCGGCCGTGCAACCACCCCGACCCCACCTGCACCACCCGCACCCGCTGCTGCCGAAAGCCTCGTGCTGGTTAATGGAGGGGGGGCGTATATCCAGGGTAACCAACTGCCGCTGGGTTTGCGACTTTGCTGTGCGTTGACCTGGTCGCGTTTCCAGACACTGGAAGCGACGTTGTCGATCTCGGGAGCGTCCTGTGTTGGGCAGCAAGAGGAACCGCCGTCTTTCCCTCCCTGGAGCCGTGGCTTACACCTTTCCTCCAAAAGTGACTCTGTATGCGGAAAACCAGGCGATTTTGCGATACACACAACTGATCTTTTTTGTCGAAACACCCTTTCCGATAGCGCTACAGCTCAATATTTTGGATCTACGAGAGTCTAAAAGCAGGTTGTACGAAGTGCATCGTCGACTCGATACTTTGACATTTACAAAGGACATCACATCACATCCACACCTACCTTCTACCGAATCTGCAATTAGTCAGATATGTTCCCTCTGTAATCGTACGAGTGAAGAGGCTGTGGCAGAAGGTTCAATTCCACAGGAAATATTTCGACTCGACGGCCGATTTGTTGGTTTCCCACAACCGCCCTCAACTGCACGCCAGGCTAATTTTGCATCATGAGGCGGCATAGTTGGTAACTTGGAGTGGAACCATGGCCAGTTCAACTTCCGCTTGGGGACAAGGCCACATCTCAGAACCCCGTTTGCATGGCACGGTCAGCCTGATCCGGAGGGCATTTCGTTAGTTGGTGGTCCTTCTTCGTTGTGGCACTGGCTCGCCTGATCGGATGCGCACCGCGGGATGCAGATAGTTAGTTGGAGGAGACCTAGACGGTTGTGGACGCCGCAGCTCGGCGCAGATCGTGCCGTCTTGGACTAAGATACGCTCCGTTCCGGTCCAGAGTGTCGGATTCGGTGCGCGCCATGCGCGCCAATAGTTGCGGGTTGCTTCGTTGGGCCGCCCCATTACTACAATGCTTGCTGGCGACCCGCGAGCCCTCTTCCCAAGCCTTTCTCGCCCCCATTGCTTGAGCTCCGTTCTGCTCACCGACTTTTCCCTTTGGCTCGGCCAGCATTTCATCCGGCTCTGACAAACCTAAACCGGAAGTGTGCCCTAACCCAGGCCCTGAGACGCCGTTGCGCATGCAAGCGCCCTGCGGATGACGAAACAGGTCGGCGTACGGAGAGGAATCGGAACGGGACGTCTTCACAACTTACGAGTCAGCGCCGCAATACTATTGGAAAGTCTTGACGGGACTCCGTCGTGAAATATTTATTTACGTAAATGTGAGTACCGATATGGAAGGTGGTCTGCGAACGGGGACCCTCGAGCGCTGATTTGCCTTGGGCCAGTTCCGAGCATCCAGGATCAATGCAGCTTCGTGGCACCTTTTCACCAACCTCAATCGGCTCGAGTGGACTCCAATGGACTCGAGTGTGCCGTTTGGCTCCGCCTGGCAGATCAGGCCAGCAGGCCAAACGATTTCGACACACATGCCCTTGCTGTATCTTGCCCAAGATCCACTTCGGGGAAGCTAGGAGGCAGGCAAGAACGGACCAGGACAGGAAAAAAAAATAGGTCCAGAGAGCCTTGCCATGATATGGTCTGTGCCCAGTGAAACAGCGTAGCCAAAGTCGGCTTCCCGAATCGCAACTCAACGTCCAGGCCTACCCACCGCCATTAATCGGTAAATCAGGCTTCATGGTGGTGTCACAGAACGTGGTAGAGACATTATGTGTGCTGTCACGGCACGGCGGTAGGCGCTGAGGCCCTACGGATGCGTGACCATACTATAACCCACTATAGAATTGCAGCCTGACGGCTTGTAATTCTGGCATCCTTTTGGAAGGTGTGGTGCAGCGGTAGTGGGTGTTGCTAAACGCCGTCACATGTGCCATATCTTCAACCATGTCTAACTGTGCCTTAGGGAGTTAGCCACAGTGTTGTATGCACATACCTCTGGGATCCTTGCAATGGTCCATCCCAACACTCGTCAGTCGTCGTGGTAAGCTGACACGCATGGTCTCGCCGCCGTCTGTCAGTCTGCAATCATGCTGACAAGCTCTTTTTGGACGACATTTCCCGGACCCTGACGCTGACGGAGCTCTGCAGTGCAGAGACAGCAAGCCTCTTCCGAAAGAAACCCGACCGCATGAATGTAGATGGATCCCATATGTCTTGGCCATAATGTCGATCGATAGCGCCCAAGTCAACCTTTGAGCAATCCTCGACAACTTCCCCAAAGGTTGCTACAAAGCTGTGGCTTCTCCGCAGTTGTTGCTGTTGCCAAAGCGGGCGAAGAGTTGGCCAGTGTTGAACTTCGAGACAAATAGAACATGGCTTCGACGCTTCCAGCCCACGCGCCCCGTCAATCGTGTGCGGTGCAAAACCCCCGGTGCAGAATCTATAAGCTGCTGCAAAAGCCAAGCTGGTGGTTGCCTTAATCTCGCATCGCGGTGTCGAAGGCGTCGAGGCCTACGTTGTGCAATTCGGTTGGAAGTCGTCTCTCGTCGCGCGTTTCCCGGCTTCGTGTTTCTACAACGTTTACACGCAATAAAACATGTACGGTAATAGAAGAGCTTATTGCGTTAATTGAGAAGACACAAAGCTGAGGTGTTCAAGCGAAAGTAAAATGCAAATTAAAAGGAAGCGAAAAGCGGAAGTTAAAAAAAACGCAACGTGCGCCGAAGAGTCGAACTGATGGTCTCTCATCCTGAATATTTGCACGCGGCACCCCACCACTACGGCAAAATGACAGTGGGGCGTGCTTCATAAAGAACTGTGGGTCCTGGGAACTCACGGTGGCGGTCTTGGGAGAGCGGGGTGTCGAGTATCTGCGCACGGACGGCCCCACTTATGCGGCGTAGCTCCCTTGGCGAGCTTGGAGCGGGGACGGGTGCCAAGCCTCCAAAAAGTTTTCTCGCGCCGGAGAAAAAAGTCAAAAAAAGAACCGGTCTGAGGCCCCCCTCCTCCCAGCCGGAAAACTCACTTGGTGGCTCAAGTTGGTTATTCCTCATGACAGTCGAGTTTCCTGGGAGTTGATCAGACCCCCCGCCTCTCGAAATTAAGCGAAATCGTTTTATTCAGGGCCTTAAACCCCGAGCCCAATCGAGACGCTTGCCGTGAAAGAGGGTACCGAAAAGAGTCGCTATAGAGCCCGCGCGCATCTTTTTCCACCAACACGAGTTTGAGGCCATTCGCTGCCGCACCCATTGACATCCGACACAACTGCCCCAAACGCCAAAATTGCACAATGCAATTGAGCTTCGCAGCCCTCCGCGCATCTTGTGAAGTGATGAATGATGTATTCTTATTCCTTCTTTTTTTTCTTTCTTCTTCTATTATGAACAAAACCCCATGCATGCATCATCCTATATTTTCAGTCGAAGGCCGTTTAGCCATGGATCGCAGCGTCAAGCCGCCTCCTTTCGTACCTCTGCAGGCTTAGGCGGGTAGATGACCTCGAACCGCTCGCAGAGCACCATACTGTCGTCGCCAAACAGCTGCCTCTGCGCCTCGGGCTTCTTCTGCTCCTCGGCGTTGTAGAACCAGATGTGCCCTTCCCTGTACTCGTTGTAGTCGCCCTCGGCCTCGGCAAGGGCAAAGTCCTCGGCGACGTCGCGGAAGAGGCAGCGAACGAAGGACGTGGTGCGCATGACGGCGCCCGGGGCTCCGTTGCCGTCGAGAATGATGGACAGGTCACCGACGCCCCAGTGCATGGGGTCCGGAATGGGCCACGAAGTGGTTGCTGACTTCTTGCCCTGGATCGCCAGTGCCAGTTTCTCGTCGGCTAGTGCTGCGTTGTCTCCGCTGAAGTTGAAGATGTCCTTGGGCGCCGGCAGCGCCGCGACGCCCATCTCGGCGCATGCCTTGGCCATGAAGGCGACAATGTCGGGGCGGCTGGGGTCCACGGCGGACATTGTGAGTGGGAGTGAGAGACTATTTGTTTTTTGCCCCTTGGTTAAACTTTGATTTGGGTAATACTCCAGACTTTTACCGATGGCTGAACTCAAACTTGGGTTACAACGACGTTCATGTCTTGAGGTTTATATGCCTCTCGTTCTTGAGTCTGAGTTGAAACTTTGCTTCGTTACACACATGCACACAACCTCGGTCTGTACCTAATTAGCTGAAGTAAGGTAGCATCCAAGACACCGTGTGAGTCACGGCCGCGTCAAGCCCCATCATCCAAAGCAACAACTGCAGTCAGTGTAGAGCTAACCAGGGGTTGCAAACATTAGAAAGACCAATTCCAAACACAATACCACCGCATCAGTCTGAAGCATTGGCCGAAGACGACAGGAAGAGCACGGCTTGGGCAGCGGCCTTGATCTGCACCTCGTCCTCGCTCAGACCACCATCAACCTCAGCCACCACCCGGCTACCCACATAGATCACGCAAGAAACATCCTGCTTGTCGCTTCCAGCCGTTGCCCTTTTCTTCACCTCGTACCTTATGGCCTGACCCCCCGCCGCCGCCTGCAGCTGCTCCTTGGGGTGGACCGTGTCGACGCCGTCGCGCAGGATGCGTCTGAGGTACGGCAGAACACCCATCCTCTCGAGCAGCGCCTCGCATGCCGCCAGCGACCCAGAGTCGACGTACACGGCCCCGACCAGCGCCTCGACCACGTCGGCGCAGAAGTCACTCGCGCCAAGCCGCGCCAGCTGCAGCCACGGATACGCGGCGCCCGAGGCAACGGCTTCCTTGATCTCGTCTCGCAGCTCCGCGTATCGCATTTCCAGAGCCGCCATCTCGTCCGCCACCCCCTCTGAGCAGTGCTGCAGGAACCGACACAGCGGGAAGTCAACGCTGTACCGCTTCTCGCGGAACGGGCCCCGCGGCGACGCCCCGGCCTGCTGCACGTCGGTCCGCGTCCGCGACACGTGCCACTCCAGCGCGACGTAGCCGAGATATTGGCGGTTGACCAGCGCCGCGCGGTGCACCGTCATGCTGCCGCACGACGTCTGAGGCCCAGACGCGCCGCCGGCTGATGCAGCAGCAGAGAGGGGAAAGATGGCCTCGGACACGATGCTCTCGACGACGGCGTTGCCGAGGAACGCTAGCCGGTCGAGGCAGCCGTGCGCCTCCGCCGCGAAGTATGAGCTGTGCGTCAGCGCCTGCACGGCCAGCGCCTTCTTGTGGAACACGTAACCGGCCAGCGTCTCGACCGTCGCCAGGTGCGCCGACAGCGCCGCGTCGCTCGCGCTCACGTCGAACAGCTGCCGCCGCCCGACTTCGAGGCTAGGCAGGTCCACGTCGCCCACCAGGTGCTTGGTCCACGTCAGCGCCGTGCCCCAGCCGCCCGCCCGCTTGCCCGCGCCGATGAGCGCCTTGGCCGCGTGCGCGAGCGTCCTGCGCGCCACCCGCCGGCTGCCGGGGTCCTCGGCTATCAGCGTGTCTGTCTTGTCAATGTTGTCCGGGTCGACCCGCTGCCACTCCTCGGCATTGTGCCCCTTGGTAAGGAGGAACGGGTCTAGCTCCCGCTCCAGGGCAGCCCGGCACAGCCGCGAGTTGGAAATCACTCTTGCTCTGCCGGCCGTCAGGTAACCTTCCGGCCAGAGAGGGTCTGGTGGTTTGAAACCCGTCAGCTGAGAACTGTGGTGTATGTGGAGTGAGATAGCGAGAAGGTAAAAAACACTCACACTTTGTGGCGAAATGGACCGTCGTGAGAAGCTTCAGGCACGCGTCCCCGAGGAACTCGAGTTTCTGGTACTCTGGCTCCGCCCTGACCGGGGTGGTGATGGCGGAGCGGATCAAGTCAACGACATCGCTGTTGCTGCCGTCGACCACGGGAAGCCTTGTCTGCAGCTCCTTAGTGACAAGGTGTGCTTCCAGCTTGTACATGAGCTGAGACGTGCAGGCCTTGACCAAAAGACGTGTTGACGATGAACAGCGGTTCATTTGTGTTAAAGTTTTCAACCCCTGAGAATTTCGAAAGGCGACAACATGGCGTGGCTGCTCTTCGATGCTCGGGTCTGAATGCAGCGGGAAGAACCGGGCCCTGCGCTGCTCCCCGTAGGCAGAGTAAAATTGAAAAGGCTGCGGCTTGCCAAGCTCCACGGGGGCCACGACGTGAAAACTGAACTGTGCGACACCGTTGCTGTCCTCGAGCAGCATAACGTACGTTTGCGGTTCATCCTGCCTCGGATTGTCAGTGCGCGCCCATGGGTTGAACTGCTCCCGAATGTCGATCATGGACGACTCGTCCTGCACCCCCAGTTCCTCGTGGGTGAGAGGCAGCAAGTTCTCGTTGACGAGTTTGGCGTCGTACAGGCGCATGTATGCTTCAAAGGCCGCGTCCTTGGACGCGTTCTGCTCCGACCGCCACGCCTGCTTGCTCCAGGTGATGCGCAGGGAGTAAGGGATGGATGCCGGCAGAACTACCTTTGCTCTCATGAGGGGGATCTCGCCGTCCGAAGCTGGCGGCGGCTGGTTGGCGAGCTCCTCATAGACGTAGAAGGGCTGGTTGTCGCTGTAGCGTCGTGACCCAGCGACGGCACAGAACCGCTGCAGCCTGCCTTTGGCGTTTTCCATGTCCAGGATGGCTCCTGTAGTAGGCTCAATGAACTCTCTGTCGGACGTCTCTCTGTCTGCCATCTGCTTGCCAATGGCGCAGTCTCTGTCATCCCGGTCATACTGCGCCTTGAGCTGCTCCTCAATGCCTTCCCAGTCCGTGGCCTTGTCGCGTTCTTCCTCGTCGATCAAGACAAAGTACTCGGACCCTGACTTCCTGGCCCTTCCGCGACGTTGGATGAAGGATTTGGGCGAGGCGGGCGGGTCGAAGCAAATAACGAGATTGCATGCTGACACGTCAATGCCTTCTTCCAAGACGCTCGTGGCGACCAGGAGGTTGAGTTTGCCGTTGCGAAACTGGTCGAGAACTTTGGACTGCTCGTCTGGGTTGAAGATATCTCCAAGGTCTCGTCTGCCGCGGTCATGCTTCGACGACCCGACGACTGCGCCGACTCGGAACAGCTTGCTCACGTCGGGGTGCAAAGACAGCAAGTGGTGAAGAGCGGCAAGGGTTGCTCGCTCGGTGACGAAAACAATTCCGCGGCTGCCGTCGTCGCCACCGCGGTGGTGAGAGCACAGAATGCGAGCAAGACGCTCCATCTTGGCCGAGATGGAGGCCGACGAGGGGACCCTGGCCAGGGCGCGTGGATCGACCACGACGCGCTCCAGCAGGTGGGAAAGGTAAATTCTGGACGAGTAGTCCCAGGTCAGGAAACAAGACCCGCTGGGCGCGCTTGTAGACTCAATAACCAGCGACGTGACCTTGGCAATGTAGAATTCGGCAGCCAGGGTTCCAAGCTGCCCACACATGGCCTCTGCCCTCTCACAAAACACCCTCAGCTGCTCGCGTACAAACGTCTTGTTAGTCTTGAGAGCCTGCTTGAGCTTTTCCCGGCTCCTCTCCGTGTTTTCAGTTCGCCAGCGGATGATGTCTGGGTCCGTTGCGATATCTAGGCCGTCCAGAATAGCCCGCATGCTGGCGATGCTCGCCAGACTGACGCTGGTGGGGCTCAGGCTGTAGTATTCAATGGTCAGGGTCGGCCTTTTGACGTGGGTCTGGAGGTTCTCGCGATGGAGTCGCGGGGTCTTGCAGGTTGCGTTGAGGGTGTCCTCGAGGTTCTTCAGCTTCTTACCGCCGACTTTGTTCACGGGACTAGCGGTCAGGCCCAGGATGTGCGGAACGGGCCGTCCAGCGTCCTTGTCTCGCCAGAAGAACTGATTCATGATCTTGCTTCCGGAGCTCTTGCCAACGCAGTGGTGCGCTGGGACTTGTTAGCCAGGCCATGTCCATTTTTGCGAAAAGGGGAATGAGGCAGGGGTATAAGCATCACGACAAAACAAGGTGGTGACAGAATACAAAACGGACAGCATAGGGGTCTTACCCTCGTCAAACACGATCAGCGCAATCGAAGCCATCTTCACGAAGCCGTCAGAGAGGGAGTTCTGCAGGACGGCGTACGTGGCCACGGCCACGCGGACATTGTCGAGGGCGGCGTCCCACAGCTCCTGGCTCCTCCAGCCGTCGACATTGTCGCGCGAGGAAAAGGATCGAATCTCGACGGAGCGGATCTGCTGCTGCAGCGTCTTACACTGCTGTCGGCAGAGCTCCACCGTTGGGGTCAGGAACCAGATCTTCTGCATTGCGTTGTTAGTTGCCATGATGTCATCATGCTATCGACAGGGGAGACGGGTCACATGTTGCACCTTTCCTGAATCAATGCGTGCAAGCTCGTGCATGATCCGGAGCGTAGCCCTGTTTCCGTTTTGCCATCAGTCTCACGTTCGGGGCCGGCGGTTCTGGGAGCAAGGGAGGCAGATAGTCCACGTTTCAATGGCGAAGACTTTGGGCAAGATAAGACTTACACCAGCGTCTTCCCACTTCCAGTGTCCATCTGCAGTGTGTTTGTCAGTAATTATCTGAGTTATGACACTAGTGACACTAGTGATAGCGCTGTCAAAAGACCTTCTTACCACTACCACAATGTTCTCCTTGATGCTCTTCTCATACATCTCGGTCTGATATGCCCTGGCCGTGACCGCGTCATTGTTCGTGCCGCCGGCCTCATTGGGTGCTGATACGCCCGCCGGAATTTCATTGGAGTTGATAAGCATGGTGATGGACGACAGGGTTGCCGCGGTAATTAGTAATTATGATATTTTATTCTGTGCCGATGTCGAAGCTATTGCCCGCAGGAAGCGATGGAATTAATTGTGGGAACCGTTGGGCAGAAAGAAGGCAGCAGAGTCAGACAGACAGGCAAACAGCAAGCAAACAGACAGCATTATATGCCTTTGAGCTTTCGAACTGCCTGTCCGATATCTTGGCGTTCTGGCAAGGCTCTTCGTTGTAGGCCTCAATCAGCCCTGTAGGCCTCTCGACATGGCTGCATGCGGGCAGGAGCGAATCGCCATCGACAAAAACTGGACTCCGAACGCATCTCCATTTCTTTGGAGCGGGAGCCAATGGTTGCCCATCTAGCTAACTGCAAGTATTTGTTGTCCCAAGCACTAAATTTAAGGAGGTCCAATGGCGAAGATCTCGAATGACTACCTGTCTCCCAAAGTTGCCAAGGGGGGACGAATAGGTAATGAGTAATTGCAAACTGCCGTGTTGTCGGGGAATGTGTTACTTTATTAGGGTGCGATCTTTTGCCAGAATTCCGGGCCCAGGAACTTCCTGGGGTTTTTTTCTGAAGAGTGATCGTTTCGCCCCAGAACAATTCTGGCCCAGAATCGTACCAAATTCTGTTTTCTGGAAAACTGGCCCCACAAGTATAAGAAAGCCAGTAGAATTAGCCCGTTGGCGCCAGAAAAGCCCAGAATTTACTTGGACATATTTTGGAGCAGAATTGACCAGAATTCGGGCTTTCGAAGGCACACGTGAGTAAACACGTGCCCCTGAGGGGTCTTCGAGCGTTGACCCAAATACCACATCGCTAGTTGACTGCCCTGACTGCCTGCCCTGCTTATTGACAATACGATGCCCAACAACGCCCTCAAAAGGGCGTCACGAAGGAGGCTGCAACGTATGAGACGCATGCGGCTATGTGTATTGCTTGTCGTCGCCCTGGCCATGCCCCGGAGACCGTATACGGCGGTTAATATCAACGTACTGAAGGGTCAGTTTGTCACGCACGACCTGCTTCACGGCCATGCAGGCAAGTTATTTGGTCTTATTCGTATGCGAGCACCTACCTTCTTCGCTTTGGTTACCTGGTCGAGGCATAATACAACCCTACAAGCCTCGCGGCACGTAGGTCTCGAAGAAAAGGTCCTCATTTTCATGGTGGTAGTATCGCCAGGTATTACCCGCCGCTTGACCGGTTACCTAGTTGGCCACAGCCTGAGTACCATTCATAGGTTAGTTACTCTCTCGGCAATGTAACTTCAAAGGGACTTTACTTACCTAAGAAAAGGGTCTTCCACGAAGTACTTTCGGCTACCCTTATCCTTGCGAGCCGAAAGATCAGACTACCCGAGCCAGCAACACCACGAAAAATCGAGACCAACCCGATCTATTACCCATACTTTTCCAATTGCCTAGGTGCAATAACGGCTTTTGCTTAACTGGGGGCAGTTGGTGAAAGTCGCCGAGTAGTATTATGTTACGATCCCGGTCTAGAGTGAAGGAGGCGCTCTGAAGCCTCCCTTAGATTAGGCAGTCACACCTAGGAAGGCGAGGCCTTCCTTGGGCCGATGCACCCAATTTAGAAGCGCTCAGGGCGATCGGTCGCCAAGACATACTGAGCGCACTGAGCAGGGTGATCAGTATTGCTCAGGGTGATCAGGGACTGATCACTACTGAGCACGCTGAGCACTCTGGAACGAACCCTGATTGGTTATTCATAGTTCTATATAGGAAGCTAGAGGAACACTCTCTGGGAGTTAGTTCCTCAGCTATCAATGCATATGGTTTATCATTCATTACTTGACTGATTAAGAGAGACTTTCGCAATCTGTGCACTATTGTTTGCTCCTTATGCTTCCTATTACCTATGTGGTTCGCCGCACTATAGCTCACCCACCCCCACCCTCACAGTCCTAGACCGGGTCTGGCTCCGTGGAACTCTCGGTGTTCCAGATTGGAACATGTACCGCCGGTTATACGAAGGTTAAACTATAAGTGGCGATAACGAGGACAATACTACAAAGAAGACTCGGCGTTAATACGAGCCTGGAAGTCTTATAAAAGCTCACGGTCGGTTAATAACTAAACCGTATTCAAGGATAAGATTTTCCTCAGCAGGAAATTAAGGCCTGGCGGCTTCAACGGCGAGAGATTGAGATCCACGGGGACGATATTGACTGCCAAGTACAGGACCACGTTAACGGCGGGGAGTAGGCCGAGGAGTGCTAGGCTCACTCATTATATAATCGTTCTATAAAGAAGTAGTTGACTACGAGGCTGACCGGCTTAATTAAAGGTCGGCGTAATAGGCTGGATATTGATCTCGGCCCTGGAACTTAGGCGGGCGAGAAGCTCCTACGAGGGCGGCGTAGCGGAGGGGACCTGTCCCTAACGGCGTTCGGAGCGGTGGCGGCGCTATATATCAAGCCGATCGTTATGAGCTGATTATTACTCAGGAGTATACCCTTTAACCTAACCTCGACGGTGGAATATCGAGGTAAGGCGTTGAAATCCACTACGAGGTTGAGGACTGCCGAGTATAGGTATAGGTGACTGCTCACCAGGAAGGGTTGGCGTCAAGGTACGACCACGACCGAGACAAAGGCTTCCAAATCCAAGGGATTCTCGAGATTGAAGACCGGGCGGCTGCAGAGCCGGCTGCGGCAGCGGCGAACCGGAAGGGCGGTAAGCTATTGAGGCAGCTCGTGAGGCACGGCCTTCCGGCGAGGACAATCCGTCGGGAGTTCGCTTAGACTACGAGGCGAATAGATAACGAATACTAGAGCGGTTGCCCGCGAGGGTAACTCCACGGCATATCTCACAATTAATAGTGAGGCTTCCACCGCGCCGAGCACCCACACCCGGCTTAAAACAGTCGGTATATTTGACGAGTCAGCAAGTACGGCATCTCTTGTCGGCAAGTACGGCATCTCTTGTATTCGGGAGGGATGTCGGCATCAAGGGTCTCTTTCGGTAGGATCGGGCGATCTGGAGGCAGGCCACCGCCGCCTGGATTTGGCGGATCGGGCGGTGGGGGCTGGGGTTGAGGGACCCCGACCGTAGCCATCGCGGCGGCTCGAATAAACCGCGTTCCTGATAATGTATTAATAGTAATCAATAGCTGGAAGGCCGTGGAGCATTCTGCGCGCCTGTTTATACCTAGAAAGCGATAAATCGTGCGTGCGATTGATTGAGGTTGTATTGCGAGGTTATAGGAAGAAAGGGTTATTTTAGCGGGGAGCTAGCTGCTGCAGAAAGTTGAAGGTACCGCACGGACCACGTACAACGCACGGACCACGTTCAACGGATTAACAGCTACTCTACTCCCTTAACGCTAAAACAAACTGTCGTGATATTTCGATATTTTGATGTTCATGGTATAATTGTTGGATTTCTAGGGGGCAAGCTCCCTAGGGCCCCTAGTGCTTGCGGCGCTTTTGGCCTGCGGCGCCTTGAACCTGCGGCGCCTTCCTTCCGCGTTATTGCTCCTTCCTGACACAACCACGACACAGCAAAGCGGCATTTCACGGATTATAACAGCATTCCGGCAATAGCTTAATTTTTCTGGCTTTGGGGAAAAAGATCAATATTCAGAAAGCCGGTCCAGAAAGGAACGGCCAAATCCCCACATCAGGGCGGAATTAGCCGTTCTGAGGGGTCTGTGCTGTTCTCCAGAAACAAATTCTGGAGCTAGCGTTTGGGCCCTAGTTCTAGGACAAAGATCAGCCCCACATAGGCTACATTGCACTGCAATTTTTAGCCCCGAGGAACCCTTCAACTCCCCCAGCTGTCAGACTCTCAAGCCAAGCTAAGAGCAGCTAGCAGAGATCCGCCCCGTCATGGTTGCCCCATTCTCGAGTGCTTCACGCAACACCTTACCCATGACCTGATCAGGAAATTACAAGACGTGACAGCAGCCCTTCAATTCATGAACCGGCCATCAACGAGTGTTTCTTTGCTTCGTCGCAGTCTGTGCCTGGCAGTTTCATTTAGGGGCTGCAACCGTGTCCCATCCCCCCTGAGCAACATGTCAAGCATAACCAACGTCGCCTCAGACGAAAGCCATGGCACCGCCACCTGGAAGAAGCGATCCGTCGTCTCGTCCTTTATTTTCGACTTCGGGCACGGCGCATCAGACTCTCCGGGGGAGATAGATGGCAGCAGTAGCACCAAGAGGCCGCGGGTCGCTCTCTTTCGCCGCAGCGGCAAGGTGTCGACGTACCAGTAGGTCACTGCCAGCTAGCGCACTGCAACCGCCAGAGACAATATATGTCATATCTTGACGAGCAAAGAAGCCGCCATGGTGTCGGCCGCAAATGCTGAGCCGCAGACAGACACCACCTGGCGCCGATCTCCGGGTCCATCGGCGCGGCCGACGCGTCGCCGCTCGCCGCCGCGTGGCGCGAGCTGGCCGAGGAGACGACGCTGACGGGCGCAGAGCTGGTCCTGCTGCGCCAGGGCAAGAGCTACACCTTCCGCGACGAGTCGGTGCGCCGCGAGTGGACCGTGTTCCCGTTCGCGTTCCGGCTGCGCACGCCCGCCGATGAGGCCCGCATAGTCACCGACTGGGAGCATGAGACCTGGGGATGGCACAACCCTGCTGTCGTCATTCGTCTCGCAGAGCGCGGCGCCGGCCCAGCAGAGTCTGGCGATGACGTGAACGGCGTCCCCCGCCTCGCCGACAGCCTGCGGCGCGTGTGGTTCGAGGCCGACCTCGGCGATGCTGCGGGACGAGTGCTGGCGACTGGCCTCGACGCGTTGGCGACGGACCACCAGAGCGGCGCGCGGCAGCTGGCCACGGCCGCGCTGCGGACGCTCCGCGACGTCGTCGCCTCGCTCGACTACTCACCGGCGTCGCCGATGGCTGACCCCGCGTGGTGGTGGGCCCAAGTGCGTATGGCGGCGTGGCACCTGTGGAAGAACGGCCGCGAGAGCATGGGTGCGGCCATCATGAGCGCGCTGCTGGCTGCACTGGCCGAGATTGGAGACGCGATGCACTCCCAACAAGAGCAGCAGCACCAGTCGCGATTCGTGATATCCACTGCATGGCGTGACTCGGTCGTCGCCCAGCTGGACCGCCGCGTCGCCGCGCGGGCCGAGTCGGCACAGCGCGTGTCGGCGGCGTTTGTGCAGTATCTCGAGGGGGCATTCGGCGACAAACTGGCATCGCGCGAGCCGCTGGCAGTTCTGACGCTGTCTGAGAGCTCGACGATACGGGCAGGGCTGCGGCACGCGGCGCACGCGGCGGGCTTCGCGCTCGACGTGCGCGTGCTCGAGTCGCGCCCGCTGTTTGAGGGCGTGTCGCTGGCGAGCGCGCTGGCGCAGGACCTTGCCGCTACCACCACCACCACCACTACTGCCGCCGTCGCCGCCGCGCACACCATCACTCTGTTCTCAGACGCGTCAGCGGCGCTTGCCGCGCAGGGCGTCGACGTGGTCGTCATTGGCGCAGACCGCATCGCGTCTTCAGGGGCCGTCAGCAACAAGACGGGCTCGCTTCCTGCCGTGCTGAGCGTAAAGTACGTGAATGCGGGCAGCGGCGGCAGTTTCTCGGGCCAAGAAGGGGGAGCCAGGGTCGTTGTTCTGGGCGAGACGGACAAGATTGCGGTCCCCGGGCGGCCCGAGGAGCATGTCGTTGAGGACAACGACGCCAGCCAGCTCAGCCGCTCGTGGGCAGTCGAGGACAATAGCGCGCGGGTCAGGGACGCGGCGACAGCACTGCAGAGTCTGCGCACGGATAGCAGCACAGGGAGCAGGGGGCCCAAGGTCTCGATCCGGAATGTTTTCTTCGAGTGGGTGCCGGCTGGCTTGATCGATGTCCACATCACAGAATCGGGACAGTGGAGTGTGCAAGATATTTCAAAGCACTCCGAAAAGCTCCGGGACGAAGAGGGGCGGCTCTTGAGTGGATTGTAGTTAGTATTTCAGAGCAATGTAAACCAAATCCGACATGTCGATAACGGCCTTTTCACCTCTCATGGCCCACACCGCGACTTGCGACTTCTGAGACCGTCTCTCGTCTAATCACACTTGAATTTTGAGATTGAAAACTTTGGCAGAAATCGGAGACGACGTTAACGCTAACATTACGGATGACTAAAAACACCCGCATCAATAAACTGTAAGAGGATCGCCATACGACAGCTGGTAGTCCAGCCCCCACCACATGAGAATCTCCTGCACCGTCGCCAAGTCTAAGCTGTGTTCCTGGAACGGCACCTGCTCCGGGAAGTTGGCGATGGTGAGCTGGCCCGGGTCGAAGCCTAAAGCGTCCATCATGGCCACGTCGACGGGGTCGACCTGCGTCGGCGGAGGCGCCATGTTCCTCAGGCTCATCAATGCCTGCTCGCCCGGCAGCGGCCCGCGCAGGTCAGGATCGTCGCCGTAGAAGCGGGCACGCAGCCTCCTGACTAAAGCCAGCAGGTCCCTGAGCACCTTGACGCAGTCCTTCCCGTAGTTGCTCCCCGTGGCCGCCTCCCGGTCGAAGACCTCGAGCGCGAACTCGATCAGGTACGAGTCGCGCGTGAGCATGTTGGCGAAGCCGATCTGGTGCAGCATGAGGATGACGGCGCCGTTGAAGATGTGGTGCAGGTCCTGCAGCAGCAGCTTCTGCCGCGGGCTGATCCTGCGCACCCATCTACCTAGCCTCAGATTCCTGCGCGCCGCTTCCCCGCACTCTTTGATGCGCTCCACGTGCGGGTGTTCGTCGATGCTCCACCGCCCCGTGATCAACCCGTCCGCGACGGCCTTCTTGACGGCTGCCAGGAACATGGGCCGGATGGTCAGGATAATGAGCTTGAGTCCCTAGTCAGCTTGAACGGGTCCCGAGCTTCAACAACTACAAGTTTGGGGTGGGAATTGGTACCTGGTTATATGCCATGTGCAAGACACAGCAAGCACGGTCGTCGACTTGGGAGGGCGCATCGGTGATTTGAGGCACCTCAACCACATCAGGGCTATCGGGGACAACTGGAGGTCTGAGAGTGTCTGGGAGGTGAGCAAGCCACTCTGAAAGTTGCTGCATCACCCTTTCAATGTGCATGATTGCCCTGTTGGGTCCATCACGAGCCTGGGGCTGGTAGCTGTTGCGGACAATGAAATCCGAGATCCTCGACAGCGCAATGTGTGCTCGGAGCCCGTCTGGCGGGGGCAGACCACTGTATTTGGTTAGCACGGAACCGCACCGCAAAGAAGACTCGGCCTCCCAACTCACAAGCACGGCTGCGGGAGAGGGACCTGAACAGCGTCTTCCGGAATCCCGGGTGGCCGACCTTGAAGACAGCTCAACCACCTATAATGGAGCATGACGGGGGGGCTTGATCAGCAGGTCGTCGTTTTCAAAGGGTCGAGAAGACAATACCTATCAAGGATATAGACGGTCCAAAATGTCCTCCGTTTCACCTCGTCGGCCACGAGGCCCCGGTGGGTGCCGTGCATGATACTCACCTGCATAGCGTTGCCGATAGCTATATATGCGGCGTCTCTGCGGTTGTTCTCGACCAGGTACAGCGCCATCAGTGCCAGCACGACCGCGTCGTCGCTCGAGTGTAATGTAAAGTCGAGCGGATTTCCCAAAAGCATGCGGGCTCGCGCAAAGAAGGGCTCTCCCAGCTGGCCCTCGACCTTGGAGTTGACTTCGGTAAGCTGCAGCAGGCTTGCAAAGGCAAACGCGGCGTGGTACAAGGCGAGGTCGCGGTGTGTCTGCGGGGGCGTCTGGTCAGCAGCGGAGGCCATGATGCTGGCCGCGTCTTGCAGGGGCCAGAACAGGATGCCGCCACTCGGAAAGCGGCCATTGCCGTCGTTGATGAAATATGTCAGGTCGTTCAGCATCTCCGCCATCTGGGGCTGGGAGGGCAGCCACAGCGCGTTGATGCCTGTGGGAAGCTGCAGCGGGCGAGAATCGTACGTCTGGTAGACGCCGATGGATTGCACGAACGAGACGCCGTGCGGCTGGTCGAGAAAGGCAAACGTGCCGCTGGTTTTGATGAACGATTTCAAGTGGTCGAGAAAAGTCGCGCCCGACGTCTCGCCCAGGTAGCGTTCGGTGCCGTCCGTGTCAGCGAGGATCTTCCCACCGTTGCCGACAGTCTGCACGTCGTTGTCCACGGCCGACACGTCACCGCGCGATGAGCCGGCCATGGGGTCGGAGAAGGGGGACAGCATCCCCTCGTCCTGGTCGGTGTGCAGCAGGTCGTCGCGGAGGTCATCGTGCTGGTCGCCGTCCAGCTGCCGGAAGTTGGGGAGCAGGGGGCCCGCGACGCCGCCGCTGCTGCTGCCAGCGCCGCCATTGCCGGCCAACATGCCATCGAACAGCGCGCACTTCCGGCGCAGAGCATCCAGCTCGGCCCTGGGGATCAGGACCTTTTCGATGGGCTCCGGGTACTGACATGGCCGCTGCGAGGCCGAGCACTGGCGGCAGGGGCTCTCGCCGCTGCACTTGATGCGCTTGACATTGCAGCGGTTGCAGCTTTTGGGTGGCGGGCAATTGATGTCAGAACAGGGCCTGCCCTTTGCGCCGAGTTTGAGGTTGAGACTGAGGGGGCGAGCAAACGACTGAAGCCGACAGACTAGGGCAAGGAGGGGCAAGTGTGGGACGTGACGTGACGGGACGGGATGACATGGGGACGGATTGATCTTCAGGGCAGGAACGAGAGGACTAGGTGACTCTTGCCTGCCTTTCTCTCTTTCTCTCCGTCTCCCTCCCTCTCTCTTGCTCACTCACTAGAGGCAGGAGCGAAGTAGGCGAGAACGCACGGGAGCTTGCTACGAGAGAGGGGATTTTGGGCTGGGAATGTTGACTCGGAGCTTAGGTTGAGCTTGGAGCTCGAACTTTAAACTTACGCCGTGGCCACGCGCTTCCTCTCCTCAGCTGGAACCTTTTTCCGGCGGGGGTGGACGGGGAGGCGTTCGGATTCTGAGATGTCGACTTTTGCGGACGGCTTCGGAGGCCTGGGCATGTTCTGGCATTGAGGCAGTCGAGACGAAAGGCTTGCTGGGTAAACGACGGTCTGTCGGGTTGTCGCTGTCGTCGGGTTGTCGCAGTCGCGCCTGATTAAGCTTTCGGTGTCTGTACCCAGGAAAAAAAGAGCGGGTGGAGAGTTCAGGGCAGGCAAGTTGCCTTTGGGGGGTCGCGAGGGGGAGATGGTGGGGCGACGACGGACCGGGCACGACACGACACCCTCCCCGAGCCTGCTTCCCGTTCCCTGCAACGTGCGCCCTACGCCAATGAGCGCGGCCGCGACTGCCTGACCACTAGAGTCCGAATCGGGTGTGGCCGTGGCAGTCCTCCATGGGGCCAGGCAGGCTCGAGCCCCAGAAGCCGGCCAAGCCCAAAGGCCACCAACCGGGCCTCTGGCAGCCTCTGTTTGGTGCTTGCTGATCCGTCGATAACGCAGAGGGATGACCAACAACAGCTTTGGTCGCATTCCGAGCGACTCTGGGGTGGTGTGGTGTGTCAATGGGTGTGGGTGGGGGCTGGCGGGGCCAGCCCGCGTCACTAAATTCTAGGTAGGACGGATACCCTCAATGCGGTCGGTGGAGAGGTCACTATTAATAGCAGAATTCCATCTTCGCTCTAGACAGCGGGACGAAATTTGGCGCCTGCAACACCGAGGCGCAAGTGACGACTCTGAAGAAACCGAAAGCCGCCTGGAAACCTAAGATGCTCTAGGTAGGCCGCTAGGACTCGGGACTGAAACGCGGGCAGCCGTGGAGACTCGGACTCCAGGGAGGTCAGCCCTGAGGGCCCGACCCGCGTCTATCGACAGGGCAGTCGGCAGCGGGAGCGGCGGGAGCAACTCACAAGGCTCCCGGTCAATCTCCCCACCAACAATGTCCACGGTATGTCCTGCGCATACGGAGCGTGTGCACATGCATATGTAAACTCCGTTCGGCGCTGCAATTTGATGCTTTATTCAATTTCCGTGCATACCTACCTAGCTACGTTGGCATCTACGTGCACACATCCACTCTGGATCTTCGTGCACTGCAGCTCGTAAACCCGGGCCGCCTCAACCTGCAAAGATCCCATTTCGCGATCTTGCCTGCACATGGGATTACCCCGCCCATGCGTTCCGCCTTACAACTGCATTCACCGCCTGTAGCGCGGATTGACGGGATTCGGGAAGTAAGACAGCCGGTCAGCACCGACCGCACCCAATCCCTCCGCTCAGATAGAAAACCTTGTCTTTCACAAAAACCGCAAGAGAAAGCATACATCATGCCGAATACGCACTTTGCTGACTACGCTCACCTACGTTTCTCGCTCGCGTCGCCCATCCTCGGAAGCCTTCCTAGCCTTTGCCCGTCCAACCATGGCCGGGTTGCCGACGAGCACGCCGCCTCCCGGCGCCGCACCCCGACGCGTCTCGTGGTCGGTGGGGGCCGGGTTTTAATAACAAAGCATACGGCGTGGAATGCAGAGTGCTGCATGAAGGCCGCGCAATTCGGGACCGCCATGGAACCAACGGGCCCAACCAACCCGCACTCGGCTTTTGTGTAAGGATTCCTCCAGATTGTTGGTGGGACGAGCATCCTTGCGGGCGCCATGTTGGCACTGGCTTTGTCGCTCCATCAGGAAATTCAGGATCGCAATAGAGCCTTGGGATTTCAGAGAACCCGGAACGCCATCTTGCAAAAGGAAAAAGAAAAAAGAAGAAAACACGCCTTGCTTCGAATATGCCATCGTGGAGGTCTCTGTAGGTGGCTTTGATCTCTGTGGCTTGTGGAAGAGGTAAGGATAAAATACAGCAGCATGTTGAGACTCCTTTAATGCCCCCTTAAACAAAGTGCGGCGAAAAGGTAGGTGGGTAGTCTGTGCTCAGAGGTTGCCGATCAACCAGCACGGCAGAACCCGACTTTCTTTGAACGATGAGAGCCTTGTGACAACACAATCCTGCAGGGAAGTCAACCTGTATTGCTTGGATTGAGCTTTTGAACTTGACGAAAGTTGCCGGGAAAAGAAGCGAGAAGCGAGGAGCGAGACAAATAGCGAAGGCTAGGCATGTGGGTGATCAAGAACCATTATGGTGGGCCTAGAAGAACAAAGGAAATCACAAAATCGAGTTCTTAGTTGGTAGTGGCAGTGGCAGTGGTAGTGGCAGTGGCAGAAGTGGTAATTGTTGCTCCAATAAGTTATCTTGAAGTCCTAATAATTAGCACTTTGTGGTTCCAATTTCCCCAAAGACCAGACATACACAAAGGACAGTTATGATTTCCGACATGGAAACAGAAGAAACCGGCTTCGTCATCCTTGTACCTTGAGCTGGGCATGCTGCTCGTTTAGCTAGCACGCAATAATGGTGCGGCATGTGGATGAGGGTGCCTGGATGAGGGTGCCTGGTTGAGTGTTTACAACCAGTTAGTGGCTTTGTGGTTGACTTCAAACATCAGAAGCGAATCATCAGGTATCAAAACGGCATGTGAGGCAGGTGAAAGTGAAAACAGCGATGAAGAACAGGACCTTTACTGTTAATTTTCATATCCAATAGGTGTTGTCTTATCTGTTGACATGCAGCTAATTTCCGTTGTATTGAAGTTATTACTGGAACTTGGAGCTGGAAGCGAATTTGCAACTGGATAAAATTTTGCCCGTCATAATTACCTATTTATTAATGAGGATGTCTCTTCACACTGTAGGAACGTCTATTCGAACCGCAGTATACAAGTGACTTGCGCGCTGGGACCCCCCTCCTCAAGGAAAAATCCACTTTTTATACCAAAAGAATGGACTTTTCCCGGCACGACGCCAGCGCATCCCAACTTCAGATCAATTAGCCACATATACAGTCGCACCAAAATCACCAGCATACAGGGCAGTCAAAGACTGCGATGCTTTCAGTGGGCTAGAGGCTTAGCAGGGATTTCAATGTACTTTTTTGTACACTACGGTTCAAATAGACGTTTTCTACGGTCCGAAGAGACATCCTCCTATTGTATCATCAGGGGGATTCGGAGCTTTAATTAGTAAGTTTCCACTGACCAGTCACATCCGGAATGGAAATGATTAAAAATTCCCCTAGTTGGAACGCTCTTGCCATAAGCCATGTGGTAGCTTGACAGCCTAGGTAATGGCATTTGATGGATGTAATAGTTAATGAGGAGCAAGAGACCACTGACAACCAATTCCGGATGTCGCTGTTGTCCAAGCGTGACGGGAACATGAATAGATATGACGAGGCTGGAGCTTGTTGCCTAGCCAGGCACAGAATCAGTGATAATCGAGTGAGTTGCTCTCTCAGCATTAGACGTCTGATAGTGAAAGGCAGTTAACGGGTGTTGCTTATCTCACACCAGTGAATACTCTGAAGCTTGTTCTTCGCCCTCACTAGAACTAAATAGCTGAAGTGAGCGAGAAATTCGAGTAGGATTGAGCAGCAATAATCTAGAATCGATGCTTGACAAGGCTGGGTTTCATGATTAATTCGAGGCAAAAAGAATAAGCAGTCTTGAGAGGGGATGTTCGAACTCGGCCAGTGCAACACATGATTACTCCCCGTCTCTCACTTTCAGGCTCAACAAGGTGACTACCTAGACAGACCGAGGCAATTTCTCTGTGACGATACTATAAAAAGCTGATACCAACAATCTAGATAGTTTGTGAGAAGGAGGCTGCTAGGGGAGCAATTTGCACCACGATTGCTAATTATCAACGTGAGACGGCTAGATGGGTCGGACGGGTGAGACGAGCGTGGGCCTGAGCCTCGGACTTGGTCTATTTAAGCTCACTAACTAATCCCGCACCAGGCCGGCCGCAAACGGCGCCCTTGCGGAGAGTTTGCGTATTGCTTAACTCTAAAACCTGTCAGTTGCAAGATTTGACTTCCGTTTGCATTCCAATTCCAAGCGACCATTTGTGTCGGCAAAGCCGCACTGTGTGTAGCGATAAAGGGGCATCGCCCGTATTCGGTAGCGTGGCAGGATCCGCTTTGGCGCCTAGCTTCTTGGTAAAATCAGGATGAATTTTTTTTTAGCTGCGCTCGAGCTGCGTTACCCAGCTCGAAGCTCCACAATTAAACTCAATCTACCAATCCCATCGCGCCGATTGCCCGATGCTTGGCTGTTGCACGTGACGAACCGTTTTGCCACAACGGGAGATTGCTAGCTGTAGGGCTCCACCAAACCGGAAAGCACATCCTTAGATCGAAGGAAGTGGAAAATGTGCGCCACAAATGCATGGTTTTGAGCTTACCTATAAACTGCAAATCCACGATATAAAACAGCTTGCCGCTGGATTAAAGGCGGTGCAGGCCAGGGAAATCAGAGTTATACAAGTTATACACGGTTTGGAACACAACAATTACCGAGGTGAGCTGTCTCTGCCATACAAGTGGCAAGAGAGCCGATTCGCACTGTGATGCACTTGCCAAGCAGCCGACCGCGTAGCCCTTTGTCCAACTCAGGGGCAAGGGGCGGATGGCCGACAAGCAACCGGCAATTTTTGGCCGAAAATTTCACCAACTGCAGCACACTCGATTCACGATGGCCCACTTTATTAATCATGTCATTTCAGAGACAGCAAGCGAACCACATACCGTTCGCGCATTATGCTAGTAGAATCCCTAAACTGCCAAGCTTCCGCAATTGCAGGTCTTGTCCAATACGGGGTCAAGTACCGAATTTGGAGCGGGGCAGTTGCGCGGCGCGGCCAGGGAGTTCGGCTCGTTGCATTTTAGAGTAGACAGGCCCCTTCAGGCCAGATAGCCGGTCGGATTTGGGGCCGATCTGCCCTGCTTGCCCCCGTGTCAGGCCTGACAGAGTTGGCGCCTCTCCCTGAATCCAAGGAATGGAGCACTGCACAGGGCAAAGCGCCTTCCTCCCCAAATCCGAATCTCCCCAGCACCCGACCTCAGTGGTGCCCAGGCACCCCTCTCCTTAAACTGGAACCCCGGACTCCAGGCCTTACGCAATTGCTTCCTACCCACTCTCCACTGCCGCTTTGAACTGTCCTCTCATTTCTCCGCTGGCACTCCGTTCTCTTCCACCTTTCCATCACTTCCACCTTCGCTGCCCGACCTGGAATCCACGACCGCCCTCCGCAACGCCCGACACGCCCTCGCAGGTCGCGTACCCTGTCCGCGGTAGAAAGCCAATTGACGACTCGACCCGACCGGCCCAGGACTGTCACGCGCGAACGCGCGGCGTTTTCGCGCGCATGACGGCCATGCCGAGCGTCCCGCAGTCATGGCGGCGACTCCTTTTCCTCCTCCCCGTCCTCGTCATCGCACTTGGCCTTGCTACCGGCCTGTACAGCGGATCGCTTCCCAAGCCCAAATTGTGAGAACCTTCTTTTCCTGTCGGCGTCGAGGAGGCGCCGCGGCGGCCTCGCCTCTGGCCCTCGACGGCACAGCATCCTAACCTTGTTCCATTTGCGCAGACCTAAAGTATCCTTTGGCGACGAGCATGTCAGCCTGGAATGCAAATCCAACGACACGAACCCATTCCATAACCTTCACGACATCATCCACGCCCTGTGGGCCCCGCTTGTCGTGCCTATCAATCAGCCAACGTTCACGACCATCGACGGCGCCGAGAAGAGCCTCCCCGCGCCCGAGGAGCTGACCCACACCGAGAAGCTGGGGAGGCGGCTCTTGATCCTCGACGTCGACACGCGCCCGCTCTCCGAGGAGGGCAGCGTCTTCGGCGAGAGCCTGCCCACGTGGGACAATCTCAAAAACCCGTCGGCTGGCTTCCTGAGCCACTACATGTACTCGCTCATCCACGGCTACTCGTACAAGTTCATCCGGGCGCCCCAGTACGTAGACCGGGCGCCGCACTGGTCCAAGGTCGTGTTGACGAAGGAGATGCTGAAGAGCTACGACTTTGTCATCATGCTCGACTACGACGCCATGTTCCCGACGCCCGAGCTTCCCCTGGAATGGATGTTCAACTACTGGAAGATTGATAAGAAAGTCATGGTCGCTATGGCCGAGGACCCCAACGGCGGCGACAATATTGACCTCCGCGACAAGGTCAACATCAACTCGGGCTTCATAATCGCGCAGGCTAGCGAGAACACGCAGGCCCTGTTCAAGGACTGGGCCGAGTGCCCTTCGGAGAAGCGCTACAAGGATTGCGCCCAGTGGAAGCTGAAACTGTTCCACGAGCAAGCCGCCTTCAGCTCTCACGTGCGCTACGACTTCCTCGACGGCAAGAGCATCAACACGGACCCCGGGTACATCCGCATGCTGCCCTGCAGCGAAGCCAACGGCATCCCCAAGGTGAAGCACATTGGCTGCTGGGGCCAGCTGGTGCGCCACTACTGGGGCGACAAGAGCAAGACCAACGACGAGTTCAGCCATAACGTCATGTCCGCCCTCACTCCCCTGCTAGCCAGGGCAGGGTTCGGGCCAGGAGGGAATGTCGACGACTTCCGGGGCAAGTATCTCGACGGTGCCGAGGTCCTCGACCAGCCGCCGAGCGCCTAGTTCAGAGGAGACGAAGCGGAGGACCACGAGCGAGCCGACAAGCCTGCACGACACACGCCCCGCACACAGGCGGGGCCCTGAACGCGAGACGAGGTGAATGGGGATGCTTTGCTTTAAGACGTTTTAATAAGACTCGGCGACGACGGAAAATCCACATTTTTTGCATCATGGCTGGCGATTATCGATGGATATGTTCGGGGTCTTTTCTGTCTTTTTTTATCTATTCAAACGCGCGCTGACGCCGCTGTCTGGGGCCCCAGCCGCGGAAGGCTCTTTCTGGAGGATGTATTCTATCTACGTGTACACTTCTGTTTCTGGTTGCTTGTCACATGGAGCCATTTTTGAGCCACTCGGCGAGTTGCCCGGCACCGGGGAAATAAAGAAAAAAATAGATAACTAATATTTGAAGCACTCGGCTGTTCCCGATGCGAGTTGGTGGGTGAGTTTTGCTCTGGTATCTTTGGTGAAAGATGCGTAGGTCGCAACTCGTGGAGCGCCTTAACTTTGGGAGGTGATGCGCCTTGGAGATTCCGCTTGGTGTGCCATGAAGCCTCGGGGATATCACTAAAAAGCACATGTGGTGCTATCGCCTAGAAACACATTGCAATGCATATCACCTCACAGCCACCCATATTTAGTTCAATCTTGACTCGAGGGAACACTCGGCGCTTCGAGAATTGCAGACACCAGGCACTGCATTCCCACCTGGTGCACTGATAGCCAAGCTAGCCACGCATGCCTTCTAATGCCAAAGCCAGGCGTAGTCCCAAAGTGACAGCGAAGTGAAGGGTAGATGATGGATCGGCTGAGGTAGGTAGTTGTAGAGAATTATCTTTATCACGCAGGATAGCCGTCGCGCATTCTCTGATTTAACTATTGTGTTCTAATTAGTCTTTTTTAAAATTAAACAGTTGTTGAGTGGATGTTAGGCAAGTTGTGCATTCTATTTTGGTGGTGAAAATATAGTCCTGTGGTGTAGTTCTGCGATGTGTGCAAGGTAACTAAATCCGGACCTTGCTGTCTCGCATGTCTGTCCACTCGGGTCAGGAGAGAAGTATATGTATGATGTGATGTCACAGCTTCAGCCTCTGCTGAACATTTTCTTACTGTGGTCCACATACGTCAGCAAGACACCACCCACGCGAGTGATCATTGCCCGTGCTGGTGCCCTCGTGGCTCAGTACACCTGTAGAGCTGCAGAATTTGGACGGGGCGTAAATACGTGTTTGTAAGTGGCGCTCTGTGGCTGCAGAGCGGCACACGCTGGAAGGGAAACGCACCACCGAGGCTCGCCGGATGACATACCCGGCGTGTGGGTGGGTGTGTCTATGTATGTACATAATTACGCCACGGTGTGAAGTAGCCATTGACAGCTTGGGAGCAAGTTTTTGGTTCTCTGCTGTGGCCTTGGTGGGGGCTTGGTTTGAGAAGAGAAGGGATGGGGGACCGTCGTTACGAACTTGCGACACAACTCCCAAGTACCAGTATTTATCTTGTTGATCAGCAAGTCACCAACCTGTGGATCACCTCACCAACCTGTGGATCACCTCGGTATAGTCTCATTAAACAGGCTTGAGTCAGCCTCTGCAGTCTCGGCTGCGATCCCACCCTGTGACATTACGAGAGCCTCCCATTAACACCCTGCAGAGAGCACTGGTTGTTGCTAATGTCCGCCAAGAAGATGGAACAACACATCAAGATCTGACAGCGGCAGACAAAGTAATAACGCCAAGACTCCAGACAGCCGTAAGATCGGGCAAACTTTCCAGCACCAGGTGGTATTTTCCCCAAGGATCTTTTGCTCCGCCACCAATCCTCGGGCCAGCGACCGCTGACCAGATGAACCGGCCGCCAAGTGGGTAGGATTGGGATTTTGGGCCCCCAGCTGCTGCCGCTTTGCCCCGCGGGGACGGGGACGGGGGGCACACATCGCGAATGAGAACTGCAGGAACAGCCACAACGTTTTGCGCGCCAAGACCGCCACAGGGTTTCAGCTTTCCAAGAAACCCTCCCCCTCCCCCCAAGAGCACAGAACCGTTGCCTGTGTCCCTGTGAAGGGAGGGACTCAGGAGGGAAGGAGGGTTATTTATATGCCCCCTGGCCAGGTATTTTATATGGCTCGCCCGTCGCACACAGGTGAGCAGCCACTGCTGCTGCTGCTTCTTTTCCGTGTTTCGTTTCGTTTCGTTTCTAGGGGGGATACTGCTTTGTTTACCTCCCCGCCTCCTTTCGTGACGATATCGGATCTCTCCCTACATTAACCCCCCCCCCCCCACCCCCCTGAAACCAAAGCCATCGAGTTTGAAATTGTTCGATAAAACAGACAGGCAGATCGACAACGCGAACCCCAAGCCGACACCGCGAGCCCCAAGCCGACACCGCACCGACACACCCGGACAGCCATGGCACCCCGGCGCGGCGGCGGGTCCAGCTCGGGCTCGTCGTCCTCGTCCTCATCGTCAAGCTGCGACGCCGACTGGCCGTGCACGAGCGAGTTGGAGTTCATGTACGGGCAGCGCGGGCAGGCGCTGTGGTCGGACAGCGAGGTGCGCGGGCAGCTGGTCGTCGGCGCGATCTGGGCGGTGGCGCTGGCGGTGCTGCTAGTAAGCACATGCGGCGGTGCGCGGCCGCTCGCCAAGGGCGCGCGCGGCGGCGGCGTGTTGCTTCTGCGCACGGCCATGCTGCTGTCCGTCGCGGCGTTCGCATTCCTCTGCACGCGCTACGGCCTCGTGCTCGCCGGCAACGACGTGCCCATCGGATACCGCCATGAGGCGTCCGTCGTCGTGCTGCTGCAGCGGCTCGCCATGGCGGCGCTGCTGGCGGGCGCGCACGCCGTGGCGAGGGGGGAGGGCCGGCAGCGGCTGGGCTTGGGCGCCGCGGTGCGCGTGCTGTTCTGGATCGGGCTGGCGGCGTATCTCGTGCTCAATGTCGCGTATGCTGTCATGGACTTCCTCGTGTCGGCTCGTGCGCTGGACGTGTTCAGGGACTCGTGGTCATGGCGGCTGGGCGACCGCGACTTTGCGCTGGCCATGGACGCTGGTATGGTGGACCGCCTCAAGGCGACCCAGTACACCGTGCTCGCGCCAGGCTACGTCGCTTCGCGCATGTGGATCGACCCCGAGGGCGGCGATGCGGATGTCGCCGTGTTCCGCACCCGTGACCCGCAGATCAAGATCGGCGTGGCGGCCGACGCTATTGCGCTTGTTATTGTGCTGGGACTGCTGTTTATGGTGCTCGGCGCGTGGGTTGTCGGGCGGAAGGCGGAGCACATGGGGAAGCGCACAGTGAGTTCAAGGCCCAGACAACTCCGCCAGGTGGTCTACTAACCATGCCTTGTTCTCGTTGCTAGGTTCTGCTTCTTGTTGCCATGGCGGGGCTGCTCCTGACGACGCTCTTCGACCTTGTCGTCTCGGCACACTACGTGCTGTGGAACTGGTCCGTGGTCACGAGCTTCTCGCAGTGGGACAGCTTCGTGGCGGGATATGAAGCCACGGGCGCCCTGTTCGACTACATTGCGCCGCCGGGCTTCCTGCCAGACTACCGCGTGACCGTCGACGGCTTCCCCGTCGTCAGGGCCGTGCTCGAGCCGTTCGGAATCGTGCTCGCCTGCGCTGCCATTGTGGTTTTGGTGCGGGCCGAGGCGCGCGACAGGCAGGCGAGCGTGGCCCATCTGACCAACAAATAAAGGGGCGAGGGGGAGGGGGGAAGGAAGGGGAAGGGAGGGGGGGAAGGGAAGGGAGGAAGGGAAAGGGGGTGGGGGTTGGCATGGACTTGGCATTGGATACGAATATATCTACCTAGGTAACAAAGCACATTGGCGATTGTCTGCATGTTGAAATACAAATGCATATAGCCTTTATGACATCGTGTTCATGGCCTTGCATATAGCCTTTATGACATCATGTTCATGGCCTTGCAAGCTCAAGAGCAACAAGACAGGCACGCGGCAGCTCACGAGAAACAGCGCTTGCAGCTGCCATCCGCGCCGGTGCCGAACACGTCGACCTTGCCGCCGTCCCAGACCACGGCGTTGGGCTTGGAGTCGACGCTGCCGCCCATGGCCTCCCAGCCGGCGGACCACTTGTCGTTCTGCCACGTCTTGCGGTACATGGCGCTGTCGTCGCCCGTGATGTAGACTTCCATGCGGCCGTCGACGGCCACCACGTCGGGCGGCTTGCCGTCCTTGAGCTTGCCGCCCAGGTTCTCCCACGACCCCCACTTGGGCAGCGTCGTCACCGTCGTCTGGTTGGCCTGCGCCGTCGCGTTCCACGCCGTCACCGCCGTCGTCGTGTTCTTGTACGTCTTGTGCCAGCACGCCCCGTCACTGCCCTTGGCGAACACGTCCATGCGCCCGTCCCACGCGCACGCCGCCGGCGTCCCGTCGAGGGAACCGCCAAGGGCTTCCCACTCGCCCCACGCGCTCTTGCTAGTAGTAGTGGTGGTCGTCGTCGTCGTCGTCGTCGTTGTTGTTGTTGTTGTGGTGGTGGTGATGTTGATGCCGTACGGCTTGTGCCACACCTGCCCGTCCTGGCCCTTGCAGAAGATGCTCGTGTGGTCCGGGCCCCAGGTGACGGCCTTGGGCGGGCCGTCGAGGTACCCGCCGAGGCCCTCCCAGGCGCCCCAGCCGGGTGCTGTCTTGGAGGAAGCGGGCGGCTCGTCGTACCGGCGGTACCAGCACTGGCCGTCGGTCGCCGACGACACGTACACGGCGGCGTGGTCCTTGCCCCAAGAGCACGCCGAGGGCGAGTGCTGCACCGCGCCGCCCATGGCCTGCCACGCGCCCCACGCCCCGCTGTTGTATGTGCGATGCCAGCATTGGCCGTCGGTGCCCGACCCGAACACGTGGTTGTTGTCCTTCTTGCGGCTGCACGCCGCCGGCGCCGACGCGAATGTGCCGCCCAGGTCCTCCCAGGACGTCCATTTGTTGTCGTTGTTGTTGTTGTTGTTGTTGTTGTTGTTGTTGTTGTTGTTGTTGTTGTTGTTGTTGTTGCTGGCGCTGCTGCTGCCCCAGCTCTTGTGCTGGCACCGCTTGTCCGCCTTGCCTATCTGATACAGGTCCATGCGGGACCCGCCCCACGACACGGGTGCCTGGTACCACGCGGCGCTGCCGTTGAGGTTCTCCCACCGGTCCGACGTGGCCCGCTTTTGTGTCCACGGGCTGTCTCGGGGCGCGTGGCCAACGGCGGCGGTGGATAGCAGCGGCCGCGGCGGGTCGCTGAAGAGCTCGGCCGAGTGCAGTTCCGACCTCTTCGCCAGGAACCCGCCGTGGCCGGGTCGCGGAGCGTTCCAATCGACCTTGCTGGCGCGAGGTTCCTGATGGAATTTTTGGGCTGGCGGCGGCAGGGATAGGGCGCTCTGCCCGAAGCAGAGCACGACGAGGAGGAGCAACATGGTTTCTTGGGCTGGCGTCGTCTTCTCCTTGAGGCAAGGGCTCTTATTTGGCTTGAACGGACTCTGTAGACCGAGGATACATAGCCCTCACAGCACTTGAGCGTGTTGTCTTTATATTCGCTGGTGGCCGCGCTTTGACTCACTCACCAATCTCGCTAGAGTTGCTGGCAGAAGGCTTGGATGGTCACTCAGACAGAGACAAGGTGGAGAGCGTGTCGGTTTATCTGGAAGCAGCAGCATCCGGTGCAGCTTGCCCACCCTCACCGTCTTGACTTCATCTCGTTAGAATATCGACACGTCCAAGTTCGTGCGCCGAGCAACGTGCCACATGGCTCGTCCGTGTCTGGAATAGACTCGCTAGACGCAACTGCAGTCTGGTGCCTTGCCCGCTCGGACGGCTAGTGTATTATTAGCCCCTTTTCTGTCACTCTCCTCACGACAGCGTGCACTATAATTGTAGAAAGCAATGCCACGGCGGCCAGTAGGTAGGTGTAGGTTCCAGACCCCGGCTGCGGCTTAAGAAAAATTTGCCCGCCCGTGTAGTCACATCTAATTACCAGCTCAAACTGCTTAAGAGGCTCGACTAGACGCACGTGGTTAGGCAACAGGAGGGTCTTCCAATCACGGACTGAAGCAGTGTAATATGCGTCCCGCGGAGCGACTCACCTCGATTGGGCCGGGTGTCGACGCTTCCGCTGCCGCTCGCCCACCTTTGCACACGCTGGGGACGCTTTTTTTTCTATTAGAGGCGTGCACAGCCTGCCATGGCACGCTTGCAGGCAGTCAAATCTGCAGCAGTCCTTTTAACCTGCCGCCTCCCGGCGCTTGCGGGGCTTTTGCCTGTTTCCAACGGCTGCATTTTCTGGGGTAGCATATCTAAGGTGCCTATGATATCGTGGGGAAGCCCGGCCGCGGGCTGGCCTTGGCTTCAAAAGCGAAAATGGCTCTCGCGCCGTGTCGTGTCGTGTTCTTTGCTGGGCGAGGGAGAAGGCACGCGGCGAGAAGGTGGCCAGAAATAGCCACATTTTTCCTTTTATTAGGGGGGAGCTTTAGGTGTTATCTTGACTCTGTTAACACCCGGTCCAGTTTTCGTTCCGCCTTGACACCGCAGCTGAGAGGTTTTGAAGGAAAGAATGCGGCCAAACTGGAATCAATTCATGAATAAGCCAATACAAGGTGAGTATTTGTGAGAGTCTAGCTTTGAGCATCTTTCATACCGCAGTGACACAGTACTTGCCCTACCTTGATTAAGTGACTTTTTGCTGTCCTTGATTCTCTTCTTGATGCACTGACTCTCGGGGTTTATATAAAATCTAAGCGGCTATTTATTCCAAGCCTGTCAGGTGAACGGTCTCAGGATTGATCGAAACGAGAAGAGGCAATCCAGACCCCTTTACAAACGAGTCTTACTCTCTCGTCCCACGGCCTTGGCAAAGTCGCGCAAAAAGATCCAGCGGGCCTTGTGCACCCAGCCCTGCTTGAGAAAGCCGTTGGCCGTCGACGCCGGGAAGAAGGCCGCGACGTCGAGCAGGGACTCGTCGTGGGCGGCCGCGAGAAAGATGGTGTCGTGGGCGTCGGCCTCCTGGAGCTTCTCGATGGTGCGCGTGAGGTCGTCAAGGCTGTAGTGGAACGACTTCTCGGGGTCACTCGTGGTCTCGTAGAAGGGGCGCTCCCGGCCGTGGGGCAGCAGAGCGGCGAATAGGTCGCCCGGACACGTGCTGCCGGGCGTGTGCGGCGTAAATGGGCTCGGCGAGATGTCGCGCGGCAGAGGCAGGTACTGGCTTGGCCGGATCTCGCCAATGTGGTGGTAGGCGTCGCCGGCCATCAGGATGAAGGACGAGCGAGAGTTGCCGGCACTGTCGCCGTTGCCCGTGACGCGCGCGAGCCCGCACAGGTGCCCGACCGTGTGGCCCGGCGCGTCGAGTAGGTAGAAGGAGCCGTCGCCAAAGTAGTCAATGGCGGCGAAGTGGCCAATGGTCAGCGTTTTCCACTTCGTCGTGTTGCCCGAGTCGCCCTGGGCAAAGTCGAGCTCGACCAGGTCGCGGCCGGAGTAGTCGGTCTCGAGGAACGGCGAGTCCGGGTCGCCGGGGTAGCCGGGCAGCAGCTTGTCTTTGAAGCCCGGGCCGACGATGAGAGCGGTGGCGGGCTCAAAGGTGGCCATGTCGCCGATGTGGTCGAAGTGGTGGTGGCTCCAGACGACGGCCTCGATGGCGGCCGTGTCGATGCCGCCGGCGTCGTCGAGGATCTCGCGCACGCCCCTGTCGACCGTGATCTTCCAGCCGAAGGCCTTGAGCGTGGAGCCTATGAGAGGGCTGAGGTTCTGCCAGTCCTTGCGGATTCCAAGATCGAACAAGAGCGTGCGGCCCGAGTCGCGGTGCTGAACCAGGAAGGCGAAGCACGGCACAGCCAGCTCCTGGTGCCCCTCAATTGGCGGGCCGAAGAACATGGCCGTTGGGATGCCTGTGATGCGAGCCGTCGTGTTGATGATTGAGACATCGACCACGCTGCTGGACGGGGGAATCCGCAGGTCCGGCGGCGACGGGGCCGCTGATGTCGTGTGGTGCGCCATTTTGGCTCAACCTCAGGCCTGAGATTGCTATGCTTGGAAAGGGGTAGGTAGGTAATTAGCTAGGTAGCTAGGTAATTAGCTAGGTAATTAGCTATTGGCTTCGTCTGGGATAGACTGGCTATTGGCTTCGTCTGGATAGACTGACTGTTCCGAAGGCGGGGGATCCCGTTCGGTAATTACCTCTATAGTCGCCCCGATACTTTTTTTTCTGGCCGAGTCCGGATTAGTTCTAGAACCTGAGCAGGGGTGAGGTGAGTTCAAGAATTACCCGGTTGTTGGGGGGCTCCTGAGCAGTTTTATTGTTTGAAGATGGCTATTTCATCAGGAACGAGTTACATGTAGCTCTTGCCAGTATGGTGATGGCTTGGCCAAAGTCTATTTCAAAGGTGTGGAGTTAGCCCCGCAGTTAGCTAGCCGAGTGGAGATTGACGGACAAACGCCGCCATCGAAGAACGCCAGGCAAGAACGAGACGGGAAGACCGGATGCGAACACGCGAAGAGAAGACTGTGCCGCAGCCCGAGCAAAACGTCCTCTCAATGTTGCATCGAGACAACGCAACGAGGAAATAACTCGCCCTGCGGAATATACGCGCCATATACGCCATATACGCATACCATAGTGCTACCTTATTCTATACCTAACGACAACTTTACGCGGCACTCTCGGAGACGAGCGAGTTCTGAGCCTTTCTGAGCCTCAATCTCTGATGAATAGGTACGGTAGTCCGAACAGGGCCAGCTATCCTGCCTGCCTTGTCGACAACGACAGCTTTCGAAACGGAGGCCTAGGGATAGTTCCGACAGCCTGGCGTAGGCATTCACTCTCCGTTTTGAACAGCTTTTAGTTGTTGTAGTCATCCACCTCGCGACTGTTCTTCACCAACGCGGCAATGACGAAGCAGGTTGGGCGGGATTGAGAGAACTGCCGGTGTCTGGTGCTGCATACCAGGGGGTGCGAGAGGAATTCTAGCGTCGCTGCCGGCCCTGTTCCTTCTTCCGAGGTGAAGTCCTGAAACCCGGACGGAGGTGCTGGTGGTTCCGACTTACTGGTGGAGTGGCGAGTCGTGCTCAGCTTCGTTGAAGGGTATTGCCTTTGGAACTGCGTACTTTCTTTGCCAGGTGTCGGGTAGAAAGTTACCGAATGCTGTACACTGTTTGTCGTGAGCTACCGCTGCACCAGCCAGACAAAACAAATGCTAGCTGCCCAGAGGTCTGACTCTGGGCAACAGACCGTTCTCTCATAGTGGGCGACGCCGTAAGGGTAAGTAGTAATGCCATCAGCCTGTCTCTCTTCATCGTTAGTGCACTCGCCGCGCTTGCCGGTATCGGATTCGACGTGATTGGAGGAGCAGTATTCGCCCAAGTTGCTCGTACCAACGGTAAGCCGTGAGACCAGCAAGTACTGTCATTGACCAAGACCACTACTGACAGGCGTCCCTAGGCTTTCTAATTTGTCCCCTGGGCTCTGCCGCCGCGGCTGGGGCTGTCTACAGCGTTATAGTCTATATCCTGCACATCCCGCAGTCGATCGGCTGGATCTCCCTGAGTCGGGACCGCCACCCGAGCTTCAGTGATAGTGGCTAGGGCAAACTTGGCGGGTTTAACGGCTTAGTGTACCCGTGATCGGGACGACTGGAATACCTGTTGGGGAGAAATTGAATGGGCGGGTGGAATGAGATACCGGAACTAGGAAGCTACTTCGAGAGAAAAACAAAACAAGACGAGAAAATGGAAAAAGGAGAAGGGAGAAGGAAAACCCTGTTTCAGCGAATGGTGATCGCCTTGTCGAATCATGTCTTCTGGTTTGCCGCTAATTAAAACGCCGAAACGCAGCGCATGTAAACCGTAAACAGCAAGGTTGGAGGTTCAAGCAGCCCGGTTGTCGGGTGCAACCAATTGCGCCATATCCATTCCTACTTACTAACGTAATTACAGGCTTACAAATTACCTTAGCGGGCGGAATTCGGCCGGGAGGGGGGTCTTGCCATTCTTGTGGCGCTGGCTAGGCAAACTCGGGGGAGCTGCCAAGTAATTAAGCTCACTGCCGTTGGATTGCGAATCACCTCGGATTCCAATTAGTAATTGGCAATGACGGCATTGCCTAAAGAGGCATTCGTGATCGGGGTTTGGAATGTGAATATTAAGATATAAGGCGTCTTTGTTTGCGCATTTTCGTCTCTAACTATCATATTCACAACCTCAAATATTCACAACCTCAAGGCTCCAAGCCGTTCCCGTTCCTCTACCTCAACACAGCTGTTCCGCAACAACCTCCGAGCCCCTTGACCCTTCATCGTCGACCTCCAGCACTGAAGCCATAACCCTAACCCCGGAAGCAAGCTAACGCGCACGCCATGGCACCCATCCGCGTCGCCATCGTCGGCCTCTCGGCATCGGCCAAGACTGCCTGGGCCAGCCGTGCCCACCTGCCATATCTCCTGTCGGCGCGGGGACGAGAGCGCTTCGAGATCGTGGCGCTGCTTAACTCGTCTGTCGACGCGGCGAAGGCGGCTATCGCCGCCTACGAACTACCGGCCACGACGAAGGCCTACGGCGACCCCGACGCGCTTGCCGCCGACGCGGACGTCGACCTCGTCGTCGTCAACACGCGCGTCGACGTCCACCACGCAGTCATCCGCCCCAGCGTGGCCGCCGGGAAAGCCGCCTTCGTCGAGTGGCCGCTGGCCCAGGACGCTGCCCACGCCCGCGATCTGGCCGACCTCGCCCGCGAGAAGGGCGTGCTCGCCAAGAGCGCCGTCGGCCTGCAGGGCCGCCTCTCTCCCGTCGCCAAGGCCGTCCGCGCCGCCCTCGACGCCGGCCGCATCGGCAAGCTGCTTAGCGTCGAGGTCCGCGCCTTTGGCGGCACTAACGACCGCGACGCCGTGCCCAACACCCTCTCCTACTTCCTCGATCGCGACGTCGGCGGCCACATCTACTCCATCGGCGCGGCGCACTGTAAGCCAGGCCCGTCCATCTAGAGGACGCAGGAGAGCAGAAGTAACCTAACGTGTGCGGTTGTAACTGACGTGTGCGGTTGTCAACTGACGTGTGCGGTTGTAAACTGACGTGTGCGATTGACTAACGTGTGCGGTTGTAGTGATCGACCTCGTGCAGTCCGTCGTCGGTGAGGTGGAGTCGCCGCAGGCGCAGTTCACGTTGCAGCGGCCGACCGTGACGATCAAGGACGCGGCGACGGGGGCGGCCATCGGGACTGCGCCGTCCAACGTGCCGGACCTGATCCTGATCAGCGGCACGCTGGCGCCGTCGGCGATCGTGGCGCCGCACGCCGCGTCCCTGCACTACCGCTACCGCCGCGGCCAGCAGTTCCCCGGCGACCCGGCGCTGACGTGGACGCTGGCCGGCGAGACGGGCGAGATCAGGGTCACGTCGGAAAAGTCGGCCACCATCTCCGTCATCAACGACTTCCCGCCCACCGTCGAGCTGTACGACTTCGCTACCGGCGCCGTCGAGCTAATCTCCTGGCAGTGGCTGCCCTGGCAGGAGGAGCTGCCCATCTTCGCCCGCGGCATCGGCGCCATATACGAGGCTATTTCCGAGGGCAAAGGTGGCCAGGTCACGTTTGAGGACGCGCTCAAGAGGCATGAGCAGCTCGAGGGGCTGCTGGCGCCCTGGAAGGCGTGATTGTAATTGGCATGCGGCATATCTCAGTTTGGGATGGCAATGAGATGAGACGAGCGAATGATTTTCAATTTTCATCCAACAAGTACAAGAGCTCAGGAAGAGAGAAAGGAAAGGAGGAGAATGTCTTGCTTATTTACCCTGGCAACCTATTTTTGGCATGGTAATACCTAAACAATAGTCAACATGCCCCTTTTGCCTCTCACACCCCCAAGAACCCCCCCTAAAACGTCTGCGTACCAACCCACACGGCGTCCGAGGTGCAGGTAAACACGTCGCTGTTGAAGTTGCGGTCGCACGCCGCCTGCATGAACTCGACGCCCACGGCATCGAACGAGCTGATTATTCACGGCAGCTTGTCAGAAAAAAAAAAACAAGAAAAACACCAAGTCACGGATCGCAGGCATCATCACTTACGAATCGCCACAGTCCCAGTGCTGCGACACCTGTACCATGTTCAGCACGGGGTCGAAGGTGAACGCGGCCGTCGTGCCGGTCGCGGCCGCTGCCGACTTGCACGTGCCCTCGAAGGTGCCATTCTTCTGGCCTGAGGGCGCGCAGCTGAACGCGCTGCCGTCGGCGAGGTTGGTCAGCGCAAACGACGGGCCCGTGTCGGCGGGCAGCGGGCGCGTCGAGTCGGGCGCCGACGACCCGGGAGCCATCTGGTACTGCCGCAGCCACTTGTCCAGCCGCCACGACTGGTACGTCTTGGCGCCGGCCTGGCACGACGTCGGTGTCGTGGCTGCGCCCCCCCCGACGGTCGTCCTGAGTGTCGTGCTGACCCGCAGCGTCGGCCGGTCGCCCGTGCTCGTGCTCTTGGGCACGCAGAAGCTCGACCCGTCGGCTGTCGTGCAGTTGAAGTCGAGGCTCAGCGAGCCCGTGGCCAGGCCGTCAGATCTGGTCGGGACTTGTTAGCATCTTTCGCCTTTGACCTTTTCTCTGCGTGTAGATAGTATTTCTGCGTGTAGATAGGATCTCTGCGTGTAGATAGGATGTATGACATGTCTAAAGAGCAACGCACCCGCGCTTGTCGGAGCAGGCAAACGTGTGCGACAAGTAGACCGTCTTCTTCTTCCAGTCGACGGCAAACGAGACGGTCTTGTCGGCGCCCGAGCCCGCGCCGGTCCAGATGCAGTCGGACCACACAATGTTGGGGCCGCCCTCGAACCAGCCGGCCCAGGTCTCGGGCCACTGCGCCACGCACTCGTACAGCGGCGTCGAGCTCGTGCCCAGGCTGGCCGCGATCGTCGACAGGTGGCTGCTCTTGTTCGGGTCCGGTCCGTCGTACCGCACCTCGATGAAGCGGTACTGGAACGTCTCGGACGCCGCCGTCGCGCCGCACACCCGCGCCCCGCTAGCCCCCGGCGCCAGCCACGCCGCCGCTACGGCTAGACTACTCACTGCTGCTACGCCGTTTCGCATCGTGAAGCTGAGCTTGGGCGGTGGGAGAGAGAGGGATGGGGGGTTTCGACCATAGCATGCACAACGCGAGAGGAGTGCTGGTCGCGGACAAGGGTCAGATCTCGTCCAACGCGGCCCTGGCGTCCTGGGTACCGGGTATATAACACATGGGATGGGACTTGCACCACCGTGTTTGCAGTCACGGCCGCGGCAGCGGCCGAGTGAGGGGACAGGCGAGCTCAAGCTCGGCTCATCCGTCATCTCGGCGGCTGCTCGCAAACAGAATTTGCCATGGGTTTTGCCATTGGCCGTACCAGACCCGGACATGGCTGTTCCCACCTGTGCCCAGGGTGCTGGATTCGCTTTCCGAGCTCAGCCAGCCAGCCAGCCAGCCAGCCAGCAGCCAGCCAGCCAGCCCTATTTTGCCGTCTGGCAAGTGGCCATCCGATGACACCGTCCGTCCCCTTCCTCGCCCGCCCGCCCTTGAAATAATACCCTGATCGGGGTTTACCGGCACTCTCCCTCCCTCGAACACGGGACAGGCGCAAGCCCACGAAAAAATAAAGATACCCACCAGCGGCCCACCGTCGAGTCTTCTAGAACACTCAGCTTATCTGGGCTGTACATGGTATCGTGTGGGAATGGGGGGATCCAGCCTGATTTTTCCGTCTTCAACCCGTCCCGGGACGCAAGCGCGGCGGCCTGTGGTGTGTGTGATCTAGTGCGGCGAGGGTGAGGTGGGCGGGAACAGGAATTGCATTCTCTCTGCATCTCGTGTTTAGCCCGAATTCTACCAGATTGCCCCGTGGCAGCCGGGCCGCTGCCCTCGCTGTGCGACGAAGGCGGGGGAACCTTCGACGCTATATTGATTCGGAAGATTAAACCGCCCACAGAGAGAAAGAGAATGATGAGCATCGTCCCCCACCGCCGAACACCCCCCCTTCGCATCTGCCGGCACCAAGCCAATATGCGCCAGCATCGCCTCTGCCCAGCTCGAGGGCGGGCAGCGGCATTGGCACTGGCTTTATCCTGACCGGGATGCCGTGCTAATGATTAACAGTCGGCGAATTAGTGGATTGGCGAGGGAGTCGGGTCGTGATAAGTGACGGCCGGGGTGTTTTGATATCTCTGTTTCCCCTGCCTGCCCGTCCACCAGTGTTCCGGGTTCGTCGCAAAGCCTGTCTCGGTCTGCAGCCTCTCTTTCCTTCCCCTCTGTCCACCAGGCTCAGCAGCACCAGGATAGCCCGACATCTCTCGTGTCAAACCTGTCAAGATGCAGTGGAAGACGGCCCTTGGTCTGGCGGCGCTGGCGCAGGCGGCGGCAGCGCAGCAGATGATCCGGTTCGGGTGCTCTCAGCTGCTGATCGGCCGGCTGGATCCGCTGGTGAACCCGGGGGCACCAATGTCGCCGCACGTCCACCAGATCGTCGGCGGCAACTCGTTCAACGTCAGCATGGACCCGGCCACGCACGACCTGGTCAAGGACTCGTCGTGCACGTCGTGCACCTTTTCCGAGGACTTCTCCAACTACTGGACCGCCGTCATGTACTTCCGCGCGCGCAACGGCACGTACAAGCGGGTGCGTCAGTTCCCCAACGCCGGCCTCCGTACCGACGGCGGCGTGACCGTCTACTACATCCCACCGTACGACGGCAAGACGACCGTCACGGCCTTCAAGCCCGGCTTCCGCATGCTCGTCGGCGACGCCGGCCTTGACACCCCCAAGGGCATGCAGCGCCAGCTGTGCCACCGCTGCCTGTCGCAGTCGGGCGACCGCGGCGGCGCCCCCTGCACCGGGTCTGACACGCAGACCTTCCCGCCCCGGTCGTGCGACGGCGGCATCCGCACCACCATCACCTTCCCCACCTGCTGGGACGGCAAGAACACCGACAGCCCCGACCACAAGAGCCACGTCGCCTACCCGGCCACGGGCTCGTTCGAGTCTACCGGCACCTGCCCGCCCACGCACCCCGTGCGCCTACCCCAGCTTATGTACGAGGTCATGTGGGATGTAAGTTCTCATGTCTAGATCTAGCCAAACCCTATAACCACGTTGCTGACACAGACACCCTCTGCAGACCCGGGCCTTCAACGACAAGTCCATCTGGCCCGAGGACGGATCGCAGCCGTTTGTGTGGAGCACGGGCGACCAGTAAGTCTTGTCCCTAGAGCACATTAGCTGCGATTAGCGGCGTGTGGATACTGACGTTTGCACAGCGACGGATACTCGCAGCACGGCGACTACGTGTTTGGGTGGAAGGGCGACTCGCTGCAGCGCGCGCTCAACGCGCACTGCGGCAACGCCGTGTGCAAGGAGCTGCGCACGCAGACGTCCGAGGAGGCCCAGCGCTGCACGCTGCCGCAGAATATTGCCGAGGATGTTGACGGATGTGAGTTTTTTTTTCTTTCTTCTTTCTTTTCTTTCTTCTTTCTTTTCTTTCTTCTTTCTTTTCTCTCAAGACGGGAAATGGAAACATGTTACTAACAAAACCAACCACGATAGGGCTCGTGAAGATTCCCGGCATGGACATGTGATTGGTCGATCAATAACGGGATACGCATTTCTGGTTTCATGTCTTTCGTGTCGTTGCCGTGGCCTCCTAGATTCCGTTTTGCTTACATCATGTCGCGCTTCACGGCTATTGCTCTCGTCACTGGCCCAGTTGACACCTTATACCTCGCAGCCCCTGCCCAGGGACTTGCTGTGATGTCACAAAAGATGTGACTGAAGCTGGTCGAATGAAAAGGCCCAAAACTGAGACCTGCTTGTAAAATACCGAGCCCAATAAATCGAGCTATAACCCCTATGCCTTGAACCAATCTTTGTCTCTAGACCCTTCAAGATGGCGGCCTCAACATTTGAGCCACAGCCGAAATGTCGCCAAAACGGGGTGATTTTATGCAAAACATTTGAGCCATCACCGTCGCAGATAATTAGCTTCTACGCCACACTCGGAACGCTTGGGCTTCGCCGGGGCTTGTGTTTCCCATCTCTAGGTGCTCGATAGCCGTACGGTTTTCGGCCGATGCAGAGGTATCTGGGCCATGTTCAACCTCGCCAGCCACATTATCGATAGGGTTCAAGGAAGGGGTGGAGAGGGAGGGGGCACTTACACGGGAAAGTAGGCCTGGAAAGGTCACGTCAAAATTAGCGGTTGCTCTAGTTTGACCATCGAGGGATAAAAAAGAAAAGGGCGGATGGGATGGGGTCATCATAGTAGTTAATCCATAATTACCATGAAAGCTGGGTTGTCAGCTTCAGCGCGGGCTTGGGCTACGAGGAGAGCAATATCTGTGCTCGACATGCTGTTTCGCCGTCAGCATACAATGCTTGGATTGAGGCTGCAGTGGCTTTATTGTCAGCTGTCAGACCCACCCCAGCATCGTTGACAATGGGTATTCCGCTAGCGAGGACAGGAGGCGCTGCGTGTTCAGTCGGTTTGCATCGCCGACCGCCCTGTCTCGGGCATCTATTTCGTCACCGTGTCAGCCCGCAACCGCCAGGCGCCAACTGATCACCTTACCATTGGACCAGCCGCACAGGGGCAATGTGATTAAACGTGACTCGACCTCGACGAATCCTGCCTCAGTCATCCGGCTCCGCAAGCGGAGTGGCGCCCGAGGATCTTTGTACGGTTGCGTACTTTCTAGATATCTCTGAGACCACACTTGCAGCGCGTGATCTTGTTCCCTCAATTAGTGCACGCGCAATGGGGGGGCCTCTGCATGACATACTCTTAGTTAGTGTTCCGTTATCAGATTGGGCATTGAAATAGACTTCAACCATCTGACACCAGCCCCCTGGCCGTAGGACGCGTAATATGTCTTTCATGTAGCCGGCCCAACGGTTTGAATGGATACCGCCTGACATCATTCTGCTGTGCACCATATCAAAGTGGTTGGCCGGGAAGGTTGAGCTGTCTGGTCGTTAGTGCTTGATAATATCAGGCTGGTGCTGTGGAGATGCTGATCCGGTGTCTTACGGGCTATTGAGGTCGTCCACTTGCAGATCCAGATTGGGAGGAAGAACATTTGGAATCGGGTACGGGTACACATCTATTCCAATAACCTACGTTGGGGATACCGTCAGCTGGGCGAGGGCGGGCTGGAGGAAAGGCGACGGAGACAACAAACCTCGCAATTGGGGTACTGCTCGGCGACACCTATTGCCCACGACCCACATCCATAGCCGCAGTCTAGTATTCTTCGCGGACGTGGCACAGGAGGGAATATGAGTCTGTTATCGAACATCGCTTCAAAGACGCGGTGCATGTAGCTGAGGCGCTCAACTTCGTCCTGGTTGCCAGCATGAATCATTAACGCGGATATGGGACAGAAAAGGACGGAAGCTAATTACTCACTTCATCGACTGGAGCAAAATATATGCCATTTTCCACCGCATAGCGTTGGTACTGTCGGCCGTTATGGTCCACGGTCTCCAGGTGCGTCGCGTCGACGGGTATGGTGTCGGGGGCGTCATTGGACCTGACAGAAAGGGAGAAAGACTGAGTCGCGCCCTCGCGGGCGTGAAAATTGTCTGGCCATTGTGCAGCGGGGGCCGGGGGAGCTTCCGTCTGAGCCGCAATTTGGGTTGACTTGCCGTAAGCGTACTCGAGTTTGCAGCTGGAGCTAATTTTACGACAGTATGATAGGTTGTTAGAGGTTTGAATCGGGTTGAATGCGTCGGCGGGAAGGCGTCTGAAAGCAAGCTGGATATTTGCGACGGGAGAGCTTAGCTGGTCGAGTTTGTTGTGAATGCCGGCAACCTGGCCACGAACGCTGACAGACGGTGTATTTTGCTTCTTTCGTACAAGGCGGCTATTGGCCTCTGTAGACTCCTTTACGCCCTCGAGTATCTGGGTATGGGTGGTCATCAATGTTCTGAGATCGTCAAGTAAGGAATTGGCTGTCTGAAGGCACTCCGAGGACTGAGCTTGATCATTGCGGCTACTTTGAGAAGCGTGAAGAATGTCCTGGAGATTATTCGTGACGGCGAGCAAAGATTCCGACTGCGTGTCCATCATGACTGCGAGTTTGCTGTCGAGTGTTTGGGACAGCTTGGTTTCCAGCGCGGACTCGATGGCGACCGAGACGCGAGACTGAATCTCTCCGGGTAGCAAAAGGGTTTGCTGACTATCGGGAATAAGCCATTAGGTTCCATGTGAGCGCGTGAGCCGCCTTAGAATGACAAGTATGCATACACGATTTGCTGGCTGAGTATTACCAGGATTGCGGTCAGAGGCCCGGCAATCCTGTCACGCAGCTTCCTGACCTCTTTTGAGGCACTGAGCGCCCATTGGAGTTTGCGAGGGACGGAAGCAAGTCGGGACTTGGAGGACGCGGCTCCAAGGCCATTGTCGAAAGTCTTGCTGATATGAGCCAGGAACGATTGCAATGGCCTGTCAATCTGCTCGCAAAGTTCGTGCAGGCCGTCGGAATGTTCCACTTCCAGGGCCTGAGAGCCAGCCTGGAAGGCGTCGAGGTGCCTTAGGGTGGCTGAAAGAGTCTGCAGAAATGCCGAGTCTTGTTGATAGTCCGACGAAGCGCCCCCGCTGTCTTTCAGCGCGATGCGGACCTTGTTGAGCAGCGACGAGGCTGCGACAATGTCGCCTACCGACCACCCAAACGACATGATCAGGATACTAAAGGGCTGATGAAGGTGACCAGATTCTCGAGGGAGGTAAACTATTAAACGAAGTGGTAATGCGCGCGCGCGAGAGAGAGAGAGAGAGACGTCCAACTGCGTTGTGGATGCGCGTTTCGTGGAGAACCAGGCCAGGCTCTGTCTGGCCGCCCAATCTGCCGGCGAATATGCCTCGCCGTCGGCCATAACGGCGGGGTTGAGTGGGCGGTGTGCGCCAGAGCCTGACTGCTTGTGTGTTTGGGTCAATTACTTACCTAGTCTAGCATAGACCCAAAGCTTCCGCACGGGCCTTAATTATGATTCGTTGCGGTAAGAGCGAGGAGCATTTGCAGCAGCTGTTCTGGAAGCTGCGTCTAGTCTCGTCCGAGTTGTGGAAACTGCAACCCGGGATGCAATATTGCGCAGAAGCCTAAACGAGAACCTAATAAGGCTAGCAAGGTCTGGTTTTTTTGGGAGCCACTGAAAGTCGCAGCTTCAATTAATACGCGTTTTTGCAATTAGTTACTGTCGTTTGACCAAGTTCTGAACCCACTTCTTCTCGATACATTCTTTTTCGCGTTTATTACGAAAAGGTACGCGAAAATTTTTTAGACGATATTAAATATCCTCTGGTTTGAAATTGAATCGATATTTAACAAATCGCCTAGGTGCGAGCTGGAGATGCGGCTTGTCGTATTCTTCCCGATTTCAAGATGTCGCCCACTTTTGAGCCACTTTTGAGCCACATTGTCAAGTCACATACCTGCATATCCCTGCATATCCCTGCATATCCCTTCAATCGTTACTTTCAGCCCTGATCCCTTTTTTCGGGCTCCCGGACTTCCGAATGCCCTCTTTTTTCTCCCTTGCTACGGCTGAGTCCCTTACGTCGTACGACTGAACAGACTCTTGAACTAGGTTTCCTTTGCCCTTTTCTTGGAAGCATAAAAGGCCTTCTTTCCTATATTATTAGATTGGAGGGGGACAGACAATTCAAGACCCTTCAAGCCACTGTCAACTTTGATCACGGGCCAGACAAGATAATAGGAAATTTTGACCAGCGTACCCAAAACGAAGGTCAAGGGGTGTAGAGAGCATGGACGCTCACCTATCAAGTGAGTTAGTTTTAGTTAGTTTGATCTACTAGGTAATGACTCGTGATTCTTGTCTTGCTCCCCCTCTTATTAACCGGACTTAATTGCCACCTCAACTACGTCCGGGGTATTCTTTCTTTCGAATTAGATGTGGAAAGACGGGCGAGACGTGATTGAGCTCGGTTATGAGATACAGCTTTCTGAACGGCCTTTTTATGCTCTTTTATATTGGGTCTACTTTGCCTACCACGGATCGGCCCCAGCTAGCGACCAGACTGCCAGACCCGCTTCGTATGTGTCGCACCGGGCACCAACCTCGACCCTCAAGAGCCAAAGTCGAATTACCAGATAGACTGCGGGTTGGAGAAGAGATTCAGGGGGTCGATGATGTGCTTCAACGTGCTCAGGCGCTCGTACAGCTCCGTGCCATAGTACAGGTTGTGGGCCTGGGTGGAATTGTAAGTGGGGTCGACGTAGTTGAGGTAGGCACCGAACCCAAGCACCTCGCTGGTCACGGCGTCATTGAGCCCGTTGATGAAGTCGAGGCCGGCCGAAGGGAAGCTGCCGTTAACCGCGACGTTGCCGTCTGTATACACCCCAATATTAATCACGAATCCACCAGGGAAGACGACAGGGGAAGCTCACAATTTTGAATCACCCACAGGTCGTCATGACCGCTGTATGCGGCAAACGTTTCATTCTTGCGCGTAATGGCGCTTCCGGGTCCGCCGTACAGGTTGATAATAGAGAACCAGTCGACGGGAGCTTTCGACCCCACGCCATTATCGAGAATATACTGGAAAAACTTACGGATGGCCTCGTCAGAAAACGGCTCCGTCGTCGTGACGCTCTTGGCGAAGAAATTGTCGCGGTCCGTGACGCCGTGCAGCGGGACCTCCAGCGTTGGCGCGCCGCCCAGCAGCGTCAACGACGTGATCCAGTCGACGGCCTGCACCGAGCTGTCGCTGGCCGGCGGCCACGGCAGCTGCGCAAGCAGGGCCGGCGCGACGGTGGCGTTGAAGGTAGCCACGGGGCCAAAATAGGTGCCGTGCACGCTGAACGACGCGCCGTTGCCGCCAATGGTGACGCCGAACCCCAGCTTGCCGTCGACCACGGATCCGTTTAGCGCGAAATTCTGCACTCCCTTGAACGCCAGCACGCCCGCTTCCGCTGATGCCAGCGCCTGTGGGAACGAGAAGCTCCAGTTGACCACATCGGGCGGCGCCGGTGATGTCTGCAGGTAGAAGTTGACCACGACGCCAAACGCGTCGGCGGCTCCACGCAGGGCCTGGGTAGTGCGTCAGCATACTTATTTGCGGGTGGATATCCAAGAGTGAGGTGAGAATGGGGGGAGCTACTGACATAGTACACCTCGGGATACGACGTGTCGTTGGCATGCACGTAGGTGCCGTTGGCGAGCACGACGTCGAGGCCGACGATCTGGTCCATGGCCAGGCCGAAGGCGCGCGACGAATAGCCATAACCTCCGTGGGTGAAGTGGCCGCCGATGCCGACGCCAGGGCAGGTCCCGTGGGCGAGGGCGCGCAGGTTGCGGTTGTTGTAGATGGCCAGCGCCAGGTTGCCCAGGCGCACGCCGCCGCCGACGACGGCGATGCCCGTGACCTTGTCGAGCGTGACGGCGTTGAAGTTCTCGAGGTCGATCATCAAGATGCCGTCGCGGCCGCCGGTGCTGTACGACGCGTACGAGTGGCCGCCCGACTTGGGCTGCACGGGCACCCGGGCCTTGGCTGCGCACCCCACGCTATTCGAGATGTGCTGGGCCGAGGTGGGAAGCGCAATGGCTGCCGGCTCGTACTGCAGCCGCGAGTTGAAGGTGGTGGCATACTCTGTCCAGTTGGGGTCCGTCTCAACGTAGTACGGCACCTGGTGGTAGTCGAGACACGTTTTCAGGGCCGTTGTTGCGTTGAATCGAGACGTGCCGTAGTTGGCGTCGTATCCAGGGGGGCCTGCCAAGGGGACAGCAGCACAGCTACCTGCTAGTGCTAGAGAAAGCAGCATCTGCTGCAGCCTAGACGGAGACATGGTGTTATTACTCGGTCTCTTCCGGCCGACAGAGGGCAGCTTCTCAGGTACGATGGAGGGTGGTCAAAGGATCGGGGTTGAGAGAAAAGCTTGGGAGACGCACGATCAAAGAAAGCTCGGGGAGAGGGTGAAGGGCTCTTTAAGATAGCCCCGAGATGCTCATCACCGGCGTTGATCTACACCGCCGGAGAAAAGGCAGCGCACAGCTGAATCCCATGTTCGAATGCCCGTTTCCGCGTGCCACCCGGTCTGCTGCCCGATGACGTGTTGTCACTGTCGTCTGCTGTCGCGGCGTTTTGGGGCTTCGGCGGTGGGGCTATATGGGCAGACAGACAAAGACAGCGTGATCCTGTTGTTGGGGGCCGATACGCGATGAAAGCGGAACCGCGAGAGCCTTTCGTATAGGCCACGAACGTTTTGCTGTTCCCGGACACAAAGAGAACAGGGTCCCGGCGGATGGGTGTAAGAGCGCAACCCAAAGGACGACACCTGGCGTGCGTGCTAATTCCAGCTGTACTCTATCAACACCAATACGCAGGCACCCACAAAACCACAGTGGCACAGAGTCTCATTCGCTGGCCGCAGTACTCCCTAAAAGCTACGCACCAGTGGAATTCCGGCCTAGCCAGGTTATCCACCCTGCGCGTCAGCCCTATGTGCGGCGGCGGGCCAAGCCATGGTGCCAGCGTCTCGGCGAGGTACGTGACACAGGTCAGCACTGAAGTACTCGAGTATGCCGGCAGGGGACTTGTGCGGAAGCCCCGGAAGACTTGCACAGTACGAAACGTGATTCCTATAGTCTTGTAACCCTATGCTGATTACGCACCCCTCGCCATTTGTTTCTGTTTCTGGAGACGGAGTGTCTTATATCGGGGCTGTGGGCTCCGAGGGTGGTCGTCTTACAGCTAAAACGTGCGGAGGATTGGCATCCCGGGCCGGTGGGTGAGACGGCCCCCTCGTGTTGCGAGGCCGAGCATTTCAACTGGCTGGGACATACGCCCTCGTCTCCTGCGATTCCCGCTGTTTCGAGGGCCGAGTCACCCGTAACTAGTCGAAGTACGCTTCTTGGCAAAGGGATTTATGCTTATTTTTCTCAAGCATCAGTCGCATGAGTTCCCGTTCTTGGCACTGCCCTCTCGTGTTTTCGGTTCTGACAAGTGTTTCTGGTTCTGACAAGTGTTTCTGGTTCTGACAAGTGTTTTCGGTTCTGACAAATGTTTCCTCCACCGGCGTCTTAAAGAGCCACCCAACAATGCCCTATAGCCAAAAGCGGCCAACAGTCAGCGCCAATATCAGACGTTTTATTATTCCACACGAGCCTGTAGGATTTGTCCCCCGGTCTTGATTTACGTCGGATGACAAGAAGCACGCCCCTGACTGCTGTTGCATTATTGTCTAAGCGGCCCCCATGTTCACCGTCGCGCCGGTGCAACGTCTTCGACTAGAACTACCAACTGTCTGGCTCAACCATGGTTCCCATGTGGCCGAGCTGCAAAAATGGCCAGCTGCGGCGAGCCGTTTTCGTATTTCCTTATTCCCGTCAATGGGGCCCTCGTACTAACTCAGCCCAGTAGTCAGGCCGAGCCATTTGATCCGAGCGCGCCTGATTGAAAGATATCAGTCGAAAGATATTAGTCGAAGATATTAGTTCTAGTCTAGTTCATTGTTTTCTTCTCATATTATAAAGGCAACATTTGATGGGAAGTAGCTCTCTCATGCCCGTAATAAACTCATTGTTTACCCATGATTTAGAAACAAAGATGTCATATTATCACGTGTCGTTGTGTGCAAGTCTAGAGCAACTAACTCGTGTCGTGTTCTGTGACACGAGTAGATCCAGAACAGGGTTCCCCAGATCTGCAAGTGCCGCCACAGGCTAAAGGTCGACAACCAGGTCCAATGGCCTGACGACGAGTTAATGTAATGCTGGGCACGTCAGGCGCGGAGAGGGCCGCGCTGGTCACGATGGCCCAGGCCATATAGCCGCAATATGGCAGGCAAATGTCCCGCGTCGCGGCAATTGAAATGCATGCCCACGCGCCAGACCACCGGCACAACGCCACCCGCACCCAACATTGGGGGGGGGGGACAGAAATCCGGCCCTTTATATACTTGCAGTTGCGGCTCACACACTGGGCAACGTCGACGTGCAAAGGCCAGCCGGCAACGCCTGAATCAGCCATGGTATCCCTGGCCAGTTTCGTGTTGAGAGCGGCCGTGGGGCTCGCGCCGTTTGCCTCGCTGTCGACGGCCGGCCTGCTGCGGGGAGAGGTTGTTGAGAGGGACGAGCAGGCGCACCGGCCGGAGCGGGCGGCGTTCCGCGATGCCGTCACCACGCACTACGTGCCCATGCGGAGCCACGTGGCGGCCAAGCCGCAAGGCGGCGCCAGGCTGCGGCGCCGGTCAAACGCCCCGGCCAACCTCACCAACGTGCACGACATCTACTACATCATCGATCTGCTGGTCGGCAACCAGACCATCCCCGTCAGCGTCGACACGGGGTCCAGCGACACCTGGATGGTGCAGCATCCGTACCAGTGCGTCTCGTACTTCTGGACGCCCGGCGGGGTATGTGAACCTCGTCCACACCGTGACCGTGACTGTGACCGAGGGGGGGCACGGAGACAGTGACAAGCGAAGATGGTGACAGGCGAGAGCTAATCCGGCCTGGCGTCGCGCAACAGACGCAGCCAGACTGCGGGCTCGGCGACGGGTTCGCCGGCAACCTGTCGGGCGGCAACATCCCCGACGTCATCTTCGGGCGCAGCTACACGGACGGCACGTTCGTGCAGGGCTTCTTCGGGTACGAGAACGTGAGCATCGGGGGGCTGACGGCGGCGCACCAGCGTGTGGCCATCGTCAACCTGACGTACTGGTACGGCGACGGGCGCACGTCGGGGCTGCTGGGCCTCGGCTACCCCTTCATGACGAGCCTCAACGGCGCGTCGCAGGAGCAGCCCATGTACGACCCCGTCTTCACCACCATCTGGAAGAACAACCCGATCCTGCCCCTGTTCAGCATCGCCCTGTCGCGCGACGACGGCCACAACGCCACCACGGGCACGGGCTCGGGCACGGGCACGGGCGTCAGTGCCGAGACGTCCTTCCTCGCCCTCGGCGGCCTGCCGCCCGTCAGCTACGACGCCGGCACCTGGGCCCGCACCCCCATCAAGCCCGTGTCCGCCATGATCGACCAATGGGGCATCGACTCGCCCGAGCAGGGCCTGTACATCATCGACGCCGAGGCCTACGTCTACGGCATCACCAACAAGACCGCCGGGGTCGCTAACAACACGGCCGCCGTTGGCGCCGACGGCCTGTCGAAAAACGCAACGCAGTTTCCCATCATCGTCGACGTCGGATCGACCCTGACGGTCCTGCCCAAGAGTTTGTCTCCCCCCTTCCACCACCCCCCACCCCCTGCCACAACAGCAGAGAAAAACAACAAAGAAACGTGCTAACAATGAACGCTTAACCAGAACTCTGTGAGGACGTGTACAACGCGTTCAGCCCGCCAGCCGAGTACCTGCACACGACGGGGCTGTTCTACGCGCTGTGCAACGCGACGGTGCCCGAGTTCGGCGTGCAGATCGGCGGGCAGACGTTTTTCGTGGCTGCGCAGGACCTGCTGCGCCAGACGGCGCGCGACCCGTCGGGCGACTACTGCCGCGTCGGCGTCACCGACGACGACTCGGGGCCGTGGGTGCTCGGCGTCACGTTCCTGAACAACGTCGTCGCCGTGTTCGATGTCGGCAACCGCGAGATGCGCTTCGCTGCGCGGCAGAAGTATTAGTGCTGGCTAGCTAGCGTAGAGCTGGGGTAGTTCTGCTTAGGCTAGCCTGGTAGTCTCGTTGGAGCGGCAGTGAAGTGGCATGGGGTGGTTGATCACCCGGTGTGATGACGCATTCGAGGACAAAGGGTTGGGGTTGCATCCAACGGCTTGAAATGACTGTATATTCATGACATGGAAACTAGAAATCATGAAATATGTCAGCGAACAAGTCCAGAATTGCACAGTAGACTCTGCCGTCGTCTAATGAGCTTGCTTCGGGGTCGAAATGGATCTTGCTGCTGGCTCGGTCGTGGATGAGTCAGTGCTAGAAGAGGCGGTAATCCTGTTGAACACGCTCAGGTTGTCCCACGTCAATCGCGCCCGTCTTGGTTCGGGTTCGTTGCTGTTGTCGTCGTCAATCTGCCGTTTCCGCGACTGTGTGTCTGCAGGACAGTTTCGGATCTCCTACCACTCTGTGCTCCGTCCTAGCTCCTCGTCTCTCTCCCAAGTGGTCTCTCTGAGATGCAGCTGACAGTTCTGCACACTATGGCGTCTGACCACCGTAAACTGGCGTCTGGCGTCTGAAAGATGCCCCCTGCTTCAGTTTTGCGGCACCCCGTCTTGGTCCCCGCAAGGTTATTAGTGTTTGGTGAAGGCGGGTAAGAGCATCTTGAACAACACACCTTTGACAGTATCTACCTTTGGATCGGCACTTCAAGAGATTCCGGCAACCCACATGCCCATCTTGGAGGTCCGTATTTGCATCCAATCAAGCCGAGAGTAGTGGGATCTGGGCTGTTGACGAGCGTCTCCTCGTGGAAGTTCGCCTCTGGCACCATGGTAAGCATGGTGACGTACAGGGACCATACATCCATTTTCGGAATCTGTTTGTACATGGGCAGGCCCCAATTGCCAGAATGCACCTCAGGGGCGGAATATATCAGGGGCGGAATATATCAGGGGCAGAATATATCAGGGTCCCGCATATCGTCTGCGCATGCGCCTGGAAATTAGCAAGACTGAAATCGGCGAGTTGGAAATTAAACGCCTGGTTCCCTTTCAAGTCAAAAAGGATGTTATCGGGTTTGACGTCTCGATGGATAGACAGGGCGACCCACTTATGCAATCGCCCCCCTTTGCAATCGCCCACCACCATCACCGCCCACCACAAGAATCGTCAAAATACTCAATTGTAGGCCAAATTCTATAGAAAAAAGTACATTCTAGTCCTCGTCAATCGCCCTATATTGCTCAAGCCCACGGGCGATAATTTCTTCAGCTTCCTGGACCAAGTGTGCAGGCCTGGACTTGGTCTTCTTGGATCTCTTCTTGGGAGGCTTTTGACTAGCTTTTTGAGCCTCGTCAATTTCGTCAATAGTAGCAAATCTGTCGTTGGCGTCTATTTTGACCCTTTTACGTGAATAGGGTTTTTTGGATTCCAACTCGTTGGCTAAGAAGTCGTTTTTTGCCTTCAAAGCAGCGATTTCCGTATTCTTCTGATCAAGTGCCCTCCCTACCTTCGTCAACATAGTCCTGACGACCCTATCTCGGGGACTAGTGGCCGTCTTGGCTAAGCCCTGTTGCCTGCGGACGTCGTGACTACCTTGAGGTGTATTGAAGAGGTCGTTCCGGGTTGCCCGGGTCTTCCGGGGTGGTGTGGATGGGGGGACTGGTTTTGCAGCTTCGTCCCGGACCGCCTCGGGGTCGTCAAGTATACAAGCGGGTTGGAAAGGCCAGATTCCAGTCTTCCGGAAGCCGGATATGATATTCCGGGCTGACATACCCTGCGCTGAGGCGTCCCGGTAGCAAAAAAGGAAGCGTTGCTTGTTGATAGGTGCTGAGGCTGTGAAGGAAGCCAATTCGAGGGTTCTTTGGCGAAAATAGGACTTCAAAGCCGAAAAGACAGACCGGTCGAGTGGCTGGGTCTTGTGAGAAGTGTGTGAAGGCAAGTATAGTAGGTGTACGCGGTTTCTTTTAGCTAGAAGCATAAAGTCTTCGTCGATATGAGTGGCGTGTTCGTCGAGGACCAATAGGCGCCAATCGTCCTTCCTTTGGGGCTTTGTTTGAGGAAGATATACTTCCTTGAGCCACATAAGAGCTATTTTGCTATTGCTCCAGCCTGTGGGCGTACAGTCGTACTTCCAGGTCTTGAGGACTGGTAGTTCCTTGAAGTTATCCGGGAAGTGTTGGCCTTGTAGATTTTCACCCGTAAAGATCACTACGGGCGTCAATCGCTTGCCCTCAGCGGTACCACACTCGATAACACTGACCCAGGTCGTTGGATCAGGGCCAGTCAGGACTGCCCGAGATGTGAGGGCATCGCCAATCACCTTCCCAACCGTAGTTTCCGTCTCTTGCATGCCATGTTCGTCTATATTGGCGATATTCGCAGGTACCAGCTTCTTGTCCTTAATTACAGCTTCCAAACGATCAAAAAAATGCTGGAATCTCTCACGGGTAGATCCTTTGACTCGAGACCGTTCTAATAAGGTACCTAACTTGGCCTTTACCCTGGGGTTGCGGGTAAAAAACCGATCTACCCAGCGCTCACCAACTCGCCCAGGGAGCCCGGCTTCGTTCAGGATCGCTTGTGCGAATCGTCTTAGCTGTGCACGACTTGGGGCACGCCCTGCAGCTTCCTCCTCAAGAGCCCACTCGGCGACGAAGGCTTCCTGGCCGTCAGTTAACTTCTGGGTGTTTTTTTGGGCTTGTCGTGGATCCTGTTGTCCACGGCGTCGTCTGCTGAGGGTGGATTCAGGGATCCTATATAGGCGCGCTACTTCCTTCTGCTGAGCGCCCTGATCAATAGCCTCAATAGCCTCGGCTATTAGCCGCTCTCGTACGCGTCGAACCATCGTATTTTGAGCCTATTCCGACCAGTATTGAGGAAGTTGTTGGTGGTGGAAGGTAGAGAGTAGGAAGTTGGCGGTGTGGGGGAAAAATTGCAAAGTGGGGCGATTGCAAAGGTGGGTCACCCTGTCTAGAAGTTCGTGAATGTGACATTTGATATGTCATATCGTTGAGGGCGCCCATCTTTTGACCTTGGCCCATGTCGTCAGAGTCGCGTACATTGCGAAGGCTTCCAGCTCTGAGTGGCATGCAGATGTGCACCCGTTGTTGGGCATGGACACCAGTAGGATCGAACCCAGCGTAGTCAAGAAACTCGATGATACGTATGAAGATTCTGGAACTCTCTTTCACCATTTGGCACAACGGCCTTGGCAGCAATGTAAAGGGACGAGTCAATATCGATAGATCGGTAGACTTGTCCATAGCTGCCGGCTCCCAGTCGTTTTCCGATTTCTGCATATCTAACGTAGTTGCCAACGCCACCAGAGTGGATTCTTGTCACATGATAAGACCCAACCTCTCTTTTGGTGGGATCATCGGCGTTGAGATAGTTGGGGCGTCCTCGTGCCTCGGCCGCCCGGAAGCCGCCGTGAACAGCGCGCTCTACGGCTGGAGCAGGCAAATCCAGCCTCCATTGGAGGATAAAACGGAAGGGTCGAGCGTAGTTTGGGTCTCCAACGATGATACTGTACTGGGTGCCGGGGAGCAGAACGAGCTGACGGAATTCGCCATCCTGTCTGAAGCCCCAAGGCAAGACTCGGACAGGATTTCTGTTCATAGTACGGACAGAGATGAGGATTGCGTGAGTGGTAGGATGGATTTCGAAGGCGACGTGTATCTTGGAGATGCTTCTGCCGGGTAGAATCAGATCCGTGTCGCTTCCGAGCCTAGCGAGAACCTGACGGCCGCAGGGCCTCGACCATACATGGTATCCGATCTCAAGAGCTGGATTGCCTGTCGAAGATGTGGATATGAAGGGAGCGTTGCGCGGGTGGCGGAGGACCGCAGCTGTTGTAGATCACCTTCAGGCTCGAGATGGAAGAGTGTGTCGGGGTGAACAGGCCGTGCCATGATGGCCGTGTTGGGCCGCTGGTGTCGCGATTTTGGTTGGTGATCCAATGACGGACGAACCGACAGACGAACCGACGGACGAACCGACGGACGGTGATCCTAGAGGCAGGTGCAGAACTCAATCGTCTTCTACACTGTAAGAATCCTGGGCCCTGTTATGTCCTCTTATCCATGGCCGGCCACAGCCACCAGCAGCAAGACGTTTTCAAACGACACACCAATTGAGGGCGCGGCACACTGCAGCCATGCAATCAGTTGCAAGACTTGTGGAACAAGGCGACCCAAACGACAGTGCAGCCCTCTCGACCCCGCCGCCCTCTCGACCCCGCCGCCCTCTCGACCCCGCCGCCCTCTCGACCCCGCCGCCCTCTCGACCCCACCGCCCTCTCGACCCCGCCCTGAACAATCCAATCAGAGATATGTTTGTCTGTGGGGGAGACGAAAACACCGTTGAATTTGCGGCACACTGTTAAGATGACCGTTTCGCCAGCTTCACCGTTGCGGTGGCGGCGCAGTCTATTTAAGGGGAGTTAGGCCTCCCTCCTGTTGGCAGCTCTCGCTGTCGCAAACATTTCGCAACGCGTGCATTTCCATTTCGCAACGCGTGCATTTCCATTTCGCGACGCATACATTTCGCAAAAAGCATCCGAGTCGCGCCAAAATGTCCCGACGCCCCGTCATTGTTCTCAGTAAACCTATCAAGCCGCGCGACCATGAAGAGTGACAACGGAAAGGGGACGAGGACGATGAAGTACTCGCAGGTGTCAGCAAGCGGAAAGTATCTGATCGTCTGCAAAAAGAGCGGGTTCGCGCATGGTAAATGATGCGGCTGTAAGTAATCTCGCAGGTCATATTATTTTGCTCTCGTTAACGATAAAGTATTAGATTCATTGACAACTATAAGGGCGGGGACTTTAACCAGATTTGGTTGGGTCCTTGCAACGACCAGGAACGCGAAAAGACTAGAATAAAGTCGTACTTTCGAGATTATGTTGAGTCATCGCGGAGAACCCGCCCGGCCCTCGGGGATGGGGACGACGAATATCAGAATATCCAGACGATTACCTTGACGAAGGCGGCAATATTGCATTGGAGGAACTTGGTTGCAGAGGCGGACAACACGATCCTCAGAGAAAAGAGGCGCGAGGACCCCAGCAAACGTGGGCTGTGGAAGTTGAGGTGGGATGATGGCGATTCTAGAGACAACCCGGTAGCTGACATCAGTAATGTAAGGAGAAGTCCCGACTTAAGAGGGCCTCCCCGTGCTAATACGTTTAGTGGATCCGGTCAGATCTCGCAGACAAATTCGGCTTAGCGCGCGAGTCGGAGCTTTCATTCGCGAAGGCCGAGACAACATCCGAGGACCTTTTGATGCTCCTCGATACCTTGTGGACGCGGGCTGAGGATGTACCTTGTCAACCTAACTTCCGTGTCGCGCTCCACTGGACGCTAGTCCTCGCAGGGCTCGGATTCCGACCGGGTTCGTTGATGAAGTTCCGATATAGGGATGCCCGTCTTCTGGTCGTCCCGGACCCAGAGAACCAATCGCGGAACACACTAGCGGCACGCATCACAGTAACCCACGAGAAGCGTCAAATGGCAGATGCCCGAGCGCAAGGGACCGGTACTGTGAAAGCAAGGTATGATTACTCACTTCTTCGATATATTTACCATACTAATTCTCTTTAAAGCGTAACTTTTGGAATTTTCCTCGCTCCCTGCCAGATGTTCTGTCTTGTCAGCCTCGTCGCCACCCAAGCCATCGCCGCCGGTGCCTTTGACACCCCCTTCAAATCTCTCGACGAGATTCTCCACCGTCCGAAGCTCGAATACACCTGCGGTTTAGAGCTCCATTAGAGGCATGATTTTGTGGATAGTGAGATATTTGAGATGAACTACCACACCTTTTGGGAAACATGGCATCGCCTATGGCTGGTATCTGGCAACCGAGTGCATCAGCGACCATATTCCCTCCGAGTCGGTGCTGGTTCAAAACTCGACCGTGTGTTAGCCTCTTGCAAAAAATACATTCTATTTACCTAACATTAAGCGTTCTTCTAGGAGTCTTCACGCCGGCGTTACGGTCACATTTCATGGGCAACTCCGAGGGCATCTTCCAAAAACTCTACCTTCCCGAACAACTCCGCAAAGAAGTAATGCCGATCATATTTGGCACAGAAGCGGCAGGGACACACGACGAGCTCTATACAATGTTACGGCACGCGACTTTGAAGAGGGACGAGAATGCTCCGATATACCCGACTGTTGACGAGGTGAAGAACCTTGAAGAGCGTTCTAGTATTCAGCAGCTGAAGCACGAGTACGAAGCAATACGAGAAAAGCAAGGATCGGACCATAGGGATTCGAAACGGGCTTCTAATGCGTACTTAACCCATAAAAGGGAACTCATAACGCTTATAGTCCAGGGAAAGCGAAAGAAGTACTTCGAGGAGACGGATAGACGAAGGGCCCTTGGGCAATCAACCAGCGACTTATCCACGCCAACGGCAAACCTATATAAGCCGCTAACTCGGACCGCGGATACCGACAAGGTCGCTATACGTATTGGCCACTTCCTTCGCGAGAAAGATCTAGGAGGACACCGGCGGGCCCGGGTCTTTTCACAGCTACTTCTTGCGTACCTGGGAAACCGGAGCACTGAGGTGGAGACCATCATGAACTCGTTGGAGAATAATAAGACGCAGGACGTCGCTAAACAAACCGAGGACTGGCAATGCCTGTTCTGTCTGAAACATTTTGCCTACCGCGGCGGCTTGACAAGGTACAACCAGGACCACCATTTCAGTAAAAGTGCCTTCGACCGTCCCTTTCCGTGTGACGAGTGCGGCCGTCAGGGAAAGATGCACGACGTAGAAGGGGCAGAGCAGTGGAGCAACCATGTGGAGAAGTGCCACGGTATTAAGTACACGCCGAAGCCGCCACGACACAGGAAGGATGTCAGACCAACCAAGCGAAAGCCCACCAAAGAAAGGTCCGACCGTTGCTTCTTCTGTGAAAACATGTTCTTTGAAGGAAGCAGCCACTCGCGACACTTCAACAAAGATCATGGGAGTATCTTTCTGGAGCCCTTCGCATGCTTCGAATGTGGGAGACAAGGATGTATGGCTGTAATCGAGAGCCGGGCAGCTTGGATGGACCATGCCGCGGATGTGCATAAACGCGATGGACACACGATGGCCAAGGTTCCCGAGCAGGCGGGAGTTCTGGGGAAGAGGAAGAGGGGGGTGGAGAAAGGAAGGCTCGCTAGCGCGGCGTCAGAGCAACAAGCAGACCAGGACCGGCAAAGGCATTTGGGCATCGCTCCAATGGTGATAGATCCTCGGCTGTTAGGGACTTGGTAGTAGGGAGTTAGAAGAGGCTGTATTGTTGAACTACTTGATCTCTCCGTCATACGTAACTTGTCTACCTTCAGCGTGAATGCGAACAGCAGACCGACGAAATCTCAGAGACCCGCATCGAGAATCCATCCCCCTTTCACTATCCCTGAGAGATGAAGGGCTCAGCCGGGTAGGCGGGGTAAGTAGGGTAAAGGGGCCCCGGACTTCATGATGGCGAAGACTCTACTGGTATGTCCCTGCAAATACACAATAGTTATCTCATTTGTCATATGTGATTTCCAATTTCTATAGAGAAATGAATCCGTCCCAAATCGAAAAACTCCGAAACCTACTCCTACTAGTGGCACTATAGATCTTACCAAACCTAACAAACCATCCGAGACAGACTCCTCGGCTAGGATAACGTCGGTCTTGCAGCTCCATGAGTCAAAGTTTCACATTCAGTGGCAATCACTCACGACACTACAGCCTGGTATATGGTTAACGGATGAGATTGCCAACGGTGCTCTTTACCTCATCAAGGAAGTAAGCAACGACAGGGTGCAGGTCGTCGATTCATTATCACACCAATCCAAACAGCAGCATACGAGACCGAACTTCCTTGACAGCCAAGTATTGCTGCTGCCCATGCTAATTCGTCAAAACCATTGGGTCCTTGGTGTGTATAAAGACAGGACAGGGCTTTTGGTTTACGACTCCAAATATGACTCGACCACCAAGGATGCCGTATCGGACCAAGCTAGTGCATTCTTTTCGAAAATCCTCCGGAAGGACGACGACGACTGCCCGCAAACTACAATCACTGCGCCGTTGATTCAATCCAACTCCGATGATTGCGGTATACTCAGCATTGCTGCAGCTTTCCATAAAGCGATGCGTCTCAGCATCGAGCCTACGCATGTCGATCCAGCTGTATGGCGAGATTTCTTACTCTGACTACTAAGGCAGCAATCTTGTGTCGATAAACATCTCAATAACTCACCACCAGTGGAGATTGAACTTCCATGTCTGCCATCAACGGTCCCATGTTCCGAACTTCCTAGAACTCTAGCTCAGTTCTTCTACACATTTCTCCCGAGACTGCGCCAGCGGTCCAACGCAATCAAGAAAGCACTAGTTTCAAGAGAACTCGTCTTGAAAATTAGCCGCCTCGCGAAGGACGCGACAAACGCTAGTACAGACGCTATGGCACGGTTCCAAAGAGTACATGATTATTACGAGGTGGAGGTACAGCGATTGCGTGCCGAGGAAAAGCAGGCTAGGATTTCGATGCAGCCGGTTATGACCTGCAGAAAGGTTTGTCCGACACAGTGACAGCAAACAACAATTGCTAACAGAGACGCTAGAGTTTTCCAAAAATCGATGACGAGGTCCAACACACAAACGGACCCATGGCGAGTATTGGTTTAAGCAGTGAGGAGACTATGCATAATATGTCGAGTAGGAAACGAAAGCTTGGCTGGTCGCTATAGATATTTCCCTTCGTTTATCTGCAACATCTCAAGCCTCCTCTGAGTAGGGAGTATATTCTTTTAGTACTAAGGAGGACCCCTTTGGTGACGATTTTCCGACCGCAGGGTTTGGGTGCGCTGATGGGTAGGTGTTGGATTCACCAGGGTACCGGTACTGGAATAAACAGGGCGTAACTGTACGCCGAAAGCTGGTGGTTCAAGTGATGGATTGTAGATGTGTGTTCTTCTCTCTAGCTTTCTAGCAGTGCCAGAAAGCCCCTTCTTATACTACTATTGTGGTGGCGAAGTGGGTGGCGAAGTCTCTATCTAGAACCTTCGAGGCCCTTCTGCTTGACAAATTCCAACAGTAGGAGCCTCAGCACTCTTGGTATTCGAACAGGGTTGACGGCATCGGGACTTTCTACCAGGGACACTGAGCGATATTGTTGTCGATGTTTCGAAATCACCTCTGTAAAGCTTCCAAACAATGTTGTTGAAATCTTCGCTACCTTGGATAGTGCCAATGTAGTGTACTAATTGGTCGATTTTACTATCGGAGAAGTCTTCTAGGAAGGGAACCAGCCTCTTCTTATCGGTTGACACAGCAAAGAGTGCGGTAAGAGCACGTCCTCCAGCTGTGAAACTATGTCCCCCAACCTCAAAAATATTTTGCTCTCCGGTCTCAAAAAACCTGTGCTCGAGCGTATTTTTTAGAGCGCCCGTTTTGCAGGCTTTGTCAACTGCTGGAAGGCGGTAAGGACATATCTTTCGAGGTGACTAGATTGATCAGCGAAAAGCAGAGTAAAGACGGATTGAAGTGAGAAGATTTTGTAGGGACGCATCTGATACAAAAGAGAGTGCATCAGCGACGGCGTTGAGAACCGCGGTGGGGTCTCGCTCATACACCGTCTTTGGACTTAGACGTGGCGACCCAACAAAGAAATCGCCCCACAACGAAATCTCTGCCCCTGTCATCTAATTTCCCGCCCTTCAACTTCAACACAACACAACTTCATCAATTCAGGCTCGAATAGCTTCAAAATACATCATGTCGAACCGTCGAGAGCAGCTAATTCAATCTGCAATACTTGCAGTTGAACAGGGCGCATCGCAGAAGCAGGCCGCGCATGACTTCGGGATCCCTCCTTCTACCCTCTGCAAACGCATCCACGGGGCAGAAAATCGAGCACAAAGTAAACAAGCCGAAAGAAACCTCTCCAATGCGCAGGAAAGCTTCCTAGCCGACTGGTGCCTCAATGAGGAGGCTGCAGGCAGGGCTCCTAGCCGTCGTCAGGTGCAGAGATTCGCTCAAGCTATACTCAATGAGGCCGGCACGAAAAAGACCATTGGGGAGCGATATGTGGACCGCTTCCTACGCCGCAACCCGGCGGTAAAGATGAAGAATTCAACCTTGTTGGAATCCTCTCAAGTCTGCGGATCTACTCGTGAAGCTTATGAAGCTTTCTTCAAGCGCCTGGCCTTCCAAATCAAGGATAAAAAGGTCATCCCGGCCAACATCGCTAACATGGATGAGCACGGCATGCAGGAGCTCGAGACCCGGGCCGGAAAGGTCATAGGAAGCTCCCTGACGAACCGAACCTACGTGAAAAGCTCTGATGCAACAACCTGGGTTTCAGTTATCGAATGCGGCACTGCTGAGGGCGTTCGTTTGAAGCCCGTGATCATATTTACCGGGGCCAGTCTTCAAGGACAACACTTTCCTGATAACTTCAACCTGACGAAGGAATTCCGGGAATGGAAGTACGATTACTCAATTACAGGCTGGAGCAACGCCAGTATTGCGCTGAAATGGCTCAAAGAGGTCTACCTGATCCAAACAAAGCCCCAAAGGCCGGGCGAATGGCGTATACTGATCCTTGACGAACATTCGAGCCATATGAACGAAAAATTCATGTTAGCGGCCTTCCAAAATAAGGTCCAGTTCGTCTATTTACCTTCTCATACATCGCACAAGTCTCGGCCTCTCGATCGCTCGGTCTTTTCACCTTTAAAGACCTATTTTAGGGAAAATACCAAGGCCCTCGCGAGCTTCACATCGTCAGCTCCTGTCAACAAGGTTCGGTTCCTTTACTGCTACAGAGATGCCTCGGGTAAAGGCATGAGTGCCCGTAACATCATGTCGGGCTTCAGTAAAACCGGGATTTGGCCCTTCAACCCGGCTTGTTTACTTGATGACCCTGAGGCGGTCAAGGACAATGAGGCACTCCCGGCCCGGCCTTCAACACCGCCGCCGACGGCCCCGAACGACGATGACAGGCTCTTCAAAACACCGCACGGCAGTCAGGACATCAAGAAGTACCAGGACAGTATTCGGAATGCCCTCAGTCCGGCTCAGCGGCGTGTGCGGGCCTTGTTTACTAAGGTCGGGAGGTCCCTGGATCTGAAGAATACAGAGATCGCGTCTTTGAAGGCACAAATTACGCATCTCACAACCGAATTAGAGGCTTCAAAGCCTCGCACGCGTAAGAGGGTATATGAAGATGGAAATGAGCGATTTGCACGTATAGAGGACATCGCCAAGGCACAAAAAGCTAGTCAAATACCCCCAAAGCGGAAAAAAACGGCCCGGGCAGAAAGCCAGCCACATGCAGTCGAAGAAGCCCGGGAAATAATCGCCCGTGGGCTCGAACAATATAGACAGGCCGAAGAAGAGGATTGAGTATTTTTTTGCTAGTTATTTTGTGTAGAAATGGATAATTTGCGCCCGTGGAGTGGGTGTGGGCATGGCGTGGGCCAATTTCGTTGTGGGGCGATTTCTTTGTTGGGTCGCCACGTCTAATCACTCATTGTCGTGCCATACTTGCAATTGGGAGGACTCCATGAGCTGTAGGCAAGGTGGGCAGGCAAGATTGGCAGACAAGGTGGGCAGGCAAGGTGGGCAGGCAAGGTGGGCCAAATAAGAACAGTTTATCCGTATTATTTGGGTCAGCCGGGCTCCCGGCTCCCGGCGCATACTCAACTCGGGACTCGTTACTGCCAAGATCCAGGCAACCTAGAATACCGCGGCCATAACACTGGTAGTCAACTATATCAGTAGTCAATGAACACCGCTACCGTCCGGTTGCTGAAATATATATTTTGCTTTATGTGCGTTGTGGATCAAATGTTGTGGCATTACGAAATCTGGCGGGGGGTTTCCTTGCTTGGCCCACCTCCCCTTTTCCGCCGCCATCAATTATAGTAATAACATGTAACACTTTTGGGCAGTTGCACTTGTGGGATACATGATCACGGAGCTTATTCCTTCTTGATTTTCTTCTCTTCTTGTTTCTGCGGTTGACTGGGGCCCAAGTAAACAAGTAGAAAGTCACGTGGCGGTTCTCTGCCGGCGTTCAGACAGAGACCCACTCGAGGGGTGGAGATCTCCACCCAGTCAGGTCAACCACGGCCACCACCGATCCCAGCATGGCTCCTATTAACTAGGAGAAGGGGGAAATTTGACTCTATCCTGAATATACTCTACTTTGAGCCGATTTTCGCTCCGGAGCATTCATTCCCTTCCTCTTTTATCTAAATCAACGAACACGTGATGGATTACCTCAGCTACCCCGCCAGTGACCCACTCTGAGGGTGGAAATTTCCACTCGGTCTTCCCATCCTGATAATCCAAGACGACAACCCCATCACCGAGATGACCACCACCACCGAGACGACAAGGGCATCGCCCTCGCCATGGCCAGACCGAATAACCGACGTACGCTGTCGGCCGACAAAATCTCAGTTTCTAACCAGGACATATGCCTTCAATTAAGCGTCGAGGACGCGCAGCGGGTCGCGGAGCTTCGTCAGCAAATCAGCCTCTTGGAATCCGATGAGAATAAATACGACTTTTGCGAACGGATACGTGACGAACTACTTGAACAATCCAACAACCTTGAGCTTCTCTTGGCTGCCTATGACGATATTATGTCGAATTCATGCGCCAAATACAAAGAGTTGAAGAAGAACAAAGATACAGTATAGTAATAGACGTTTTCTACAGTCCAAGTAGACTAACCTGCGTTTCAAGTCCTACGACACTGGCTTCCAGGTTTGCGACGCTGGTTTCCAGGTTTGCGAACTTGTTATCAATTGCTTCGAACGTCCGGGCGAGGTCCTCCATATTGATAGCGGTGTTTCGATCGAGGAGCTTGGGTAGGTTATGGCTGGATGTTGAGTAAGGTAGCAAGAAGTGATGCCGTTAAAGATGTTTACCGACTTATTTCTGGACTTCCTAGAGTTGAGAGCGGTAGTTGCGGGAGCGGAAGAAATACCGGTTTTGGGGAGGGGTGAAGCTGCGCTATATTGTGAATCATGTCAGGTGATATCTAGTCTAATAAACAGGCAATTGCATTCATGGTGTCTATACATACTACAAAACGGGATTTTTCATCATCCCGCTTCATCAACCCACAAAGGAACAACCACACGACGTGATGACGGTCTCACGTGAGCACCTTTATTTTTAAATAGCAATAGTAGTAGTAATAGTACACAGCGCAGGGTCATGTCAGAGACAAAAAACAAAAAAACTCCTCGTCCGTTGCTCATGACCTAGACCTAATCATAATCGAAAGACACAAACCCCTATTTAATACCAACCCAAATGAAAATCCTACTCCGCCGTGGTCGACGAAGAAGAGCGCATGTGCAGCTTAGCCTTGATCTTGGTCTTGAGGCTAGTCTTCTCTTTGATCGGCGACGCGGGGGAGCCGCCGCTGGGGTGGGCAGCCGAGCCATTGGTGTGGGCAGCCGGCGCGGCGGTGCTAGCGCTGTGGTCGTGGGTGTTGGGGACGATGCTGCCGTTGGGGCCGTCTTTGTGGACGTCTTTCTCTTCGAGGAGGCCTTGATAACGTTAGTCGATGGCTGAAAGGAGAAGAAAGGGGGGAACATACGATCAGCCTCTCGGCCGGCGCCCGGAACCGACGCGTCAAAGTCGCCGCCGTCGGCCTTGAGGCCGGACGACTTAACGTACTGCTCGCCGGTGCCCTCGCCGTGGCTGGTGCTCTGGGGGCCGTCTTCGCTCTCGTCCGCATCAGTTGCTCAACCTCCTACTTTGCTGTCCTCCGACCGGGCAGCCTTGGCGGCGTCGCCGCCGTAGTCTCTGGCGACCTCCTCGAGCGGGCGCGGGCCGGGCCCGTCCAGCTTGTCCGGGTTGTCGCCGACGTCGAGCCCGTCGGTGGTGTCGTCGACGTTCTCCCTGGCGGCGGCCTTGTCGTGGTGCGTGGCCGGGTCCGCCGGGTCGCGTACGTCGTTCTGCGCCTTGGTACTGTCGCCAGCGGTCGTCGACGAGTCCTTGACTGCCGTCAGGTTAGGGCTAGGGCTGAGGTCCTTAGGCTGCATCTCAGACTGCACGGCGGCGTAGGTGGGGAGCTCGGAGTGCAGCTTGCTGGTTGATGTTGTTGATGTTGTTGTTGTTGTTGTTGTCGTGGTGGTGGCTGGTGTCTCTTTGAATGGCGTGCTGGGAGTGTCGTCGGTGTACGCCTTGTGCTCTGGTGGCAGGGGATTCAGGGGTTAGTGTGATGCAGGGAGGCTAGTCTGGCAGCAAGTAGTGCGTGTTTTACTCTACATGGCGTCGTCGGGTCAGCTGGCACGGCTGGTGAAGAGGGTAGAGTGGTTTATATAAAGGGATGTATAAAGGGACATGACCCACAACCAATGTTATCGGTGTCATAAGGCTCGCCCTTGCCGACGTTGCCGGAGCGGCCCGAGATTGGCTCTTCCTTGGATTTAGGAGTGCCCTAGATCCTGTTGGCGGCAGCTGACGCCATGTTGTTGATGGTCTCCATGGTGAGTTTTGTGCAGATCTCACAAGGGTTGTGTAGGTAGACGATGAAGTTGAAGTTGAAGTTCGTCTGTTAGTAGGCTAGTAGATGTAGATGGCTTGGCAGGTGGTGCAAGGTGAGAGCAGAGCAGAGCAGCAGAGGTTCAAGGTAGGTTGCGGGAGGCTTCACCAAGTGCAAAGCGAAACGGGAGATTGCTTTTATGACGGCGGGCGGGCGGGCAACACACGCTACCTCATTCCCTCGCCATACACTCGAAGGCGGATGGAGGTGTGACGTCGTCTTTGTCACCAGACTGGGCGGACCAACCACTAACACGGAGCCTTGTCCATAATTGTAGGATGGGAGCTAAGCAACGTATGTACCTATGTACGGTATTTTTTGCCATCTGTGCTAGCACGTAATGGTCCTTTGAGCGGACACTGGACCGAACTGGACTGAACTGGACTGGTCCAACCACGGCCCGATTCTCTGCATGAAACTGCGGCGAATGTCTTGGAGCAGGCCTGTATTCCCGGACATGGCCGCAGTCCACCGTCTTCTCCCTAGCCATGAGATATACTGTGTAGAAGGTGTTGCTGGTTGAGCATGAGGCAGGTCTCAGCTGGTGTGGACAGTACCTACAATACCTCTGGCATGTAAATGTCGTGGGTTGCTTTTTTGTGTCTTTTTGTTTTTTCTTGGGAGCGGTTGGGACCAGGGCTCGTCGGGTGTTGATAGGTTTCAGGTTACCCGTTCGTTCGTTCGTTCGCTGTTGGCTCCCGGCTTTGGGGGATGGATCATGGATGCGGGCTCGGGAATAACCGTGATTTGGATGCGCTGATCTCGGGCTACACACATCATCAGATAATCACCAGGTGTCCACGGGCCACAAGAATGCATCGTTTTGGTGGAGAGGCGGTCTCATAGTTATGCAGTGTCCCTAATCAATCCGTGGTCATCCGAGACAACTAAATCTCGCAGGATTTGGCGCGCGTAATTATTCGCCTCTCGCGTATTTTCATGATTGAAAATAGCAACAAACCTGCGTATTGTAGAGTGGATATCAATGTGGGCTGACATTGCCCATGATTGGGTCTGTGACGGAAACGAGGCTCCAGTCTTGCTTGTTGGCGGCGCAACCTCACTACTGTTGGCATCGTCGGGATCACAACCTAAAAGCAAGGAAGGGGTGGAGGCGGCGGCGGCATGGGGGGCCGAAAAGAGCATCATGGTTACCTAACTGGCGGCGGAGGCGGAAGCTGAGACCGGCGCGAATGCCGCCTCCCAAGAGGTTCCCGAGCAAAGCCAGTGATAACGGGTCTTAGTGACGTAAAGTAAGCTAACGTCGGGTTCATCAACAAGTGGCTTGAGAGGTGGATTAGTACCGACTGTCGGGGATCCGACGCGATTGGTCCGAGGTCCAGGCCCCCAGCAAGTTTTGGACTATTAAGGCCCTGATCTTCTCGCGAATACGCTATTCTGTTCGCGAGTATTCGCTGCACAAATATGTCGAGACTGATTTTCCGCGGGACGCTTTCCCGTTTTTGGCAGCAATCTCGCTGCGAAAACCGGGCGAACACGGCGACAACGAGCACATTTTCCAGCGGAGCCCAACAAAGGCGGTGAGTTTCTGTTGGCTTGGCAAACTACTCCATTTCTGGATGGTCAGACTGATCAGGGCTTCATGCAGTACATCTTAGCGTAAGCGCTACGCAATAGGGCGCTTTAGGTACCCTCTTGGTAGCGAATACGCTATTGTATTCGCGAGAAGATCAGGGCCTAAGCACCTTAAATCGGCTGGCAGTGTCGAGCAGGTGACTTGGTACAAAGCGGCCGCGCTAATCCTGCCTGGTGGGTCGGTACTCGTTTGGGGTACAACTCGGGTGAGGCGAGGTAAGTGCCTAGCTTTGCCGCTGAGATGCCTTGGGAGTAATATGCGAATAACCGAGCATTCTCTGACAAGAGACGGAATTCAGTAACTGAACATACCGTCTTGCTACATGGTCTTGAGGACGAGGTTTCGCAATTTGATTGCAAGATTTCCCTCAATTTCAAGTTGTCCACGGCGGAATTCGACAAGACTCTCGCAATAAGCGCAACACCAACTCGTTAGGCCTCGCATCAGTGAAAGCAGTGATCTCTGATGTTGGCGACAAGCAAATTTCTATAATCAGGCTCCAAGTTGACTGATGGCTGGCGGCCTGGTTAATAGAGACCCGGCTTGGAAGTTGGCGGTTTCGGAAATCCAGATTTGCAGCTTGGCAGCTGGCTCACCGCTCGCAACTCAGCAAACCAACAAACCTCAAAAGGTTTTTGATCCCAATCAACCTGTCGTCGGCTACGAGCCAACGGCAGAACTCAGGAGAGGAAAGTAATAAGCAGCTTATTGTACGCATCGACAATTACTATCATAACTAAGGTAGGTACGTAGGTGCAGAATAACATGAAGCTAAGAATTCACGACAGTAAGGGAAGCTGCACAGCAGAGTAAATGGAAGACGAACAAGGTCAACAGTGTCAATCAGTTTGCTGCAAAATCCGTTACATATGTCATATGTGTGATAACCTCTGCGCCAATAAACCTGCGAGTCCCGGTATGAAGTGGTCCGGCCACTGAGAAACGAAAACAAAGAAGAACGAGAAAGCAGATAAACTGTAATAAAAAGGCAAGAAACATGTCCTTTCTTAGCTGCGTCAATGCAACTGTCGCAGATTCTCCCTCGCCCACTCTTTCCACTCATTTGACTCGTGGTCGAACTCTTTGTCGCCCAAAAATGTTCTCACAAGCCAAGCATTCCATTTTTCTTCAGTCCATTCCAGGGAAACCCAGCCCATCTCTTGCATCTCCGACGGGATATCGTCCCAGAAGAGTTTGATTGGCGACTCGGGCTTGGGCGGCTTGGGCGGGAGAGTTCCTTTAAGTAGGGGCAACACCTCTGCCGCGTCCAAGTCGAGGAAACTGATTCTGAGCTTCTCGCTGTTGAAGTCCTTGGTGCTGGTCATTATATTCCGCGGCGCCAGATCATTGTGGCGGACCTGGTGGTGGCGGATCATGGTGTAGCCTTTGACGGCTTTGCCCATTACACGCATCCTCTGAGCTTCGGAATAATCGGCAGATTTCAAGTGACTCAGGGGGTCCCCCTCGACAAACTCTATAGCCACAGCAAAGACCTGTCTCGACCCTGCCGGCTGGCTGGGTAAGCCCTGTTGCTGGGGAATGGGCATACTGAAGACGAACGAGCCGTAGTACTTTGGGATGAATTTCCCACCGATATGAGGGTCAAGGTATGCGTAGGCTGCCGCCTCGACAGTAAAGTCGTTCTCTGCATCGACGACGATGTCTCTCGGCCGGGGGTCAGTAAACGGGTAACACATAGGGTCGTATATCTTGAGGAGAACAGTGTCGGCCTGGCCGCCCGTAATCGATTGAAGCCCCTTGCCCTTGCAGACGAGCAGCTTGGGACCTCCACCTCGTGCGGTGTTGTGGCCGGTGAGTTTCCTGATGATATCGACCTTGCCTTCTTCCTTGCGGCGGGTGTAGGGCAAGGCGGGCGTCGTCAGGGCGTAGTCGAGCAGGTCTTTGCCTTCGAGGGAGACGGAAAGCCGGCGGCGGCGATTCTCTTCGACAAACTTTCTGTACGGGTCTGCCTCCTTCAGATGAGAGAGCAGGCCGTCTAAATAAACGCCATGCAATGGCCGTGGCGGTTCAATGCGATGCAGGTTGAGCTGCTGTTCTGAAAAGTATGGCGTGGGTGGGCGGATTTGAGACATGGTCAGCAAGTGCGGCAAATGTCCGTTGTTGAGCAGAACTCGACGCAAAAGATTGGCCTTCATGATGCGCAAGTTCTGGAGACGAGACAAGTGATTAAATGCAGCTGCGTTCGCCTTGGTGGGATTGGGGGGGGTAAAGAGCTGGGGTTGGCGAATTTCAGTCATGTGAGTTGATGTATGTACTCGAGGGAAATAGGTGAAATATAACTGGTGGGTGAGCGACGCACTCGCTGTATGCATATCCTCTCTTCCGCTATTTGCAAATAGCCAACCTGAATTGGGGGGGATTGGAGTAGAGTGGGGCGGAGGCGCGGGCGTCCAGTGCCGCCGTCCACACCTGACGGTCAGCTCGTATCCGCTCGTGGTCGAACGCCGCCAAAAAAGTAATCAAGGCACCGTGACGCAAACGCCTTATTTGTTCCTTTTTTCATTCTGGGTAACACAACGGGTGGCACGCACTTGTTGGGCCAAGGCACACACGTTTCGGAATCAAGCCGACCTCCGAAGCTTACGGTACACAACAATGACAAGTTGACAAGAGGGGATTCATCATTCGTTGCGTTGGGGCTTCAAACTTGTACCCGAATCGAGCCTTCTCTTGCCGCAGCCCCACCTCACGTTTCTGCTTGAGCTATTTTGGGCCTGTGACAACGGCACATTCAAGGCCAACTGTCTGTCAGACAAATCAATTCGTCAATTAATTAGCTCTGATTACTGCAAAAACAACAGCGGCCCAGACAGGACTGAGACGGCGTTGCCCTCGCAACTGCCTCGTATTGCAGACAGACCTCTGGTCGTTTGCCCACTTGCCCACCCATATCTGATATAACTTTGCCTCAGAACTCAGCTTCCTTTTGTGGACCTCTTGGGGTCGAGCATTTGGCCAATATTGACAATGGGTCCTGTGGGCTGTTTCTATTTTGGTCTCTGTTGGTCAACGCCTTTGAAGTCATCTTTGCGAAGAGGTATGTGTCATGTCAGATGGTGTCATCGTAAAGACCACCAACAGACCCGAATGTGCTCCTAGCAAAGGCAGAGGACAAGAAACAGTATGACGCTTGGTGATATAAAGTCTCCTTGGGATCCGTTCTTCCTCTCCCTGTTCCATCATTCCACATCCCATCACAGCATTCTCGCAACATTGCCTACGTAAGGATAGCAGCAATACCAACGCAACCAAGCTTCATCCCCTTGATTGCTCCGTCTCAATCGAATTCCCAGCGGGAACTTGCTTTTTTCTAGTCATTTTCAACAAGCAACCATCCTCAACTTTTCGCCATGTCAGCCGCTATCAGATCATTGGTCACGTCCAAGTTATTGAACAACACTAACTTTCTCACTCACTTCAATGGCGGCCAGCAGATCATTTGGTTAGTCCATCATGTGAATCACTGTTAATTAGCACAAAGTGTCTTAGTCCGACAGTGGACCAACAATGGACCAACATCCCTAAACGCTTGCTTCCGTGCTTCGGATCCCCCAAGCCACTCGAGAGCTTGCTCTCTAAATCAATCAGTGAGAAATCAGAGCGAGATACTGACTATGGCGAACAAACAGGGTATCCAAAAGGGATTTCTCTGTCTATGACTACTACAAGAAGGGTCGCCCCCAGATCGCGATCGAGAAGCCCCCCAACCCGCAGACTGGCGAAGGAGGAACATATACGCAAAAGGCAATTCCGCCAAAGGTTTGGGTTCCGCTGCATTTTCAGTCGGCCATTCAGGCCGCCCACGCCTTTGTTGAAGAGCACGCGGAGGAGCTGAAGAAGACGGATACGATTGAGAAGCCTTCCTCGTTGTCCAGATCCATAGGACCGTCAAACGAGGGCTATGTCGTCAAAATGTTTTGGTATATCATGGGCCCTCCCCTCGAGTTTGCCCTGGAGCAGGTCAAGTTGCCGGGCAAGTGGCATATGACGTTGAAGCCGGAAGATCCCTACGGCAGCAAGGCCACAGAAGACTTCGTCAAATGCGACATAGTCTTAAAGCTAGCGTACGACGGCAAACATGTCCGCGACCTAGCCGTTCTTGATCTGAAGGCGGCTAAGAACATCTCCCTCTCTAGAATGAGCTTCGGAAAAGCCAAGTCACAGTTCGAGACATACGACGAGGCCTTGAAAAGTTGCTCAGCCACAGACGATACTAAGTTCAAGGGGGCAGCAGGAAAACTGGTAAAGCAGGGCACCGCGTATGCCGAACACACCAAAGTCCACGACATCGCTTTCTTTGACTGGTTTGAGTTGTTGGTTCTGGAGCTGTCGGACATGAATATCTCTTCCGCGGCGCCGAGGCCTGTCCCGACAGCCGGGCTCGTCTGCAAGGCAGAGGTAATTGATAGTGACATTGAGCACGCGATTCTTGGCTTCTTCCTCAAAGCTGTCAACAAGTGGAAGGCAGCCAACCCGAACGGGAGCCCGCCACCCTCTAGATCGACAACCCCGATTCCGGAAAAGAAGTAGACTAGCTAGAGTAGCACGGTTAACAGGACCAGTGATGTGGTGCTGCCGGACGGTTTCTATTGACTGGAACACATTCGCAGGCGAATTACATGATGGGCGGTGCCCTGGATGGACTGGATCCGTTGGCAAGGTCAGTTCGCAGGCGAATTGGACGCGTGGGTAGAACAACGTATAGTTTACTGTGTGCGTAAATCGAAAGGCCGGGCCTATCTAATTTCCATTGCACAGACACCTCATGCTATTATTTTTAAGTTCGTTTCGGCTCTTGACGTCGACGAGAAACCATTCGTGAACGCGTTTTGTATTAAACTTTTCTGATCCTAGAAGTCTAATAATTACTAACTAACTTGCACTCATCCATTCTAGTTACGCTCAGTTACAAGGCCATCAGACTGAAGTTAATTTCATGAACTTGCCTCTTAATCACACGGATAAGTATAATTACCCAAGTACGGTACGGTTATTTGCTTATTTCTAGCCCCTTCGACGCGTAGGAAGTTGCCCTACCAAACTTCACTCGCACCACACAACCACCCAAAACACGCGCCGACAACCATTTTACAACCATTGCATGCATTATGGCGTCCTGGATACTTAATCAATCCAATTTAAATATTTTCACGAGACTCAGAGTGTTGCGTCTCAATTCCCGCCATGGCGGAAAGCCGGTCCAGCGTGTCACCTTTTCGCAACTGCACTCCCTCATTCCACGCTCTAGAAGCTATAACGCGATCTCCGCAGGCGACATAGCCGCTGAGATGAAAATCCTCAGCAGGTTCAAACGAGACTTTAGTGTCTTGGATTACTACACCAAAGGCCGCGCCAAACTGGATATTCTTGAGCCTGCGAATTCGGACAGTGCTCTGACCACATTTTCGAGGACGAAGGCGACGGCGCCAATATCCTGGGTCCCGCTGTCAGTCGAGACCGAGCTCGTAGAGCCAGCCAGGTGTCACATCTCGAATCACAAGGACGAGCTTGCCAAGCTGACCACGATCGAAACCCCGTCCGAAATTTCCGGCCGCTACATCGTCAAAGTGTTTTGGTACCTGATGGAATTCCCCATTGAGGCCGCGCTGGCCCAGGTCGAGATGCCTGGCGAGTGGTCGCTGCAGTTCGGATCCGAAGTCACCCCGGGAGAAGCCAGCATCGGCCGCGTCGACGTCTTCCTAAGATTATTTCACGGCGGCAAGCATGTTTCCAACCTAGCGGTCCTAAACATCAGGGACTCGAGGTCTGTCATGAAGCAGGCCGCTAGTCTCAAGTCCGCCGTATCGCCGCACGCAAATCTCCGGGACGCCCTAGCCAAGACCGAGCCCACGGAGCCATCGATATTCCGCGACATCTCAGCCACATACGCACAGCAGGCGGCAGAGTACGCGGCAGAGTACGGCTACAAGCACGTCGCCTTCTTCGACTAGTACTCGCTATTTATTTTCCAGTTCGACGCATTGGATGTGTTGGATTTCACATCCAGACCGAAAAAAATGGAGTGTCTATCGTGTTCAAAAAATTGTCCTCCCCCGTAGGAAAGAAGTGCCCACCATCTTTCGCGTTAAATAACGAAAGCTCCTTTTCAACCTCTAAGCACTAGGCCTGTATCCCTCCGACCGTCAAACCGTTGGCCTGGTCTAAAACAAGTGACTTATTGTTGTGGAACAGTTGGCCCTAATTACGGCCTAGTTCCACAACAGAATTCAACATGACCCTACCCTTGACGTGTCGGCGGATAATGTCACCCTCGTCGTCGATGTAGAACGCCTTGCCCTCATACTGTTGGTGGTGGATGCCCATTAAGGACGCGAACTTGTGGCCACACGCTATGAGCTGTCCTCTCATCTCGGCGGCTTTAGGATGGTACTGCAAAGGGTACGCGGAGAGGCCAGCGCTGCCGTCAGATCAATCAGATCAAATATAGGGTGCCCATCTGATCTGAAAGGGAATTCGGGCCCGAAATCTGATTGATTGACTGTTTAGTTGATATGTCTGGTAGTGTCTGATATCAGGACCCCTGCTGACCGCCGTGAGGCTATTCCAGCCACCGAAATAGCATCGCGACCCCGATTCTTGGTGTTCTGGGCTTACCACATCCCAACGGCTGCTATTCTTCCTGCAGCTGCTGCAGCTGCTGCTGGCCGCGGCTTTCGTCTTCATACAACCAGTTCTTCAGCAGCTGACAATACTCAATAGCCTCGCTGCTCAGGCTGTGCCTCTGAGACGTCACGGTCAGCTTCGCGATGCTGAATGCTCTCTCACAATCATCGGCCATAGCTGGGATGGCTAGTAGGTCCAACGCAAGGCAGCTAAGACGAGGGTAGGTAGCCTGGTGGTCCCTCCACCACTGAATCGGATCTTCCGTGTTCTCTCGAGGCGTCCTGAAGTAGACCTCAAGCTCCGAAGCCGTCTGAGAGAGCTGGGGACACCTCTGGGCAATCCACTGCCTTGCCTCTTCCAATTCGACCTTCCGTTTCTTCGGAGGGCCCTGCCCAACTGGTTCCGGCTCTGCAGAGGGCGAGCGGCTCCCCTGCTCGTTGGCTTCAGGGTAGTAGGCCTCGAGGTAAGCCTTGAGAGCCCTTTTAGCATCGCTAATCCAGATAACCTGCTCTGGAGCGGTCCAGACGTTCTCGAGCCACCCAAGCCCGAGCCCGGGATGTAGAATGACGGCTGATGTAAATAAGGATGACTCTCCAATCGATGTATAGTAGTGGTTGAGCTTTAGCCATGCGTTGTTGATCCCACTTCGAAGGAAGGACCGTTGCTGGGCTCCAAGGCTATCGAAGTTGCCTGCTGCCCGAGCAGCAGCAAGATTAGTATAAACCAGCCTCGTGTGATCCGGGAGGGCTTCTTCGTTAAAGCGGGAAGTAAACCCAGGTTCGATGGCTGCTCTGTTACGTTGCAAAGGCCGGCTGCGGGTTGGTGGCCGAACCGGTTCTGTTGCTACTGCCGGATTGAGAGATTCATCAATATATAGCTGCTTCCACCGCTCAAGCTTATCAAGGACGTATTCCATGCCCGTGAGGACCTCGTGAAGCTGACCCTGGCCTTGGGTAATCATCGTGAGCCTGTAGAAGGGCGTCAGGATCTCCTGAACCTCTGCAAGGAGCCGCCAGTCCTCTAAGGAAAGACGATCTTCAGCAGAGACCTTGTTAGTTGCGGTCCGGTCGAGGTCGAGGTCCGTTAGGTAGTTCTCGATGGTATTCCGTAATAGACATGCCCTCTCAATCATCAGGAAGGTCGAATTCCACCTCGTAGCATTATTCTGGTTCAGCTCCAGCTCTTTGGTTGTTGCTTCGGCCAGCAAGAAGCTCCCTTGGATCGACCGGTCATCCCGTTCGGTCTTCCTGAAAGCCTCGCTTCGTTGGGGAGACGCTCGGATGAATCTGACGATGTTGTGGAGCTTTCCAATGGGTCCCCTAGTGCGCCAGTGGGTGGCATCTAGCTCGTCTACTTCTAGGGCCTCGAGGGTTTCAGCCTGTTGTTCGAATTCATCTGCCCGATCGCCAAAGAGGAAGGCTTTAGCTGCTAGGTTGAGGATGTGACCGAAGCAGCGCATTCTTCGACTCCGAATAGCATCGCGATCCCAATGGGGGAACAACCGGCTGTAGAGGGATTGTAAACAGGTATCGTTGTTCGTGGCGTTATCACAGATCGCTACACCCAACCGCTCTCCAAAGCCCCAATCTTGGATGACCCCAATCAACGTCTCAGCGAGATTCAGGCCGGCATGGGTTCCTGACTGCTGCTTGAAGGCAATCATCCGCTTCGCAGGCTGATAGGTTCCGTCAAGGTAGTGGACGATGATGGCGATGAAGGCTAGTCGATTTGGAGACGTCCAGAGATCGAAGCTGAAGTGTATAGCCGTCCTAGCATTCAGGATCGCCTTCCGGACCACCTGTTTGCGTGCTAGGAAGAGAGCCTCGATCTCGTTCCTAATTGCAGTCCGACCAAATGGCACTTGCTGTTGCAAAGCTGGGTTGAATTGAACGAGCAGGTCTTGTAGATAGGGGTCCTCGAATATCGCGAAGGGAAGGCTCGAGTTAATGACGAAGTAGGCACACAGCTCCTTCAGCCGGTCAATCCTTGTTCGAGGAATAGCAAGGGCAGAGGCAGGCCTTCGCCGGGCGGCTGTTGATTGCATCTTGAGGACGTTGGGGCCCTGCTGTTGCTGCTGTTCTGACTGTTCCGGATCGACGATGGAGTGTTTCTTGAAGAGATGTTCGATGGAGGAAGATGTAGATGAAGCAACGAAGAACTGAGGCTGGCCCCGGGCGTCACAAGTCCCACAGCACCACACGGTTTGCTTCAGTCGGTTATCTGGCTCGAGCTCGGTCATGAAGAAGCCGTAATCTGCTATCCAGCTGCGTCTGCCGCGGGATTTCTGGGTGTGGATGACTCCGGTCGGGATGAAACGTCGATTCTTCCAGGAAATCTTGACTAGATCAGAGACAGAGGCATCGTCAGCAGGAATCGTACTTGACGCTACAGCAAATTGCTTGGAGATGGAAGGAGGCCGGGCCTGTATAGCCGCGAAGGCAGAGATGGGAGCAGATGACATAAGGAGGGTCGGAGAGTCGGAATAGCTTCGTTCGGGCAGTCAGGATGCTTAGAATAGCATCGTCTGGGCAGTCAGGATGTTTGGAACAGCTTCCGTCGGGTCCGGAAAAACAGAATTTGCTAACCCTGGCTTGGTTCAGCAGGCCAGGGATGACCGGTCAGGGGTCCTGAACCCCGGTCCAAAACACCAACGGCGCCGGAAAAACGTCTAAATCCGGGCTCTGAACAGCCTCAGATATCTGTTATATCTGTCAAATAAGCCCGGCCGATATCTGATTTGTTTGATCTGACAGTTCCAAAAATCCCGATTGTTTGTTTGAATTGATTGGTAAATTGATCTGATAATCTGGTCTGACGGCAGCGCTGGACGAGACTTCGCAGCTGTAGAAGGCTTGGATCAAGCAGGTCAGAAGGGTCCATATTAGAAACGCCTCAGACTCTCCGGCCCTGGAGATTGCGCCTCTCGACCTTGACGGGCTTGCCCGCGTCCTCCCGGACGCTCGCAGTCTGCTCACGGCACAGCCACTGTCAGGACAGCTGCTCGACATTCAGATGGAGTGTCCACCACTTGTCGATCTACCCGTATACGTCGACTTCCTCCTACAGACTGAGGAATTCTGGGACGTGTCTTGCAACAACGAAGCCTTCGTTCCATTCGGATGTTTCCCCATCATCACTGGCGCCTCCCAGAACGAGTATGATAGCGTCGTCGAGACACAGGCCCATCTCAGAGACCTCAACATGCTTGAGAGAATGGGAGACGCCGAGGTTGAGAGGATGCTCGAGCAGCTCCGGGCCTTCCGCCTCAGCACCCAGCATCCGGACGCAGTCGAGGCGTTTATAGACAGCCTGACCAGCCGCACGGCAGCCATCTATGTAGGCTTGTCCACGGGGTTTCGAGTGGTAGACAGCGGCGCTCAGTTCTGGGGCGTGTCCAGCGCTAATGAGAATTGCATCGACATTTTCATTTCCAAGCAAGCTCTAAGCGTTGTGGGCATAGCCCTCCACGTATGGCTTGCCGCAAACCGGGTGCCGCGCGTTGCGCGTTTCGAGGAAGAGGTCAGGCTAGACAAGCTGATGAAAGACAGCCCAGCGCACGCCAGCGGCCTGCCCGTTAGCATTACGGTCGAAATGGAGCGCGCGACGCCGAGCGAGATATTGTTTCTCCTGCAGCGGCTGCGTGTGGTAATGACGGGACATCCCCTCATCGCCGCGATTCAGGCCTTTGGTGAGCATGTTCTCCTGAACGTCGCCGATGACTCGGCCTGGATCCGCACACACAGCCTGCTGTATTGGGAGGGTACTGTAGACATGAAGCAATTACTCTAGATGAGGTTGGAGAAATTTGCGCGGGGCGGGGCGGCGGAACTACCCACGCTTGAGAACCTGGTCCGGTTGCACGGTCAGGTGGACAGCCTCGTTAACCAATTACTTTTCACGGCTGATCGCGACCGCCTCAATGCCCTTACCGATGTGCTGCTCCATGCCTACGACCCGTGGACCTCGTGGAGCACATGCGAATACGTCGATGTCAACGCCGATCTCGTTGCACTGTTTTTCTTCACCGCGCTGCGCCGCGCCGCGCTCGACGACGTCTACATCGAGGCCACCGACCGCTGCCTTTTCTTCCTGTCGTAGTCGGACCAGGCTGCCGTCTTCGCCGAGCTCTGGTCTGTCGGCTCGCAGAGCTATGGGTACTTGGGCATCTTGCCCCGCGACCTGGGCCGCATTATCTATGATCGATATTAAGCCCACTTGGAGAGAAACCCACCGCCAGCCTCCGTAATGGAGAGCAGCGGCCTTTTCAGCTGCTACGCCAGCCCAGCCGACATCATGGAAGCCGAGCGGGCCCGCGCCGCAAGGCTAGAGGACGAGCAGCAGGCCAACGTGCCATACTATGGCGGCTTTGGCCAAATTCTCTTGCAGTAGAAGTAGAGAGCCCACGACTTCGGTGTTCTTTCCATATTTGCCTTACCCGCGATGATCGATGTTTTGCTTCTCATCTTGGTCGGGCGGGGCCTCTTTGTTACAGCATATATGGGTCTCGATTTCCTCGAGATGGGTTGCTATGCTCTGCTAATAGCACTGCTTCTGGCGGCCGGCGCGACTGGATGGGTGGGGAGTATTAGCAGCTATTACCTTGGTCATGTTAGTCTCACCCACGCCGCAAAGTCGTTGGGGGGCTCTCTACATCCCGGTCTCGTGCTGACTTGGCTTGATAGTACGCCTACGACAACATGATTTTGTTTCACGTGCAGAGACTTTCTGGCGGCTTCGTGCTGACTACCATCGTCGGCCTCGTCGGCCTAATTGCCTTCTCCGCTAGGCGTTCCGTGGCCGCCGGCTTTGTTTTCCTAGCCTATCTGGTGGCCATCTCCCTCTATCTCTATACTATAGGTAAGACGCTCTTTGTGTGGATGCTCGCCCTTATACGAGCGAAAATGCGGCTGACTGATGGCCCGGATGCCTACCTCTAGGCATAATGGCTACGATGCACCAGCGTAGTAGCCCGTTGACCTCGGGGCGCACTATTCTATGGAGAACGATACCTCTACTATTCATATCGCCTATCGTATCGAGCCTCGTCAATGGGCACGACCTGAAAATATATCTCCCGGTGATTTACGGCTTTCTCATCACGCTCCTGATTCAATACCGGAAACTCTACTATAAATGGTCAGCTTGGTTGACTAAGGTGCCTGCCCTACAACTATCGGACATTGAAGAGTGGTACTCGGCCAAACTTGGAGATCCGTCCAACGATAGCACATCTTCAAAGGAGGTGGATGCCGTAGTGGCCGAGCCGCTGCAGGTGATGGCCGTGTGCGCCTTCGAATAGAGCGTACAGGCGCAGCTGCAGCGCAGACCCGCCGCCGCTGTCTCAGATCCATTTGTCGCCAAGATCGCAAAGGGCCTCCCGTATGCTCAATGGCTCCTGCGGAAGAGCCACCAAGAGGATGGGGCAATCCCGGATCTCTTCACCACCGCCTGGTTTGCCAAGCTTCAGCAGGCGATGAAGGCGCAGCAACAGCTGTCTCGTGGTCTGAAAGAGCACAGCATATTCATGCTCTTTAGGTTTGCGCGTTTTGATGTGAGTGTATTGATAGCTTAGGCCGGAATGATCTGCTAATATCAATCTTTACGCAGCTGGGCCAGAATGTCGCCCTATTCCTAATATATTTAATGGACCACTGGGTCGATGTTGTTAGCAGCTCTTGGGGTAACAACGCGACCATATACATCGATTTCCGGGCGCGCTATGGCGTCGGCCTCTGCCTCCTCTACTTTTATGCCTCCGTTATGGTTTTGGATGCAACTCTCCATCCTTACTGGCAAGACCGAACCAAGCTGTCGGGGGAGAAGTTGTCGGATCTTGCATCCGCTAGACGAGTCCAACATAATAGTCACCAAAGTGCAGACTAGCTGCAGGTTGGCGGTTACGTACTAACGAAGCAATTGTCTTGCAATTTAACCGCTGCTTCACGACAGACGTTGGGTCACATCTGACTGTCACCTACGCATCCGCAGTCCTCGGGTTCGCGAGCGGCTATACTCTCCACGCTATACCTGCTACGAGAGATTCCATGTTTAACAATGTCCTTGCACTGGACATTTCTGCTGTTCTTGCAGCTGTCCTGACTTCCGTGTGGGTCATCTTTGATTTTCGTAAGTTCAGACCATACGAGGCGCCCACGGCCCCCGCACCCGAAGATCATCAGTCTTGGCAGAAACGTCTCAGGGCTGGAACTGAAAGCAATTCAAATGCTGTAGGACCAACATCCGTGTCGCATATCCTCGGAATTGTGCGGATCACCTCGGCGAGTGTAGTCGAAGCGGCCGAAAGGATTACGGCCCTCCTGAAAAGAAGCTTGGAATGCCCAAGCGCGTATTTACGTGCTGCGACTTGGTCGACGATTCTCTTAGATCTTGCCCTTGAGGCATGGCTGGTAGGGAATATCGTTTTTAACATCGTCACACAGACTGACATGATAAATCATGGCCATGACGGCACCTCTTCCTTTTGTACTTGGGACGATGGCGTCCTCCACATAACCGCAGGCTTCCTCGAAGAGGCCGAAACAACGTCTACGTAGTGGCAGGAACTCCTTTCTGAGCTGTAGGTACCCTTATCATAAAGACGCTATAGTTCTGTCCGCTTACTAGTTTCTAGGCTGTACGAGTACTTGCTTTACCACTCGACGCGAGCTTTGCTAAAGTACGGGAATGCCCATGCCATTCAATCCGAGCACTTTGTTAGCGGCACCGAGGATCTCTCCAAGAGAATTGACTTTGAGCTGGCAGCGGTGGCCGCTACGGAGCTGCAAGTAATATAGAGGAGAACATTCTTAAAGGTACTGAGGCATCTTTGCCTTGATGTTGACGTCGACTCCTGCTGGGAGGACTTACCTCCGGCAACTCGCCGCGCCATCTTATGCCGCGTCGCGGGAAGGCATGTCTCCCTGTGCATGGAATTCAGTCGATGGATGGAAGCCGCACAAATCGATCGACAGACGATCGACTTTCATCTCGATCTCGCCCTCGGGATATACCAGCGGACTCTACAAAGACCACACGCGCCGATTACAGAATCTCTGTCTCGGTTCTCGCTCTACTCAGACCCTGAGGTTGTTAAACCTTTCGCTAAACCAGACGCGAAGGAGTCAATCTTTTGGAGGATGACGAGCTTTTTGATACATGTGCCTATCACAACTGTCAAATAGATCGGAATCATCACAGGTGCCGCCTCTGATATTAAACGTGAGCTCTGGTTTTGTCTTCGAGCATGGCCCTTCCGCGACAAGCTGCTCTTGGTCATTCTCACGGCTTAGAAAGTGTGCTGGCTCATCAAGAATGCTTGGGTGGATATCTTGATAATATACCATCGGTCTACCTTGGCGCACATATCTCGGCTCGCGCGCAAAGGAGCCTCGAGAGTCCTCAAGAAGAACATCATCGTGGTGGAACTTCCACGCAGGGTTGTCACAGGCTTCGTGTCTAGAAACGACCAGGGCACACTAACTTTGAATATTTTCCCGGGCCGCATTGATACGCCTCCACCTAACGAGCAGCCTTTATCTATTGCGGTCTATGACGAACACCTCCGCCTCAAAAGTCGGACAGACGCGGTAGGCACAATTGACAGAATTTGCACATATGAGTACGACGATAATTACGCCAGGCGATGGCCGCGCTACAAACAAGTTGTTCAGGGCTCAACCAGCATCCGCTATCACTACGACGGGATTGGGAGGATTTCCCATAGCACCCTCACCTTAGCATCCGATACTTTTGTCTTCCAGTACGGGTACAAGGTAAGAGAAAAAAACAGCAGAAACATCCTCAAGGCTAACTACCGCCTCGAGGGCCCAGACTCTCGCAAAAGCATGACTGTCTACTAGGGCTCACCCGCAAGGGGTGACTCCCCGGCCAAGTGGACAAAGTGCGACTGGGTACCATCAGACAGAGTCTGTTGTGTAATCCGCTTCGTTAACGGCAAGACGTATATCACAACGTGGGAATTCCTGCATCGCCGGGATCCTATCATAAATTCATACTTGCACGAAGGCGATATCAAGACGGTCGTTACCAATGTTCCGCGAGTGTTTGATCAAGAAGACGCGCTTCTCATCCGACCGACTAATGTCAATTTTGACGACGACGACCTTTTGGTGCATCACCGCCCTCGCGACCTCCAACTGGCAGCAAGCGCCACGAATAAGGCGTCTTTTGTATCGCGATTGAACCCGCTTGGGTGGCCCTACGGTCTCCAAAAGGCCAGATACCGCCGCGTCCCCACATAGTGGTTGCGCAGCGAGCTCTAGAACCACTGGCTCACTGCCGGAAATGTCGACGCTGTGACAGCCTGCTGGATGGACGAAGTGATTCTTCGCGAAGAGCCCTTGCTCAAGGGATACTGGCGAGCCCGTGACCTTGGCCGCCTTGGCAAGGCCAAGAAAGCTCTCGACGATAACATCGAGCAGATTGTGGCCGCAATCGAGATCGAGAGGGAGGTTTCTGAGATGTGCCTCTTACCCATCAAGGCGGCCGACTTGTACGTTATAGGTCAGAGCAAGGACGCCAATCAAATCACCAACCGGCCACAAGACTGTTATCTAGATACCGACAATCGTATCTCGGTAATTTTCAATGACATCGGCTGCTAGCCAGAGGCTCCTGGCGGCGTCTCCAACTACCGTCGAGATCTGATTAACGGCCACAGTACAATTCGCAACCATGCCTGGCGGAGACGGCAAACGACTACGGGATTCCTCGCTTCCAAGTCGAGAAAAGCGTCCAGTCCCTGAAGCTACTACCGCTATGGGGCGTGGACGGCAAGACTCCTAATCACGGCGTCATCGACAACCTGCTCCAGTCACAAGTAGACGATAAAATCAGAATCACAGATACACGCCGCGATATTATCAAGACCTTTGTTCCCTTGATCAAACTATTTGTCCGGGGGGCTCGGACTAAAGCGCCGTCGAGGACCGAGCTACAACAGTATAGCCAAGTATTCATTGCGCTCTCCAACTATTTCGAGAACAAGGACTATAATACGACATGGCAGTCCAAGGAGGTTATGGGCGCATGGGTCGAGGCCTGGTTGACGCCCTACCATAATACCAACGTGCGGGAGCCTGCAACGTCTTTTGATGTCGAGCGGCCCAGCATGAATGATTTCCAGGATGCCCTTGCTATTTACAGCTCGTACTTCTTCATCTTCTCTGTCGAGGTCCCTGAAGATTGCCCGCGTGTCTTCTAAAGCACGCACCATGGAATCAGCAGCCTGTTTGGCCTTATTCTCAAGTACCGCCGGGGCGTGACATTCGGCATTTGGGACCACGCTATCCTGTGGCGTGAGTGCTGTCTCAATATTAGCCCGGCCCAGTCCTCCCTCTCTATTCCCGTGCAGTCTATGCTACTGGCGGGTATCGGACTGGCTACGCGGCTGGCCTACTTCCACGCCGACGTGATTCTACCGTGCACGTCCGTCTTTAATCCGTGAGTGTGCTCCCCCCCCTTCCCCCCCCGCCGGGGCGCGAAACTTTGTTCAAGACTAACAGCGATGCGCCAACCAGGATTTGGGAAGCCGAGCTTGGAACTGATAGTGGGCGTCTGATACACCGTAACCAGTTTTCACGCAAGATTGATCCTATCGTCAACGGCATCTCGGATATGGAATCGTTCCGTCCGACCGACAAGGTTGAGTCCAATAAGCCGACTGTCGTCATGCTATCCAACGTACAATTCATCAAGGACATCAAGACAGCCCTCATCGCCGCCGACATCATTGTGAATAAGTTTGGCTTTTGCGAGTACAAGCTTCTCATCTATGGCGCGCAGGATCGCCAGCCCGCCTACGCCATCGAGATGAGCAAACTGGTCACGGCTTACAACCTTTCCGACCATGTTTCGCTGGCCGGGTTTGCCTCTTCCCAGGAGGTCTTGCGTAGCGCGTGGCTCTTCATGAACAGCTCCATCTCTGAGGGCCTACCGCTGGCCATTGGTGAGGCAGCTCTTGCCGGCGTCCCCATAGTCGCCACTGAAGTTGGCTCCACGGCGCTTGTGCTGACGGACCCGGATGACGAATCTTTGCGTTATGGTGAGGTCGTACCCCCTAACGATCCCATGGCGCTAGCGCGAGCTCAGATCAGCATCCTCGCCATGGTCGGACCGTGGAGCCGCTTTACTAGGGATGGCCCTGCTTTCGCTGCCAGCCGCGCCTCCAGACACGCTGTCGTTCTGCCTGACAGTATTACGGCCGCGGATGTTGAATGGCTGACACGGCGAATGTACGAGCGTGCTGACGACCGCCGGCGGCTGGGCCTACGCGCTAGAGATGTGGTGCTCCGTAGCTTCCACGGGAATCGTTACCTGCGCGAGCACGAACAGATGTACTGGATTCAGTGGCACATGGCTAAAATGAGGGCCGATGGCAGCCTGTCTCACGGTGCCAGGGGCTTGCGATATGTAAGATCGCAGCCTATGCTGAGGTATTCTCGAGGAAGCGAGGGGAAGGCGAATGAAGAGCATTCTCAGTCAAAACGGAAACATCTACGGTGGCAGGACTTTCCGACGCAGGAGAAGCGAGTCGGCAAAAAGCTGAGGAAGAAGCATCGGGACGAACTGGCAAGCTGATAATTTGTCAGTGTTTACTTGGAGGCTGATATGGTTTACTGGGCAATCTTCCACGAGTTTCGACTAACTCCTTCTGCACAAACGTTGTAATTGCCACGTTTTCCAGCTGTAGATTAGGCACCCAGTCCCAGAGGTGCAGCACCTAATTAGGTATCTTGGGTATGTACTAGGTTGATACGTCATGATCCGTACACTCGTGTGCCTACGCAGTAACTTGACCTTGCAAGTATCAGATAATTACCCAAGACTTGGTACTCTGTTTTGTTTGGAGTGCCATTGAGCCTCCCCACTGTCTCTAACCATTATTCACAACTCTCGAGCTGTGTCGCCGGGTGCCAACTGCTCAACGTCGACTTCGTACCTTGGAGAAGAAAGTCTTCGCACGTTTCACGAGTAGCGGACTCTTTATAAAAATTATCGAGACATAGGCATCTTGGCCGCCGCAGAACAGCCAGGAGCCCCGAAATTTTCCTTATTCACCCAACCTTGCCGGAAACGTCTCTGGGCCCGCGGGCTCTGCGGCTGGGGTTTACATTCAACGTTCCCATAAAAGGCTATGACCCCATCGCTGGCATCAGCACAGCTACAACCACTCCATTCCCCCATGCCTTTGCTTCGTCAGGGCCAAAGATGCCACCCAAAGCCTTCCATTCGGTACTCGAGGGAGCCCAACGTAAGCCATCCCACGCCTTATGCAACATCTGGTAATCCGTACCCAGACCAAAAACATCAATCCGACCAATCCCTCTCGTCACTGCAACCGGCGCGCTGGTGAAGATACCACCAAGATATTCCCAACCCACCCCCGAAGGACTCCACCCGCTACCATCCCAGGCCTTATGATACAAGCCGTCGTCAATCCCCAAGCCAAAAACACCATGCCTGTAGCCGAGGGCAGCCAGGCCGCCTCCCCATCCCAGGCCTTGTGCCACATCGCATTGTCAGTACCAAGCCCGAAGACATCGACGCGGTCTGGTCCCCAGGACACAACAGCAGGCGGGCTGTTGAAGATTCCGCCAAGCGACTCCCAGTCGGCCGTCCACGCAGACCCGTCCCAGGCCTTGTGCCACATCGCATTATCGGTGCCGAGCCCAAAGATATGGACGCGGTCCGGTCCCCAAGACACGGCAGCAGGCGGACTGACAAAGATGCCGCCTAGGTCCTCCCACTCGATCCAGCCACCCGCCGCCGCCGCACCGTCCCAAAAAGCCTTGTGCAACATCTGATCGTTCGCCCCTATCCTAAATATGTCCACCCGGACCGGCCGGCACGATAATACCACGGCCGGCGGGCTGCCGGTGCTGCTGAAGATGCCACCCAGCGACTCCCAGTCGGCGGTCCACGCCGACCCGTTCCGGGACCTGTGCCACATGGCGCTGTCAGTGCCTAGCCCGACGACGTCGACCCAGTTAGCGCCCCTCGACACGGCGGCAGGCGCGCTCGTGAACTGCTATCCAAGATACCTATTAGGTGTTGCACCTCTGTCAACTTTTCGCGAGGCACTACTTTTGGGCACTGAGGTTCCAGAAAGGGGCTTCTCTTCCCTCTTTTTTCGGATCTGCGAGTTCAAGTTTGCAATGCTTGATCTTGTCCAGGATGACTTTTTTTCGAGATCAGACCAAATCCGCATATCCGCTCCTCCCAAAATGGGAGGGCCCTGGTAGGATCCATTATATCTTTGCCCCACTTAATGGTCATCTGACCGCTATTCTAAATCAATGCCCGATCCTCGGACCACCAAAGTGAAATCTGACTCAACATCGAAGATGAGGCAGCAGAGAATCACAGACTTCTTTCCCCGAGCCAACGGCGTAGCGGCGGCGCCGGCGGCGGCGGCAGCGAGCCCTGTCGTCCCAAACCTCATGAGACTGCCGCCCAACGTTAGGCGAGCAATCTACAACCTCGCCGGCCTTGAACAGGAGGCAATAGAACCGTTCATCGACCTCAACTGCTGGAGAAATCGCCAACCAGATACGCTGTCCCAGGACGATTGGTGCGGAGATATTGAGTCCAAGGATCTAGAGAAGTCGCCGGATGGATACTCTCTAGCCGATGTCTGGAAGCGCGTACGTCTCCGCGTCAATTGGAGAAGGAGAATTCCGATCAACCTCCTACATCTGTCTCGCACCATCCACGACGAGGTGGAGGAGGCCCTATACGTGTCCCGTATTTGGGGAGTTTCAGCAAGCGGCGCTGGCGGGTTGGATGTTCTCGAGAACCTTAGCCCAAAAGCTATGAAGGCAATCAGATGCCTACTCATCAGCCTCACTCCTTGCGGATGCTCCAGCTGCTTCTTGTCAGGAGTCTGTACGAATCCCATACCCACCGACTTGAGGCTATATCATAGCGTGTATGACCCGTGGTTCTCTCACTTCATTGAGCCGAGCGGCTGTCCTTGGAGCGAGCGGGAGGGAGGGGACGCATACCGCAACGAGAGGCCTCTGGATATTCGCTTGACGCTTGACCGCCGCACTACCGCACAGTGGGACAGGATCTGCCAGAAGCTAGAGCAGAGTGCTGAGCTGCAGCGACTCAGTCTCTATGTTCACTGCGTGGTCAAGGACTTTAGGACGGCTGAGCGTATCGCGACGCCACTTCGTCAACTCCACTCACTCAAGGATCTCGGTATTTCGTTCGGACGGCGCAAGAAGACACCAGCTTCACACGACGAGCAGCTCTCCGCATTAGCGAGGGCCACAGTCGAGGCAGCAAAGTACCAGCCCAGCTTCCCCTTCTTCGATCTCCCCACAGAACTACAGCTTCAAGTCCTGGGCTTCACGCATATTGTTAATGATGGCTACGAAGTCAAGTACTTTGACAAGAGGCCCGTGCTGAACCGGCTCTGCGACGGCGGCTCCGAGCATGTCATCCCCCAATTTTCGAGGCTCGAAGGGCACTACGCCTGGCTTCTCAGCGAGGTGTTCTGTGCCAAAACCAGCATGGCGTTTAGGGGCCGCTGCTGTCACTGCAATGCGGTGCCAGTCTCATACTTCCTCGTCAGCAAGCAATTCCGCGCCCTGGCGCTGGAGTTATTTTACGGCCGCAACCGCATCCTAGCCGCATACAACAACATCAGCTGGTGCACGGTGGCCGCTCTCGAGCCTAGCGGCGGCGTACGCACTAGGACCGCGACCCCGCACGTGCTGCACCACCTCACCCGGCTGACACTCGTCGCGTCGATCCGACGTAACGTGAGCGCTACAGTCGAGTTCACGCGCCTCGTTGAGCTGCTCCGCACGCACGCGCGTCTGCCGTCGCTGACCTTGGAGCTACACGTGCGCGACGCGCATGGGCGAGATGACGTAGTGGCGGCGCTCCAGGGTATCCCCGGCGCGCGCGGTGAGGCGCGGCGCAGGAGGCGCCACACCGAGATCTAATTACAGGGTGATATTCCGGCATGTCCGCAAGAACCTTGCCGGGTGCGGCTTGAAGGCATTCCTCCTGTATCTGTGGTGGGAGGGGTTCGTCCCCGAGACCACGGGCGAAGACGTCGAGGCGCGGAGGGAGCTGGAGCGGGAAAAGGAGAGAGAGATTATGGGTGAGGGATACGACTCGGAGAAATGGGGCAAGGAGCTCCACCGAAAGCCATTCCCTCGCTCAAGAATCTTGGTGAGGCGCAGCTGGTATTGAGCGTCCCCCCCTGTTGCAGTGGCTGTTTCATCGGGCCGATCTCGTCGGTCTGGCGACGAACGCACGCACGCTGAGGCTGCGGATATGGGCGACACAGTTGAGCGGTCGGCACAGTCACAGTGTTTGAGTGACGGATCGGGAACGCGAGTCCTATGTTTTCTGCCCAGTTTCTGGGGCGGACTTGGATTCCCCCGCAGACAACAATGAAGAGTCCTGCAGCTCGATGTTGTAGCACCGTTGAAGGCCAGGGCAAAACCGTTGATTCGACCAATTTTTGAAGTCGGAAAGGATTGCTGCCGTAAGCCGGTTGGTTTTTTTTCAGCAGCATGCATGATCAGAGTCGCAACGCCGCCGCTGGTCACCGCCTGCTTGTCAGCGCAGGGTAGCTCGAACATGCTTGTCAGCGCGCGGGGTAGCTCGAGCATGACAAAGGCAGAGCATCACGTCCGTCTTCAAAGACCCCCAACCTCCCCGAGTTTTGGAAATTGTTTTGTTCCCTAATTTACCTTCCCGATGGCATCGCAAGCAAAGCAACCTTCCAACCCCCTTCAGCCTTTCAACCTCCCGCTCAGTCTTCTCCGCCATGGCTCCGGGTTGATTGGCTTCGGGCTCCTCTTCGGCTTCGTGGTTCCTCTCACGCCCTATCCGCGCCTCGGTCTGACGGCCCACATCCAATTCGCCGTCGAGGGCACCATGGTCGTCGCCGCTGGCGCACTGCTCAATTCTAAGCCATTTCGAACAGCTGCCGGCGAAGCCTCTGACAAGCGGGTGGTGGATTATCTTGCGCCCTGGCAGCGGAAGATTGTATACTATGGCATGACGGGCATCTGGGTAACGCTGCTTTCAGAGGCGGCGAATGCATGGTGGGGAACGCAGTGGGTGCTTCCCATTGCGCATGCTGCGGCGGGTTTGACAGGTAGCGGGCCGGCGCAAGTATGGATGGAGAGGGTTGTGAGTGTCGCGCATTATCCGTTTGCGATGCTCTTGGCTACCGTAGTGAGTAAGACCTTGACCATCCTGGACATTGAGAGTGGACGCTGATATTTGGCTGGTATACAGTGGCCGGTCATTACGACGGCTCTGTTTGCAGCGGATTGAGTTGTCATCACCGGCGTGGGTTGGGTCCCATTTCAAATCTCGGCCACGTTGCAGTGCTAGGTAAAGTCGTGAGATCTGATATTGCCGCTCGACTCCACTACATCCCTGACTCTCTGGGAGGTGACCGCCCTCCAAGAGTATCATGCCGGGAATCATGTTATAGGACTACATAAATAAATATAACAAAGGCTGGGCATCGGAGCGCTCCAGCTCCCAAGACTTTGGACTAGTCTAGACAGAGACACCATTATATTCCAACAGCGTGAGCTATAATCCTTTGGCGTATGTTTCTTGCCTCCGCATCGGGCAAGAAGTTACCAAACTCAGTCTTCTTAGTCAAATACTTAGTCTCGTTATCCTAGATATATAGTTCGCAGACCCGCCGCTTGGCGTAGTACACGGGCCGAAAGACCTGATTTGTACTATTCCACGTACGCAATATGCTCCCATCCACAGCTTTAAGGAACCACTTGTCGCCCGTATCCATGCTCTACTCGTGAATCACCTGACCGGCAAAGCAGTAGTGTATGCGGCTTGCGGTCCGGCCAAGCGTATCGACGGCCTTGTAGGGGAGTCCCTGGATATTAAGAAAACTCGCCTGCCGGAGAATCACGCCGTTCTTGTCTGACCTGGTCTTGTCTGTTGTGGAGAGTAAAGAACGAAGAATCTCAAATCGAATACACTCGCGGCCCATAGCGTCGCTAAATGAGCGGGACGGAGCCCCTACGCTGTAAGCAGAGGCCCGCGCAGCTGCTGCCTCTTCTGTACCGAGCTGGCCATGTTTGCGCTGGTCGTACCATATCGGGAGATACTCGTGCCCCGGCAGTCGGGCGATAATACTTCTAACGTCCGGGTCCTCCGCTGGGTTGCCAATAAGGACGGTATCCGTCTTGTCCCACACCTCCAGGGCCTATGGTAAGAAGACGCCCCAAACACCCGGCCCAGGCACCCGCCAGATTGAACTACCTAACTATGTATATAAATAGTAGCCCTCGCCCACCTTCCTTTCCGAGGGCCAGGTTGAAGTCTTTTACCAATACCAGTCATTGTTCGCCCTATTATTCCCTTCACTGTGATCACCTTGATCAGGCGTACCTGCCTTCTCTTACAAATTTGTACTCATTAGTATAGCCTCACTTTTCTTAGGACGGGCAGATGGATTTGGCTGGACTAGTGGGTTAGATGCCCCGACCTGGCCCTGTACTCAACCCGAGTCGCCAAAAGCGTTGGAAGCAATTGGGTCGGTTTCCATTTTTGGCCCTTATAACCTACCCAAAGGCTGAACCAAAAGTGGCCTTAGATTATACGCAGCCGGCTGCGTTACTCGTTCTTCTAGCTACACTGTGTTGTTGCTCCCGACTTCCTGAGCATCTCATTCTCTCGCTTGCCAATCACATGACACCGTCGGAAGCACCGGCTGTCACATGGCCTCTAGGGCCAAGACTGCCACTGGGGATTCACACCTCTCAACAGTCTCTCATTTCGTATCTAGGCCTCCCGAGGAATGAGGGAGAGAAGCTGGGCCCACTCGCGTTGTGGGGTGTAAGGGGAAGAATATGGCAGTTTCGAAACTATTTTGGACATAAAGAGGACCCTGTGATCAAGTGGGTAATGCTCCCTGCGAGAGCCTCAAAGAAAGATGCGGCTCGACTTCGAGTCGAAGTGTGTCTTACAGGTAGGTGCTTTAGGGGCACGTTTGGACGCGCTAGTACGGGGGCTAACCCTAAAAAGGTCAGGCCTAAGTTACTGTGCGTTGCAAGCGCCAGGTAACAATCCACTTTTGGCGCTAGAGGGCCAACCTTTGCACAGAGCCATGATTTGTGACATGCGCGCCATCCAACGATTGAACAATTCCTACATTCAAGCGGCTTTTCTTCGTCAAAACGCCCTGTATAAGGCCAAAAAGTAGCTCAATCGAAAGCCCTCGGTCCGGCGCACATTGCCCGCGTGTCTTTTACCATGGTTCAGTACTTGAACCGCGACCAACGCACATCGGCGTATTGCATGCCCGTGGGCAACGAAAAACCACCAGCCATTGCAGGCGGTATTTGGCTTCTGGTGATCCTTTTACCGAGGCAAGAAGCCGATTTAACTCCCGTCTTCCAGAAAGGCTTGGATTCCATTCAGGGTGGCTGCCGGGCCCGGCTACAGCCTCCCGGGCTTCTTGAAGCTTGAGATCGGCGGCATTCCACTTATTCCGTCTGTTGAGGCCGATCTCGTCTACCCACTTGTGAATGTCTTCAGCCGACACGTTACGGTGTGTAGTTGTACCGTCGTCAACAAAACACCACTGGTAAGGCTGCCTCTGGATGTAATGCTTACATCCAGACCCGAGGCTACACTTCAACAGCTTCTGAAGCGCAAGGTAGTTCAATATTGTTTCCTTTCCATCTCTTTCTTCTTGAGCATGCCGGTTATCGACAACCTTTTCCATCTTGCCGCAGAAGGTGTGTTCGAAATAACAGGCGTACTAGGCATGCGGCTGTTGAACATACTCGGCATAGATCGCGAAGTGGGTGTTGTAACGGGAGGTTGTTCGAGGGTATACAGATGCGTGAGGTTGAGGTAGAACATACCCGAGTTGCAAGGTAGAAGGCTTTGAATAACGGCTGTAGCTTCGATTAGTTGAGTTGGAAAGGAAGCACTTCCTTTCGAAGGCGCATATATGTAGTTAGAATACAACGTGGCATCATTTGACCTCGCCATTCTTACTCCAGCCGAGTAATCAAGGCGGTAGAATGTTGTGAGGAAGCAAGATGCCTCTCTTTCGACTGCCTTCGCCATAGCGCTTTGTACGGTATACGCCTAATCTAGTAGATCTTCGCCAACGAACATACCGAGGCCATCTTCGTCTGTAGGGTGGCCCTCTGTACCGCCTCGCTCGCTTATTATCTTCTTCATCAATACCGTAGGTGGCGGTGCCGGCGGAGGGGCTTTGAGGCTCTAGAAGAAGGCGCTTCTATGCCACTACACCGTGCATTACATGCGAATGTCGGCCGATGCCGGGAAGGTATATTCAGGAAGAGCGTTACTACCGGCAACTATAATATCGTCTTCGTCGGCATCGTCAACTTGTTCGACTTCGTCAACAGACGAGGCATCGTCAGAGGCATCGTCAGCGGCATCGGTAGAATCGGCCACTTCGGGTGTGGGCTTGCTCGCGCCGCGCGCAGTACGCTTCTTCGAAGCCGGCTTGGCCTTCATATGCTTGAGGGCATCGACAACCTTTGCAGAAGGCTTCTTAGCTCGGCCTTTCCGAGGCGGCGCCGTGACAGCATCGTCGTCAATGCTGCTTTGCGTCGGAGCCCGGCTCCGTTTGGTAACCAAAACTGGCAGCATCTTCGTCCCCTGTTTCTTTTACTCAGCCCAATAGCGACTGCATGTCAAAGACTGCCCAACTCACACGGCAGCTGGAACCATTCATTGGTGAACCCGCCCACCAGTAGAAAATTGGTTTCCGGAGCCTGATGAAGGGCCCAGGCCTGCCCACAGGACCCGGTAAACTCTGATGTGACCATGGGACAGCGCTGCCATCAAACCAAACAGCCCAAACGGCGGCCCAAATTTGGTTTGGCTGGCTTGATGGAATAATTACACGTTTGGTCTGGCAAAATAAACAGCGATACTGCGGGACCCCAGAAAATTCTCTCGCGAACCCCCCCCCCCCCCCCCGGGTTATGGTCCTTCTCCACCGACGAAATCTGCATTGAGCCTTCAATTCTCTCTCAGACTGCAAGAGTCCCTCCTCAGTCTGAAACCTTCCGAAATCAACCTCTGCAGGTGTTTACTAGTAAAGTCAATCTCCAGCTTCTCCTCGCCAACAATCCCATCTCGTATTTCCTCCTCTGAGACCCACAAGAAATCCTGGTGTTCGCAGGGATTGAGTCTGATATGCTGCCCGCCTGGGACCAAGGCCTCAACATCCGCCTCAAAAACGTATCGGCAAAACACCTTGGTCCTGGTACTGTTGCTGAAGACGAACCCATCCGCTTCTGTCTGAAGTTGTGCTTCCGACTCGGGAGAGCCGATCACGGCAGGCGCGGTGACGAGCCTGGTCAGCGCTCGGGCAAGCAGGCCTATCTCTTCCCAGAGCTCCCTTGCCACGGCCGAGATGATGGTGGCGTCCCTGGCTGGGTCGTTGGATACGACACCGCTGGGGATTTCCCATTTCTCGGGAAGCGAGTCGGTCTTGGCGCGCTGGATCACGAGCACCCTGGACTCCGGGGAGAACACCAAGGCACCCACGGCGATGCCATCCCAGGGTTTATTGTGACGGACAATGTACTCTTGTGCTGGGCCATTGAAACGCTCAAGATGGGGCGGGACAACCAAGTCCGGGATGGCGGGCATCGGTCCGGGACGCGTAGTCTGCGTTGATGGTTGAGCGGCCATTGTAGAAACTCCCCTGGGGCGACGGCGAGGCTGCGTGAGCAGGAGAGCGAAGCGGTGTGCCTGTTGGATTCTTAGAATGGCCGTCATAGGGCTCTGGCATTGAACGGTTCGGCGGGTACGGAGGAGCTGAGGGATGGTAAAATGAGCTGGCGCCTCCCTCCTTATGACGTGGGCGCTAATGCTTACCGTTGTATAACCCCAACAACCGATTGCAGCAGCACAGCCCCAAAGCCGCTACCAATACGTGTAGAACCTCGGGCATCACACCACCTCTCCAACGCCGCCAATTGCACCCCCCTCGGGTAGATGCCCAGTGGAAAGCGCTATCAACAGCATGCCGCCGACATGTCCTACGCCCAGCATCAAGGCAAAGACCCTATTGACCTAGGCTTATTCGTTATCTCCTCACAAGGCTATGTGGCGTCGAATGAAACTAGCAGTCGTCCGCGCTCTGGCGGTACGCAGGGCGCTTATACCACTGCCCCTTTTTTGGGTGGTTGCTGAGGGATTTCTAAGCAGCGCGACTGCGTTCTCAAAAGAGGGACTCGAAGCCTCTCTTCTTGAGAGCCTCGTCTCTTCTCTACTACTGATGAATCCCCTGGTTTATCTCTCAACACCGAAAGAGTTCTCTAGTTTTCCACCTCTGCATCACTGCTCCAACAATCATCATGGAGCCGTACCAGTACCAGCCGATCCGGGAAGCCAACACGGTGAGGATGCTGACCCTGTCTGCCGGTCTTCCAAACGATCCCCTGAGTGGCTTCCTCAACGAGTTCAACATGGACCGCGCAGCCCACGAGGCCTATGAGCCCCTGTCTTATGTCTGGAGTTCGCCCATCTTCGACCACACCTTCATTTGCGACGGAAAGCGGTTAGCCATCACGACGAGTCTCAACTCCGGGCTGCGCCGTATTCGCATGCCCGACAGGGACCGGCACGTGTGGGTTGACCAGATCTGCATCAACCAAAAAGATGCAGCCGAAAGAGGAAGCCAGGTTCAGTACATGAACGCCATATACAAGCAAGCAAGCCGAGTTCTCGTGTGGCTGGGCCCGGATACGGGGCACGAAGCCGACGCGGCCTTCTCCTTTGTCAGATCGCTGTCCGAAACGCTTAGCGATGCCGACCGATACGCTCAGTTCAGGGCCGGCCACACGAGCGAGATGCTAACTCAGCGAAGTGAAGAGGAGTGGGCGTCGGTGAAGGTACTGACGCAGCTGCCATGGTTCGAGAGGGTGTGGATCATACAGGAAATTGGAACCAGGGCGCCGGCGACGCTCTTCTGGGGGGATGCATCGATGGATTGGTACACGCTGTATAGTGTGTGCGACAGGCTAACAGAGTTCCACCATCTGCGCCGCCATTTCGACATCGAGACGTCCAAAGTAAAGTTTGTCTTTCAGCGCTTCGTGCCGCCCGATGTTGCCACCCGGCACGCCAACCGCCTGAGCTTCATCTACGAGCTGCACCGAGCGCGCCATGTCAAGGCGACTGACCCGCGGGACCGTGTCTTCGCCTTCTTGGGACACTACTCGGTGACCGGCAGAGAGCTGCGCGGACTCCAGGCGAACTACGACGCCAAGACCGGCACGCTCCCCAACGTGTACTGGGATGCGGCCAGTCGTGCCCTGGAGGGGGGTGGTGCAGACTCCGGACTCATCACCCTCGCGGCGGTCCAGCACCATGAGCTTGCGTCCTCCCTTACCGACTGGCGCAAGCGTCGGGACAAGGCAGGCGACCGCGACTACATGCCGTCGTGGGTCCCCGACTGGCGCACCTACACGTCGCACATCCTCTCGGAGCCGACCTCACCCCACCGCGCGTGCGGCACGGGCAGCCTCTCGAAGCCGTCCTTCGTCGTCGACGGGAAGTCGCTCCGTATCAAGGGTGTTGCCATCGATGTTGTCACAGAGGCCTCGGCGCCGCTGAAATCCAAGGCCTTCCACAAGGTCGAACCGGGCAAGCAGACCCTCATCGAACAACTGTGGCGTACAGTGTGTGGGTACGGAGTAGATGCCGGCGGCGATGGCGGCGGCCACCTGTTCTCTCTGCGTCCGCTGTACCGGCAAGATGATGAAGCCAAGGACGCAGCGCAGTCCGGCGATGCGCGCCGTCCAGCCGTCCTGGCGTACATGCAGACACTCAGCAATGGCGGCGCGGCAACGGCGCTAAGGCAATTTGATCGGCTACGTGCTTCCGCCAGCGAATCCGGCGACCCCAGCGATTCTACCCCAGACTCGTCAGGACGGCGCGAGCAAGAATCCCGTGAGGATTTCTTCCGGTCGATTTCCGATAGCCAATGGCTTGCCCAGGGTGCCGCCTACCTAACACGCACCATGGCAGCGGCGGGTGACGTCGAGGCCATGAGTCCCGAATTGCAGTCGCTGGCGACGTCGGAAGGCGGGGGGCTCGATGATGCCGAGTGGTCGCGCTCGGCCAACGGCGCGTCGAGCGGCCGGGTTTTCGCGCGCACTATAAAGGGTTATTTCGTGCTTGGGCCCAAAGTGATGGCCAAAGGCGACCGCATCTGCGTGCTCTGGGGGGGCAAAATGTGCTTTTGCCTGCGGCCACTGGACCAAGGCAGATTCCTGCTCGTGGGAGAGTGCTACGTGCACGAGCTGATGAATGGGGAGGCTATCCGCCAGGTGGAGAAGAATGAGCTGCAGGAAGAGGAGTTTGTGCTGGTCTGATTGAGTGTCACGGGAGGGAACCGTGGTTGATGGTCAGCTCTCCGCATTAGAACCCCACAGAGCTTGCCGTTAGGAGTTAGGTACCGACAGGCCCTAGCCGGCTCCCTCCTTCGCCACAACCAAGGCACAGACTCGCCACAAAACTCGCCGCGTCACTCCCCAACTCGGCCCAAGAAAACAGACATGCGACCATCAAGCTGGAAAGCATCCCTCTCCGCAAAACTTTACGCTTTCGTCTCGCCATGGCAAGCAGCACGGAGGACCCCGCTTTCGCATTCACGACGCACACATCAGTGGAGGCCTTCTCCGTCTCCCCGCCCGTCTTCCTAGACTGCTACTTCCCACTCCCCGGCTCCAGTGACACCTCACGGCCGCCTGCGCCGGTCTTTCTTGCGACGGGCGCGATCGTCTTTGACCGGCCACTCCCCAACAACAACTTCCATCCTGGGTCGGCCGGCGTCGACGTCTCCGCTAGCGCGGGTGCCCTACATGAAGCTCTGACGCCCAACCCCAACTCTGATTCCGCAAAGCCACCCCGAGTGCTGCTGATCCAGCGAGCCGCACATGACTCCATGCCGCTCCGATGGGAGACTCCGGGAGGCGGGTGCGATGATGACGACATTAGCATTCTGCACTCGTGCGCTCGCGAGCTGTTTGAGGAAGCGGGCCTGCATGCTACCACCCTGGGGCCTGTGGTACGGGTGGGCTCTGTCTCCAGCTCAGAGGGCATCCATGGTGGTGAGTCAACGAAGAAACAGGCGCATGAATGGGGCGAGGACATGGGCGGGCAGTTCTTCCGGACAAGACGAGGGAAGCTGGTCTGCAAGTTTTATTTCGTCGCGGGGGTGCCCGAGGCGCGGACAGCTGAGGTGGTGGTTGACCCGAAGGAACACGTTGGCTATGTCTGGGTGACCGAGGAGGAGGTTAGACAGAAGAAAGTGCAGGGGGAGGAGGGTGGGCTGGATTTGGAGTTTACCACGCAGGCGCAGTGGGAGGTGATCTTGACAGCGTTCCATCTCTGGCATGCTTAGGCACCTAGGCACCTGGTTATACACATTCATAGAGTTTACGAGAGCTGATAGATAGACAGCGCCAACGTGCGTGATAAGCGAGTCAGCCAGACAAGCGAGTCAGCCACTCTAACAAAATTGAGTACATGCATGCGAAAATGCGATAAGAAAACGAATCTTGTTAGAGTGGCTAACTCGCTTGTCTTAAATCAACGAAAACTAATTCAGATTTATGATTAGTTCTGTTCGAAATCTAGATGTACAACGAGTCTAGAAGCCATGAAGCTCAGCAAGAGCGGTGGAAAGCATATAGCGCGGTGATCATGGGCTCGAGGCTAGAATCTGATAGTCTGAATGTAACGCGTGGAATGATACAACGTGCATGGCAAGCGAGCGCAACAGATAAGCAAGCGCAACACTTTCCCAGAGGACTAGAGAACAACCAACCCTCTCCGATGCCATCTGCTCAATCGCAACCCCGATTCCGTAAAGTCTAATCCGTGATAAGATCGAATTTCCGTGACTCCCTTCTTCCACCAGATATAGAAAAGCCAATGGCCGCGGCAGATCCCAAATCACGTTATGTTATTAGCATAAGCCCCTATCGTTCGGATGCATTTCTTATCGAGGGACACCAAATAAGAGTATTACCGCTATCTCGCCTTGGTGCTGGAGGACGTCCAGGCACGGATCCACAATCTTGCAAACAATCGCCTCGAGGCTACCTCACTTCTAGAATGACTTTGGGACGCCATCGCAGGCCCATGTCTCAACGAACTTGGCTTTTACCCGTCACCCCTCTAGCAACAGAGTATGGTGGATTCCTACAGGGCCTATCACTAAATTCCCCCCTCATGCGGCCGGACACCACGGCCGAGGTTCTTCCGTAACAGTTCTCGATATGGTGGTTATGGTGTCTTACAGTACGTCTGCGACGGCACTCGCACGTAGTCGTCAGCAAAGCATTTTACAACAGTCGGCTTCACCGTAAGCTCTCCTTGTCGCTATGCAGAATACGCCTGGGGTGGCCTCCGGGCTTCCTTTTGTAGCTGGCGAGGTAAAAATAGTGCGCGAAGTTTGCGAGTCTACAGGCATCTATCGTATGGGCCATATAAATAGGCCTGACCTAGCCAAACACGACCTAGGGTAAACATCTCGAATCTGTTACGGAATAATGCCTTCCTGATCGAACTGTGCCACGAACCAACAAGGCCAACAGGATGACCGGCCCATAAGGAGGTCTTAATTAATGCCTACATTGTTGCCTAATACCGATCTTTTATTCGAAGGATGAATAAGGCCTTCTTTTCCTTCTTTTTCTTCGATAGAGAACAGACCTTTTCAGACAATTCTTGTGGCACGGCCATATGCCTGCCAAGGCGCTTGTGTGGCTCCCCTGTGCTCAAAGTGTGGCGCTACGGTGCTCACATATACACTACCGTGCTCTCTTCTACACTACGCAGGGCATTCCCCTGCGCCCTCTCTTTTGTATATATAGACTGCATTTTCCTTCCTTTCTACTAGATTAAATCTACATCCTTTTCTCAATGCAGTTCCCCAGCTCTAAGTTCTGTGTCACAATTCTAGCCTTACCTTCCTGCATCAAATGCCCCATTTTCAATTGCCCTGTGAATGCGCGTAATAGCATTACTCCCATTGATACAGGACGGAGAAAAAAATGAGCGCGATCACTCATCTACCAAACTACGAGATCTTTCCATTCTACCGGTCATGGCTATACGGATCACGGGGATCCATCCAAGAACTGTTTGCTCCTAGAGGATAGAAAGTGGTAGTTTGTGACACGCTATTTGATCATGACAAATAGCGGGCGTTGACATGGAGGTATCTCGAACCATCCCGTCTCTGCTTCTCCTCGTAATGGTTGTAGAGAACGCAACTTGGTGCGCTGGTGCCAGGACAGGTACTGTAAACCTCGGCGTTCGGCCGGAACAGAGCCCACGGCAGGTCGTACGTGATTTCCTGACGTGTGAGAAGCTCGGTGAGGTGTTGCTGAATCGGGCTGTAGGTGGACTCGACGTAGTCCACCAAGATTTTAAGATGCTCTGCAGCAGTAGCGGCCGATGGATCACTCGTTACGCGCTAGAGGTATGACTCCAGCTCCTCCCAGACATGAAAGATAACGTGCCGTTCCATCTGTATAGAAGTTAGCAACCACACACTAGAGCGTCTCGTGGTTCATACCGAAGGAGTGAGATCAGCCAGGGAGACACTGCGCATGTCTTGGCAGATCTCACGTAGAGCGTCGTATATGAACGCAGATTTAATATCGATGAAGGGCGTCGTTTCATAAGTATATTTATCTACAGCCATGTCAGTAACCACAAGCTCCAGATCAGTGGAACCTTCCCGAGGCGGTTGCCATTATGCCCTCAGATCCTACCAACTTGGCTACGCTGGCCGAGGAGGGCGGGGATAACAGGGCGCCGGCGTTTACCGAGTTAGATATAGCTGTGAATAGTGGCGCGTAGACACTTGCCGAGACGGGGGCAACGGCGTCTGACAGCCGTACTAACGACGCAGATGAGACAATGAGAATACTAGGGAGTATATCCAATTTCGCCCAGGACGAAGGCCACATCTTCCAACTAAGGCAGGGGGGTGAGCATCCTGGGATCCTGCTCATACACCTCTGGAGCAAGGATTCACAGGCGAAGTATTTCCCCGGTTCGCACCTGATCCCTTTGGACAGTGTTCGAGTAGCAAATCGCATGTGGGAGGTGCCACCTGCTGCTCTCGAACAAGCAGGGATTGTAGGAGAAGAGAAGCTTTTCACGGACGGTGGACTGTGAGTCGTCGATCTTGCTTTTGGTTTATATCTTCTGATATGATTTCTAGAGCCATCCTAAATGCTCGGCTTGCCTTGGAAATGCCACATGGATCTCCCGTAACATGTGGGTTTGTTGTGAGGGATGACCTGACCGATATAGAGAAGGAGCTAAAAAGGTGGCCGAGGATGGTCCTACCGAAGAGTGCAGTCCAAATGGTTGCCGAGTTGCAGAGCGAGAAAATGGGTGTACACTTCACAATTAAAGATGAAACATAGGCAAACGCTTAAGCGGATGATAAGTTCCCAGGAACACACAGGTCACTGAATAGTAGCTAGAATGCCAGCCCCTGTTCTGACACGTTACCGCGATTTGTAGAAATTACAGAAGTCTCTCGGCAAATGCCCACCCGCCGTCGTCCATGTGCGCTGTGGCCGTCTCAGCAAATGCCCAACCTCCATGGTTCGCCGCCTCAGTAAATGCCCATCCGCTATCATTTGCATGCATAGCCAGGGCCGTCTCAGCAAACGCCCACCCGCCACTCTTTGAGGATATAACCGTCTCGGCAAATTCAGGATCGCCGAGCATACCAGTGTTTATCGCTAGAAGACGGAGACACGCATGAGCCGCGCTACGCAGCCCGGAAATACCGTAGACATTCAACTGCAAGGGGGGTTGGAAAATCGAGAGATTGGGAATGGTTTACAAGGTGTTCGCAGGTTGACTCACCTTTGCCATAGTGCATCGAAAATTTGGCCACCTGCATAATTGATGTTCAAGTTGGCTCGCGGGCATTCCGCGCGCTGCAACTTGACGCATTTGTGATAATATCTCTTCCGCCTATCAGTTGCTGTTCGTGGTACTCAAACTACGTAGGGATCCTACAGGTCGAAGGGTTGGTAGATCTACCGGGGGTAATCTTGTGTCTATTCTCTCTCTCACTCTCCGGAACTAAGGTAGGTTCTGCTTGCGACCGGGGTTTTTGTCTGTGTGTGTGAGAGGTCCGCGCGCCGCACGTGCTTACTTGCACGTGCGTACCCGCGCGATCTCTGCTTCCTCCCTGCTAGTGTGCGGTCACCAGTATCGCCATTCCAACAGTTGCCTACATTTTTTTACGGATGACCGCATCTTGCAGGTGCATCTTATGTAATGGAAGCCTACCAGGAAAACCCTCTTTTCTGGGGGTAAAACAGGGTCCCCGATGGATTCGGGCAAGCACACGAAAGATTACCACATTAGTTGGTGCATAAGTTCAACACCACCACCACCTATTTTCTCGCTCCTCTTGTCTTTTCCGAAATAAACATCGTAATTCCGCTCTTGCTCTAATCGATACGGACATCGAGGATGACGTGTATATTAAGGACGACTGGCCTAAGATGCCAGATGGTAGCGACTTGGATGGCAAGGAGCTACTCACCCTAGTCCGCAGCGGTAACAACCCCTTCCACGGAGTTTTGGGCGTAAATCTACTCATTCTAGAGATTGAGGAGAATCTCAACACCCAGGTGATCGACATTCCAGCCATCTACAAGGGCTCCAATAGCTACGTGAGTTCCTATTGCAATCTTCAGAATCTGAATCCGTGCTTAGACTAAATTGGGACGTACAGGGTTTCCACATCAAGTTGTCGAATCGAACGGACGTCGTGGCGCGTTTGGCTCGCGGCGATGTCAATATGCCACTCTTTGACGGCTTCCCAATTCATGCGCAGGTTTGCCGGGTCAAGTTCGAGGTGGCGACGTATGAGCTCTTGCGCTCAGAGTCTAATATCTTGGCCTCCCGCCTGCTTTACCACCGTATCCCAGTGCAGCATGATGGCCCTAGACTTGATCTCCCTCGGGATATTGCGGGCCATCGCTTGTTCTTGTTTGAAAGAGCAGAGGGATATAATAATATATGGCACGATCTTAGCTCAGAACAGAAGGTTGTGCCTATATTAGTATCTGCTCGCTCTTTAGTCTAGTTGCGCTAACCTTCTCCAGGCTTGTCTTCTTGCTCAAGCAGCACACATCCGCGCATCACTGTTCAGCTTCAACCTCCCACTCGAATTTGCCACTACTTGGCTCCGCGAACGCCTTTTTGAACAGAAGCCCGAATTGCTCCCCATTTCCGTTGCTCCCACACGCGAGTTCTGCGTTGCTCTTTTCATATCCAAGATCGAAGCGACAATCAGGAACATAGGCGACATGATCGGATGGGAGAGCAACCATGTCACTGTTGGTCCCATTGCTGCGGCAGCCAAACAGTCTCTCTTGCGCCTCATCCCATATATCATACTTACAGATGGCGACCAGACCTCTCTCTATCGCCTCGTTCTTGAGCACAACATGTCGATTACAATGGATGCAAATGGTCAACCCCTCGTGACGTCCCTGTACGACTGGGAGACTAGGTGCATTGTACCAGCTATCTTATCCGATCCGCTAATGGCGGTATGGGTCGATCTAGTGCCAGATGAGAATGCCACCCCTTCATTTATTCGAGTGCCTGACGACGCAACTCCGGATGACCGTGTGGAGTATATGACATGGGCGAGGCAATATTTCAAGGTGCGTTTTTCTATGGTTTTTTAGTAGATGAATAGAGACGTAACTGCATGTGTCTGTATAGGTTCTCTTCACTCAAGCGCCTAATTATGAACGTGCAATCCAGGCAGGGAAAGATGCACGCCATCTTTGGTTTGCGCTGCGAGACTGGCGAGGTGACGATCCGGAGGGATATTTCGGTGGTCTGGGAGCTTGGGCTGAGAGTAGGATGAAACAGCTTGGCGTGGGTGAAGCTCGTGCTGCCTAGAAAGCTCTGGAATGGGCTGGGCTGACACATTGTTGATATTATGCGTCGCAATTACTTCACCGATAAATCCAAGTCGGCTCGTCCAACAAATTTAGCTAGGTCCTTTCTCTCACCTTTCCTGCCTGTCAGGTATGGCTGCCCCGTAATGGGCTTGGGTGGCGGATGATCTGGAAATTCGGCGCTCCAACCCTCTCCAGCCGGGGGCAAGGGCGTCAAAGCCGGTGCCATCTAGTCTTCGTTGTAAATCAGGCATTCGTCGCTCCATGTATTAGCGCCGAGCAGGTCAATCTAGCTAAAGACATCGAATCCCAATGTTTGCGACCGGTAGTGCTTCTAATCTGACCGACTCAAGCCACTCGGAAACAAAGGTGTGGACGGACGTAGGACCGGAGGCCGGATGGACGGGGTCGATAAAGTCTTTGAGGAACGAGGCGTATGGATGCTTGGGAGGGTTGGGCTTTGGCTATTGTAGAGTCTGTACGAGCTGCCTTATTAGTTGTGGATACGTGTGGGCGAATATTATTATACCTTGCCCGCCTGGTCTGTTTCCTCAATTCTAGGCTGTTGTGTGTCCGTCCGTGTTAATCGGGCTCTCTTCGCGGGCGACGGATTGCTCTCTGTCGCGTCGAGTCGCCTCTTCCGAGCCTGCACAGGTGTCGTGTCTCCGGCGAGATCTCCAGTCTGGGGAGACTGCTCTCGGTGGCTCCGCGAAAGCTCTATACCTGATGTGTTAACAAGTCTTTCTAGTCTCTGGGGATATCAATATGCGTACCTGTAATGTTACCTGCGATAGCGTCTAGTAGCGTTTCTTGCAAGGCCTTGGATAGTTGTATACGAGAGCGGCGGGTCCAGGCCTTGGAAACTCCGCCGTTCATGACGAGGAACGTGCTGACGCGCGCAGGGGATGGAATTTGTTTCGGGCGCTCAGGCTGGCCGATGGAAAGGCCTGCTGTGAGCTGCAAGGTCGTTCGTTTTGTTACAAGCAGTCGCAAAAGAGTCAAGGCGTGGGGGCGGGGCTAGGAACGATTGGTCGCCGGCCTCCAACATGCATGCGGGGTTAGGGCGCCTGTTCGCTACGAGGACCTTTTTTCCCGGACGTACGGAAAAGTCGGGCGAAGAAGGTGCGGGCGAGAAAGGTGGGTGAGGAAAAAAAATAGATGAGGAAAGGTCGGCGAAGAAAGGTTGGCGAAGCGAAAAGTAGATGGGCGAAGAAAGGTCGGTAGAAGAGGTAGGTGGGCGAGGAAAGGTCGGTAAAAGGTCGTGGGGAAAGGTAGGTAGGTGAGGAAAAGTTGGTAAGGAAAGGTCAGTAAAGAAAGCTTACCGCGAGGTCTCTTTCAGCGGGGCATAGGGTAGTGGGAGGTAGGCTATTCGAAAACGGAAGTCACCGTTTTATAACGGCCAATTTTACACAGGTCCGTGGGTCACTAACAGAGGGAAAGAGGGACCCGTTTTTGAATCCCAAGTACCCCCTGTTTTTGACCCCCTCTACCTCGTAGGGCAAGCTTCTAGGGAAATATTTGTTAGCGGGGGACTTTCCAAGATCTAAATAACTTACTCCAGTATCTTACGACTCGCCGTAAGGGCTTTTATGAAGGAGGTAATAATTAAGGTCCTTGAATCTGTATTTTATTCTTTTTTTCCTTCCTGGGCACCACGCTAATAAACATGCGGGGACTGAAGTGTACGGAAATTACCGTACGTAACCTATCCTAGCTAATCAAACTCACGCGCCGTTCATTTGCGCGAGGGACTACGTCGTGGCGAACGGGTCTCACCTCAATCACCCCACATCCTAGCGCGGATGCTAGCAAGAGTGCCGCCAAGTCCTTTATAACCTCGCGGCCATGGTATATATATGCGCTGGACCAGGAGGAGGAGAGGACTAGACTAAATCGCATCCCTTGGACCCTTGAACGATTTTACGACAAGAACCATGAGCAGCTCGTCGCGAGGAGGTGGAAAGAGGCATCTCACACAAGCATGGCTGGAAGTGGAAACACGAGCCCCCGTCGCCTGAGCCCGAGCCTCTCGGCAGCATCGAGTACACGCCATCTGAAAACGACGAGCTGGAAGCCATCCCGCCCCCAACCCCCCGCTCCATCCACCCCCTTCACGTCCGCCACTAGACCTAAGTAAATGGAGAAAAATGCCGATCAGAGGTCGGTCTGCGCTACAGCAATCGAGGACCCAAACACCGATATGGTGCTGTGGGAGTCGGGCGCCATCATCACGTACCTCGTCGAGCAGTATGACACCGGCAAGACGACACCGGCAAGACGCTCAGCTATACGACCTTGAAGGAAAAGAATCTCATCGACCAGTGGCTAGCTACACGTTCAGATGAGCGGCCAGGGCCCGTACTCTAGCCAATCCACGTGGTTCGCCCCCTCTTGCCCCCCGTCTCACAATCCGAGCTAAACAGTCACCAGTTTCAACTTCCTCCACTCCGAGCCGGTCCATCGGCCAGAGCCCGGTACGCGGTCGAAGCGAAGCGGGTCCTGGGGGTGCTCAACGGCGCGCTGGTGGGGCGCAAGTGGCTGGTGGGCGACAAGATGACGATCGCCGACCTGGCCTTTGTGCCGTGGAACGAGCGGGTTGAACATGGTGTTGCTGTCCTGCTCTGCCAAGTATCCCTCCATACGAGGGAGCAAGAAGGCTGGGCATGTTGGCCTTGATTCCGACCTTCCTCTGAAATTTGCGCCGCCCAATGTTTCGGCCATTCCAATTCCAATGACGATTTGATGTTGAGGGGCGGCATTCAAAAAACCCCAAACCCTCCCAAAAGCGATCGTTTGACCAACGACGCCGCCACACCATCCAGTCATGTCGTAGTCGGCGGCGCAGTTTGTGACGGTTCTGAAAATGCAGACGGCGTTCGCAACCCTGTGCCGCATTTAAGGCAGGCTATCCCGCACCAACAGCCTCCCCTGGGCTTCGTGGTTGCTATTCCCGGGACGGCGCGCATGTGACGATACTCGAGCTTCAGGATCTTGCAATGCGTTATGGTCGAGCGGTCCGACGGCGCTCACAACGCCGTGGTAGCCGAGATACAGGAAGGGGCTGACGACAACTGCTGCTGTGACATGTCGCAACCGTCTAAAGGCGAAACTTCGCGCCTACCAAGGCCCTCAATTCCGCCCACGGCCACAGATGGCACAGGCTTTTCCAACGGCGCAGAAGACTGAATCGGGACATTGAAAGTCCGACAAGCGTTTCTTTGCTTCTCGGTTTGGCTTCTCTCATATATAATGTCCCTCCCGCATTTGCTCTTCACAGCTCTCGCATCACCATCCTTCTGTACTTTCACCGATGATTTCCTGCGCCAAGGAACGATATAACTACGACCTGCAACAGCCCACACAGACACGGCCGCCACCATGCCTCCTACAGCTCAGACTCCGGCTCCCAAGGTCCAATATGGCAAGGGCCTTACGAATACGGACACCGTGGGAGCCATAGGAGGCGCGCAATATCATGAATGGCGCCTGGTCTGAGGACAAGGAAGCGGAGTTCGTGCTGACCGGGCCGTTCGCGCTGAAATTGAAATCCAAGTCACCTTGACCTTGGGAGGAGTTAAAGAAGAACTTCAAGCAACCAGTGGACCTCCCAGGCGCACTGCGCACTTATGGCCTGTTCAAGGCTGGTTCAGCGGCTCCTTGGTCTTTCTAACTACTTGCCTACTTACCTTACCTAATTGTCCCACTTCGTGCTGATTGATCGGGAACTTGGTTTCACACTCTGCAATTTAGTATCGAGGCTAGGGATAAAGGCAGCCGCAAGGGGCTCTAGCTGATCCTGTCCTACGCCACAAGGGAGTCACCCCAATCACGGAACACATCCGTCTCACTTTGCGGCGCCGAAACGCGGGGTATTAGAAAGAGGACGCACGCAAAAGACAGCCTGCCCCAGACCCGACCAGTTCTAGTTTTGCCGCCTGGAGAGCTTGAAGGCTGACTTCTTTTCATCTGTGAGCCGGGAATGTAGCCGGTGTTATTTCGGATGAGCAAAACACCTTCGTCGTGGACATTTTGATTGTATGGTTGAAAAGTGGGGGCACCTGATGCTTTTATAGCAACTCGGCTCCTAGAACCATGTCGACGAAGGATAAGGCGGCCGATGATTGGTAATCAACGATGGCCGGGGCCGGCTTCTCCGGGCGGTATAGACGGCGGACATTGGAGCACACGATATTGTGAAGCAATACAGGTACGATGGTTGATTTTAGGCTTCCGTTGATGATGAGCTGCCGCCAGCGGGATAATAAAAACCAGCTGGGGTGTCGAACCTGCTGACCTGCCCAGTTTTCACCAGGATCATTATCGCACCCAGCACCGTCAATTCGACGATCGCCGCCAGATTTGTAATATCTGAGTCTTGTGGGATGGCGGCACGCACGTACAAGGCAGCCTAGAGGCCGCCAATTGGCGCCTGGGCGGGGCTGACAGTCGGGCTCGAATCTCACCTGGCGGAAATTCTTCTTGTCTTGGCAACCTCGGATGCCTAGAGAAACACGTCCAGTTGCTGTCTGAGTCTGCTTCTTCGCTCTCTACTCAAGCCTGCCAGGTGAACCGACGACATGGAGCAACGGCAGACGCTAGCTGCCGGCGACGCCGACGCCGACGCCGACACACACTTCCACTGCCCGGAAAACAACGACTTCTATCGATCCGGAGCATACCAGCCCCTCGACACGGAGCACCACGAGATCCGGCTGCTGCTGGCGCAGCGGCCCGACCCAGCCGACCCCGACGGGCCGCTGCGCTTCACCCTGTTGCAAGGAGTGCCGCTGGCGCAGTGCCGAGTGAACCCGCGGCCCGAAGGCGGCGTGTTACCGTTCGTGGCGCTGTCGTACTGCGCGGGCGACCCCAGCGACACGGTGCCGGTGCTGATCGACGGGCAAGAATTCAACACGTTCCGGCCGCTGGGCACGGCGCTGAGGAGCCTGCTGTGGAGCATGGGGCGGGGCGACGCGTCGTGGGAGCTCGAGGACACGCTGTTCTTCTGGGCCGACCAGATCTGCATCAACCAGAGCGACAGCGCCGAGAAGGCCTCCCAGGTCCGCATGATGTGCCGCGTCTACGAGGCCTGCGCCTGGGCCTACGGCTGGCTCGGCATCGACGCGGCCGTCACGCGCGGCCTTCAGGGCCTCCAGCGTATTGATTACGTCGAGAATATCATCGAGGAGTACTTTGAGAAGTGCGGCGAGGACTGGACCGCGTCGCGCACCGCCGGCACCGAGGACGGGCTCGAGGCCTGGGCGCCCGCGTCGCTGGGGAAGCTGTTGGACATGGGCGTCGACTTTGCCGACGTGGCCGCGGCGCTGCAGTGCCCGTACTGGTTCCGCGGGTGGATCTGCCAGGAGGTGACCGTGTCGCCCGACGTGACCTTCAACACGGACGCGGCCGAGATGGACCGCGCCGGCGTGCGCCGCGCCATGCGCCTGCTCGAGACCATGCGCCTGTGGATCCGCTGGTACTGGACTGTGGTGCCGGGCGAGGGCCTCGTCGCGAACCCTCAGCGCCGCCGCCCGGGCATGGACAAGGACGCCTGGACCCCGCGCGTGCAGGCGCTGCGCTGGTTCTGTGAGGAGTGGGACATGGGGCCCTTCAAGTTCATGCTCGAGGAGAGCGAGAAGTGGGGCGGCAGCGGCGGGTTCCGCCTGGACCTGCTCATGCTCACCGCCCGCCACGCCGCCGTCACCGACCCGAGGGACAAGGTGTATGCCTACTTGGGTCTCGCCGCCCACGGCTACGACATGGAGCCCAACTACGGCCCGGGCCATACCGCCGCCCACGCCTACCTGCAGGCTGCGTGTGCCTACCTACGCACCGAGCGCAGCCTCGACATGCTGTGTTTCGCTGAGGACCGGTCCGCCGACGTCGGCCCGCAGCTGCCGTCGTGGGTGTGCGACTGGTCCGCCAAGATGCAGCCGCAGAGCGTGTGGTACCGCTACGAGAACGACCCGCGCCGGCCGAGCGCGACGGGCCGCTTGGCCTACAGCTGCGAACTGTACCCCGACGGCGACGAGCCCGACCGCGTGCTCGGCGTGTGGGCCAAGACTGTCGACATACTGGTCGACACGCGGGGCTCGGCCGGCGGGCCCGTCGAGGCGTACGAGTCCTGGGGGCACTGCATCTTGTCCTGGGTGGCCGCCGCGGGGCTGGCCCCGGACCGCGGCCGGTGCGAGGTCAACGACGCGCCCTACCCGTATTTCGACGGGCAGTCGGTCGCCGTGGCGTTCTGGACAGCCATCTACAGGGGTGTTTCGGAGCCCGACAAGATGCAGCAGCTGTGGAACACGGTCACGTCGGACGACTTTGTGTCGGAGCTGGATGCTGGAGACGGGGAAGCTGCTGGGGATGGGGAAGCTGCTGGGGATGGGGAAACTGCTGGGGATGGGGAAGCTGCTGGGGATGGGGAAACTGCTGGGGATGGGGAAGCTGCTGGGGATGGGGAAGCTTCCGGCGACGCGGAAGCTTCAGGAGGCGGGAAAGCTTCGGGAGATACGAGAGTTTTGGCAGACGCCGCAGTTTTGGGAGACGGGGTTTCTGATGCAGATATGGAGCCTTCAGGAGATATAAAAGCTTCCGGAGATGACGGAGAAGAGCAAAGCGAGAAGCCCGCCGCCCTTCCAGCCAAGTGGGATCCGCCCACGGCCAGCGACCCGCCCACGGCCAGCGACCCGCCCACGGCCAGCGACCCGCCCGTCCCCGGCCTGGCCAGGGAGCACCTCACCATGAGCGGGTGGACCGACTCGGGCTACATCATGCGAGCGGGCTTCCGGTTTGTGCGGTCGCAGGCGGGATACTTTGGGCTGACGAGGGCGGCCGTCGAGGACGGCGACATCATCGCGGTGCTTATCGGCGCCGACATGCCCTTCATCCTCCGGCCGCACCGCGACGGGTACAGGCTGATGGGCGAGGCCTACGTGCACGGCATCATGTATGGCGAGATGGTGCAAAAGATTAAAGCTGATGAAGAGGACCCGGGTTTCCGCGAGATTAAGATATACTAGGGCGCATTTGCCCCGGGGATAGGATTGGCTGGGAGGATTTCTTGATTTTGTCGGAATTTTATGGCACGAAAGGGGATAATCACACGACCTTCCTTTGTTCCTTAACCTTGTGCAGCCGCAAAGCCGAAAGAGCGTTGAATACCTGCCTTAACTCAAATCTTGAGAATCTGCTCAATTCGTGTGAAGCTGTGGGCAATAGTTATTGACTTTTATCTAGCGTTAGCAATGGCTCAAACAACTCAATCTTGAGGCCATATTTGGTTGAATTGAGCCGCCAACATGGATATTTGACTGGGTTGAGGCTAGAATTGATTGATATGGCAATAATTAGTGATGTTTGGCGGCGTCTTCCGCTCCAACCAAAAAAAGATGTAAAAAGTCGTCAAAGAGGTCCAAAATAGTAAAAAAAAGGCTGCGAAGCCCGGAAAAGCTCGTCAACGTACCCAATCCTTCGAAACACATGATGTCGTTGAAGCTATCGTCGCCCATTCCATATCTCTATATGCCGAAGACCAGCTTACCGTTACTGAATGCCCTCTCCGGGTCCGCTGACATAAGTCAACCAGGCCAAAAGCGGAACACCCTGGCTGCGGAATTTGCCGTGTTAAGACACAACTGCTCCATTGAACGGTAGTAATTTGTGTTGAGTGCTCTGGCTTACACGGGCGAAAAAAGCGCCACCTGCATGTTCCGCAGCCAGGGTGTTCCTCTTTTAGCCCAGTTGACTTAGACCTCAACGCCGTCTTCCTCGCCGTGAAACTTTCGGCATGCTCCTTTTGCAAATGGCCTGCCGCCGAGCTTGTGATTACGGCCGTAAAGACCTTCTCGTAATAGTGATATGCCTAGAAGCATGCTCCCTCTTTTATGACGTTGTTGACGACCTAGACAAGCCAATAGCCGTACGGAGTAATCCACGATGACCTCGTATTCTTCTTGCCCGCCCAGTATTCCGGTATATATAACGCTCGTATTATTATTATTTTGAGCCAGTCCTTCATCTCCATATTCCCAAGCTCTTAGATATCAAATCTGACCAACTCCTCGTATCGTATCGAGATTCGCGATGGCTTCCTTAGGGCGTCAAATGCCCGCTTTTAGCCTGTGGAGAGGGTCGCGGTACTAACGGTCGAGGCAGGCATATTATCGGTAGTTCGGGCGCGAGGAAATCGCTGTAGGAATGGAAGAATTCGGTGGAAAGGTCGGATTCGGCTGTTTATTTACGTCGTGATGGTTGCATTGCAGCTTCGACGGTGCAATGCAGCGACCTGCGCCTGCCCGGCAGTCAGAGACTTTCCTGGGCCCAGGAAAATACAGGGTTGGCCTTGATCAGGGAGCGCCCTGGACCCAGGAAAATCCGAAAAAATCCGCCAATTATTTTGGCCCTACGAATTGGTCAATTTGACCTCAAAATCGTGTAATTGATTGCTCTAAATGGCTATATTTGATCGATTGAATTGGATAAAATTGAGTTGGTGTCAACGCTACGTTTATCGCCCCTTAGAGGCAGCTTCTGAGGTCGCACGGAAAATAAACATGTCAAGATTGAACTGAACAGGAAACCCGTTTCCGAGCAACCCGCCCTCCCCCGGTACATGACGAAGTCGCCAGTCGCGGAAAACGGCGTCCTCCTATTGCCATACCAATGACAGTGCGGCACTCGCAGATGAATCAGCTGACGGGTGACGCCATGCACCCGCCCGGGCGGGTTTCCCGCTCCGGCGCGTCAAACTATGGCCGACCCTACACCGTACTAATTAACTAGCTTCATGACGGCCAGCCTTGGCGACTTGACCCACGGACACCGGCCTTGGCCTCGTGGCGTGCGGGGAACAAGAGGAGAGAGGAGAGAGGAGAGAGGAGAGGAGGAGCAGTTGCGAGATGCCCCGCACGCCCGCACTACTCGCGGATACGACGTGCCTCGCCCCCAACCCCTGCGGGCTTCGGCAGATGGAGGACAAAAGGGGTCGGCGGCAGAATTGGCTGCTTGACTTGCAGCGGCTGTAGCAGGCCGCCCGGCATAGGCTGATTCTTGGCCGACGGAGTGGGACAACAGTGCCATGGCAGCAGCAGCGGCGGCAGCAGCAGCAGCAGCAGCAGCAGCAGCAGCAGCAGCAGCAGCAACGTGGGCACACACGGCCGGGCCCTATGCAGCTGGGTAGCTGGGTACCTATCTAATCAAGGCAGCGGCACAATCGGGCCTTGTATTTACGCATCTCCAAGCTCTCGCCTTCACCCCATCTCCAAGCTCTCGCCTTCACCCCATCTCCAAGCTCTCGCCTTCACCCCTCCTCTCCCAAGTCTCTAATCGACAAGACCTTGCGAGTCGAGACTTGGCTGCGACTCGCTTCATTACCACCAACTCCGAGGGACAGACAGCTGCGTATACCTACAAGCTCTCCAGAAGGCACAAGGTCAAGGTCGGCATGGCGGCGGCTCCCAAGACGGGCGTCAAGGTGGTGGTGGTCGGGGCCGGGTTCGGGGGGCTGACGGCGGCCATCGAGTGCCACCTCAAGGGCCACGACGTGGAGGTGTACGAGAACTTCCCCGAGCTCAAGACGCTGGGCGATATCATCTCGTTCGGTGCCAACGGCGGGCGCATCTTCAACCGGTGGGCGTCGGGGGCCGTGGCGCGGCGGCTGCGGGCGCTGAGCATCGACCTGCGCGGATACGGCTTCCGCATCCACAAGTACGACACGGGCGAGGTGGTCTACCACCAGATCACCCCGCCCGACAAGCCCGACGCCCCCGTCTTCAACGGCCACCGCGGCGAGCTGCACCAGGTTGTCTTCAACTACGCGCGCGACGAGCTCGGCATCCCCATCCACCTCGGCCAGCTCGTCGAGGAGTACTTTGAGGATGCCGAGAGAGCGGGCATCGTGCTCCAGTCGGGCGAGAAGGTGTTTGCCGACATCGTCATTGGCGCCGACGGCGTACGCTCCAAGGCGCGCGAGCTGGTGCTGGGCTACGTCGACAAGCCCAAGAGCAGCGGGTACGCCGTGTGGCGGGCGTGGTGAGTCTTGGGGTCTCTCTCTTTCTTTCTCTCTTTCTGTCTTTCTCTCTCTCTCTTTCTGTCTCTCTCTCTGTCTCTCTCTCTCTCTCTCTCTCTCTCTCTCTCTCTCTCTCTCTCTCTCTCTCTCTCTCTCTCTCTCTCCCTCTCTCTCTCCTCCCCCCTCTCTCTCCCTCCCTTTCTCCACCTCTTTGGCTGTCTAACGGACGACAGGTTCCCCAACACGGACATGATCGCGGACCCGCGCACCAAGGAGTTCTGCGAGAAGGGCGACACGTTCAACGGGTGGATTGGGCCCGACGTGCACTTCCTGTTCAGCACCATCAAGAACGGCAGCGACTGCTGCTGGGTGCTGACGCACCGCGACGAGCACGACATTGACGAGTCGTGGTCGTTCCCGGGCAAGCTGGAGGACGTCTACAAGGTGCTCGAGGGCTGGGACCCCGTGTGCCGCGCCATCGTCGAGAAGACGCCCGCGCTCGTCGACTGGAAGCTCGTGTACCGCGACCCGCTACCCACCTGGGTCAGCCACCACGCCCGCATCCTGCTGCTCGGCGACGCCGCCCATCCCTTCCTGCCCACCAGCGCCCAGGGCGCCACCCAGGCCATGGAGGACGGCGTCACCATTGCCGTATGCCTGCAGCGCGGCGGCCGCGAGAATGTGCCCGCCGCCGTCAGGGCGTACCAGGAGATCCGGTGCGTGTTTCCTTTCTTTCTTTCTTTCTTTCTTTCTTTCTTCTGTCTTTCTGTCTTTCTTCCTTCCCTTGCGCTCTCGGGGACAGAGCTTCTGACAGATGCGAGCAGGTACGACCGCGTGCGCGCCGTGCAAAAGACGGGCGAGACGACGCGCGACCGCTGGCACAAGACCGACTGGGCCAAGGTCGCCGAGGACCCGGCCAGCATCGCCTTCAGGCGCGAGGACTGGATCCACGACCACGACGCCGAGGGCCACGCCGGCGACGTCTTTGACGACGTGTTCAAGCGCGTCACCACTGGCGCGTCCGACGGGAGAGCGGCGCCGCTGCTGCCTGTCGGCCCGGCGCCGCCTGCTGTTGCTGTTTGACGTGGTGCAAGTGTGTTGCGGGTGTTTATGGAGGTCAGGGAGGGAGACAGGGGGGGTGGGGGGGTTGTTGGGTGTCGGTTTTTGGCACATGGAGGGAGATTGTGGTAGAGTCATGAGGATAAGGAGAGCATGAGGATAAGGAGGCATGAGGATAAGGAGGCATGAGGATAAGGAGGCATGAGGATAAGGAGGCATGAGGATAAGGAGGCATGAGGGTAAGGAGAGCTCGTGTGGTAATTAGAGCGAGAGCGAGATGACACGGATATCGGGTTTTCCAGTTAGCCCCCTTTTCACGAATTTCGGTGACAGCGTGCACACAACGATTCTTTCCATTTATCATCCTACCTAGGTGTACCATCTCTCATCCTACCTAGGTGCACCATCTCTCATCCTACCTAGGTGCACCATCTCTCATCCTACCTAGGTGCACCATCTCTCATCCTACCTAGGTGCACCACCTGCCCAATCATCCCTGATCGTGCTCCTGATCTGCCACGCACGTCTACGTAGTACCCCTGACAACCAGATTCCATGTGCACAACAACAACAAAACAACTTCCGTATCGTCTGACCGCCCCTACTCGCCGTCAAGCTGGATGATGACGCTCTTGGTCTCGAGAAAGTTGCTCATGCTATACAGCAGCCCTTCCCGCCCCTGGCCGCTGCCCTTGTAGCCACCAAACGGCAGGTCGCGGCCCGTCAGCGGACTCGTGCAGTTGATGCCCACGTAGCCGCTCTCCAGCGCCTTGGCGACGCGCAGGGCGCGGCTGATGTTGGCCGTGTAGACGGCCGCGTACAAGCCGAACTCGGAGTCGTTGGCCTTGGCGACGGCCTCGGCCTCGGTCTCGAACGTGTTGATGCTCACCACGGGCCCAAACACCTCGTCGCGCAGCAGCCGCGCGTCCTCGGGCGTGTCGACGAAGACGGTCGGCTCGACAAAGTAGCCGCCCGTGCTGTCGAGGGTCCCGCGCCCGCCCAGCGCCAGCGTGCCGCCCGCCCCGCCGGCGATGCCGTCCTCGATATACCCCACGACGCTGCGGTACTGCACCTCGTCGGCCTGCGGGCCGTGGTTCGTGCCGGGCTCCAGCGGGTCGCCGGCGCGCACGGCGGCGAAGCGCTTGGTGAATGCGGCGACGAACCGAGCCGCCGCGCCCTTCTCCACGTACACGCGCGAGTTGGCCATGCACACCTGGCCGCTGTTGGCCTGGATGCTGGCCTGCGTCTGCTGGGCCGCGCGCTCGAGGTCGGCGTCGGCGAACACGATGGCCGGCGACTTGCCGCCGAGCTCGAGGATGACCTTCTTGAGGTTGGTGCGCGCCGCCTCCTGCTGGATCAGCTTGCCCGTCCGGCTCGACCCCGTGAACGACAGCGCGCGCACGTCGCCGTGCCGCGACAGCACCTGCCCGGCCGGCGTGCCGTGGCCCGACAGCACGTTGAGCACGCCCGGGGGGAAGCCGGCCTCGCGCGCCAGCTCGGCGATGCGCGCCACCGCCAGCGGCGCCTTTTCGCTCGTCTTGACCACGACCGTGTTGCCGGTGATGAGGGCCGGCGCCGCCTTGCTGGCGAAGAAGTGCACGGGCGCGTTCCACGGGATGATCAGCGCCACGACGCCGTACGGCTGCCGCAGCGTCATGGTGACGTGGCCCGGCGTGTTGACGCTGGCCTGCCCCTGGATCAGCGGCCACGCCTCGGCGTAGAAGTCGAGATGGGCGGCAGCCGAGTGCCCGTAGTGGAACCGCGACACGGGCAGCCCCATGGAGATGGCCTCGAGCCGTGCCAGTTCGCTGTTGTGCGCCCGGATCAGGCCTGCGAGCTTCTTGAGGCACGCCCCGCGCTTGGCCGGGTCTGTTGCCGACCAGGCCGGGAAGGCCGCCTTGGCCGCGGCCACGGCCGCGTTGGTGTCGTCTTCGCTGGCTTCGGGGACTGCGCGGGTCGGGGATCAGACTCGTTAGAGGGCTGCTGCGTGGTGGGGGGGATTTTGTCTCGGTACCCACCATTTGCCGAGAGCTCTCGCGTGGCTGGGTTGTACAAGGGAAACGTCTTCTTGTCGGACGCTTCGACGAGCTATGCAGCGGATAGTCAGATCAAGCTCGGTCTAATGATTAGGTGGGTAGGGCTAGCATGCTGGGGGCTGTACCTCTCCGTTGATGAGCAAGCGCGGCGCCACGGGGACGGCGACCGACATGATGGCAGCTTTGTTATTGTTGTCGTTGTTGTTTTTGTTGTTGTTGTCGTTGTTGTTTTTGTCGTTGTTGTTGATGTTGTTGTTGTTGTTGTCGTTGTCGTTATTGTTGTCGTTGTTGTTGTTGTCGATGTTGTTGTTGTCGTTGTCGTTATTGTTGTCGTTGTTGTTGTTGTTGTTGTCGGTGTTGTTGTCGGTGTTGTTGTTGTCAGTGTTGTCGTTGTTTTTGAACAACCGACTGCAGCAGCTGGCCGACGTTGTCTTGCCAATATGCTGTTTGCTAGGATATCACCTCTAGCCGTGGATCCGAGGAGGTGGTGGGGAAGACGGGCGTATTTTGTCACCAGGCTCCGGGCATTAATCTGCGTCTACTGCAGTGTACAGTTGCTGTCTACTGCAGTGTATAGTGAGTGCCCCTGGCGCTGGCAAGCAGGCTTAGCAGTCCCGCCGCTGCTCCATCAAGCCTGCGGCCTTATAACCGTTTTGCCAGCTTCGAGCGGCTGGTATATTGCTGCACCGGCCCACCTGGGCTGCCATATCACCCCGCCGGCAGTTGCGTCCATGTCCCCGCAGACGTCCGCGTCCCCGTTCCCCGAGTGCGGGAAGCGTCATCCGTCTCGGGCAACGGCAGTCAGTGCACAGTTGTTTCAGTTTCATTTTCGTATCTATCGACGAGAGTCTTCAGGGGTCGGGGCGAGACCCGAACGATACTCATTCCACAGTGTCCTGTGTCATTCTCGTCTTGGTTCGTCGTTTCAGGACACATCAATAGACAACTTGACTCGCTCACCAACAAGCAAACAGCTGCAGCTCGTCACCGACTACCCGCAATGGCCAAGGCACCCAAGGGCACCATCGCCATCGAGGAGGCGGTGCTCAACCCGGACGGCATCGCGTGGATGGCGGAGAGCGCGACGCTGTTCAACCCGGGGCAGGACGCGTCCAAGGCGGGCAGCGCCAACCACGGGCACACGCCGCAGCTGCTCGACATCCACGGGGCGCGGCTGGCGCAGATGGACGCGCACGGCGTCGAGTACATGCTGCTCAGCCTGACGTCGCCGGGCGCACAGGGCGAGCCGGACCGGGCCAAGGCCCGCCGCCTGGCCGCCGACGCCAACGACTGGCTCGCCACCCAGGTCGCCGCCAACCCGGCCCGCTTCGGCGCCTTCGCCAGCGTGTCCATGCACGACGCCGCCGACGCCGCCGCCGAGGCCCGCCGCGCCGTCCGCGACCTCGGCATGTTCGGCGTCATGCTCAACGACTACCAGGTCGTCGCCGAGGGCGGAAACGAAGAGGGCAAGAAGTACTACGACGCGCCAGAGTTCCGCCCCTTCTGGCAGGCCGTCGACGACCTCGGCGTGCCCGTCTACATGCACCCGCGCTACCCGCCGGCCAAAGACTTGGTCCCGCGCACCCGCTACGGCGACCGCAAGCAGATCCTCGGCGCTGCCGTCCAGTTCCACCTCGACCTCAGCATGCATCTGTACGCCCTGTGCTCGAGCGGCATCTTCGATCTGTACCCGCGCCTGCAGGTCGTGGCCGGCCATCTGGGAGAGGGGTGAGTCTTTTGTTGTTTACGTTTTTTTCACTTCCCCGCGGTACAAGAGGGAAGAGGGGAAGAAGACGGCCGCTCGTCGGTCATCCGTTTCCCCGAGAATGCTGCTGATACCGCTGGCCCTGCCGGGACGGTGCAGTGTTTGGGGATCTTTGGCTTACCTTTGCGTGACAACTCCCCGAACAGGATTCCCTTCAATCTCTGGCGCGCCGACCACTGGTACAACAAGCCGGTCAAGAAGGCGACGCGGCCGTCCAAGCACGACTACAGCTACTACTTCACGCACAACATCTCCATCACGACGTCGGGCGACTTTTCGACAGCGGGGCTCAAGTTCTGCATCGGCGCGATTGGCGTCGACCGGTGTCTGTTTTCCATCGGTACGTGCTGTTCGAGATTGTTCCCGTGAGACGCAGGTCGGTGACTGGTAGAGTGCTGACGCTGCAAAGACTACCCCTACGACACCATCGAGGAGGCGCAGGACTGGTGGAAGACGGTCGACCTGCCGGCTGACGAGAAGGAGGCCGTGGCGAGGGGCAATGCCATCAGGCTGTTCAAGCTGCCTCTGGAGCTGTGAGCTGGTCTGTGACTGACGGTTCGGTTCTGAGAGTTCTGCCACATGTAGACGTGGCGGGGGCTCGTAACTGCATATAATATCTGTCTTGGCCCCCTGCTTACAACCTGTGCCTGGGCGACCGGGCTCGTCGTATGCAAGACAAGAGTTCGAGAATCTTACGTGGGCTTACGTACATGTCTCTTCCCCGCAAGTGGTGTGAGATCAAGCCACAAGAGGTTAAGCAGGTGAAGCATTCTTGCTAGTTGGATGAAACTCAGGAGCTTTGTCTCACCCTCGTAACGGATATCCAACCGATGGTTCGGGTTGCTTATCTGTCTTATTCAGCTCATGAGTTTTTAAGAAAGACGCATCGTCTGTCCTGCCCCTTGGCCTCTCTGCTGCGCCTGTACCTAGCCGAATGGGGCTTTGCAAGCCAGCGTTGTGTGGCCGCCAGCTATCGCCGAGATACTCCGTAACGGACAGGGCAAGCCAGTCCGGCTTTCATTTACGCAAGTGTGGAAACAAGGCCGTGGTCGGCCGACATCAGTCGTCTCTGATTGTAAAGCGTGGTCCATGATTGGTGCAGTAAGTTCCCCTCGCACCCTCTCCTCTTTAGTTACTACACCTGTTGGGTCCGTGGTTTCAAATTTCGTTCGACAGACCCCCAGAGCAGGCCCGCCCTCCCTTGCAGCGCAATAATTGCGAGTCCGTTCAGTTCTCGGATTTCGCACGACTTTTTGACTGCTCGTGTTCGGCACCCATCGGCTCGAGAATTAATGCTCGATTGGTTGATTGGTTGATTGGTTGATTGGTTGATTGGTTGATTGGTTGGTTGGTTGGTTGGTTGAATGGTTGGTTTGGTTGTATAGAAGGGAAGAAATCGTCTGTGATGTCGTGGACATCAGATGTCTGATGTTGAGTAATCGCCCCTTCAAAGTCCCGAGCAGAATCTTGATTGACTCGAGAATAATACAAAATGCCTTGCTCCACAGTGCCGAACCGCCTTTCAAGGTCTGCAGCGTTGCACGGCGGCTCAAATGGACCCGAGACTCCTGGACCGATGGCTGCGGGCCTCGGCTGTCGGATCACAAACTGAGGGTGGTTGAGTAATCTTGCAGAACTCTCCCCAGTGTCCACAATAAACGGGCATTTACTGTGCAATAGGTTTCCAACACGTTCTAAACGGTACCCTGTGCGAATCCGAGAGTGCCCGAGGCCTAGCTGGGCTTTGGTGCCTCCGGTGGTGTGCAGACTGGCCGACCTAGTGCAGACAGAGGCTGACGGCCGCCGCTGAGTGGCTGACGGCGCGGTTAATGCGCGGAAACAGTGTAGTCGCACATGTATGTCTTGGGCAGCTATAGGTCCCGTTACTCCGTTACTGCCAAGTCGACGCACATGTAATGCATCGAGGGCAATAAAGCTGCCTTTTGGGCACACTGCTGCCTCGGCGCCAAGGCTTAAGCTGGAGCTGTCACTGGATTCCAATATGGTGTCTGGCCGTCTCTGTCTTATCGGGATTCCGCCCGCGGCATGTCTTGGATACGCAGTACGCAGGGAGGGCCAACCGCATTTTCGTGACCCTGGTACATGTACGTTGACCCAGGGTATCTCCGTGGACATGACAGAGAAATACCTTATTTAGTCGCTGATATTTTGAGCCCTGTTTGCGGAGTCCGGAGAGCTAGCGAACCTGCCGGCTCTGTAGCCACGACGTGGTGCTACTGCGCATTACACCCGCTGTGATTGCACAAGTGGCTGGTTTGGCCGGCAATTGTGGCATCTGGTCACCGCGAACCATGTTGCTGGTTGAAAAGCCACTGACACAGTCCTAAGCTGCTGGAGAACTCTTCGACCAAAACATGGCATGACAGTACGTGTCGCACGATGCTCGCCCCCTCCCGAGGACGCATCTTAGGAGCAAACAACAGAGTGGGCTTTGGCAACCTGCAAACCCCTCTTGCCATGCCATGTCCTCGATTCCGGTCTACCCAGCGAATCGAACAGTGCATGCATCCCTGGGATCGAGCGGTGCCCTGGGATCGAACGGCGAGCAATGAAAGAACAACGAGCTTCCGGTCTGCAGGGACATCAGGGTACCTAGCTGCAGCTCCGCACGAGGTGCTGTGCACACTGTGTGCCGGTAGGGCCATCACATGCACATGTCTCATGCCGCCGGCCCACGCCGGCCAGTATTGCGACAGCAAGCGGGCACGCATTTAAGAACCGCTCAAGCGCCACCCGAACAGTCGGAAGGAGCCTTATTCCTATTTGAAGCACCCATTCCTATTTGAAACACCCATTCCTATTTGAACCGTCCATTCCTATTTGAAGCAGCTTGCTCCCTATGCTCTATAGTCCTACCTAGTACCCACGTAGGTCCTTGACGCCTCAAACCATATATTCGTCCAGGCCAGCCACCACGGCACGCTGAAACCATGTTTGGCTTCTCCCCCTTCATTGCCGTGCCCGTGGCAGTTGCTGGACTCGTCAGTGCCCCCCGTTTCTGTAGCACCCCTTTGACACACCCCCATTGCTAACCTAGCACTGCAACCTGGCGACGCATCCAGGGCGTCCTCGCGGCCGTATACAACCTCTTCTACAACCTCTTCCTGCACCCCCTGCGCGGGTACCCGGGGCCGTGGCTATGGCGAGCCTCACAAATCCCGTATAACAAAGCGTGGCTGTCGGGGCGGGGCCCGGCGATCCTGACGCGGGTGCACGAGCAGTACGGCGACGTGGTACGCGTGGCGCCGGACCGGCTCAGCTACACGCACCCAGACGCGTGGGACGACATCCGCGGGCACCGCAAGGGCGGCCACGGCGAGAACGGAAAGGACGGCAACTTCTACGCCTACTCGGTCAACAACATCCTCGGCGCCTCCCGCGAGAAGCACTCCCGCTACCGCCGCAGCCTGGCCCACGGCTTCTCTGCCAGATCCATGCAGGACCAGCAGCCGCTCATCGCCCAGTACGTCGACCTCTTGTTCACCCGCCTGCGCGCGCACACAGCTGCCAGTCCGTCGTTGGCCGACGACAACGAGCACGCCACGGCCGCGGCCGCCGACGGCAGCGCCATTGTTGATCTGGCGGCCTACTTCAACTTCGCTACCTTCGACATCATCGGGGACCTGGCCTTTGGCGCGCCCTTCGACTGCCTCGCCGGCGAGCAGTACCACGGCTGGGTCGAAGCCATCTTCCAGTCGGTCGAGCAGTTCGGCATGCTGCTGTCGCTGCGCCGCCACGCCCCGTGGCTGCTCAAGCTGCTGGTGCGCGCCAAGGTCCTCGGCGGCGGCCAGGCCTGGCAGGCCGCGTACGCGCGCGACCTCGTCCACCAGCGCCTGCAGCTCGAGACAAGCCGCCCAGACTTTGTCGGCGCGCTGGGCGCCGCCGGCGTGCAGGACGACGATGTTGCTGACGGCAACAAGGGATCCGGCCTCGACGGCAAGCTGCGCCCGCTGTCGGCGACCGAGATCGCCGAGAACATGCGCCTAGTAGTGCTAGCCGGCAGCGAGACCACGGCCACGGCGCTGTCGGCCGCCGCGTACTATGTGGCGACGCTCCCGGACGTGCAGCGCCGGCTGGCGGCCGAGGTGCGCGCCGCCTTCGCCGCCGAGGCCGACATCGATTTTTTCTCGGTCAACGCCCTGCCCTACATGCTCGCCGTGCTCAACGAGGCCATGCGCCTGTTCCCGCCCGTGCCGACGCCGCTGCCGCGCGACTGCCAGCCGGGGGGTGATACCATCTGCGGCCGATATGTGCCCGAGGGGGTGAGTGCATTTCCTGGGGATTGTGTTTTTGGTGATTGATTTGGAATGCTGACTGGGCCATGCGAAACACAGACGGGCCTCGACATCTGGCCCCAGGCCATGTTCCACAGCTCGCGCAACTTCACGTCACCTGAGAAGTTCCTCCCCGGGCGCTGGCTTGACGACGACAGCACTGCTTCTGCAGAAGACAGGACGGCCCACAAGATCGAAGTAAACAAGGCCAGACAGCACGCCTTCCAGCCCTTCTCCGTCGGGCCGCGCAACTGCATCGGGAAGAAGTGCGTTCCCCAAATAAATCACTCTGTGTGTGTGTGTGTGTGTGTGTGTGTGAAATGATGCTGACTGTGGTGGTACTTAGCCTGGCCTACGTCGAAATGCGCCTGATCCTCGCGCGCCTTATCTGGAACTTTGACCTCGCGCTTGCAGACGCCGCCGACGAGAAGCGCTGGCTCGATGCTTGCCGCTCCTTTAATCTCACCATGAAGGGTCCGTTGAAGATCCGCCTGACGCCGGTGAAGAGGTCTTGAGGGTTTGTGTGGTGCGGCTGGCCGCGGATGGGACGGAAAGGGAACATAGCAATGATTCAGCGACTCACGGTTCAGAAAATTTGTTGCTGGAAGTAGTTGTAATTATGTGGCTGCCGTTAGTTTACGGAATACGGAGTAGCTGGGTGTAATACTGAAAGTGTTCCCTCAAGGTTAGGTTCTTTGTGTGGAGCGGTGGCGGTTGGCTTCAGGGCCTCTTTCGAGCTAAAAATTGCAATGCAAGTCGACGATATGTACCTGATGACTGCGATGCTAGGTGCGGGGTAAACCCTAACCCTGAGGATAATCATCTGGGTTCTCAGTACTTCTTACCGCATCAAACTCGCTCATTATCGAATTTGGTCGAAAGCTGCTGTCATCTATTTTAGAAAATGCTCCGTAAACCCAGTGGCAAAACGACAAGAGTGCACTTGTTGGATTTTCGAGGTCCTGACTGAGCCCGGAAACCGCCGGCAGCTGTCCTGGAGGCGCATGCAGGGCAACCTTCTGGGCCTAGCCCGGGAAAACCCCTCTTTTTTCAGGGTAAAATTGGGTCCCCAGCTGAGAGGTCCCCATGACTTACCCCAAGACTTTACACACACAATATGACTTACGGAATACATTAAACCGATTTTTGGCCTACTTTGGGGCCAGCTTTCCAACAGCACTGCATAATTTTTTTGCGGCCCACTGCAGCCCACTGCACTGCCACAATTTTGTCTTTCGATACTCAATCAAGGACTACGCTCAACTCCTGATTGGTTCATGTCGTGTCACCCTGCCTGGCTTGTCACTGGTTCCATCCCGACCTCAGGTGCACTGCCCCTTCCCCGCTGGCATCTGCTGGTGACTACACAGCAAACTTGTTGGGAATCTGCAGCAAATCGTAGAACTGCGCCGTCTGCTGGTTCGGATATTCCAGCGGCTGCTGCTTTGCGTCCACCTCCGAGTCCGGGTCGTACACTGGCGCATGGGGCGCGAAGTTGAAGGGGATCCGCAGAAGCTTCTTGTCGACAATGTTCGCCCGGACCCACCGCCGATGCTTGTCCACAGACGCCGCCGGTACCTTTCTCGCTGTCGACGGGGCCACGACGTGGGTTTCGGGGTCTGCGATGTTCAGACCCGGGGCGCAGGCCCTCGTGATGGCGAGCCACTCTTCGTCATAGTGCAGACTGGATTTTCCAGCCTCGGTGCGGTCTAGGTAGGGCGTTGCGTCTAGGCTGTCAGCGTGCGGACGGTGGTCGAGGTTTCTGAGCTCGAGCCATTGGAAGGTTGGATCTGACCCGACCTTGTCGAGGGCGAGAAACTCTGTTTTGGTGGCGGTGCTCGCGGGAGGCGGCGGCGGTTTCTTGCTTCTCGGGACCCGGGGCAAGACACGTCGGAGTTTCTCCGGCACGTCGTCCAACCTCTGCAATGCATCTTCCATCCCAAGACCATCGCCGAAGTCCACCGTGGCAGTAAACCTCGTGTGCATGTGGCCGGAGAACCAGTACGTCGGACGCAGGTGGCTCAGCAGCTCCGCAGCCGGCTTGCTCCCGAGTTTGTCGGCGAGCGCGCTGGCGAAGAAGTGCGGCTTGGTGGCGTAAAAGTCGTCGTGGTCGCCAAACAGCTCGACCCAGGCAGGCCAGTCGTGGCTGAGGGCGATGTCGACGGGGCTGCGCAGGTGCAGAAGGCGCTGGACGTCGTACTCGCGGACGTGGTACGCGCATCTGACGTCGTCGCCGTCGTACGGCAGGCGCTCGCCGTGGGGCTTGCCGTAGTTGCGCGCGTTGTATATGCCCGACACGCCGGCGATGCGCCACGGCCCGTACCGCACCACGCCCGCCGCGCCCAGGTAGTAGATGTTGGGCGCGAGCCAGCCGCCGTGGTAGAGCTCGAAATGGTAGTTGGACGCCTCGTGGTTGCCGCCGATGACGAGCGTGAGCACGGGGGCTTGCGCGGCGCCGCTGTAGTACTTGTGAAAGTCGCCCAGCTTTCGGTAGCGGAAGGGGACCGACATGCAGTTGAGGTCCAGTTTGTTTCGGACCGCCTGGAAGTCCCCACAGATGATGAGAAGATCGAGGTCGCAGAGGGCCCACCCCTTTGTTGCACACTCGACCTCGAGCGTGGCGTATATCGTGTCCAACATCCCATGACCCTAGACCATTAGCAATGATTTGCGAGGGCGTTAGGGGGATGGTACAACTTACGCAGCCGATGACGGCGACTTTGAGCCCTGTGTCTGAGTCTCCTATCGTTTCCATTCTCGATCGTGTAGCTGTTGAACTCTTGTCGACACAGAGGCCCAAACTGTAAGGCAGATTTAGATTTACCCTTCATTCATACCTCGAGGTTGTCAGTGTTAATAGTGTGAGTGCCAGCGGGCGAGGGGCTGTCCTTGGCGGGAGTCATCGCCGTGACTCACCGCTGACAACTGTGTGCGAATTATGCGAGGCTGAGGAGCTCGGACATTGCAGTCCTTCAGGAACTTGCAGCTAGCCTGAAAGGCGTTAAAGAGTCATCTTTTCTGCACTTGGATGCTATCTAATACGTTTCTGCTAACCTTTTTCGGCTGGGAATGGCCAACCTGATTCAGCCCTATCTTGCGTAACCCCCCCCCCCCCCCCCCCCACCCGCCCTCCCCGCCCCCCCCGGGCACCCCCCTCCCACCCACTCGGGCGTGCCAAATACAAAGCCCGTTAGAAAGAAACCCCCAAAAACACTGCGTGTCTCAAGAGTGCATCACTGTATCCAGTGTCCTCAGTGGCTACCAGTGACCTGACCCTTGACGGGTGGAGACAGGAAGGGCCGCCAGTCGTCTAAAAGATTCTTGCTCATATTCCTAGCGGCTGCATCCTTGAGAAACTCGGGCCCGTATAAGAATCCATTCAAGGGCGCCTCATTTGATATTTTGTGGCGGAGTTCTACCAGAATGTTTCCAATCTCACAATAATATCTTTCTTTCCGTTTGTTTTCGCCCTCCGGCACTTCGTAATATGCCACCAGCATATCCTGCAACATCTTGTGTGGTCGTGCGACGAGGAGACTTTGAACATGGAAGACCGACCCGTCAGAAAACGCTCCCGGTCCTGCGCCGACCTTGTTAGCTCTTCAAATAATTGCCTCGGAACTCGGAATCGGGACCTTTGCGCACCTCTATCATGCCGTACACAGATCGGTAAGCTGTCTGGATCTCTGCCATGGCCGTGGTAATGAAGCATGATCTCGACCGGTTGGCGTGATGGTGCTTTACTAGTATCGTCAGGGAATGCAAGGCCGAGGGGAGGTGCTACGATCTGAAATGAATGATCCTCAATGGATCCTCGTAACATCAATATTTTGACCACGTCAAAAAAAATGTTGATCGGCCATGTGATACCCAAGTCAACCTGCTGGATGGGTGCGCCAGGATCTACGAATGGGCAGAAGCGTAACGCGCTGAATCCCGTTACTTGCCACTTCCACTCCCCAACCTTCTCCAACTTCTTAAGCCGGTCCTGCTCGGAACAGACAAGTCGCATGAAATTCTCCAAGAATTTCAAAGCTCCCAGGGGAAAAGTTGCTTTCTCCATCTTATATCTGTATTCGAGCTCAACATTGGAGGGAGGATGGTAAGGACCGTGGTCGCCCTTTGGTGTCGCTTGCATGCTGGAGGGAGTTTTGCGCGGCGGCCGGCACAGCGGGAACTGATGATGATTACCTGCGAATTGAGGTAGGTAAAGTCGAATTTTATCAAGAGTGAGCTGATAAATACAACTATCCAGAGAGTAGAGTGTTCCTCGTTATATATAACTATCTTGAGCAGACAATGTGGAGCCTGGACGGTCTTTTTTTTCGGCGTTTTTGCTAGCTTGAGGCGTCCTCGCCTTGTTGGCGGTCGCGACGTTTCGAAGCACCATCGTTTGGCCTACTGCGCGGACTTTTGGTAAAGAAGCGGTTCGCCAATTGGCGCGAGCGTAATCTCTCGCATCATTCCGTCGGGGAGCGGTGTGGGACGACTGGCTCGGATCAACCGACACCAGTACAGGACGTGTACAATATTGTGCGTAATTAGCTTGGCTCCCAAGACCAGACGGTCGGCACGAAACATCAGATGCGAAAGCCATGGCCGAAACGAAGGCCAACAGACATGAGATGGATTTGGGCCCAACATGAAACCGCTTGCCGCTCGCTTGGCGCGGGCATTGCCGCAACGCGTCCCTGAATGGCACGGATTTCAACATTGTGGCGATGGCTAACGTGGATGGCTAACGTGGATGGCTGAAGAGCCTGGAAAGTTGACAGAGATTCGGATTCGAAACCAGGACAATGTTGTTATGTACAACTGGAGATAAAAAAGATGTAAGTGTTAAGAATCATGTACCATAATTATAATTAGAAAGAAGTGCGAGAGACCCTGCTAATGCATGATCGAGCCCCTCAGATTGGCAGAATTGGATAATTAGTGCACTGTTGTGAAGATGATTCAGAAATTATAGATCTCGGTTCGTCAGGGAGGGCTTTGATCTACCCCGTCCAAGTCATCCAGGTACCTACCTGTGGCAAGCAAGATCCTCGCATGATCGGCTAGCACGGACATAGGACGCTCCCAGGGCCTGAGTACCATCTGGCCGCCGCCTCCTCACCCGCCGCATCATCTCTTGATAGAAAACTTCAATGTCGTGGTCGAGCTCCACTTCCGGGTGCTTGATCCACTTGTCTTGCCTGACCATGTCGGCCTCGTCGACCAATTCAATATCCAAATATGTCTAGGAAGTCTGTGTAGAAGGCGGATCGAGTGACAATCTCGTAGCGGAACATCATGACGCCTTGACATCATTCCTTAGCGGTCTTTCAATGGAGGGCAATATTCTCCCCAAGACTCCACCTCTCTCGTCGATGGTCTGCCCGACCATGGCGGCCATGACAAAGTCGGTAAGCAAAACGTTGTCCGTATCTGTCGACTAGGAACTTGCGGGAGCGAAAGTTTTCGTGCAAAACGCCGAACTTGAGGTTCAGGTCGTCGACGGCCTGCATCAACTACCGCAACCATTTAAGTTTAAAGGGCCGAGACCCCCGTTTGAAATGACGCACATCGTGAAGCCGGCCACGCGCTTGCGCTCAATCTCGTCGAGCACGGCGCAGTCGATGGCCAAGACGTGCGGATGTGGCGCCAGCCGCAACATGGCCTGCATTTCGGTCCAGTGTGGGTAGACCACGGATGTCTTTGTAAGTGAAGGCAGGTACGCCTGATCAAGGTGGTCACAATGAAGGTACTGAAGAGAGCGAGCAATGGCTGGTATTGGTAAGAGATTTCAACCTGGCCCTCGCAAAGGAAGGGGCGAGGGCCACTGCTTATATACATGACAGAGTGCAGGGTGGGCCATTGACAAAGGAGTGAGGTCTTGGCCCGCTCGGTACGCGAGCGAGTTGGTCGTGTGTGTGGCATTGGGGCTCTTTCCTTGCAATATAGTAAAGGATTTAGGTTCCGACGAGATACTCGCGGGGCTATAGATCCATTAACAAAATTATATAGGATTGGGTATAGGTATAGTAGTCTCTATAGGTCTTTGCTATATTACGAACCGGTAGTCTATGCTACTGCGGGCTCGTGCAGGGTTTTGCGGGCGGGGCCTAGGAATTAATTAAACTGGGCAAAAAAGGGCCAATTACTGGGTCAGATCGCGGGGTTCTGGCACGGGTTCACAGGAAATGGCCGGGTGTGAAAATGCAGGTTTCAATGGTCACAGGGAGATGCAGAGGTGAGTGTGCTTCATGGAAGGGGATGGAAAAGGATGCGCAATTGATGGAAAACGATACGCAATTGATGGAAAACGATGCACAATTGATGGAAAACCGAAGACAGGGTACGGTGCTGTGGTGCGCGCGGAAGACTTTGGTGGGCTTTCCTGGCCAGCGAAAGGAGAAAAATCGTCCTTTCGGCGCCTGACGAGCTCGATTATGGTATGGTATAGGTCGCTACGACGTTGTAGTCGCAGCTATCATTGTTGTGGCTAAACGTGGCATTATGAGATTGTGTGTAAAGGAAGATGATTCTCAGGAAGCTAAGATGCCCTGCGAGCACCTAAATGAGTGTGGTAGGTCCGTGCACTTAGCTGCACTTGATTACGTAACAATGGCAAGGTCCGGCTGCATGACCGCCATGGCCTCAGCAGCGGCAGCAATCTTCCCACAGCCCTTTCTTAATTGAGTGCGGGGTATCTGTTTCCGGTGCTTCGTCAAGGCTCAACAGAGCTCCCACCCACTTTCAGGATGTCGGCTTGGTAATTACTATAACTGATGGACTGGAGCGAGGTGTCACAATTCCATTGTTCAATTTGCTAACGCTTCGACGCGATTTACAACACTTCTAGTGGAGACATACTCATTATTGCATGGATAATACAGCACCTGGGCCCTTTCTTTGGGGCGGGGGGGTTGGTTTGGCTTGTAAGAATGTAGAAAATAGATGGGAGCCCGAGCAGAATAGAAGAACCCTTTGCGACAAAAATGGAAGTTCTGGTAGTGTCTAGGAAACGTGGTAGAAAGAAGCCCAAACTCCGTTCCGTCGTCCATGGATACGGGCGTTCTCTGCTTCGGCCTCGGTGGAAACCCTGCCTTGCATCCGGAAGGGTTCACGCTAAGCAAGAGCCATATGAGATTCAGTATTGAATAGACTCACATCAAAAATGCCACATTTTCTCAAGGACGAGTTACTCCTGAAAAGATCTAGTCTCTAGGCTTTGAAGTTTTAAATTGAACTAAACCGCCCACGCATCTCAGCTGGTATGCTCTTTCCCAAGGTTTTTACCAGTTTATCCCACTTGGCTTTCTGATCGTTCTCATCTATCTGCTTTGCGTAATCCCGAAAGTGATCTAACCCATCGAGCTGCAATTCTTCTTTTCCCAATCCCCACTTTGTCAGCAATTGATGCACATTCGGGTCCTCTAGCATGAACAAGATCTCTTTGTATAGAGGCGGTTTTAATAAAGCGTCCTTCCGGTCCCCAAGCTCATAAAGCTTATCCTGGAGATTCTTTGCGGCATTGGTGTAACCACGTTTTCTGTTGAACTCGAAGTCGAAGCCGTCCATATCTCCAAGACGTTCTTCATGGTCTCTTCGTCCCTTATCCGGAGTGATGACTAGAGAAAAGAAGTCAGCCCGTGCCTATGTATAACCTGACTTGAAGGACGCTATATTACATGGCGGCCACACGTTAACATGAATCGGTTCTGGCCCTCTAACTTTAACTTGAAACTGGATAGGCCAGCCGTTGGCCCACTTAGTTTTATGGATTCGGACGCTATTGTTGCATGAATGGCATTAATTAGCCGGTCTAGATACCTCTGCCAAAGAAGCTCGGTGAGGGGAAGAGGGAGTATTGCGCGCGCGCGGACCTGTGGTATAGTTCTTTTATCGGTCCTCTTCCTGTTGCCTGTCTATTCATAGCGGTCAAGATTCTCTCCGCATCCCAGTTGATACGAAGATCAACCACTGAAACCGCACAGTCAGCCCGCTGGTAGAAAAAGGCCATGCGACCCGTTACGTAACAGTCGAGTTGCGGAGTCGCCCCTATCCCAGCGTCCGCTAGCAGCGTGATCATGACAAGTTTAGCTTCGATAAGGTTCTCGGCTTGCTTAACGACGGGGCGTGTGCCTTCAAGTCCATCATTCGATTTATAAGGTCCTTCGAAATGCAAAAGGGTAGTCAGGATTTGAGACATGGGTTGGCGATGCTTCGGGACTTCCGTGGCGTTCGTTCCTTACGTGGCCAATAGAAGACTACTTGGCCACTCTTGCCCTAGCTAGGTTTGGTGAGACTTTACCCGGGATGCATATAATTAGTCGTGAAGTGTTTTCTTAAAGGATGCCCAGAATTATATTGAATCAAAATAGGGACACGGGGCGCGGGACGGTGTCTTGGAGAGCAAGGACAAACAAGTGCTGGGGGTAATGAACTCGCGTCCAGCCATCTTGACCAGCGGCCGCGGCAAGTTTTAAATGAGATGGAAATTAATGCTCTGGACTATGAACCACGATGCGGATCCACGAACCTCGACCACACCGTGGTTTGTTTCTCGTTTTCTTTCATTTTGTTTTGTGTTTGTTTTGCCTTCGGCCTACATAACTAGAGCCTGGAACATGAGATGTTGGAGCCCGCCTCAGGAAGATCAGACGACGCCGCCTGACCAATTAAAGTAGACGGCATGGGCCGAACCATGGTCAAGATGAGACCGAAGGATTCAACAGGTTCCGAGCGCGATCCTGGAGTCCGAGGCTGCGGGCGACGGGGCATAGCAATAGGCCGGGCCGAGTGGCTTGCAGGCGCAGGATTCGGGGGTCCATGGCAACAAGGGGTTTCTTTACCCTCACCAAATGCAGTCTCGTTGATTCCTTTTTTCCTTTTCTCTCTTTTGATCAACCACTTCTGTATATAGTGGCTACTCCGCTTCTTCGGGTTTGTGGAGAGCAGTTATTAGTTCCTTCTGCCTCCACGAGTGTACTCGTCAGAGAGTGCTCGTATTCGGAAGAAGGAAGAAAGGCCGTGAATTCTAAGTGCCCTGCTTTATAGGGGAAAATGGGGTCTTTGTCCTTGAGTGTAGAGCCGGAAATAGTCAGCCGGGTAACGTGGCTCGGCTTCTTCCGACACAAGTTACCGCATCCGGAAAGTCGGTGAGGTTTCACAGGTTATGCCCATTGAACCGCTGGCGCTCCATGTATGGCAAACTGCTCGGGCACAGTGGCAGCCACGGGGGTCTCACCATACAACCGCGCTCATCTAATGTACGCCCAAGATCGACTCGAGACGGTTTGTCGTGAGGGTGCCGGTCGGGGCACACTCGGTCGGGGCGCACTCGGTCGGTCTGGCAGAGCTCAAGATTCGGTGAAAACGCTCCTGGCAGCGTGCGCGGCGGTCGAAGAGTACAATGTCGTTTCCCGAACTTGGCCGTCAACTGAATTGACGTGTCTAGGCCGCGCCGCGAGGAGGCGTCAGGTTGGACTTGTGTGGCCCAACCGAGCTACCTGCGGACAAAGTCGTGCACCGCGTTGCCGAACTACCTGAGAGCGCAGCTCAGGAAAGAGCCGAGATGCCTGGCCAACAGACGCATTACGTTTATGAAGCCACAGGATTGACCTCCGCCGCCGACGTCTCTACCTTAGTTGCTTGGGCATCTGCACTGACCGTCTTGTCGTCAAGGCTCGGCCCAAACCTTCCACAACCTTCAAGCGCCACGGACCAAAGCGTATGGGAACTCCTGGAGATAGATAAGCTCGCAAGGGGCTGGTTCAATTGCAGCAGCTGAATGAAGAGTGCAGCAGTTGAATGAAGAGAACATCGCCTGCACGCCAGTGCATTGCGTAGCCTCAGTCTAAAGGCCGGTCCACTTAATCAGTAGAAAATATCACAGAGTTCGCAATGTAGAGTCTCCAACCACTTCTCTCTTCGAACATGGTGCAAAGCATAATTACAAAATCTCAAGTCATTTGCCATACTAGAGCTACTGTCACTTGCTCGCCAAGAAAACATTCCTCCATTCTTATCAAAGTTGATGCAACGTCCAACACTAATAATTGCGTCGAAGTAAAAGTTGTTTGTCTCTCCATATCCACCAACTCCTAATTTAACGATTCGCACAACAGTTATTAAGGACCACCAGATAGCCCAATATCTTCACGATACAAGAGAAGATAAACTCACCACGGGTGCCTTATACGGGAGGATCAGCTTCGTTTATTCCCAGTTGTGGGAGCCGGAGCCGGGTTCGGGGCCGGCTCTGGGGCCGGCCAGTCAGTGGTGTCAAATGACCCTCGTGTCGGCATGGCCGCGTAAGAAAGTCGATAAATACTCAGTGATGCAGAAGCCCTATAATCAAGCCAAAATTTGATGTTGGTGTTCCTGGCGTTGAACGATATACTTATTAGTTGAGTGATACACTTAATACTTTTGCTTGAGGATGGTGGAATCTAGAGACGAGAATGATCGCTGTGCGGCGAATGTGATGATTATACATATACTAGACGCGAGCCCCCCGCCGTTTAGAAATCCTCCCACGAGACAGACAAGCGGCCTATTAACACGTACCCGATGACGTGGCATCCCGGGAAGAACCGGTTAGAGTATTGTATATGGAGTATTGGCTTACCTCTTGGTTGGTAGTTGGGCGGCATATGTGTAGTTAACTTGCATAATAAGCCCGACCGAATGCGGCACTCCATGCATCAATGAGTAAATCAGAGACCTAAACCTGTCAGATATCTGGCTAGACTGGTGCCTTCGATCTAAGACATCGGGACATCAATGCCCCTTTGCTATGTCGTGAGGCCGTCGAAGGAAGGATCGCCTTGGGAATTACTAATTTGGGTTTGGGAGTGGGACAGCTTTGTCTGGCACAGGCCATCCGTCGCGGTAGGGGGGATTGCCTCTTACTTCCCGGATTTCGACCACAATAATTTTGGCATTCAAGCTGAGGACGTCCTCCTTTGCGATAGGCACAGCGTTCCCTTGATTGGTCCCTCCCCGGGAACCATTCCCTTCATTCGTCCCCGCCTGGGGTTAGGTGTCTGTTGTGGTCTGCTAGGTCTAGATGCAAATGATAACAGAGAGCACATACATATAGAGGCCTCTACATATATACCAACAAACTATCAGTAAGGGCGTGGTTTTCAGAGACAATTAACGTACTGACGTTTTTGTTGTATCGGTAATCCTCCACGTCACCCCAGTGTCAGTAACCTTCTTCTTCAGCATCGAGTGTATCGTTGCCAGGTCGTCGTTTGTGTTGAGAATGGTCCATTTCTCGAGTTTTGTGCCATCTGGATATTGGCCATGCTGCAAGAAGTCCATTTCCTTGGAGACCATGGAGCATTTTGATCGCTCTCAGGGCCGTTATTGCCGTGGACAGATTCTTTAGTATATGCTGGTAGAATTCGTCTTGGCCAGCTCCACTAGCTAACTACGAAGATTCCGCACTTGACATAATAAAAGCGTCTTGGAAGTTGTAGGAAGGGGACGTATATTAACAATTCTAAAGCAACAAAATGCCGGCGCCGGGTAAAGGAGAATCTTTTTGCAAGATAGAAGTAGATATGGAAATGGGGTCAAACTGTGATTATGAAATGGAGGCGAGGTCGGATGCGCGAGGGGGGTTAGAACGGAGGCCGTCGTCCAAAAAATTAGACGGCCGAGTCAGCTAGAAGCCGAGCGTGTATCATGGTCCTAGAACTGGGGACGAACTATCGAGCATGTCCCAAACAATTGTGTGGTCCGGCCTCGCGGCGGCAACCCAGCGTAAGCGTTTCATCAAGATGGTGTGGACTTTTTGGGTCTGTTTGCCTCAGGCATGGCGCTGCCAACCTCGACAGGCGGCCGTTATCGGACGGCCCACACAGGCTCAGAGAAGGTTCTGGCGGCCAGCCAACAAGCCGTCATCTCGAACACTTAATTACCACCACGCCCTCACTTGTTGGCTGTCAGCAGTGAAAAAGAAAGACCAACCAACTAGATCATGGCCACGACCTAGCCCGTCTCCCTGGATCATTCAGACACCCAGATTTACTCTAGCCTGTGTCGATGTGTTCAACTGGGGAAGGTGTAGGGAATGTGATAAGAGCTACCTAAACCCGGGGATACGGAAGGTGCGGAAGAAGGATGAGACAGAAGACCGGCGTGATCAGGCGTCAGCCATAGCTGACTGGCCTGTGCAGTCTAATGACCTTAGTAGCGACAAGAGAGATCTTACAACACGAGGTATATAAGGTCGCGAGCCAAAATGGCAGCCTATCCAACACTTTTTAGTGCGTCTATCATGATGGAAAGAGCTTCGAAGATATGCGCATGCGCCGTATCATCTTGCACATCACCGCCGGTTGGTCGTGAGGATCCTCACATGGTGCTGTTACTTGCGATGATGAAAGCGCGCCGTAAGGTTTTTGTTAAAAAAGGAGTGTGAAATTTTCCAATATTTTCGAATACTGAAGTAAGTTCAGCAGGCAGCACGGAGGAAACGAAAGACTAAGTAGATGGGAAAATGAAGAAGAAGTTGGGAGTAGAGTCAAACTCTGATAAGAAATAAAATTTGTGAAGTCATTCGCTTTTGCACACATGGGGCGGCTAAGCCCAACTATCGTCCGAGACACTGCATGACCAAGTCGGGTGGAACCCGGGCCTGCATCATGGTCGTCCCATGATAACAGGACAAGGGACGACCAACTCACCATGTCTGCCCGAAACAAAATATGTCAACTGATGTTTTCCAAAACAATTGTGTGGCCCCGCCGAACGACGGTGGCCTTGTGTCGGCGTTTTGCCAATACGGCGTGGATGGCTTGTCAAGAGTTTTAATTGCGCTGGCATGTTCGCGGGCCCAGAAAAAGTCCTACGACAGCCGATAAGCAACGACAGCCGATAAGCACCGACGGGAATTTCCAACGCCACACAAGCCGACATTATGTCGAACAGATGTGGCGGCGGAAATGCGGCGCGGCCGTCTGAGAGAGAGTCGCACCGTCATCGTTTGGGGCGTGTTGATGGCCGTCTAGTGGGCCCATTAATTACAAGATCCAAGTGCTTGGCTGGCAATTTAGAACAAATGCCTTGCCGGGTGGTTGCTCCTTTGCTGCTTCATATTTTCTGTTTCTTACAGCCCGAAGCCTGAAGCCCGAAGCAGCGATAATGGAATTCCTCGGTGGTCCGCCGTTTGCGGAAGTTACTTGGAACGGTTGCAATGATTCATTACATAATTAACGGCACTAATTGTCATTTAACTGTGGTTTTCTCGATTTTCCACGCCGTTCGTCATTGTATAACAGTACGGTATTTAGGCAGCTAATACGTACGTAGTTAATAAGCAGAATTGGCCGAGGAAAAACAACCAAGCCGTAATTAATTCGCAGTCCCACCGTCACATTGTCACACACCATCGCACCACCCCCAACCTAGAACCAACGTCATCGATGAATGACAAACCGCAACCTGCAATCAATCATCCCACATCGCGATGGCGCATCGGCTCGTACGCCGCGCCCCCGCCAGCGCCGACAACGACGACAACCGGCGGCTCCATGGACTGTGCACGCGACCTGGGCTGCACGAGATCGACCTGCGACGCGTAGCGCAGGCTGTTGAGCTCTTCGCCGGTGCCTTCGCCGGGAACTGACAGGTGCTTGTACGACGTGCGGCCCCTGCCTCGACCGCTGCGCTCGCTGCGCACGCGCCGCCGCTCGCGCCAGGCGATGAAGGCCCACAGCAGCGACGCCACCAGCGCCAGCGCGCTGGCCGTGTAGCCCACGCGGTCAGCGACGCCGTTGCTGCTCACTACCAGCTTGCCCGTGCCCGACAGCTTGATGTCGGATATGTCGTGCACGAACTTCTTGGCGAAGAAATGTGCCACCAGCGTCGCCGTGATTGTTGCCGCTGTGGCTATCTGTCCCCGGGGTCAATACAGACATGGCGGTGAGAAAGGGACTTGGGAGGGATGATTCGGAGGCACGTACCCATGTCACCACGGCGGCAATGACGATGCTCCAGTGCGAACAGAAAGCAAACAGGCCAAACACGGCCGTAAGAGCTGTGGTGATGACGGCCGCCAAGAGGCTGCCAAAGATGATCTGCGGGTTCGAGCCGACAAAGTTCTTCTCGACGAGGTCGACGCCCCAGACGCGCCACAGCCTATAAACGTCAAAGTCAGCGAAACTAAAAATGACACTTGTTGGCTTACACACGGCTGGCACACACGGCTGGCACTCACCACTGCAGGTCAAAGAACTGCTTGGCCCAGGGCGAGCAGTACGTGGCCTCGTAGCGGTCGGGGCCGTGCTTCTTGCCGCTGCAGTAGGCGCCGGCGTAGATGGCGAACCAGTCCTTGTTGCGCGAGAAGTCGTGCGAGTCGGGCAGGCCCTTGACGCTATCGCCCCCTCCCTCGACACCGTACGAGTACTCATCGGCCTCAATCTGTATTTTTGTCAGAACTCGTTCGGGAATGGTGGCAGGCAAAATAATAATTCACTGGCCAACTCACCAAAACAGTATACAGGCCATACCCCGAAGGGAGACGGTCGCCGCTGTCAATGGCGCCCGTGCCGGCGTGCAGGACGAGAATCTCGCCGACAAAAACGCCGGCATGGAGAAGGAGGACGAGTGGGAGCAGAAGTATGCTCCAAGTGAATCTCTTGGCCATGATGGACTCTGCTGCTGGCCGTCTGGTGGTGGTGCTGACGAGACCCGTGCTGGCCGAGAGAAATTCGGGGTTCGTTTGGGTGCTTGGGTCTTAATGATGAGCGCCCAAACGACAAGACAGGGTCATATGTGAGTTTTCGGGGACGAGCGGCCGCTTGAGTGTCGTGGGCGTCCGGACGTGGCTGCTGCCGGCCCTGACTCTCACCCGCCAAGACACGACAAACAAAACCTAATCGCCAACCAGAGCTGCGGCTCGGGGTGCGCACCCGTTTCATCAGAGCAGCTGGCTCTCCGGAACGCGACTAATCCGAAAGAGACGGCCTCTGGCGACCGCTACTGTTGGCTTCGGCGCTGGTAGCTCTTCAGCCCTACGCCTAACCAGCGCTCTATTGCACTTGGCATCTTGGCAGTCAGGATTATGTGCTGCCAAGCTCGCTGGCCCTCAGTCTGGACCGCTGAAAGGAACATGCCCAGACTTTTTTCTCCATTGCTGGCGTCTGTTTGCGTCGATCCAGCCAAGGCTGTTTTGGTCAGTGACAATGAACAAAGGCAGCACGATGTCTTGGATTTTTGTTGTCAGTTATTTACTACACGCCTCGCACTGTCACCCCTCTCTGCCACATATATTACTTCCATGTCATGGAGTCTGTCGACTGAAGAGCTCAAAGTTGACGTGCTGGCTCATTGGCCCCTTCAACTCCCCTCTGTTGTACCCACGACTTTCTCACGGGAACCATGAGACTCGTGCGTTGCGTGGGCGCGGTGGCGCTGGCGCTGGCTGCACAAGCCCAAGTCTTCCCCATCTCTGATGCCCGCTGCCCTGCTGCGCCGCGGCCTGCGCCGGGTGTCGCCTGCGGCATCGACACATTTCGCTACTGCGACACTCCGTCAGCAACTTGCCCGTTCTGTTTACCCAGATCGCCGCTGTTGCAAGCCGGGAAGCTGCCGCCGACGACCAAATACGGCGATTCGCCCAAGGACTACGTCGTCGACCTCGAGGACTATGCCTTCTACCACCTGCTGAACTTGGAATACCTGGTCGAGTTCTCCAAGAGGCCCATGCCCTTCCAGAAACCTGTTAGCCTTCCCTACTGCGGCCTCCCGAGCCTCGAGGTGCACAAGCGGAAACTCGAGGAGAGAAAGTGCAAGAAGCTGTTGGGCTGCGGCAAGATCATCCCCGACAAGATTGGCGGCACGCTGGGCCAGATTGGCGAGGGGTTGAAGAAGGTTGAAAAGGAGGTCGAGAAAGGACTGGGCTCCATCCGTAAGTCTGGCCCTTCATGGCTCGTTGTCATTGAAACGGTTCTAGCTAACAAGCAGCTCAGTGACACCCTTCCTTGATAAGCCCCCAAAAGTTCCCAAGCTGATCCCCCGCCCCGTGTGCATCCCCAAGACGCTGGTGATCCCCGTGCACTTCACAGTCTTCGCCACCAACCTGACGACGGCCTGGCGGGTCGACAGCACATCGCTAGAGCAGCAGATCAACGTCACCAACACCGCCTTCGCGCCGCTCAACATAACCTTCTTCATCGCCAGCATCAACTACCACATTGGGCTGCAGTGGAACCGCTTCACCAAGAACAAGAACCCCGGCGACGCCGACTACTACGCCTACTCGCAGGGCGTGAAGGCCGCAAATCGCTACGGCGGCAACGACGAGGTCAACGTCTGGGTGGTCGAGTCCATCGACGAGGTCAACTGCACGACGGGGGTGCTGACATACGGCTACTGCAGCATGGCGCGCAACCTGGCGCACGAAAACCACAACGTCGACGGGTGCGCCATCACCATCGACTCGCTGCCGGGCGTGTCGTTCCGCGGCGGGCCGGGCACAGGAACCACCCTGACGCACGAGCTGGGCCACTTCTTCGACCTGCCGCACGTGTTTCCCGAGGCCGCCGGCGCCGGCTGCGACGGTGAAAGTGATAATATTGGCGATACGTTCCAGTTCCCCAACAACGACGACATGTTCAAGCCGCAGCAGCCGCAGTGCTGCTCGACGGGCGCCGGCGCAAACAAGAAGTGGGCCGCGTGCGCCGACGAGACCCCCATCAACGTCACCAACTACATGAGCTACAGCGAGCAGGCCGGCCACTACAACCCGGGTGACGACCCGGGCACCATGCCGTGGACGACGGAGCAGCGCGCCCACATCTTCGCCGCCTTCTACACGCTGCGCCGCGCGCCGCCGCCGGGCGGCATCGACTGCAACACGTACCCGGTGTGGTTCGAGGCCCCGCCAGCGCTGACGGCGCGCGAGTTCGGGGTCCTCAAGAAAAAACGCGAGGGCGGGATCCAGAAGCGCGACTTCCGCGGGGCCAAGCTGCTGCGGCAGGGCGACCGGCTGCTGGAGCAGCTCAAGAAGCTGTGCGCGGCGCCGGCCGACGCCAACACGCCGCAGGCCATCGACATTGGCAGCGGGGAGGTGGTGGCGTGCGACGAGGACGGGACGTGCGCGGCGCCGTCGACGGGGGCGCGGTGCCCGGACGGCTCGGCCCCGCCGTGCACGCTGCAGGCGTACTGCTCCGATGGGTCGGCCCCGCCGTGCGACGGCGTACTCATGTGCCCCGACGGCTCTGCGCCGCCATGCGCCACTGACGCGGGGTCGACGGGCACCTGTCCTGGCGCCGTGGACCGCGTTGGCGGAGGCGGCCTGTGTCCAGATGGTACCGCGCCGACGTGCCCCAAGGTGTCGAGCCCGCCGGACCCTAAGGAGAAAGATCCCAACAAAGACCCCAACGATCCTAAGGAGAAGGACCCCAAGAAGGACCCCAAGAAGGACCCCAAAGAAGACACGCCAAAGGAGGACCCCAAGAAAGACCCCAACACGCCCGGCGGCACCTGCCCGGCAGGATGCGACATCCACTCCAACAAATGCGACGCGACGACGGCACCAACATGCACGTTCCCGGATCCGCGCGTGGCCAAGCCGCGGGCGGCGTGCGCGTGCCGGCCGGGGTTCAAGGCGACTGGGCACACGGACGGGGATGCGGCGGCGCAGTGGCGGCTGCCGGTGGCGGGGCAGGAGCACCGCGTGTGGGTCGCCGAGGGTGTGGTCTGCGACTCGCTGTGCGTCGTGTCGGGCGGCGTGGACAGCTGCAAGGAGGTCACTCTACTGCAGGCGGCGTGCGTTAGTTATCCGTAGAACCACGCAAGGTAGCTGTCCGTTTGTTTTGCCTGCTCATGCTCTATGGATATTCTCGGTGCTCAAGGGGCTCAGGGGTGTAATTAGCTGAAGTTCTAATCTTTGTCAACCGGGTCGGGGTTTGGGAATTGGAGAATCCAATTATTTTTTAAATGTTATCCAAGTTGGGTTATTGGTTCTTTTTCCGAATCAACACATGTTAAATATTAAACTTTTGGGCACTCTGGTCAAGGTTTAAAACGGAGACGGTAATGTGACGGCGTGATTCTGGATCCATTCAGCCCGACGTAGATTGGACATTCCATTATAAGAAAATTTCTACCTACTTCCAGCTCTTTTGCCAACCCGAACTAGTCCCGACTCTGAAACAGGCAGCCAGAAGGCAATTTTCAGCAAAGTGTAAACGACCCCGAAGCCTATAGGCTACCAACGCCAACATAGAGTTCTGCAATCCCCAATGTTTTCAAGCAAAAGCAACTCGATATACACCAGCGACAGCAGGTTGAACACGCAACAACCAGCCCAAACACACTACATATATCACACAAAGGTCACGCAACTCCGAAGCATGTTCACAACGTCCTGGTCGAATCCAGACTCCCAGGCTGGCCCTTCTTTGATCAGCTTCGCATCCGACATCTCATCTTCAACTGCGGGGGACTCGGGGCCGAGAATATCGTCCACAGTTAGAGGGTCAGCTTCTGAGCCCGGTGTGGCGGAACTGCTGTTAAACTTAGTGCCCTGCAGAAACAAGCTCGAGTTGGGATTATCGGGCTTGGAACTCTCCCCGTTCTCTCCCACAACTGAGGCCCGAGATACGGGAATAAGCCCGTCCGAGAAGACATCCAGTCCTGTGCCGGCAGACCCTCTGGAGGTGCCCTGATAAAGTACCACATCACTTCCCCCCGCCCTGAATGGGGTCTGACGTGGTTTGTGAATCTCGGCAAACAATATATCATCAAGAGATGATGAATCATCCCCATCGAAATAGTCGCGTTTTTTAGACTCCGGTGACGATGTGCCCTTTTTGGGCTTAAGGCGAGCAGAAGTGAACTTTTTCTTAGTATAAGATACCCTTTCTTCCTCTGCCTTAGACGTGTTTGTAGCAGCGTTCGATGGGAAGACCACCTCGTCGTCAGCCATGGACAGATCGATGCACTCTATATCCATGTCGTCGAAGTTCATGGGTTTCCAGAGTTTTAGTGAAGCTTTGCCGATTGATCGGTCACGCACGTGAAAGGAGTCCATCTTGAACTTAGATGACTCCCGCCCCGCCTTCAGCCGTTTGGTTTGGGGTTCTGGGGTAGATTTTGGCTGCACCTTTGGTTGTACCTTGGCTGGCACAATGTCGAAATTCTCATCTGCTTCGTCTCCCGCCTTTCTCTTCTTCGACCGTGGCGGATGTCGCTTTCTCGGCCTGTCGAGGCCGTCTTTGCAGCATCGATGGGTGCAAGGTTTTCCTGATTTGGTACGAGCACCTCCGCTGCATGCATGGTTGCATTGCCATTTGCCGTTTGAAAGCTGAACGGGTTCGCGGTCAATGTCCTGATCTGGGTCCATGTCGCCTCCTTCATTTTCATCATCGGCGGCCAAATGACGATCAAACCGTTGCCGCTCCAGTTTCACATCAAAAGTCTCCGCTAGCAAATCTTCGACGGGCGCATATTCGTTGCTATCCTGGCTGAACGACTCTGGATGCTGGACTACAGCTTTCTCAGCAGCCTCGAGGAAATCGGAATCTTCGATATTATCATCATCGAGGTAATTCTGAGCAACTGCCTTCCTGCTTTGCATTGAACCAGCTGCGACCTGTGTTCTCGATGCCGACGGGAAGGCCGCTCTGGACAGGTTATGATGCAGAACCTTCGAAACCTGGGTTCCAACAATTTCCTCACAGCTGAAATGGCAAATGACACTGTCATTGAAATCTTTCAACTCAACTGAGAACTTGAGTTCAAGGCCGGACTGGTTGTGAAGCTTTCTCATGCCAACTCGCCCAAACCACGCCAGGGTCCCGTCGCTCGTCTCGGCGACGAAAGTGAGCCCGGGTACCCTGTCACGCCATCTCGGCAGCCCCTTGCGGTTCAAACAGCGAAGCTTCACGCTGACATTCAAGATGACTGGTCCTCCGTTTCTGGAGGGGGTTTTGTGATTAATAGTAGCCATGTCGAAGTCGAGGCGCGGAAACATTTCAAGAACTTCCTGCATTTTCCTCCCAAAAGGAGGTTGTCGGGACATGAGCCGCTCAATCTCGCCATAGCCCTTGTCTGCAAGCTCCAGAACCGTTCTGATGTTCTTCCCCGAGAGCTTTCTCATCCCAGCGGGCCCGATGTTGGGAATCTGGGTGAGCTGAGTCGCACAATCCTCCCAGGACCCTGCAGCAAGGGCCCTAGTTAACTCGAGCGCATTCCTGGTTCCAACGGCGTCACGATCATGTCTCTTGCAGTCCGCCACCGCGCGAACAAGACGCTGCAGCCTTTCGAACACGGCCTTGCGCTCCACCATGAGCTGGTGTTTCAACTTGCTAGTTTCCTTCGAATCGGGGTATTGAACACTGCCGAGGTGCGCCTGGACCATGAGGGAGATTTTGTGTGAAGTCTGGCCGATGGCGTCTCTGATCGGATACATCATTAAAGGCGACTGGTTGATCTCACGAAACATGGTTCTCTCGGCTGGTTTCATTCGAAAGTCCTTGAACTCTGATGCCTGTGAAAGAATCGTGATCTGCAAGGACTAATTAGCATTAACCGGCAAGCAATTGGCCAGAACTCGTACCAGAGTCTCAGTCCCGGCAGCACGCGGAATTTGCAGCAGCAGCTTCATTGTCGTGAATTCCACCATATATCGAGACATTGAACGTCCGTACTCGGTGCATTCGAACGTCTCACCGTCCGTGACCACTTCCGCCTCTTGCAACAACTTGATGTCTCGCTCACAAATCTCTTCCAGTCTATTGTCAATTTGTGAGGGATTCGACATTGAGCCCGTCAGTTGGTAATGGTCCGGATTGCGCCTCAGCCGCACACTTAAGAAAGTGCCACTTAACCATCCCTTTGCGGACGGAAGGTCCGTGATCGTTCTGAGGCATATCTCGGAGTTCAGGTGTTCGATGAGATTGAGGTGCAGGGTGCTTTCTAGAATCTCCTGGCCAGAGGCCATCCTCTCGTACCGATTCTTCTGCGCGGCCCGGGTGAGGATGATTGCTGTGGCGCTATCATCAAACTGCGGCCGACCGGCACGCCCAAGCATCTGCATGACTTCGAGATCCGAGTACTCTTGGAGCTTGTCGTCTGTGTACCCCACGGTACCCTTCAGAACAACCGTGTGGCATGGGAGATTTACGCCCACCGCCAATGTCGAAGTGCAACAAATGACGCTCAGCTGGCCTTTCAAGAAGCCCTGTTCAACTGCGACACGATCTTGCGCATCTAGGCCAGCGTGATGAAAAGCAACTCCAAACCTGACAACCTCTTGCAGTTCTCGACCAAGAACTGGGATGCTTTGCGACGGCATTGGCCACAGTCTGTTGTCTTGCTGTTGGTCAGACACGTAGTCCGCTAGTAATGAGGCTGTGGATTCGCACGACTTTCTGGTGAAACAAAAGATCATGATAGGCTTCTTCTGATTGTGTCGCTGGAGTACCGTTGGCAGTTTCGTGTCGAGAAAGTTGTCGAATATGAAGTTGTTGCTCTTATAATCGTAGCCATGGACATACTTTTGCAACTTGACGGGGCGAAATTCCTCGCCAAACGTTTCGCGGTGAGCTGGCAGGTGCTGACTCGTATGGTTTCGGCCAAGCCATGTTGCAATGTCGTCTGAGTTGGGAACAGTGGCGCTCAAAGCGATAAAGCGGACATTGGCTCCAATCGTCTTCATGCGAGAAACAACAGCCTCGAGGGTCGCTCCGCGGACGTCTTTGAGAATGTGGACTTCGTCGATGAGAAAAAGCTCTACCATCTGGAGAAGTCTACGGTGGTCGTTCCACCTTCGAGTTATTGAATCCCACTTCTCAGGGGTTGTGACGATGATGGAAGCGTCGCCAACGCGATTCATCTCGGCTTGGGATGTGTCCCCAGTCAGTTCAGCGCACTTGAAATTCATGTGGCTGAACTTCTTCTCCCATTCGCGAGCCCTCTCGAAGCAAAGCGCTTTAGTAGGAGCCTGATAGACAATCTTGAAGTTCTCGTTGCCTCGGTCAAGAGCGACCTTGCAGATTGCAAGTTCAAGGATTGCAGTCTTTCCACTACCAGTTGGTGCGGCAACGACGACGTTGTCATTCCCGCCATAAACAGCGTCGAAGCACTTCGACTGGACCGCATTGAAGAACTCGTATGGAAATACTGATCGGAACTTGTCTGGTAGGCTTTGGCGCAAACTGATGAGAGTTATTCCATAGACCAACGGGCCAGAGGGACTCGGCCCATCCTTGCTATATCGGGGCACCAGTGAAGGCGACGATTGAATTGGCAACGAAGATCTTCCATTGGAATATGTGGAATGTCCGGAGCGATCTTGCCTGTGAACGGTCGCTCGCATGACAGGGCTCGAGCTATCAAAGCCGGGGTGATTGCCGGCCCTTGAGCCATCGCTTGGAGACGCACTGCTATGCGATGCTGCGGTACAAAGTCAGTTAAATGCTGCCAAGTCAATATGAACCTATTGCCAACTGACCTGGGCGTGCGAGCGGTGTCTCTTGATGGGGAGAGTGGTGCATATCTCGGAACCTATGCGCCAGCTCGCGGTGGACAACGCCGAGGGGCCTCTGGTTTGACTGTGGTAAAGGTTCGACAAACCCTGGGTTCACTGGGAAGGCTGGCCGAAAAAGGGGATCATGTGAAGGTGTGGGTGTCGGATATATGGCAGTGTTTGGTACGTGGGGTGTGGTGTGTTGAGAAAGGCTCGCGAGGGCCTGGATGTATTCAGAGTGGTTCTCCAGCTCGTCGGGTGGCTGGTGGGCAAGTACACTCCTGTCTAAGTGGTGTTAGCTGGTTGACGCAGATGGCGGCCGAGGCTAGTTACGAACCAAAGTCATCCAGTCCATCGTGGTACAAACCCTGCGTGTTCGGGAATCTGCTTGCCAAAGGGGGCCCATTGCGCCCTGCGGCGGGCTGCAAGGCAAATCGATCCAGCGACGAAGCTTGGGAAGCTGGAATTGAGGGGCCTCGGTGTTCGAGGTTGTCTTGTATCCGCCTTTCCTCTCCGTACTGGCCAAACTGGCTTGCGCCACGTGTTGGATTAGGCAGCCAGGTTCCCGACATTGCAATCGACAAGACCCGTCCAGACTACTGCAAAATGACTCGAAACCCGGTCTTGTTAATAGGGCAGCTGGGAGCGCAGAGATGTGCTGGGTATAGAGGCGAGGAATGGCGCTTTCAATACAGACGATAGAGATCCGGGCAGGTAAACCACGAGGGCATCGATCAAAGAGCGTTTGGGGATGATGGGACGCATTTGCGCTTGAGCATGTTAGAGCTGTAGCGAGACAGTGGTCGATGGCAAAATTGCAGGTCCAAGCCTAGAATGGTCGGCCGGGTTCCATGTTGTATGCCGAGGCAGTCGCGACCGTTGAAGAGTCGCTCCTACCAGTTTACACCAACGCACTTGAACTCAGTGATTAATCACCCGGTGCTGTAGAGCGTTCCTTCCATCTTTGGGCCTCAACAAGGCTTTCACGTGAAGGCTGGGCAAAACGGCCGCTAGTCCCATTTCCCGGTGTGTGGCAGGAAGAGGAGAAAGAGCCAGTTCAGAGCCTCCGAATTTGGCACCAGATGTGTTCTAAACATGACGGTGACTAAGGGGCGGTCTCCAGATGTTGAACACTTTCACTTCGAGGCATGCAAAATTGTGTGCGTGGATTGAGAAGCTCACACGGGACTTGCAGCGGGGACCATACCATTTGCTTGGCGCGATGCTTGTATTATTTATTTCTGCTCTTATTTAATCCAGAAATTCCGGGCCTAATTACTTGGGCAGTCGTTGTTGTCAATCACCTGTAGCCCACACTCAAGTGCCTGCTCGGCGTTTGTACCCGAACCCTACACCATCACGTTTATGCCAGGGACTGTTGCACCCACGCGCTGCCATTCATGTATCTGCGCGTTGTGGCCAGCAGCCCCAGCGTGATTATTCGCTCCCGGGCATTCTCAGCCGCACCAGGAGCTTGCCTGGATAACCACTGTGCCCGTGCGCTGTAGCGTTTCGTCACCTGTATATTTTTTGTTGCGGATCCGAAGCGCGGCCCTTACTCGTCGAATCTCTTGCCTCTTGCCGACGGGGTCCTGGGGTGGTGTTGTAATGGCGACACGGGTCTCGAGGACGAGGATCTGATGGACCTGCCTGCCGCGTCCATGGGTTTGAGGTTCAGCTTGTTCTCGTCGAGATACCTCGGCGTGCTGTCAATGGTCGTCTTTTCGTAGCTAACGATATTGATGGGTGGAGGGCGGCCACGCTTCCGGTCTGGCAAGTTGTAAAAATAGATTGCTGCCATCACAAGACCAGCGCCGAGGACGAACTTGGAAGGAGTTAGCAATGGAACGGCAAGCCCGGGGCACGCACACAACCTACCGGGAATGTAATCTCAAACCCAAAGACAAACACGCTGAATATGGAGCTGATGATGATGCTGATGCTGGTAGCAAAGTTCTTTGCAATGTTGTCCGCGTAATTGATGCACAGAGACGAGAGCACGCCGCCCGTCGCCTGGAAGACGATGGCAGTCCATACAACCCCACTGTACCCGTCGAAGAAGCCGTGCTTGGCAATCTCGACACCATCTCTGACAACTACGCCAAGGAAAAACGCTGGAAACAACGAGTAGAAGGAGAGCTGGATGTTTCTGGTCCAGACAGAAACAGGTGTCGAGGAGCCTTTCAGTACCTTCTCAAAGTATACGCCCGTCAAGCCCGACACCACCGCAGAGACCAAGACTGCAGACATCCCAATTGAGTAGCTCATGGGCGGGTCTATATTCTGGTCCTCTCTGATGCCCTGGTATGACGCAGACCGCTTGTTCAGCTCTCCCGCAAGACCGCCCAGCCCTCGTTTCGCCACCTCGGCAGCCACCTTGGTCACACCGCCTGCAATCTGGCCGAGCTCGTGCATGGATCGGGGGAAGAAGTGGTCGCTGAAGTCGTGAATGTCCATGCTCGGGTCCCTCTGGGACGAGGGGAGGGAGACGACCGAGACGCCCAGGGTGAGCACCACAAGCGACATCCAGCGCCTGAACCCCAGGTTTCGGCCGAGCAAGACTACCATGAAGAAGGCCGTCGTGAGGATCTGGTCGTAAGTCAGCACAAAATGCGCACAACATCGGCCGACCAGTACCCAGCTCCAGCATCACGGCCCGCGCCAACTCCGTACCTTTAGTTGGTAGAGAACCTGGAAATGCACAGCATCCAAGTTGCTCAGCGCCACGTACTGCAGCGTGTTCTCCAGCGTGTAGAGCACGGCCGGAATCGCCAGCTTCCAGCCGTCTCCCGAAAACACGGAATTGTATATTTGCTCGAAGATCACCGTCACGGGCGTCTGCGGTGCCAGACTTGCGGAAACCTCCAGTATCGAGAATGTGAGGGCGATCGCAAGCTTGATGACCTCGTTGAGGAAGACGGCGGTCGAGGCAAAGTACCGGTGGTCGCCCGAGGGCTCCATGACGCGCGAGTAGTGCATAATCTGTAGAAATTCTTGTTAGCATTGCACGCGATGCGCAAATGGGCACGGAGGACGAGCGCAGGCACATGACGTACCAGAATGAGCGCCGAGTTCTGGAAGGTCAACTGTTGCGCGCCGTGTTAGCTCCCCGGGCTGCCAAAGCGTCTAGAATCCGCAATTGAGCGCCTACTGTGACCAGAGATGCCTGCTTCATCGGGACACCGAAGAACGTCGGGCCCCCCGCGGGCGGCGGGGTGCTGACGAAAGCCATGTCTGCGCGCTGGCTTCGGCTTGTCAGGGGCCGTTCGTGGCCAGCGGGCAGCACCGGGATTCGGTCGATTCGCGATCGGACGGCGTAGTCAGACGGCCAGGTCTGGCGCCGCGTGTCGTTATCCTGATCGGATGCTGATGGGACGTGGGTCGTGGGAAATTCGTCGGTTTGGGCAGAAAAGGGGTACCCGGCCTCGACGTCACAAGCGGGAAAAAAAAAATTGGCGGCAGAATGCAGAGCACAGTCGCGTCGGATTTCCAATGCCCTGTTTCGTCGGCACCCTGCGCTGCTCGAGCGGCGGGATGGGTGGTATTGGTCGGAAGTCGTCTCGTCGACAAAATGGACGAATCTCGCGAGCTCCCCTGCTTGGGCAATTCTGGCTTCTTTTAATCTGTCGGTCTTCCACCCACGACCTGCGTGGTTGGCTCTGAAGTCGACCCGCACTTCTATTGGGCTTGGCTGGGGCCTGTGTCGAGGATGAGCCTGTTCCACAATTGGTCGCGCCCAGTGCAGGTCGCGGTGGAGATACTTTAGCGGTACAGGAGGTAGCGTGGCTAGGCGCGGCGAAGCGTTGTACCCTGGGCGTACCGGCCGCGACCTAATGGCTCTTCGACCTCGAAGCGTTGGCCCCTTTGCCCGTACTAGAAGTCCGAGCCGAACTCGACGAAGCAGATAAAATCAAGTCAAAAACAAGATTGCTACGAGGCAGTGTTAAAAAGGAAACCAGCTGTTCCTACATACGTCTTGGCGGCCCAAGGACTTTTGACTCAGTTGGCCTGATGGTTTCAGAGTCCAGGGTTGAAGCAATTGCTCCATCGAGGTCGGAGTGGGAGCGCTGTGGACGCAGCGTTTTTTGCTCGCCAGCGACATTTCCAATTAAATCTGATCTACGAATTGCCCATCTAGAATCTTTTCCCCCCGAACGGCAACCACAAGAATGCTCTGTATCAAGCGGCGAAAGTTTTTCAAGTGTCCATGATGCGTCTAACAGCTCCCTAGGATACAGAACGCACCCAGGCTTCGTCCCAAAGAGGACGGAAAACAGCGGTCACACGAGCACTGGATCCAGCCACCTGGTGACCCCGCATTCTGGATTGAGTAACACTCGCCAAGCAGGAGCCGCCTCGTCCACATTGAATAGAGCCTCCAGACTGAATCTCCATTTTCGCGAGCAAAATAGCGGTGCAGCGCCACTCCCATTAACGCCGCAAAAAGCGGTGAGCGATTCCCTACCGTGCAGTGTGGTGCGCAGGATTCCCCACGATATTTATCTTGTACAGTATCCAACTGGTGCCATGTCCATCCCCGTACGTCAGCGTCTCTGGGGACCAAGTTGGAAATTCGGCCCCCTGTCCGATTCCCCGCATTCCGAGTGGGCCCTGAAGATTTCCACAACCCCTGATCGACAATTTTTTTATTGGGTTTGCAATCGAGGTGCATTACTCTAGGTGTGACGCGTCTTGCATTGAAAGCTTCAGCTGCGTCACTATGTCTGCCTCTTCACATAAAAACCGCCAATATATCACCAGAAGTTACAGACCTGGAGCCCACTGATAGACAATTTCTCTTACTCGCACAGCCTCTCGATCATCAAATTTCATTTCCATGCGTCAGTAAGAGGGTTAGAGCTACAGCTTTTATCCCAAGCCGATGACTTCGTGGGCATATGGTCACGACGTCATCAAAAAGGACTTATCCAATTTGCCGTCTCTGTTCTATGCCGTCTCTTCTTCCTCGCCTTTTGTGTCTCCAACTCAGTTTTTCATGGTTTTGGACATTGTATAACTGTCTGGTTGGATGCTTACCGGCGTCTCCGAGCAGGAGGAGACACCACGCCCTGTAATCCGTATGCCCTGTATCTCTAGACAAGACCAAAAAACTCCAGGACCTGCTTGTCGTGGAAAGGAACCATGTGGCCCACGCCCTGCGCGCTATACCCGACGAGCCTGGTCCCGTCCCCATAAACCATCTTGGTGTAGCCGCTGCCAGGGTCGCCAGTCACGTTCTTGGCGAACGACACACCGAGCACGTTGCTCCACTCGGCAAGCGCGTCGGCCAGGTACCCGTAGGTGACGACGCTGTCTGCGGTGCCGTGCCAGATCTGTACGGCCGGCCGGGTCCCGTTGAAGGCGGGATATGCCGACCGCACCAGGTCCCCCCAAGCCTGCGCCGTCGGCCGCTTGTTCGTCTGGCAGCCCGGGGCTATTGCGCCGCCCGACGGCGACAGCCCCGCGCCGTTCCAGCACGCAAACGCCGGCGCCCCCGAGAAGGACGCCCCGGCCGCGAACACGTCCGGGTACGTGGCCACCAGCGCGTTGGTCGCCATGCCGCCCGACGAAGACCCCGTCACGAAGACGCGTGACGCGTCGCCCTTGTACTTGTCGAGCGCGTACTTGACCTGATAATGCCCCAGGGCTCTGTTAGAAATGGCTTCTCAATACAATTTCAGGCCGAGATTTGGGCGCCCACCATGTTAACCATCCCCTGCGTGTCGCCGCCGCCATTGTGCGTGAGCGACTTGACCGAGCTGCAGTCCCAGCACGTGTTGGGCGTCTGCGGATAGATCAGGACGAAGCCGAGCTTGTCCGCCTGGGCTGGGAGGTTCGTGGCGACGCGACTAAACGTGTCCTGGGCGCTGCCTCCGCAGGGATGGGGCTACTCGCATGTTGATTGGTAAGTATCAGTCGCTTGACAAAAGTAGAGGAGAAAACGACAACGCACGACAATGATCACCGGCGGCTTCTCGGCCAGCTTGTCGGGGACGTAGATGTAAAAGGACAGCTTGGTCGGATTCTCCCAGCCCGACGTGACCTGTGTCAGCTTTGCCCCGAGAGCCAGCGGGAACACGCACGCGACGAGCAGCGCGGCCATGCGAAGGCCGGTGAGTTTTGCCATGGCTATCAAGTGAAATCTACAAACTTGGGCACGTAGCTGCTGGTCAAAGCGAAGTTAACTCGTGGTGGTTAACCGGGGAACTTGTCTTGGTCTGTCTCTTTGACAATCATGGTGTTGATATACGACCCGGGACAAATGCGAATTTGTTAGTTGCTGTCTAATATCGCATATTAGCTTACACGCGGGGTACAGCCGACACACAAACCGTGGTCGTATTGCTAATATCGCGAGGAAGTGCCATAGGCTGAATGCAGGAAGTCGACTTTTTACACTTCGATTTTGCTTCAGCGACTAGACTCGCCCAAGCCAGCCAATTAATTAGTTCTTGGTATGATTTAAATTTATTTCCCCGTTTCTCGTTTCTCGTTCCTCACGTCTTGTTGCTACCCCAGGCAAGATACACAACTTGCATGGTTTTTGCCGGCTTCCGTCTCGATGCCCTTGACGACCCAGCAACGCACTCTCCAGAAGCTCGCACCCGACACTGACAGGTTAAATCTGCTATTGCCGCTCATTGGCCCTCTCAGTTGCCTTTTCAGGAGTGCGCGATATGTACATAGCATAGACACCACCAAGCCCGAGGACGCCGGCGCCGATATAACTGCATTGGCCGGCAATGACCACGTTAGTGATTTGGGACAGAAAACGACAGGGAGGCGTGAATAGCATACACGAGATTCTTGTTGGGATTGGTGCCATCTTTATTGTATTCCTTTGCCATGCCCTTGATCCCCTGTGTCGGGCCCGCCGGCGCCGGCTCTTTCGGGCCAGTCCCGGAGCTCACGAACCGCCTCTGGACTGACAAAAGGGGCTGGCGGCGGGCCGTCTGCTGATGAACTGCGCGCACAGTAGTGCGCAGGAGCGGGGCTCTAGAGAAAGTCATTGTCACTTATCTCGCGAAGTTTGACGCGGTTGTTGGGACGCAAATCAGTCACCGAGTTACGGTTTGGTGGTGATGCATGGATGGACGAAATATGGGGTGACATCGATCGATGACATCATGAGCGAACATGACATCTAGGTGGCGCGGGGCCCCCGCACCCTATCGAATCACCACTGTACCACCATCAGGCTCGGGAAGGAGACTTGGGGAGGGCCCGATTTGACTGAGATCGGACGCCGCGTTCTTGGAGGCGGCAGGCTGCGCCTTGGCTTTTCCATGAAACAAGCTCCGGGGACCTGCATCCGTAGCTCAGGGCTCAGCCCTATCATCCATTTATGCAATGTCAGGAACGACGTCCGCTCTTGCTCAAATGTGAATGTGCACGTGGGAGCTCGGCTCCCACCAACATACCTCACCGCCCACTAAGCAACAAGGACCTCTGTAATTTGGTAGTAAGATGGAAATTCTTGATTGCATGGTATCTCGACTCCTCATTCTCAACTTACGAAAGCACAGAAGGCTGCACCGTGTCATGCGCATATCGTCAAGCCAAACCCCTTCCCGTCCTCCTCACTACCAGGCTAGTCTACCAGGCCAGACTACCTGCAAACCGAAACGAATAAACAAAAGAACATGCCAGGGCCCATTTGGCCCTCAAACCGACAAAAGGCTAGCTGCCGTCCCAGACTAGCAGCAGTATCGATGGAATGAGCAGGTGCCGTCGCAGCACGTGCAGCCAACATTCATGCCGCCGCCTCGCAGCGAGGCCTCGTTCTCGAGTTGTGGAAGCGGCTCAGATTTCTGGCACAGTTCTTCGCGTCAGCATCCAGCATTGATCGATTGAAGCGGCGGTATTTGTTCGGACGTGACACACCGGCTGGCGCGTGATGATTTGGCCCGGAGCAGTCGCCTCGGCGGCGGCCTCCATTGGCACCTGCTGCTTGGGAGCTTCGACAGTGGGCATAATTAGTGGTAGTTGATGTTGTTTTGTCTTTGGGTAGGGCTGTCGTGGTGGATGTCAATTCTGAGTCTGTCGATAAGGCAATGGCCTGAGCTTGGCGATGTTCTTTTTGGTCTTGTCCAATGTTGTTGCGCACCGCCAGCCAAGACAAAAACAAAAGAACAAAAAGGAATGTGGGCGGGTCTAGACGCTTCTTATCTTGAGTTGCCGAGGCCTCCTTCCCGTGTGGCATGCCACGTCTCGGATTGGCTGGAGAAGCGAGTTTGGGCGTCGATAGTCGCTCCGTTTGTGACATGGCTTGGTCTTGGCATTGTTCAGCTCAAGGCCGTTGCATGCCCTCATTTCGCAGCGTCCACCAAGACGGTCCAAGTGCGCCGCCCCCATCCAATCCTAGCCGCATGCCAACATGAGCAACATGGTCCGGGAAAGCTTATTTTCTCGTCCGTCCAGTGGTCTCGCATCCTCTGGTCTCGCATCCTCTGCGTGTGAGCTTAAGAGACATGATATTGCAGGCAAAGAGGTCCAGCCCCTGAATGATTGTGACGTGGTACATGCTTAAAGACAGTGTTAAGATTTTGGTAAATAAAACCAAGAGTCTTTGACGGACATTGATAGTAGAACAGAGGCGTAGAGATCTACAATTTTATATTAGGGGTGCTGAAGGTTAAACACTAACTGAAGGTTAAACACTGACTTCCTCAAAGAAACACCTTGAGGGCAAACTTGCATGTTGATAGGCCTTTTATGGCTTTTAGAGTCTTACCCTAGCAAGAGTCGCAGTTCAATAAGCCCGACGAGCAGTTAATCTGGTATATTTGGTCGAACATTAAGGCGGTACGGGTAAGATGAAAATGAGCAATAGAATCTACCACATTAGGTGGAAGTTTGCAACAAACCGAGATAATAAAGCCGACTTTCCAACAACACTGTCGTCAACCTTAACAACGTCGAAACAGACATGCCCGCAACCAAACCATATGGCATTTTGCAACAACCGGGCTCAGACCTTGACCTCTTCGGCATGCACGACGTCATCGCCCTTCTTGCTGCCGGTGTCGACATCGCTCCCGCTGGCAACGGTGCCGCCGCTCTCCTCCGCAGCGACGCCAATAGGCCGGTGGACGACGCAGACGTACTTGCGGAACTTCTTTGCCGGCAGTCGGGCCTCGAACTGGAGGGTTTTGTGGCACACGCAGTTAGCCAAGTCTTTCGTCTCCCTAGGAACAAAGGCAGGGAAAACCGGGGTGAGATGTATTGGGCCGACCTACCATCTCGTCGATTTCCTCTAGCGTGCGGTTCTTGACTTCGGGGAGGAAAAAGTAGACCCAAGCACTGTTTGTTTGCAGGAATTAGTCCATGTCAGTTATTGGTACAGGCGAACCCGTGGCAAACAGTATAATGGATGGTGAGGATGAGACAGTAAAAAGACTTACGCCGAAATCAGGCACGAGGGCAGCCAGATGTAGCCGTACTTGGGCCCCCAGTTGAGTGCCTCGGGGTTGATGAAGTAGGGCGCGGTGAACGTTGTTAGCCAGGCAGCGAAGAAACCCACGGCCGTGGCCAGGCCGAACGTGTACGAGCGCAGCCGCTGCGACGGCAGTTCGCCGCCAGACACCCACGCGTACGTCGCCACCATTCCCTGCATCGAGTCAAGCCACGTCAGCAAGTTCACCCATGAGCGGGTACCTCACCCAGACACAAGTAGATATTTGGAGTTGGTTAGGAGGGATGTGAGGTGGTCTGGAAAAATTACATTGTAACCAAAGATGTAGATAACAGCGAGCGCGACAATGGCCTGGCCGGTCGACTTGGTACCCGGGTTAACGGTGTAGACGACGGCGGTAAGCAGCTGGGCGAGCCCGCAGAGCACCAGGCCCGAGACGAGGAAAACGCGGCGGCGGCCAAAGTTTGTGATGAGGGCGCTGTTGATCAGAATCGCCACGATGCCGACGCCGTTGAGGATGCACGAGTTCTCGAATGGCTGTCCGATGCCCGCCATGCGGAAGAAGTACGTGCCGTACGCTGCGGGAGCGGTCGACGCGTCAGTGGAAACGGGCATCTTTTTGGGGTTCGGAGGAAAGGGGGGGGATAGATGCTGCGCACCAATCATATACATGGCCCCGGAAGCGCCCTGCACGGTCAGACCGCACACGGCGAGCACGGTGCGGCGGCGGTCGACGGGGTCCCGGAACATGTCCCAGACGGGGATGCTCTTGTGGTGGCTCTCGGTCTCGAGGGCGACCTCGATGTCGCGGATCTCGGCGTCGATGCGGGCCTCGGGGAAGGGGCGGTGCCAGCGTAGGGCCTTGCGGGCCTGCTCGGGTTTGCCGTGCTGCATCAGCCAGCGCGGCGACTCGGGGATGAGCAGGAGGCCCAGCGACATGAGGACGGGCATGATGAAGATGAGCCCGAGCGGGATCAGGTACGAGTTGCGGCCGTCGATCTTCTCGGTGAAGTTGTCAACGATGGTCCCCACGAGCGACCCGAGCGACGTCCACACCTGGAAGGACGATATCATCAGGCCCCGGTACCGCGCCGGCGAGCACTCCTGGATGTACAGCTGCGAGAAGGTCATGAACATGCCGTTGGCCAGGCCGATGAGCAGGCGTCCCGCGTAGAGGCCGCCGATGTTTGTCGTGCTCATCATGATGATGTTGGACACGATGCAGAGCAGGCTGGCGGACCAGATGGCCATCCTGCGGCTCATGACGCCCGCTATCGGCCCAGCTGCCGAGGAGCTGATGAAGGCGCCGAGCGTCATGAGTGACGAGATCAGCTGCTGGCGCTCGGTACCGATGTTCCAGCCGCTCGGGAGCTCAGGGGCTGGGTGCCCAAAGATCTACAGTTGCCAGTGTGAGTTTTTTCGCCACGAGGTTACGAACCCATCGGTGTGATGCCAGGTAGGAACATGGAGCCCACCTTGAGGAAGCCAACCATGGCCTGTAAACCGCCAATTAGGCCAAAGTCGAGCCCATACTGGAAAGGACACATGGAGACGAGGGTGCAAGCGGCCAGGCACTTCCAATGCTCCTTGATGCCATATTTCTTGTCGGCCTCTGGCCCAGGAGAGGGCGAGTCGCTGCCAGTGTGGGTAGCGGCGACCTCCTTTTCGTCGGCCATGATGCTTGGCAGCGGTCTTCAACTCGCTTTGTTGACGGCAAGGTGGAATCCGGCCCACCTCAGGAGGGCTCAAGTCTGTGGGACGAGCGTGGACAGGAGATGGCGTAGAACTCGGGCAGCAAACAAGACACGATGTGGCGGCACTTTAAGTGCGTGGCGGTCAATGCCAGCGGAGCGTACCAGGATTCAGCGTGTCAGCGTTTATTGCATTGGCCGTATATTCTGTACTGTACCGCGCCCCCGGGAAAAAGCCTTCGATGAACAGGGGAAGCGGTGATGGTGGCGTTGTCATTAAATCCCGGCTGAGATGGAATTCTTCCCTTGCATCCACAACCGGGCCGCCGCCGCACGTTTTATACTCGAAATCTCGGACATTGTCTGGCTAGGCAGGCAGGCTCTCATTTAGCGAGCGGGTGGTAGCTGGACACATTAAACCTGTAGCTTGGGTACCATAGGTACAAAACCAGGCAGCTTCGCATTACTGTGTGGCATGTGAAGCTACCTCGACTGCCTCCGACGACCGCCTCCGACGACCATCATGGACGACACCCAATCCCATGCCACCACCCTAATCGTCTCCAGCACCAACGTCTACCGTCAACTCGTCACCCCCCTCGGCCGCCCAGTAGCACCACTGCGACGTCAAGCAAGTGCCACGACGAGATCTGCTAAGAGCTGGATATTGTTTCGCAGATTTCCGTACTGGTGTGATGGTGCAGATCGGCGGGTTCGAAGCTAAGAAATCTGGGGTACGCGGTTGGAAGGCAGTTGCATCGCGGGTAGAGTCTGGGCATGGAGGTTTGGACACGGAGCAAAGCAGACGGTCAATCAAAATTAATCTCGCAACTGCCGTCTTGAGCCAACCGCCATAGTGCCTGGCGCTAGCGAACGTCACCCCGAAAGCTTGGTCACCGGCCCACTGTCGAATGCCAAGGGAGTCTGGGGTGACACACTAACAACGCCGAGTGAGGGGCCCGCCATCGCGAATGGGCACTGGTCCAGAGGCGGGGTAATGCACTAACGGGGCCCGCTTATTAGTGGGTCGCTGGTTGGGGTCTTGCCGTTTGAAGATGGGGACGGGAATTTGGAACATTCCATCCAAAAAGAATTGGACGGAACGACTATCAGCGTCGCGTCGCTGATAGTGACCACCCGGGCGTCCTTATCCATTATCGCCTAGGGCCTTGCTCTCGAGTTCATGCGGGCTAGCACGCCTCGAGGTCGTGCAGGGTGCCGTTCTCCGAGTGGGCGTCCGGGTGTTCCTTCCCCGCTCCCTCGCTCCGGCTCGAGTTTCTGGAGCAAACTCGTCTACTCTTGGGATTTGTTTCCTCGCGATCTTTGACAACCCAAGGTAAATCTCTGAACAGAGATCGCGACTCCTCAGGACTGATGTTGATACACCTGATGGTGGACTTTGACGAACTTGAACTCAATCTGGAGCTCTTGTTCAATTGCAACTTGTCAAACCTGCGCAGTTGTATTTTGGCCAGCATGCGCAGTCGGCGTGCCGTTCAGCGCCCTACCGCGTGCCGCTCCCCCGCACCTCGCGGATGCTCCCTTCGGCCCAGCGTCTGCCCCCTGCCGGCAAGTAAATCTGTCACCGATGGGTGAAGGTCCAATGGACGGATCGGAGCGGACATGTTTCCCAAGACTGCGGTGGTTCCTACCCCTTCCCGTGCCATTATTTCATTCCACACTCTACACGACGTGCGGTTGGCCCAGCACACCCAAGGGAAAGCGAAAAGGCTATATCCTGTATTCTACTCCTCAGGCCGCCTTGGGCTAGCCATGCTGCCATACCCGCAGCACACCAGACCTTGAAACGCTGTTTCAGATCCCCGCACGAACCATATCGGCCATCGACAGGAGATCGCAGTGGTCGGTTTCCTCGTGATCAAGATCGACGTCGGTAGAGCCTCCGTCTCTCGGGGCAGCCTTCGCCACGATGCTCTCGGAGCGGCTGATAGACAGTCTGGCCCTGGCCAAGGTTCAGGCTGCCATCACCGATTTTGGAACTCTCAATGTGCTACTCACACTACTGGCCATCGCGGCCACGGCCGTTACCGCTGACTATGCCCACATGTTGTACCTCAGGTCCAAGATGCCGCCAGGGCCTTTCCCGCTGCCCATAATTGGCAACACCTTTTTGCTTCCCGAGAACAAACCATGGATCTACTTCGAGGAACTGTCCAGGAAATACAACACGCCGCTCATAACATTCTGGATCGGACGGTGAGTCTATACCGCTCGCCATTCTCCCTGGTCTTGACTGTGGAAGAGGGCTGAGACAAAAGCGCAGAAATCCCACAGTGTGGATCAACGATGCGTGGTGCGCCCACGAGATATTTGAGAAGAAGGCGCAGGTCTACGCATCTCGGCCGCGCATGGTCGTCTTTGGCGAGCTGGGCACCGGACAGGCCAATCTGGTGACGATGCGGATCCGCAGCAACGAGGAGCGCGACCGCTGGCGCATCCACCGCAAGTTGATGCACCTCGGCGTCGGCACCCAGACGGTGCGCGGCTACCGTAATATCCAGAATAACGAGAGCAAAGTCGTCGCCCTCGACTTCCTGCGGGAGCCTACCGAGTATGTGAAGCACCTGGAGCGCTACGCCACGAGTGTCGTTTCCATCATCGCCTTTGGCCGTAGGGTGGCTAGCTTCAATGACCCCATCATCACTGAAGTGATAGCGCTCATGCAGCTTGCCGCCGACTTGAACGTGCCGGGGAAGTCGTTCCCCATGTTGCTCGAGACGTTTCCAAGTAGGCCTGTCCCCTCATTCCCCCGTCTCGCCCAGTTTCAAGGGGGCAATGCTAAGTAAACACTCAGTTCTGGCCAAATTCCCCCGCTCCATGCCATGGTTCAAGGGGCTCGGAACCCGGGGCCAGAAAGGCGGCCATTATTTCTTCCACACGCTTGCCCAGGAAGCGGTTGAGCATTTCGACCAAAAGCCACCCTCGGTACAAGCCGAGATGCCGACACCTTACGTCAAGACGCTGTTCAGCGAGGCCGAAAAGTACAACCTGCCCACCAACGAGCTCTCAGGGCTGACGGGCAACCTTTTCGGCGCTGGGTCTGACACGTCGTCGAGCACGCTTATCACTTTTGTGTTGGCGTGCTGCGCGTTCCCGGAGACGGTGCGAAAGGCGCAGGCGGAACTCGACGCAGTCATCGGGGCGAGCCGATCGCCGCACTGGGACGACGCGCCCCAGCTGCCGTACATGAACGCCTTCGTCAAGGAGGTGCTGCGGTGGCGCAGCGTGGCCATCATCGGCGGGCAGCCGCACTCGCCGACGCAGGACGACATGTACAACGGCTGGCTGATCCCGGCGGGTTCGTGGGTGCAGGGCAACGTGTGGGCAATCCACCACCACGAGCGCGAGTTCCCAGACCCGGACCGCTTCCTGCCCGACCGCTACCTCGATGGCAACGATCACAAGCGACCCTTCCCCGGCGACCGCGGCTACATGACCTTTGGCTGGGGCCGCCGCGTCTGCAGCGGCCAGGCCCTCGCCGAGCAGGGCACATGGATCACCGTCGCGCGCCTTGTCTGGGCCTTCAACATCACCAAGGCCAGGGACCCGGCGACTGGCGCGGAGATCGACGTCGACATCTTTGCCTACACCAACGGCCTCAACATGCGCCCGCTGCCGTTCCCCTGCGACATCAAGCCCCGCAGTGACGAGATCCGCGCCACCATCATCCGCGAGGGCGAGCAGGCCCTGCAGGACCTCGGAGTGCACGACGGCGAGAGCAAGTACCGCATGAGCACCTTCTACCAGCAGCAGAAGCGCAAGCTGGACGGAGAGCCTGTGTTGGACGAGAACGGGAACGTCAAGATCGTCAAGGTGAAGTAGGTGGAGGTGGTGGGGGGGATCAATCCTGTCATGGTCGTTGGTGGCATGGGAAAGGATCCCGAAAGAAAGGTCAAGGCTTCAATTGGAGCGAAAGGAGTGAGATGCCCCTGTAACTGCTGAAGTGAGGGGGTGATGGCGGTGGGGACAAGAGGCCATTTTTGTTCTCGAGCAATGGAACCAACCGGTGCTTACACCTCCGCCGGGGTTTCAAAGTCTACTTAGGTAGTGTGATGGCTTGGGTAGGGGTTTTAACAGGGGATTTGGGGTTGGAATGTAGGGAGCTTGAAGTCACTTTTCTAGCAGGTTCTCACCAGAAAGTCACATCGTGGCTTGGTTGTAACGCACTACTCTTTTAAGCCTCGGCGGAGGTGTCCAATCTTTTCTGGGCGGTTGGGCTAGCTGTTGGCATGGATGGGTTCCATCTTTGCTGGCAGCGACCACGAGGCAAAGCAACCCCAGCTAATTCAAAGGGTCCCAATGCAAATCTCAAACAAATGGGTCCGTGCGCGAACTTGAACAAACATTTTCACCAAGGGCCCCCATTAGTCTGTGTCAAACCAGACCTTCACACCAAAAAAGAAAGGGGCGTAAATAACTTAGCTTAGCCCCCACTGCACCCCAAAAACTTCAGATTTTTTTGGACGTTGAAGTCCACTCGGGTCTTCGTGGGGGCTGTGATTGATGGACACGCCTAGGGTATGTCTGGGTTTTACACGTATGCAAAATGGACCCCAGTCATTTTTGTAACCCACGTACTTAAGGTATTTAGCGGCTCCCGTCTTTCGCCGGAGCCATCCGTTCCCAGCGTTCCGAGCCCAAGTGGGAAGTGGGACATGGGACGAAGATGAAACAACCTTACGCGGCTAAGTAGACTCGCCCCTATGGTGCGTCGGGATTATACACGTAAAAATTTTTTTGACCCAACCAACCATCGGTGCTCACAATCTATCCGTGTATTTCTGGGCAATTGGGTTGGCTGTTCAGTGTTCACGCCTTGACGGGCTTTCCGGAATCCGATGCGATGCTACGCCTCCAAACCCACTCGCGGACCCGCGACAGGACCCGACTTATCGTTGCCAACAGGCCGAGTCCAACTCGGTTGAAATCGGACTGGATGGAATCCCAAGAATATAAACCCCATGTATTTCCCTAATTAGCACTCTTTTTCTGAACATTCATCGTAACACTCGTCCTCCACCATCTCATTCATCACAGTCACCCGACCCTTTACGAATTCAGAGTTTTGATATTTCTCATCATATCGAAAATAAACAACGTACAATACCAAAACGTACGGCTAATCGCAGCAGACCGAAGATGAGCCAACAAAGCTCGACCCCCGACTTCACCACGGACCCGAGGGCCTTATTGTATACTGCCCATATCATCATTTCCACACTGAAACTTTATGACATTCCTTGTGGCATAACAAAATCACTGGCATACGGTATACGCGGCGCCAGTTTTGAAGCAAGTCACCTTGAGATTGAAATACGTTCCATTCATGACTGGGAAGATATACGCAAGGCGATTGCAAATCAGGTCGAGGCTTGCGAATATGTCACCACGGATCCCACTAAGGAAACATGGGCAGAGTCTCGTGCATTTATTGTGACTCCCAAGGGTGGCAGATACAAAGTCAAAGTTTTCTTGATTCCGCATTCCTTTTTCAGTACGTACAATATCCTCCTTCATCACTCACGTGCCAGTAGAAACGACCTAACTTTAGATGGCACCAACAGATCCAGTGCCTGTGACCGACAAAGAGAAGACGGCAGAGTTTATTAAGACTGAGGTTGAAAAATTTCCAGCTGATAAGCTTCCGGCAAATCTAACAGCTCCTGACATTCTGCGGCTGCGAAGAACGTGGCCTTTGTTGAGTAAAATTTATGAGGTTAACCTGCTGCTGAGATTTTTCATGACTTATACGCAAGATAAATCTGAGAGGGGTCAGATGCTGGCACATCAAACTGCTTCCGTCATTGACTTCCTTCTGGCTAAAGCCGGCGCCGGTGGTATACGTGTGTATGACGAGAACGAGGCCAATGCAGAGGAGTTTCATAAAGTCACGCTGAACCCATTTCATCCCGGAGTAAAACTCAAGTACGAATTCGGCAACAAAACTTTACGGAAAATACTGTGAACGGATGTCTAAAACAACGATGACGCTAACCAATCTCTAAACGGGCACCCCATCTAACATACAAGGCAAATTTGACTTTTGCTTATTTAGAGGCTGTGAAGGTCGGTAGTGGGGGGTGTCTTTTGGCGAAGTTAGATTTAGGCAAAGGTCGATGAAGTTACCCTGAATGCCGGGGGCCGAGGGGTTAGTGTGGGGTTAGTAGTAGAGATAGCAGTGGTAGGTGGCTTTATACGTTTATTACGGCAAGAATCGAGGGATGAGACGGCTGGTCCCGTCACTTACCCAAGACCTTTGAGCCAACTACATTCGTACTTCGTACCTATGTAACGCCGAAAAAAGAGCCGGGGAAGTGCATTGAGAAAGGCATGTAGAGCTCAAGGACGGCGAGGCCAACAAGCAAGTTGCCGTGGGATACAAGCACAACCGCTCGTTTGTCGTTCGAGGGTCTAAAATCGGCGTCTTCAAGCACACTCCCAACAACCACCTCAAGTTTAGCACTAATATTTGCGAAGTCGATATTAGAAGGCTGTTTGATAAAGGAAAAAGTCTAGTTATTTATATAAAGAAAGCACATGAGAGGGTGCCCTGTGCAGGATAAACTGCAGCGTAGTTGTAAGCACAGGGCAAGGTGGCTTGGATGCTCGCGAGCCACACTGCTGCGCCCTAACAGGGGAGCTTTTTTGACGCCATATAATATTGAGATGTTTTTTTCCGGGTAGAGTTTAGTACGAAGCTAGGTAGGTAAAAGGGTCAAGGGGAAGGAGGAGAAGGTGGTCCGGGAGGCTGATTCCGTCAGGGCCCGGATTGTATTGGACGTTGGTGGTATGGGGGTGGCGTGGTAAAGGCGTGTAACGAAGGGTTGGGAGTTCTAGAATTCTGAAAGAAGAATCAAACGAGGTCGGCTTGAAACTGAAGAAGCGCGATACTACCTAGGTACCTATTCCAGCGCGGTAGGTTGTGTCACAGGTAAAATAGAGCTCGGGAAGTGCATGGAGAAAGGCAGGTAAATTAGAAGCTATTTTACACAGGAAAAAGTCTATTGTTTATTTATACAGAAGAGAGTGCGCAGGGGGGCTACCCTGCGGAGGTGAAATGTGAGCACGGCACCGTAGGTGCGAGGATGCCTGCAGGTGGCTGTAGGCTCAGGGAGCTACACTACTGCGCCCGGACAGGGGTATGTTTACTGCGATAGGTTGGCTGTTGGTGGTCGAGACAAGAGACATATCTCTTGGGTAAACAATAAGGCTGGCTGTTGGCATCAATGTGACTCTCTAAATTGGCTTGTGTTACGGTGGACTAACACACATAAGGTAACATTGTCCATGTCTAGTGCAGTCCAATGGTCCCAACTTGTCGGTGACACAGGTGACCAACGCCTTCCAACAATCGGCTCCCAACTCGGTCTGTGCTACAGGGGACGAGTGCCCATGACGCAGCCCAACTTGTTGGTGTTTCAGGCGACCGACGCCTATAACACTAGCACTCTGCCCTCCAACAGCCCTGACTTGCTCTGTGTTACGGGGGCCCAACGCTTATGAAACTGCCCCTGGCCACCCAACAGTCCCAAGTTGCCCCGGTCGGTGTTTCGGCGCGGCCTTTAGTTGAACCGCTACTGTCACTCCGCCTCCTCTCGAGAGTAACACGGGTCAATATGAACAACACGACATCTTCCTGAATGGACGGGACCCAGGGATCGTGTATCCAACAACTCTTGGGGGCCTGAACTTCGAGCCATTTGTATCCCTACTTGCCACACGACTCCACGCACTGTTGCCGATAGGTCGAGGGCAATTCGGAGTGGATGCAGTCTCAAGCATATAAACCACTGGCTTGTGCATCTTCTAACCATAGTTGCCCCGTTGTGCATCTCCTAACCATAGTTGCCCCGGAAACTCACCGCAACCCTTCATCCCCTATTATCTCATTCATCACCGCCCACTATTTTAGTCCTTGGCACATTTAAAGTATCGACATTGCTTTGAAGTTGAAAGGAAAACCTTCATAATGGAGACCAAAGTCGTAAAGCCACTGAAAACGGAGCCGATGATGAGTCAAGAAGCGCTAACTGTCGAGTTCCATAAAACAAATGAAGTGAAGAATCTTCTTTTAACTGCTCACGAAATTATTTCCTTGCTGGATCCAAAATCGATGCCTCGTTACACAACAGGCGGACTGGCAGCGAGTATCCGCGGCGGCACATCCATCTCCGCCCCATGGCCTTCAGTTGGCAATATCGACCCCCTATAATTGGGATAATATACAGAAAGAGATTATACGTCACGGCCATAGCTGTGAATTACGCAATATGGAGCCCACGGAGGAGGAGGATTGGGAAATATCTCGAGGTTTCCTGTGAGGCCAAATCTTACCGGATTGAGGTCGTCTTGTTGTTGTTTTTGTGATGCCGGAAGCGAGAAGCTGCCCGGGGCGAACTCCTCGTCCAGCGGGTCTGAGTCGCCCTAGAAGAGGTCTGGCGACGTCAGGTGCGCGAGGTCGGCGGCGGCCGAGAATACGGTGGCGGCGAGGGACGCGCGCGTCGCCAGCCGCTCGGCCAATGTACTGCCGGCTCGGGGATGCCAGCTGCCACTTTATATCACGCGCGTTCGGCACGGCACGGCACGGCACGGCACGGCATAGGACGGCGAGCGCGGCTAGGTCTAGGATCCGGCGCTACTCGTAGGTGAGCCCGCCGACTACGGGCGTAGCGGGCAGACCGCCGGCGACCTATAGCGCTGGCGCGTCGAAGCCAAGTTACTTGAACGAGTTGCGTATCATCTAGATACGCTCGCCGTTATGCTAGTACGTTATATCGGACTCCGCATAGTCGTCTATTGGCGATACGGAAGGAATTTGCAAACATCCTATTCGGAAACGCACTGCATGTGTCCTACTCTGAGCCCAACTCTTTTTCCAGATCACTTCACCCTAACACTAACCTAACCCTGATCATAACCATGCCCCGACCCCGAACACTATCCATACCCTACCCCCGGGGGGCTGGCGCCGCCCCCCGGAACCCCGGCGAGGTGGTACTGGAACAGTCGGCCGCCTCCTGCATGGAGAAAAACCCCCCGGGGACCAATATCCGCGTGGCTCCCTAGTACAATTCTAATTTAAAGGTGTCCAACTCGCCGCCTTAACTCGGCATTTTTTCCACGGCGACCTCCCGACATATTCTCTGCTAAAAACCTCAATGTGAACCGAATAAATCGGCGCAGTCGATATCGCCATGACAACTTCGCTTTGTAACGAAAAACACAATCGATATCGCCATGACAACTTTGCTTTGTAACGAAATACACAATCGATACTCGCACCGCCGACGCATAGATGCAGCACTACAAGTCTCCCAGTAAAATGACTTGACCGGAGGGATGTCGGAATGAAGCGGACAAGCTCGGCCTGGGGCGTATTGTCGGGTGTTTTTTGCGCCTTGTCAGAGATAATACGTGGCTCCTGATGACTGCTTTCCCACTTGAATACACGACATTCCATGTCGATGGTTCTCACAATAATGCCCACGCGCTGATCCGGACTCCTCGATTCACTATCGCCGAAGACTTGACAGCAAATCACGCCGACAAAGCCCGAGACACCCGGCACCGCGGTGTAGAACAAACGGTTGAAAATATCCCAGCAGGTTCGGGATAGGCGTCCTCGATCCGGAGATACGGGTGAATGGGGAAGTAGAGTGGAGCGTATCTAGCCACCGCACCATCCAAGGAGGTCGTATTGGGGGCCGATGTGTGCGAGGTAGCAATGCAGATTGTCTGAAGCGTCATTGACCCCTCCTAATCAATGTTGTTGCAATCTAGGTGGCGAATCAACGGCATGTGAGAAAGGCGAACAAAGTAACTCTGCCTAACCTTTTTGAGGTATATCCCAATGCCGAGGGGGGGGGGGGGTGCTGTGAAAGTTGGAAAGACAGAGAAAGTACCCTCGAGGACCAATGTCGACATTGGTCGATACCCAGAGCTCCGTCGTTATACGCAATCCCTTGTTTGTAATGGCAAACTCTTGCACGAATGTGCCGGAAGCTGCAGAAAGCCCTTGGAGATGGCCTCGGCTGCGAAGACCTCGGGAGACTCTGCCAGCACGCCGCAGCACGGTTCGATGCTTGTCCCTACGCTCGAGTCCCAGGCAAAGATGCTGAGATCGTTTGTATGCTTGATAATCTCCTCTTGAAGTCGTGTAAAAGCCTTTGGACCCTCGCCGTAGATCCAGACCATATTAACCTCAAGATACCGAGGAGGCTGTACGCGACGTCCTCTTGGCGCCTTGTTCTCCTACACGCGGCCCAGGACATCTTCTCTGCTGCCGATATGCTGCCTAGCGTAGCGGTCCCTAGAAGGATGTCCTTCCATATGCCGGTGATCCGCGAGACGGTATCTTGTAGGCTGTCGTTAGTTCCCTTATCGTTCCAGTTCTGGTCGAGGAATTGGACTTCCTTGGGGGCGGTAAGTTCCTGAAGAGTCCAGCCCCTTGTGAACCAGCGGCATCTCTCCACTCCGACCCCCAGGTCGGTATTTGAACCGAGATCCTCGAGGTAGGCGAAGCATACTGCTGCGTTCTTGTACCACTGGAACATGGAGTTGGAGTTGATGGCTTCGGAGAGCTCGGCACTGCTTCTCTTGTCGATACAGCACGTGTCAATCCAGACGTAGTGAATGTTGCGGCGCCTCGCCTGTTTAATGGTTCCTCGAATCTTGGAGTAACTATTCTGGGTCTGAACATGATCGCAGGCTATATCCTCAAAGGCGAGTTCGTTATCGCCCCATGTGTGTGAGAGAATAGCGTATTCCGGGCTGCCAGCTAGCTCCTCGAACTTTCCGGTCGCGACATTTACGAGTCTCATGGTAGTGCATTTGTGAGACCGCCTCAATCTCGAGCAGTAGGTATGAAGCTGGTGTTTTGCGAAGATAGTACGGCCTAAATTGTTGCCCGACTGCGGCTGAGTCTTGTGCTCGATAAGGACTGGACTGACTTCCTAGATTCAATACTCAACCCCGACGTACTGGAGCAATGGCCAGCACAAGGTCAAGGGCGTCCCGTGCATTTGGTGGGAGGTGGCCATCTGGAGAGGAGCGAGAAGAGCATATCTTCGAAAATTTCATTGGCCACAACAAACCAAGGCCTCGATTCTTGGTCCCCCTTCCCATCCTACTATTAGCTCTCAGTACCATCGCTTTCGCCGGAGGCTTTGGATACCAGACTGAACAGCTCAAAGAACTTGCCACCGGCAGTGCAAGCGAACGGCCATGTCTACGATAATTAGTCATTGATTTGAACTGCTCGACCAACGCGGCCCCGACCACATACATCCCACAGTTTTACCAAGATGCCGTTTTCTCCGTCTTCCGCAACCAGGATATGCCTATCCTCGACATTTTCGAGATCATCGCCCCCAGCTTTGACGCTTGTATGCAGTCGTGCTCCAGCTACCGTTCGTCCAAGACTGTCAAAGCGAACCAGTCATAGTCTTGCCAGGGCGTCACCTTTGTTCCGGCGTGGCTCAACGTGACGCTGGCTGCGAGTACGCGCTATGGAGGCAACTGCTCTTGAAACATGGCCCATTATCGGTGTCAAATTTGAGGCCCCCCCCCTCCGTTGGCGGTTACGATATCATCGCCCATTCTTCCATTATTCTTTTGTGATGGGATCGGCCACGTCGTCAGGGCCGGCGGTGTCTTTTTGGGTCATTCCCTCCGGCTTGGCGCTTGGCAACCACACCGGAAGCCGAACCGCACCCATCGACACCAAAAGGGAGTAGCCGGTTGATATCCCTATGCTTCAGGTCGTCCGAGCACCAGTCCAGGTTGGGGTCGACAAGGCAGTTGCCTCCAGGCATCTCAACGCTCCATAGGAAGGGGACTCGTCTTCCCCAAGGCCGGTCCGGGTCATCGGCTTCTGTCGTTATTTCTTGTAATTGCCTCACAGTGAATTCTCGCCCGCCGCGTCTTTCACCGAGTGGTCGGTGCATAAAGGCTACAAACGACTGGCCGGTGGCAAAGCCAGGTCTTGAGGTCAATCAATTGTTGCCCACGTTCCTGCGCTTCCATGGATACACACGGATTGGCCCTGAGAAGGATGCGACAGCTCAGGCTGTTGGCATTATTGACTTCTCTCTAGCCACGTCCGGCGCCACTGGCGTACATGTGAACGACGAGAATCAAGCCGCTGCAAAGCTCAAAGAGAGACTACTGTGTCCCGGAACAACAGTCAAATACTCTCTCCATCTCCAGAATAGGACTTTACAGACATTGATCTGAATAGAGGGTAGATCAGGGCCGACCAATTTGTTGGGGGACACCCTGTCCAATATATAGGGGAAGTTCGACTCTTTTTCATCTTGGGGCTTTATGCTTTGGGTAGAATTTGACAAACTCGACACCGGCTCGAATGCCCTCGCGAGAGGCTCAGAGGAAGATCTCTAAAATCAGAAATCAAAATCAGGCCAGCTAGCCAAGCACCTCTCCCAAGAGCCATCACTGACGACTGTTCCGTCACTCGCATCATGTTTGACCGTCTTCGATCCGACTTTATCCCGACCACGGGCCCCACAAGCAACCAAAACAGGGGTGGATCCTGTTCCTCATCTTTACCTTGCCTCCACTCTGCCTCCACAGCATCTTGTTACGCACGATGCAGCTTAATTGAAGTGTGTCCAGGTCTGATCTATTGGAGGAAAAAAGAGGAAAAGAAGGCCTTATTTATCCGTCGAACAAAAGACCGGTATTAGGCAACAATGTAGGCTTCAAAGCCTATATAGGGGCCGATCATCGTTGGTGGCCTAGTTGGTGGCAAAGTTCGGTCAGGAGGGCATTATTACGTAACACATCTCGCTGTCCACCGCAAGCACCGCCAAGCTTGGGTCAAAGGTGGAGTTTGCATGGCCAATCACAACAAGCAGTAATTAGCTCAAAGAACGCAAGGCGTGGTGGCAGAGTGGTCTAATGCGCAAGACTAGAAATCTTGTTCCTTCGGGAGCGTCGGTTCAAGTCCGGCCCGCGTCGAACCTGTTCGTATTTTGCCGTTCCCAGGTGCGGTGATTGGTTTCTTGGAGATGTGCGTGCATGGCTATAGGGGTTCAACTAATATACGTATACCTGGTTGGTGGTAGTGTGTTTTTGCCTCGTGCAGATATCTGAGCACCTATTGCGAAAACAACTCAGTACTGTGTCAAACAGAAAGATCTGTCGCTACTTACCATTTGTCTTGATGCATCTCGCTATCCTTGCTGCTGCTTGGATGCGAGGACTTGGGAGTTGCCTTTGCGGTCAAGGCTGGGTTCAAGTGCCAAGACGCGCCAAAACTGTCGGCTGGAAAGCCGCGAGTTTGGAACGGAAGCCTGCAATCTTGTAGCAGAGGACTTGCAGTTAAACGGGCCAAGTTGTGCGTTGCGTCGAATTGCGCTGTCTCGACTCCACTCCCCAGGCTGCTGCATTTCGAGTGCGTCGCGTCGGTTGGGCTCTGACTTGGCTGCCTGGCGGCGAGGCAGAGAACAAGGCATAGGCCAAGGCAAATGCAGCGCAAATGCAGCGCGTCCTAATATCAAACCCAAACATAAAAGTCTCGCGATCTGCCCTCGAATAGACAACATCAGTTTCGTCCTCATCGCCAGTAATAATTAATTCAGAATCACGCAAAAAACTCATGCAAAGTTTCAATCAATCACCATGTCGACAGCCAGCAGCGACCTGCCGTTCACCGGATTCACCTTCAGCGACGCCGTCTCGGCGCTCAACGTCTCCCCAGCGGCATACAAGGCCTCGCACCCGAGCATCACAGGCGGGCTCGTCGTCGGCGCCGTCGTCATCGTCGGCAACAGCCCGCCGCGCATGCTGCTCATCCAGCGCGCGCCGAGCGACGGCTGGCCGCTGAACTGGGAGTGTCCCGGCGGCGGCGTCGACGCGCAGCTCGACGCGACACTGCTGCAGGCGGTCGCGCGCGAGCTGTTCGAGGAGAGCGGGCTCGTGGCCGCGCACATCGAGGCCGTGCTGGAAGAGTACGAGTTTGGCGACGGCGGCGACCGCTGGCGCAAGATCACCTGCCTGGTGCGCGTCGAGCACGACGGCCGGCACGACGCGCCGCCGCCGCCCGTGACGCTGGCGCCCGACGAGCACTGCGACCATGTTTGGGCGTCCGAGGAGGAGGTCAGGCTCGCAAAGTGCGACGGCAGGGAAATTAGGTTTGCTTACGACGGGGCCGTGAAGCAAACTTTTGTGGATGCGCTCCAGAGACATGGCGCGGTTTGACTATTGCCGTCGAGACTAGGGGGGATATGTCATTAGGGGTTTGGGGGTTTAATTACGGCAGCTACAGTATTTAATAGAGCAGTAGTAGGATTGTGCCTGCTTGTTCGTCCAAAGTTTGCAGAGCCGTGAGCCGAGGCGGCGGCAAAGGGGCAGCTGACAACAATATCCACTTCTCCTTGCCTCATGGGGCTAGCTACAACCGCGAATCGCAGCATTGGACTTGACCAAAACAGCAGCTGTCAAAGTAGGTAGCGACGACCCTTCCGCATGATGTGCAGGATCAATAGAGTTGGGACGTGACTCAGGCGGCAAAGGCCTTGTGTAGGAAGCCTGGTAATCCTACAATTAAACTAAGAGAGTGCAGCAATGCGGTCACTAGGCGGGTAAAAAACTAATTACTTACACCGATCCTGCTATGACTTGGTCTGACAAGAAAGACCAGTCGCAGGAATCTAGCCATGGAGGCTTCTTTGTCGTTCGGCCACCTGCCTGCAACCCAACTCAGGCATCTGAAACCAGGGGAACCCCAGATATTGACGGCGCGGCACGATTTTCGCCTTTTCCATGTTGGCGATCCTCAGCCCTATATTGTCCAGTCTGCCTCGGGTAGGTGCGTAATAGACGGTGTTTATCTGACCTTCCTATTACGCTAGTTGAGACATAGTCGATTGCTAAGAGAGTCACTGGTCCCTCTCACGCGGACAATACCGTCGATGAGACGAGGACTATATGGCCGGAAACCCTTTCTAGAGGCCAAGTTCAAATAGAGCTTGCAGGGGTGCAAAGAAATAGCTGCTCTTATGTAGACGACCTTCTCGTTGCAAATTGCTACAACATTCACCCCTTCTCCAATTAGAATCAACCCTCCAGCAGCCACAGCCGGACACTCCTTGCGATACAGGACATCATTCTCTAAACAAAAGCAACATCATTCTCTAAACAATAGCAACATCATCCTCTAAACAACAGCAACATCAGCTCATTTCAGAGCACCAGACCCGTCACGATGCTCGCCAAGCTCTCTGCACTCCTCGCGGCAGCCGCCGGCTCGGCATCGGCCATCGGCATCAGCGTCACGCCGCACGAGCAGTACGGGTCTTCGATCGAGGTGCTGGGGGCAAGATCGACACAAACCGGGTGGCTTACTGGCCGATGGCGGTGGACTGCAACAACATCTGCGTGCGCGTGTCCTACTCCGGGCGGTCGCTGAACCTGCTGCGCGTCGACCAGTCGGGCGGCGCCTACGACATCTCGTACGACGCCTGGAACACGCTCGTCTCGGGCCAGCCGGCGACCGTGCATCCCGTCACGGGGGGGTCTGTTGCTATGGACTACGACACGGTGCCGGCCGACCAGTGCGCCTCGCTGCTGCACACGGGCGCCCTGCCGCTCAGCGCTGCTAATAGCATGAACTTCTTGTTCGGCTGCCTCGCCCGACCGAGCAGCTGGGTCGCCAACCACTACCAGCTGTACAACATTGCCAATGCCGACTGCACGTTTGGGCACGATGAGCAATGCACCCTCCCCTCCGGCCAGAACCAAGCCACTTGTCCCCATCAGCTCGGCGCCACCTCCCCGCTCGTCGGCGACACTGTCTACAACGTCCAGTACGGCACCGGTGCGCTGATACCGGCTCCGTAGATGGCGTCTAGGAGGGTTGGGGTCGGGGGGGGGAAGGGCGGAGAAGACGGCAATATATGGAGGAGGTACTGAGGCAGCGGATAGACACAGACGCGATGCGCTCGATCAGGACATGCTTGGCATGCTTGGCAGCTTTCTCCGTGGGCTAGCACCAAGATATCCAAAGTAGACCCTGAAAATATGTTTGCCTTTCATGATCTGAGTGTTCATTTCTTTTCCCTGTCAAACTTGCCCTTCATTTCATTATAGGAGGCCGGCGGAACACCCTCCGTCACTTCTGTGACACTGAACCAACCTCTCCCGCCCCCCGTTATCGTCGCAGCCCAGAGTCGCGCTTCAACAACAGCCCCCCGTCCCCAAGAGCTACTCCATCACAGAGCAACAAGCGACACCTGGTCAAGCAAGACGACATTCGCCTCGCCGCCCGTGCACTGGATCTGAATCGCCACGAAGCCGCCGGGGCCGCCGTTGGTCGTGTACGTGATGGAAAACGTCTTCCACGCCGGCGTCACGTGCTGCAGCAGGCCCTCGTAGAAGTCGCCGTTGCCCTGCACGCCGAACGACGGGTTGACGTAGCAGCCGCCGGTGCCGGCGGGCTGCTGGGCTGCGAACGACAGCGTGTACGCCGCGCGCCGGCTCGGGAGGGTGACGCGCTGGTCCCACTCGTACAGCCCGTCGGCGGCGAACGAGGTGCGGCTGTCTTGGTCATCAATACTCAATCAGGATGGGATGGGTTGGGTTCGGGAGCCACTTACAACGCGCCGCCCGTCGGCGACCCCGGCGCGAGCGTGATGCCGGGGTTGTCGTAGCCGTAGCTGGTCGACGTGATGATATCGCCGTTGAACCACGGGCTGAGGCCGGCGACGGACGGGTTGGCGACGAGGTTGGTCGGTGCCGGGCACACCGATGCCGTCACTGTGCTGGTCGTCGTGACTGTCACGGTCGCCGGTGCCGTGGTGGCGGCAGGCCACAGACACGAGCACGCGCTCGACACGCGCGCCACGCCGCACGACGTCGACACGTACGTCGGCAGCTGGCTGACTCCCGCCACGCAAGCCGTCGTGAAGGTCGCGCAGAACCCCGACGCGTCCGCCGTGCGCCGCGCCAGCTGGTTGTAGCAGTTGTCGGCTGCGCACGCTGCTAAGGCGCCGTGGGCCCATCTAACTGCTGCTGCGAGCAGAGTTTGGAGCTGGGAGGGCCGCATGTTGACTGTTGGCGTCTGTTTTCTGAGTCTCGACCACTTTACTTACTGTCGACCTCGGGACAGCGTTGCTGTTGCGGACCTGGGTTGTTGGCAGCCAGGCAACAGGGTGCAGACACCCTCTAGTTATCTATCATTGCCTTCTGGATCTGAGAACCTGGCTGGCTCGGCGTTTTCGTACAGGTGCAGCTCCAGCTCGGGGCTGAAGCGACTATTCAACGCCATATTGACGCATGGCTTTCTCGCCAACCCCTGATTTGCCCCTCCCCCCCTCCCCGGTGCAGGCATCTGCAGCTGACGGACGTTTCCGAGAAGCTGCAAGCCTCGAAGCTCCGTTACGGTCAGATACGAGCTTGTGCAGTGCGCTGCATAGGTACTTTGAGGTATTAATTGGATTGCGTCGTGGGATGCCGCCATTGGATGATTGGAGAGACCCAACGCAGCCACGATGAAAAGGTCCTTCTCACAGAGGATTATTTACTTCTCATCCGAACATGTGCAAAACACATTCATTTGAAAGCAACAGAACAAGGCTCAGCAAGGTCGTACAACTGTCGGTCATGAATATTTTGTATTTTGTTCACGTGCAATAGCCGCATGATATTTCCACAGCAACTCATACAAAGTTCCCGGGACACTCAGTATCTCATAAGTTGTACAACCTGCTTTCTCAACCCCGACAACCTTGGGCCCCGACAACCTTGGGCATTCTCAGGCCGGCGCTGCAGTGGGCGTCGGAAACGTCGGCACCACAATCGGCGCCGTGCAGTAGTTCTGCTTCTTGGCCCAGGCGCACATTGACGGACTCACGCAGCTGCAGCACAAGCATGCCTGGCGACAGGTGAGCAACCCAGCCACGAAGAGAGCTTTGGAGTACGGCGACATACCTTTCTAGCCTTGTCGGCAGTGTCCTTGCCGTCAATGCATGTCAGCGTGCGGGCGTCGGTGAAGCGGTACTGGTTGTAGCAGGCGTTGGAGTCGATGACGGCGAGGCAGTCGTCGGTTCTTGCGAGCTGCCGCGTGCACTCGGGAAAGTCTTGGCCCAGCGCCACGGCGAACCAGAGGGCGAGGAAGCCGAGCGAGAGCTTCATGGTCATGGTGGTTAAAGCGGGCGAGGCTGTTTTGTCTGCTGGCGTGTCTGCTGGAGGAGGAGCCAGTGCAAGCTGCCGTGCCCACTCACTGGCCTGCAGATTGGCGACTGGCGGCAGAGATGCCATGTAAGTAGTGCGGGAGGCAGCTGGACGATATCGGGCCAGATATACCGACCAGAGGCGCTGATAGCATGCCAGACCGTCGGTGTGGTGGGTTATTAGGCAAAGAAGGCCGACAGCCAATCGGCTGCATCCAGCCAGATTGTGTCTAAGGGGTTTCCTCGCCGCCCACTATTCGGCACTTTTCCGGGCGAATCGCTTGAGGAGTGCGGGGACCTGTCGACGGCCGCCTCCCAGACGTCGATACAGGAATAGTAGTGCCAGGATCCGAGCAACCAACCACGACAGCACCAAGGCACCACGGCCCCGCCGCAGGACATTCGAGAATATTAAAGATTGATTTTTCCACCCGCTGTCCGCGTCTGCCAGCTCGGAACAGGCCGAGCATGTGCCCAGCTGAGCCGTGTCCGCCGCGAGGGGACCAGGGTGGCTGCCATGGCCACGGCTCTGGCCACTCTGGACAACAATACCTCGAGAGACGCCGGCACATGCACTCATCTGCCGCCAACCGCAGCATCCAGCAAACGTTTCCCCGATATTCGCTTCGCGCCCGCCCACTAATGCCCGCTGGTCGATATTACCCGTCATCAAAGCCAGCCAGTGTCGGCTCGCGAGCGAGGCCTGCGATATTAATGAGGGCCATGTCTGGCCACCCAGGGTCAATATTTGCGTGCGTTATCAGCTTCTGGAAGACCCGGCACCTGTGCTGCCCCGGATCACGAACGGCGGCTAGGTCACGGACATAACTAGTACTAGTATCGCCTCCTCTTCGCTTTTCCCTCCCCCCCCCCTCTTCGACCCCCCTTTTGCCCCACATTCCCGTCTCTTTCTCTCCGAGTCAGTCAGTCCCATCGTTGCGGTTCCAGAGCCCAGCCTCGAACATCGTAGACAGACACACTTGGTCATCTCGACATGAAGTGGAGTGCCGTCGTTGCCGCCTTCGGGCTGTCCGCGCCCGCCGTGGCCCTGCTCCGGTTCGGCTGCGCCCGCCTCACCGTCCAGCGCCTCGACCCTCTGGTCAACCCGGGCCAGAACCCGTCGGCCCATCTCCACCAGATCATCGGAGGCGTACGGGCTCTTTTTCTTAGGCAAGTGTTTTACATCATGAGACGTGTAGCTTACAACGTGCCCTGCCTTAGAACTCGTTCAACGTTTCGATGGACCCGTCCAAGCACGACCTGCCCACGCTGTCGACTTGCACTAGCTGCCAGTTCAGCGAGGACTTTTCCAACTACTGGACCGCCGTGCTCTTCTTCCGCGCGAGGAACGGCACCTTCAAGCGGGTCCCGCAGATTCCCCAGCAGGGCATGGAGGGGACACAGGGCGGCATGGTGAGTCCAACGCACGAGGACTGCTTGGCTGACCCGACATTGACCGAGGTGGCTAGGTCGTCTACTACATGACGGACGCGCTCTTCGACACGGCGCAAAAGTCCAAGGTCACGGCCTTCAAGCCCGGGTTCCGCATGCTCGTGGGCGATTCGTCGTTCCAGAATCGTGACCAGGCGCGCAACTACCGGCAGCTGACCTACACGTGCATGGAGAACTCTGGTACGCGGGCGCCCGAGACGCTCGAGTTCCCCAAGGGCCCGTGCAAGGTCGGCATCATGGCCAACCACCGGTTCCCGACGTGCTGGGACGGCGTCAACCTCGACACGCCCAACCACCGCGACCACGTCACGTACCCCGAGACGGGCACCTTCGAGTCGGGCGGCAAGTGCCCGTCTACGCACCCGGTGCGCATCCCGCAGATCCTGCTCGAGACCGTCTGGGACACGCGCGCCTTCAACAACAAGGCCGACTGGCCGGCCGACGGCAGCCAGCCGTTCGTGTGGTCCAGTGGCGACAAGACGGGCTACGCCAGCCACGCCGACTACGTCTTTGGCTGGAAGAACGACTCGCTGCAGAAGGCCATGGACGCCCACACGTACGTGTCGGCGCCCACCCTCAAGACGCAGAGCATCGCCGAGCAGAACAAGTGCGTCGTGTCCGACATGGTCAAGGAGAACATTGACGGCTGTAAGTCAACTTCCCATTCTGATATCCCTTCCAACGGGGGGAGGGGCAACGAATATTAACGATCCGCGTCACGCAGGGCTTCCCAAGCTGCCCGGCGACAACATGGTCATGTAGATGGGAGCGCGTCGTGGAAAATCCAGCTGCCGCGCGAGGCGCACCAAAAGCCCGCTGTGTTGGCTGTTGCTCATGAGTGAACGAGAGACTCTGATGTTGTCGTGGACTTGCCGAGCAGGGCAAGATCCAAAGCCGTTCCCTATTTTGATTATCACTTTTCACGAAGCGTTTTGCTATTTGTGTTTTGCTCTCTATTCCGGAGCCAATCTCTGTTATCCGCCTAGTTGACACAGTGTCCTTCACTCGAACAAATACACACAAAGATTTCTGATGAATTTTCATGATTTGCACCGTATCTGGCTTCATGGTTATGTTGGCGCCAGACAAGATGTCGTTTCTTGAGTCAACAGATTTCAATGGCCGTAGCTAATATCCCACGAGGAGTAAACTCTGGCGCCGGGACGCTGCATTGTAATTAGTTCAAGCCGTTTCAACCAATTGTTGCTCGTTGTTTTGAGAAAAGGAGTTTTTAGTGAGGAAGGGCAAGGTCGAAGTTTATCTTCGGTTAGTCTTTTTTTGGCTAGGTTTTGACAAATAACTGGGTCTTGTCCGTACAAAGGAGAGAGGGCAGGGAGTGCCCTGTGCAGGGTATATGTGAGCACGGCACCGTAGGTGCGAGCATGCCTGCATATGGCTGCAGGACAGGGGTGGGTCTGTTCCTGCGACATTTCCGGATGCTGGGCAGCTCTATCTGACAGGTACGGCAGGTACGGCACCACGTTACCATCTCGCTCCATTCACCCATGATCAAACTCTTCAGTCATTCACCACGCTCAAGAAACGGCACGCGCAACCACATGCGGAACTGAGAAAAGCCGCGTTAGTAAATTAGCTCATCGACACTCAAAGGAACGAGGCCAAGAAGACAACAAACCAGGGCGCGGGACTTTACGACTAATCACGCCAAGGTCCCCAAGGAATGCCGCGTGTGATAAATTGAGGGACAGCGCCCCAGGAAAACGTATAAAGCCAGAGGTTAGAATCTACATACTTATACCAGCTGCTGAGCGAATTAGGCCTCTACGCATCACCTAACCTTGATACTGAACCTCGCCCATTGACCTAAAATAGTCTACACAGTGATGCCATACCCAATTTTGTCTCACAGGTTTATCTATGACCCCGACGAGGCGGGGAGCGAGGACGAGAGAGCGCAGCTGAGACGGGACAAGGTATCGCAGTTGCGGGCCATGTTCGAGGCGGGCTCGCCGTGGTTCACCAAAGCCTTCATGCGGGAGTTTGCCGACGAGCTTGAACGGCTGCGGGCCATGCCGTTGGAGGAGGTCAAGGGCCAGATCTTCTCCGTGACGGGCGTTGACGGCGAGCGCTTCAACGAGCCCATTCACTTTACCGGAGAAGTGGTCAAAGCCAATATGGTAGAGAAGATGGAGAAATTCAATAGCCGGGATAACAGCGAGGCCAATGACGCACCTGCGGATACCGCCAAGACGTGGGAATATGTCTAGTACGTCTGCATGATTTGTTCGCTATTATCTGGTATCGAGACGACGTGGTCGCGTCTAACTTGACCAGCACGTGGCCTCGCGCCAGTTACCGGACAGTCGACGCCATGATCTCGCAGCCCGAAGACTCCAACCGCCCACCGAGGTACCTACCCCTGCCCATGACGTTGTGCTGCTCGGCGCGCAAGCGTGACCGCACCACCCACGAGTTCGTCGTGGACCCACCCGCCTTCTCACGCGACGTGGTGCAAGCCTTCTGGGAGGCGACGTGCGCTGGGTGGAGAGCCAGCGAGAATTACGCGGTACTGAAGCAACAGTTGGAGGCAGCTGTCTCCTCGATGGCGGCGGCTGGGACTCTGCCCACGAAGGTAATCGGCCTTGGGCTGGGGTCGTTCTCCATCTATGGGTATCTCTATGAAGGCAGTGTGCTGCAGCACGCGCTGGTTCTGCTCATCCGCGACGTGCTCGCTGCTGGCGCTGGAGCTGAAGCTAGCACCACGACTGTGCCCTGCTATGTCCAAGACCCTGGCTACCAGCCCGAGGACGAGTCAATTCTCACAGAAGCCGGCTTCACGTTGCTTCAGGACCCGCGGGGCTTCATCGAGATTGACGACGGCAGCGTCGTGGTGACCCAGGGCCCGGACGTGCCCGTGAAAGCGATTGTGGCGGACCTCGCCCGGCCAGTAATCTTGATCTGGGCCCATCCACCCGGGCAGGAGCAGGATAAGACCCCACTGTGGCTAGTGTAAGCTATCGCTAACGGCTGTTTGACACTTGGCTTCGTCACTTTAGTTCCACAACGCGACCGATTATCTGACCTGCTAACCAGTGAGAAATGTTGTTAGCACCGATCCGATGACGCCAAGGGTCAAGAGCATGCTGTCTAGCGACTATTTCCCCAAGATCGACCTCCCCGACTATGGCGAAGGCGTGTTCAGGTGGCTCAGCATGCATGTTCGGAAGTCCCTTGCGGAGAAATAGTGGACAACTTCCCTGTAGATAGCGGTTATTAATGGCAACAGCACATGGGCTATTGACTGGGACTCATCGGGGCTTCACGGCTGCCCAAGCTGTTTCATAGTCCAGATAAAGGTGTCCCCTAGAAGACTAGCGGACGGCAACGACCCGCAGGAATGGCATAAGCGTGACAAGCGCCGGAATTTGCATATACCATTTTGGGGTTGAGCAAGGTGTTTCGACAAGGTCATCTCCTAAGAAACTATGAATTGTTAATAATGACTCGCGGGTGATTGAAAATGCGCCCTGCGTCACAGTTTCTCCCAGGTCGTCGATGTCCACGACAGAGGTGAGGGCATCAGGACAAGGCTCTCGCGCAGGAAACTAAGTTAGGACGACCAGTCGGACGCCAAGCCCGACGTCTACGAGGATCTTGTGGGCGCTCATTTGGCAGCAAACAGATAACAAGGGAGGATCGAGAACAGACTAGGGTTCAATTTATCGATCGGTGCCGAACGCCGATTGCTCCAATCCGATTCAGGAGCGAGCGATGCCAAGACGGCGGCTCTGAAGCGATATTGGATGGCTAGACCACATTCATGCTGCCAAGATATTCTGTTAACAAATACGGAATCGTAGAGCGGAATGATTGACCGCAGATGCGGCTCTGCGTCTCCGGGTGAGGCGCTCTGGGCAGAAAGCCGCGATGCCTCTCTTTGGGACGGGGGTGCTTGGCGTGGCGCAGGGGCAACAAGATTGACGATAAAGGCCTTGGCACCAGCTCCATTGCCCCTTCCCACTATCCGTACGGCCTTCCATCATCTTGTCAACTCGGAACCCGTAATCGCTTTTGTCTGCGTTCTAAGGATGCGCTGCAGCTACGCCGTCTCGGCTGCCTTCGTTGGGCTCTTTGTTCAAGGCTCTGTGCGTACACAGGGTATCACGTTCCTACCTTCCAGCCGAGGTGAGCTAACTCATCTATCTTCCAGACGGCAGCGTCCTGCACGCCCGACAATGCCACGCCGATAGAGCAATACATCAGTAGCGGGCCTGGAGGAGGTGGTGGCGGCGGCGGTCCGGATCCCGGCGTCTTCCTCTCCTACGACATCTTCCAAATCGTCAGCAATGCCGTCAAGAAGCGAATGACTCCCAACGCCCAGCTCGCCAACATCGCCTACATTGTGCGTCCCCGAGTGTCGCCCTCGCTCTCATGTACAGCGACCGAGATGTGCTTCTCAGTCTCCAAGGCACCCTTCTGCCTTGACATCACGACGGGCGCCTTCCGCGACGGCGCCGGCACCACGGGCAACGCCCTTAGCGGCGACTACACGCTGTCTGACGGCCGGAAGGGCAACCTGTACAATGGGTCATACCCACTCCCGTCTGGTATGGAGACAGCCGCCGCTGCGACAACACCGGCCGCGACAAATGGAGGACTGACGGCCAACCCAGGGGCAAGCAGTGCGACAGCCAACCCAGGGGCAGGCAGTGCGACAGCCAACCCAGGGACCGGCACTACCCCAGCCGCACAAGGAGCGCCGACAGCAACTGGTGGAGGCCCTGCCCCCACAACAACCAACGGAGCGGTGAACGGGCTCAAGGCACAGGGTGGCGCGGCTGTTGTAGGCGTTGTCGCTCTCATCGGCGCCGTCCTGCTCTGAGATGTGACATTGTGTGGCTGCGAGTGCATCAAGGCCCTGCATCTGGGCCATCAGCATGTAATCAGGAACCGTTAGAATGAAATACACAAACCAAGCATGGCTTGCGAGTTGCAATTGCACGGGTGCCAGCGTCTCCGTTTCTTGTCTTCCATCGTTTGCATTCCAACTCCCTTCCCCCCCAAATCTGTTGTGACAGTGACAGTCCACACCCCGACTCCCTCACCTCTACACAGGCCTCAGTACGAACTATGAGCATGCGCTCCCATCTCAGCTGTTCAGAGATTCCCACACCACGACGCCGCGGCGCCGTCAAAGCCATACGTCTTCTTCCACGCCGGCTCATACCACCACCCGCCGCCAATTATGCCCTCAGCAGCAGCCTCACCGCCGCGGCACCGCGCGTCGATCGCCTTCTGCGCCGCTATGAGCTCGCCGAAGGAGCACGGGTTGGCGCTCTTCCCTGCGTAGTTACACGCGTACGCGCGCGTCCCCCCTACCCTCCACGATACCTTGGCTGTGGCCGAAATCGGTCCATTGTCAGCGCAGAAGGCGCCCAGCTGTCGCGCGGCCTCAGCGGCCTCGCTCGCGTTGACGGGGCGCGTGCATCCGATTCGCGGCGTTGCGGCGGCGGGGCGAAGGAGGAGGGCGAGGGAGAGGAGGAGGGCGAGGGAGAGGAGGATGAGACGGCGCGGCATGGCAGTCGCTGGTATGGGCGGGCGTGGTAGGGTATTTTCGAGTCTTGGGGCGGGTTCTGAGGTTTGAGATTGTGTCCTTGTGTTGTCGGGTGTCGAAAAAGCTTGATGCCTTCTCGTTGGAGGTTGGGTGTCGTGCAGGTTTTGTTCGTTTCTGTGGCGGGTGGACGAGGTATTGAGTGTGGGTCGTCTTATAGATCAAGTAACCTAGTTCTAGACTAGGTGAAGAAGGAGCGTCCTCGCACCGTGTTGAACTTCAGGTGTTCCGACACTTGCAGCGTCACATTTAGCGTATCTCGCGTATTAAGTTCCTCCTTGTTCCCTTGCAGCGGAAGCTGTAGGGCAAGAACCCGCCAGAAGCGGACAGGAGCTACCCAGGCTGTTACTCAATTGTGTACAGGTAACTGCCTCGTGTGCATACAACATGTAGTACAAGGACTGAACTCCAGTGAGGAAGGAGCGTCCCAGTCGATACATCAACCCACCCACATTTCTTTCCTAGAAGAAAATGAGTTTTCCTTTTTTTCCTTTTCCCACACCGCTCTTGTCACACACCCCTGGGGCACATCTGAGCCCAAAGGTTCGAGACGCTGCAAAAGTCGCCAACTCGATGCCAAGTCAAGCATCGGCGTTTTTATCCAGTCAAACGTTGCGCGCTGCTCAGCACCGCCGCAGGTGTCTTCTACAGTGTGGTATCGCCCACTGCTCTCCGTGGGCAAGTTCTCGACCCGTCCTTCGGTAGGCTGCAGTGGGTAGCACGCCATGGCTTGTTCGCGTCGCGGGAGGAATGGCCTCGCAACTCAGACACTACCCAGGAAACTTCCAAAGCCAAAGAAGAGGCTAGAAAATAATATACGTCATCATGGTGCCAACCTCTTATATCCATCCCAACCAGTCATTCCCTGTTTCCTTCTCCAGTGAGCAAACGCAAAAGTCGCCGTTGCAGATATTGCAAAGCAGACCACTCGCATACCCTGAATCCGTTTCCGTACTGTCGCTTGTTGTGATGCGGAGTCCGGGGAACGACATCGCGACGGCATCTTCTTCTAGGGATGGCGGCGCGCCGTACAGGGCATCGAGAAAGTCCGGCGACGGCGGCGGTGGTGTGGCGCCCCCACCTGCGACAGACATTTCCGTATTGTTATCCATCGCTCCTGCAGTCAACTGTGGAGCAGCGACGTCCCCGGCAGCAGGAGCAACGTCAGTGGCTAGTTCGCTTTCTAGTCCATCTCTGCCAGGCAGATGTTGTTGCTGTATCTGTTCTCGACCATCGCGGGCCGCGTCTTGCCTCGTTTCCCTGTACTCGGTGAAGGCCATGGCAACGCAATCTTGAATTATGCCAGGAAGACTGTTGAGCAGGTGCTCCTCGACCCGCTGCATGTCGAGGCGCGTCATCTCGAGAATTGTGTCGTGGACCAGGCGCGATACTTGTCGGCGTACAAAGCCCTCGCACTCTTGGAAGCTGCGTGAGTCGGGAGATATGCAGCCGGTCGTTTCAACGGGCTCGAAATCTGCGATATTTCGTCAGCCTTGTCCGATTTACCGTGATTTCTGACACAGAGAGCAGTTCCTACACGGGGACGGGATTGCCTCGTTAGGAAACAACAGGGCATAGATGTTGCACCATTTGTCCTCCTCCGTCTGGGCGCGCGACATCCTCTTTTTGGACCGCAACCGAGCCCCTTGCTCATTGGTCATGCCGTCGGGCAGGCAGTCTTGGGCCTGGCATATAGCAGCCGCTTCGACGTTGAGATGGCTGTCGCGGGCTGCCTTGGTCTTGAAAACGGCCTTGCATCTCGGACAGTAAATCGGCAGGTGGCAGCGGTAGAGGTGTTCCCTGAAACGGCGGTACCTGTTAGTACGGGGCTACACAAAAGGGTTGTTGGTCCACATCGCACTTCACTCTATGAACGGATCCCCAGCTGGACGCTGCACATGACCTGTGGGATGCCAGAGAGTACGTGACCTGGTCGTGCTTGCGAAAGGGACAAGCAAGCTTTTTGCCCGGGGGGAGCAGTAGCCTGGACTCTGGCGCTCTTGATGGTCCTCTCGTCGGCCTCTCGCCGTCACTATCCTCGTCGCTCGGAAGATCACCGCCGCTTCTTCTTCTCTTCGTCTCAGTGCGACTCTCCATATTATGCTGGGCAGGGCCGGTGGGGACAGAGCCTTCTTGGATACGTCCAGCTTGGTCGCGTCTTTCTCGGTTGGCTGGTTCTTCGCCAGCGGGCTGCTCGTGAAACGGCATTTTCCATCCTTGATTCCATCCCACCCAGAACTCGTCCATGACGCGATCAATCGTGGCCTGCAGAGCGCTTCCCAGCACCCTCGTGGCTAGCCCGCCCCCGCTGCCTTCCATTGGATCGTCGTCGGCCGAAGTGAGCTCTCCAACAGACATACCGACACTGTCCACAGATATGTCGTCGCTCTCGGATTTATCACCCGGCTCCTCCTCGCGACCCTGTTCAGCTGCAAGGTCCCGGCTGAGCCGTTGGGTTGAGCTGGTGTCCATCTCGACTGTGGTTTCTCTGACTGGCGAGTGGATAGTGTCTGGGCCGCAAGAAACAGGAGAAGCGGCGTAATCCATGTCGGCGTTCTCGGTTTCTCTTGTAGATGGGCTCCCTTCACGCGCCACCTTTGCCGTTGCTAAAGTACTAATTGGAGGGAGTGGTTTTGCAAGATAATACTCTTTCAGTCTCTGGGACGGTTGCATGTCACTACTGGTCCGCGTTGCAAGCTGTCTCACCAATTCCATTTTTGGACTCTGACTGGCATTGGCCTTGGTCGGAGAATTCGAAAGCCGAAAGGCAAGCCAAGCCAGGCGTATTCCATCTTCCCAAGTTCCGCAAAAGTGCTCCAAGGAGTCCTGCAGCTTCCCGGGTTTGCCGTAGTTGGATTCCCAGACGCAACACCGTCCCGTTGCCGACTCGTCCCATGAGTAGTTGGCAATGTCTTCGTCGCCGGTGATGATGCTCCACGCCTCCCGAACATGAATCTGCTGCAGGAGACCGAGAATGACTAGCGAATGGTTCCATCTCTCCGACAGGAGTGGCGTAACCCGTTGATGGCCGTTCACGTGGTTCTTGTAGCCGTCGCTGGAGTCGTGAAGGGAACCACAGAATCCGCAGGCCCAGTATTTTCTGCTCCCCATGTATTTGATCTCGAGGCTTGAGTGAGAGCCCACTGTGCAGGTATGTGCCGTGCAATGGTGCTCGTTGAACTCATCATCCTCCCAGAATACCTTGCAGCAGTCCGGTTCCGGACACATACGCGGCTCTGACCATGGGCTGCACTCGTTCCCAGCGTGCGGTTTGCTGCAGGCCGGGCAGAACGAGAGAAGAAGGCCGCGAAGCGAATATTCCATCTCGTCTAGTCGCACCGGCGTCTCAACGACAGCAACATCACAAGCGGCATTCCGGCCCAGGGTGCCATCGACCTGAACCCCGGGCTCGGCGGACTCGCGCACTTCGGTCCGCTTGCGGTTCCGGCGTGCGTCTGCGGAGAATATAGAAGAGGCTTTGGACATCCTGGAACTGGTCCGTGAGAGGAAGCTGCTCACTTTCGAACTCCTGGACATGATCGACAGCCCGCTGGAAGCACGTGAGCTCGCGAACGAGTAGATGCTGCCATTGTCAAATCGTGGGCCGGGGGCTTTGGCGGCGACGTGACCTGACGCGAGTGCCTCAAGCTGCAGGTCATCGCGAGCTTTCTGTAAGACATCGCCGGGAGAATGGAGGCCGGCTGGCGCTGGTGCTGATGCTGACGCAGAGCTTGGGCCATAATCAGGAGCCGAGTAGTGGCCCGTGGCGTACGGGGTGTCGAATGAGCCCTGCCGGGGGTCATGTTGTTCGAATGCGTCGTCAGGATAGTTTGTTTGGGTGTGGGTGTGATAGTGGTAGTTGGTGATGTTGGGGTCGGGGGCACAGCCAAATTGGCTGGCGGGATCACCCCAGCCATGCGGCCCAGTCTCGCTATCGTTAGGGAGCCCCGCATCGCCTGGACCTGGATTGGGTCCGTCCATAGTAACCCCTCGCACGAAAGGCGCAGGAGCAAGATAAAGATGCTGCTTGAATGAGTCGTGTCTGGTTCTAGCAGTAGAAACCGAACCTGCGCGAGTAATATCTAATTACTTTGTAGGACCGGAAGTCAATGGCATGCAGCGATTCGGTGGGGACGGTGAGGTTACCGCGGGCCCTGAAACGCGCAATTGCGCAGGAAAGAGATTGCAGCGGCCCTTGTAGTTAAACCAATCAGAAGTAAATAAAAGGCAGCAAGGCTCGGGCCACCTCCCAATTAGGTCTGTCTCACCGCATTTCACGGGATAGACAGCCATGGCTGGACACTGCGAGAGAGCACTTGCTAGAGCCACGTCCGAATTACTCAGAGTCCCAGTTTGGTGAGGAAGACTCTTGATTGACGTTGCCGACCGGAAATTAGGCTTGAGCCAGAGGCCACAGTTGCCTGGTGGTTAGGAGTTGTGGTATTCAAGCAACGCCAGGGGTGTTCCGCCCCTTCTGCATTAACCAAATTAATACCATGGCTGCGGCTGACGACAGGAACGTGCGACACGCATGTAAAATTATGCCTATACATGAAGTATCTTCTCTCTTGATATAATTATAGTTCCAAGGCATGAAACAGAGCCAAACAAAGAATACGGACTCAGGAACATTTGTCTGCTTCGTGCTTGGAAACCAACATGTAGTCTGAATCCTGTACGCGTAATGACAGGCAGAACCGAGCGAAGGACGCCTCAGAAATTCCGCAGCCTCTTCGTCCGGTCAGAGATACAGCTCCGGAACAGAGAACGCGGATGACAAGGCGTATTATATACGCGTTGCCCTCGTGATTTGGGATCCGCCACCCTGGTCAATATTCTGTACGTCAATTCCAAACCTGCGATAGATATCGAGGTGACAAAGGGATGTTCGTCTTGCAGGGCACGATCAGGATTTGCCGAGAACACAGTCGGACCAACTCCATGACAACTTGGGGAGAAGAACGCAGCGGACTGGCGCGTACTCCTGCACACTCCGAAGGGAAATAAAAGGCGTCTCGTGCCTCCTCCTCTCCCCCTACAGTGGCAGGAAGTCTTGCCAAGGCAGCAAAAAGTTGCGACACTGACACAAGAAAAACCGTTAGACAGTCATTCCCCAGGAACGGACCACACCTAACTCCTCCAAAATGGTCCTGCAGAGAAACGTCCCCATCACAGGCGCAACCGGCAACCAAGGCCAGGGCGTCGTCCGGCGACGCCTCGAGGCAGGCCACCAAGTCTGGGCTTGGTCGCGGGACCCGTCATCGGCGTCCGCGCGCGCAACGTCATATCAGCGGCCCGCTCCTCCGCCAGCGTGGCGCTGATGATCGCGTCGATGTCGCTGAAAGTGGGACAGCAAGAGACGTTCCCCGGCTGGGGGCCAGACTACCCGACGTACGTGAGCTGGCTGGCGCGGCACAGCGTCGAAGAGCTCGTGCGCGGCGCCGGGTTCGCGCAGTGGGCGATCGTAAGGCCGGCGCACTTTTTGCAGCTGCTCACCAGGCCCGGCAGCCGGTTTTTCTTCCCGGGCGTGGCGAGGATGACAGGACGCTGCGCGTGGCGTGGCGGCGCGACACGAAGCTGGGGTGGTTCGACGGGGCGGACGTGGGGGTCGTCGTTGCGGCGGTGCTGGGCGAGCCGGGTAGGTATGCTGGGAGGGAGATTGATTTGGGGGTTGAGGCGTTGACGATCGGCGAGGTGGCGGATAAGCCGAGTAGTGCCCTGGGCGGTGCAGAGGTCAAGGTGCACTACTACTCGGACGAGGAGCTGGCGCAGGGGAAGGCGAAGCAGGACTACCGCGTGCTGGCGGCGATGCACTGGAGCAACGCGGTCGAGACGGCGAGTTCTGCGGCGGCGGCCAAGGAGTTTGCTAGGCTGACGTCTGTCAGTGGGTTTTTGGGACGGAATAGGGACAAGCTGCTTTGAGAGGCACGAGGTATTGCCAAGAAAGTAGGTCAAGATACGGGTGGGGTGGTCTATCCAACAATATATGAAGGGCATGGGTATATAACAATAAAGTCAAGGGCAAAACAAACTCCAGCCAGCGAGCTAGACACAGATCGGCAGCCCCTTACCCGCCTCAGAATTTATATTTCAGGCCTTCGTGATGGCTCTGCACGCCTAGTCGATCGATTCCGTTGTGGGCCTGGTTCTAGATGATGGTCGTGCATGCCTAGTCGATCGATTCCGTTGTAGGCCTAGCTAGTCGATTCTATTTTGGGCGTTCGTGAGAGCTCTGCACACCTAACCGATTCTCTTGGAGGCTTTGGTAATTCCTCGGCAGGCGCTCAGGCCGCCGTCTCAACGTTCTTGTTCTCCTTCTTCTTGCCCTCGGCGGTAGGTGCGGCAGGGGCGGTTGCGTTGACACCGGCCATCTCGATATTAGCCATCTCGACATCGGCCATCTCGACATCGGCCATCTCGACATCGGCCATCTCGACATGGACCACCACCTCCTCCTTGCCCTTGCCCTCGACGGCAGCGTCGGCATCGGCCATCTCGACATCCTTCTCGGCCGCCTTCTTCTCGGCCTTTCCTGCCGCCCTCTTCGCCGCCCGTCTCTCGTCCCGCGCTTTGTTGGTCGCGATCTTCTTCTCCGCGCGTGCCTTTGCAAACTTGAGCTTTTTCGCCGCGCGCTTGCGCTGGTTCTTGGCCAGCTTCCTCAGCCGATTCTCCTCTTCCTTGCCGGCCGCCTTATCCTTAGTCACCTTCTCGGCCGCCTTCTTGCGCCTCTGGCGCTCGCGCTCGCGCTTGCGGGCCAGCTGGGACTTGTTGGGGCGCGGGTCGGATGGCTGGAAGGACGCCCAGTGGTAGATCTGGTGCGTCGGGTCGCGGTTGTCGTCGGTGTGGTGCTCGGAGAGATACTGGTGCGTCTCCCACCAGCCGCCGGGGCGGCGCACGCGCATCTCGGCCGCCACCACCTCGCACATGACGATGTCGGCCAGCTCCAAGTACAGTTCGCACTGGAAGTGCCAGCCCCACTGGTTGAGCGACATCGACGGGGGGCGGTACCACTGGCCGAACGTGTTGTAGAAGTAGCGCTCGCGGTCGGCCATGTCGACCTCCAGCTTCTCCAGCTTGCGGAACCCGCCCAGCGCCGCCCGGATCGGCTCGTACTTGACCAGCCACTCCATGAAGGTCTTCGAGTCGAGGCCCAGCACCGGCCAGCCGACGCGGAATGTCAGCGTCTTGAGCGTCATGCCGCAGCGCTTGCGCAGCGTGTTGAGCACGAAGGACAGGTTCGTCTTGGCGTGCTTGACGCGGCTGGAGCACTCGATGATGATGTGCTCGACGGCGGCGGCATTGGGGCGGCCGATGAGGTTGATCCAGGCGCGGCCCTGCGTGACCGCGACCTTGAACGTGTTGTTGCGGTAGATAAAGTCGGCCACCTCGTTGCGAAGCTTTTTGTTGGCTAGCATCATGGACATCATAATGCAGCCCGTGTTGCCGAACCCGACCGTGCGGCTGTCGATCACATGCTTGGCGCTCGGGGACACGATCGCCGTCGCGCGGCGGTCGAAGAGCAGCTCGTAGATGTGGAGCCGGATCTCGGCCGGCAGCTCCAGGAAGGGGAAGAGGGTGCGGCGGTATGCCGCGACGCGCTCGCGCGGGGTGTGCGCTGGCTCGGGCTTGGTCAGGGCCCAGGCGGCCGAGTCGTGCTCGACCAAGGCCCAGAAGGCCAGGTCGTACACCTTGTCGGTGTCGTTGTTGTTGCTGCTGCTGCCGGTGTCATTGGCAGCGCTGGCGGGGGCGAGGCGGGGACGCTTGCTGCGGTCCGGGAGGTCGAGATCCTGCGCCGCCGGGCGCTTCCTCGACACCGAGGTGTCAGCCCAGGTCTTGGAGCGCTTCCCGGCGCGCTCGTCGTCGCTGGCAGAGTCGTCTGCCTTCCGCTTGGTGACGGCCAGTGCAGTGGGGGCGAAGACGGGGACAAGACGCTCCATCGCGACTTTTTTTTTCTCAATAAAAAACCCCAAAAAGGAAGGCGGGGGGGACGAAACAATATTCTCTGTGTCGTGCGCCAATTGATTAGCTTGGTTGTGATGTCAAGTGTCAAGGCAGAGTGCCTGAAAAGGTTGAGGTGGGATGGAGAACAAGTCAGGCTCGGTGCAGGTAAAGAGCTGCAAATGCTGAGCACAGGGCACTGGGGAAGCCCAAGGAAGCGGGGCAAGTCAGGCACGCAGGAAGGAAGTTATTTCATGGCGGGGTATGTGAGTCGAATCAGATGATGGATTGCCTCTGAGCAACTTGCGTCAAAGTGAGAACGGGGTGAAAGGCCAGGCTGAGAGATGAAGTTCGGGACGAACTTACGCACCAAGATTTGGCGCATTTGCGCGGGTTGTGACGAGGGAGAGCAGGGAGCTGGTATCGCGACTCGAGGTCAAGCTGGGACAGACGAAAAATGTGGCGACGAAAAAAACACCAGAAAAATCCGACTTGGTTGCCGAGGGAAGAAAAGAGGGTCGAAGGAGAGCGCGAGGATGGAAATGTTTTAACCTCACTTACACGAAAGTGGGGCTCGGTCGATGAACAATTGCAACACCACGCACAATAGGCACCACGCACAATAGGAAGAGTTTAAGGAATAGGCACAAGTGTCGAAGTAGGTTTGGTGAATTTGATATGTACAGACAATAGGAACACTAGATGAAACCTGAGAGGGAACCTGTGTCGTGGACGTGAAGTCCTGGACAGAAGTGGTTGAGTCGATCCAGCCAATCAGAGCTCAGCAATCCGCTTGCAAGTCGGACAAGACAGTGCCAGCAGTGCCAACAGTCCAACCACTCCCTCACAACCTCAACTCGGTCGACCACCAGATTGGTGACTCATTTAGGTGACTCATTTAGGCCGGCACAGGGGCCTGCCGTTCTCCAGGACGTTGTTATTGCATGTGAGCGCGGCGTTCCTGATGCAGGTCAACTTGGCGTTGCCTAAATGGATCAAAGAGAGGTTGTCAGATTCAGTTCCCAGTTCGGTACCCAACTACACTCGACCCAGTGACAGCCTTGGAGAAGAGTTGCAGTTGGCTACGGGGCGAAGGAAGCGACTAGAGAAAGCAGACGTACAGCCAGCCGTGTTCGCAGGCACGCACTTGCCCTGCTGGCCGTTGACAGTGCACACGTCCTGCTTCTTGCTGGTGTTGGCGATGCAGCAAGCGCCGTTGGACACGGGGCGGCCGTTGTTTGCGTTTTGGCGCTCCAGCAGCAGCACGTCGCGGCGCACCGGTGTCATGTGCGGGTCCTCGATGACGAGGGCGTTGCCCGCGGCGAGGAGGGAAACGAGGACGGCAGCAATGGAGAACTTCATCTTGGCTGAGGCGCAGAGGGAGGACTGGTAGTTGAAATAGGGTATCGATGAAGACAAGGAAATAGATCGTCAGTAAAAAACCGGCCGGCCGGCGACAGCAAAGAGAAAAAGAACGAATGAAACTTGGCTGCGGTCGACAAGGAATATTGATCAAAAGATAGCACTGGGAAACGCACGCCGACGGCCTTTATATGTCTACCTACCTGCATGCCTGCCCGTCCATCCTCCTTGTCTTGCAGGTGCTAGCGAGCCTCAAACTGAGTTACAGACCTCACGATGTCCAGTCCCCTTTGGGCACAAGCTAGGTACAGTACCACCCGACCCAGCTTTGTGAAGTACTGCACCTCGGCAAGGCCTGCCGTGCGGCGCAGGCTGGCGGATGGATGCACGCTGCACGCTGCACGGACAGGGACCAGGGGCGTTTTGGTGTGTGCGATCCCCCAGATTCGACCGGATTGAGATGCACGACGCCCCTTTTTTAATCCCGGAGTCGACGCTAAAATCGGGAGTGGCTTCCCTGTCTGGCGGACTGAGTGGTGTGACTCGCCTGGTTTCACCTTCACCTCGACATTTGTTCTGTTCCTTTCGCAGTACTACGTGCCTCCGTACTGACTCCCTGGTTGAGACGAACACGATGCGACGCCCATCGCCATGCGCCCCGCCCTCTCTGCTTCATGCCCGGCGATGTACGGCGCGCCAAGAGTGCCGCTACCCGGGCTGCCATCCTTTGTTGGGGTTTCGATGCGCGCGACCATCTTCCCACCTACTCCCTCCGAAAAAAATAAAAAATAAAAATAAAAATAAAATTTTGTCGCTGGCGCCGAGGCGGCTCTCCCGTGTTCATTGGCGCGTCTCAGACGGCACGCGCAGCATCCATCCCAGAATTTGGGGACGAGACTGGAGTCTCAACTGCTTAGCGCATGAAACGCGCTCAGGGACCCGCTTAAAAGGGCCAAACACTCGCATGCGCTCTCATTCCCCCGGCGAGGCCGTTGGGAATTCGCTGCGCGCGAGCGAGTGTCCTGACGGCCCACCCGCGCCGCATGCATACATGGAAAGACGTGCCGAGTCTGCAAGGTGGAGAATTGGGACGGACATGGGATGACTGGCTGGGGCCATGCGGACAGGGAGCCACGGCACCAGTGATTCGCGGTTAATTTAGGTAATCCTTTCACTGCATGGATATGCTGCGACGGGCTATTGATGGCGAGCAGAGCTAGCCCCTGGTGGCCAACTCCACAAGCGTGGGACCGCTGTCCTTGATGTGTAGCTATCTCTCACGACCGCGCACGCAATAAAATAACACAAAAGGTGATGTACACGGCACCTGCCCTCCAAGACTTGCTCTCGACATCCAAAAACTACTTGGTGGCAAACCCGCTCTTGTCCTTCAGCCACTGCTCCATGGTGAGCAGGCCCGGGTAGTCCTTGCGGCGGGCGGCAATGTCGGCGCCGTAGCCGTTGCTGGCGAACCAGGCGATCATGGTGCCCATCTCCTTGACGGCGAAGGTGAGGGCGGAGCCCAGCAGCGAGTACGTGATGGGCGCCGGGCTGCCCGTGGCGCGGGCAAAGGCGCGGCTGAGCTGCTCCATGGTCAGCTCGTCGCCGGCTAGGCCGACGGCGCGGTGGTCCCACTCGGCCGGGTTGGCAAAGGCCTTGGCCGCGAAGACGCCAATATCGGACGTGGCGATCCACTGCAGCGGCTTGTCGTTCTCGCCGAGGTGGTTGCGCAGCGAGGCCAGGAACACCTTGGTGGGGAAGCCGGGGGCCAGGTTGTCCATGAAGGCGACGGGCCGCAGGATGGTCCAGCCCATGGCGGCGCCGGGGGTGCCGGGGGCGGTGGCGTTGCGCAAGTGCAGCTCGATTTGGTGCTTGGTCTGGAAGTGCGGGATGGGGGTCGGGTTGTCCCACGAGGCCTTGTCGCCGCCGCGCTCGACGCTGCTGTAGACAAGGTGCTTGACGCCGGCCTCGATGGCGCTGTCGATGAGGGCAGTACCCTGCTTGACCTCGCCGTCGACGGTGGCGCCGGGGCCCATGGACACCTGCACCGAGTAGACGCCCCAGATGGGCTGGTCGTGGGCGCGCTTGGCCGCCACGAACAGCGCCGGCACGTCGTTGAGGTCGCCCTCGACCAGCTTGACGTCGGGCGACTTGTCCGCCAGCCGCTGGGCGCTGGGCGACGACGGGTTGCGCGTGACGGCGAGGATGGTGAACTGCTCGCCCTTCTTATTGAGGCCTAGCACTGCGTCGACGACGGCGCCGCCCTGCTTGCCCGTGGCGCCCGTGATCAGCAGTGTCTTGGCCATGGTGTACTTGTTATCTGTCGGTTGTTCTTATTTGTCGGCTGTTCTTATTTGTCGGCTGTTCTTATCTGTCGGCTGCTCTTATCTGTCGGCTGCTCTTCTGCGACTTTCGGAATCTGGAGTGGATCGAGAATTGAAGGCGACGCGATGCTGCTGCTGCAAATTTGCGGTGGGTGGGTCAAGACGGAGCAGAACAGCGGCAGCGAGACGAGTTCAGGCTGTGTGCGCGGCAGGTCGCTCGTGGGGATTGCTGGCGAGGCCGGACGACATGATGCCAGATCCAATGGGTCGCTACCGGACTACCCCGCGACTGACGACAGGCAAGGCAATCGTGACGTAACGGACGGGCCGTGCTGTATCTGCGCACATTTTCCCTTATCGCGGGATGTGAATACTAACGCGGTAGTGGGTGACTAATTAAGACGACTGCTGGGGAAGCTTCGAGGCATTATCAGGACTCAGGTGGGGTTGGAGCGGCCGAGCACGTGCAATGGCTTCCTGGAAGGCGAGGAGGACGGACGCAAGAAATCTAGACTCCCGTCTGGAAACGGGAACCCTCCTAGAGAAGGCGCGAGTGAGAAGGCGCGAGTGGCCGGGCTTTCCTGCTTCCTCCAGCCGACCCCAAATGGGCGGCGAGGTCCGGAATGGTAGCTAAACACAGTGGATTCAGGCTGCCTCAAGCCAGAGGCGCGGGGCCCTTTTAGCGCATGGCACCTAGAAAGCGGCTGCGACCGAGTTCCTCGACGTGATTCAAGCAATTGGACCTCAGCACCAGACGGGAGCAAGGGAACATGTGCGCGAAAGGGGAAAATGGGAGGCCAATCCGTGTCAGTGAGCGACAACGAGGCCTCACCTCGATCGAATTAACGAGAGGTCCACAATCGCAAACTCACACCCACAAATGCCACGACAAGAGCTCGTCTGTCTGTCCAGCTCAGTTCAGCTCAATCCGTTCAGCTCAATCCGTTCAGCTCAATCCGTTCGCTCAATCCGTTCAGCTCAATCCGTTCGCTCAATCCGTTCAGGCCAATCCGTTCAGCTCAATTCCGTCTCAGTTCGAGCCACCCTACTCTCCTCAGCTCAGCTCCAATGGCCGACTCTACGTCTGGAATAGAAACCTCACCTTCGCCGGCACGCATGCGCACGGTGCAGGCGCTCCTAGACGGGTACTCGAGCCTGTCGGTCGAGCAGCTGCTGGCGCCGCTGTCGGACGACTTTGGGCACTGGGTGCTGCCGGCCAGCCTGGGCATGCCCGCGCGCACCAAGGACGACTTTGCCCTGCACGCCCGTGGCATCTTCTCCATCTTTGACGAATTCCGAATGGTGCCCCAGGCCATCTTCGAGGACGTAGCCCAGGGCGTCGTCGTCGTCCACGCCCGCATGGAGGGCGCCCTGAAGAGCCGCCGCCGCCAAAACGACCGACGACCGAAGGCCGCAGACGCTGCTGCCAGGGCCGAGGGCAAGGGGAGGAGGCAGGAGAAGGAGGCCAAAACGGGTGGCGGTGGCGACGGGGACTGGACCAACGAGTGCGTCATGATGGTGCGTCTCTCGCCTGACGGCGAAAAGGTCGTCGAAATCCAGGAGTTTGTCGACAGCGTCAAGGCCACCGAGATGCGCCGCCGCCACGCCCCCAAACACTTCTTCCCCGGCGGCGACGGGCTCGGGAGCGCTGCTGTGGTGGGGAATGTCCTCCTCTTCAGCTGCCTTGCCGTGGGCACCTTTTATGGCGTGCGGCGGATGCTGCAGTAGTGGCCGGCCTCAGGCCGTGTGCGTGTTCGTTGCATGTTCGAGGGGAGTGTTTGGTTTAACAATCATCCTCTAGACTCGTGTATGTTATTCGGCTCTTGACTCGTGTATGTTGTTTGGCTCTTGAATCTTGCCTTTTGTTTTATAATTAATGCAACTTTCTATCCCGACATGAACACCCTGGTGTTATTCTGAATACATCGATACTAATTAACTAATTAAATCAGTGCGTGATAGCTTGTGCCAATCTAATCCAATATTATGGGTGCGCCTCTTCTTAACACAGCAAGTTCCTATGAGAACCGAGAAGTGAATTAATCTCTCGGGTTAATCACATCCAACAACTCGCCAGCCAGGTTATCGTCGTCGGCCATCTCGGAATCCAGGCGGAGATCTCTACCCTCCCCACCCACTCATATACAAGACCCCACCCACTCTATACAAGACTATCTACACTCAGCCTACAGCGACGTACGAGAGCGCAGCGTCTGCCACAGCGCCACGCTGCCGGCGACGAACGGCATGACGACGCGCACCGAGTTGAGCTTGATCCAGCGGCGGGCGTAGTACTCGGCGAGGCTCTCGTCGACGCCGCTGGTCTTGGGCGAGCGCAGCCCGTCGAGCTTGTTGTTGAGCGGCTGCATGTTGAGCGCCGAGTGCAGCACCGTGACGAGGTGGCACGCCGCCGACAGCGCGTACAGCCGCCAGTCGCCCGCCAGGCCGAGGGGCGCGGTGCTGCCGCTCACCAGGCCCGAGAAGCTGGTGCCGGTGCCGTGGCTGCTCCCGAGACTGGCCCCCCGCGCCGCCCAGCTCGCGTACGCGTACCCGAAAATCCCCAGCGTGCTGATGGGCCGGAAGAACACGTTGCCCACGTTCCAGAACACGGGCCACTGCCGGCCCAGGTGACGCGCCGCCGCCGCGTGCTCGGGCGACGACGGCCGCGGGAAGTCGACCAGCAGCGCCGGCACGCCCATGAACGACTGCGTGACGGCATTGCCTTTGGCGTGGGTTCGTGTTCAGTTCTAGCTCCCTGTTGGGATCCGACGGGAGCACTCACCGAGCAGGATGAAGGAAAAGGCAATGGTGGTACCAACCACGGCCTCTGTTGGCACGGTAGGCATGATTTGAGGCTGGGGTTGTGAATCTGCGGCGGGTTTGCACGGGGCTGCGTGTGAGGATGCAAGGATGGATGGATGAGGACGAGGGAGAGAAAAGGGGCGAATTGCGGGAGTGTCAGCCGGGTCGTTTACGTCGCGCTGCACCGCACGAAGTGACGAAGCGGCCCTCGCTTCTCATCTACTGGCCCTTTCAACCCACTCGGAAGTGGCCAAATTCCTGCTCATGCCGTCATGGTTTCTGACATCTTGTGGATACCGATGTGATGGCTTGTGGGTGTTTGTGTTGTGGGGCTGTTTGTGTTGTGGGCTGTTGTGTCGTGGGGCTATTTGTGTCGTGGGCTATTTGTGTCGTGGGCTGTTTGTGTCGTGGGCTGTTTGTGTCGTGGGCTGTTTACTATTTTGGTCAACCCCGTCGGATCAGTGATCAGCAGGAACTTTCCCAAGTCAACAGATCGTCACATGCACACCGCATGCACGCCCAGGGCAGGGTGTTTGCCAAACATACGCTTGTGCGCGTGCACAGCTCCCTTCCCAGGCCGCTCCCCCGGATCAAAACATTGCACGACCAAAAGCTTAGCAAGCCAGCCGAACCCCCGCCAAGCCGGTGGTGTTTGGGTTTGGATCGCGTCCATGCAAACCTTAGTGATGGGCTAGGTTTAGAGTGCGGAGACTCTGAAACACGAAAACATGTGATGTGTATGGTCAAAGTGACCCTGGGCATACTTCAGGCCGAGCCAGTTGGGACGTATCGTAATAAAACAACAAAAAGTGGTTTCCAGAATACCGCCTAGTCATGGTGAAGAAATCTACGGTGTTGTTCGCCCGTGCTGCACATGTTTATAAGACGCGTGTCACCGATCATCTTAAGAATAAACAAACAACCAGGGAAGTAGTGGGAAATCACCTGATGTTAGATTCCACTTTCCAGGGAGCGAGAACTATGAAGTGAAATGTGCATCAATAGTGTTGTGGAAGAAAGACTTTGTTTCACGAGCCTTGTTGGTATTTGTACGGAACTGGAAGAGAAGCTCCCAATATTAGAGCTGTGCGTGACATCCTGGATACCCCCACAAGAAAACAGGAGAAATGCGCTGAAGGGCCTTCAACTTGCACACGGAAACCAGAAGATGCGGCTTGAGAGGTGTATAGAAACATTCGAACGCATATTTCCATGACAATCGACTCAAAGAGCCTGCCTCGGAGTAACCATGGTATCTTCAGTTTAAGCAAACCTCAAAGACGAGGGAAGCAGTCTAGGCTCCCCTAGAGTCTAATAGAAAGAGAAAAACCCCCTTCCATCTGATATCACATGCAACTCTCGCTAACCGCCGTAGATACCGCTGACACTGCTCACGAACCTACCCCTGAACCACGCACCCGCCTACCCCTGAACCACGCACCCGCCTACCCCTGAACCACGCACCCGGTCCTGCTCGCAGGCACACGACCATTATGCCATTAACCCGCATCTATCCTGTACATGCCCAGTTCGCTTCGTGCAGCATGTGCAAAAAAACAATTAGACCAATCCCATAGGAGATACAGCTTAGATAGTGGACATAAATAAAGGGTGGACATAAATAAAGGATGGACATAATTAAAGAGTGAACATAAATAAAGGGAAAAAAGAAAACACCGCACTCCTCTAATTACCACCGCCCATCAGGGCTCAAAACCCAGAATAGGAATTCACCCTGTCAACCTGGATCAGCACACCCTGCTTCTTGACATCAAGCACGGAAATCGGCACGCCGGGCGACGGCAGCTTCTGCTCGACGACGGGCTGCTTGCCACGCCTCGCCGCGCGCACAAACGCCTCGCGCTCCGCGGCGTCCTCGGCGTCGGCGTCGGCCCACAGGCGCAGGGCGTCGGCGCGGCGGGCGTCGCTGCGCGGCTCGAAGGCCATCTCGAACGGGTCCGGCTTGATGATCAGCAGCGAGTTGGACTTGTCGAGCGGCACCGGCAGGAACCCGCCGGCCGGCCCCGCCGACGCGTCGCGCAGCTTGCGCTTGAGCGTGAAGGTCCACGCGAGCGTGCCGCAGGCGATGAGCAGCTCGTCCTGTGTGAGCGACATGCCCAGGCACTGCCGCTGGCCCCAGCCGAAGGACGTCATGCCTTTGATGGTGGGGAATTGCGTCAGGGGCGCCTGGTAGGTCGGCCACCCTGGCTCCAGCCAGCGCTCGGGCCGGAAGTTGTCCGGGTCGGGGTATTTCTCGGGGTTGCGGAGGAAGGCCCTGTGGCGGTGGTTAGTCGCGGGCCGGTTGGGGCCGTGGCTTGCACGAGAGACGGTAAGAAGGAGCCACTTGCCAGTCCAGAGGCAGGATGCGGGTCCCCTTGGGGATGAAGTAGCCGTTGTACACGTCATCGGCCTCGGTCTCGTGGGCGACGCCTATGGGACATGCACGTCAGTACACACATGCGACTTCTGACTCGGGTACTATCTGGGCGAGGACGGCCACCCACCAGTGGGCACGTTGGGCTTCCAGCGCATCGTCTCCTTGATACACGCGCGCAGGACGGGCAGCTTGGGGGAGTCCTCGAGGGTGGGCATGCGACCGCCGCACACGTCGTCGATCTCGCGCTGCACGGTGGCCTGCCACTCGGGGTGGTGGACCATGGATACGAGCCAGTACGACAGCGGGCCGGCGACGGTGAAGATGCCGACGAGCGCGAGCATGCCGAGCACCGACGACGCCTCGTAGTCGCCCGAGATGGACGTCTTGAGCGACGTCTTCTCGAGGAACTGCCGCGTGAAGCACGGCCGCATCTCGCCCTCGCCTAAGCGCTCGCGGACGGTTAGGAGCTGGTTCATCCACCACGCCTGCTGCTCGTCGTGGCGCTTGCGCTCGGCGCGCTTCCACGGGTTGAGGTGCCACGGCAGGTGCCACAGCGGCGTGAGCACGTTGGTAATGGGCCCCGCCGGCGACATCTGCGTTAGCAGCCCCCACGCGCTCTTGGTGCAGTACTCGCTGACGCTCGGGTCGTCCCACGTCAGCTGGCACATGACCTTGGACGCCATGTCCTCGAGCGACGCCTGGAAGTTGTCGGGGTTCTCGATCAGCCGCGCCATCCACCGCTTGGCCTCGTGGTACATGACGCCGTTGTACCGCGTGTTGGTCGCCTCGGTGATGTACGCGTGGGTGAGCCGGCGCTGCCGGGACCAGTATTCTTTGCGCCGTCGTCGTGTCAGATGCTGTTCTGTGGAAAGGGGGGGGAGGGGGGAGAGGGGAGGGGGAGGGGGAGGGGGGATTTGCTCACGGTTCTTGCCCATCAGCGGGAGGTACTCCATCGAGCCCTCGCTGCTCTTGGAGTCAAAAAGCGAGCGGATGACGGGCCGGTCCGAGTTGTACTTGGCGCGCTTTACCAGCAGGTCCTCGGCCACCTTCTCGTCCGTGATGATGATGAAATTGGCCCCCAGCATCTCGGTTCGGAAGAAGCCCGCTGACCCGTGCTTGTCTGCCCACTCTTTGAACTTAAGCCACATGTGCTGGATGGGCAAGTCGTGTATCCGTCCGATGTAGGGGATCTGGGTCGGGCCCGGCGGGTGCTGCGGGCCGTTGATGTCGCGGAAGGCTTTGATGAAGTGCAGCACCGCTGCCGCCACCAAGACGAGGGCCAATAGGCCGATCGTGACAAGCTGCATTTTCGACTGAGAAGAGCAACGAAGATGTCACGGCGAGAGAGAAAGGAAGCTTAGGAGGGAAAAGACTGAACAGCTCTTGGCAAGTGACCCAGTGGACACATAAGCAAGAGGAGACGAGATCCAAACACGAGAGGAGACGAGATCCAAACACAAGAGGAGACGAGATCCAAACACAAGAGCAGCCGAGGCCGCAAAGATATCAAAAAACGACGTTGACTGCTCTTCTTTCTTTTTGTGTCGCATTCTTTTTGTGTCGCATCGTCCGAGCACCTGGTACGGGGCGGGAGCGCGCTTCCTCGACGGTAAACCCGGCGGTCGCCAGGCCACCGCCCGACCGGGGCTCAGCTGAGCCCTTCAACCGTCAACACACGAGGGAGTGATTACGCATCCGTTTCTGTGACGCACCGTGTACACTACCGATTCGAGTCCGAGCGGCTGGGATCGACGCCAGCCCGGCCCTGCACCCTCGTGCAAGTAGCCTGCCCGGCGGCAGGTCCCTGCGCGAGCCCGCGTGCCGCTAGCAGGCGAGTGAGCGAATCAAGACTCGGGCTGTGGAACGGCCGAGTTGTGCGCAACTGTAGTTGTCATGGGTGGGCTGGAAGCAACATCCCCAGTGTTGGCCACACTGGTCTAAGTAGTTTACAAGGCCAGGCAGATAGGAACGATGCACAACCAACAATCCGCAATAATACTCTGTCTCTTCTCCCTTTCTGATCACGAACGGGTTCTGATCTACGAACGGGTTCTGATCCGAACGGCTTCTGATCCGAACGGCTTCTGATCTACGAACGGGTTCTGATCCGAACGGCTTCTGATCTACGAACGGGTCTTCGACTCGAATGCACTCTCTATACGCTTGTTCTGTTTATATTGTTAATCAACCATCAAAATGCAACCTCTCTCCCCATCTCTGTCACTAATTCGGATGTCCGAGTCCGGTGGCTCCTGAGCCGGGCCGCCGCCGGCCCAAAGTATATCGACGATAAGCTCTCGCCACTTCGCGCAATTGCGACACGATCGTCTCTCCGAGTTTGCCAAACAGGCTTTGTATGAATTGCCGCCCGAGAATCGTGTGGGGCCGCCGGTCCCTTTCGTGGGGGGAGAGTCCGATTCGGGGCAAGGCAGGCTGGGATTTTGCCAACATCGGGAAGATTTGGAATTCATTCCTCCTGCCTTGCATTATAGGGGAGTAGCCATTTCTGGAGCAATCGTGGATGACAAGCCCCAAGTTCGTCTCGCGTTCAGACCTCTTCCCTCTTTCTAGTTCAGACCGTGTCTAGCCCGCAGGCCCAAGTGATGTTGACTGCCTTCATGTACATTACTAGGAACAGAGGCGGGACAGATAAACATGGGATCGAGTTGACACACACATGCCACCTCGGCGCATTCGCTCCTATTCGCAGCCAAAATCTACAAATTGGACGCTTGTCGAGACTGCAAGATTGTTCTCGTCAACGAAAGAAAGAAACCCATGCAATGCCCGGCATCGCACTCATCAACTGCGTACCACACGCCTCTCCGACGAATATCGGGCGTATCAACGCCCACAGGTCCGCAATAGTCGTACATCGTCATCGATTCTGTAGGGAGCGGCCAGACGAAAGTATGCGCCGGCGGGCACGTGGGGGCGTCGATGGATCAAAGAGCCAGCGCCTTAATAGTGGGCGCCCGACACATAGGACGGCCCCGGCTAGCCGGGCTTTACTCGGCACATGGCGTCTCGGCATCTTAGTCTCCGGCTCTTGTCGATGCCACTCCAGCTTGGATGCACTCCAACTTGGATGCACTCCAACTTGGAAGCCACCGCCAAAACTTGTGCAAACTGCCGCATTTTCCAGCACGAGTATTGACGGCGAGTCGCGAAGCGAAATTATCGGGCAGCCACCTGTTAATCGTCTTGGAACTGTGTAGTCTGCATGCATCCCATGGTAGGGTTCGCCAGGGGGCGCAAATTCGCTCACCCATGCATGTCTTGGACCCCTATTACGGGGCCCCCTTTCCATTTGTTGTGCGCACGGTCGCAATACAAACAACAACATGCCTACTTGAACACTGCATCCAGCTTACGCCGGCTGCTGGCAATGTGCATCACGCATACGTCAAACTTGTTGTTGTACATGTACAAACATGGCGATGTACATGTACAAACATGGCGATGTTGGGATGTCAGTCGCCTCATCTCGGGCCCCAGTGACGGCCATCTCGGATCCCCAGTGACGGCCATCTCGGATCCCCAGTGACGGCCATCTCGAATAGGCCAGCCCGTCCTCGGTTCTGCCCCTTCTCTCCTCCCAACCCATCCGTCACATGTCCGTCTAGCACTACGAGCCAGCATCATCCGAGTCGCGCAGGCACACCGCCTCCTAGTACAACGTAGCCCCGTGAATAGATAGATGCGCTGCGGGGTCCCTGGAGCCGGGCACGAGGCGCATCAAGACTGCGTTGGCCCTCCTTTCCCCTCGATCCAATCTTCCGCTTTTAGAGCGGCAGTCTAGAGTTATCCCTCTTCGTGCTCTCTATATACCGAACACTGGCAGCGTCACCGCCTACATCCCTGCCGCCACCCAACCAACAACCTCCCCTGCCGCCACCCAACCAACAACCTCCCCTGCCGCCACCCAACCAACAACCTCCCCTGCCGCCACCCCAACCAACAACCTCCCCTGCCGCCACCCCAACCAACAACCTCCCCTGCCGTCACCCCAACCAACAACCACCCTCTCGGTGAATTCACTAGCCGTCGTCGCCATGCCCTTCATCGACGACTCGGAGTCGAAGCCGGTGGGCTGGTACCCCGGAACGGGGATCGACGTGCTCATCGTCGGCACGGGGCTGGCCGGGCTGACGGCGGCCATCGAGTGCGTGCGCAAGGGTCACAACGTGCGGGTGCTGGAGCGCAACGACGACATCAACACGGCGGGCGACATGTACTTCATGGGGCTGTCGGCGACCAAGTTCTTCAAGCACTGGCCCGGCATGGCGGCCGAGTTCGACGCCATCTCGCTGCGCAACGCCTGGATCGAGACGTTCAAGCACGACGGCGCCCGCATGATCCCCCCGCTCAAGGTGTCAGACCGCCTGCGCGACGCCGGCCTCGACCCCGACACCCCGCCCGGCACCTTCCAGATGCGGCCGCTCGTCTACAAGATGTACGTCCACCAGGTCGAGCGCCTCGGCGTCGGGATCCAGTTCGGCAAGCGCGTGGTCGACTACTTTGAGGACAAGCAGTCGGGCAAGGGCGGCGTCGTGACCGACCAGGGCGAGCGCTTCGAGGCCGACGTCGTCATTGCGGCCGACGGCGTCGGCTCCAAGAGCCAGAGGTTGGTTGGTGGCCAGGTCCGCGCCATGAAGTCGGGCCGCGCCATGTGGCGCGCCGCCTTCCCTCGCCACCACGTCGACAAGAACCCCGAGGTCAAGGAGTTCTTCAAGATGCAGCCCGGCGGCGAGAACGGCGCCGAGGAGCCCATCATCCGCACCTGGTTGGGGTAGGTTGTGCCCGACACGATTCGCACAGAACCAGCACCGGCTGACCAGACGCAAAACAGACCGGGCACCTATGCCATGACGCTGACCCGGCCCGACACCATGATCTGGATCATGAATCACGACGTACGTTTTCCCCCTGCCCCACACCTCCCCCGGCAACTAACAACAACCGCAGGTGACGGGCTCCGAGAAGGAGTCGTGGAATCACACGATCGAGGCCGACGAGGTGCTGGCCAACATGGACAAGGGCGTGGGGCCGCGGCCGTGGGCGCCCGTGTTCAAAGAGCTCGTCAAGCTCACCCCGCCCAACACCATCGTCAACTTCGAACTCTTCTGGCGCAACCCGCAGCCCAAGTGGGCATCCCCACTTGGGCGGGTGGTCAACATCGGCGACGCGGCGCACTCGTTCTTGCCGGCGTCGGGCAACGGCGCGACGCAGGCAATCGAAGACGCCGTGTCGCTGGCGTCGTGCCTGCAGATCGGCGGGAGCCGCGACCAAGTGCCGACGGCGGTGCGCGCGCACGTGCGCATGCGCTTCGTGCGCAACGCCTGCGCGCAGAAGCTCGGCTTCAGCAACGCCGAGCTGCTGCAGGACACGGACTGGAGCAAGGTCGAGCTCGACCCGCGCCGCGCCCAGCCCAAGCTGCCGTCGTGGGTCTGGGGCCACGATCCCGAGAATTATGCGTATGAGGTCTACGATAGGGTCGTCGAGAGCATGCGCAAGGGCGTGCCGTTTGAGCAGGATGACTCGGTGCCGCCGAATTACCCGCCGGGATACCGCTATGAGCCCTGGAGCATCGAGGAGATCATGCAAGACATGCGCAGCGGCAAGCCGGTCAATCTTGGGTCGGGCAACTGGGACTGATTTTTTTTTCTTTTTCGGTTGGATTGGGTTGTAGTGCTGGGAATCACAATCGCATTTGTGCTCGGGCAGCCAGGGACTACGGTTGGCACAGTAGTTGGAAAGCAATGGGGTTGATATCTACCATCTACGATACACTTGTTTACTATCTTGGCATTCCGTCGGGCAGCCGGTGCAGCCGGTGCAGAATATCAATAGGATACACCTATCATCTCCTTATATGACAAGAATGGCACTACTGCACGAACGGTGAACTTTGAAATATGTGCGGCCTGATGTGTCCCCGTTCCCCATCTGAGGGGAGAGGGAACTGGATGGGGTCTGCCGTGGTATCGGCGTATTCAAGGCGTATTAATTACGATTAGCTATTCGGATGTGCCGGAAACGCGTAAGCGGCCTGAGGCTGTGTCGACGACGCACACCTGCGGGAAAGTGCGGGACCTCAATAGCCTGCGGGACCTCAATAGCCTGCATGGTCTGACGTGCAGCTAACGAGGAGTCAAATGGGGATGGTGGCTGGTATCTCGGTCTGCTCTTTCTTTCTCCTGGCGACCGATGTTCAAGAAAGACAAAGAACCTGATTTCTGGATTCGGAAATACTTTGACGAGATATCGGCCCAGTCTCCGCACGTCCCGTGAAACAAACCAGCAATGACCCAGTCCAACGATGTCATTGCCATCGTCGTCGTGGTCCTCACCGTCGTCTTGCTTGTGGGCGGATATGTCACCTGGCGATGGCGGAGGGCGGTCTTGCTGCGCCGGTCCGTTCAATATGATTCCGAGTCCTCTGGGAGTTGTAGGTTTTCCCTCGCATTCGAGACTGGCAGCAGCCACGGAGCCAACTGTGCCCTTTCAACATTATACTGCCCTTTCACCATTATACTGTGCCCTTGCACCATTATACTCGGTTTACCTGTGATCAGCTCTCTAACCCCCCATTTCTAGCCTTGCCCGCGGTAATCATCGAGGACGAGCACGTCCTCAGAGTCCCCGAACGGGTGGTCGTCTCTGAGCGGCGCAGGGTTCGGCAGGTGTCTGGATACCACGGCGTCGGACGGCCGGGAATGCAGGAGGCGCCGCCGTTCCGGAGACCCTTCGTCGTCGATGCTAATCCAGGTGATTCGGATGGGCCAGCACTTGGGAGTCAGGCAATTCGAGGGGGAGGGTACCCCGGCCGGGCAAGAAAGGGGGGCGGAAAGAAGCGGAGGAGACGGTACTAATTAGCCATGTCGCAGTTGGAGAGGCATGAGATTTGGGCCGCTTGCGGGACGATTAGGTAGCAGGAAGCATCGCGGTTTCATTAGCGAGTATCGCGATTTCATTAGCAAGTATCGCGATTTTATTAGCAAGCATCGCGATTTCATTGGCAAGCATCGCGATTTCATTAGCAAGCATCGCGATTTTATTGGCAAGTATCGCGATTTTATTGGCAAGCATCGCGACTTTATTGGCAAGTATCGCGACTTCATTGGGAAGCATCGCGACTTCATTGGGAAGCATCGCGACTTCATTGGGAAGCATCGCGACTTCATTGGGAAGCATCGCGACTTCATTGGCAAGTATCGCGACTTCATTGACAACCAAGTGAGAAATGTTGAATGATCTACCAACCGGGCACAATTATACCCTCGCGTCTGTATTCGCAAGGAAGTTGACAACAAGGTTGAGCAGTCGCCGTAGACACTGGATTGACTGTTGGAATAACGCGCTGGTTAGCCACAGATGTGGCGGTGGAGGCGCAAGCAGCCACATGTGTCTGTGGAGGCGCAGGGGCGCAGGGCCACCGAACCTAAACAAGTGGCCGTAGGCCACTTCCACCTTCCTTCTTAGATCTAGATAGACATCAACAACCAACAATTGAACCACCAGTTTTCGGCGTACAGCTACGCCCTATTGCTTCTAGTACCGGTACCTGGTGATTCCAACATAGACACTCGAGCCCATTAATTAGACACTCGAGCCCATTAATTAGACACTCGAGCCCATGAAAACACCTAAGATAACACTTGTCAATCGATCACTCTCCGACATGCACGTTTTCGGCGGCTCGGGCAGACTCACCAAAGACAGAAAAGACAATCCAGTTGACAGCCAAAGTCCCAAGCCTGGGCGGGCAGTACCTGGTTCGTGTCACGACGTCAGCAAAGCTCTCTCCCAACATGGCACACATGCAATCCGCTCACCCCTGGTCCGAATACAGCTTCAGAAACCCGACCCAGAACACCCACTGCGCGATCCAGCACCCGAGCATCCCAACAAACGCAAACGTGATGGCGCGCTGGATCCGGGCATCCTGCTCCTTGCCGTGTTTCTCCGTGAGCTCGTAGCGGTCTCGGCTGAGGCGCGTGGCGTTGGCGTCCCAGGCCTTCTGCACGGCCGCCCACTGCGCCTCCAGATGCTCCATGGTCTGGCGCCGCCGCTCCGTGGCCTCGTCGCGCCCCGGCTTGCCGGCCCGGTACGTCTCCCACCAGCCGCGCTCCCACGGCGCCCAGTAGCCGCCCGGCCGCGGCAGGAAGCGGTTCGGCGGCGCCAGGCTGGGGCGTAGGATGTCGCGGAGCCGTGAACCCGCTTCCATCTTGTAGTTGCTGGCTTCCTCGAGGTTGAGGCTCGCTGTTCTCGCGAGTGCTATCTCGAGCTCGTACCGCTCCGAGCTGACTTTGGAGAGATCGCTCGTCGAGAGGATTTTGATTTTCGTGCTGGCAGGCGGTGGGCTGCTGCTGTTGGCTTTGAAGATGCTGTTGGCTTTGAAGATGCTGTTGGCTTTGGTGAAGAGGGCTTTGAGTCTGCCCTGCCAGGTTGCGGGAGCTGGGGCCACTGCTGCAGTCTCGGCGGTGGCGATCTGGTCGGGCGGTGCTGCGGTCGCCGGAGGCGGGCTGGGCTCTTTGGTGGGCTTGTTGGCTGGGGTGGAATAGGGAAGCGACTTGCCGCGTGCCCTGGCCTCGGCTTTGAACAGCTTGTCGCACCGCACCTTGTCAGTGCTGACCCACTGCACCATGTCCTCGAGAGACTTGACCAGGGCGTCGTATGACTTGCTGACATGTTCCTCCTCACTCTCGACCACCCGGGGAGGCACCGGAGGGGCGGCTGGAGGGACGGTCGATGCATATGGTGGAAACGAATATGGCGTACGCTGTGGTGAAAGCGAATATGTCGCATGGTGTGGTGGAAACGAATATTGCACAGGTGGTGGAAACGAATATGGCACAGGTGGTGACGAATATTGCACAGATGGTGGTGGATAGTACTGCCCACGATGTGATGTATCCCGCAATGTCCGCAATATCGGGCGATATCCTTTGATCCGCGGGTCGTAGTAACTATCAATATCCAGTGCTGCTGCCTCGGCGGCGGCAGGTGCTTCTTCACGAGCGGGCGTGGCGGGAGCGGCTTCTTCAGCGGCCGGTGCTTCTTCACGAGCGGGCGTGGCGGGAGCGGCCTCTTCAGCGGCCGGTGCTTCAGTAGCAGGGATTACAAGAGCAGTAGAACTGTTCGTCTCGTCTGTGCTGGTCTTGCTCTCCCCGTCCCCCGAGTCCTTCTCGGCCGGATCCGCCTTGCCGAGTCTTTCTCGGGCGGCCTTGGCCTGCCACAGCCGCCGCTTCTCGCGCACGATGTTGAGGCTCGTAAACCCGAGGAGCGACTCGAGCGCGCTCTCGACGCGCGTCACGGACAAGTACAGCATGCAAAGACAGAGTACAATGACGAGTAGCCACAGCAGCGCGCCGCCGTACATCATCTGGACGGCACGGCCAAAGGCGACTCGGCCAAGGCGGTCGGACGAGTCGGTGTTGTAGAAGCCCTGCCACCGCGCGTGGTTGGCGACGGTGCCGAACGTGTAGCTCGAGATGAGCTGCAGGATGACCTCGACGCTCAGGCTCGTGGCCGCGCACGAGAAGTACATGGCGTCCTCACGCTGGTAGGGCACCAGCAGGATAGCCAGCCACGCCATGCGCGGCCGCGTTGTCCACAACATGACCAGCGTCTTGGTGTCGGCGCCCCCGTAGCCCGGGACCGCGCGGATGATGAGCGCGTTGGCCGTGTTGGCCAGCAGCTGCAGCAGCGCCATGGCCGGGCCCATGTACGTCCAGCTGCGGCGGTGCGGCTCGCCGAGCCACCCAAACGTCAGCCACTCGACCACCTTGCGCCGGCCGAGGATGGGCGTGAACAGCAGCATGGCTATGTTGGCCGCCGCGAAGACGGCGATGTTGGCCTCGGCCGTGGGGCACGCCTCGGCGGGGCCGCCGAGGCGGTGGCTGACGGCGATGTCGCCCCACGGCTTGACGTCGGCCAGCTGCACGTCGAGCAGGTCGGCCCAGCCGGCCGCCAGCCCGGCCCAGCCCGGCACCGCGCCGCACGTGCTGTTGACGAACCACAGCCAGTCGTGGCGGCCGTACGAGCCGGCGCAGGACCCGGCGCACGTTGCCGGGTAGCTGACGTTGGCGCAGAACCGGGCGTACGACACCAAGGTCCGGTTGCCGCTGCAGTACCGGCCCGTGGCGTCGAGGACGCAGAACACGTCCGATGCCGCCGCCTTCCGCGCCGCCAGCGACTCGCCGCACGCGCCCTGGCTCGCGCACTCGGGGAACACGAGGTCGCCCGGCAGGTGGTCGTACGCGCTGTCCGACACGCCGGCGTCGATATCGGCCGGCGCGTTGGCCGGCAGGCCCTTGAAGGACGGCGCGCCGTGGCACGTGTCGTTGAGCCACAGCAGGCTCTGCGTCTTCTCGAAGCGCGACGGGCACATCCGGCTGCAGTCCTTCTGCGCCTCCCGGTAGACCGAGCCGCAGACGCCGGACCGGCCGAGGAACACGCCGCACGAAGCATTAAACGTGCTGCCCGGCTGGCCGACACTATAATTCGCCCACGCGGCGTCGCGGCCGTCGTACATTGCCTGCCGCCACCCCTGCTCCAGCGCCGAGCACTCGTCCCTCATGCAGCTGGGCATGTTGTACTGCGGCGTGTCCCAGTCGTCCGTGAGGTCCACTTCGGCCGACGCGTTGCACTTCGAGACGCCCCAGGTGCCGGTGCGGTCCTGTCCCCGGCCGATCTGCACGAGCTCGAGCGACGTGAAGCCAGCGGTCCAGTTCTGGGGGAGGCCCTTCCACGCCGGAAGCACGCCGCACGTCAGGTTGAGCCAGTGGTCGTAGCCGGCGCGCTCGATAGGCGAAGTGCACGTAGCGCAGTTGTCGCTCGCGAGCGTCGTGCACAGGCACGACAGGTCGACGCGCTTGGCCCGCTCCATGCACACGCCCTCGAAGGCTGTGGTGCACTTGGTCGCCGAGCAGTCGTCGAGCCGCGACGGCGTCCACATGCACGGGATGCTGTTGTTGGCTACGCATGTCGGCGGTGCTTGCAGCAGTGCCGGGTCGGCCCACGGTGGTGACGGGGCGGCTGTCTCGTTGGATTGCCGTGGCTGTACGTCTGTGGTCTTGGGGGTAGTCGGGATGTGGAGGGATTGTGCAAGTGTGACGAGGCTGGCGAGCCAGATGAGAGCCGCGATGAGAAACGGGCGAAAGGGAACAGGCGCATGGTGGTGGTGAGGAGCCGTCTTCATCTTCACATCGACACGAGACCAAAAGACATGAATCACCTAATTGGAAAGAAAAGGATTCGTTCGAGTCACTGACGTGTAAATCGCGAGTCTCTTGACTCTCTTGGCTCTCTCGATTCTCTTGGCTCTCTTGGCTCTCGTGACTCTCTTGGCTCTCTCGACTCTCTCGACTCTCTCGACTCTCTTGACATTATGAACAACAGCATTGAGTCACATGCTTCCGCTCTGTGTACGTCAAGATGCAGCAGCTGAGCCAGCAGCTGAACTGATGAATGCGACATCTCGGCAGCCGTTATCAGTCGTGAGGTCTTGGCTCTGGCACTTGGCACGAACCAAATCGGGGACGCAGCGGCAAGGCCTGCAGTTTCAACGCCCCTAACTGGCCCAAACACACCGCTCGCAGGAATATCGACTCAGCCCCAAGCCACAAGGCATACTTCTGACCGGAATTCCAGAATCCCATTCCGGAATGGAAGTCCCCAGCAGTCATGCGTTGTCCTGTGCCGAGGCTTCCATCACCATTCTTCCCCGCCTTTGTTTCGGGAGGCAAACTCTCGCCGCCGCCTTGCCCAGTGAGTGCCGCCTTGCCCAGTGTAGTGCCTCCCTTCATTCATTCTACGCCAAATCGGCTTCGTCCGGGCGAGGCCTTCTGCGACGGCAAATCATGTCATTGGCGATCAACTAACTAGAATAGACGAAGAACTGTAGGAAGATGGCCAGTAAATGACCAGACCGTTTCCCAGTCGTCATCCAACAGATGATATCACGCCGCATCGATTCGACTACAACAGCACGTGAGAAGTTACCCGGTTCGTCGGTTATTGTGTGTATTTACGGTCCCTCCAATGTCCAATTGAACCGTCGCCTCTTCGCGGGGCATTCCGCAGTGCATAATGCGCACCGCGCAAAGCCGCACGACATCCGACTTCTTGATTAGGTACCTTTGGCGCCAAGGCGGCGGGGGAAGCGGGGTGAAGACCGAGGTGCCGTGAGTGAGATTCAGCGGCCTAGGCCGAGAATTAGATAATTGCCTCTCGAGAAGCCATCAACATCTCACAATTCAAGTGCATCATCCCCTGTTGCCCGCTCATTCCCCTACTGCCCGCTCATTCCCCTGCCGCCCGCTCATTCTCCTGCTGCCACTCATTCCTTGCGATGTATTTACCTGTGACAACGGGTCAAATCGGTAGCGAGCCGGCAACGGCCGGTAAGCCGTCATCCAAGCTGCCAAGGATGGCCAAATCTCGCCGTCTGACCAGGCTCTGGCGGATTCTCACTGAACCCAAACCGGAGGACCACATCCAAAGGTTGCCCGGAACCCTGGAACGCATCGCCAGCAGCCTGAGGCAAACCCTCGACCCCAATCCAAAGACAGGCCAGCAGTTTTCGGATGTGCCAGAGCCTCCGCCTGGTCAACACAAGTTGAAACCTTCCGGCGAGCCCGAAGGTGCGCTTTCAGAGGCCAGGGTCGCTGCGATGCCACCGGGCGCGTCTCAAACCTCACTCGACAGCAGCACTTCCATAGAGATGACAGGACAGGAAACACGACAGAAGGAGAAAGGTATGTTCCCGCTCTGGCCATCAACCCCATTATACCATTATACTGTAACATGCTGACCCAAGGCAGGACGGTTACGTCGGAAAGCGTTCAAATCCCAACACCGTGGCATCTACGCGCTTCAGATGGCTTCGACGGTGTCGATTACGGATGACTTGTGCCCGTCGAAGAAAGGCTCGCAGGCGGCAGTTGATTTTGATGTCGCTATCTGTGAGACTGCCGCTTATGACACATTCGCTAGGCGCACGCAGATTCGACCCACCCTCAGGACTCGCTCCCATCAGTCAAAGGCTGCTCCATCTGCTCGCTTATCCTCGACGCCGTCGGCTGCTCGTGCGCGGCGACTTAAGGCTCTACCACTCTTGCGCTACTGGAAGTCGCCTTGAGCTCTCGCGAGGCACAGGCGTCATTTCCCGTGGTCCCGCCGATTGCCTTGTCTAGTGACGGAATCACGGATCACCTTCCAATGCCGTCTTCTCCCGATGGGCCGGATGCCCGTTCGGCAGTGGCCGCCTCATACCGTCCGTCCGTTGAGCGTCGGTCGGGAACCAACGAGTTTCCAACCGACAGTCAGAGTTCGGATGGGTGCCAGTCGTCCGAGATGGGCTCGATTTTCTCGACAGAGGAATCGTCGTTCGAGATGGGCTCGATTTTCTCGACAGAGGAATCGCCCCTCGAGTCCCGTGTGTCGGCCACGTCGCTAGCCGACTTGTCGGAGCCTGGGCTCTATCGACCATCTTCAGATGCCAGCGACACCGAGGACACAATGTCAGACGTCACAGACCACACCGACACGTCATTGATTGATGCTTTTGAAGCATCGCCGACGCCATTCGACCCAGTCTTGCTCTCCCTCCTCGTGTCACTCAGGGAGGAAGTCGTCGGCCGCATCAAGCAAAGGCTGCAAGCCACCTTGCTCCACTCATACGGGGGACAGAAGCGTCCAGCGCAACCCGGTAATTCCGGATCTTCTCCACCCAACCCGCCGGCAGCTAGCACAGAAAGAGCCCCCTTTGTTAATATCCTGCCAAATTGGAGAAAGGGGGCGCCACACGAGGACGACCCCGATAACCCCGGGCGAGGGAATGGCGGCGACGGCGATAGTGGAAAGCCAACGGACGCCACATCAAGGACACAACTGGAGGATCGCCTCAGGAGGTTTGCATGTCCGTTCTACAAGATGTATCCAAAGAGCGAGGTCTGCACAAGTCGTGTCAGGGGCCAGGCTGGGGCTCTGTGCACAGGGTGAAGTGAGTTGACTTCCGGCACCACGGCATTTTCTGCTACACGGAGAACTAACAATGAATAATCGCAGGGAGCACATTTATCGACGCCACCAGCGGCCGACCTTCCACTGCACCCGGTGCCTGGTGTCGTTCGCCGACGAAGAGAATCTCGCCCAGCACATCAGGGGGGAAGTGCGGTGTGAGAACAGGACGGCACCACCAGACGAAGAGACGCTCTTCATCAGCCAGTCCCAGGGACAGGCGCTGAGGAAGAGGAAGAAGGACGTCCCTGAGGAAGAGCGCTGGACTACGGTCTTCCAGATCATCTTTCCCGACGTCCCAGCGGACCAGATTCCGTCACCGTGTAAGCGAAAAAGCTGTTTCTTTTATCCTCTTCATTTCTTCTTGCAGCAAAAGCGCCATCACTCGCAGGTGGCATCACTCGCAGGTGGCCACCCTCGCAGGTGGCCACTTACTTCAACACCAGTCTCCCATTCTGACACCCAAATTCCCCAGATCACGAATCATGCTAGGATTCGCTGCTCAGCTTCGCGATTCTGAGTGAGTTCTGCGAGTTCCTCGCGCAGCAGCTGCCGTCGCGCATCGCTGCCGACGTGAACAACCACCTTCGTGTCCATCAACCACCCATAGCCCCCCACGGAATCCACGGTGACATGACTGAGATTTTCCGGAGCACGGTCCGAGAGGTCATCAACGAGTTCTTGCCCGCTCTCCAGGCTGCGTCCCCAGGTCCCGGGGAAAATGGGAGCCCGACTTCGAGTATTTCGGCACGTCAACCTCTGCTTCCGGAAGACGTCCACCGTGTCGTGCACACACCCCCATTGCGAGAGCCACCACCTCCTCCCGTTGGCTGGGGTCGCCTTCCGCTCTTGGGCTCGGCGGCTTTCTTTGACGCTTCGGCGTTGGGTTTTGGGCTTGCAACCCCAAACGCAGCACCTAGCGCCACCACTTCAGCGATTGCATCATTTGACGACCCATCCTTTAGCCCAGGACTAGGATATTGGACCACGAGTTGTGACGATTAGGAGACAAGCGATCCCAAGTTGTTGTTTTACCCTAAAGTTGCCCTCACCAGCCCCAATCACCCGCGCCACCCCTAGCCACCTTGCTCAGGCGCCACTCAGACACTGCTTAGGAATTGGTCAGGAAATGATCAGGGAGATCGCCAAACATGGTTTAGACGAGTAGGCAGTACTCTGCGGTTCGAATGGCAACTTTTCGCGAGGTCCCAGTTTTTAGGACGCAGGTGGCCCAAAACTAGGACCCCCCACCCCCACCCCCTAAAGTCACATAAAAACCCAGTTTACGTGTCCCCCATCAGGTCTCCATTCCCGTCTTCCTCATTTACGAAAGTGGACAAATCTCACCCTCAAGCTGAGACACTCCCGAGCGGGTTGCTTCGTTTCTATTCTTGTTAGACGCGGCCCTCCTATCCTAACCCATTGGCAGCCGACTCTGAAAATGGTTAAGAGAAGAACTGCAGAGGAGAAAAGGAGATATTGTGACGACCCCGCAGGAAGGACCAGCGCGGCCCGACCTAACCCCGCAGGGAGCACAGTGCTCAGGACAGTGCTGTGCGGGTGGAGACACAGAGACAGGAACGCTTGGTCGCGTTGAGGAATCTTGGCACCAAGCATCTTCGTCAAAGGGTGCTTGGCCGGGGGATACTTGGTGGGACACAAGGCACCCTTCCACCAAGCAAGGTACAAGTTACTTCAACATAGCTTAGTATAGATACCCTCATCGCGCCCTCGATGAAGCGTGAGGATTCTGGTTCCTCACGCAAGTAATGTCATTGTTCACTGTGCCCTACTGTGCAAAACCCTCTTGTATCTTATAGTGACAACGGTGTGACGACCAAAGGCCGTCGTCTGGGCCGGGACGGCCGGGACTTCCCCGCAGTAGGCACAGTGCGGGTGAGATAGCGCATACGGTGGAACCACACTGAGCCATGCGGGTGGTGCTCGGTGGCAACGCGCGGTCTTGGCACCAAGCACCGTCCTGCAGGGCGCTCGGCGGAAAACGCTCTGGCAAACACTGAGCACCCAAAACTGAGCAGGTACAAGTTACTTCAACATAGCTTAGTATAGATACCACCATCGCGCCCCGATGGAGCGTTGGGATTCTGACTCCTCACGCAAGTAATGTCATTGTTCATTGTGTCCTACAGTGCAAGACCCTCTTGTATCTTATAGTGACAACGGCCTACAGTGACAAGTTGACAGACCCCCCGTTGAGAGTCTTTGCGTACTACGACGGCCCTTGACCCCCGACCCACGGTGTAACCTCCCGACTACTTGTTGGGGCATTACCCGACGACCTGTCTTAGCCCTCGGGTGCAGGCCGTAACAAGGTGTTGACCTTGTAATGTGTGGGATTAAGGTTGTAGTAAGTGACTGTTATAACTTCTGTTAAAGTGTGGCTGGTTACTACAGCTACAGGGCCCTGAAGTCCAGGGCACTGTAGCGGTTGCACTGGTGCAGTTATGGTGCTGTAAACGGAGAGTAAATATGCTGGCTACCAAGTCCATTTCTTGGGGCTGCCATTTTCTTTTTCCAGGGGTGGGACCAGAAATGGGCCACCCTTATCTGGCCCAAAACCTGTCCCTCGTCGCATAAAGTTGACAATTTCGTAGGATGGTGAGCTGGGGTTGAGCAATCGTGAGCCGAAGGTGAGCCAAGGGTGAAGCGAGTCTGATTTTAGGCTAACCATTTTCAGATGAGGCTCTTCTTTTTTGGAGAGAGACTACCTCTATATTCACTCGCGACAATTTTTTTAGCCAAATCCGTCTTGGGCTTGAAAGTTGAGCAGAAGCTGAGGCGCACTGAGCATCGCGCTGAGCTGAGCTAAGTTGTACGGATGTCGCGGTTATACTTGCCGTGTCCAAAATGATCCCAGTTTTGGGACACCGGCCCATAACTTCCGTTTTTTTCTTACGGTGCAACTAGCTACCGTTATCAAACTAAGTAGAGCTACTATTTGTATTCTAACTGAGAATTAATAAACTTTATCGCAACTTGCTTATACTCTTCTTTTGGAAGAAGCGGAAATCTACGAATATAATATAATGAAATATTTAACTAGCTTCAGCCCTTATAATTTGGGAAGTACGTAAAGATGATTAGTGACTTTGTAACTAGTTGTCTATATTTCCGTTGGAATAGTAGGCGGGCCTAGGAAAATAGGCAGGAGAAAAAAGAGAGAACTCCTCCCTTCATCGAGTGTCTCCTTGTATCTACAGCCTTCCAGTAGTTAAATCGGTATGAATGCATCGAGATAATACCACCTCACACCCAGGTATAATCCATGCCTGTTTCGCTTGGGTGTGCATGAAGCTGAAGAAACGGACAAGGCACTCTCACCCTTTGATAATGAGTGTCACGACCAGGGCAAGGCATTGAGGTGAACTCAGTCCATTGGGTGCTATCGACGAAGATTCTAAACTGAGGAGGGAAAGAAGGAAAAGTCCGACAACGCGTCGCGTGCTCGCGAATAAGTTTGCATCTATCAGTGGGGTAGGTGGGGCCTCGAGGAGGCTTCTGATAGGCCCGTGGGTTCTGGGCGGCTCTGGCTGCTTCAGGGCCAGTTTGGTGGACGGGTCCTCACATACCGGAGGTTTTAACTTACAAATATCATTATAGATGCGCTTAGATACTTCATTATCCATAGCCCCGACTAGCTTTCGCGTCTTACTCAGGTCAGTAATCGGATTAAGGGGCGCTAAACCGAGCTGGCTCTCCTAGCTAAATAATTTAGATCCAATAAGGGGTCGATCGAGCCGATCGAGCTAGAAGACGAGCCAGCATATCCTCGAAACACAACAAGACCCTGAAGATAGCGCTAGAGCGAACATTGCTGCTAAGCGGGCTCCGCGGACAAGCCTACTAGAGCCCCTATTGTCCTCGGTCATCGTTAAGAGAATTATAGAGGCCCCCGCTCCTAGCTAAATACGAGTAAACCAAACTCTGCGCTAGCACCAGCGATCTAGATCGATCAACAGCGCTAAGGGTACGGGACCCAAGTTTAGCACGCCCGAAGGGGTTATCGTTTTCTATAATAGTTACGTCCAGATTTTCCTTCAGGAACTTTATAAGTTTATTAGTCACTGCCGCGGTATGATTCGTAAGATAGTGACCGCCGCTGAGTCTATACGGCTCGAGCAGCTAGGGGAGTTCGAGATGCCCGATGAGAATAATGAGGCGGATTTTAAGAGCGGCTCCACTACATCCATTGTTCAAAAGGATAAGGGTGGCAGGCAAGGAAAGTGGGTGCCGGGTCTACATTCCTCAAACACGGGGCAGGTGCGGCCTAGAATGCTTATGAAGGCTATCAGGGGACATTTGGCCCACGCAGGCTCCGGAACTCTAAGTCTGGATAACTCGGTCGATGGCTACCTTCCACCAGATATCTGGGAAGATCTTGACAAGAGCCTCGACGATGTTTAGACCATGTGCAAGCATGCTGCTCGCTAGTTCTTGCGTGATGGCTGTTGCATGGAAGATTTGGGTAATATCGGACGCCAGCTGGGCATTACCCAAAAACTGGCCCACAACAAGATGGCGCGCATTGGGCGGCAGAAACAAGAAGAGATCTCACAATCAGATGGAGCCGCATTAAGCAGTTTTGGCACGAAAGATGTGGAAGTGGCGGACAACAAGCCAGATTGGTGCAAGAAGCTAGACGAGGTAAATGATTCCATATGGAACGTTCTCCCATGGGGAAGCGGTGAGCTTTGCAGGGTTGGGAAGAAAATAGCTGAAGGCTCGTTTGGAGATGTGTTCGAGGGTTGGTGGTGGCTTCCAGAGGAAGACAAATGGGTCCCAGTAGACCTCAAATTCGTAAGTCATCTCGGATTAACAAGCTTTTATATCTAGATCTAAGGTGGAGGCTGACTTCACCTAGGAACTACGAGGCAGTTCTACACCTCAGCTAGGGGACGAGTACCGACAGTATAAAATCTTGGAAGGCTGCGGTAAATTTGTGTTTTTGCTGCTAGTGACGCGGTTGACTATGACATAGCAGATACTCCTTGTTGCTTGATCATCTGGGCTATGAGGATACAACACCAGCAAGAAGTTGAGTTGATTTATTACGGGTTACCTGGAAACATCAAGGACAGTACTGTGGTCGTTGCTTAATGATACATAACCGGCCTGATTTGCCTCTTGTTTTGGACCGGTTAACCAGGTATCTACCTTGATAGGCCGCGTTCGTGTAACCTGCTATTTTGATCCAACGCTGTGGACGACAGCTTGTGTACTTTTCGAGACACAATAACCTCAAATATATATATCACACAGCCCTGAGAAGACGCAAATAATTCCTTGAGTATCTCCCTACACTATCCTGCGTTATTCATGTTGGCATGTTGAGTGTTCTCTCATTGAGACTTGACCAAAATGGACAATCATGCAAACTAACCAAGCCCATAGACCACGTGACATTTAACAGCAAGAACATGTCGGCATGTGTGACGCGAAAGTGAAACAAAGTAAAAAAAGATATTGAATGACGCAGAAATGGCATTGCGTCGTAGCGTGGGCGCAAACGTGGATATGGGCGCACTTGTGTGAGTGTCTGGCGGAGCAAAAATGCTGTGTGATATCCGTACTTAGGTATCCTGGGCAAAATTCCTCTTTGTTGTCTCCGTTCATGTACAATTACACCAAAATGCGGACGACCTGCTTACCCAACTCGGCGCCTGGGGCTAATTAGTTCGCTAGACTGGTTTTTCTATTTGCCAAAAAAAAAAGCACGGCTTTTCAGTTGTAAAATGACACGACTGACTAGGCCACATTTTTTTCAGGTGCGACTATCGGGGAAGCAACACCGAACACGCTGCCGCATTTCACGTCTTTGTAATTTCTCGTGCTGCAATTGCGTCGGTGAAAGGCTTTTGCTTGTTTTTCATCACTATCGTTGTCTGCAGCATTGTGTAAAAGGCTGGGTTATAAAATCTGGGAAGGATCCCTTTGCTTTCGTCGGAATTCGTGGCTGCTCTTGGAATTTCCTTTGAGCTGGCTCTCATCACAAATCGGTCAGAACGGTCTCAGGTGTGTTCTACCTCGAGCCTTTCTAATAGAATTCAGAATACCTGCCTTGACCGCCCTCCGTTAAACCGTTAGACTCACCCGCTGGTCAAGTTTATTCTCGTCTGCTGAATTTTAGAGTTAAAATACGCCGCACCTCGTGGCAGATAACCTAGATGCCCAGGCTTCCTTGCGAATTCCGACCGCATTCGCGCTCGCACGCACATTCGACCCGACAGCTGGCAGGCAGGCTCCCTTGGTAAGTTGCACCTCTTTTCACATCTCTCTGCAGCTCTCTTCATTGTTCACCCTTTCTGACTCTCAAACAGGCGTGCAGGTGAACGTGGACCGACCGTACTTCCAAAACCCCGACCCAATTCCTCCGCCCGCAAAAGTTTCAACGTTGAACTTCGCCAACTTTTCTTCCTTCCGCAAGCACGTGAAACCTCAACCACACCAAGTCGTCATCTTTCGTCGGTAGTCGCGGTAATCACAGGCAGTACTCAACCTCACTCACGAAATACAAGGAAAACATGAACAGCCAAGCCCAGGTAAGCGAATCCCCTCTCTTCGTCTCATGCTCGTCGCGCCTTTTCCCCGTTCCGCTCTTCATCTCTCGACCTCGACGCTGCCCTTTCACCACCCCATCCGCGGACGAGAGAAAAAAAAGAAAAAAAACCTGACACAGCCCGACAGCACGAGGCCAAACCAACCGGCTCACCACCTGCCCCAACACACAGAGGATGCCGCGGCGGCAGCAACAGAAACCGCAATAGAAACTGCAACCGCAACCGAGGCGACCACCACCACCATCACCACCACCACCACCACCACAACAACAACAACAACAACAACAACAACAACAACAACAACAACAACAACAACAACAACAACAACAACAACAACAACAACAACCAGCAACAGAGCTCCCACCGGCCCAACGACCTCCGCCAGCGGGGTCCCGGCGCAGGCCTGGGCTCGGCCTCGTCATCATGGCGACCAACAAGCATCCTGCTCCGCGCCCGGACCGCCGCCATGACGCCGGCCGCCGGAGCAGCCACCTCTTCTGGCCTCTCTGACCGCATGCGCGCGTACCTGCGCAGCAGCGACGACGCCATGGTCGGCCACCTGGCCGTGCACCCGCGCGCCGTGGCGGCCATGTACTCGCGGCAGCGGCTCGCGGCGGTGCAGCTGGCCGTCGACGGCGCGTGGGCGACGACGACGGCGGCGGCGGCGGCGGCGTCGTGCCGCCCGCGCAAGAATCCGTTTCTCAACAGTAACAACGGCAACAGTATTAGCAACAGCAACAGCAACAGCAACAGCAGCAACAACAGTGATGATCATGCTGTCGCGCAGTATCCCGGCTCGGGCACGGGCACTAGCACTGGTACTGCCACTGGCACTGGAGAGAGTAATAATAATAATAATAATAATAATAATAATAATAATAATGCCAGCAGAAACGCCCAGGACAAAAGACCAGCTGCTGCTGCTGCTGCTGCTGTCGGGTTTGCGTTTGCAGGCGGCTGGGAGGAGGAGGAGGAGGACGACGACGACGACGACTGCGTCATGCGCGACATTGGCGAGGTCGGCGCGCAGTTCTGTTATGATGCTGATGCTGATGCAGATGATGATATTAGTGATATCGCCGCTGCTGCTGCCGGCTGCGGCCGCGATGCTGTCGTGGAGGGCATGCGTGCGGCGCTGGCGGCGCTGGAGATGTGAATAAAAAATAATCTAATAATCTCGCATCATGGGGACTTTCAGTTTCTTTCCTTTTCGCAAGGGTTTTTGGGAGTTGGAGTCAGGGTTGGGTTAGTTTATTACTTGGCTTGGCTTTGCTGGGTTCCACGGCTTAGATGGTGGCCGGCTGGTTAGTTGGTTGTCTGTCTGGCTGGCTGGCTGGCGTCTCTTGGTCGGGGTTTGACCATATCATCTTGCCTTGTGCGTTGGAACTGAGAGCTGTGCTTCGCTAGCTCGCTCACGACGGGGGGATCGGACACAAGACTCTGGCGTGGCACTGAGCTCGTCCGTGAGCAAATGGGATGGCGGCATATGCGGGATCCCTTTTCTTTTTCTTTATCCCTCTTCTTTTTCTTAGTTCTCCCCCTTTTTCTTCTCGACTTTCCGTCTTCTGTTCCAAATCAAGTTCAGGGCGCACAGACATCAATTATCAGGGGAGTCGATCCATACATTTTCATGGAGAATATGGCGTTGCACGATTGACATGCCGCCATAGCATTGCACGGAGTTGTCAGCTAATTAGATACGTTGAATATTTTTTTCGAGTTCTGTGGCCCGGACTTTTCGTCGGCCTCCCCGTCCTGTACATATATATGCATAGGTAATCACTTTTACAAGTGGCTCAGCTTGTCTCCCCGGGTGCATACGTTGGACCACTTCTGAAAATAACCCGCCCCCTCATCCCGTAACATTGAAATAATTCGCCCTCACCGGCACAACCAGCCCCACAGCGGCAACAAACGCGGTCAGGTTGAAGCCCAGCGTCTGGCCGACCTGGGCGCGTGTGACGGCGAAGCCGGCGGCGGGCGTCTCGTATAGCAGGCTGACGTAGCGGTGCGGGTGCGCGGGCGTCTCGGCCGGCGGCGCGGGCCCCGTGTACGCGACGGGCCCCGTCGCCGACGTGACTAGCGCGTGCACGGCGCCGGCGTTGGCGCCCGCCTTGTACCCCGTGAGCATGGCGTGTAGGTTCGTGCGGCGGCCGCCGGCGCTGGGGTTTTGGAAGTTGGCTGGGCTAGGGAGGCGTGTGAGTGACGGCTATGGTGCTGCCGGGGGTCTGGGGTAGTAATAATAGAGGCTGCGGGCTTACACGTCCTGGTCTGTGGTTTTGTTTGTTTGTTGTTGGTTGTTTGTTAGCCTAGACGTAGAATACGGGGAAAGAAGGCCAACTTGGGAGGCGACATATATTATGGGATGAAATGTCTGAATGAGCGCCCCGAACCCACCTATCATCATCCACAGGTACGTGCCGTTCAGGACCGCGTCGGAGGTACCAATTGTCGGCTGCTTTGCTGTCTCTGGCTCGCCCACACATGCGCCCGACAAGCGTCAGTGTCTGTCTCGGCCCAGCTTCCCGTGAGCAGTGCTAAATCTGGGGAATGGCTCTAACCGGCTTTTGTCAGGCTCGTGCCGGGAACCGTCACCGTCTTGGCCCCAAAGATGAGGTCCAGCCGCGCGGCCACCTCGGGCGTGAAGCCGGCGGGCGTCTGGGCTGCGACAAGCGCGCCTGCGGCGAGGATCAGAGATGCTGTTGGAAGGAGCATGTTGATGATGAGTAGTCAGCCTGTGCTTGGAGAAAACTAGGTAGGTGAGAAAGGGAATGCGGGTGTCGGGCGGCAGTCCTGTCCTGGTTAAATAGCAGAGAGCAGTTCTGTCCCAAGACATTCCAGTCGCGCCGTGTGTTTACCCCTGCTATGAGCTGTGGCATTGTGATATATGTGGACTGGCCGCCCGATACCAGACGATAATTGCCTGCAATATCAGGAAGAGCTTATTTGGAGGTGTGTCGAGGCTAAATGTACAGAGCCTCCACATACGTGTCTTGGAAACCCATCTTTGACAAACCGATATGTCCACCACTTATTGTCAGGCAAATTGCGATACCACGTTCATGTTAATATGTAATTTCGCCTACGTACCCCGCATCGCTCGGATCGATCCGGCATTGATTACCTCGTGTAACTACCTACCTTAGTCGTCGCCTCGGGGCGGAAAGACGTCGTTGATAGATGACTTGAGCCGGGTGACGATGTCCAACGACCTCTGCGCATCCTCAGCTTCGTCCTCATCATCGCTAGTCCAGTCATTACTAACTCCGTGCCTTGCTATGGTAGAGCGGCAATCGTATTCGCCGAGTGATAAGAAGAGATCCATTCTGCACTAGACCGGAAGGGTCCCCGAGGAATATCCTGCTTCATGTGCTCGCCCCAGAAGGATTGCATCGATACGATCCTCTTGACAGCAACTGAGGCGTGATTGTTGTTGTCGGCGTCGTCATCGGCGTCGTCCCAAGGGGAATGCGAATCTGGGAAGATATTTCCAGTGCCGCGAAACTGGTTACGGAACACATCAGCATAGTAACGCGCGATTGTCGGACCGACTGCTTCTTTGCTTTGAGTGTCATCACATTCCACATATTCACCAGGGGCTTCCCAGGAATTTTCCCCATAAGAATCCATTCAAACCCAATGGGGTTGGCGCGGGTCGCCTCGTGCGCGATGAGTTCCGGCGCAGGTAGAGATGTGTGACGCCTTGTCCAGTCAATCGTCGCGACCTCGCTCAGAGTTTTGTGACCAGGATCGACTGGGAGCGACACACGCAGTACTAGAATCCGACCGCCGTCCGCGATGTTGTAGATCTTATTGAAGGCCCCTTGCGCAAGGAAAGACACCGTAGGCTCAGCCTTCTGGTCCTGCAATACTGGTATGATCGTGCGAGTGATGGAATCGATATCGGGTTCGACGGTCCATCGGGGCTACAAAGAGAAGGTTGTTTGGGCCGACTGGAGGCCACCCATTCTGCTTGCCGGGGCAGCATCCTCGATGAAAAGAAATTATGAATGAATGAAATAGAGAGTAAGAAATGGGGTTAGGATGAAAGAAACTAGACTCGACAGTCGAAGTGTACGGTAGCTTCGATGGTAAGTTGCTAGTCGTACTTGGGTTTTTTTTCCCTTCCTAGTCTATATGTCGGACTGACTTGCGCTAAAGTTGTTTGTTCGAGAGTTGGGTTCTTGTATTTTGACGGATGTCGTGTAGGGCACGACAGGAGGCAAACCGAGTCACCTGCAATTGGCTACCTCAACTGGCTAGTACTAATAGCTCGGGATGCCTATAAATCGGTACGGAGGCTCGTCGATACAAACGTTGGTCTCTTTCGTTATATAGTAGGAATTGGGTATACCGGGACCTAAGAGATAGAACTATTTAACTTTATCGAAAATACTGAGAGCAGTAGTTTGTATCTGTAGTATGTCTAAATCGGCCGTCTCTACCGCCCACAGACCGGCAGAATCCCAACGCATAACAGCGTGCTAGCGGTGTAGAAATAGCAGGACATTGCCATAAAGCGAGCGGCTTGTACCGGCAAGGGCTGCGAGTACCTTCCGCATCATCACCTTTCTTTTCATTCTTCGATTAGCTTGATCTTTGGAATGAATCTACAAGGTGCAAGGTCGCCTGTTTATGCAATGTTGGCGTTGGGTATGAGAAATGCTGTTTCCTCTGCAACCATAGCTACAATCACCAACAGTTCTCCTAGAATACATGGCAGCTATAGTCTGGGTAAGAATTGGAGCGACGGTACTCCTTTATACGCGCTTGCGGGCATATTTCGGAGGCTGGCTAAGGCTCCAACAATAAGGCAAGCCCTAGATAGGAAGTATAGCATCCCAAGAAAAAGAAATAAATAACACCACGGCGGATGCTTCTTGTATCCTCCGAGGATCTCCATACTTGCCTTTGTGTAGTGTGACCGCCTGAAGCCTATTATCTCTGCAAGACCGTAGACCGCTAGTGACGCGCCCATAATTATACAGTTTACCCTCCAGACAAGCTCCTCGGTCGTAGTCGGAAACGTAAGGCTCCAGCCGCAAAGGTGTATGCTGGCAAAGGAAGATATAATAATACCTAGGCACAGGTTCTCCCTAAACCCGGATGGTTTAAAGTCGCGGTCATTGGGGACCCCTATATTTTTCAATCAGTTGGGTCGAGTATGGGGGCAGGTGTGGGAGGGGAACAAGGCATACGCCGAAGTGGTCGAACTTGCCATCCTAGCTTTAGTATAATGCGCATCAGTCTCTCGCCCCATGTACTGGACCAATAGATGCCTAGTTCTATGAAATCGAGTACAGTGTTCTGAAAAGGTTTCTCGGCAGTATCCCTAGCAGTTAGACAGGGCGACCCACTTATGCAATCGCCCCCCTTTGCAATCGCCCACCACCATCACCGCCCACCACAAGAATCGTCAAAATACTCAATTGTAGGCCAAATTCTATAGAAAAAAGTACATTCTAGTCCTCGTCAATCGCCCTATATTGCTCAAGCCCACGGGCGATAATTTCTTCAGCTTCCTGGACCAAGTGTGCAGGCCTGGACTTGGTCTTCTTGGATCTCTTCTTGGGAGGCTTTTGACTAGCTTTTTGAGCCTCGTCAATTTCGTCAATAGTAGCAAATCTGTCGTTGGCGTCTATTTGACCCTTTTACGTGAATAGGGTTTTTTGGATTCCAACTCGTTGGCTAAGAAGTCGTTTTTTGCCTTCAAAGCAGCGATTTCCGTATTCTTCTGATCAAGTGCCCTCCCTACCTTCGTCAACATAGTCCTGACGACCCTATCTCGGGGATTAGTGGCCGTCTTGGCTAAGCCCTGTTGCCTGCGGACGTCGTGACTACCTTGAGGTGTATTGAAGAGGTCGTTCCGGGTTGCCCGGGTCTTCCGGGGTGGTGTGGATGGGGGGACTGGTTTTGCAGCTTCGTCCCGGACCGCCTCGGGGTCGTCAAGTATACGAGCGGGTTGGAAAGGCCAGATTCCGGTCTTCCGGAAGCCGGATATAATATTCCGGGCTGACATACCCTGCTCTGAGGCGTCCCGGTAGCAAAAAAGGAAGCGTTGCTTGTTGATAGGTGCTGAGGCTGTGAAGGAAGCCAATTCGAGGGTTCTTTGGCGAAAATAGGACTTCAAAGCCGAAAAGACAGACTGGTCGAGTGGCTTGGTCTTGTGAGAAGTGTGTGAAGGCAAGTATAGTAGGTGTACGCGGTTTCTTTTAGCTAGAAGCATAAAGTCTTCGTCGATATGAGTGGCGTGTTCGTCGAGGACCAATAGGCGCCAATCGTCCTTCCTTTGGGGCTTTGTTTGAGGAAGATATACTTCCTTGAGCCACATAAGAGCTATTTTGCTATTGCTCCAGCCTGTGGGCGTACAGTCGTATTTCCAGGTCTTGAGGACTGGTAGTTCCTTGAAGTTATCCGGGAAGTGTTGGCCTTGTAGATTTTTACCCGTAAAGATCACTACGGGCGTCAATCGCTTGCCCTCAGCGGTACTACACTCGATAATACTGACCCAGGTCGTTGGATCAGGGCCAGCCAGGACTGCCCGAGATGTGAGGGCATCGCCAATCACCTTCCCAACTGTAGTTTCCGTCTCTTGCATGCCATGTTCGTCCATATTGGCGATATTCGCAGGTACCAGCTTCTTGTCCTTAATTACAGCTTCCAAACGATCAAAAAAATGCTGGAATCTCTCACGGGTAGATCCTTTGACTCGAGACCGTTCTAATAAGGTACCTAACTTGGCCTTTACCCTGGGGTTGCGGGTAAAAAACCGATCTACCCAGCGCTCACCAACTCGCCCAGGGAGCCCGGCTTCGTTCAGGATCGCTTGTGCGAATCGTCTTAGCTGTGCACGACTTGGGGCACGCCCTGCAGCTTCCTCCTCAAGAGCCCACTCGGCGACGAAGGCTTCCTGGCCGTCAGTTAACTTCTGGGTGTTTTTTTGGGCTTGTCGTGGATCCTGTTGTCCACGGCGTCGTCTGCTGAGGGTGGATTCAGGGATCCTATATAGGCGCGCTACTTCCTTCTGCTGAGCGCCCTGATCAATAGCCTCAATAGCCTCGGCTATTAGCCGCTCTCGTACGCGTCGAACCATCGTATTTTGAGCCTATTCCGACCAGTATTGAGGAAGTTGTTGGTGGTGGAAGGTAGAGAGTAGGAAGTTGGCGGTGTGGGGGAAAAATTGCAAAGTGGGGCGATTGCAAAGGTGGGTCACCCTGTCTAGAAGTTCGTGAATGTGACATTTGGCGTGGATACTGGTCGGCGTCATCACGTCAAGGGGCTTATGCCACCACAGGCACAGAGTGACAGTCGAGCAGGAAATGAGGGCTGCTGTAGTCAATTCGAATGGTGTAATTTGTAACCCACAGGCAGCGCGGGTAATAAGTACGGTGATAAGCCGGCTGGATTGGAAGAGGACGAGGCACTTGGTTATAGAATCAGCGGTACTTTTGTCGTTGATTTCGTCCTCTTGGGTTGTGGGAGTTTCGATGTAACTGTGTGCAACTAGGTATACAAGTTGTTTGGCAGTGATGGGAAATGGGTGGCTTGTGCCAGGCATCTCGAGCAGGAAACCCCCACTATCAGCATAAAACCGTGGGTCACCGTCCAGCAATCGAGACCGAGGGCCTTCATATCCTTCACTGACTGGCGAGCGGACGACAGCTGAGCGAAGGCGAATAGCATAGGTAGCTCGGGCGCTAAGATGCCGAGAATAAACCAACTGAGCTTACGAAGGAGGCGTGCCGTGGATCCTTCATCTCGTCCCGGGACGTTAAATGCAACATGGAGAATAAACAGAGTACCCAAGTTGCTGAGGCATGGCCAAATGATATCCATAGTGCCTCTGGTATCAGGTGACGAGACCCAGCCATAGCGGCCCGAGTTGGTGGTGCCATTCGCGGGGTTGACGCCATTAGGAAGGGAAAACTACTTGCTGATCGTTGATGTACTGATCGATGGTGTGTTGAGCGTTTTACTGGGAGCTTATCTTGGCTCGCATCTTTGGGTTCGAGATGCTAGTTATACTGTTATTTCTGTCCCTGGGCTTCTAGTAGGGTTTCCTCGATGCGCAGCCACAGGTTCCACTACTGTCACCTCTCCGGTGCCACAAGCGCCTCGCACCTCGCTGAATACTCCGGTTACAGAACGCAACGTGGTTCATTGCGCAGCCAGAGCAGCCCTTCGCAGCGCTAAATTCAATCCCAACGTTTGCACATCCACCTCGCCGCTGCGTTGGCGCTACGTGCTCATCTTCACAAAACGCAACACCATCGGCCGCAGCATCGCACCATCGTGGCTGCCGCCCCGTATTTGCTCGAGCTCCTTCCGATTTAAGCACTCCTCGGCACCTACTCAACTCCGTCAAACCTTGGCGTCCCTCAACCGTCAAGTTCGTAACATTCATTCCATCATAGTGTTACAGTTCCGAAACGCAACACCGTCGACCGCAGCCTCGCGCCCCCCTCCCTTTTCCTCACTCAGTGCGGGGGCAGTATTGAACCATCGCGGCTGCCACCGTATGTGCCTTGGCCGCACACTCTGCGCCTAGTTACGCACAGTAACGTCGAAAGTCTCACAACCCAAGAGGACGAAATCAACAACAAAAGTACCGCGGATTCTATAATTAACAAAGTGCCTCGTCCTCTTCCAACCCAGCTGGCTTATCACCGTCCTTATTACCCGCGCTGCCTCTGGGTTACAAATTACACCATTCAAATCGACTATTACAGCAGCCCTCATTTTCTGCCAACTGTCACCCTGTGCCTGTGATGGCACAAGCCTTCCCAGAGCCACGAATTGCAGCACCATTAACCGAATTGCGCGCAGTGTTACAGTTCCACCCGAGAGCCCACTTCATACGGAGCTCCTTTTCCGTCCCAACATTCTAGGCAAGAACGCGCAGTATCGCAGTGCCATGGCCGCCGACGGGTGGGCCGACGGGCTTGGGCCCTCGCCCGCGAACGCTTGGTAATATATCGCATCTGTGCTGGCGACGTACGTGCTGCTTTGCGCTCTTCTCCGATACCGCCAGAAGCGCGCGATCGAAGTCAAATTCCACTTTTCCGCTCTAGCACCGCCAGCCAACATGTCGCTCATTCAGGCATACGAAATCCAGAAATGGCTCGGCGAGCAAGAATTCCCTGCTACCTTTTCTGCCTCGATATTCTTTGCCCTCTTCAAGGTACGGGCCACATACACCAACCCGCCAGACTTGTCATATTGCTCCTCGAGGCAGGTATACTAACTGACTGAGAGCCCGTAGACCTACGGTATCCCTTCTATTTCACGGCTACTGGTGACAGCGGGCTAGATAGCTAGCCGCGGCACCTACAACCTGGAGAGGACGTCGAAGCGTGCCGCCGATACCAGCGTGCTTCTCACCAACATGGTTATCGGTCGACCCGGTTCCACGCGCGCTATTGAAGCCATTGCTCGAACCCGCTTCTTACATGCCCGGTACCAGCGAGAGGGCAAGATATCAGACAGCGATATGCTCTACACCCTTAGTCTCTTCGTTCTGGAGCCCATGCGATGGGTCGATCAATACGAATGGCGCTGCCTGACGGATCTGGAGCGCTGTGCTATGGCAACATCTTGGAAGGCTCTTGGTGAAGACCTCGATATCTCCTATGACGGCCTGCCCTCGTCGCAAAAGGAAGGGAGATGGACCGATGCTCTACATTGGCTACGCGAGCTTGACGAATAGAGCCGTACGTATGCCGAGTACCATATGAGAGCGGATACGAGCAGTGCCATTCTCGCTGCGGCTACTATGGACATGTTACTGTATAGATGTCCCAACATCGCAAAGCCCACTAGCCAATACTTTGTGTCGGTCATTCTCGGACCGCATCTTAGCAATGCAATGGGGTAGGTTTATCTTCTACTCTCTCTTTCCGATATCTCTACGGCCGAGCTAACTTAGGTCATCGGCCAGGCTCTCCTATCCACCTCTTTGCTATGAGGCTGCGTTCTACTGCGTGGTAAACATACGCAAGTTTATTATCCGCTATCTCTGTCTCCCACGCCCGTACTTTTTACGACGTCGGTACCTGCTCGACAACCCTGACCCCCAGACTGGTCGGTACAACGTTGCCCGCTGGCGGGTGCACCCGTGGTACGCTAAGACCTCCTCCTTTGTTAGGTTCTAGTCTATCCACACCTGGCTTCGTTGGGTGCGCAGCGGCCGCCTGCTGTCGTCGCCGCCGCCTAGTCATACAGAGAACAAGTTCTTACCCGCAGGATACAAGATCCGAGAGGTTAGACACAGCAATTTGCAGGAATGGGAGGGGAGGAGATGGATGAGCTCCAAGAGATATTGAGAGGTAGAAATATCGGAGCGTGTCCATTCGCATCACTTTAACGGATCAGAGACCAAGAATTGCGCCTGGAAGCTCTTCAAAGCGAGAGACTACGAAGCAGCTACGAGACACTTGATTAGTCGGGGCTGTACTTAAGGTCTACGTTTGGAACAGGGGGGGAAGACTCAAACCAGTGTTGTTTTCCCAGTTTCTACTGATATCGTCACTATGGCCAACAAACGTGCATGCAAAACATACTGAAGGTACCGTACTTCAGGCAGGCGATGAGGATAGAGGGTTGCACTGCGCGGTTAATTGATTGATGCTGGGGAATGCGCCAACCTGTTAGTGAACAGGTCTGGCCCTGTCGCTTCCCAAGGATAGCTTTAGGGCTTTTCCACCCGCGCACACGCAGGGTTTTCCTTCTTTCTTTCCTCTTCCTGTATCCAGGAGTTCCAGAGTAGTCAGGTAGTCAACTTCGGTGCCCACTACAATTGATGCCTTGGCTCTCCTTGGTGCGAAGGGAGGCCAGCTGCTGTTTTAATTAACGAAAGGGTCCGGAAAGAAGGATGCGAGCGTTTATCCTCTGTATGGGCCGGGAACGGTGACTTGGTTATTGGGCTCCCGGCCTCGGCCCCCGTATATATTTACAGCATCATTGTCACGACATTATTGGAAACGAGAAAAGCACCTGTGAATGGCCTAGGCCGCCCCAGAGCATTACGTCACTATGCTGCGCGCGTTACTCGACAAATTGGCCGAGAAGCCGTATGCGTATTGATTAAGACTAGATGGTGTCACATTTCAGGTAGAATAAACCGCAAAGAATACCAAGTGAGCAAAGCCGATCGAAGTCACGAGATCCCACGTAAAGGAATGTTCACACCGTTAATGCGATGGGGACGTATGTATTGACCAAGTCAAGCCAAACTATCTAGGTAAGGCGCTGACCTTCGTGGTTTTACTGTCCACGTCCCTTAGGACCCGGCGTCCCGCGTGTTTCTGGCCGAGTCTTCGGGTCAGGCCCCCGGCGACCGGTGTCACCACCCCATCCTACACACCACGTCAATACGTCTATCAGAACCACCTGTATCCTAGGTTCGGGTGCCCTGAGTGTGAGGATTGTAACAGATGGTTATGTTCCTCTGGGGCAAATTTCATATCATAGTGACAACGCAAAGCGTTAACGGGGCTCTGGAAGGTATGGGTTGGCCGAAGGAAACTTTACGCAAGAACTAAGCGCGGATCTGCGAAACCTCTACCTCGACAAAATCTCCGAGCACATCTACGAGGACTCCTATCATCTGGTCTAAATTGATGAGTCTGGTTGAGCAGGGTTGCATTTAGGCGCACTAGGTGGTTTCCCATGAGGGTATCCCTGGTGCAAAATGCTCGATTCCACCACGGCCAAAGGTACCTGCTTCTCCCGGGATATGCGCAAGACGGTATCTCGGTAAGTCCTGGCCTAACTAATATTGCCAGTAGAGACAATGGTGCAAGGAGATGGAGCTCTCCTCGATATGCGACTAACTATTTCACCCAAATAGATTCCGGCTCTGCCCTTGCGTAAGGGTTCGAACTACTAGATCGGTAACTCCTTTCAGAATATTTTAACGTAGAGCACTTGGATGGCTGACTTTATTCTCTACAGGCATCACCAAGATCGGATCCGACGCTGGCCGCATCGCCAATGATACGGCGGTGGTTGACCTAAACGCTAAGGTGTAGGGTACGGACAATCTGTTTATCGTAGATACCTCCATCTTGGCAGGCATAATCACGAGCAACCCATCGGCTGCGATTGTGTTCATCTCTGAGCACGCTGCCACCAAGCTCCTAGAGCTTCAGCCGCCTGCTCGATTTACTACGGCTGTTTGCAGGTATGGCTTGAGAGGCTAGTGGTACGGTGGGTTTCCACGCCTCTTGAGCCCATGGCCTCGCGATCCGAAGTCGCCGAGGGTGGGTTCGTCAGAGGCGGGATCGGCGAGGGTAGAGGAGTGCGTATCGAGAATGGAACGCACGCGCGCTAAGCTCGAACGGGTGCCGAGGGACGGCGGCAGAGCAGTTCGCATCAAAAGGATGGTAGCTAATGGGTGACTGGTTCGGGAGGGGCTCGATTGCGGTGTCGCGTCAGCAGCAGAGTTGCTAAACATGAGTGTTAGTGGCGGTGGCCGCGGTTCGAGGAAATTCAGTGTTTTTACCTAGCAACCTGCGTCGGCGCTGCCCGATATGGGGCACGGCCTGCTGCCCCAAAGGCGGGGCAGCAGCGCCTGCGTCTACTTACGCATCTACGTGCACGACAATTCACACGCCACCTGTACCCACACCAGGCGATAAGCGATTGCACTACCCGCTGCCCCCCCTCTGGCCTTTCGTTTCTCGCCCCTGACACGCCATTTGGGGCCTGATATTCCGACTGTCTGCCTCGGGCCTTGTCGCCCATTCTCTGCACTTCTCGACCCGACAGTCCTCTTGACCAGTTCGTTCCCCCGTCGCCCAGGGCATCTCTGGGCTGATCCATTCTCTTGGCCGACCGCCGTCACCGGCCGACCCAGACACACAGACATGAAAAGCCGTGCTCGTCCGAATCGCAGGACCAGTTCCTCGCCTTCCTCTTCCTGTCTCTCGCCCTCAGCATGCTCGACGATGGCCACCTCGACGACGAAGCGTATGCCGACTTCAGCGACTCAGTTTTTGTAGCTGGAGAGACACCTACATACGCTGCAGCACCGCGGACCCTGCAGCATCCCTGCCTGAAGCTTTGCACAGAGCATTGCCGACCTCCCCACGCTACGCTGTGGATGCCGAGAGAGAACTGCGTCTGGCGGTCGCGGTAATTTGTGGTCAGCCATTGATAAGTCGGATAATGCAAAATAAAGCAATAAATGGATAGCAACTGGGCAACTGGGCTGTTCGGGCCAGCCGTGACTAATCCTACACCGTACTAAAGATTACACACCTTCTAGACTGTCACGTATGCGGGGCCCTGGTTGAAAACCCACTATCGCGTAAATAATCCTTCTTTTCTTCTTTAACTTAGTATTCTACCAATACAGCCGAGAATCGCTGCAACTATGTCTCGGCTAAGACACAAGTATCGGTCAAACGGAAAACGTATGGACAGTAGACGTCTCGGCCGGAGATGTTGGAGTGATTGATCTTAGGTGAGTAGTTATATCAATAGACAAGTTTTCAGGAGATCAAGGCAGCATGAGCCAATAGTAGCAATTAGGGTCTCGCCAACCACCGCCTTTCCGTTGTTCTTGGCTAAAAGGATAACAAAATCGTGTACTAGACCATCGGGCCAGTGGTCCCTACGTGACGACTACCCTACTCTACTTGGAGTCTGAGTGAGTCAAATTTCTCTTTCATCTCTCTTCGGCCATGTTCCGAACTCACCGGCGAACAGTACAAGGAAGCTGGCGCAAAGGCTGAGGCCGATCTCAGATGGGTACCCCAGCCAGCCGCCGGCCGCATCTCCTTGACCGACAACCTTATCCAGCTCAGCGGCGATGGAGGGGCCGATATCAGCTGGCCTCCCGGTGTACGGTTCGAACCCTTCGTAGTGGCCACTATCCTTCTCGTCAATGCCTGCCTGACCTTGTGGCCAGTCTCTCGCTTAACGTACACGACGGCATTAGCACATTACACGTCGGACCTTATCACGAGATCAAGCAGGGTGGGCGGCGATATATTCGATACCCCTGTACAAATATTCGGCGAATGTGATACACTAAAACTTAGCGAGATGAGGGATGCTATTACGGGCACCATAGGGGGCAAAGCTGGCAGCAAAACGTAAAGGGAAAATACCCGCTATAGCTTAGCGCCAGCCCGCTAAGTTACAGTATTCATCTCACTAATTTTTACCGTTTACCCCACTAGAACTTCTGTCGATTTCAGCGAATCATGTTCGCCAAATATTCGTACAGGGGTGTCGAATATATCGCCGCCCACCCTGAGATCAAGCGTGTGGGATTGCTGTTCCGCCTTCTCATTTACTTTTTAGACACGTTTCTTCGCGGAGCAAGTAACTCCTGCATGCAGTGCCTGTCACGAAGGAGAGGATTCGACTGGCATAACACGCAGTATAACCGTAACCTGTATTGTGGAATCTAAAGCTAAAGAAGGAAAAGGAAGATGTTGCGGGGAGCGGGCAAGGCGCGGGGTTCTAGGTATGGTGCGGACCACGTGATAGATACGCACAGACCACACTCCAGCACTACGTCATTGACACCACCACGGCACCCGCCGTGACAGTGCCTGACATCGCCCAAACGGAAGGAAATCGACGAGCAGCATGCACGACACCAGTGGCTGGAAATTGGAGTGCTGAGTGCGCGTAATCTCCATGTCATAAGCCGAGCACAGGAGAATCTGAGGCTAAACTCGGATGTTATGATCAAGCTGGGCCAGCCAACTACTAACTACCTCCCTAATAACCTGTCTAGATACGAAAGGCCGAGGGAAGCTACATTTTCGCTTCTCTATATCTGTGGCACCAGGCCGCAATATACCCACATACGCACAGTTTCTGGTCTCTTATTCCTGCTAATCTTGTAAGACACTTTGAAGTTTCTTTACTTCAGTGTTTTGAGCTCCCTGGTGTGATCTTGAGAGTAGAAGTATCATTCGTGATTGCCGCCAAGTTGCTTGCAGCTGTCGTCTTCAGGGGCGGCAGTAAGTAGTCGTGGTTCTTTCTGAATTTCTCGAGGATGTTAAGCGCCGTAGTGGTGCAATTCGGGTCTGCGGCCTCGTACATGTCATGGTACCCCTGAGGGATAATAGATTGACCCGTTGCGTTTTTATGGTGAAGGAGCCCACGAGCCTTTTTGAGATAACGGTCATGGAGCTTTTGGTTAACTTGTTGCTCATTCTCCCCCGACTTTAAGATGTCATCGAGATCCGGTATGTGTTCGTGAAAGACCAAGTTCACTGCGCCTAGGGCTTTGGCCTTCCTGTCCCATCCTTTGTTGTCGAGCTCGTCTTCTTCGTCGTCGCACGTGATTCCCATAAGTTCGAAGAGTATAGGAGGAAACTCCGCTAGGTCGACCCCCGGGTGAGTGGGGTTCCCCCCTTCCCGTATTCTGTAACTTCCGAACGCGGGCACTGATTTCAGATCGTCTTGACGCGTAACAAATGCGAAATCTATAAGTTGGAATAAATATTTTGTGCTTGCGATATCTTTGGGGTGATCCATGGGCACATGAACCTCTTCGAATAGAATGTTCTCCTGTTTGAGGTCTCTGTGCGCGAGCTTCTGTTCCGTCAAATACTGCAAGGCTGACAAGACGTCAACCACCAGGTCCCCCAGCCATTCCGGTCTCTTCCCGAGGGCGGGTTTTTCGCAGTAGAGTACTCCGTTTATGTTTACTTTATGGTAGTTCCAATTGAGCTCCGATAAATTTCTGAGTTCTCTGAAAACGAGTGCCGTCGGTCTCGGCTCCTGTGCCTTCACTGGCACCTCTGTATACCTAATGAGCCTGACAATGTTTTCCTAGGTATAAACTGCGGTGAGAATCACTATGTGGCAGACCTTTCCATATGTAGGTAGGTAGGTATGTGAGGATTGAAAGACTTACGTGACGCAGTTTTTTAAGCCAGAAGAGCTCCTTTTGTCCTGCCCACGCGACACTATCCCCCTTGGTCGCCTCCTTGACTGCAAACGTCTTTTTTCCAACGGTGCGATTATTTACTACCCTTCTATACACGGTGGAATAAAGAGTTTTTTCCAGTTCTATTACCTTCGTGGTACCGTCCGTCTTAGAACGACGGGCGAGCGGCTTCAGGTCCCCGTACCGGCCAAGAATCCATGGAGATAGCTGATCCGGTGAGAGCAGGTTATCAGGTTGCCGCTCCCATAGCCGACCTAAGAACGAGCGTATTTCCAAAGACCTAGGATGCGTTGGCGCTGTGGCCTTGTGGTGATCTTTCCAATGAATGCTGAATTTGTAACCCTTTGTGCCCATTTCGATGATAACCGAGTCCGTAGTATCGGGGATGTGTAGGTGAGTGCCTGGCATAGAAGATTCGCTGACTTGTGCCTGATCATTCTGGTCATTCACCGAGATTTTGGCTCTTCCTTTGAGAACGTGGAGGAAGAGGCTCCCATGATCAGGATCCAGGTATAGGTAGGATTCGTAACCGACGAACTCTTTTTCGACTGATATATCGGTGTGGCTTGGGTCGCCTGGGATGTTGCCGAACGTCAGAAGCCGGCCTGCTCGCTTCTCGTTCTTATACTCGGCGATTGTGGGGTACACTTGGATAAAAAGCTCCCCTTTATCGCTTTTCTTCACTCGAGGTTTTACGTCGAGCGCTTGCTCAGTAAATCTTGCTTGGAACGCTTGCTTAGCAAATTCGGATTCCGCGTATATGTCAAACAAATGCGCTTCATAATCGTTGGGCTCAAAGCGTGGCATTGGAGCAACTAAATGGGATGGGACGGCGGCAGATATTTCTCGATCAGTAATGAAAAAGAGATGATAAAATGTGACAAGATAATCAATATAAAGAGGAATACGGATGAAAAAGACGGCACGCTGAGTAAGTAAGCCGAAAAAACGGTAGAACATGACCACGCCTTTATAATAAATACCTTGGGAAAACGAGATCCGTCAAATGAGCTTCCCCAGTTTCAAAGGAGTCCTGTTCTCGACGCCCGGAAAGGTCCGAGATTATTGCCAACTCCTTCCTAGCCAATGACTGGCTGCATGGGCGACAGCTTGAGACAAAATCGGAATACCAAATTCACACCATGCGCTGTTGAAGCAAGCCGACCTCCCGGGCCATCTTTTGCTTTTATTAGTTTGAAACGGGCCAAAGGGGCACGGGGGCTGTGGTGGGCCATCTTTTGCTTTTTTTTAGTTTGAAACGAGCCAAAAGGGCATGGGGGTTGTGGTGGGCCATCTTTTGCTTTTATTAGTTTGAAACGGGCCAAGGGGCAGGGGTTGTGGCACGCTGTGGGCCTCAGGCACCCATATTAACCTAATTGGGTTCCGCATTGTGGAACAAACTCGGACTTGGATTTGGTAAGCCGCCTCAAAATTCAGGCCGGTCGGCTAACCGAAAAAATTGGAGTGAGAACTTGAAAGCAGACCAGGTTCGAGACTGGCTTGTAACGGGCGCGTGGAGCGAGTCCGATATCTTGCTTTCTTCTTGAAGAATGACCCCCTTGTATCTCGTTTCCCGAAGGCCCAGATCACTTGTGTGCTGTATGCAGGCCTTGACGGGAACCCTCTTTTGCCGTACTACAGGCATACATTCGGCGGTTGCCAACCTGGGAAGGGCATGCGATGCGAAGGTCATCCTAGAGTTTCTAACAAAACTTGTCATTACAGATTTTGTCATCCAAGTTGTTTCGCCTCTCAAACATCTCTGTCACGTGATACCCAGCCCCTGCACCCTGAATTTTACATAGCAGCCGCCGGCTTGCGGGTACAAGTTTACTGTGAATGAAAATGACTCCCTAGGCCTCTCTCGCGAAAGGTCGCGATAAGATAGTCCTAGACTGTTACCTCATCACTTTTGAGAAGCCCTGCAGAATGTGCTTCTTGCCGCGCGTCTTTGCAGCTTTTGAGTTGCTTGAACATATGAAAAGACCAGGCGGTCACCATCGGAACCGACGCCGTCAACACCACGGCTTCCAGCCCCGCGACCACCCGGGCCGCCCAAACGGAGCTGCAGTCAACTAATTAATTGACGAGTATAGTACTGTCCTCCCCGTCGATGGACTTCTTGAAAGATTCAAATACGAGTGCTTCTCTTATTCGTCAAGTTCCATACCTTAGCTTTCATGCGGTACAGCCTGGGGAGACTCAAGCCCGAGGAACGCGGTGGCGGTATCGCAACTACATCCTTGTGCGGGGGGTTGGGGTGCGTCTGTTCAACCTCTTTCTTCGTCTCGCCGCCCGCGCCGTCTACAAGTCCTGCAGCGCCGGCTTCCGCGAGGCAGGACCTCTGCGGCGAAGCCTCGCCGCGCAACACCTTTAACGCCGGCGCCCCGCTCGCCGCCGACTGCAAAGCCATCGTGGCTGCCTACCCCTGGACGACGTGTGGGTACTGGACCGTGACGGCGGCCGAGCTGCAGGCGGCGGGGGCGCCTCGCCCGATAAGAGCGGCGCGGCGGGTCACCCTGGCGCAGTACGGCACGTGCGCGTTCCGTGTGCAATTGCAGACGCGGCCGCTGCAGGCGTTGTATTTTGGGTCGAATCTAAGGGCGACTACTTCAACGACGTCATTGTCGTCGGCGGCGCCACGCTCCGGAACCTATCCATGAGCATTGGCCTCGACACCGACATCCCCTTCGGCCTCGCCGGTGTCGGCTACCCAGCCAACGAGGCCGGCGTCGAGAGCGGCGTGCTCCAGCAGCCATACGCGAACCTGCTAGAGTAGCTGGCCGTGGAGGGTATGACGTCGACTCTCGTCTACAGTATGTGGCTGAACGATTTAGGTATATTAGACTCCATCTCTCCTTTTTCGTCATTTTTTCTGGTCCTATCGGTTACTGACTTGTATAAACAGCCGCCAGCACAGGCAATATCCTCTTCGGCGGCATCGACACGGCCAAGTTCACCGGCCCGCTGACCCGCCTCCAGCTCTACCCGACCAAATCCCCCTCCACTATCAATGAGTTCGCCGTCAAGCTCACCTCCGTTACCGCTTACAGCAAGTCCGGCAGCGACAAGCTCGGCTCCACCTCCTTCCCAGCCTCCGTCGTTCTCGACTCCGGCACGACCCTCTCCTTCCTGCCCTCCGACCTGGTCTCGCAGATCTACAAGGAAGCCGGCGTGGCCGTCGACTCGGACTCCGGCACGCCCGTGGTGCCCTACAGCTACGCCCGCGGCGGCGGCTCGTTCGCCTTCGGCTTCGGCGGCGCAAACGGCGCCACCATCAACGTGGCCATGTCCGAGCTCGTTCTCCCCGTCGTCGGCAACTTTACGCAGGGCCCCAACAAGGGACAAGACGCCTGCGAGTTTGGCATCCGCGCCGTCAGCTCGTCGAGCGACGCCCTGGTTCTAGGCGACACGTTCCTGAGCTCTGCGTTTGTGATCTACGACCTGGTCAACGACGAGGTCGCGCTGGCGCAGACTAAGTTCAACGTCACCGACTCGAATATCGTCGCCTTTGGGAGCCTGAGCGCCACCGTACCGAGCTCAACGCCCGCGCCGAGCCAGGCGCAGATTGCGGATGGGGTGGTTACGGCCAGCCCGACGAGCTATGCAGCTGCCTCGGCGTTTGCCGTAACGAGTGCCGGCGCGAGGGGCGTGAGGGGCGCGGGTGGGGAGGCGGCCGGGGTAATGATGGCGGTGTTAGTGGCGGTGGGAGCTAGGGTGCTGAGTTCTATAATACTTTAGATTCTGGCTAGAGTAGGCGGGTGAGAGAGAACGGGATATGGAAAGACAGGTTGGGCAAGGAGCAGCAAATGTGGGTTTATATTATTTATGACTGACGACGGAGTGTAAGCAAAGGGTAACTTTTAGCGCTAGCTTCTTGGTAGAGACTATATGTGGGATGTGACGGCGGTCAACAGCATCTAGGAAGAAAAGTCGCTAGTATGGCTATACCATTGTCTTAGGATTCTAAAAGTAAAGAAAGAAAGAAAGAAAGTCTATAAAGGTACGATCGAGGGTGCGGGGGTATAGTGGGCTGCCGAGAGCGCACGGGCCATTATGGTTTGCCCTGCCAAGGCTCGTGACATGGGACTCTTTTTGCATTCGAGGGTGTGTTAGATGTATCTAACGACTTTCCCGACCGCGGCGTATCCCGTAGTGTGACACTACCTCGAGATACTTCGGAGAAGCCGGGTTAGCGTCGACTACCATAATGTGTCAATACTCCCACTAGTGGTTCGGCTTTCTAGAGTCAACCGTAGCAAGCCGGGATTAAAAATCCAGCAACCTGGGAGTCACTCTTCAAGAGGGCTTCTCGAGCACAACCTTGGCAATTAATTACACACTATAACGAGTCCACTATGTGAGGGCCTGGTCCTCCAGGCCTCCCAGACGCTCTGACTAATCAGACGCCAGTTGGGTGGGTCCACCCGACCAGCCAGAGCCCCACCTTGAGACGCCCTGGAAGAATCTCGCGAGGGGAGGCTTTTGAGCTTCTTTTCCCTTTTCCCTTTAGTTTAGAATCTTCGTCTATAGCGCCCAATAGAGGAGTTCCGCCCTCATTCCAAGCCGGCCGTGACACACTATACCTAGTTTTGCCCTATCGCAAGCACAAGAGCCACTTCAGTAGTAATAAGGACTTGTCTCTTGCCCCTTTTAACAATCATTTTTTGTGAACTCATCATTACCCCAAAGCGAATCGTGGTCTTCTTCCTAAATAAACAAGTTCCTGCTACTCATGTGCGTCGAAACATACTTGTTTAGTAACCGACATACCTTATATTGCTTTTTCGTTTGTCGGGCTCAGCTTATCGCCCGTACGTCGAAAGCCTGTCCTCTATCGGCCGGCGCATTTAAACTTTGTTTTACCTTTTCTAGTATAATTCTGTCCGAAGGACAATATTACGCTCAAACTTTCCAAAATTCCCATACAAAATTGATAAAGAAACTGATAAGAAAGTGTGGGTCCTAATTCCCTACGCGGATTGGCTGACGGGAGGCCAGAGACTTAGCCAAGACCAACTACAGTCGACAAAACCAGCCAACTGGCCCTAAAATCAATGCACCCAGTACCATTGCATGTGTAACGGTAAGGCAATTCCAGATCTGATGTTAGATTTTGAATACAATTGGTTTTGGTTGAGATGCAAGCGTTTAAATACTGGGGCGGGTAGTGGTGGAGAAGGGTAGATGCACGTGACTACGTGCATGTGCGGCACTTGCGGCAATTTCGTTTCTTGTGCCCCGCGTTGAATTTCCTTGCCCCACCACAATACTTTTCCTCCAACAATCGGTTGTGTTGCAGTGCCTTGATAAATCTTGCAGGCTTCTTATTCTTTACAACCAACCTTATTCCAACCGTGGTATAGCTTTGCCCGTTATGGCCGGGCTATTTAGTATCCATGGCGGACGCTTCTACGGCGGCTGCCCGTCAAGTCTGTAACTCCTGGAGCGTCGAGAAGCCTCTTGATCAATTCCAGTCCTTCCGAGGGCCTCGCCGGACCGTTCTTGATTGTGCAGATTGCCGCAACCGCAAAAAGGCGCAGGTAATGTCACCTGTTCTGTTATCATTGTTCTTCTATTTACTAATTTAATACCTTGAGAGATGGATCAACCTCCATAATCCAATCGGCTGCTGCAGCTGCCCGAGGGGATAGCCTAAACCCACCTCCTGCCCCTGTGCCTCGGCAAAATCTCACCCATCGCTTTCTTTCTGAGCGGTACCACGAAGGCGGCCGTGTTGCTACGGATTCGACCGAAATGGCAGCTGCGCGCAATGAGATTTCCGCTATCCAGCGACGCCACCGTGTTGAGCGACACCATGGTGGAGAAACTTCCCAGACCCCGACAATGAGCAATCTTCTTCACCAACAACAACCTCCTAGCAATGCCGATAGCACTCTCCCGCCTTTTCTCCAGCCTAGAGACCCCCATGGGCTTGCTACCGGTTGCCCTCCCTCTACCCAGTCAGAAGAATCCCAGAAAGCTGCCCAGGAGGAAGAGAGAAAAGACGATAACAATAATCCAGGCCCAGTCACACCACCATAGCTCCCCCGACAGGGGCGGCCTTCTCTGCGGCGGCCGCCACCATCTTCTCTCTTCTCACCGGCTCGTGTTCGTCGCCGCGGCCGTCCGCGTCTAGCACAAAACCCTATTGGCCGCCCCCCTCTACAGCAGCCACTACCCTTTCCCTTCTCGCCTGCTGGCGGCCGTCGCCGAGGACGCCCGCGTCTTGCAAGAAACCCTGTCGGCCGCCTCCGCAGACGACCGCCTTCCACAGAACGCACGCTCCGCGAATTCGACAAGCCATCTCCTCAATTTACAGGGGCCGACAAGGAGTCGCCCCTTGACGAGGAAGACCTCGCCATCAAGATGGAATTCGATGAAGCACTTGCTGTAGAGAAGATGCAGTATTGCCTACGCTGTAAAAGGCGATGGTTCGATGTAGAGCTGAAGCCTGATGGAGTTTGTAAGCATTGCCACGATAAGGATGATAAGAAGCGTGGGGATGAGCCTTTCTTCTTTTCTGCCAACAACAACTCAGACTTTGGCTCTATACCTTAAGACTTGCCCCGGCTAGAGCCATTGGAGGAGATGTTTATTTCAAGGGTCCACGTTAGCGTCACTGTATTTATAGTACGTAGTAGTGATACGTGTAGCGAGGAGTAGCAACTAACAAACTATAGGTTCGTGGGTAGCAGTATCAATATCGTGGGCATGTTGTGCATTTCTTGCGCGATGTTGGTAAGGTTTACAATGAGCTACCTCTCTTACCTAGAGATTTAGACATTGTTATCCTTCGGCCACGCGGTTCTGAGAATGTGGCCCAGATGGATCGGCAGTTCTGCCGACGATTCCACGTCCGCCGCGCAGCCATCGAGGCCTGGCTCAAGCTTCTCGCCGCCAATCACCCTGGCTCCAGAGACTTTACCCTTAACTACGACAATCTCTCTCAGCTCCCCGAGGATGGCAATGTATTTGACTAACTACCATCTATGAGGTCAACGATACAACGGGCGTACTTGCCGATTTTGGCCCTGCTGATGAATTAGTTGAAGAGCCGGAGCCTGAAGATGGTGATGTTGTAGATGAAGCTGCTGTGCCCAACTTGCTAATCCAAGAGACCGAGCTTAACCAGCCCCGTGGCCATGTTGAAAAGACTGTTACAGAAGATGCCGAGCAGGTTCCCCTACAGCCAGCCAATCCTCAAGCCGCACACTAGCTGCAGATGCCATCTATCCGTCGCACGCCTTTGGATGAATTTAACCAGAAGTATGCCTTGCTCTCTCTAGCTTGCCCTACCCTCTTTCCCCATGGCACAGCAGATTTTGTTGAGCCAAGGCAGCGTAACATCAGTTACCAGGAATATATCGAGCACGCCATGAAGTGGGAGGACGGCAGGTTTGCAAAGCATCACAGCTTTCGCTTTATTGCCCTAAACACATTGATGCGCCAACAAGCCCGCAGCAGCAGCAAGTTCTACGTGGGCAAGCACCATCGTACGCCGCTTACAAAAGAAGATCTCCAACAGGCACTAGCCAGAGCAGCCAGAGGCCCAGGCTATCTTGAACCGCGTCTCGCGTTTTGCTGGTGTAATTAAAGGTACCCGCCCCTTTTGGTACCGACGCTGCCGCGAGTGTGAGGCGTTTGCCTAATGCCTAGGCGTACCAGCTACGCTTATCACCCAGAGCCCTGCCGACCTGCACTGGCAGAGGCTATACTAGCATATGCCTGGGTATGAGGAGTGGAAAGTTCTAGACGAGCCTACGCGGATGGCTAGGTCACGCCAGTTGCTACGAGAGAACCCACACACTGCGGCGTGGCATTTCCACTCCCGGAATAAGCTGTTTCGAAAGATTGTCTTGGAGAAGAAGTTTAACCTGGTTGACTTTTGGTATCGTTACGAGTGGCAGGGTCGTGGGAGCAGCCATGCTCATGGTCTGTACTGGTTCGATAAAAGCCCAGATCCAGATATGTCGACGCAAGAGTCACGAGATCGCTTTGCTAAGGTCTGGGGGTACCACATTACGGCTATGAACCCACAGAGAGGCCAGGGTGCCGATGAGGGTAACCCCCTATCTGTTAACCCTCTCGAAACCAACGTCACGTGGGAGTGGCTTAATCGAATTGTCAACCGCTGTCAACGCCACCACTGCTCTACAGCATATTGTCTTCGGCTAACAAAGAAAGATGCTGAACAAGCTCGAAAGGCTGGCGAGAGAGGCGGCCAGCCAGCCGGCCAGCCAGCCGGCCAGCCAGTTGAAGAATGTCCCCCTCCACAGCCGACATGCCGCTTTCAGTTCCCCTTATTTGGAAGCTTGGGAAGAAGTGGTGGCGGTTTGAGGCTCAGCGGAACGATACCTATATGAACCAGTACAACCCAATTATCTCGCTTTGCTGGCTTGCCAACACCGACTGCTCGCCTTGCATTGGTGTACAGGCTGTTGTCAACTATGCTGCAAAGTACTGTAGCAAGTCAGAGACCCAGACTAATACATAATTACACGCAGATTGCGCGTAGTATAATGCCTTACGTTTCTGACAGGAACTCAATGCTGTCGTTCGTATCCAAGCTGATGAATAAGCTGGTGGGGGAGAGGGATTACTCAGCCCAGGAGATCAGCCATATCTTACTCGGCCTCCCTCTCCAAGACGATAGCCGAGTGGTACAAAGCGTTGACTGCCGGCCTCGAGAGCAGCATGCTCGGCCTCTCAATGTCACCGTCGACGGTGTCAATGTCACCGCCGACGGTGATGTTGAAGATACGTCAAATGTCTGCGATAAGTACCTTCAACGGCCAGTTGAGATGGAGGATGTGGCATACGTCGAGTTTCTTAAGAACTGGAACTTCAAGGCACGGAATCCCTTAAGGTGGAGTATGTGGCAGCCTCCCGCTCGATCTAGGGTGTTGTACTACTATCCCAAGTACAAGTCTATTCGCTCACACCAGCAATGGCCCGATTTCTGTCGTGTAAAGCTGCTACTAAGCCATCCACATCGTCAAGTTACAGACCTTTACGTAGTTGACTATCTACAGTTTGAAAGCTACGAATTGGCCTACGAGCACTGTGCCAGTCAACACCACCACCCAGATGATCACTATGGTGTTGAAGACAAAGAGGACCCCAAACCAGACGAGGATGAGTTTGAGGCTAGGGGTGATGTGGGTGATATCACCCTTGAGGATTGGCACGAGATGGCACGTATGGTTCCTGACTTGCGACTACCTGAAGAGGAGGCAGATTTGCTTGGCCGCCGTGATATTGACCTTAACTACGACTGGACTCGACACATCAGCCTTTATTCCTACGAAGATTTCAATACCGGAGGCTACTAGAAAGAGCTCCGGGGAGATACTCCTGGCAACTACGACGTTGAGCAGATGCCACGAAAGGCTTGCGATGCCCTAAACGCCAAACAACGGCTTGTGTATGATGCTATTCTAAAGCATCATAAGGCAACTATCCAAGGCCAAAATCCAACACCACTTCGAATCCAGGTTGACGGCGGCGGTGGGACTGGCAAGTCATACATGGTTAAAGTAATCTCCTCTCGCTTAAGTTAACTAACCCAGATTTGGCCAGGCCCTACATTTGGCCCATGCGCAAGCCACCATGCACTTACACCAAGGGTGATTGACCGATTTCTCTTCTTCACACCGCAACTTCCTCAAAACAAGACCAAATTCTTCCATTTCTTGGTTAATCGAGAGCTCAATCAATCCTCTATTTACCATGCCTAAATACAGCGAATTGGAGATGTTGACCGCAATGAAGTTCGTGCGAGACGGCGGCAGTATGTGCCAGGCGGCAGCAAAATACTGTGTGCCGAGGAGTACACTTCGGCACCGGCTGGCGGCGGCCCAGGGTGGGCGAAATATTATCGCTGGGGCAACGATAAATATCGCTTATCGCCGATAATCGTGCGATATCGTCGATAAATATCGATAACATTGATAATGCTTAGTCAGCTATCAATCTATCTCCGCCTCAACCTCCACAACTCGTTCTCGAATACATCCTGGCTCCCCCGTAAGCCCTGACCTAATCCAATGCTTCAAGCATTCAAGCATTTCCACTGTACTTTCTCCTAGTCGCATTCTTTCCCACGTTATCGTACGACGAGCCCCAGAAATGACCCTTTCCGGCTCAGCACTCATTGCCGGGATTGATAGGATGTTGATTGCCAATTGAGATAGCTTCGGCCAGCGTCTTCGTTGCTCTATACGGAGCCACCAATAGAGAGATGATCCTTCGATTTGACGAGGTGGCTCTGACAAGTACTCTTCAAGTTCATCTTTGCTTGGTGGCCTTGGAAAGTTCTCAAGACCTCGCATTAAGGTATCCAAATCATCATTCGGATTCGGATTCTGATCTTGGCTCCTCTCCTTCTCAATCAGAAGAGCTGACTGTGGTTTATTTTCTGCTCCTTTGAAGTTGATCCAGAGCGTTTTGACCGCTTGGATTGCTGGCTTGACCCATTTTTTCTCCCAATTATACTTGAGATATTCAGTCTTCCTCGAAGGATGGAAAAGAATCGCAGCAGCATAATACGGAGTATCTTCCGTTTTGGCATAGTATTTGTCGAAAGTCTGCCAGCTCTTTTGGATTCGTTGAGAGATAAAGGGATTAGATTTGAAGGTTTCCTGGCTCCTCCTATAATGCTGAACCAACGCATCCATAACAAGAAGAACTCGGTCGATTGTTGCATGATCTCCCTCAGTAGTTTTTGTTGCTGAATAAAACGGCTTAAGGAAGGATTGGATAAATCGAAGAATCTCCCAATCTTGCGGAGAAAGAAAGTCAGACTTCAGCTCTTCGTACCAAGCTTTCGAATAGGTATCAAGGGCTGATTCCTTTTCCAGTGCAACTCTTAACATCTCGTACCAGCTATTCCACCTTGTGCTATTATCGAGAGGAATATTCCGGCCGGCAAGAGTTTTAAACTGATTCGTACGAGAGACTGAACCACGGATGTGGATGACGATATTATGAAGCTTTCCAAGGGGGCCGATATTGCGAAAGAAGCCCGATTCGAAATCTTCTTCTTCTTCATCCTTTTGGAAAAGAAACGATTGGACTGCTAGGTTGATAATATGCCCCGTACATCTGATTCGATTCTCTGACGCCTTCCAATAGAGGCCTTCTTCTTCAAACTTCGAATCGAGAAGTAAACAAAGTTTGTCATTAGAGGTAGCATTATCGCCGATAAATGCCCCAATCTTGTGATAGATTCCGAAATCCTGAAGAGTTTGGAAGAGAATATCGTGCTGGACCTCAGAGTGGTGTGAAGGAATAGAAGGTAGAGCGATTAGGGCCTTGACTAATTCCTCGGTTTCGAAATCCACAAATTGAGCACAAATCCCTAGGAATAGCTTGTGATTTGGAGAAGTCCAAATATCCAGAGCAAGGTGGATTGTTGAGAGCGCTGATTGGAGCTTCTTCCGTAGAATATCTTTATGAAGATTGAACGAGCTGCTAATCCGTAGTTTAAGCGTCGAATGTGATGAGATAAGACTCTGAGCCTCAGGATTTAGCTCCTGACAAAAGGCACGAAAGAATGGGCTCTCGATAATCCGGAAGGGAAGATTTTGGGTGACAATCATAGCAACAAGGGCTTCATTGAGGGTTTTCTGGTTGAGAATCTTCCTCATAACTCGGGTATCCAATTCAGAAGTCTGATCGATTTCCGATGCCTTGTTGTATAAGAAATGAAGAGATTGAGATGCCGTACGAGATGGGGCTTCGAGGGTGATAGCATGCTTGCGAAGGTGAAGTCGTACAT